GGCTGAGCTAGAGCTCGGTTTTTGGCAGATTCGATACCCGCTGATATTCTTGAAGAGTACCGAACAGCGCCCTTGAAGAGACATGCTGCGTGATGCTGACGGCACAATCACCGAAACTCGCTGGTGCAGAAGGTCTAGCCGAGAAGCGAGTCAGGATATCGGTCCTAGTAGATCAATATTGGGGACTACTTTAGCTCTCTGAAATGAAGTCGGTGTTCGAAAGGGTATTCACTGTCGAGAGCTATGCAGGCGGAAACGCTACGAATGTCTCAATGCGTCGCTATGAGCATCTGACTGGATCGGGTGGAGCCGATGTGCAGCATCGTGTACGCGGGCGGGTTGATGACCGGTCGGTAGTTAGGTGGGAGTTGCCGCAGGTGGGAGTCCAGTATACTGGGTTAGCAGAAGTACTGATTAGCGATTATTTGGTGGTTAACCCTACTCGAACGTAATTGTCGTGTACAAGAATACACATTCAGCTCGAGGTATGTGATATCACATTTGTCTACCATGGCCCAGCGGAACATGCAGGGAAGTAGTTAGATCCGGATCCTGTTTGATGTCCATAAAAAAGCAAGGCTCATAATGTCAAGGACAGACAGTGAAATGCAACATCAGCTGTTATTGGTCCACGGCTAAATTGCATGTTGATTCGAGGCGTTTCATAGCTTCGTATCTCTGACGAGGCCGCCAGACTTTGTACTTCTTAGAATTGAACGAGATTGTGGCATCGAGGAGGGCGACGAGGTAGGGGACATGATACCAACGGTCGATCGGGGATGACTCGATTCGAGTCGTGTCTCTGGGACCGTCCATGCCAAAGAGAGATCTCTGCTGAGAGTCTTTGTGACACCCTCGTGTCACCACCAAGAAGTCAAGAATCAGATTGCCAAGCAGTCATTGCACTATCTGTACCGAGACCTACTTTCATGCTTCCAGATTAGCGAATTTCGAGCTTGAGGCGCAAACCTGGCGTGAAAAGCTCGACTAGTGAGGACAGACTGCACTGTTGAACGTGGTGAACGCAGCAGCAGTCAGCTAGCCATTTACTAGATTCTGATGCACAGGACCGAAGACCAGGATCATGGTGCTGGCGGAGATTCGTCGGTGTGTATACTGCAGCACTCTCACCTTCCCATGCTACAAGTACCTGAGACCGAAGCGATTGTGCCAATCCCGCTGCCGATCCTAACGTCGCAGCACAAAGTACCTGTCGCAAAGGTGCTTATCTTAGCGGCACGATGGGCCACGAGAGGATGATGCAAGTGCTGAAAACAGGATATAAGTTCAAGCACACCTGGACAAGCATACGGCAGAACTCAGAGCTCGAATGGCGCTTTGTAGGGAATTCCAGTGGCTCTGGAAACGAAACCTACGTCAATCTGGTGACATGCTTCTACCTGTCCCTAACTCTCAAGGCGATGGTAGAATTGAGTGCACTGCTTGCCTTTGTCCTTGGGATATCACTAAAGAAGGTTTACCAGACAGTGAATGCGCAAGGCGTGGCCCCTTCGTCAGTAAAATTCGAAGAGGACTGGCATGCCGGCACATCCCTAAGAGCGAAAAACGACGAGCCCGTTCAGTCCATCCAAGTGACAGTTTTTGATTCCGCCTCTTGCTATGCACTGGAACTATCCAACCGAATTGATCAGATAACAACAATCGTAGCTGTAAGTTTTTAAGTTCAGAGAATTTCATTGCATCTTGACCAGAATTGGCTTGTTTTGCGGTAGATACTACTCATGCAGTAATGTATGTGATGAATCTATATACAGCCGTCCCTGACGCGTTTGCCCAATGGAGCGTGTTGGAGATCAGGCCTAACGGACGATGAACCCGAACGGAAAAATGTTCGAGTAGTTGCTTTCTGGAACTCAAGAACCCACACAAAGGCATCACAGCTCAGGCTCCAGCAGGAGCAGGAGCAGGAGCGTGCACAGTCTCGCTGTGACACCAACCACTACTTGATTAGAGCGCTGGCCAAGCTTTGTTGAAGTCTATACGACGGAAAGACGGCCTAACGGTATTGCAAAAGTTTCAGATCGAAGAGGCTCCGCTTACATCGAAGATCTGTACGTCCACGTGCAGTGAATGTCATGAGGTGTTCACACTAAGAGTAGCATGACTCGTGTGTCAACTCAAATTGAAAATGGCAAGGTTAAGTAGAGCAAGCAGCGTGGCATTTGGAACAGAGAAGGAGAAGGTGCGCTATGAAGAGAAATAACGATGAATTGCTTATCCAATATAGATAACGTTACCGCAGGAGTCTGCGTTATGAGATGAACGTAAACTACCAAACCTCTGCCAATCACTCCCAATCCGTCCCCGGCTCTATACCTATAGGACTTGCTCTTCGTCGCCATGTGATCTCGAAGCATCTTACGACAGGATCAGCGTGGCGAATCGAACTCAGCGCCGTCGTGCCGAGTCGTGGGGAAGTTCCACCAGCGCTGGATACAATCGCTGACTTCCGCGAGTGCCTGCTCATGCTCTCCTATTCCTTTCAAAACCCTGATAGACAATGTTAATCGTTTTGGCTTGAGGATTGTTCTGTGTGCTGTAGATTGTGTCTAGACTGTGTCGTAGGACATGATCATGTGTTGTTTTTTAATTTGATATGCTGTTTGTATGTCTGGCATTTTGTTCCCGTCATACCATTCCCGTTTCTTTCATTTGATGAAGCCAACCATGTTCGCGCAACGAGAGCAATAGTATGAGTTGAGGCCGAACCGGACAGCAGTTTTCGATGGGGCAGCGGCATCGATGCTGAGCGTTCTTTGACATCGCGAGCATCTCACAAGATCGAGTGGGATCTTCGGAGAGGCTGAACTGTTGCTTGATGACGAGAGAGTGTTGACGCTATCGTTGCTGCCTTTTTTTGTCCTGGAGCTTATTGGTATTGGTTGAGTAGCACGATTGGCTGATGGAAGGTGGGGGGAATTCATATTGGATGTATCAGGTCTGGTACGTGAACACAATCAATGGTTGTTTATATGTTCGAAGGCAGTACAAAGTTCTTGGTCGTCGATGAATGGCAATGTGAGTCTTCAGAAGTGTAAGAGAGGGTCAATGTGTACAGAGACCGGAAATATTACGCAAGTGTAACCAGTGACAGGTTCAGCCATATATCTTGTCCTTACGATGCACATGGAAGGAGCACCTCGGCGTGCGCGGCTACAGCCAAGTTAGTCGGTCACCTTCTTACGTGGACATCTTGAAGCGTCGTGCACTCCTTGCAAGAGGCAGAGAATGAAGTTCATTGGCTGCTCGCCAGGTCAAAAGTTCGATGCAGAACAGAAAATCGATCCATGGGAAATATGTGAAAGGTCTGGAAACGATGCGACTTCTGATCGCCGATCTGGAAAACCCAACCCTGACTCCACAGCCGTTGATTGGGCATCGGAAATTCGTCGCGCTACTTGCTTGGCACCACCTCGGCTATTGCCTAAACTTCATGAATACCTGAAATTCTTGGAATTCTCTAAAAACAAAACATTAATTTGAAACTGGGCGATAGAGCTTGCCTTGATTGTCTGCAAAGACGATTTGGTCATTGGTTTCTGCTGCTTCTTAGGAACTGAAACCGATGTTCTTCGACCTCAATAGTGGTGCTGACCTGTTCTGCTCAAAGCCCGGAAATGCCAGCTGCCGCATGAGTACTTTTTGCAATGAGCGTGGCTGCATAGTGTGGCTTGGCGAACTTGAATGTGGCTCAACCTGGAACTTCGGATTTACATATCTTTCCCATCCCTGATCCTGCCCAACGACGTGATGAATTCTTGGTGACAGCACTGTTTATTAGATATCAACAATAGGCGTTGACGTTGTCACATCGTTGAATCCATTCAAAGTGTTGCTGCTCATCACTATGTCGAACGTAGAGCAGGCTGAACAGGACGTTTGATCCGCCCACACAGAGGCTCAACGGCTCCTGGTCGCAACCTGTCTACTACCATCCAATCGATTGCATGACTCACGGCAATGCACAAGCCACACTGCGGGTCAATGAGCATGCGTCGACGCAGGGTTATCAGTTGAGCCTCCAATTTCGATTACCAGTATTCCAGCGGGTTGGCTGGCATTAGTTCATCACATCATCGGAAACGCTGGAGTGCATCTCCCGCCAATTAAAGTACCTCGTATTTCACTGCGATCGCCAAGCCGGAACTGCAAGAAGAGAAAGCATTTCCGTCACCGCCTGCAGCACAGACGATTGGATCAAAGCGAACAGCAGCTTCTTCCGTCGCAATTGCAAGCGACATTTCCGTTGCTTGACCAATTTTTCATTGGCTGTTGTCCAAGGAGTTAAGAGTATTGCTGCACATTATATCCTTGTCTCCTACATGAGGTACCTCGGTCGTCGTGTGTTCAAAGCATTGATTGTGTAGACATGGCCAATCATCTTTGCGTAATGACAACTTTAAGACTTCACAAGTGCAGGAACAGCAGCTGATATCGGTGATATTACGTCGGCGGTACTACATCGGTAATAATTGTAGGACCCTGAAGCTCCAGGAGTTATATTTCCGGTATCTGTGGACGTCGCACACAGAAGGAATTGGATACCGACAGCGACCCACGACACAAGAATATGCCAGCAGCAAGTGATCTGGCATACCTCCAATATGAGCATCGAGTTGAGAGTCGCTGACTGCCTCAGAAATAGATAGAGTCGTCAGCTGGATCTTGCAAAGCGTCCACGTTAGCATGCGTAGCAGTCAAGGACTTGTTGCATTAGATGTTATTGTTGAGGTCAAACTAAGTAACACATGCCGCGATCCAGCATCAACCGTGCAACATGCTTTGGGTAAAAATGCTTCATGAACGGCATCATCTTCCAGCACAAAACGTGAATCCCAAAGTTTCTAGGTTACTTGACTCCGTACGCAATATTTGTCCACGCCTTTCCCAACAATATTCACTCAACGCCACGATACCACGTGTCGATATTCAATTATGTAGATGTTTGATCTTCAGAAGACTTGGCAGTGCCTGAGCTCTCAAACTGTGACGAAACGCCGCACAATACCGGCAAGCACGCCACCTAGCGCAGTTGAAGAAGAGCTTGAGCTGCTTGCATCTGTTGGTCCAGCTGCGGAACTGCCGGAGGAGCAACCAGTAAGAAGTTCTATATGTCACAAAAAGTTAGCAACGTCCTTCGACTGTATCGGTTGTCTTCCTCAAGAGCCGACTTACGGCAAGAACTGGTGCTTGTGCTGCTGGTGCTTTGACCGTCTTCTGCGGCGGCAGCACCTGAGCTGCCAGTGTTGATCAAGCCACCGTTTGTTGTTGAAGTGGACGTTGAGCCGGCGGTATTGGTTTGCCTAGCTTCGAGTGCTGACCTGGTTCCGGTTGGCAGAGCAAGAACAGCAGGAGATGCCAGGAGGAGCACAGCGCTGAGCAAGTGAGTGAGCTGCATGTTGGCAGAGAGCGTGTCAATGAACGATTGTTGATATGGTAAGTGTGATTAGCTCGCGACGTGCTGTGGGACTCCTGGCGTTGTTGGTGATCTGCTACCTGAGCACAAAGACTCGACCCAGGGCGACAACTTATAGATACAAGTGAAGTGTATGGAGACTTGCCACTTCCACTTCTCGGCAGACAGCTTCGATACTGACTGCGCAGATGCATGTCATACATTTCCTGTGTAGGTACGCTGTGCGAGGTACAAGTGACGATGGCAAGGCGACGTGGTTTGTCTTTACGTGGAGCGAAGTTTTGACTGAACAGCACGACTGTACCACAAACCGCTTCCGCTGCTTTGGCAGTACTTACGGAGGGAACCCGGCCAAAGGGTATTGTCCAGGAACACGAATGGGAAACTTCTGTGAGTAGCTTGGCAGTTGATAATAGTTTTGTCAGGGATTTCTCCGTTTCCATACACAATTGGACTGTGACAACCACTGCTATCTGTCTTGACGATCTCGTAGGTACAGAAAGTCTGTTCGGGGTATCCAGGCTGATCCTTTCCTTCACCAAACGGAAGGTTCAGGTGTGAGTGACCTCATTGACTGCTGAACGGCTCGGTGAACGAGATGTTCATTGAGAGCCACCACACGGGATATAAGCAACCTCGTGGTCGAAAGTCCTAGGTAATGATGAAGCTTGTGGTACAAGCAAGATATCGCATCCCGGAGTACACCATCAGAACATCAATTGAGGAAGGGTCAAGCACAAAAAGGCCAGTGACGAACACTGTTTTGTTTGAGGCCGCCGCGGAGGTACTTGGGGAGCTTAAAAGAGTTAAACTGAGAAGGTTATTTATTAACTTTCCGCAATGCCGTATCCGCAGATCTGGGGGTGTCCGTCTCACCGCTCATGCTTGTCATCTTGTCGGTAAAGAGCCGATTAGTAAGGTTGAGCTTTGAACGTGTGTGCTCGAAGGTAGACGGGGCGGCGCTCGCCTGCATCCATAGTAATGTGAAGTCGGATCAAGCACGAAAGTGTAGGTGAAGGTCAGTGAATCTTTATCGAGCGTATGTACAAACTTGCCGCAAGAAGCCCGAGTGTCATGCTAACTCATGGCAACATATATGAGATGTGCTTATCAATTTGGGCTGTAGCGGGGCTTTTTAATTCGCGAGCAATTATGTCATGCTCGACTTCTTCGAGTTCCTGTTGTACCTGAGGATTACAGACAAAATCACAGCCCCTCTATCACACCAGCCTCGAAAGATTTGCTTGCACAAGAATTGAGACAAAATTGCCCGACTTTACTACCCCAAGTCTGCTTTTGTACGAATATATCGAACGATGTCAAAACAGCCACATCTTTACAGCGATTCGAGTAGCGACGAGGTCGCGGCTAGACTACGTAAATACGTCCTGCAGGCTCAGAAATCAGCCTTTGCACGACATCAGAAGTTCCAAATTGCTGTATCAGGAGGTTCGCTACCCGCGACCTTATCGAAAGCCCTGCTCTCTCCAGACAATGGAACGCTAGACGACAAGCCACAATTCTCCAAATGGGAGATATTCTTCGCAGATGAACGTGCCGTACCTCTTGACCACGAAGACTCGAATTATGGACTGTTGAAGAAAGACCTCTTGGACAAAATACCGCCTAGTACAGGATCACCTCAAGTCTTCCCAATAGACGTGGAGGTGCTAGACAATACTCAAGAAATTGCTGATCGGTACCAGAAGGTCTTGAGCGACCAATTCGCAGGCAAGGACTCCGTAAGATTGCCTCTGTTCGATCTGATCTTGCTTGGATGTGGTCCTGATGGTCATACCTGTTCTCTATTTCCGGGACACGAGCTTTTGCGCAAAACAGATTCGTGGACTGCCGCGATCGAAGACTCACCCAAGCCTCCTAAGCGCAGAATAACTCTTACCTTGCCAGTAGTGACACACGCAGACCAGATTGCGTTCGTCGCGACCGGAGGTGGCAAGAAAGATATACTCAAAAAGATTCTTGATAGTGAAGACGGCCGAAGCCTACCTTGTGGTTTGGTCAACGAACAAGGTGGAGACAAAGTCAGTTGGTTTACTGATAGTGCTGCTACAGAAGGCGTGAGCTTTCCACAGAAGGGAAGCCTGTGATACGAATGACCTTGGATCAACGAGAGGGTGTCGCACTTATAGAGATTTCTGTTCTACGAAAGGGGAAGTACTTTGGTGTCGTGGGCTGGCAAGCGGCTCATAGTCCTGCACTGGTTAACAGAAGGTTCAATTGGACACTGTACAAGTGATAATGTAAAGGAAGCTACGTGAAAGATAAATATTGTCGTGTTCTATTCCCGGAATTGAACAGAATAGTGCAGCTTCTAGTGAACCTCCTGTGCTTGGAGCAAACAGGGCAAACACAGAGCTTCTTCCGAAAGGAGCTAGCCTACAGCTCGACCCGACGTCGTCGCCAGACAGTATAGCAGGCACTGCCGCCGCTGAATCACAACTGCAGCACCCACAAACATGTCGCTAGCCTCGAGAGGAACGAGAGCTGCAGCTCGTTCTCTCAGACAGACACGAATACCTAGCCAACCTCGAAGATATGCCTCCGACAGCCACGGTCACGGTCAAGGTGCGCACGGTCATGAGGAGAGTGCGCTTCATTTAAAGCATGCCAACCCTTCTGGCAATGAGAGCATGGGGGTACGATATCCTACATGGTGTGCGCTCTATCTTTATACTGACCGCAGTTAGCTCGGAATGTGGATGACGCTGGCAACTATCCCTCTATTCTACGTTACCTACCAACTCGCATATGGCTCACCCAACAACTACTTCGAACGGTTGTTTCAACAATATAAAGAAGGCAAAAAGTCGACGGAAGATAGAGATATCCTACACGCGACAGCATTGAGTCAAGCTATTGCGGACCGAGCAAGATTATCGTCGTATCCCAGAGAATCTGTAGGACCAGATCTCAAGTACCCAGAGTAAGTTGGATGCGATAGGCAAGGAGTGTGGCCAACTGACATTGCCAGGATGTTCAACGCTGGGTCGCCTTGGAACCAGCTGCCTGGAGAGAGCTCTGCCAACTTGAAGAAGCTGGAAGAGCATTATAGACAAAAGTACGCAAACGAGGAGGCTGAGAGGTTATCCAGGACGAAGAACGGAAAGGTCGTCTCGGTGTATGATTAAGGCATTGTCTATAAAGAGGTATTTTGGTATACTGGAAAAACAGTATGTATTGCTGTGCAGGAGGAATGATCTTTGTATACAGCCTGTCTGCACACCTCGATAGATCCTGGTCCGAAGTGCTACGTGAGTCGATACTTTTGCAGGAATCACTACCAGCCTCGCTGTTGGTCTTCAGATAAAAAAAGACATCAACCACCCAGGACTTGAAGCTGTATGATTGTACACCAACCACTCCTTCGATCGTCAGCTACTGCATCGTGCAAGTTCACACGTCCAAATTCATCAAATGTATACTCAATAATGCAGATAGTATTTGCCGTCCTCCAATGTCCTTGGTATTTGATGACTTGCATTGATCGTGAAAAGTGCGGATCTTTCCGCCGCTTACCAGTTAGGTCTGGATTTCTGCCATTGAGTGTGGCTGTGCCAGAAATCAAAGAATGAGAAGAATTTGAGCTGTGCACAACATCGTAACACAAAAAAGTACATGACAGTGACTGACACGATATCGTAATGGACGACGATAGACAGGACGATTAGTAAGTCGACCTTGTCGGATCCAACCACCAGCCATCTTTCGGCCTCTTCCTGACCTTCAAATAGCTCGACCCCGAGGCGGAAACACCGACCTGGTCTGACACGCATCGCAGCAGCTTGCGAAAGATGTCGTCGTCGCAAGCAAAAATGTGATCAAAAAGATCCATGCGGACCTTGTGAAGCCGCTGGCGTCAAATGTGTCTTGTCTGAAAGACTGACCGTCGTCTCTGGTTCAGTCCAGGTGGATGAAGAAGCATTGCGAGATGAGATACGCCATCTACGAGCACAGGTCACCGACCTGAACCGGCAGCTTGTTGAGGAGCGGCAGAACAGCATCACACGCATGGTAGGTCAGAGCATCGACCAACAGCTATCGCCACCAACTTCGGCCCATCGTTCAATTATATTCAATCCTACCTCTCCAGAGGCACGACGCGATCAGGGTTATTATCCAAATTACACGGGTCGCATCCTGCGGCCTACTTTTGGTGGTGCTCACCAGAACCGTGTGGATGCAGGCGACAAAAGTAGTGCCTGGACTTTGTGGAAAGATGATCATTCTGCAGAAACCCCTACAGATCATGCTAGTGCTGACAGCATTTCTCTCTATGAGGATCATGGCTTGGCCCTAATTGACATCTTTTTTGACCAACGTTGGCCTCATCTCCCTATCCTGCACAAACCGACTTTCTTGCGGGATAAATTCGAGCCGTTCGCCAGAGGGCAGGACATCCCAGGCATAGCTCGATTTCAGCTGTATATGGTCTTCGCTATAGCTGCACTTGAGCACGGCAGAATCAAGGGCAAAAAGTTGTACAACCACCGAGACCTCTTTGACGTAGCTGTACGTGATCTGACGAGTGTTCTACTCTCTGATGACCTTGCTTGCATTACTTCGCTCATGCTACTACTGATGTATGGACGTACCGAACCTCAGTCAGTCAATATGTGGCACACCACTGGTCTTGCATTACGCACTGCTATCGGCATGGATTTACATCGAGCTGAAAGCATTCGTCATATGGAATTGAAGGAGGCTGAAATGTCCAAGAGGATATTCTGGAGCATATATGCTTATGATCGCAGCATTGCAATTTATCTGGGCCGACCCTTGGGTATACAGGATGCGGACATCAACATGCCTTATCCCTTGCAATTGACCGACAACGACCTCGAAACTCAGACTCTGCAGACGGTAGTGCCGAGGGTAAGGACGGATGTCAGAGACATGTCAACATTCAACCATCTGATCAACTTGCGCAAGATCAACTCTGAAATCTACAGAACGTTTCACTCGATCAGTAATAGCAGCTTGCTAGGACCGGCTGACTTGGACGTCGTTCGTCAAGACTTGTACTCACAGCTTAATGACTGGTTGATTACTGCGCCAAGGTACCCGATGAGCTCTTCCATGTTCCAATCTCCTGAATGGTTTCAGACCGCCTATCATCTCGCGGTTATTGCGCTCAACAGACCATCCTTTGCACAGCCACAACCGTCAATTGAATCTCTCCAGCTATGTGCCGACTCTTCAATAAGCCTGATCAGTTGTTATGGATCACTGTACGCTAAGAACAAAGTCAGCTATTCCTTCGTGGCTTTATCAGCAATCTTCATGGCAACTGTGACGATGCTTTACTCTCTCAGAGCTAGTCCGCAAGTGCGCAAAGATCTCACACGACAAGTCATCGAGACCAATATTAACAGCAGCTTGTCACTTTTGCGTGGTATCTCATCTGGTCGTGAAGTTGCTGAAAGAGCTGCTCGAGTCATACAAGTGCTTGGCAATGCTGTACTATCCTTGTTCGACAACGAAGGCTACGCAGCGCCTGATCTAAACAGCAATGCAAACGACAAACGCAACGTGGACAAGGAATTCCTTTCTTGGTTCGGACTGAAGTCCAGAATGGTCAAGAACGCGGCTGTAGCAGATGTGATGCCTCAGCAGACTCAATGGACTGGACAGGAACTGAGCTCCGATCCAACTCCTGACACTCCGTTGGCAACGTTGAGTGTTGATATGGCTTGGGAAGACCTATTTGCGCAAGGTTTTGGGATGGAGAATTCGGCTGGCATAGACTTCTTTCCTCATTCTGGTTTCTAAAGAGATGAATTAACCTGTATTGTTACACATATTGTTTCCTGAAATCAGTCACTACGCCGCGAGCATCTTTCCCAGACATCAACTATTGCTCGGCGGCTTCCAATTCTCGCCTGAATATCAGCCGGTCTGAAGCCGACGTTCGCCGTACTTCAATGGGTTATCATCCCTGCCAAGCATGCATTCATGGTCTGCTCTCCGAATGCATCGGAGGATTATTAGACCAAACAAGAACTGACCAAAACCCAATCAAGAACCAACTAAGAATAACAGTAACCAAGATCAGTGGGAGAAATGGTAGATCAATCACTTACTAGTACGAAGATCAGCTAGCTCATCCCACGTTAACTGAACCCCGAACTTCCTGCCCCGGCGGAAAGTTTGGAACCCACCTATCTTCTCCCCGCAGAAACATGACAATGTGGCGTCAGGTCTTGTGTTGCTTCGACATGCTTGCCTTCTTGGCCCACTAGGGCTTGGCTGTTTCCGTGGTATGCTTTGTCGTCTTATCACAGTATAACCTTCCAACCTCTCTACGTACTGTACTTCTTCTGCTGACTTGTGACTCTATTCGCATCATACGAAGACTCAAAGTTTGTCGGCGCAAGGTCACAAAAACGACATAGCAAGGAACACCCAGTCAAGCACTCTGGGATGGCTCATCCTCCCAAGCATGAGATGCTCGACTCAAAGGATGTCGATTACCCCGAACACGATGAGTCTCCCTCAGAGATCGCCGTGGCTCTCGCGGCGGGAGCAAAGGGTCATACAAAGTCAGCAGATGTCGCTATGAAACTGTTTGAGAATCACGACTTCAATATGCAGGTCGACCCAGTTGAGCAGAAGCAAATTGTCAGGAAAATTGATTGGTTCATCATACCTTTGATTGCGGTCAATTGTAAGAGTGAAACCTTCATTTGTATCTGGGTCTTTCACTGATTGCATGCAGACGTCTTCTTCTATATTGATAAGACGACATTGTCATATGCAGCACTTTATGGCATAAGGGAGGACCTTAACTTGTCTGGTGGTGAATATAGGTAAGTTCGTGAGCCGGCAGATATTCGGTAGATGGGTCACAGAAAGCATTGTTAACCATGAGCAGCTGGTTGTCGTCCATCTTCTACTGTGAGTATTCAAAGTGATCACTGGCGTCCTCCGCAGGAAGCAAGCAACCATGAGTCACGTCATCGTCAAGTCCGCAGCTAATGAACGAAACACCAGTTGGCTTCATCAGTTTCGCTTTTCCTACCAACTTTCTTATGCAGAAATTCCCCCTCGGCAAATACCTTGGCTTCAACATCATAGTCTGGGGCGTTTTCCTGATGCTGCAAGCGGCATGTTCGTCTTTCGCGACTCTCGCTGTGATGAGGTTCCTGTCGGGTGCGGCGGAAGCATGTGCCGATCCGGCATTTATGCTTATCACCCAGATGTGGTATACTAGACGTCAGCAACCTTTGAGAATTGGTTTGTGGTACTTAGGTGAGTAATAGTCGGACGGATCATACCGAGGCCTGCTTCTTCGCTCGAGCAAGCTGACGTGGTATTTAGGAAATGGTTGTAAGTAATTTTCACCCCGCCAGCAGATGTCCACCATGGGCACAAGGCTGGCCCAGACAGAGCTACAAGCTAATAACCCCCCCGTCGGAATTGCGATTGGAGGCGTTCTGGGATACGGCATAGGACACATCCAGGGAGCACTCCCATCATGGAGATATGAGTTCATTATCATCGGAGCACTCTGTACAGCTTGGGGAATTGTCATAATGATACTCATGCCGGACAGCCCTGTGACCGCGAAGTTTCTGACCAACCACCAGAAGCGTATCACTGTCATTCGTCTCAAGGACAATCAAACAGGTGTGGAAAATAAGACATTCAAACCCTATCAGGTGTGGGAGGCCTTAAAAGATCCAAAACTATACCTCTTCTACGTCCTAGGAACAGTGTGCAACTTGCCAAATGGCGGCATATCGAACTTCGGTAAGCCTGGTTGAAAGAAAACCAGGAAGGACACCAGTTGACAATCTTTGATAGGCACGCTCATCGTCCGAGGCATTTTCCAAGACAAACTCCTAGCAGCAGTTATGCAAGCTCCCTATGGCGCCTTCATCGCCCTTTCCATTGGTCTCTGCGTCTACCTCAACGACCGATTCCCGAACAACAATCGATGCAAATTCGTCCTCATATTTCTAGTTCCCAACATCGTCGGGGCCTTCGGTTTACGATTCGTCGATTCATCTCATCATGCAGGCAGATATATCTGCTACCTCCTTACGGGACCTTACAACGCTGCATTTGTCCTTATCCTATCTCTACAGATCGCCAACGTGGCTGGACATTCGAAAAAAGTTTTTTTCAATGCAGTACTGTTTCTGGGATACTGCACGGGCAATATCGCCGGTCCATTCTTCTACCTCTCAAGCCAAGCGCCAAGATATGAGCTGGGTATTTGGAGTATGATCGTGAGTCACCTCCTTGAAGTCGTGGTGATCTGCCTTTTGTGGTTTATGTTAAAGAAGGAAAACACGCGACGTGACAAGCTACAGGGCCACGAGGGACTTACGGCAGAGCAAATCCTGGAGAAGAGGAGGACGGAAGGGTACGACAGGACTGCCTTTGAGGATTTGACGGACAGGGAGAACTTGAATTTCAGGTATATCTACTGAGAAGAGTATAGCAGGAGTAATACATCGTGATATGGACGCTACTAGCTTCCGGGAATACTGGATCGCTTTTCTGGAACGTGTGTATGTTTGTTCCATGACCAAGCAACTCGTTACACCTTCCTGATGCGACGCTAGGTGGTCACAACAGGCTCTGACCCCTATAATCAGTACCGAAGCTCTCGTTCCTTCAGAGTGGAATACTTACTGTTATATTAGGCAGGTGTGACGAGGTCTATATCTAAAACGAATACCGTTTAAAGTCGTGTGACTGAACGTCAATATCACCAGGCATGGGAAAGTCGGCAAATGACAACCGCTCGCTCTAGTGTGATTTGTAGCTAAGATAGACCGTAAACGTAACCGTCCACTACTACAGGAGATGGCGAATGACAGGCTACAGCTTACCGGTATCGCCACAAGTGGAGAAGGCAATTGTTCTGAGATGTACCACCGTAGAACAACATCCTATCGGAGGTGCAGTTACGGGCACAACGGAAAGGCTGGTGAGACCTTGCCACGAACTGCTTTCGCGCATATAACAACCAGATCATAGCTGTTCTGCACCTCTGCTTGATGACTGCTTTTCAGCTTGACAACGAAACTACGTCCTGAGCACGAACGGCAAAAGTTTTGCTGCCCGGCGGACTATCTACTGCATCCGAAGCAATCTCGACAGCCAATACATCTGCTCGCGTAGGGTCGCGTTATGTAAGTGCTGCATGTAATTGCTGCCGAAAGCGCAAAGCGAAGGTATTGTTGTCTCAAAAAATATACTATACTTTGCCTAAAACTTCTGGTGCGACGGGCAGCATCCATGTTCTGCCTGTCTCAAGCGAAACGAACAATGCGAATACAGCAGAAACGATCTCCGCCGTCGTGGAAGTTTAGAGCGTAAAGTTGAAGATCTCGAAAATGATAGCGAGCTTCTTCACGACCTTATCGACACCGTGCGACATAGCACTGATGAACAAATCTTGCAACTGACCTCACTCGTCCGAAGCAATGCCACCTTTACGGAAATCAGGCAGTGTGTTAAACAGCAGATGATTGACTTGCACGTCAGTAGGCGCCAAGCCAGCCCCGATTTTGTATGGCTTCGAGACAAGATCGAGGATCAAGCACATCGATGTAGGTCTCGAGATGCATTGAGCATCGCTCGACTCACAGATGATCCTCCATACTGTGGAACTGCTTCTCCTTGGACCACCGTTACCGACGATGATATTCTAGTCTCAAATCTCGTGTCGGTCCTTTTCACTTGGGAAGGAACATTTTACAATTGGATTGATGCCGAGCTTTTCCTGAATGACATGCAGAAGGGCCATGGCCACTACTGTTCGTCATTTTTGGTCAACACCGTACTCGCCGTTGCCTGTGCATACTCTGACTATCCTGAAGCAAGGACAAGACACGGGAAGCCATCCTCACTCATGCTGGCGTTTATTGCAGAAGCTGAGGGCCTCATGCAAGAGAGCTAGCTTTATCAAGAATAGCGACTAAAGTGGGGGAGTGCACTCCAGGTGTGGAACTCGTCTTAAAGTTCCAGGTTTTGATGGTAGCACAAATGGACTTTTTAATTCAATAGGTCGGGGTAAGGGCAACAGATCCCATGATAGTCTGTAGATCCACTTACCGATCATCCAGGTTACTACAACTGTTGTAAACGACGTATTGTTTACGATCGAACAGAGCTAGCATGTCTCAAATGTGCCAAGAAAGGCCTCGACTGTCAGGGTCCAGTCCGGCACTAATACAGTGAAACATGTACTCTACATTGCTCTCATGAGCTGATCGATATCCCTAATCTGCACGCTCCTTTACAGGCCAAGGTACGCTTCACCCGATTTGACTGATGACGTCAGGACGAGCCCCGGAAAACTTATCCGCCACATGCTGGATTCTAATTAGCGTGATCGCTGTCGGCTAGTGGCGCTTACATCTTAGTTTACCGAGCCTCGTCCTGCCGATAGTTATCTTTCGTTGTCCGTTCCGGATCATGTGGTTGTCCAATCACGTGGCCTGCGAGGCTTTCGGGACAAGGGTGCACTTGTTCAGAGCCGATTCACAGGGCTAGAACATGTGAATGGCAAACTTCAGATGTAGATCCCTTTGAGGGAAAGGGTTTTTTTCCGGCAATTTCTCCTCAGTGTATGGACATCTACGTACACAGTTATAATATTGTCCTTATGAGCTCACCTTCGACCTTTTGATAATCTAACAACAGTGCAGTGTAGTAAGCCAAAAATACTCTCAGCCGGCGAGCAAGATGGTTGTCGTTTCACCAGTTTATAGAACGAAGCTGGCAACCAACGTCATTACGTCGAACCTTTGTCGAAGACGAAAACATTCCTCTGTTGCTTGCGAAGGCTGCCGCAGGAGAAAGTCGAAGGTGGGGGATATTTGGGCTTCGTGAATGATGCCTACTAATGATCTTAGTGCGATGGCCAAAGGCCTAGTTGTACTTCCTGTGTGAAGGCTGCATGCCAGTGCTCTTATACTACCAACGACAAAAGGACTGCAAAGGCAAGAATGCAAGAAGTAGAACGTCTCTCGAAGACAATCCGAGACTTCGAAGATGTTCTAGGGACACTAAGATCTGGCACCGAGGCTCAGGCATTAGACGCCCTCTTAGCCCTCCGCTCAGATAACAAGGCTACTGCCACTGTAGCTGCCAGTAGCACGAAATCCACACCACACGAAAGCTTTAACACAACCGGTACCGCTCTACGGTGGGTGTGTGATACGACGGATCCTTTCGGCAATGTGCTGATACCTCCACGAGAACTTGTTGAACACGGCATAACATCTTTCTTGGACGGCTCTGCTGTACTGTTCGATTACTTTGCCGAGGAGGAGGTATCGAAACTTCTTGCTGATGCCTATCCTGGCAATTCAAAGCCTACTTCGACAGTGGCCTTGTGTCAATTATGCGCAATGGCTGCAGTGGGATGCCAATACTTCCCTGGCCGCTACAACGAGGTGACCAAGAGAACATTATTGGCAGCTGTAAAGCTCAATATAGAGGAGTGTATTGAAGAGGCTCCACTCTCTGCCATGCGACTTATGGCCCTTCTGTGCATGTACTTCACTTTCGAGAAACGAACAAGCGCGCTCCTGTACGCCGCTATGGGATTGAAGATTGCACGAATACACCAGAATGACATTCTTGTCTATGAAGGGGATCCGACGCCCTGGAGACGAACACTATCCAGTCTTGTATTTTTAAGTTGCTGGCTTTGCGGAACAACCGGCTACTTGCCGGATCCGCAGAACGATGAACTATACAACGCTGTTCTTACAGATAGCAGCAGACCCTGCTCTATCGCCGATGACGTTCAACTCCAAATTGTCAAGATCTCTGTTTTGAGCTGTAAGATCTTGAAGGATGCATACCATGCACGATCTATCTCAATTACCACGGTATTGAATTATAAAGACAAACTACAGGACTGGCTCTTCAGTCTGCCAGAGTACATGAGGCTTGATTCCCTGCTCGGCACGGATGAGAAAGCTCAACGCTTACGACCAATATTTTCAATCCATCTACTATACATGAGCGCGTTCATCCTTATCTATAGAAAGCTGCTTACCCAATTCGCTACCTCTGACCAGATATTGTATCAACCCGAGTTTTTTCATACGGTACAATCACACCTCGAACCATGTATCTGGTCTTGCAGACAAGCTGCTAAGCTTCTGGACCTAGCACATTCAGAAGGAGTCGTCCTCCGAACATGCTGGTTGTTCATCTATTGCACATACTGTACGTGCAACGTCCTACTGTACTTTACCGCGAACCAACTTCTATACACGGACAATGTGGATGAGGTAGCACAGGATCTCGAAGCTGCAAAGAAATGCATCGAAGTACTTGAATACTGCAGTAAGTACGATGAAGCAGCCCGACGATATCTAGGGAGCATATCCTTAATATACAGGGACCTAGCACAAGTTTTCGATTGGAAGTATGCGCCAGCCTCGGAACCGCGGTACTATAACCCAAGCGACAATAACGAAGGCCTACAGCACTTGGTTGCGGTGACAGTCGACCTTCTCCTTCACCCGTTCGATGGTGGCACCAGGAAGTTAGTGCGATCCGTGGATGAGGCTATGGCTCATCTACCTGAACCATTTCAGCATGTGTCACCAACCAATTTTGGCAGTTCACATAAGGCCAGTGAAATCATCTCCACTGTGTCTAAGGATGGACTGCAACATTACTTATTGAATGATCCGATTGGAACCAATGGGTTTACTAAGAGCTATAATGCGGGAAGATGACAAGCGTGCATGCAATTCAGTCTGCACGGCCTCCATATATGGTCACAGCTGTTAGAGCGGGATACGCACCCGCTAATTGGTTGTCCGCCTCTGCTCCAGATTGGCTGCCGACCGGCCACAAATGATCGTTCTTAGAGTCGCTCAAGGAATTCGTCTCCGAAAGTGGAAAGACAGTGTGTCAAGTCAGCTCGGAAAAGCTCAAGCACTGCTGCAATGCTTCTTCTCTGCTCAACACAACAGCCATCGCCCGAAGCGGTCATGACTCCAGAAGAAATTACCTGGGAATACATGCACATCTTTAAAAGATTAATGAAAACTTACCCGCCAAACGCGCTCTGTGGGTATGGGTCACTCTCACTGCACTATACATGCATTCTAGTACGGACGTTCTTTCTGCCAGATATTAATCTCAGGCGTCTACTAAGAGAAGTATCGAGTTCGCTCGCACAACGAAATCGTTCCTCTACTAGACCAAGCTTTCATCTTTTCCCGTTTTACGGCGATCCGTTGAGGAAGAGTCATCATGTGCATAGTCAGGGTATCAACAAGCAGCATCCTCCTGAAGGATTATTAATGAGACCAGAAGCCTACGGATTTAAAACGCTCTGACCACTGCTCGTGGGCAGTGCCAAAAGGGCTCAACAAACCAACTACAAATGCTGGGTACCTTTGCCTTTCGTCTCTTGCAGCCTCAACAGGCGTTAGTCACGCGCCGTGGATGTGGGTCTGTAGTTGTAGAAGCGCCCGAGGTGAAGCTTGTGCCACCAGTGATAGCGTTCTGCATGCGCCCTTCTTACGCCTTAAAACACCATGGAGGGCAGCTCGGCTAACCTGCTCACCCGGTAGACCAAAGCGGCATCGCCGAGAAGATTGAAATCTATCCTGTGCCTTCTGTTCTAGGATAGTTTGTCAGTTCTGTTCGGCAATAAAATCTGATTGATTTGCATCGTTAGAGGCCTAGTCCGAACAGTGCCGCAAATGTTTTCGGGATCGCGAACGCCGCAGTGCAGACGATGGCTGATGTGAAGGATACGATGAAGGTGGTATTACTTTTACGACTTAAGGTCGTGCGAATAAGAGATATCTACCGGCACCCGCCTCGGGGTCCGCTCCAAGCATTAAAGAGCGATAGGCTGCTTAATAACCGTTACTATACTAGTACTGAATAATAATAAAAAAAGATTGTCGTAGACAAAGGTGATTATTTTGACAAGGTGCGGAGTTACGTAATTATACCCGCACAGCTTCCAAATCCTCCCTCAATTCCACCATCAAATCCTCCAAAGCCTTGTCGCCAAACATATCTTCCGGTGCAAACATGCCAACTGCCAGCATACCATCTGCGTCTATCTTCGCTTCCACATCCAAAGCCGGACGACACCACTCAACACCCTCTCCAACCTCGACAGTTCCACCTATCAGTGGCGATGCACCGGGTGTAACCGCAATGCTCTTTGCCTGTTCTCTTGCTTCACCACTAGCGTGCTGGATTCTAACTACATCCTCGTCTTTACCAGCCTCATGTGTCTCACCTTCGTGGTTTGTGTTCTCGGGCAGCTTTATGAAATTGACATAGCAATCTACCTCAACCCCAGTCCAGGCATGCAAATCCCGCATATTCACTCCACAATGCTCGGCTAGTGAGATCTCCATCATATCTCCTTGGAGCTTGTGAGCAGATACCAACAAGGGTGAACCCTTTGAGACATCAACCCGTACAGGGAGAATATTGAAGGTAGGTTGCACAAGCTCAGTGATGCGCTCAATGTCCAGCGATCGATTGGCGAAGTAGACTCCCAGTGTTATGGTCGGAGATGCCTGACCCTCCGCCTGATGTCGACGGCGAGCACGTACTCGTGCAATGGCTGCGAAGAAGATTGACTGTATGCTTAGTCCTGTCTTGCGCCCAACTTCAGCTAGCATTGTTGTCGATAGTAGATCTGGAAAGAAGCGACTGCTACGATCGACGGTGAAGCTGCTTTTCCTCGTCTTTCTTTCGCTTGCGTGATTGCCGTCAAGATAATTCATCCAGAACTCGCGGGCCTGTGCTTGTGCTGCCTTTGACATTGTAGTGGTCAGAAATGGTTCAATATTGGTTGCAAGCTCGATTGACGAGTCTTTGTTCCGACACAACTTCTCTAATGCTTGAAGCATCACCTCAAGGCTGACGGCGTCGTAGATTGCGTGATGAATTTGTAAAGACACCAATAAGCCTCTGCCGTTCTGCATGATTTCATACTGTAGTGGTCCCGTCTCTTTGGAGCTTGTCTTGAACACAACTTGATAGTACTTGTTGCCAGATTCGATAAATCTGGTACGCAGAGCAGGAGTCTTGCCAATGAGCATTTGAAAAGCCGCCCTGAACATAATTTCCGAGCAGTTTCGGACATCCAACCAGAAGGTTGCGTAGAATAGCCGACCTTTGCTTGCACGCCACATGTCTAGCATGTATACGTGTCCTGCTGTCGCTGGCAGGACAGTCTCAACGTGCTGCGGACTTACATCTGCAAGGTCAAGTGAGTGGTTGATTGTTGCAAGCAAGTTTTCTTCTAATTGTAATGACCTGCTAACCTGCTCTCGATCTTTGATAACTTGATTTGGGAGTTCTGCTGACGCAGCCGCTGCAATCTTCGCAGCACTTTGACCTTTTAGAACGATGCTGACTGGTACTCGCAGACCGACTTCGCGCAAGGACTTGGCAATCTTGATTGCACTGATGCTGTCCAAACCTAGCTCGAATAGAGTGGTATGCTTGGATATCTCTTCCTGAGGAACATTTGACACCTGCGAGAAGACGTTGCGGACTGTTTCCTCCATGGGCGTCCACTGTGAATTTTGTACTTCCTGCTGCTCAGATTGACGATCGCCGATGGGCTGCATGTGCTCTTCTTGCTTCACAAACTCTGTTCGAGGTAGTCCGCAAATAGAAATCTCGTTTCTGTAGTGATCGAAAACTGGTTCGGAGTCGTTGTGAATAAGGAAGTCGAGCACTTTATCGAGCTTGTCAAGGAGTTCTTCCACACCTGAACTAGCCATGACACCAGCTTGAGTAGCAACAGTCCATACGAGACCTTCGTTCTTCTCCTCCATCTCCACATTGATCGCATATGGAGGTGAGAGTTCACCATCGTCCAAGTCAACTTCCTCGAAAATTGGCTGATCGTCCGCTTCTCGGCGTGGCTTCTTCTGAAACGTGAACAGTGTGTTGAAGAGCTCAGCGCCACCAGTTCTTGCAAGTGTCAAAGCATTCGTCAAAGGAAACTGCTGATACTCGTAGATTTGCACGCTCATATTGTGGATGCTCTTTAGAAGGTCCGAGGCTGTACACCGCAGGTCGATCTGTGGTCTATAGATGACTGTGTTGAAGACAGGGAATACGAGGTTTTCTGTCTCTTCAGACATTCGACCGGAAACCACTAGCCCAAAGCTGACATCTCTCTGTTTGCTGAGGTGACTCAGGGTCAGGGCCCATACAGCGAGGCCAAGAGACTGGAGTGTAATACCATGCTTTCGACAGACAGCGTGGAGCTGTAAGGGTTTGATACTCGACGTCTTGTGTCTCAACGTGGCTGAACAGTCGCCTACTGTATTTTGAACCAGACAAGCCTGAACATTATGCAGATGTGCAGACCAGAATCGTGTAGCCGCTTCACTTACGCTATTTTCTTTGATCGCATTAACATGCATTGCTATCGTGCCAACTTCCATGGGACCAGGATACTGTGCTTGATATGATTGTTGGATATGATTGAGTAATAGGTGCAATGACCATGCATCATAGTGAGCATGCGAAAGTGCCAGTATGAAGTATATTCTACCGTCGTCTAGAGTAGCCACTTGCAGCTGAGGTTGAGAATTGATTAAACCAGCGTTCTTTCTCAATGAATGTATGTGTTCTTTCAGTGCCTCATGGTTTCTCAGAGAGAAGGTCAGCTGGGACTTTCGCCCACCACTTTGAGCTTTAGTAATCAATTGTAGGAAGGATACTTTCTCGACTGGCTCTGCAAGCATTACGAATTTGGTCCTCAGGATTGGCAAGTTTTGGTAGGATCGGTGAACTGCCTCGACGAAGGGTCTCAGGTCTGTCTGTGCACTCAACTTCCAAACCATGACATTGAAATACCGTTCATAATCAAGCAGTAAGCCTTCCTGCATCGAAGTTGTGGGTAATGTCGTCTCAATACCCTCGAGGTGGACACCCTGGTCTTTCAATAAGCTGTACCACTTCGCGTCATCGTGAACGCCATTTATAGGTGCTTGATCATGGATCACGATGGACTGTTCGGCCATGCCTGCTATTGTCGGATGCCGTAAAATTTTGCTCACAGGTAAAGCAAGACCTCGTCGTTTGAGCCTTGTGGTCAGCTTGAGGGCATCAATGCTGTCTAATCCAATTTCGAAGATTGTGGGCTGCTTACTGCCAATAGCTGACTCGTCGATGCTAGCAAGTCGTGAGATCTCGGACCTAATGATACTTATTGCTATTGACTCGTTCTCGTGGTCATCCTCACTGGCCTCTCTGTGTTGAGAGTGAGTAGGCTGGTGCAATCTGATGACATCTTTGTCCTCAGAGAAAGCTGTTGGTAGTGAAGTTTCACTCGCTTTAGATATCGTCTGTAGTGTTGTGGTGAAAAGTTCAAGAAGGGTAGAGATTGATTGCTTCTGCAAAGAAGGACTAGATGCCACGATGACTATGCTGTACTGGTTCTCTAAGACTTCCTCAATTTCGATGTTGAGGGGATAGTCGGCAATGTTTTCGGATCGCTCCTCACTCCATGGCCATTTCGTCGTGTCGCGTCCTGTGTCTCGTAGCCCCTGATAGACAAACAAGGAGTTGAACAACTCTTGCGTTGTGTTCATGGCCAGCCATTTCCTGATATTGCTAAGAGGAGTATGTTGAAATGGCAGAACATCGACATTCTTTTGATAACATGTCCTGATGAGATCTGCCAGCGAGGAACCCTCTCCGGTAACAGTGACGCTAAAAGGCAGAGTGTTGAACATTGGGAATATGAACTCATCTGCGCCTTCAAGGTCAATAGAACGACCTGACAACACAATACCAATTGTGGGATTGACATCGAAGAACTTTGCTAAAGTAAAGAGCCATGCAGCTTGAAAGATAGCTTGAGAAGTGACAGCTATAGCCCTTCCCTGCTGACGTATAATTTTCAGGCTGAGCTTTTTCCGTACGGTATGCGACACTGAGGTGTCCAACCACTCATCATCTTGTAGTGGAAGTAATCTGACGTGAGGAAGTGTCTTTCGCCAAAAGTCGGGAGCTTGTTTTAGTGACAGTAGAGGGCCGAACGAAAGAGCCTTATGTAATGAAGGTTGTTTCAAACTCGCACTGAATTGCTGGTAGACACGATTGAGTTGATCGAGCATAAGAGGCATGCTAATGCCGTCAAAAAGGCCATGAAAGAGGAAAACCGACATGTAATTAGAACGGCCTCGATCGCGTCGAACGAGCCAGACCTGCCACGGCCATGCAGAGTCAAGTCTTCTCGCAGTTTCAATCCACCTCCGAAAGGATGCATCAATTGACTGAACGGGATCTTCTTGCATAGAATCCGTTCCATAATCCATGTTGCAGCAGTTCGGTGTGTTTTCGAAGATGACTTGTGCATATCCCTCTTCTGTTGGTACAAATCGAGTTCTTAATATATCGAGTTGATTTTGGAGAACATCCCAGGCACGTTTTAGTGCAGGAATGTCGCAATCATTGAGAGAAAACAGAAACTTCACAAGGTATGGTGGTTGGTCAGCATTGCTGCTCAACATCTTTGAGATCATGCCCTCTTGAAGAGGAGTGCACGGTGCCACTAACTTGACTTTGCCTAAGTGACTGGACAGTCTTCGTGAGACTGATGGTTCGTGTTCAGCAGCGAATGCGTGTATTCTCTGCTCTGCTAAATTTTGTTCCTCATGGATCCTGGCGTCGTGCTGGCTTGTGTTCTGGCAGAGAATCTCAGCGAGGTCACCAATCACGGAATGTTTCAGTATCATTGCCACAGAGGCTCGATGGTGGCCTGCTGCTTTGAGCTTTCTCGATAGACCTATTGCTGATATCGAATCAAGGCCGAGCTGGAGAAGAGAACTGCCCCAAGTGATATTGTCGCGTGCGAGGTCTAGGAACTCTGTGACCAGGGCAACGATCCGCTCAAAATTCTCTACTGGCACAGACTGATCTTGAAAATCTGTGATCTGGAATTGACGTACCTGTTTCAGAGGAAGAGAGCAATACAAGGCTTTGAGAGCTTTGGAGTCCACCTTGTTGTTGACCGTCAGAGGTACAAAGTCAATAGCCATGAAATAAGTAGGCATCATGTACGCAGGCAATTGCTCAGCAGTAGCATTTCGTGCCACGCGAATACGTGCCCTCATCTCGGGATCTTCGAGTGCCTTCGGCCTTCTGTCTCCGTATTTCGCAGTTGTTTCCTGAGCAAAGAATGCAACCAGCTGCTCCTTCTCTTGCTCGGAGTGTTTCAGCACCAATGTAGCCACATCGGCCTGTATGGCTTGCGATATGACGTGGTTGATTTCTCCTATTTCAAGGCGCTGACCACGAAGCTTGATCTGGTCGTCTATCCGACCTATGAACTCGAAGCTGTTGTCGTGTAGCATACGGACAAGATCTCCTGTTCGATACACACGATCGCCAATACCTCTCAGGATTGTGAATCTTTCAGCAGTGAGGTCAGGCCGGTTCAGATATTCAACGCCAACAAGGGGTCCAGATAGACAAAGCTCGCCTACAGCCCCAACCAGGACAAGATTGTCTGTACCGGGTGCGACCACATACGTGCCGACATTGATAAATGATTGACCTATGTTCGCAAGCTTGAATGTCTTGTGTGATATGGGTCGGAACGTGCAGCCGATTGTGACTTCACTAGGTCCATAAAAGTTGTGGAGGCAGCCTTCTTCACCCCAAGTCTCAATGACATCTTGCCGTAATTGCTCGCCTCCAACAATGAATACACCCTCACGCAACGACGGCACTACTTCGGGTGTCAGTAGTCGAGCAAGACTGGGTGTCAGAGCGAGATGCGTAATGCACAACTTGCTGATAGTGCCAGACAAATCCTCGAATAAAAGGTCTCTAGGGGTAACAACAGCACAAATACCTTTACTCCAGCTCCAGAAATGCTCAAGCACACTAACATCGAAGTGGTAAGCAGCGAACTGCAGCCACCGAGAGTTCTCAGTCCAACGCTTCTCGAGTATGTGGGCGAAAGAAACTAATGCCTGGACAACAGAATTGTGGTTGATGATACAGCCTTTGGGTGTGCCAGTCGTGCCGCTGGTATACAGGCAATAACACACGTCAGTCCCTGCCACAGGTCGTTGTAATTGAGGTCTCTCCGTGCTTTGTGTTCCCATCATCTCGTCATCGTCCACGCAAAGCACTTGGAGGTCGTGCATTCCTTCGAACGACACCACAATATCGGATGTTGTTATAACAAGCTTGCAACTCGCGTCTTGTAGGATGAAATCTTGTCGGCTTTTCGGCGCACCAGGATCTATTGCCACGTACGCGCATCCTGCCATAAGAGTTCCGAGAAGAGTAAAAGAAGCCTCTGGACATTTGTTGAAGCAGATAGCAATGAAGTCGCCTCGCTGAGCGCCATGTTCTAGGATCAGGTTGGCAATTTGTGAGCTCCTAGCGACTAATTCCGCATATGTCCACGTCTGCCGGAGTATCTGTTCCCCTCGGATATCCGACACAAACTCGAGGGCAGTCGCAGTCGGGTCCTGTGTAGCACGTGCTAGAACCAGATCAGGAAGACTTTTGTGATCCGACTTGATCGAAGTCGTCACAGGCGAACGCCCAGCTTTTATGCTTTTGCTTTCCGTATCGTGATGCGTCGGTATGTGCAGAACATCATGGAGCAGCTGTTCGTATTGCAGAAGCAGGACGGAAGCGTGCTCCTTGGGTAGAACTTTTTGATTGTATGTCAATTGCAAGGCCAGCTCATCATCTCGTGGAACGACCTCGATTGACACGGCATATTCCGCACTGGCTTGATCGGAACTAATTTCCCACGATCTTTGAGCTTGGTCAGCTTGCGAGTATTTTTGGAGCACAAGGATAGAATCGAAGAGGTTCCCTTCGACGTCTAGGGCTGCTTTGATTCGCGGTAGTGACAAATGTGGGTTTTTGTGCAGACGTGCGTTCGTTCGTGCGATCTGTTCAAGTAGCGATTCGGAGTCGTGTGACATATCCACAATTACAGGTACAGTATTAATTGTAGGGAAAACAGCATCATTGAGCTCCTGTTTGTTGAACGAGCGCCCAGAAAGGATAGTCCCAAAGGTGACATATTGTTGCGCGGTATAGGCGGCTAGTAGTTGAGCCCAAGCAGCCTGACATGCCACCAATAAGGCACAGCCTGCATCTTCACATGCCTTTTGAATCATTGAAAGCGGGCTTGTGAGTTGAAACCAGGAAACTTGTAGCTTTGATGGTACGTCACGTTCAATATTGAGGTCCGGGAAAGTTGTCGCGTGTGCCATAGGCTGCATCTGCTTCCAGTAGCTGGTATCCATGTCTTGAGATCTATTATTGTGTACAATGAGGCTCAAAACCTCATGCACAGATGGCGGACGTTTCAGATCTTCGCCATAATATAAAGTCTGCATGTCGTGGAGGACGATGTCCAGAGCTCGAGCGTCGTAGAGCGCGTGAAACATGTGCACGTTTATCGAGATTTCGCCTCCATCTTTGGACAAGTGGAAAGACCACGGTGGTCGTGAGAAAGGTTTTGGAATGATATTAGCGGTAGGCTTCCGCAATGGATATTGATCTTCCTGCTCAAGCAGAATCTGCATGGGCTTGTCGTGTCCTGGGACGTACACCAGCATAGCAAAAGGTATATCTTTATCGTAGATCTCAACAAAGGTAGTCCTGAGCATCTCGTGACGCCTTACTATTTGCTCCCAAGCTCTTTCAAGCCGACCTTGGTCGAAATCTTGTCCAAGCCGAACTTGTATGCTGTTGTAGTACAAACGACCATGAGACTTTTGGTATTCTGACAAGATACCTATTTGTGTTGCGGAACATGGCCAGATAGCCTGCACCACATGTCGATCGAGGTGAAAGCGTCCGATAATGGACTGCTCATGCTTCTTCTCAAAAGCGTCAATATCGAAGCCGTCGACGTGCTCGGCGTCTCTTACACCTTGACTCTGTTGACAGAATCGCACGATGTCAGAAAGCGTAGGCTTGTCGAGAATGTCTGCGGATGAAATCCGGTAGCCGAACACTCTCAGTCGTGCAGCCAATTGAACAGTACTGATGCTGTCAAGCCCAAGCTGGAAAACATTCGTCCGAGGCGTGATTGATTGGATGTCTCTCGATGTCATTGAGGCCAATGCTTCGAGTAAATGCTTACCACATGTGGAGTCTAGAAGGGCTTTGTTGGTATCGTTGTGTTCTTGTTCAATTCTGTGGCCGTCAATATTGCTATGAAAGGTTCTAACGTAATTGATGAATCGTATCTCAGATTCGGGCAAGAGATGCATTACTTCGCCAGCGAGTGCCGGAGGTTTCTCTGCAGTGTCCTTGAGAATTGCCAGAAATTGGCCCAAGAAGAAGTCATTGAAGCTGTTGTCTTTCACTACTGTGTTGTGAATCGTGACGTGGAGAACATTTGTCCCAGGTTCAGGTTGCACCTCAACTACGAATGGGAAATCCATCTGACCGGTTTCTCGCACTAACTTCCATATCGACTGATCGAGGTCCGTTCTGGGAGATTGCAGCAACAATAGGACATCAAAGAGACGTCTGCCATCCCTGCTGTATTGTCTCTGCAGTCGTCTCAAGGGCGTGCCTTGGAATGGCAAGACCTCGGCGTTGTATTCCTGCAAAGCGTGACAGATATCAGCGTTCGTAGTATTCCTGCGTATCGCGACTCGGGTAGGGACAGTATTGAAGCAGGGACCGACAGCATTAGTGGTAAGAGTTGTAGTGCGTCCACTGAGAACGGTGCCAAAGCAGATATCTTGCCGGTTCGCGAACAGGGCAGACAAAACCCTCGATAGAGATGCCTGACATAAAGCCAACAGTGTGGTTGAGGTTTTCCTAGCAAGTGTGACTAGCTCGGTATAGGGCACCGGGCATGATTTGCTCGATGATTGACTACTATTAGAGTCGTGCTGCTCGACAACTTCCGATAGCCGAGAAGGCGTGACATCTCTCAGTTGGCGGTTCCAGAAGGCTTCCAAAGATTCATTGTCATTCGCTGAGATGTGGTCGAGATACTTTGAGAATGGAACTGCATCAGAAAGAGGTTGCAACTTACAAATGAGCTCAACCTCAATCAATAGTTGAGTCAGGGACTGAGCATCATAGATCGCGTGGTGCATGAAGAGATGCAGCTCTGTGTGACCACTAGAACTAGGAACGAGCTGAAGCCTGTAAGGCAGACTATCGAACAGAGGAGGAACTTTATCCATAGATACATCGGTTGCCTCTGTCCAGGGTAGATTCGCACAACCAAGCACAATCTGCATATATGGATGATGGTCGTCCTCAGTCATGACAAAAATTGTTCGCAGAATCTCGTGACGTTGTACCAAACAGGACCAAGCATTCTTGACCTTGTTGAAATCTTTGAACAGGCGGAGCACAACGTGGTTGAGATAAGACGTAGCGCCTCGAGAGCTAGACGTGGACAGCATAGCTTCTTGCAACGAAGTGCAGGGGAGCACGGCATGAACCTGATAGCCTTCGGCCTCGAGTTTCTTGGTTAACGAGCTCTTTGTCGTGTCTGGCACGAGCTCTGAAGCAGGTGTACCATATCTCGCATGCTCAGAGACATCTTCGATAAAAGGTAAAAGTCTCATGATTGAAGAGTGTCTCATGACTGTAGAAACTTCGATTGTCCCTATATTGCTAGATCTCAATCTTTGAGCAAAGGCAATGGCACTAATTGAGTCGAGACCATAAGCAAAGAAAGAACCATGGACATTGATCTCAGATGTCGGCAGGCCAGTAAGCTCCGACAAGACTTCCACGACTTTGCGAGTTTTCTCGTCCACTATTTGATTGCCCAGCTCAGCAGGGCTCGAGTCAGAGTAAAGAGCCATTTGCTCATGGCTCATTTGACTGTGAATTGTGGTAAGTCGTTTCCTGTCCACTTTGGCTTGATGTGTCAGTGGCAACTCGTCCAATGGAATTAATGCTTCTGGAATCATGTAAATTGGTAGTGTGTCCCTCAAATGCTCAAAGAGCATTCCTATCAGCTTCTCACTATCGCCCGAAGCGACAACAAAGAAACACACAAGCTTGTCGTTCCCGTACTCTTTCGGCAATATGAAACTAAAAGCATCTGAAACGTGAGGAAATTGCATAAGCCTAGCATTGATCTCATTGAGTTCAACACGTTGGCCTCGGATCTTAGCTTGATCATCTTCACGACCTAATACAACCAGAGAGTCATCTGCCAATAACTTGCCGATATCTCCTGACCTGTACAGTCGTCCATACTTCGGATGATCGAGCCAGCTCCTCGACGTTAGATCTGGGTCAGTATAGCCTCTACCAACCTGTTGTCCACCTATCCATATCTCGCCCACACTACCTTTCGGCAGAAGTGTGAAGTCTGACAAAGTTTGAGCACGAGAAAGATCTTCGGGTCGACGCCGGGCGCATACGAAAAGCGACGTATTGGGAAACGCCGGTCCGACGTTATTGATGTATGCACGATCTTGGCGATAATGTCGAACGTTACATATATTAGTCGTCTCACTTGGTCCATATCCTTGGTACAGACCACGTTGGCTCCATGCATTGAAAACCTTAGCGGACATCGGCTCGCCAGAGCACACCAGAAATGCAACATTGGGGACTCTGTCGGGGTTGACAAGTGCCGCAACTGAAGGTGTCATACCGAGATGTGTGATACCCGCAGTATTGATAAATGCCTCCACATCTCTGAACAGCACATCGTTGTTGGCTGAACACAACGTCAACCCGCAATGCCATGTCCAGAATATCTCGAAGACCGACACGTCGAACGCTGGGGAGCATGACTGAAGCAGTTTGGATGTCGCGTCGTGTGGATATGTCTCCGACAAATGTTGAATATTGCTCATGAGATTTGCCCTGGTAACGAGAACACCTTTTGGCGCACCAGTGCTACCTGAGGTGAAGACTGCGTAAGCCAAGTCTCTGCCAGATGATTCCATTCTCAGTGGTTCCAGTAGCGTAGCATTCTCAGAAACGACACTATCGAAACTCGCGACCATTGGGGAAGACTGATCACGATACTTTGGAAGGATTTCAGCATCGACCACTAAAACTTGTGGTTGTGCCTGTTGCAGGATCTCCTTGACACGGGTCTCTGGCGTGTTAGGTTCAATGCAAAGATATGCAACCCCAGCTCGTAAAGTGGCGCAGATCAAGACGTACAAAGAAATACATTTCTTGCTCTGAATAGCGACGATGTTGTCTTTCTTGAGCTTGTATTTCGTCCGCAGCACATTGGCAGCATGTAGCGACTGTTTATTGAGTTGTCGGTATGTTAAGCGTTCACGAGAGATTGATGCGCTTGTTGGGTCAAAATCGACGATAAAATCAACAGCTATTTTATCAGGATCGTGGAGTGCTATGCTCTCGATCTTTGCTGTGAAGTTGTCGGACTGAAATCTTGCAAAGTCGACATTTGACGTTGACAAGAGATTTTCATCCAGTAACGACCACATTCTAGGAACAAGTGTCTCGGCAGGACTTTTTGTGAGCATAGTGACTATGCCATCGATCTGCTGATGAATAATTCGTATTTGTTTGTCAGCTATCCTTGCTGGATCGTATGTGGATTTGAGGCAGAGTTTGTCTTGCTTAGGCTCGACCTCGATGATCCAAGCATAGGGCAAGAAATCAAAGCTGCTGCTCACTGAAACAAAATCCGACATTACAGATTGCGAGTAAAGAGATTCTTGCCAGACGAAGATGGTATCGAACAGCGGTGTATTTGTCGACCTCTTCAAGGCAGAATTGATCTGCGCCAGAGATGGTCGTGAGTGCTGCAGACAATGCAAGTGTTTCCGATGGACTTGCTGCATAAGGTCTTCCGTGTCTCTGCATCTGTCCGTCCGTACAGAGACGGGCAGCGTCGATATAAGTGGTCCAATCACGTCTTCAATGTTGTTTATGACGGGGTCGCGTCCTGAGATGACGAGACCTGTTGTGACGTCCGTGGTGTCCAACAACATGCACAGCAGGAGAAGGACTGCACTGTGCATAATGGCTGGTCCACTGGTATGACGACGTCGGGCAAATTGCGCAAGTGAGTCCTGATGCAAACACAATTCAGTCGAATGGATGGATCTTGTAGAGACTTCATAGACCTCAGGACGAAGTGTTGGTAACTGGCAGGCTTCGACTTCTGACAAGTCACGCGCCCATGCAACGAGGTCTTGCTGAATGCGCGAATCGTCTAAAGCTTGTTGTCCACGAAGATAGTCCTCAAATGTTGGCCTGGCGCCGACTGGCGTACCTCTCAGCAAGTGATTTAGGTCTTTCATAATTAGGTCCCAGGACCAACCATCGTAAATCGCGTGATGTAGTGAAACGATTATGGAGTGCGGCACACGGCTCTTTCGTAATTGTAATGTGTTAGTCATGCTCGCGGGCTCGCTTAGGGACGGCGAAGCCCTTACTAGTTGGACGAAGGGCATGTTAGCATCACCTGTCGCTGCGAAAGCGGTTCGCAATATCTCGTTGTTGCATGCGAGGGTCTCAAAGGCCGACACCATATCAGAGAATGTGACCACGTCTTGGGTTGCTAGAACGATCTCATTGAGGTTGTAACGAGAATCCTGGGACGTTTCGGCAAGCATCGCAATCTGTATTGGGGTGCAAGGCAAGACCTTTTCGATGTTCAGACCAATAGACGAATAGTGCTCCAGGTCATAGAGCTTGGATGACGTTCTCTTCAAGATAGAATCGTGATTTGTGTGGCTCTGGCTAATGCTGTGTGCTCCTGTTCTTGTGATCAATCTTGAAAGATCTGTTATCGACTCCGCGTCCAAGACCGTTGAGATGGTTATGGCTGGGAATTTGCTGCGCAATTTCGAGGCAACACGTATTGCTTGTAACGAATCCAATCCGCAATTGCGTAGCGAAGTATGCCAACTCAATTCAGACTTCAATTCCTCACAAAGGACCTTCTGCAAATAAGCATCCAAGTCGGAATGATCAGATCGCGAATCTCGTACAGCATTTTCACACATTTCGTTCTCGTATATGTTTTCAAGACCTTTCCGATCGACCTTGCCAGAAGGTAGTTGGGGCAAGCCAGCGGGCACAATCACGATGTGTCCTGGCCGCATATGTCGTTGCAGCCACGCTTTACACCTAGCCTCCACATTTTTGAGGGTCAATGACGGTTCGCCCGAGCAGAACAGGACCAGGGTCTCATTAAGCACTAAAGCGGCAGCGAGGTGTACTCCGGCGACTTGCATGGCTGCTTGTTCCACCTCGCCAAGCTCAACTCTCTGACCACGTAACTTTACCTGACCGCCAACGATTCTGCCGTATATGTGAATTTCTCCGTTCGTCTTCATAACAGCACGATCTCCGGTGCGGTAGACACACCCATGACCAGGTAATTCGACGAAGGCCGCAGCTGTCTGATCGGGACGATTTAGGTATCCTTCAGCCAGCTGTCCAGCGATTGCCAGCTCTCCAGGTTGGTCTATGTCGAGGATCATATGATCCCGGTGAGAAGTGGAGTCATTCAGAATGTAGGCAGACACTGTTGCTAATGGACGTCCGATGTTGTGGACGGAATCCGTCGCGCTCATCTGTGCCACCATTGTACAATGGATGGATGCCTCAGTTGGCCCATACATGGCATATAGCATACCGTCTTGCGTGTGCGAGAAACCAAATTCGACTACGACATGTTTTGTCAGCATCTCGCCGATTGTCAGGAGTATTTTTAAGCGTGGCACAGCAGATCTCGTGCGTAACAAGGTCGTTGCAACAGTTGGTGTGAGCTCGACCGCATCTACGTCCATCGAGTTAATTATGCCTGGCAGGTCAGCCAGCATTGTTTCTCGCTCGCAACAAACAATCGCGGAACCTCGATACCAGGGGAAGAAGATCTCGAACATTGAGACATCGAAAGTAGGAGCAGCGAATTGCAGGAAACGTTCGAATTGTGGGAGGTTCTCATCATGGGCAAGCAGAGACTGACAGACTGCATGATGGGACACAGGCACGCCTTTGGGCTTTCCAGTAGAGCCAGAAGTGTACATTACATATGCGGTTTTGGCGGATGGTCTTGGGGTCAATTGCAGGGACTGTTCGTCACCAGATAGCAAATCTTGGAGATTGACCGCGACGCACGTTGTCTTGGGTAGTAAGGCTTGTAGTGTTTGCTGCATCTCTGGCAGGCAGACGAGTAGCTTTGCAGCCACATCTTCGATGATGAAAGCGATTCTCTCGTGGGGGGTATCAGGTGTGACAGGACAAAAAGCAGCACCAAGCTTCAGCACAGCTAGATAAGAGATATACAGAGATGGATGCTGAGGTAAGACCACCGGAACGATCAAGTCGCACTGTGTCCATTGTTGCAGATGTGGTTGTATACATATCGCCAGACGTCGTGCTGCGGCCTGCACCTGATTGAAGGTAAGAAGAATTCGATCGTCCCTAGGACCAATGTAGTGTATGGCTATTGCGTGTTCTGATTCGCAGTGCACTAAGTCATCGAGAAGAGCTGGTCCAGGAAGAAGTCTCCGGTCCTGATTTGCTATGGCTAGCCGTGCCGTGGGCCTTGCAGATTCGGTACTCAAGACCATGGCGAGCTGCTTAGAATACGATCATGGCCTTTCAATTCTCATGTCGGAGCCTATCATGGTCGGGTTCTGAGGGTGAGCGTTGCCTTGGAACCCAGTCCACTTGACAATCGTATATTTGAATGTGGTTTGTGTCGCGCTCAAACCAAGACGCGTCGAGATCCGTTACTCATGTCGGCCATCGCTGAACGATTGCGAGACGCGAGAATTGGTCACCACCTGCAAAAAGGCAGCTACAGGCGAACAAATGCCGACGAATCGCCATGGTGGTTTGATCACAATCGACTTCCTTTTTTCATAGAATATGGCCAGCATGTTGAGCTGGGTGAATAGCGTGTTGGAGGAAAGACGCGTCAGGTGATTTTCAGTGGCCGCTGTTGATCGACAAAGAACGTGAACATACAACAACGTATAGGACATCAGCACGACAGATGTGATGACGTCGAACAGTGCAAAATTTTTGCGGTTTCCTCGTGCTCTGTGCTGTTCACATCTCTTCACATCTTCGTCGAATCAAGATCTGGTTGTGACCCATTCTATGCAGCTTGCCTGTACTCAGCATGGATCCCGTATTCTTCACGCCACCTGCATCAATCCGCTTTGGCAATCTCCACGTCTGCGGTCTTGATTCGAGTTCAGTGGACAGCAGGAGGATCAGATAAGATCATCTTGTCCATCATCTGGCATACGTGCCGAAGGTAGTGTTCCCTCCCATGCCTCATTCCAGCGTAGTCTCTGCTGATCGTGAGCTTCGTATGACTACAATTCGTGCTCAAGCGAGCAAGAGTCGAGCGACTTCGGCTCATATCGAATGGACGTCCAGCTTGGCTTCAGTACGGTGACATCGCGGTCTATCTCATGCATACACATACTGCGAGAAGCTCAGCATATCCTTTCTCGTCTCTGGCCAGTGTTGTCTAGTGAAGAGGGTGACACCTGTTTCTACCTACCGTGTGTCTTCAATTGTCTCTGCATTTCCTCTTCAAAATCTGCTTGGTCTTGCAAATCCCGAATTTATTGACAATGCCACATAGATTCAAGCAAGTCATTAGACCTACTGCTGACACGAAGTCCCTCTACATAAAAGATCTTCTGCATGGGGAGCCGGCAAATGGTCTACACGACCTGATCGGGATCGGCTTTGGTCCAGCGTCTCTTGCTATTGCGGTTGCCATTTACGATGAGATTGAAGAGAGGGCCAGTCATGGCAGTATCAACTTCAGGCCTGCTTTGAAGTTTCTGGAAAGACAATCTGCGTTTGGCTGGCATACTGGCATGCTTCTTCCCGACACGAAAATGCAAATCTCTTTCATCAAAGACCTTGCTACGATGAGAAACCCAGCATCGCATTTCACTTTCCTCAACTATCTCCAAGAGCACAACCGGTTGGTCCAATTCTCAAATCTGAACACCTTCTTGCCTCTCCGCGTCGAGTTCGAGGACTACCTGAAATGGTCTGCCGGACATTTCAAAGACATTGTTCAATACTCTCGAGACGTCGTTGGAGTACGCCCGCTCAGGTTGAACGACAGCAGCAAATACAACTGCCTCGAGGTTACGTCAAGAAATAACTCTACAGGTGAAGTAAATGTGCAGCTGGGAAGGAACGTGATTATCGCAGTCGGTGGACGTCCTTCATGGCCTGCAGTCTTTCCTCAGCACCACAGAGCTGTCATGCACTCCTCGCAGTACAACTACCGTATCGATGATGTACTCCCGAAGAAAGATGGTGACTACAATATTGCAGTGATTGGCGCGGGACAAAGCGGAGCAGAAATCTTCAATGACCTGCACAGTCGGTATCCCAACTCAAAGACACATTTGCTCATCCGAGATGTGGCAATGCGTCCAAGCGATGATTCCCCGTTTGTAAACGAGGTCTTCAACCCTGATTTTGTCGACCAGTTCTATACCACTCCGGCCACCATACGAAAGAATCAATTGAAGGTTAACAAGGCCACCAACTACAGTGTTGTCCGCCTTACACTCCTAGAGCAAATCTACGAGGACATGTATCAGCAGCGGTTGGAGGACCCTGACTCGGAAAACTGGCAGCACCGCATACTCTCCTCGCGGGAAGTCGTTGAAGTGACGGAGACCTCTGAAAAAGAACGCCTAAATCTGGTTGTGCGAAGTCTGGTGGACGAAGGCAATTGCCAGGAAGTGATCTCAGTAGACGCTGTTGTACTCGCGACGGGCTATGTTCGCGACGTGCATAACGAAATGCTGAAAGAGTGTAAGATCATAAACAGCTCGTGCGATGACGAATGGATTCCTGAAAGGGATTACAAGCTAGGTCTCAACCGCGATCTGGTGGAGGATGATGTAAACATCTATTTGCAAGGATGTAACGAACAGACTCATGGCCTGTCGGACACGCTACTTTCTGTGCTTGCGACGAGAGGAGGAGAGATTGCGAAATCTGTGTTTGGTGGTGCCCTCCTCGAGGCGAATGTACGAGATCTTGTGCAGAGCACTGGCTTGAATGGCCCACTGGGACCGTTGTGGAAGTTGCACAAGACACAGGGAGTCAGTATACCCACGAAAGTGACAGAGTCGAGTTCGGTTCAGACTCAAACAGCTGTCAAGGCATGAGCCGGAGGTTTTAATCCCGTACATTCATCAACGGTTGAACAGGCAGGTGCAAGTGAGCGAGTAAGGCAATCTCATTCCAATGCAGACATTTTGTGCATCTTCCAAGTTGCTTCCACTCTGTAATTCTGCCAGCATATCACAAAGTCGAATCTCTATTCCCTCTTGTGTGTGAGTTGTTCCAGCTGCCACAATATCGCTGTTTCGTCACAAGTGATAAGTCGTTCTACGTAAATTGGATATCGATGCACTAGCAAGCCGAAAAAGAGACTTTTATACAACGGCTCAACTTACAGGAGGGAATGCCGTTCCTTAACGTCCTCTCTAGTAAGCGATATTGAGCATGTGCCTCGGCACGAGATCTGCCTCACGGGAACTGCTCGTCGCGGCAGCGCTGTCTACATGATACTCGAGAACTCATTTCTTGTTTTCAGTCACGAATCTTGAACAATTCAGGTAACTCTCGAAGCGACCTTGCCATGAATGACTTTGACATAGAGTCCGAACATCGAAGGAAGCGGCGGCGGCGCGAGATTGTTCCTAAGCCAGTGCACGCCCGCTTACTTTTTGATGAGCAGTGTAAAGATAGCAGTGCAATACTCTCAAGTGGCCTCGCAACTGCTTTGAACCTTCGTGCGTACTGTATTGCTATGATGGGTCAATGTACTGACAGATGGATCAGACAATACTACGCAAGACCAAACATTCGTCGCGATATCACCCATCTCACCTCTTCATACCACCCTCGAGGACTCGACCTGGACCATTGCACAAGTCAGAGCAAGCCATGATGGTGAGGTTGAGGATCACAATGCGAACATCAGACTGTCTCCTACCTCGCCGGTGTCGCAGGCCTTCATTCGGATCTTCGCTGCACAAGACCATGGACGGCATGGCTCGCATTTACCAAAATTCTTTGACGTTAAAATAGTCCCTACTGCACCTGTCGTGCTCGATACCGTTTATGTTAGCATCGAAAAAGGCTTGATTGGCAGTGTGGACGAAATACAAACCAGGTTCGGTGGAGGCTTTCAGCACGCGAAGAACAGGAAGACAGGCCAGCACGAACAGCTTGTCAATGCTGCTAGGAACACGAACACATCATCTCAAGATCGTGTCTCCGAGCTTATTCGACAGGGTCTGTCTGCCCTGTCAGTCATCCACGTTGGCGATATCTTTCCCCTACCCCTACCTCCTCACCCGATCACCCATGTGCGACCAGCTCCCGCTATCGTTATGGAGACAGAGCCTGTCTCCCAAGGATTGGTTTCTCAGAGTACAAAGATCGTGGTTGTGCATGCAGGAAGCTCACAAGAGAAAGCCTTGAAGAAGCTTTCTGCTCCAACAGCCATCCTTGAAGAATCTTTAGAGGATACTCCAGAAGATGAGACGGCTACCGATCAGTTCTTTTCTGCTGCCGAGGACCGTAATACTGCGACTGCTTCGGAACTAGAGGCTAGTGAAGATGAAGAGTCGCATACAGACGCGTCTGAAAGTGGTGACAGCGACGAAGAGTCTGACTCAATGGACGATATGATCTCACTTAGTGCCCCGGGATTACCCCCTCAGCAAGCTGGCACACTTTCTGCCATGACAGCCGCCACGCCGAGGCCAGGTCAATATGGGCGTGCGACCGGGGCACACACTCCTGGCTCAGTCTACTCGAGTTTTACACAATCGACGGCAAGAGCTGGAAGTCGTCCTGGGAAAGTGTTCCGCACAGAAGCTCTTCTAAAGAAGATGCCCGCAGAACTTCTGCATCCTAGACCGTCGCCACAAGAGGATGACGACTCCTTCGTCTTCGTCGATACGAGTACTCTCGCTAAACTCGGCTGCTTCTCAGGCGACTGGGCCCGGGTAGAGGTTGCAAGGAATGTGAGCAGTTTTGGCTTTGGCTCAGGTCTTGCTGCCTTGAACGAGCAAGAGGAAGCTGATTTTAGGATTGTCCGCGTTTTTGGCCTGTCTGGATTGTTACAGCAGAAAGCTCGATATGCGGTGGACAAAACAGGCACTAGGCGATCCAGTTTCACTCCGGGTCACACTCTGACGCCTCTTAGCCCAACTATACATATGTCACCGATCCTCTTGGCCAATCTATCCAATGCACAATTTATCAAGTTGGCTGCGATACCGAAATCAAGCAAGACGCAACGTCCCTCATATGCGCCACGACCTCCATCGTATCGTGGTCCGCCGATGGCCAAGGAGGTGTCTTTGGCCAAGGTGCTGACACCTCTTACGCAAGATCCTTCTATGCAGTCTATACTTTTCACTTCATTGAAAACACATTTCGAAAAACGAAGGAGATTAGTCAAAATTGGAGATGTCATACCTGTTTCTGTCGACGAAGATCTCGCTCGTACTACGTCTACGCCTGGATCAACAGAGAACAGTATGGAAGACGAGCATTTATTGTCAAGACTGAACGTCACATCTGCAGCAGATCGAGCGCGTCTTCAAGTAGCCTGGTTCGTTGTTCAATCCGTGGACGCGGATCTATTGTCAGACAACTCGAGTGCTACGAGGGAGGGTGAGAACTGGGGCGGTACAAGTGTCCTGGATACATCACAGACCAAGTTGGGTGTTTCTGGAACCAGCCACCACAATATTTCAGACCTGACAAAAAAATGGTCAAGGTTCTGGTTAGGATTAAGGTCGCCACCTCGATCTTTGACCGTTGCTCAAGGGCCATTGATCACACCATCAAGCTTGCCAGAATCAACGAAATTGCCCCTCGAGAAAAGGCTGGCGGATTTGGTTGCTGCTGCCACAAGTCCAAGAGCCACTAGTCTTGGTCTTCCCCCTTTGGTAATTCTTCTGCACTCAAACCAACGGCAAGTTGGCAAAACCTTTATCGCTAAAAATGCCTGCACATCAGTCGGTGTCCACACTTTCACAATATCTGGTCACGATTTATTATCAGAAAATGCCTCGACTACAGGTGGTGGAGATGTCAAGACAGAAGGACTGCTTCGAGTACGCGCTGAGAGAGCACTATCATGTGGTGCTGAACAAACGGCTATTCTTCTCCAGCACATTGACGTGCTGACTGCTGACCGGATGGTTCCCACGATCCGAGATGTTATTGAAAGCGCTCGTGTTGTCATCGCAACCACTTCTAAGCTCGACGATGTACCAGCAGGTCTTCGAAGTCTATTTACCCACGAACTGGAAGTAGTGGCACCGGATGAAGTTGCAAGAGAGTCAATCCTACGGAGTGTATGCAGCTCCCTGGCGATAGCAATCTCGCCCATGGTCAACTTGAAGAATGTTGCTCTACAGACCGCCGCACTCGTTGCTGGGGACTTGGTCGATGTCGTGCATCGAGCAAGTTTGGCAAGGTCGAACAGGCTTGTTTCGTTGGCAGAAGCAAAAGGCTGTGATGTAATAGACCTGAAGTTGTCTGGCGGCTTGTCGACATCGCATCTGATGCCTATTGATTTCTCTACTGCAATAGCCGCTGCGAGGTCAACCTTTTCAGACGCAATTGGTGCCCCCAAAATACCAAGCGTTACATGGCAAGACGTCGGAGGTCTAGCATCCCAGAAGGACGCCATTATGGAAACGATTTCTTTACCATTAACGCATCCAGAGTTGTTTGCCAATGGTGTCCGCAAGCGTTCAGGTATTTTGTTCTATGGTCCACCAGGAACTGGCAAAACTCTGCTCGCCAAAGCAATTGCAACAGAATTCAGCCTCAATTTCTTCAGTGTCAAAGGCCCCGAACTGCTTAACATGTACATTGGTGAGTCCGAAGCCAACGTTCGAAGAGTCTTTCAGAAAGCAAGAGATGCACGGCCATGTGTTGTCTTTTTCGACGAGCTTGACAGTGTTGCACCAAAGCGAGGCAACCAAGGGGATAGTGGAGGGGTCATGGATCGTATTGTCAGTCAGCTTCTAGCCGAGCTTGACGGCATGTCGGGTGGTGGTTCCGACGAAGATGGACAGACAAGCAATGCTGGCGGTGTCTTCGTTATTGGTGCGACCAACAGACCAGATCTACTCGATCCTGCACTTCTTCGACCTGGCCGCTTTGACAAGATGCTCTACCTAGGTGTTGCTGACAGCCACGACGCACAATCCACAATTCTCGAGGCTTTGACACGGAAGTTCACTATGGCGCGGGATGTCGATTTGCAACGTATTGCTCAAAAGCTTCCCTTTACTTACACAGGTGCCGATCTTTACGCGTTGTGCAGTGATGCGATGCTCAAAGCCATTACGAGGAAGACAAAAGGTGTCGATGATCGAGTTGAAGCTATCAGCCAAGAACGTGGCGAGCCAGTCAGTACAGGATGGTTTTTCGATCACGCAGCAAAACCCGAAGACGTAGAGGTCATCGTGAACGAGGAGGATTTTGAGCTTGCCCAGAAAGAACTCGTTGGTAGCGTCAGCGCTAAAGAGTTGGAACATTTTGAGCGCATTCGACAACTGTTCGAGGATCAAGACATTAGTGCTGGCACAAGTAATGCCAAGGGACAACCGAATGGCGCATCTGAAGGTGTCAATAGGCAATTACCACGAACAAATACAGCAGTCCCATATACCGACAAAGCTTCATCTAATAAAGGTTCGCTTGCCAAGCAGAAATCGAGTAAAGGGAAAGGCGTTGCCACAGATGGTTCTGAGGCTGATCAATCGGAGAATGATTACGGCTTCCCTACCTACAATTCAGCACACCTGAATGGTTCTTTGGGGACTGGGTTGGTGAACGGGACGGGGAAGGGAAAATCAAAAGTGCTTGCAAATGATTTTCAGGAAGACATTCAAGGCGATGAAGAGGATCTATATAGTTAATGTGGTTGCTCTCCATTATCTCAAACACATATCTCAAAATTGTCAATTCTAGAGAGACTCTTGGTTCAACCAGCCATTGTATTTACCGTTGGGCAGAGATACACGCAGACACATTCAGCTTCTGTTCCTTCCTCTTCAAATGTAAATGCCTCAGGCACAAAACGACGAGCGACAGATTCGGCAGGCGCGTCATTTCTGCCGAACCACAAGTTGAAGTCGTGCAGTTGCGCATGCGAATGTATGCGACTTTCCATATTTACTCTCTCTACCTTTTCCAGCAATAACATACTCCTGCTCGCAGGAAAGATTAGCTTCGAGAATACCTTGCCTCTATTGATAGTTTGCAAGCACAACTCCTCCGCGAAACCCTCGAGTTCGGGAATATAAACTACGATCCGAAAGTCCTCTGACACACCAGGAGATTCGTAACTCTCACACACAACTCACGCCAGTGTCACTGTAAGACTGTAGAAGCACTAGATCATATTCGAGTAGCAGGTATCGACATTGCCTGCTGAGATTCAACACACCAACCGTCCTCAATGCTGCTGCCAGATTCCTCATAGCTGCTGGAGATCCCCTCACGATCCAGACCAGTACCCAGCTGATAGAAACACCAGCTAAGCGTGCGAAGCTGTCTTCAAAGCTGGTCTTGAGTCAGGTAACTTGTGCAGCGTGCACACAACCTCCCTTTTAGATCCAGTCAAGATGAATGATCCGGTCGATGCCCTACTTGCACTCTCAACCACTGCAGCGGCCATTGCAGAGACCAACGGAAGAGCTATACAGGAAGATGATCGGTCTAGCAGTTTGAGCGAACTAGAAGATGCGCCTGATCCTATGGACATTGAGGACGACATTGAAGAAGATGACAACGACGGCCCAGAGCCTGACTCGGACGAGGAGGACGAAGATGAGCAGGATCAGCGCGACAACATTCTACTTCAAGCTACGGATAATATCCCAGATGGTGACTCGGAAGCTGAGACAGAACGACTCGAGGACTCCCCAGACAAAATCAAGAGAACAGGTACATTCCAAGTCTCACCTAGCAAGCTAGCCCAGTCCATGAACGCTTCCGACGATATTCGCCCAGAGATAGAAGAGCTCACAAACAGCGAGGCTTCATCTCCAATAACTCCAGTCGAGCACTCACCTGGAGATGATCTGAGCGAAGCGGAGGATTTGGACGAGCTACAAAATCCTCTCAACCTGCTTTCGCAAGCCGCAACTGTATCCAACAAGAGAAAGAGATTGAGCGATGTCATGGATATCACCACGGAAGAAAGGCCCCGCAAGAGGAGGACTGATTCTCTCAGCGACGTCGAAGATGAGTCCGAACCCGAGAGCGAACCCGACAAGCCTGAACCTGCTACGCGAGAACTTACTGTAGACCCAGATGACCTGGAAGCTCAAGACCAAGAAGTGGAAGAAGCTGGACCGGAACAAGCTGAAGCTAGCGACGATTCCAAGTCAAAGAAGAAGGAGAAACATACCAGATCGAGGAGTAGGAGAGGCAAGGATCCTGCCGAAGAACCAGAAGACAACGACAACGAAGCCGAACTGAGTGACGATGACGCCGAGGCTGAAGAGCAAGAAATCACTGCTAAGAGCGAGGAAGAACAAGCACAGAAAAACGCTGCCTTGGAGGCCCTGGTTGCGCTCGAGAACCACTTTGCAACACTGCGAGACAAACTGTACGACGAAAAGCTATTCCAGCTGAACCACGAGTTGAGCCAACTGTCTGCCACAGCTCCCACCCACTCCGAACTACTGAAACAATTTGATTGTGTGGACAAGTGGACAGAGGAAAAGCAGGACGTTGAACAGAAGCGTTTGGTTTTCAGGGTAGAATCATTGAAACGAGAGAGCGTGGCCAGACGAAGTCAGATTCATAGTGCCTATCTTCAGACGGTACGAGATATTCGGGAGCGTCATATGGAAAACATGGCCGAGCATTTCTATCGCATCCAGCGTGAGCGCTTCAGGGCAGCCAAGGTCACTCCTACATATACCATACCTTTCCCAGACAAGAAGATCGATCAGGTCATTCAGCAAACAGCCTACAATAAGGAAGTTTCCATCCTGTCTGGAGTCGCGAAATATGTCGGGTTTCCCGCTGCGCCAGCACTCGCAGCTACGTCCTCCTCAGATCTTGACTCCGATCTGCAAAAGATGGGTGTAAGTTTGACTACTTCTGAGACAAGCACAACAAGGCTGACCATATTTCAGATATCCTCCAGGACAGCAGGTGTTCGAAATGCGGCCACGAACTCACATCGGCACAACACATTGGGTGTCTATCCTGCCACGGGCGCAATCTCGGCACTCTCTTCTTCCGCAGCTGCAGCCAATGCTTCATCAGAACAACAGTTCATAGAGTCCACCCCGTGGGCAAATCCCAACCACCCTATCCATAGATTAGGTCGACAGAGTGCGAACAGCAGCCCATTCGCCATAGACCGTCAGAACAACAATCACACATCGACACCAGCTCATCAACTCAGGCGAAACAATTTCACTCCTCAGCCTGTTGGTAGTGCCAGCACGATATTGGAGAACGCCTCAGCTCAGCCCACGCCCGGGACGGATGCGCCCAGCAGTGCCATGAAGCATGAATATGGCACGATCCACGCTCAAACGAACGGTATTGCCACGTCCACAAGCACCAATGGCGACGTCAACGGCGTCAATGTCTCACCAAGTGACACTCGTCGTACAATCAACAATATGCTCCAAGCAGGAAGTGCGGCAGCTGCTGCTGCAGGGCATCAGCCGAACAACACACCTGGAGACGCCATGTACTTGGGAGTAAACAGCAGTCCACTACTAGCCAGGGCGTCTCTGTTGTCGAATCTGAATAGAACGGCTAGTGCAACAGGTATGAGAGAGAATATGCGCAGTCCGTTCAGGACGGACTTGGTGGCAAGTGGCGGGATGGGGAGGTTTGGGTTTAGATGACCTTAGGCCTGCCTCTAGTACTGTGGCATTGGTTCAGTAGCGAAACAAAGATACCCCCTACTCTAATGATAAAGCTGGTCTTTTAGCCATTCTCGCAAAGTAATCATTGCTGTTTTTGTGAATGCATTGTTTGAGGCTATAGCAGCGGCTTAGGTAGTACTACACTGTCGCAATGTACCAAGTCACCTCGATATACTAATTCGAACGCTGATTATCAGTTGGCAGGGAACAGCTGTCGCACCTTGCAGTCGTGGTTATTTTTATTTAGGAGATCATCTTAGTCACATTCAACGGTGATTGAAAAACGGCCGGGGCAACGCGTTTCTCTATGATCACAAACAGGCAATGTGTTAACCAGGATGTCCTTGTCACACAACAATAGCAAGAGTAGATTATCTGGAATTCAAACTCGGTACTTCGTGCTTTTCATTCAGAGAAATGAGTTCACGGACTACAAGGGATAAGCAGGGCGGTGGGAAATGTCAGACAAAGAGAGGTAGAAGGGGCAGGATGCGACTGAAAAACATGTATATATGTATATTTCGGTCAATTCTCTGTTTGCACTAATGGAAGTATAGATCAGAATTGGTTGTAGGAATAGTATTTACAACATAGGGAATATGCATCATCTCCACGTCAGCTTCAGGTCGTTGTGAGAGCGACGGTCAGTGGCCATTCTGCTTCGTGGCCCACCTCACTTGATTCCAGCCTCAGGACCATAAACTATTGCCTTGAAGCATATATTCGTTTACGATCCTACATGTTTGAAGCTTCAAATGCCCGTCCCTTATCTGCTCGAGACCTTCTCATGGGACGGCATTGTGTGACACTGCGTGACTTGCTTCTTCTTCATCCGTTGTGCCTCTTGCGCCTGTCCATCATTGCACTGAAACCCAGTGAAAGCCATTTCCGCAGGCCCTTGATCTGCCTGGGAACGTCGTCTGATTTCAAGTCTGTGGATCAGGAAGGTGACCTCTGTCTCGTGAAGGGAGGAGCATACTCAATTGGAGGATTCCCTCTAAAGCTGTCGAGGGAGTCAAAAACAATGTCGGAAAGTACCAGTATCCCCCATGGCGAGAGGATGATGTGAATTGAGATCATCACATTGTCGGCATAGTGGTGGTCTTCCTTCTTCGCCCTGGTTTCTTGCGGAATATTCTTCTCGAGGCATCACGACTGACTACCATTCACAGCCACATTCGGCGTCTTTGGAGGTGGTCCCTTAGGCACGACAACATCATCAAAGCTTTCTTGACCAACAGCTCTGAGAGTGAATGCAAAAACACCTATGGCAAAGCTCATAATGCTAATGCCGGTGATTGTATTCCTGAACAAGTAGGGTCTTCGTGCTCGGATTAGGGCTGCGGACTGTGTGTAATCTGGGTTGTAGTATGAGGAACGTTTGAGGACGCCACGGAGGGCAGTGGTTGAGCGCATCTTGATCACGATGGTATATCAGACGAGGTGGTATGGTTTCTGTAAATAGCTATCACCCAGCTGTCGCTAATCAGGTAACTCCGACAATATGGCCGTCTCTGTGTGCTTCAGAATGTTGAAGACGAACGTCTCGGTCTCTATATCCGATGGAAGAAGGAGTGTATCGATAGCACACATGATGGTAATGATGAGATCGAGCAGAGGCATGGCCCATAAGAGCCTTCAATTTTGGGCAGGTTGGGCGAGTCAAGCGACTTCTTCGATCGTCTTTAGGCGCATCAGTTGCTTGGAATGATTACCGATGTCTGGGATTATGAACGACGATGTCGAGTCCATGTTCTGCCGCTGGACACGCACATCTGTTTGGGTGTTGAATATTGCAGTCATGGTCGATTTATGACTGTAAGATTGTTCTTATCTTGCAGTTTGCAGACACGCTGCTTGCTTAGCGTCCCGTTGGCAGTTGCGACGCAATGGTCTTGGTTCCGCTTGCTGATCGTCGCAAAAAGTGATTGATTTTACTATGTGCTCATTCTTGTACCTCTACCAGAACACGTTCACTTTTCAACCTGCTTCGGTCTCATCTGTTCCATGGATCAATAGCCATGTTTTCGTCTTGTTCGCTTTGTTTGACGAGTTGACCATCTAGCTCGTCGACTGCCACCCTCCTTTAATCGACCTCTATCGTCCACATGGCCACCGTTGCAACTAATAGCTGCGCGCGAACTGCTCCTCGTCTTCTCACGAGAACGTGGACTCTTACTCCTTCGTATTTACATTATCGTGCGGGAAAATGTACCCATACTATGGTGCCGCTTACTTACCGTTTCTTCACAGACATGATACCCAAAAACAACATCAAACATAGTCTGAGCCCCTACAAGGTCAGCTATCGACCTAATAGGATGTCCACCAAGAGGTCCTTCCATACTTCGACAAGACACGCACAAAGAGCCACTTCTGCGATACCTCATATATCTCTACATATTGCTGCTGCAAGCTCCGGAAAAGGCAGGAAGTACGATCCTGAGAAAAGCACTGTCGATTTCGTACCTGATGGTACAAATACACTTCCGGCTCAGACTTCTGGCAATGTCTATCAAAGGAGAAGGAACAGGCCAGACAGTGGGGAGGATGCTTACTTTGTTGCTTCGGTAGGGCGAGACACGACGACTATCGCTCTGGGTGTATGCGATGGAGTTGGAGGCTGGCAAGAGCAAGGAATTAACCCAGCTGACTTCTCACATGGTCTCTGCGGCTATATGGCCGAGCATGCCTTGACATGGCCATCCACGAACAAATCAGACGAGTCTACAATAGAGAATCTACATCCGAAAAAGCTTCTGCATGCTGGCTACGACGACACTCTGGCCGATAAAGAGATCAGAGCAGGAGGTGCCACTGCCTGCGTGGCTGTGGCTGATGGAAGTGGTAGGATGAGGACAGCGAATCTGGGAGATTCAGGCTTTGTTCACATCAGACTAGGCGCAGTTCACACTCAATCGCCACCACAAACTCACGCCTTCAATACTCCCTATCAATTAAGCAAAACTCCCCCCGAAATAATGACCCAAGCTGCCATCTTTGGCGGCCTTCCTCTCAACGATTCTCCAGACCGTGCAGACGTGGCGGACAATCAGCTACAGCATGGTGACATTGTGATTTTCGCTACTGATGGTGTCTGGGACAATCTCAGCAGTCAGGATGTCCTCACCATTGTATCTCAGCAGATGCGTGATGCCAAAGCATGGGAGCGCACTGAAAAAGGTCTCACTGTGAATACATTAATATCTGATCTGGTACAGCCTGGTTCGAGCGATAAGAGGAACGGAGCAAGTCTACAATCTGTATTGGCAAGCCATATCGTTGGAGAAGCCAAGGCTGCCAGTATGGATAGGAAGAGAGATGGTCCATTCGCGAAAGCTGTACAAAGAGAATATCCTATGGACCGTTGGCATGGCGGTAAGGTCGATGACATCACTGTGCTTGTGCTGGTAGCGGTTGAGAACAAGCAGGAGCTCAAGGCCAAGTTATAATATCTGACCACAACGCTTTTGTTGAGCAGGTGTACAAAAAGGAAGAACCCGATGGCAAGACAGGACGTCCCAGATGTTTTCTAGCGATGGCGTTACTGGCGCAAAGGAAAAGAGTGAGCTTGATATTAGATGTATGTATATTTGGCATTTTCAATATTTAACATTTCTTACCACAATCAAACATAGACTCCGGCTTCAATACCTCGGCAGACACGTCAAAAATACTCTTTACGCGTCCTGTCGCGACCCCTCATTAAATATGTAACATCGAGTAGAAGCGACCAGTTTACCACCTTACACCATTTAAGTTCACTAACCAAACAACAACAAACGACCAACAGCGCCCAAAATGCCCTTCCTCGATCGCTCTCCCACCATATCCCTCTACTACGAAGTCCACGGCCCACCAACCTCGACCCCCCTCCTCCTCACCCACGGCTATTCCTCCACCTCCGCCATGTGGCAGCCCCAAATCGCCTCGTTCTCGCAGCACTACCGCCTCATTCTCTGGGACATGCGCGGCCATGGCCAGACATCCTACCCCTCAGACTCCTCAGCCTACAGCGAAGAGCACACCATCGCCGACATGGCCGCATTGCTCGATCATATCTGCGGCCCTCAGTCTCAGGCGATAGTTGGCGGACTCTCGCTGGGAGGATACATGTCCCTTGCGTTTTATCGTGTATTTCCAGAACGGGTGATGAAGTTGTTGATCATTGATACTGGACCGGGGTTTAAGAAGGATAGTGCACGGGAGGCGTGGAATGAGACTGCCTATAAGACTGCGGAAGGGTTTGAAAAGAACGGATTAAAGCAGCTGTCAGGTCTGAGTCCTGAACGGTCAACGGTGAGGCACAGAGATGCGAAGGGGTTAGCGCTCGCTGCACGGGGTATGTTGACTCAGCGGAATGATGCTGTGATTACGAGTTTGGAGAGGGTGCAAGTGCCGAGTTTAATTGTGGTTGGGGAGGATGATAGGCCGTTTTTGGCGGCGGCGGAGTATATGAGTAGGAAGATTGGGGGTGCGAAGAAGGTGGTGGTTCCGAGAGCGGGACATGCGGTCAATATTGACCAGCCGGAAGTGTTTAATGAGGCTGTCTTGAAGTTCTTAAAGGGTAGTGATGAGAGGGCGCGGCTTTGATAGACTGCTAGGAAAAGGTTGATGGTGGATACTAATTATGTTGGAGGTGGGTTACTCTTGTCCCGCAAAGGTACTATGTCCATGAGGCCATGATAATTATACACTAGGGCCCACCCAAGCACACCTCGGCCCGCTGTATCGGCATTCCTCATGCTGTGGCGACTTGCACAGGCTGGATGTCAAGGTCCCCGGAGTCAATATTCTTGTGCCTCCGGTTAGCAATCGAGGCTTGCGCGATCTCAGTCACGATGCTGTCAATGTCTACCTTCCGTGTACCAGCACCCTCGTCTCCAAGAACCTCAAAATTGGTTATCTCTGCATTACCAACAGCATCAACTGGTGTCTGCGGTTCAACTACAGGTGATTCCGTCGAAGTAGCAGACAGAGTAGGCGTCGACTGCTCCTCTTCCTCAATTTTTGCCCCTTCATCCATTGTCGGGACGTCGGTCGGCGCAGTTGCGACTTTCTCAACCATCGACCAAGGCGCTTCGCCAAGTTTCATGTAATTGTAACAGTTACTGAAGCCCAAATCATCGCCGAACATGTACTTCAGCACTTCGGGCCCGGACTTTGTTCCCTCAGTCGGGCTGTATGAAGTTCCCGTCGAACCAATTGCCAGTCCGATTACAGCTGGATGCTCGGCGAGCTCTTTGTATACTGGTTCGTATGCGGGCGAGGGAATGTCGTTAAAAGAATCAGACGATCGGCGTGCATAGGGTGATGATGGTCTAGTGGGAGGAAGCTGTGATATGATGTGCTGGTGGATATTGTAAGCGCAGAAACCTCCCATGTGCATGGCTGCCCCGCAACGTTTGATGCCTGACCAGAGTGCTATGTCACCCGCAGCAAGATGGTAGTCGTCGCCGTTGAGGAAGTGAAGTGATGGTTTGACTTTCACAAATCCCTCGGAGTCGACTGTTGAAGGAGGGAGGTACGTCGTGGTTGGAACAGATCGGGATATGGCGTTGATGACATGAGATGTTCGGACAATATCGCCATTCGAAAGTGTGAGTGAAATGACCGTTTCTGAGTCGGGTTCGGATATGTCCTTCACTCTCTGACCAGTCACAACCTGAACGCCAGTGCTGCGTAGGACAGACAGTGTCTCGTCCTTGAAGTCATCTGGTAATGGTTCGGAAGAGAGAAGACGATCGCGAGAATGAATGAGGGTAACCTCAAGTGCTGGGTTGACAAGCTTGAGTTCAGCAGCCATCTCAATGCCGACTGCACCCCCACCAATGACCACAACACCATTTCTGGCATTCATCACGGAATCGATATGGGTCTGAGCTTCTGGTAGATAGGTGTTTCGCGAGAGACTCTGCGGCACGACTGGCCAGGCCCGTCTCAGCCCAGAAGCTGCTATGAGATAGTCGTATTCCTGATCGACCGGGCTCGAACTGTCTTTCCGTCTAATGACGGCAGTCTTGGTGTTGATATCGACCTTCTCAACACTTCCATGTATGAAGCTGAACGAAGGATGTTGAAGACCAGGCACATCTGAGAATTTGACCCATGCTTTGGCTGCATAATCACTGCTTGCCAGAGCTAAGGGCGAGCCGATGACATGGTAGAAGCCGTCTCTTTCGTCCACGATGGTGATGTCGATTGGCACGTCTCGTTTTAGAATCTCTGATGTGGGTGCAAATCGTGGTGCCCTGCCCTCGCACAGGTCGAGTAGGTTCGTCGCAGCAGCAAGACCAGCATAGCAACCACCAATAATCAGGACTCTTTGAGGTCTGGGAGTGTGGCCAAATGGAGATGCCATAGTCGATAGGCTTGTGGTATCGCGTTCAATGCCGAACAGATACACCTAGAAATACAAACCTGAAGTATAACAGTAGTGTTCTGAGCTAAGCTTTGCTAACCACGTTGACACAGGTCATGAGCGGGAAAAGATCTCAAGGATGATATTGGCCCCGACATCTCATCAGATAAGATTGAGCTCACTCTAGTGTTGGAGCCACAGAGAGGTCGTACCTTCCTAGTTTGTGCATCATTGACCTTCCGACGTCAGTGCGACATCGGAGAGCATAGATCAAGACTGACTTCTGTGCTCCTGTGGGTGCACTTGGCAAGGTGGATGTTGATCGCTTTTTTGAGGAGAGATTCGGCATAGTGGTGTCGGTTGTCAAGTAACCGAGCATGATGGTTGGTGGAGGAGGGTATGGAGTATGATGATCTTATCTGATCCCACAGAAAGAATCTCCTGCCAATGATATAACGTGCCAAGCAGAGATCGGAGCCCTATCGCAACCCACTTACGTCGACCGGCAGTAATTCGACTGACACTTGCATCAACAGCTTGCCGATCATTCTCACTCATATTGTGCTACCAGAAAGTCGATTTTCCGCTCTGCCCTGATCTGATAATAGCTGTTTCTTGCATGACAGGTGGATGTACCGGACCGCATGCCAAATACGATTCCCGAAAACTCATCTACACGTCGCAGTGTCAGTCATCCTCCTCTCAGATTCTGTTGACGAAATGAGTAGCGTGTGGCTGTTCTCGGGTCTCATTTCACGATGTCGTGCTATATTATGAAAACACACAACTGCTTCCAAACGACACTACGCAGAGGCAATTCTCGTTCTGGCAGTCTCCAAGTTTAGAGTCCTCTTACCTCGATATCAGCAGTTTCCTTCAAGGATGCTTCGACTAGCTAGGATAGTATAGCTGGGATAGTATAGCTGGGATAGTATAGCTGGGATAGTATAGCTGGGATAGTATAGCTGGGATAGTATGTGCGGACTTTTGTTACCCAGCACCAATGTCAAGCCTGGTTCAACGACTGAAGCCCTACTCTCGATTTTGTTGCATAGTAACACTGCTTCCTTGAGTTTCAATGTCAGTCCATAGGTCATTACCTTTGGCCATAGATCTGGATAACGCATGTGGCAGTGTTTGTGTCAGTACCAAATACATCGCCGTCAAGTGGTCGCTGATTAACAGCAATCTCGTGCCCTTGCTTAGCATGCATTAAGCTGTGCACTCGTGACCACAGGTGTCTCAGTGGACAACATTCAATTGCCACATAGGCGGACAGACTGAGTTATGAGGACGGAGGGGAGACAGGGAGATGCGGGTTTAGCTCCCATGCAAGGCTCTAGTTTCGAAGGGTAACATGCTGAGATAATGTTGAACTCGACAACAATGACAGCGACAACAATGTGTGCTTCGACAGTGAGTAATGTTGAAATGATAGGGCGCTGCAGATCATCGTCGCGGAAGGAGCAGCATGGGTCCCGCCAAATCAGTCTACACTGATTGGTGGCCGTGCCTGTGACGTCGCGACCTTCAATAAATTTGTCTGCAAAATGTCCAAACAGCCACACGGCACGCAGAATGTTCAGCGAAGGCAGTATGTAACAGGTGTCCATGCACTGCAAAATTAATCACAAAGACCTTGGTATTCAGATCGCGTCGGAGACCTTTCAGCTTCCTCATCGCTGAATCGCATGTCAGGATAGCCGAGACTGAAACCAGAGCAATGTGGGATGGCAGAAGATGATGCGCGAGCGTATGTGCTTGCATTCGAAAATGACAAGCCCGAAGCCGCCAGGATAGCCTCACAGACCTCGCAGAAGCTGCAAGATGGTCAAATTAAATTGGTCGAAATCATCAAGGCACTGGGCGAATACCTGCAAAGCACCGATGCTAAGATAAGAGATCGTGCGACAAATTACCTCGCAGCCATTATCGTTAACCTGCCATCGAAGCAGCTCTCGAGACAGGATATCTCCATATTGAACTCCTTCTTGTGCAGCCGAATAAGAGATGGAGGTGCTATTGAGGGCTTATCCCGTTTACAGAGCCTCGATCGCTTCTCACGAGACAACGCGACCGAACTGGCGCAGGCAATCTTCGAGAATTTTGCAGACATGTCAGACAAGAAACAGGCTGAAAGATACCAGGTCTATCTGCTTCTGAACGAGTTGTTGGGCACTCACAGGAAGGCTATGTTGGAAATGGCTGACACGTCTCTATTAGGTTATGTGCAAGTGTTTGGAGGAGAGAAAGATCCTCGCAATCTTATGCTTATTTTCTCCATGTTGAGAGTTTTCATGATTGAATGGGATATCTCCAAGCACATTGACCTCATGTTCGATGCAGTCTATGCCTACTTCCCTATTACCTTTCGACCTCCACCGAATGATCCTTATGGTATCACAGCACAAGATCTCAAGGATCGCTTGCGTGATTGTCTCGCCTCGAATGGCGAACTCGCCCCATCTACATTCCCAAATTTGCTGGATAAGCTGGATTCCACGTCCGAAGTAGTGAAGAAGGACGTTCTCCAAGCTCTCTCTGCTTGTGCATTGCACTATGACCCACCAACCATCGCTCAATACTCGATCACTCTGTGGGATGCTGTCAAATTCGAGGTACTCCAGGCGCAAGAACCTTTTCTTGCTGACGAGGCCCTGAACGTAATCAAGAACATTGCCATTTGCTTGTCGAGAAAGACAAGCCCTCATGCTGTGGAGTGGAAGGCTGACCCACTAATACACTATCTGAAACCAATCAACAAAGAGTGTCTCGAGCATCTTCAGGAGCCCGCTTCCAGGCAGGCTGGTGCTTCAGGTGATATTCTCAAGGCTGCTGCCTCTGCCACTACTCGTTCCTTCGAAATCGTTCTGAAAAGTGTTGGCCCTGCCTTTTTCACCCTTCAGCAGGCATCAGAGGGCATCAATAACCAACGTGCCATCCTGACGGCAGTGAATAAGATCTTCGAGGCGTCACTTGAAGTTTATGGATCATGGGCCAGCAATAGCAATAAGAACCTGGAAGGTGAAATAACCCTTCTCGCTGAGTTCAAGGATAAGCTACTGGCGATATACAGCAGGGCACTTATGGGTACTGTCAAGGAGGAGGTATCTTATCGCCTTGCAGCACTAAAAGGATTGTTGCTACTGGCTCAAATGCGCAACTTACTCGACGATAATGAGATAGGCTTGATAGTCCAGCACCTTAACGATATCGTGCTGGATGAAGAGTCTTATGGAAGAGATGAATTGAAACAACGAGCAATGCAAGCACTTGCCGAAATCTCTATGTTTAGGGCTCGGTTGATCACAGATATCACTTTCCCTAAATTCATCGCTCGACTACCCGAATCAGAGAAAGACGCTGGCACCTCGAAAAGCTATCAACCAGTCCTCGAAGGTCTTGCAGAAATCAGTGTTGGTCAAGACTTGCTTGAGACATTGATTCGACGACTACTGAACAAACTCGATATACTCATCCAAACAGGTTATCAGCCAACGTACCCTTACACATGCGCTATTCTCTCTATTGTCTACTACGTCCTTGATAGGAGTACCAAGAATTCCGATCTTGGTCTGGACAGCTATTTCGATCGTGTGGTAGTTGGCTTGTCAGAGAAAGCCGCGACCGGAACCAGTCCGCCTCTATGCAACCAGGCTGTACTGAATCTACTTGGTCGCACAATCAACCTAATTATTCGTCGCTCCTCGGATGAGCACAAAGATCAAGCGTCAGGTAACATTTACCGGTTGTTCCGGCACTCTTCGCCTGAGATGTTGGACGAGACGAATGTTGACAGATACTATCCGCTCAGTGCACTCACACTTTCCACATGGATGCTGGCAGCCCTGCCTAAATCCTCGAGGACAGGTATATTGTCTCGTCCACTGATACCGCTTATTCAAGTATTAGCCTACAAAGTTAGCCAAGCGAGTGACGAAGATGACCCTACAGTTGAGCAATCATGCTTGCGACAAATATCATTGTTGATTAACAAGCACTTATCTTCCAAGGAAGACCTGGCTCAGATAACCAACTTCTTCACACATACTATCGACGGCCTTAAAGACCAGAGTACAAGTTCAGACAGCGATTATGGAAACTTCTTTCGTTCTCAGGTACGATATACTTTCACTCTTACGAAAGCTCTGGTACTCCGACTTGAAGCGTCAACAAACTCGATCCTCACATCCGTCGTCGACCTACTGCAAGACCTGCCACCCCGAAAGGCACGATATCTTGCTCTAGGCTTCGGCATCATTCTTGCACCAGATGAGGTCTTATCGAAGACGAACGAGGCTCAGATCCGACTTCTTGCTCCTCAGCGAGTATTCCAGACACTTGTCCCGATGTTCAGCGCCAAATTTAGAGATTCTGATTCAACGCAAGAACAAAAAGAGATATACCTGATAGCACTCTCAGGCATACTGGGCACTGTTTCTAGTGACATCGTGATGCCCGAATTGCCGACTTTGCTGCCTCTACTCCTCCAGTCTCTTGAGCTATCGGACGCGAACCAGAACGTCAAAACAGCAACATTAGAGACAATGACCGTGGTTATCACCAAGAACCCAGAAGCATTGATTGAGAGCGGGCACATTCCTGCACTGGTGAGGCGGTTGATCGCAGTCGCTACCCCCTCAATCAAACCAGCAAAATCCAAGCTACCTGCCAATACAGGCACCAAGACCTCCTCCGACGTTATCATGTCTGATGCACCGGCCACCTCATCCTCTCCCAAGGTACGACAGCTGGCATTGCGCTGTGTGGCGCTATTGCCACAGCATGTCAAAGATCAAAAGACACCCAGTGCACTTCTCCCGCTGAAAAAAGAAGTACTCGGGGGGTTGGCCGGGTGTTTGGATGATCCTCGTAGAGATGTGAGGAAAGAGGCTGTTGACGCTAGAGCGAGCTGGTTGAGAGGTGTGGATGATCCGGAAGATTCGGATGAAGACTAGGAAAGCAAAGATAGATAGCTTTTACAGGCCAAGCATTGTAGATCGGGTTCGCAAATAGCGCAGAGGAAACGATGTATGAAGTAACTCCTTGTGCTTCTTCCCACGCCCGTTATGACATGATAGAGATTCCCGTCAGGTGCGCGAATGTGCCCTTCTAGTGATCCCTACGGCCAGCTGACTTCGTACATGAGATTTTTTACCCGACCTTGTTAATCATCCATACTTTTCTCCCCGCTTCTCTGCTTCCTTTTCCCAATCCAGTCCTCGTATGCTTTTCGGAAGCAGTCCGACGGAAGAAGCATTATCGACGACGTGTCGGTCTGTTGACTGCTTTCTAGTCGTCGTCGTCGCGTCCTGTTTCCTCCTCTCTGGCTGGTGGATACTCACGACTGACGATTTTGGTGTTGATATCTTTATGCGGTGGCGTGCTGACATGATGGGCATGTATGTAGGAGTTGTGAATAAGATAGATGAATAGGGGGATAGGGTTAAGCTGTGATTGTTTATGAGCGTGGAAGGTATTGGAGGTGAATGTTCGAGCGAGGGTAGTGGAACATGCATCGTTTGACACGGGTGATGGAGGGGGCGATGTTACAGGTATAATGCTTGGCATTCTTGGTGCCTGAGCATGCCAAGAGAATCATGTCGGTTTGCTCGATTACTTTTCAGTAAACATCGATGGAAACTTATGATTGTGATCTCATTCAGACTTTTCATTCTCTACTTCATAATCTGACTATATCTCGTATCATACTACATCCTCGTTCTTCATACAATCATCCAGCTAGCCAGCTAGCTGTGGCCCATCTAAGATGGTGGAGGGCCAGGAGGGAAGATGACCTGATAACCAGTGTCTAATCCCCAGGCAATGCTATTGAACTCGAGGTGCACAGTCTTGATCTGGTTCTGTGCATTCAGACCGAAGAGGTTAAAACCCTTCACCTGAGCGACCTTTGAGCCGATGCCGGTGAAGACCCACTGCCAGAGGATTTGGTCACAACCAGCGACGAGGACTTGGAGGGTGCTGATGCCTTCGACGGGAGGAGCGTTGAGGACGCCATTGATGTAGAGTTGCTTGCCGGCAAAGGTTGTCTGGTTGAGCTGGGGGAAGGTGTTAGTATGCTGTTGGTTGGAAAGGAAGAAGAAAGATGGAAACTTACCGGTTGGCCTTCGAGGGAGAGGATAGAATCGGAGATCTCGATGTAGTCGTCTGCAAGAAGAGTCTGTGCAGTAGCGTTGGCGGCTTTGACGTCGTAGTGGTTTAGGATCGTGACGTATTGATTGACGATGTCTGTGGCGGTGCCTTGAGCCAGACAATTGCTGGGCCAAGCAGACCAAGCAGGAGCCGCGAATGCAGAGGATGCCAGAGTGCAGGCTGCTGCTGCGATGAGACTGAACTTCATGGTGACTTTGGTGAGAACGTGCGAGTAGTGATTGAATGTAAGAATGAATGAGGTGAGAGTCCGGTGCACTGAGACTTTTCGGCCTGGTGTTTACGAGTGAGAGCGAATGTATGATGGGGAAAGCAGATAGATGTGAGAGCAGGCGGCAGTCATATCTTATACGTGCTCTTGTAGGCTCGTCAAGCCTGGATCTCACATGAAACCTTTCGAATAGAAGAGGCACTTTGCTTCATCTGGCATCAGAAAGCCATAGTCTCAAGCCCATATGTCATAGTAGGCTGAATCATGTTGGGAGATTGAGGTCCTGCACGGCGTCTCGGAGCATATCCAAGAATATCCAGATTACTTGCGAGGCACGTCTTTTGTTGTCTTGCTGAAAGTAGCTAGTCGTTCACTCACGAAATGCAAGGTACCGAAGTTTGTTCAGCACGAGGTGAAGGTAAAGAAACAGGACTGCAGCTCATCTTGGGCTTCATGTGGAGCGATCCGCTCTCCGCGAATCTGTGATGGGGTTGGGAAGCTGCGGGTTAAACTGAATGGAGTTGCACCGTTAGCTGTCCAGTCATGTTTTCCGCTAGTACTGCAATTTCACAGTCGTTGATCTAGATGTCTTTGATGTGCCGAACCTTTGGTTAAATGGGTAAGTATAGTACCTAACCTATTCTCGTTGTCAAAGACAAGATGACCACGTGGTGCTATGGTTATAGGTTGTCACATTTCCGCGAGCAAAGCGAATAATGCGCACAGTTTGGTCGAAGTAGGGAGTCGTGAGTTAAGCGACCACTCATCCAGAAGCTTTTCCAACGAGAGCTTGGCGTGCTTTCCTCGCGCTAAGCTTTCGGTAGTGCTTGCGGAGAGCGCGAAGGATCAACCATGACAAACTCTGAACGTGGCGCAAATCAGCTTTGAACGTTGCCCAGTATCGCTGAATAGCTGCCGCACATACAGTATGTTGTCATCTCAGATAGATCCTCACGTTTGTATCATCCGTGATTCTTCGAGGAGAGAAACAAGACTTCACAGCATGAGCCGCAGGCTGTCGTTGAGAAACTCGAGAGCCAAAATCCTTGTCCGCCGATCTTGACGATGTTGTGGCTCAACGACGGGTCGTCCGTGGCGTTCCTGGAACACGGAGCGGTCCTGGCTCGCCTAGATCATGTTGTCTTCATTGACATTGTGACGGAAGTGGCGGCTTGAGCTCAGCTCACGGGCGCCGATAGCCCGATGTTTCGAGAGGCTGGGAAACGCAACTTGCCAGTCCATCGTCCCCTATGCCTTTCATTGTTCACTGTCAGTCAGCGATCCAGATTTGAAAGGGTGTTAGAGGTCAGGTAAAGTTATTGAGCTGCCTGATCTTCTTCTTTTGTGTCGATGTAACCATTAGCGACTGTGCCCAAGGTATTGTAGGCTCACAATGACGCGGCATTAATTGTGGCTAAAAGTACATACGGTCTGCAGCCGGCTATCACGTTTCTATTCTAAATACTGCGTGTATCATCATGAAGATGTTTTGCGACACGGAGACCGATACACGGCCTAGCGAGTAATTCTGACGACCCCCAGTATACTGAAGACGTGGTGGGCCATTGTGGGCAACTCGCGCTAAGGATGAGCACAATGTGAACGACTTTCTGAGGGCTACAGAAGCACTAGCCGAGGCTATTTGGTCGTGAAACGCTCGACTCGTGTGAAGCCAGAGTGATCAGAGACAGATAACACACAGCGACAGGTATGAGGACGCCGAGCATGAGCTCGTTGCGAAAGACAGACATTATCTTATCCCATCTCGCCGGCCATCCATCTCGAAGTATCTTCTGTTGTTCTCTTCGCCTAGGAGCTCCATTGGTTGTGCTGCCCGATGATAAGAAACATCTTGATACTGCTTCGTAATTTGTGGGCCAGGTCTCGGTAATTCGGCTACCACAGAGATTTCACCTCGAGGAGGCAGACACTGTCGACGTTGTTTGTAAAGCAAGTAGCCGCATGCAAGTGCCAGCACGAAAGAAAGAACGCCGAGCGCAACCCCTACACCGATTCCGATTTTTGCTCCACTTGACAATCCACCGCCAGACATCGCCGTTGTAGAGGGGCCGCTATTTGATGGACCTGTAGAAGTAGGTAGGGCCTTAGCAATTGTTGGGGAAGATGTAGATGATGTAGTTGTAGAGACGGGTCCCGATGTGATGTTGAAGTAATGCGATTTGACCAGAGTTGGATAATCTTCAGCGTTCGAGCATACAAACCAGGATACTGCAGGCAAAAATATCAGCAATTGGAGTGCATGGCCAGCAGCTTGCCATTCGTGGTCCTCCTACCTGGAAGTTCTGTCAGGTTCATGGTACTAGGTACTTGTACTGTCCAGTTTAAGTAGCCTGTATTCGTGATGCCGAACACGAAATCCCAGTATGTGTCGCCCCTCGCAACGTCCTGGTTGATTCTAAGATTGACCACCTCGTAACTCGTGTCCCATTCTAACAGTATAGTACTGCCAATTGAATAGACGTTGTTTTGCGAATAGTTACCCGCCTTGCCGAATGCAGGCGGATTGATCCAATCTGCCGTAACAAGGCTGCAGATGAGTAGAAGCGTCGAAAATAGGTGCTCGCGCCACATATCTGAGCTCTTCGTTAATTGTACGTCTTTGTGAGCACAGTAAGGTCTGAAGGAGCAATGTCAGGAAATGTTGTCAGAGAAAGGCTGAAAGTGCTCGAGCAACAAGTTTTGGGAAGTAGGGCAGCCTACCCTGCCACTGATTTGCGCAAGCTACAAGCTATTGATGCCATCGGACCATAGCTGATAGAATAGGCTTTACATGCTTCCTGCTTCTGCATTGGTTCAAATGAATCAGTGCTGTTAGTCCTTGTCACATACCTATGTACTTGTGGCATGTCCAACCAATATTGGGCCGCAGGAGTGTCTTCCACCCCACACACGGTGAACCTCAGAACGTTGTCGATAGACTAAGGCTGGGGGCTGAGCAGAAGTTAAAGCCCTATACAAAGGTTGCTGTAGCCAGATAGAAGCACTATCGCTGAGAAGGAAAAGGCTGCTATACAACCTGTTGTTGATTGGCAGATCGGATGGCGGCGTACAGTAGTCTCGAATCTCAGCCGTGTCCATCAGCCCTTCCTGTACGACCGAATCTCCTGCCGCTACTCCTCCTACGGACCTGGGACTCCGTGGAAACTTGGCAGGAACTGGGATCATAAGTGTTCGCACTTCACTTTACTTCTTTCTCTCTTCTAGCAGCAACTTTAGACATATACTGCAGGTACACTCTTTCTAACCCTCGCATGGACGAGCTCAAACCCGGCTATTCGTGATTCGGCTTAGTCTCGGCACTAACCAAACTCAAGCATTGCTTGTATTGTTACCCATGCAGCAAAGACAGGATCTTCCGTTGTAAATAGTAGGACTCTCGCTGGATGTGTCACATTCAGTTTACGATGCAGAGACTCTGATGAATACAAGTCAATCTATGTGTCGGAAGACATGATCCAGAGAGCAAGCTGGATAACACCAATGTAGTGAAGGGGTAACAAACAGAGTATAAATCACGAAGTTGTGCTCAGTCAGCATAGTCACAATCAGTGTATAGGCATGCTTGGAAATAAATCTCGAAACAGCGCTTTCTACGTGCTGCACCATGTCATCTCTGCCTTTTGCACGGTCATGATAGAGATAATGGCTTATGCCACATCCACGAGATCTGGATTCAGCTGACCGTGCCGTTAATGACAGGTTTCAGTCCTCCAGAATATCAGTGTTGGCTATAGCTAGCATAATGAAGAAACTGCACGAGAGCTAAAAGTGAGGTTAACGTTTAACTCTTCTCCCATCATGAAGCCTTACCAGGAGTATGAGCACACCAGTAGCAAGCAGTGACCACGGAGATGCTCTCTTACCTACCTCGCTGATGGCGTTCTGTTCACAGAAGAATCTGTAACTTCCTATCAGGAGGACGATGATTGCCACGACTTGACAAATGCAGGCTTTGTAGCGAAGCATATGATAATGCTCTGGTCGAACGACCCTAGCAATCTTGGACATCTGAGCAACCACTATGCCCATCCATGAAACAGCATTGGACACAGCTAGCCAATTGTGCCATGTTCGCTCATTTGCTGCACCAGGTCAGCAAGCTGAGATGAGTTTCCATGAGGACAAGCGTACCATAATGATCTGCCAGTGCACTATCCTTAGAAAAGAACTCGAAAGCCACACGCTTGGACCAGAACGACTTGATACCCTCAAAACTGAACAATGATGATTTCTCGGACAGTTCACGACGGTCCTTGTCTGCCATGCTGAGCGTGTCTGGGGTAAGCGTCGAATTGAAATATCAAGAATCCCCGCTTGTCTTGCTAAGCATTTGGCTGAAACGTGAACGATTCAAGTGTGGCAGCGACACTTTGCCTAGATTGAACCTGTGTCTGCGTGGACGTGAATGCTGCATCACGACAACGGCGTTGCATGCCACGCTCCTGCATATTGTGCCTGTATGTTGGAGCACCGGCAGCCACGATAGCCCCACTTCAGGCTTGGAAGGTGCAATGGATGTAAGTACAAACGATTCGTGCCATCCCTCGCCCAATCCCTTGAGGGTTCGGTGTATCATAGTCTGACAAATTGCTCCGTGTGGAAATTCAAGCCGCGGCCTCGTACTTTTGGGGACCAGACCTCCCGTTGGACGTGACACAAGATTCGAACCGTGTTGCTGGTGTGAGATAGCTGATTAGTCGTTTAAGAGCTACCGCAATTGACAACGGCAATATTCATAGAGCTTCGGGCATCGTGGGGATGGTAGTGATACTAGAGAGCCAGTACTTTTCCTGTCAACTGAACGGAGCACATAATGAGGGTGGTATCTGGTCAATATATCTACTGGATATACTGTACGAAGATGAGAAAGAGCCGGAAAAAATCTTTTATTCTTCATTTCACAACCTATACGTTAGCACAAGCTGAATACCCTGACTGAGATATTCCCAAGCCACTGGCCAGCACGAAGGCGTCGCTTGTGTATACATACAAGCACGTGGCGTTTCTAGAAAGAAGAACAAAAAGAAGAAGAGGTACAAAGACACAGACTTCCATCTCCAAGAGTGCAAAGCTTCAAAAGAGCTTGAGCACGATTTAAGCTCAAGTCACGTGAGAGGATGAAGTCAATGTGCAAAGCGCTCTTTGGAGGCAAGAGCGGAAGAAAAGTGCCGCCAGCGCAGTTGCGACACAGTCTGAGTTTAGTCAGATGGGGAGCAAAATCGAAGGTTGGAAATGATCTCGAGGCTTCCGTTTGTCCCAGGTAAATCTTCACTTCTTGTGTTTGTGTTATTGTCCACGGTTGTACATAACTTATTGACCTTTCTTCTCTGTCAGCACTTCACATCCCTCACAGCCATCAATAGACAGCACGCCACTACCCGAGAAGCCTGAGGGTGCCCACGTAAAACAACCACGAGTGCAGTACTACCCCAGCTTTGCCTCTTCGAAAACCAGCTTGCAGCAGTGCTGCTTTTCAACCACCACCACAGCGAAGAAGAAGAAGAAGAAACCAGGCACGATGGCCTTGAGCAAGAGTCAGAGGATATGCATTCTGCTCGCCATCGATGCAGCGTTCTTTTTCGTCGAATTGATAGTCGGTAAGCTTGTTGAAGAGCTTTCGTACTGCCACTATACTAACTGGTCACAGGCTATGCCGTCCATTCCTTAGCACTGGTTGCTGACGCCTTTCATATGTTGAACGATGTGATGTCGTTATGCGTTGGATTGTGGGCTGTCAGAGTCGCATCCTCTGGCAGCTCCAAGATGTATACATACGGCTGGCAGCGCGCAGAGACCTTAGGAGCCCTGGTCAACGGCGTCTTTCTTGTCGCCCTATGCGTCACCATCTTCCTCGAGGCCATTCAGCGCTTTGTCGAGAAGCCGAACGTTTCCAACCCTAAACTCGTCCTGATTGTTGGTTGTTTGGGTCTGGCCTCCAACATTCTCGGCCTTGTGCTCTTCCACGATGTGTCGCACAATCACGGTCCTGGTGACGGCCACGCTCATGGAGATGAAGAGGAAGGGCACGTACATGGAGACACTCACAGCCCCAGCCATGGGCAGGGCCATGGCCACGAACACGAACATACTCATGCCACCGAGCAATCTCCCCTCATGAAAAAGAGCCCCAAGTCTACTCGATTCACCAGCGCTGACGAGGACGGAACAACCATTAACTCTGAGGCTACTCCTAACAGAAGAAGCGTCTCAGGTAGTGGTCATGGTCATAGGCGGAGAACATCTGGGTTTGGTTCAGTTGACAACATTCAAATTCACCCTGCATCCTTTCGAAACGATATCATCCAGGCAGCACGATATCAAGAAGAGCCTCTGGAAGAAGAAGCTCTATTGGAAGGAGACACGGAGGAGAGCAACGGCCACGATCACGTTCATTCTTCTCCTTCTCGAAACTTGAAGTCCAACAGGCACACCTACGGCGCTACTAGTGTCGAAATCGCTAATGCTCACCAGAACCACATTCACAGTCAGCCCAAAGATTCTGCAGCTGGTGGTGGAGGAGGTCATGGTCATTCTCATGCCGATCTCAACATGCGTGGTGTTTTCCTACATGTTCTCGGGGATGCCTTGGGCAATATTGGAGTCATTGCTACGGCTCTGATCATCTGGCTCACCAAGTTTGAAGGCAGATTCTACTTCGACCCAGCAATTTCTTTGGTCATTACGGCGATCATTTTGACTTCGGCCATTCCACTGTGCAAAGCTGCCTCCAGGATATTGCTGCAAGCTGTGCCAATGGGTTTGTCAATCGATGAAATTAGAGCTGACATTGAAGACTTACCCCAAGTGCTTGAAGCCCATCATCTCCATGTATGGCAATTGTCAGACACGAAGTTAGTCGCGTCACTTCACGTCAAGGTGGATTGCGATGTCAAGGGTGCAGGATCTGCGAGCTACATGAAGTTGGCACGAGAGATTAGGGCATGCTTGCATGGTTATGGCATTCACTCTTCGACGATTCAACCAGAGTTTATGCGGTCCGTTCAGCAAAAGGATCTACCGCACGACGACCACGAAGGTTCGTCAAGCGGAACTGAGAACCTAACCGAGAACGGCAAGATTGATATGGCCAGCAAGGCTGGAAGCATGCTAAGTGCCGATGGTCACGCGGCTGGTCCAGGCTGTATGATGGACTGTGAGGATACCTGTGGCTCGAACGGTCAGTGCTGCCCCAGTACGGATGGCAAAGGACAGAGGTAGGGCCCTGCATGTAAACCACTTGCACGGTACAGGGACGACCCAGGCCTGGCCCAAACGATTTGATGTTTTCAGGTTCATCTGGAGTTTTGGGAACGAGCATCAAGGACAACAGTCATGGAGCACGACTATCTGCTGAATAACAGCAGACACAGCATGCGGTCGGACATGCTGTATCCTTTTCATTGTATTATCTAGCTTGAGTATCAATGATCGCCCCGAGAGGCATCACAGACTAGAAGAATTTAACAGTTAATATCCTGAGTGTTCGTTTATGCTTGTAAGAATGATCGCCATTAGTCCTTCGCATATTCATCAGAGGAGGGTCCCTATCACAATTTAAATCATCCATCACGTATCCCTCCACAACAGAACCATATACAATATAATCGGCAAAGACCCCACAACCAGCAAACTTCTCCCAAGAACCTCCAGCTTCGTCCTCGGTTCCCTCAAGAGCCAGGACCGCCGTCCACCCCCACCCGACACCGAACTCCTATACGCACTCGCATACACCTTTCGATCCGCCTCATTCGTCGGCATCCCCCACGGGTCCGTCTCAGCCGTAAAAGCCATCTTGGACGGTGATGGTGTTCTGGAGCAAGAATGGGGCGGAATCTGCCCGTAGGTTCCGAGTTGTGGACCGCGACGCGAGGTGATGGAGTAGTTCGAGAAGGTGGAGCTGATGGAGTCGTTGTTTGCGATTTGAGGAGGAGGAGGAGGTGGTGGTGGGGAGGCGGCGCGTTTTGTGTTGATGATGTTGTTGGTGGTGGTGGTGCTGTTATTGCTGAAGGATAGACTTCGTGGGAGGAGAGGGATGTTAGTCTCGATGTCGCCGCTGTGGTTGGGTTTTTGTGGTGGCCTCCAGAATAGGGCTCGTGCGATCAGAAGGACGAACGTGGCTACGAGTAAGAACCCGTAGGTTTCGAAGATGGCCAGCTGGTCAGGCAGAAGGCATAGATGGTTCTGTACCGTGCCTCTGGGCATGGAGAATGTCTTGTCGAGTTTGTTGGGGTCTGACACACCGTATCCGCTCGAGACCATAGCTTGCGCGAGATCGATGGGGTTCCAGAGGCTGACGAGTTGGACGCCTGGTTTGCGGACGCCCATGGCCCAGCTTATGCTTTTTACTGTGATTTCTTTGATTCGTCCGGTGAATTCGTCATGTTCGATCTCGCAGTAGTCGTGGTCGTCGCCACTGTAGATTTGGGTGATTTGGCTCGCATCAAGTTTGTCGACGATGTCGCGGGAGACTAGGGGGGTCAGGACGTTCTGGTATTGGTAGCCGGCACGGATAGGGATTGCTGTGCCGCGTTCACGTTGGGGTCCGCAGTTGGACGTTTCGGAGCGGTAGAAGGGGACGTGAGATAGAATGATGGTCGGGTATTGTGAAGTTGTGACTTTGAGAGGGTCTGACAACTGCCGTGGATGGTCTTCGGGTCGCGGATCGAGACTTTGAACACCTGAAGGGTATTTCGGAGGGAATTTCACAGCCTCTTTCCTTAACTCGGGGAAGCTAGAGCGTGCGCCTGTGCTGCGAATTGTTTGCTTCACCGCCTGCTCTCTGAGTTCAGACACATTATCTAGATATGTCTCTACAGGCTGCCAGATATTGCTATTCTTCGAAACGGCAGACTTATCACCTAGCCCACTAGCTCCAGTTTGTATGTCGACCTGGTCCATGGCACTCAGAGAGACAGTGTCTAGCGACACGAATGTGTGGTTTCCACGAACATCGATCCTGTTAGTTGGCCCGAAATGAGCCTCAAACCTAGACCTGACTTTTGAATTGATACCACCTGCAAAACCAAGGTCATGGTTGCCAGGTAGAGAAGTTACAAGCTTACGTCCATTCTCAGTCGGTAATTTGGGCATTCCAAGATCGTACCAGGGCTTGACGAACATGTTCTGAAATCTTTCATACTCTTTCAGCCAGAAATCCTGCCCATACTGCTTGTATTGATCTTCTGGTGAATTGTAGCCTGTGGTCCCCCATTCTCGACCGCCATCGAACAGATCACCCAGAAAGAAGGTTGTGTCTGGTGCCAACCTAGTAAGAAGTTGGTTGTAAGCTCGCGAAAGATACAGATCGGTGTAGAAGATGGTCAAGGTCGAGAGGGGCCAGGGCCTGCCTGGATATGTATGAGGATCGACCAGCTGGGGATCTGCGACCAACAGAACATGATGAGGTTGAGAAGAATCTTTCTGCACCCCATTAGCTGTTTTGCTCGAGATAATCAAAGACTAGCTACCCATTTCTCCCAGTTACTCCATGCGCAACCTTTCACATGGCTCGAGAAGACGGCATGTTCACCCCACCATATTGTCCCTAGCCATGCGAGCAAAAGACATGTTGGCAAGAGACCAATGCTGCTAACTGCTGTCCTTGTATTCTGTAAATTTGACGTTTGAGCATCAATATGGTGCATATTCGATCCTGATACTGTGCTGTTGCCAGTTGTTGCACAGCGGCATGTTGCTCGAGCAATGCTGACCTATTGCATCTGTGGCAGTAAGGGTATTGAACCTGCTTATCAGTAGGTCGAGAGCGTCAGGTCATCATGGAGATATATAAGCGAAAGTTCTCGAGATGAATGCAGTGGCAGTTATGATCCCTCGCGTGGAAGCGCGTCTCATTATTGGCGGTCAGCACACCCTGCATCGTGCCCTGAAGCATGATAATTTCAGGCAGTCCACTAATGAAATCGCGGGTTTCTAGGCGCTAGCCCCAAAAAGCGCGATATATTTTACTGCTTTGTACGAGCTAAAAGACGGCTTGATCCCTTTCCACCACCTTTCGCCTGTACACCACATCGTCAAGACCTTCCCGTTATTGCGTTAAGCTCAGACTCTTCACGTAATTCGTAGCTCAAGTAGTTCTGTGAGATCAAGAGGTCTGCTAACTTTGCCGAAAACTTCTGCTCATTTGTTTCCTGATGCTCATCTCCATTGCGTACCTGAGGAACGTCGATGTTAGAAGTGATATCGTGAAGTTTTGGGACAACTCAGACATACCTATCCGTCTCGTAACCTAGTTACCAATATTCCTGGGTGTTCACTCACCCAACTTTCGCTTCTTTGGGGCCTTTTGTTTCTTTGGGGCCTTTCGTTTCTTGGGCGGTAAGATTGGAGCGGGAACGATCACCTTTCGAATTGCAGGCTTAGTCACAGCGTTGGGGGTATCTTGGTCGATGGTAGTGTTTTTCTTGTGCAAGTAACCATCAGTGACAGGAATGTCGTGGAACGTACCGTCTCTCTTGAGCAGAACAACATCCGGGACTTTCTTGCTAACGGTAGGACAGATGAAATGACTTCCATCACGATCACCGAGTCTGTTGATACGCTTGCGTATAGCTTCACCTTTGACGCCCATCCATTCGCCCGCTGTTTCGGTATTGATGACAAGCTTGAAGCCCTGATTAAATAACGTATTGCATAACTTGTTGACATAATCACCATCGCTGATTTTGTTTAATGTGTCGTCGCCAACTTCGTTGTATGGCTTGAACGTCTCGATTTCTTCTTCGTCAGATTCTTCGTCCTCGGCGGGAGCCGTTTCCTTCAGAAACTGCTCGGCTGGGATAGGTTTGTTAGGCTTTTTGTTATCGAGTCTCTGAGCTGCTACAAGGAATTGGTTTGTACCAGGAGCTTCGCTAGTAGGAGTTCCCTCAAGAGTAGAACTTGCTATGGTATTCGTAGGAGGCGGGTTAGTTTGAGCTTTTGCGGCTTGAGTTTGGGGAGAGACTTGGGCATTTTGATCGTTAGTACTTGCGGTGGACGATAGAGTCGGCTTAGGTTTCTTAGTAGCAAGGATTTTCTGAGCCTCAGGAGCTGGACGAGGTTCCTTAGCTGTAAGATCTTGCTGAGACATTATCGACCTTTCCTATCGACTACTCTTTGCCTGAGAAGATTCGTGCTCTGTTCAGGGACCGGTGCGGGATGTTAGTAGGATATAGACATGTGGTACAATAGAAGTTTAAGAAACAGATAGAGGGAAGTAGCTATGTAGCTTTTCGGACATGCATGTCCGAAAAGTTAGACCCCATATCGTAAAGCACCTCATATTCGAGTGAGGTAACAATAAACAGGTAAATTCACTTAACTTCTATTCAGTACCTTATTTCTACTTCACTGAGTGAGAGTGAAGTGAATCTCTAGACCACTAAAATTCGGACATCGATGTCCGAATTCTAGAGGCTTGGCATACGGCACAACCTCGGGCTATGCATAGGTAATTATCTCTCCTCCTTACGACGATGTCCCGTAACCTGTTCTTATCACTGTATACTGCTACACTGATTGAGGATCGTGTCACTTATTTGTTCTAACGCTTGCGGTCAAGGCCTTACTGAGCCTTGACCAGAAGATCGTGCAACTCAACGGCTGCTCGGTCGATACGACGTTTTTCTCCATTCTTTCGCACCACCCAGTTTGCGCGGCTCAAGGAGCTGCGCTTTCACAATTCCTCAATATGTCGACACCTCTTTTTGGAACACATTAAACCCTAAATTACAAAAAAAATTTGAAAACTTCATACAAAAAGTACAAGAAGCACACGAACATGATGATACATCCAAGCTTGATCTCACAAACATCGAATGTCCCGCAGGAGACCCCAAGACCAATCTTGCGTTTATGCTACACTGGCCACCTTCCAATGGCGACAAGGACGTTCCTTGCGCCAGCATCCATACGAATTTCGACAACAGAACTCTGAAAGAGCTTCGAAAGATATTTCCTGGCTTCTCTGACAGCTTCGCGTTCGATCTGGTTCCTAAACGATACCCACTGTACGAGAACGGACAAAGAAACGATATCGTTAGCATCTACAAGAACGAACCAGCCTTTCCCGAGTATCTACGGTATGCCAAGGTCACTATAGAGTCGCTCGAGCGGAAAGACGATACTCCCGCTGTGCTTGTCGCCTTGGGTGCGCCGGTCAAACACTACATACAAAACACATTCGGCGTCGAGAACGACGATTTCGCGCAGCTCAGAATCAACAATACGATTTAGAATGTCGTATTTATACCACATCCTGAGAGGTTACGACGTTGGTCTCCTCAGTCTGAGGTCGATGTTGTTGCCGAGAGGCTAAAGCAAGCCAAGCAAGACTTCTTAGTTGACATCGACATAGACGCCTTTCGCTCTATCTATAATCGTACTCGCAATTCTGAACCGCTTCGTAAGAAGCTAAAGCAGTCCGACGACGACAATATTGCTATTATTGGCCTTGAAGACGAGCCGCCTTTCGCTTTCGACTCTGCTTTAGCTATGGCTAATTACGGCGGTAACGACGACGACGTTTCTCAATGGCGTAATGAAAATTGGTATATGTCTTTTATACTTACTGTACAGTCCGATTCGTGGTCGAGTGAGGAGTATCTAAGGAGTATTCGGAACGACTTCTGGTCTATACCTAAGAACCGACAAGCACTCAGTGAGCGGTCAAAGGCCTGGCATGCAATCGCTGCCAACAAGGCGTACCATTCAGAGAGAGTAAAAGCAGCTCATGCCGAACTCAAGGCCGATCTAGAAAGATATGGCGCACTCAAAGCCAAGAGGAAAGAGACGGCGAATACTCTAGAAGCTCTCGAAAGATCGAGTCAACACGCCACTGCAATGTGGGCTCGACCAGACTGGAAAGAAACCCAGTTAGCTACGAATAAAGCTTTTTCAACAGAGTATCGTAAGGAGTACTACCAAACACATCCCGAGGCCGTCGAACATCGATCAATAGTACAGAAGAAGAAATGGGAGAACCCCGAGTTTAGAGCTCATATGACAGGTCCTAGTGGTGCGATATCACAGGGTGCGAAACGCCGCGCGGTTGAACAAAAAGCTGAAACCGCGCAAAAGGTAAGGGCAAATTACGATGCCAATCCCAAGCCAGAACATTTCCAACGTGCGGGTTTCGAGTGCCCTGGCCGAGGTGTTGTAAAAAGACCTGGTGGTGCTGGTGGATTGGAGGGTCTGGACACAATCTGTGGTAAGCGTTATGGTAATAAGGGAAAAGTCCGTGAGCATTTCGAAGCCATTCATTCGGCGGAGATCACGGCTGAGGAGAAGCAATCAATGGACGACAGCAGAGGCAGGGGGGTTCCACGGCCACTTGCTAAACGACTACGGGAGCATGTCATCAAGCGCGATGAACGGACACAGGGTGAAGTTGATGAGATAATGGCCTTGTTCGAAGATTGAACTACTACGACAGTTGTAATTAGTGATAAGCGTCATCATTCCTTAGGACATGGAATCGAATTGTTGATAGTGCAATCGAGCAATAAAGCCATTCTTAACCAACGGCGAAACGTCTTCGAAATGTCGCCTTTGCAGACTGCTGCGACCTATGGTCACACAGCCGTCTGCGAGATCTTACTTAAGCGCGGCGCAGATGTGATGGACGATAACCAAAAGAAAGGTACTGCGTTTTTCCAAGCAGTGGCGTTTGGGAGATTGGAGACAGCACAGGCGCTCTTAAGGCGTAATCATGCCCAACTCGACCTGCCTTGCAAAAACAACTGGACAGCTCTGCACAAAGCCTCCGATGCTGGCGCTGAGGATCTGGTCCAGTTTCTGTTGTCTTCAGAAGCTTCTGTCAATGCTAGAGATCAAGGTTATAGAACGCCTTTGCATCTTGCGTCTAAGAAGGGTCATACAGCCATTATGCGGTTACTGGTACTGGCAGGAGCTGACGTCAACGCCTCATCACGAGAAGAAGCACCAATCGACCTATCCACGACTTTTGGTCACACAGACGCGGTTCATTACCTCATCGATCAAGGTGCGACGTTGAACCATCGGGGACGTGACGGCTGGACACCCCTTCACCGCGCATGCCGAGGCGGTTATGTAGACATTGTGAAGCTAATGCTTCGACATGGCGCAGACATCTCTATCAGGAATCACCGACAAACTACATGCTTGTTCAACGCTTGCCGGTCTGGTAGGATCGAGGTTGTCCAGGCTATCATGGAGCACAATCCGACCCTACAGCAAGACCTTCTCAAGCAAAAAGATCACAAGCAGAGGAGTGCTCAAGAGATCGCTTACACAACAGCACATATGGATATCTACCAATATTTAGAGAACTTGAGTCATCTTCATGAGCCTCAACGTCTCACAGAACCCCACCCAGTGAATAATCTCGCCCGAGCAATCGAGACTAAGCAGATTGGTACTGTTCAATTGATCTTAGCGCAAGATCCGGAGCTTCTGCACCTACCAGATGCATCTGGTCAATATCCAATCCATACAGCTTTTGTATGGAGTGCTCCCGACATAGCTAAGTTTCTGCTCCGTTCAGGTGCGTCCATACACGCGATAGGGTTTCATAACTGGCAACCTTTGCATATTGCAACGGCAGTTGGCTCTCTGGAATTGACTAACCTAGCACTCTCACATGGCGCTAATCTTAATGCAAGAACAAGTACAGGCCAGACGCCTCTACTGAAGGCAGCGTCGTCTGGTTCTCTCGAAGTTCTACAGCGGCTACTCGAAGCTGGTGCTGATATTCGTGCTCGCAACAGTACGGGCATGACCTGCCTGCACGTTGCGGCAAGCAAGAACTTCATAGAGGGCGTGAGAGAACTGCTCGAGCCTGAATGGGGGGCTCAAGATCTTGTTCGAGTTCGAGACCAGTACGAAAGGCTACCTCGAGGTTGGGCGACTCGAAGCGGTCGCCTAGAAGTAGCTACATACCTCCGCTTACAGGAAAAAATGGTCGACAGCTCTGGTAGACCGGATCTCCACCGTCTAAGTAGTTCCCGTTCAGGCACGATAGGAGCAGACTCCGATGCTGAATGAATCCGGAATAAAAGTGGCTGGTAGCCCACTCAACCGTCGAGAATAGGACATGATCAAGATGTGTTGTCGGAGTTTTTTCACATACTTCATCAGAATCTTGTGCTACCTCATGTAGTGTCCGCGACAGAGAACGTGGCAGGAGGTCTCACATCGTCCTCGTAGCGAGGCAGTTCCATATCTACGGCTTCCAACCCGTCGAACTCTGCTTCCACTGATCGATAGAGCAGTTCATCAAGTCCTAAATCACGAGCACTGGGATCCAGGATTCGACAGGGTACCTCGACCTTCATCTGGAATTGATGGCTAGTTTCCTCATGCCGAACAATAGCCTCCACCCTGAGACGATGAACATGGCGCACTGTCACGATCAGGAAACTGCTCAGTAAATGCACTGATCCAGCTCCCCTCCAGTCCATCAATTTAATGTCCTGCGCAACCTTGACAGGTGTCGCATCCAGTGGAAGTTTGACAGGCTCAAAATACAACACTTGATCGGCCACAAATTCGCCACCTTCGGCGTATCGATCACCAGGCAATGGTGACCCTGCGCGGGCTGTAATGAGCTGCGTGTGGCTCCACAAGCTCAATCTGATACTGTCCAGGGTGAGAGCTGGCGATTCTGGATCGTCCTTAGTGATACGAATATGCTTGATCGAGAAATCGACTGGAAACCCTTGTTCAGCTGTCATCGCAACTGGCAGAGATACAAAGGCTTGGAAAGCAATACATGGCGTCCGAAGTTCTGGATCATTGGTGAACACATGCTTAAATTTCTGTCTCAATGTATGACTTTCGGGCCTGAAACTTCGATTTGTCCAACAGGGCGGTGGCAGAAATTCTCTCAGTCTGTTTTGGACTATTGACGGTGGACGGACCATTGCTGCTCGCCTAATCGTTATAGGCAATTCGAGCTCGTCGTTGCGAAAAAACCCTCCATTATCTACAAACACGGCCAGTTTGTACTTGATTCGAGCACTTGCATGATAGTTGTATGTCGCGGCATCAAAATCAAAAGACGGTGGCAGTCGATCCCGACCACCGTGGACGAATCCCGAACCTCGACTGTTCGCCCTCCTGATCTCAACGTGAGTAGGGATATCAAACTCAAACGGCCAATTGAATTTTTGTGGTGGAACATCATATGGTCCCTGGAATAACTGTTCACTAAAATCGAAGAGCCGTAGAATTTCTTCTGTGCGCATACGAGGACCATGAGTATTGCCAGAAGGACCTCGGCGAGACTCAGCGTGGGTGGTAGTGATTTTGCCACGGAAAGAGAGCGATGCAGTTTTGATGCGGCGTTGTTTAGATATCGTGTAATTGACGTAGCCACGGATTGTCTGACCAGGATAGTAGGTGTGATGCTGTCCGTGCTCGAGATGTATCTCCAGTGACATCTTGTTGTCGTCTGTTGGTAATACAGTTTCGTGCAAAAGTGTCCTCCCAGTGCTACCTAGTCGACCACTGACGACGTTCTTTCAAGACCGCGAAAAGGCAAACCATAATACATAGTATCGTGTGTCTTCAGAAAACGGCTTTGATGAATGGCGAGTGGCAGTAGCAGCAGTAGTTGCTGTCATCGACGTCGGACCGTGTCGATCCCATGACGACTTGCTGCACGATGAGATCTATAGAACGTCAAGTCATCAAATGCTTGTAACTCGAGGTTACGATAAACGGCTAGAAATGACCCGTCCTGATCCAGTCTTACAGTGGAAACCTGTGCCGTAGCGGGACACATTTGCTGTCTTTTCAACATCTCACATGTATCGAGAATACCTGGAGCTTCGCTGATCGTATCGATATCTCGTCTCGAGTCTAGCATCGACTTGTGTGGTTCAGCACGATTGAATGCGAGGAGTCCTGTCTCTAAAGCTCTATGTGTTGGTTCGAGGAGCTCTCAGCAAGCAGCAGCGACCTGTATATGACTTGCTTACTTGAGATGAGTGCTACTGACGTCGCGCTGAGTCATCGTTGGTCGTTCCAGCCTTGTCACCAAAGTGACTATCCTATACTTAAAGCGCCAGAACGCATGAGCTCTTGAGAACACTGGCGGCGTTGAATGCTACTTCTGGAATGTTCGTTATCCAATGTAACACAGCACGAGACAGATTCTTCCATCCACAGCAATATCAGCATTTCTCAAAACGAATTTACACCGATCTACCGCAAGCCATATATTACCACTACCACCAGCCAAAATCACACACAACAACAGCAACAGCAAGCACAGAAATAATGGCAAAAAGCAAAAAGTCCAAGAGCAGCAGAACCTCTGACTCAACCAAGAAGAAACAGTCTAGCAGACCGACGCATTTTTTGTGTTTCCCTCTTGCTCGCGAAAGTACTGTGCCGGTATTCGCGAAGTCCATGGCGTATTTTCGGGAGGTATCGACGGAACCTAAGCGTCTGCCGCCGATCAGGGGAGGAAGGGATGCTTCTGGGATAACGACCAGTGATGCTCAGGACATGGCTACGCTTGATCATGACAAAGGTTCGTCGAGTCAGCCAGAAGATCTTGTTATAAATCAAAACGATCCGCTTGGGAATACTCAGAAACCAGTTTCGGAGTCTTCATTCATCGACAGTCTAAAGGTGTTGCCTGATATTGTGCATCGTGGAGCTGGGACGTTGCATCTGACGCTCGGTGTGATGGACTTATCGAAGGAGACGGAGATGCAGAAGGCGACGGACCTTTTGCGTAGTCTAGATCTGGAAAAAATGCTGAGGGATGCAAGCGAAGGTCCGCCTGCTGGTATGAAGTCGCAGAGGAGATGGAAGGATAAGAGGGAAGAAAGCGACAATATCACATCCGCTTGTTCTGACAGTAACGTAATTGGTCGGAAAGAAACGGGTGTGGTGGAAGATGAGCTCTCTGTTCAGGTTGAGCAAAAGTCCGACTCAGTCCCCAAGAACACTTTGGGCAAGGGACAGACACCTATAAGCTCGAAGGACGAAAACAGAGATACTGATGTCAAGTCTCTGAAGAGAACCGTGTCGCCGCCCACTCTCGCGCGACAACCAAGCACGACACCACCAAGTCCCAAGCCACTATACCTCTCCCTCACCGGAATCAAAGCATTCCCATCAACGAAGAAAGCGCGCGTAATCTGGGCACGACCCCGAGCACAACTGTCCACTCCACCCCAATCAGAGCTCAATGACCAACCACAAAGACCGACTTTTGACGAGAAGGAAGGTGACCGCCTGTACAACTTCGCGCTGCACCTCCATCAGGCATTCAAAGATGCCGGCCTCGTCAACGAGACTAGACAACCTGTACTACATGCGACGCTGGCGAACATGAGGTATAAAGTCCAGGCAAAGGGTGGCAGGGAGACGAAAGGTAAAGCTTGGAAGTATGGGAAGAAGAGGTGGGAGGAGGGTTTGGTGGATATTCGACCGTTGGCGGAGGTCTTCAATCGGTTTGATGGAGATGTTGCGGCTGCACAGGAGGGGATAAGATTGAGAGATGCACATGCAGCAGATGTGGGGAATTCTGAAAGTGAAGACGACGAAGGAGAAGATGAAGAAGTGAAGAACGATACAGAAGCTCGGGATGACCGGGAACGAGAAGATCCTAGTAAAGAATATATTTGGTGCAAAGACGTTAAGGTCGATCGAATAGCGATCTGTAAGATGGGCGCTACGAGATCCGAAGATCCAATGTGGAAGGAGTGGTACCCACCAGTAGTAGAGCGGGTAATGTTTGATGAGGAAAAAGGTGGTTGAGAAGTGCTCGTCTGCTTCGCAGGCTCGATAGAGATACTAATATCTTATCTCTTCGACTCACTCTCGGGTCACGCGAACTTCACACTCCTGATCCGTATTGATTACCTCAAATGGAAGGCGCATTAGCGTGTCGTTGTGGCAGCCAAGCGTTGCCACTTCCAGGCGTTTGTCTTTCCCATACCAGCAATTTGAGGCTAACTTCGACATACCGGAGTATGAAACGAGTTGATGTACCTGCCGTAAAGAGTAGGGACATTTGAGATCGATCCATAACAGACAGGTGAAATACATCATTGAGTGAAGCTCCGACCAGCAGGCCAGAGCCTGTCGTGACATGGATGAACAAGGGACCACGACGGCTTGTGGTAGCGTTGCAAGCGAAAACCCTGTCTGGATGAACTTGGAATGTGGCGGCACTTGAACACAATACGAATGCGGTTCTTGGCTTGGCCTCATCAAGCATGACACCATTTCTTCATGTTTCACAAGTATTCTGGATCAGTTGAAACGATTATGATGTCTGAAGGCTGACTCTCGACCCTTTCATAAGGTATGATTGCCATCTCGAATGATGGTTGGTCTCACCACAGAGTGCTCCAAGTGTGCTGCTTCAGACTCAACGCGTCTGACTCATACGGGAGATGGTAGCTTTATGCGCAGTCAAAAACATAGCAAATCCGTCGCGTTGTGTAAAATAGCACATAATACTGTAATGTTGAGGTATACGCCATATGAGCCAGACGAGGCATATTCCAATGAGAATTGTGTAGGAAAGAATATCTTTTCGCTTTGCTCTTAATGATGCAAGTTAATGCTCGCACCTCTGATTGTCTGGAACAGTACCGAATCTCGTCTGATATTTCGGGCAGAGAGATAGGCTTGCGAAGCGTGTGTTTCGCACACAATTGCTACTGCGTAATGGTTGTTTGCTCAAGCTGTAATAGCGACCGATTGCGGATTGTCGTCTTTCTTCTCAGGTAGGTCACTGACATCGAAGATAACTCGAATTTGAAGACTGCAGCTGGGACAGACAGCAATCTCGTGGCCGTCGCGCAAGTCGTCTATATTGATCTCGAATCGGTCGCCACAAGGACATGGGTAGTGGTAAATTTCCAGAGTCGAGTCGTAAGTCATATCCTCAATCTCAATCTCATCGTAAATTTCACCCTCCTCTTCCTCTGTCATTGTGTCGGTTCACAGCAGGAGACAATGCTATATGGTACACAGGATGTTAAAGGAATATCGCCAGAATTTGGAGGCAAGCGAGAAAGTACCGAAATTGTGGGGTTTGGCTGAATTTCGGTGGAATTTACCAAACGTTTCCTTGCTTCCGATTCATTTTCGGGCGCAGCGAGCTTATGCATCGCACATGCCACCACTGCTACGCAATACCATGCTCGGCTTCGCAAATGATCAATATTCACGCAACTCAAGACTGGCCTTACGACTACATCGTCAAAAATGCTTGAGCTATGAACTCTGTTGGCCTCAGTATCCTCACAACTTTTCCGCAGTGACAAGATGTCAGATTTGTTGAACCTCGAAAAACAATTGCGCTTTGTAAGTGGTCGAAGGAACCAAGTATGACCCAGTACTTACAGGAAATATAGTATGGCGCTTACCACCACGACCCTGTATGCTATACCACCTAGGAACAACAGGACTCCTACTCATGATGGCAGGTCAACATTGCTATTCATATAACATGTGTCCCCATAATTCTGTTGACAGCCTTCACCATTGTACGTGGTGGAAATTCCATTTGGACGACTCGGTCTTACTCTTTGCAGGCCACGAATACAGGTACTTTGATACCTACACCTGAATGGACCACTGTCCCTTACCTCGACCTTAATTTGGGCACCATCCTCTGCCTCATATATGCCGCTCTATACATACTGCTCGAGCCTGTCGCTGGCACAGGCTTGTCGGTCCTCCTAGTGGTTGCTACAGCAGGAGGCAAATACCTCGTCGAGGAGTATGGCATGGTCGCAACTAAGTGGGCCATAGGACTGCATATCTTCTCGTGGGTTGCGCAGTTTGTGGGCCACGGCAAATTTGAAGGACGAGCTCCTGCTTTGTTGGACAACATCTTCCAAGCATTCTTCCTCGCACCACTTTTCGTGTGGCTAGAGACTCTTTTTGCCTGCGGCTACAGACCGGAACTGCAATCACGCATTAACAAAATGGTTGAACAGGATGTGACCAAGTTTCGTGCTGATCGTGATGCTAAGAAACTACAAAACGGTGGTGCAAATGGTCATGCAAAGAGCTCGTAATATTATCCTGGTGTTTTGGGAAACAAGGCAACTCCGAGGGAAGTGGTTTCGACAAAATGACAGCGCAGGTCATACTTCAGGCGAGCAGAAAACTGCTGCCAACACTTCGGTTTGTGGCCTTGTTCAGTGAGGCAGTTATCCAATATTTCTACTCTTGAATTCCGAAGCCAAAGATCGAGATACACAGAGCGCTTACAAGACACCTCAAAGCTGACGTATTTACATCCCTATCTCAGGCACAACCATCAGACCAGTTCTTTTATGCGCGCAGGGTAGTAGTCGAGATTCACACCACAAGCTTGTATTCAAGCCTCAGCAGCTACTGTGGCGTCCGGCTCCCGATTTGTCAACCACTGTATGTCTTTGAACATCATGTGTTGCGGATATGTTATGAGCAGAAGGAGAGAAGAACAGGACTCGAAACACGGGCTGATCCATGCCTATCTTTGGCTGCAGAAAGCTGTATTAACGCAACTACAACTTCCATAAGCAATCCTAGGTACCATAAATTGTCCTCCCTTCGAGCCGCACCTCATTCTGCGTAAATTGTTGTAGTGACATTCCCGTTGTTGATTAGCTCTATCACTGCTAAACGTTGTTGTGTAGATTGTTCTGCTACCACAATTAAGCCAAGCCGGCAGCATTACACAAATTTATTCACTCTTCTTCTATGAGAGTTCAGTCAGTATGCCACCTGATGATACACAAAGAGGCAAGGAAAGTGCTCCTGTAACCTTCGCGACTGCTGCGGAATACAAAGCTGCGATTGCTACTCTCAATAATTCGACGCAGGAAACTAACACACGTATTGACGGAATTAGTCAGATTCAGCACTCGCAAGAAAAACGTTCGAGGAGTCTGTCCCCAAAAGGCACTCCGGGCCAGAAGCCTCATTCACTGCACCGGCAGCAGTCCCGACTTGGTGAAACATTGACAGCAGACCTGAAAGATGCACGCCTCTCTGCGTCAGAAGACCTGCGAAAGTCAATAGCAACGACAACAATAACAACAGACGATACACTTGCACGCCACGATCACCAGTTTGTGCTGCTCGATGAACAGCTCGGATCTCAGGATGCAGTGGATACTGGTCAAGACCTTCGTCGCGAAAAGCTTCTTGCTGCACTTCGATATACCTACGCCGAGACCATACGACTCAGGCTGAATCGGTGCTATCTACAAGCACTTACGACCGAGCAGGAATGTGAAGACATTAGCAAATATAACCAGATTCGAGACGATTCGATCCAGGCTAAGACAGATCTTCTTCAACAGGATCTACGAATGCTATATTCTGAGATAGACGATGTCGCTCAGATGCTCGTTATGCACGAGCATGGTAATCGATTACATTCTGTAGGACAGCGGCTCAACCGCATTACGGAGACACTCAACGATAAGCAAACTCAGCATGCAGTCGAGCAGATCTCAGCCATGTGCAAGAAAATCGAAGCACTAACCGTTCACGTAGAACGTCTGCAATCTTATCGACTAGTGCACCAGAAGCTGGGAAGTTGTTTGGACACTATTGAAGCAGACTTGGGTAGGTCACGGATCATCTCTACAAAAGCCGAACCTACTTCGCAGCCACATAGCAACACTACTTCCCTACACGCACTCAGACAGTATTTGGGTCTAGACAGTGACACAGCAGGCAAAGACAACAAATCAAAACAATGCCACTTTATCTTTGCGGACATAACATCGCACGTTAAGCATACATTGGCGATCCAGGCTGAACAGGCTGGTCATATCCAACGTACAGATGATTTTAAGCAGAAAGGGGACAATCTGCACGAGGCTTCTTATCGCACGAAATTGGACGAGCTTGACGATGAGGTTGCAAGGATCAAGTCGAGGATCGACAGCATCAACTTATAAGTGACTGAACGTTGAAGAGAGTCGTGATCGTCCAGAAGATAGTGCTTCTTGCCCAGTTTGAGAAGAGCGCATGAATACCACCTAGGCAATCAATATTGAGGTGGTTCTGATGGGTGATAGAGGTAGAGAGCGAGCATTTATTCTATCATTCTTTCGGTCTGTCTGAACTAACACTCAGGGTTGAATGTTAGAAGAAGCGAATTTTGATCTGCAAAAGCACATCCGTCACAGACCCCACGTATAGACTTGTGTATCACTTTTGCGGGGAAGGAGCTCAGGTTTATGTACACGAACAGAGCAACTGCACTTTGAGTATCTTCCTCTAGGAAGAATCGAGGCCTCTTCTCAAGCCTTTAAAATTCGAGACGAGCCTTCGCTACTCATAGTAACATCAACAGTGATTCAGCGCATTTTCAGCCACGACAGTAGTGAAGCTTTTATAGCTTACTCAAGAAACTGGTACGAGTCCCCACTACAGTAGTGGAGAAACATCATCCTTGCAGCATGTCTAACAACAAACCCGTCATCCTCATCGTCGAAACACTCGACACAAAATTGCCAGAAACGCTCTATCTGAGATCAGCAATATTGAGTCATGGTGCTTGCCAAACAAAAATACTGGACGTAGGTCGATCACAACAGGTCGACGACAACATCTTAGAAATCCCTCAAGATGAGCTCGTTCGTCCTCTAAAAGATATCGGGGATGAGCTCAGCAAGTTGTCAAGAGGTTACTATTCCGACAAAGCAATAGCGACTTGCATGCCGGTAGTGCGGGATCTGGTCAACAAGAACCAGGTGCATGGCATCGTCTCAGCGGCTGGAAGTACCGGATCCTCAATTGCCTCAGCGCTGATGCGAGAAGCATGTCCTGTCGGGTTTCCCAAACTCCTGGTATCGACGATGGCTAGTGGTGATATCAAGCCGTTCATTGGTGAGGTGGACATCACGATGATGTACAGTGTAGTCGATATTGCTGGCCTGAACTCCGTGCTGAAGCAGATTCTGACCAACGCGGCTGGTGCTATCAGTGGTATGACTTTGGCTCACGCAGAACATTCGAAGGAGGAAAAAGTCAAAGGAAAGAGGATTGCGATTACGATGTTTGGAGTGACCACGCCTTGTGTGGACCATATCAGGAAAATCCTTACCACAACTCCTCATGATGTGTCTGATTACGAGCTGTATATCTTCCATGCAACAGGCTCTGGAGGCAAGGCAATGGAACGCTTGATCGAGGAAGGCCAGATCGATGCAGTGATAGATCTCACAACGACAGAAATTCCAGACGAACTTTTTGGTGGTGTACTAACAGCCGGTCCAGACAGATTGAACGCCGCTGCGCGTAAAGGCATTCCGGTCATACTCTCCACTGGAGCTTGCGATATGGTCAACTTTGGACCTAAAGACACCGTACCCGAAAAATACCAAGATCGGAATTTATACGTCCACAATTCTGCAGTCACACTGATGCGGACAACTCAAGACGAGAACAAGGAGATTGGCAACTTTATCGTAAAGAAGTTGAAGGGCGCAACAGATCCTTCGAAGATCAGGGTATTGCTTCCAACAGGCGGAGTTAGCATGATTGATGCGCCTGGCCAGCCCTTCCACGATCCTCAGGCGGATGAGGCGCTCTTCAAGACAATTGCTGATGGTCTATCGGACACAAAAATTGAAGTCTTCCAATACCTTGAGAAGGTTAACGACGAAGCATTCGCTGCACAATTATGTGACCATCTGCTTGAGGTGATGGGTGTCAGCCCAAGGGAAGCTAGGTTAGCCAATGCACGAAGACGCAAGTGGAGTTTTGACCATGGTGCAACACTACATGCTGTGAGGAGAGCAAGTCAGATCGTGGTACCAGATGCTGCGTGATTCACGTTGACATCGAGGTAGTGTTGGGGTTATTGAGAGAGTAGTGGTTGGTTGTTAGTAAGACAAAGTCTCGCGCCAGAAGGAGTATCGCCTACCGTCCATGGTTATAGCAGTATTTGTAGCACTTCGTTAGCACAGTACCGACAGCGCCTGTTTCTGATGCTTAGAAGTACATATGGTTCGGGTTCAGACAGGTTTTTGTAAAAACCCAAGGTTGTCCGCGACTTCGAGAGCGGTGCAACGTAGTGGCCTCAGGCATAAACGCATCGCTTGGCATAATATCGGCGCTAAACTTTCGACACACAATTACACCAGACCAAGTCAACCAAGTCCACGTCAAGATACAGCCAACGTTCACACGTGCCACAAACCGTCGCAATGGCCAGTACGTGATAGGAGAGCTATGTTCTCAACGAACAGTCGCTAACACTCTCCAGAATCCAAGAACTCGTCTCAGCACAACCAGTCCAAAAAGGCTCACAGAAATGGGTGCGCAACTACCTATTCCCTTCTTTTTTCTCACAGCCACAAAGCCCAACTCTTCCCCTACACTTACTATTCGTCCTTGGATCGCGGAAAGAGACCGATCGCGAATGGAAGTACTGACACTAACCTGCTAAATAGTATCAAAAAACCAAAGACCCACAGATACCCCTCCCTCAAAGGCACAGACCCTAAGTTCCGAAGAAACCACAAGCATGCTCTGCATGGAACGATGAAGGCGTTGAAGGAGGCGAAGGAGGGGAAGAGAGATCAGGTGTAAATTTCAGTTCTTGATGGGGATGAATTTGTTGGGAGGTGTGTGAGGGTTATCAAGATGTGAGAAGATGTGCAACGATCTCGAGGCCACGAGCAATGAGGACGATGGACGGAGAACGAGTACAGTCGCGACGTGATAAGAAATTACGGCCCTTGAATTGTGGGAAAGAGGTTCGCTGAACAGGCACTTCGGCTCATGCAATAAAGAGTATTCAGCATACCTATGGCTCAGTGCTGTTTTCGACTCGAGCTCCGTCGACTTCTTGACAGATTTGAACTCTTCCTAGTCCTTCCCACAATCCAATTTCATTTCAAAGCACGGCCGAGTGGTTCCATCTGTTCTGTCCAGTTCCAGCTGTCCACCCAACGGCCAGCCCAATGCATACGGTTAAGAGTCACGAAGATGAATGATGACAAAAGGAAAGAGGTAAGCACCCACTACAACAAAGCAATTGGCATACGTGTGTACAGCGTCGTGTTTCTTCTCCATACACGCATGACTGAAGGATGAAATTCTACGTGCCTATAGTGATCGATCTGATCTATTCCTCTCAATTACCAAACACGACTGCTTAGATGTTCAGTGAGTGGTTGTGTATGGACGAGAGGAGACATCCAGAGTTGCTAGCTATGGTTCTGGTGGATGGTTGTTCGCGATGCTGTTGTTTCTTTTTCCCTGTCGTGGTTGTTGTTGTTTTCTGGGAGACCGCTGCCATTCCCTTTGTGATTGACTGTGATATTCAGGCCTTCATGTTCCAGCCTGCTTTTGAATGCTAACTGTGCAGACACACTACTCATTCAATGCTCAGCAGCTGTATCGTTGCTCATGAAGCTGATATCAACCTGGAGGCCCTGGGGGTTAGCATGGTATCAACGCGACGCCCAGCCAGGACGCTGATCATGAAAGCCGCGTCCTCTACCGTGGCATTAAATCTTATGACACACTCGTCCCAAATCCCCCCACATCTGCCAACGGAGAGGAAAGTTACGCTCAGTGCACTGTTGCGGGGAAGGGGTGCTTGAAACTGCCCATGCAATGTTTCGCTGCCTTCTTCATGACATGTGCTAGGTCTGGGCCGTTACTCTACCTTGGCGGCTATCAACTCAATCCCTTCCGCTCTTGGCTGAGCTCTAGGTCTCGTCGGTCTTAGATAGGGCTTATTTCGCCGCGATATTAGTCACGACGTGAGATCTAGGTCGTGTTGCGTGATCTCATCAAGAGAATCCCTTTGATCTCGCAATGCTCGGCGGTTGCAGAAGGATACAGCCACTCAACCATGTGTTCAGACCAACAAATAACTCATGTCGACGTAGACATCCTAGCTTTCATGACTAGCTCAGCAGGGGCTGTGTCCTGTCACAGCATAGCCAGCTGAAGCGTGAGGTATATCAACAAGGTTAAGGAGATGTCGATTCTCATTCGCAAATATCCGTTCGTGCTCTATTAGCCATTATGCATATGCGAGCCTTGTAGCACGATGCAGTATACCTTGCTAGTGGATCTGTGGCTTACAACGCTCGGCGCTCTTTTCAACGGTGAAACTAAGGTCCATCGTCCTGCAGATCATCAATCACATGTGAAAAAGCGACGAAGCGTGGTTGACGTGAGATAAGAGGAACCAAGAATGGGATTACCGCATATCCGCTTGCGTGATTTATGCGTTGTGCAGCCGACTGAAGACTGATCGTGGGATGAGCACTTTACTCTGGGGCATATTTTCGTCCGTTCGCTGGAGATCTGATGAGTTGAGGTCACTGACTGAACATGCTAATATCCTCAGGGTTGTAACTAATGCCACCGGCTCGACATCTACGTTCGGCGTCAAACTGGTACTGTCGTGCTCCAGCCCTCGTAAAATGTGGTATGAAATGTTGTGAGCTTTTGCAATCACTCACAGATAGGTACGTTGATGTGATCGTGATGCCCAGTCATCCTTGAATTACAGCATCACTTGGGTCTGTACTTGTGTGACATCGACTCCGTGTCAAGCTCGCACTTTCTTAAGTGGACGGCTGTCGTCACCTGGCTCGTATTGTGTGAGCACGTACATGGACTATGGTTGGCCAACAAGGCGGATGGCCGCCTGCCACTTCCCATGGGAAGATGCGGGTTTTATCCGAGGGCGAGCAGCGCGTGGATGTGGAAGGTTTCGCCAAAGGAGCGGATGTTTGGCAGGAAGTGGATGGTGGTTTCTCGTTTGGCACGCCGGTATAGGAAGGTAGCGTACCGATGCTGCAATACGGTGTGCTGAACGAGTACAGGCTATGCACAGTTCCTGCTTGCCATGCATGAACGGGCCACGATGTGAGCATAGCATGTGTTGTGACTCTATAAAGAATCTCGTAACCCTGCGGCCTTGGTTCAAGAGGGCTACAGGTCAAGACTATTGTCGATGTTGACTGGTCACGCAGTAATGTAGAATTAAATAAGTCTAAATAGAAGGCAGCCGCGAGGCATCTTGTTCTTTCGAGCGCTGTTGCCCTCCCAAACCGTTACGGGAATTCAAACTCCGGCCTGGAACTCTTCAGATCCAACCCCAAATACGAGATAGTCGACCCCGTAATCTATGCATGAAGAAAGCGCAGCACATAAGCTTCGCTAAATAATCACAGTCGCTAAAGCGTTCATTGCAAATTTCCACAATAGAGCAAGAACTGTCCCCGTCCGCCACAATCTTTCGTGAGGATATCGATCGTAATCATAAGCACTCGATGTTCTTTGGGTATCATGTGTTTTCACAGGATTTCGATGTCGCACTATCACCGACCTCTATTCCAGCCAACATTCCAAACAACATGAGCGATATCTCTAAAAGTATTTACAGCATACACAGCCTGACCGAAAAGTGTATTGTTCATAGCTGCTTCTTCCTCGTTTTCGTCGTAAGGCATAAACATGCCAGATGGTGTTCTTCTCATTCCATACGGCTCATCTTGGTCTTCTTGAGCGTATGGCGAATAGTCTTTGCCCTGCTGGTCTATGGGCCATGGATCATCATTCAGCTCCGGATCATCATCAAGCAGGAAATTGCTGCTCGGATTCGATGGTTTCAGAGTCTCTTGTGAGGCGGAGTGCTGTAGACCTCGTCCTGGCACCCAAAATTGGGCTTGGCTCTTCAAAGTATCGGGTGGTTCTGGTGTATCTTTTCTGTACTTCAAGGTTGTCGAAGGTAACGGCGTTATTGTCTTGTTGTTATCGCTAAAGCTGTTGCGTGGTGTGCTTCTATTACTTCGGGACCGGGCTGGAGCCATCATGAGACCGCCATCGTCGTCTTCGTCACTTTCGTAAATATCCTGTTCCAGAGGTTCATCCTTTTCGTCGTCTTCAGATTCAATAGCCTGAACCTGCCGAACTGTTTCGTCAAATAGTACATGCTTACATTCCGATGGTGTATCTGTACCAAATGAATATCGTGAAGTAGCTTCGTGCCGAGCGGACTCAGCCGGAGTGTTTGACACTGAAGTCGTACGATAGCTAGGCAGCGAGAAGTCACTACCACCTCTAGACAGTCCTTTCCTCCTTGGTACAGGACTCGACTGCTGAATTCGGATGATATCCCCCACTCTACTCAACAAGTTATGCTCCTTCAGTGAAGTCTCCAGGAGGGCAGCAGACGCCGACTTCTTCTTCAGTATGGGCTTCGTGTGCAGGAACGAAGAACAGGTGGACAGCCGACTAGGTGGTGGGGAGTGATCTTGGCACCAATTGGACTTTTTATCAATCTGTAAAGGACCATACAGCCAGGTAACGTCACAATCCTTCATCCAGTTCAGAGATTCGGGTGATATAGTAGGTAAACGATACTTTGCTTTAGTCCAAGTTCTCCAAGAGGCGTTTTCCAGACGCTCGCCGTTAGCCAAGGCTTGCTTGGAATCGTGCTTTTTTTTCCGTTCTCTGGCATTGACGTACTTCCACGAAGACCAGATATCTTGTTCCTGCCATTCATGTGACAGGAAGTCAACATGTCGAGTGGGCTCGTGCCTGACCCAGTGGTCGTCTTTCACTGATTCTTCATCGTCCTTTTTGCTTTGTTCTGAAGTGGGACTAGCAGTCACAATCGAGTCCTCTGAATGTCCATTCAGCTGGCGCAGTCCACACGTCTGTGGTTCTTGAGTGTATTGCGGGATGTTATTGTCGAAGGCTGGAAATGATATGTCATCCTCCTCGTATGCTAAATCTTCATTGGGGTCGAGGGTTGAATATGAGGGTGTAGAGAAGTAGGAGTCCCGTGAGCCCATGGAGTGAGTGTACAAGGGGGATGAAGGAGCTGTGGAAGATATGGATGGTGTGATAGGCCGATCATATTCGGAGCGAACAAAATCTGATTTCTCTTTGAAAGTATCATGGTAAGGCAGACCTCCGTCTAGCGACACGAGATCTGTGTAGGATTGAGAGAGGGTTGGATTGCGTGGGAAGTCGTTTGTCTCGGCGACCAGAGGGGTTTGCAGGATGGTAGGCATGCTATACAAGAGGTGGGTCAATTGTGGTTGATTTCACCTGTCCATGAGTTGCTGTGCTTCCTCGGATTGATTTGTCTTCGCTATTGTGGTCTGTCGTACCCGAGTAATATTGGTGTATAGTGAAGGAATGTAATCTGCGCACACAAGAGGTCAAGCAGATCACTACACGTGCAAAGGTATTGCAGCACAGTTGACAATGTGTCTGTGCTGTGGCACGAATTGGGTTATCTCGCCTAGAAAGACCTTATAGGTTGGAGAGAAAACGTAATTCGCCTATGCTTGATCGACCCAGTCACAACTAGTAGACCGACAGGGGAGTCTTTCAGGACAATGCGTCGGCAGGAAGGATATGGAGATCATAACCACGCCGAGTGCGAGGAACGCAATGTTCGTATGGCGATATGCATCCCTGCAATATCTTTGCAACGGCGCTACAGAATTGTTTTTGTCTGAGCTGCTCCCACGTTCTGCCTAGAGTATGCAAGAAGGCTCACAAAATCCGACCGCGGAAAGAGTCGTTTCGAAAGCAGGTTTTCGCAAGTGAAGACATCGGCCGACGAGTCAGAACAAAGAAGGACAAGAAGGTGGATCTTACCAGATGTCTATCGTCTCCAGACTGCTGCTTAGAGGAAAGCATGGCAATCGCTGGTCTTGAACCTTGGTCGGCATTACCCACCGTTCCATGCTGACACGGCCACTGGGGTTTCTCCAGGCCTTGTCCTCATCCGTGGCTGCAGTCTTGGGGCGTTTAAGCGCAATCTCAAAAGCACAGACCGTATTTTGCGGGGTGCTCTTGCACAAATCATTGTGCTCGATTGCAGCATTGCTGGAGCCTTAGTGCTGAGATTTTTTTTCAAGCTCCAAATCTAGTCCTCTACCAGTTGCTGTTACTAAGAATTCCGCCCAGGGATCGAAACTTCGTCAGAAACACCTGTTCACCATCGAGATCTTTTTCGGACTACATGCTCCATACCCATTCGTCATCGCTTTCGGTACAGTATCTACAAACAAGCACATCGACAACAACAACAAGAAGGATACTCGCAGAAATCACTCGTGGTGTTTGTGGACCATGATAAAGAACACTATCTCACGAGACACGCGTCTCCTAACTAGAGGGTAGCTACCACTTGCAGTTTCTCAGATAAGGGCTCACCTCGAATAAGTCTTGCCTTTGCTAGCAGTATTTCGGCCAGTATCGTCCTTGACAAGCCGACCTTACATCCCTGCAATCATCAAGGGTTGCCGCAGTGCAAAGAAGACATTTTATCAAAATAGTCCAGGTCCTAGCCACATCTGTGTCAACCCTGCCAGTCTCGCCATACCACTATCTTCGTGCGCTTTTTAACGGCTACCTGTGCCCACTACGCCAATATTATGGTCCCTGTTACTAGGAACCTCAGCCTCTCATAGTTGCACGACTTCGCAATCTTCGCGACTCTCTCTGTTATCCCACGCCGCAAAGATAACTTTACTCTGATTAGAGTTAGCGCCGTGTGCCATGCCGCAAGTGTAAGTTTTCTTTTCGTTCCTTCGAGATACTGATCGATACCTGACTGGTCAACAATACTGACTTTGAACCTTGACCTGTACTTGTGGCCAAGAAGAGTGAGTTCAAGTGCATTGCGTGGATGCCGGATTCACCGGCAAAATAATCGAGTCCAAATCTTCTTGTTTGGACTGATACACCACAGCCTCCTGCTTTGTGCCACAGCGTTTACACGTACCCTGAAACCAACGATGTCGTGAGCAAGTTCACATGGGATGCTTATAGACTTCGACGACAGCATAGATTTACACGTGCTGATCAGGTCTTTCTGAGACGATGCTTGTGCATGTGAATCTTGGAAGGCGTCTACAGTGCATATTACTCATCTTTGCCCTGCGGAACAAGTCGGTTGGGGATCTTACGCAAAGAGAGCTCTGAGGGCACTCTCATGCGGCTGGAACTTGTCCGATACTTTGATAATGCTTACCTGTTGTCTTGATAGGGAGAGATGTTCATCTCTGGTCAGGGTTCCCTGCGATCCAAAGCTCAAGAGGTAACAATGCGACTTTCGGAAGAGAGGACCCTACGATCGAGCTGTTTATCGGCAGGATCCTGTGTAGCTACTGCTGAGTTAGATCTGTGGTTCGCTGTCATCGGAGTGGAACCACTGACCAGCACCACAGCATACATGTGGCTTTGCAGAGCTGCCTCCGAAGCAGAATGTTGTGTCTCTTGAAAACACCCAGGCCGTGGGATTCATGAAACAAAGAGTTTTCTTGTCACAGCGTACTTGTCGATCGCGTTCAGACTGCCATTGCCCACTCAGGCTGACGGCTCGGTCCGAGTGTTCGAGCTTCTGCTCTTCTGCTTGCAACATAGAGGAAATGTTTACTGCTGGTGTCTTCCTGGAAACGTCGACGCTGAGCCTGCTAGACCCTGTGACCTTGTTTCCAAGCAAACGAGGATGACAGCCAATATGCAGTCTTCTCTTTCAAAATGTCCTCCTCAAACGCGAAAAGAATTCCTAAGCCTGTCCGCTTTCGTCTGGCCAGCGAAACGACTGGGCATGCATCTGCGTGGGGTTTGTAGCCGGACGTGATTGCATACTGCCAAGGCATCTATTTCCCCAGGGTACACGCTCCACTGGTATGGTACGGGTATACAGTACTGCTATCGATGTGTATGCACAAATAGTAATTCCTGCCGGAAGACAGCCTTGCGATAATTTGAAATCGGTTGAATGCCTTACAACCTCTGCCTCTCCTCTAATCATCCCGAACGTGTATGACACATAGCCAGCAGAAACCCCAAGCTGAGTGCCCTCCAGCTTGTCTATTCCACATGGACTAATTGGTCATGTTACGGAACAACCATGCTCGACGTTCTCGTCACCACATCTTGATAAGTAGCTGTAGCAGTACTCCAATGCCGGAACTTTTGGTGACATGAACAAAATCATGATGGCACCAGTAGTCACGAAAGAATTCGACCTGGTTTTCATTCACCAGATATTGTAGCCTTGAATTTTAGGCAGAAAAAGGCGTACGAGGCAGGATTTGATGCCTGAAACAAGGCGGGTCAATCCTCCCGTCCCTCCAACGGCGTCATTCAAAGTACCATTTCCAGGCTGTTTGTGTTTTTGTGCCGAACATTCAATCACAGTACTTTTGTCAAATTTACACACTGCAATTGACCAGCCTTGTCTGGTCCTCCCATCTAGCAAATATGGCAAGCGAAGTCGAGTCACAACCACTGCCACCCCGGCAAACAATATACTGCGGAGGTGCGCATTGATCCATTACAACCATGGTTCGAAGAGGAGGCCATATGCTGATTCGAGGTATGTAGTTTGCTCCTTACCGCCAGAGGTAACGAATCGCTCTTGCCTTACGAGAAAACAAAAAGAGTCCCTGATTGACTTGGACGATAGTACTGCGAATTCGGCGGCACAACCAAGAAATGCGAAGAATGGCTAGAAGAGGCGCACCCAGATCTACATAGGCAGTTGTATTCTCAGGGTTAGTCACTCTCCTCTCTACCCAGCAAGCAACTACGGGACAACCAGAACAAGAAGAACAGAGCACTAACCGATTCCCCAAAAACAGATACCCTAAACGCCAACCTCGCCGCTCTCTCCCTCGACGCCCAAAAACGCGCCACCAAAGACGCCGCCAAAAAAGCTGCCCGCGCCGAAGCCGCCGCCGCAAAAGAAGCCGAGCGCAAAGCCGAAGCCATGGTCCTCATCAAGCGCGTCGAACGCAATAAACGCAAATACGTCACCGTCGTTTCCGGGCTAGAAGAACACGGCCTGACTCTCAAGGATGTTGCGAAGGCGCTAGGAAAGAAGTTTGCGACGGGGAGTTCGGTGACGAAGACGGCGAGTGGCGGGGAGGAGATTACGGTGCAGGGGGATGTGAGTGATGATTTGTATGATTGGTTGTTGGAGGTGTATGGGGAGAGGATCCCGGAGGATAATGTGGATTGTATTGAGGATAAGCCGAAGAAGAAGAGTGCTGGAGCGTAGAGGTGTGGTTTGTTGCTGGAGATATGTGAACGAAGTGGTCTTTACTGATGAGATAGGATTAGCCTGGCTGTGGTAAGATCGTGTTGGTTGCTACTTCGAAGGTAGTGTTGTGACACTTTCGGATGATCTACCAAGGGAAGGAAGAGATCAGCTAGACGATTGAGCCAGCGAGGTCAATTTGACAAGTTCTTTATGCCTTGGCCTATTCATATGCTTAGCCGCAGAAAAACCTTCCCATGGAGGACGAGCAATAAAACTGTCGGAAGCATGATGATAACCAGGCCACACTTCCTGATCGCTGGTTGGGAGTCCCTTTCTTATGTTATACGATCATCTCTAGCTATATCTAGATACGTGCTATACTGTACTGATTCTTACCCGAGAAGCCTGTGACATGATACAACCATACTATACTTGGGTCGATCCAGGTCACAAGGTCATAAGTCCAACATGTCCCATTTTTCAACCGTCTACATCGAGTTCTTACCATATGGCTCGAACGGCATGAGTACCGCGACGATGGCCTGCGAAGAGTCAGTTTCATTCGCGATACTTCAGCAACTAGAACTTACCATGACAATGTAGAGCACAGCACAGATGTAGATAGGCGCGGACGTAGCCGTGTTCGCGCTCGTAGCAACCGCTGCCGAAACCAGACCCATCACGCGGTTGCAAGCAATAGCAATACCGTTGCCGGTGCCTCGATGAGCTGAAGGTAAAACTTCCGGCGAGTAGGCGTAGAGTGTTCCGTAATAGACGTTGACTGTGAAGTAGATGGCGCAGGTGAAGCCGAGGTTGGCCGCATGGGTACGGACAGCGGTGTACGCGAAGAAGAAGACCATGGTTACGAGAGCACCGACGACCATTGTGTATCTTTTGAGAGAGTTAGCTTTTGATTGTAAGGAAGCGGAAGATGCAAACTCGCCTTCGACCAAGTCGTGTCGTGCACATCCAACCTGCCAGGATTGGGCCAAAGATACCGACAATATTAGATATGAAGTAGTCTCGCCATACCTCGTTTGGTGAACCTGCCCCTGTATTGGCCCCGCGAGCTCTCAAGTACTGTGGCAAGAAGACGTAGAATAGGGGATAGGCCAGACCGATCAGCGTCCAGGAAAACCAAATAAGTGAGGTTGAAATTCCAAGCTTCCTTGTAGCGAACAGTCCGCGCAAGTGGATCATGAATTCTTGGACGCCAGATCTGTGTGCAGATGTGACGGTACCACAAGCTGCGAGCTGTTCGAGGGTGAGATCGCACTGCCTGTTATATCTCTTCGCGATACCTTGCAAGTTCTCGACTACCTCTGCGTCCTTACCCTGTCCAAGTAAGAATTTTGGAGTCTCCTTCAGTCGGATGACGGTGATACGCGCAATACTCATGAGGAGGATGAGACCGCCACATCCATACCAGATATATCGCCATCCCTGATTGTTGGCGCGCGTGCACGTAGACGGTTCATCGATGTTGCATGCAAATCTGCTGTCCGAGAATAGAGGCCATGCAAAGGCGGCTGGAAACAAAGGCGCAAGTCCCCACCATGCTGCGAGAGTGGTGACCAGATACTGCTTGTTGGCTGGAAGATATTCGAGGAATACTGTAGTGTCCAAGACCAAGTTACCGCCTGCGCCAAATGCAGCTATGGAGACGAAAAGGCCTAAAACGATCCAATTTGGCGAAGCACCAGCAATGATAGCGAAGATAGCACTCAGGAAAAGCGACACATTGAAAGCGAATTTTCGACCGATGATATCGGCACTGCCACCCCTGATGCGCATCAGCTGCTGAGAGACAATTTCCAAGATGTGAAAACCCACCAAAATAGTGCGCCCACTAACATACCCGCATAAGAGGCGAAGGTCAATCCGTTGGCGAACGATGGCTGAAACTCTGCTCCAGCCTGACCAGCGATGACTGACTGGATCACAAGAATCAAAGAGTCAGCCATATAGCCAAATCCATTCAGGCAGAACAGCTTTGTATGAAAATTGGTCCAGCCGATCTGGTTGATAGCCTATGTATATCAGTAAGGCTCCTGGCGTGGCTGTCACAATCCTACATTGTTGACCAGTCGCATTTTGGCATCAAGAGCTGGATCGAGATCATTCATGGAGAAAAGCTGTCCTTCGATAGCATTGGTATCGTTCCCGAAGGCAGCAGGAAGACTGCTCCTCCTCTTTCCGCCCTTTTCCAAGCTGCTTCTCTCGACATCATGGCCGTGTGTGAGCATGACATCTTTGTCCTGCATTGTAGCCATGTTTGCGCAGGTAGAACGACCACGGAGATGACTTTCTTCAGCAGAGCACGCGAGACGACGTGGGAGAGTAGGGTTTTATCAGTGCAGCTCGTGCGTGTCTAGATTTTGTGAGAGTTCATGGCCAGGAACCCGCACGAAGATCTTCTGAGGCTAGCGACGTCTATAACCAGTTACGCCCAAGAGGATCAGACAAGTCTTCCAGGTTCACTGGACAAGGTCGTTAGTGGGGCATGTCGTGACTTTCATGGCACACGACAGGTCAATTGGGCTTGGCCTCCTCGACTCCACCCAATGAAGAGGAAGAGGTGCTTTGATAACGCTGCAACCTCACAGCACGTGGGTGCTGGAACAAGAGCACGAAACAAAAGATCGAAGGCTGGCAACGCCTGGGCAGACGCAGACAGTGGGAATAAAGCCTGCTAGCAGACTATAGTTCAGCTGTAATAGGGCAGGCGCCACTGCTAGGTATTGATAAGGTTACGACGATCCACTCGTGCCACGGCAGCTCAGAAGATTGTGCAAAAGTGTCAAACTCGTTGTTCCGCCCGCCTGCACAATTACGAACTGGATCGGACGCTGAAGATGGCCTCAAAAGTTGGCCATGCTGCAGAACAAACACGCAGTACCTGAGTCTTGCCTTATATCTTCTCGTTCGAGATTGAGAGTGAGTAGAAGAGAATCAGTCAACACAGACGAGCGTTTGCCTCAACAGAGCAGGGGTGTGCTAGGAGGACGAATCTAGTGGGGTCGTCATAGCCGAGGTGCCGTGATTGCCAGGTTGTCAGGGCTGGAAGTTCACAAAAACTTCAGCTCCAGGTCGTGTGAGGAAAAAAGCCTGGAAAGCTATCCTCGGGAGGTTGAGTATAGGTTCCCTCGTTTTCAGTATATACTATGTTGGGTATCTCAAATCAAAGGTTTTCCTCTTGGTCCTCATAGAGCATAAAAGTAGTTCTCATCTAGACCTTCTCTGGAAGGAACTGGAGGGGCATCTATACCATCTATTCCGTCAAGCATTCCTTCATCATCGTTGCCTCTCACATTGAGCAACCTGACTTTCAAGCCCAGGTCGGCAACCATATTCACAATCTTATTTGTCTCGGCAGTGATCGGCTGCTGTTCAAGGAGCATTAGCAGGCCATCGAGCCATTCGGAAGCAACGACATGGTTCTGAGGCTGGAATGCTAGGAGTACAATCTCTTTCTGCTGGCTACGATTGGATTGTTTCGATTCCTTTCTGCCATGGCCTTTCGAATTCGAGGAGCTTCGTCGTGTCTTCGGTCCATAGCCGTGGATTGTGATACTGGTGGTGGTATGCCGCTCGTGATCGGACAAGTGCATCTGTTCCTGGTTGGCAGTAATGTTGGAAACCACAGACGAAATGGATGACAATGGCACAACGTTGGGCATCACAGAGAATCGTGGCGCTTGATCTTGGCGCTCGTCAAAGTCTGCCCAGTGAAGGTCTTTTCTGTCGGCGGATAACTGTATATACCGCCAACAAGATATGACGTGCTCTTCGAGGTCTGTTGCCTGTACAGGACCACCAACGTCTTGATCGTTCGCCAAGGTACGTGTGTGTGGAAACCAGCATCCCTGGAGAATACACCTGATCCTTTGTTCCTTCATAAATTGCAAGGCCTCGTTTTGCAATTCGTCACGAGTGCCTCGAAGATGCTGGCCCCAAAGATCGTCGTAGGCCAAATCCAGAAGCTCCATCTGCAGTTCACGAAGTCTCTTGCACTCATAGGTAGCTAGTTCCTGCTCGACTGACTCGATGCCTCTCGTCCGGGCTGCACCACCAACTACACTCTCGATCAGTATTCTGATGAGCTCCATGATCTTGTGAAAATCATCTTGCTCAGCACCTGTCTCTTTCCAGATGCGCAGAAAGGCATGCAGCGCAGCTACGTGTAGACGACTCCAATGCAACAGCAAGGGACGAAATAGTCGCTCGTAGTTCGCCTTGTTCTCCAGTGCGAGAAAGACCTTGGGTTCATTCTCTTCCGGCTTGTCAACCTCGAAATGCTCGAATAGCATGGCTGTGACAACCAAACTTGCTCGGGCTACTGGACAGCGACGTTCTTTGACTAGAAGTTCCTGTTCGGCGAGAATGTTCTGAAATTCGTCCTGGTGCTTGCGAACGTAGTCGGAGAGATCCATCATCCCAAGAAAGCCCATGTCGTGAAAGTCGGGCTCAGGCGATTCAGTGCTAAATCCTAGCCTGCGCCACTTATTGGGGTCGTGCTTGGGCTTCTGTACAGCGTCCGCTGTGTATGCTCCCTTTTCAGGCGGGTCGCTGGAAAGGTGTATAGCCTTTATCGTTCTTCGATGTTCAGGTTTTGTGACATCGACTGGGACGTTTCTCCACCTGCTAAGCAGTATCTTGGTTAACTGCTGAAATTCGAATAGGGGATGGGCTAGATCCTGTAATGCTGAGCTTTGTGTGAGAACATAGACAGCCTTTATGACCCCAAGATCCTGTATTCTCTTGACAAACATTGGCCATTCCGCCTCGTCGTCAGTCGCAATCGCATCGCGCATAAGAGCATTGATCAGCTGCAAAGCGTTGGCGCAAAGAGCATGGTCAGCAGAGGAGAGTCGGCTGACTAGCATTTCCAAGAACTGGGGGTAATGCGAGATGGCAGGCTTCAGAGCCTTAAAGCCACCAATGTAGTCTTTCGAAGCTGATATTTGGCCTCCAGTTCGTGGTCTCGACACGATAGAGACTAGGACTGCCATTGCACCTCGTAGGATATTGACTGACGGTTGGCATACCACGAGCTCGACTGCCTGCACCTTTGGTCAGCATAATGCAACTTAGCCTTTGTGGGAAATGTCTCACACCTTCTGCACAACCACATTGTCGACGGCTTCCCAGCCATGGTCAAGCTCTAGAAGTCGAGTAAAACTAGCCAAACTGTATGCAAGGGTATTCCCTGAAGAATCTAACATGAGGTTTCGCAGGTTCACGAGGCCGCCTCGACTGCAGAATTGCTCGGCAAAGGAAGGATCGTTGGTCATGGATTGCAGTTTAAAAGCTGCCATCTTCCGGGCTGCGTCCTCAGTGCTAGTAAGACCTGCCAGCAGGTCTGCCATGTTTGAACTTTGTGAATTGCGATTATTCATTTTGGTAACGACTCGGACGCGACACTCGATGCTTGGGAGAATAATGGACTTGTAGGAAAATGCAAGAAGCAAAAATATAGCAGGTTCATCTGTAACATCCTGACAAAGAACCTGACCTAGTATCTAGCGACACTGGTACTTGTTGGACAATTCGATGGAAGGGTCTGGGACAACAGATGGACCAGACTGCAATTTGTCGCGGTTGTCTCTTCGGCTTTGTGATTGGCCATCACTCGAATGGAACAGTGGACATTGTATCCGTTGTGGACTAAATTAAAACGGGACGTGTTCCAGGTCCACGTGCTATACTTCGTCGTACTAGACTGCAAGTCGTACCTAAGGTGCTACGCAACACATTGGCAAGCATAAAAATTGGAACACTGTGAGCTATCTCTGTGTCAAAGCGAACTAATACTGGCAGACCACCTAAGCTGGTTGAACCACTCCAAAATCATCTAAAGCCAAAGTTATATGGGTAATATGGGAGATTGCACTGGCAACTTATTCAACCACAATACATAGCAACAACAGTATATTGTACACAATCGCTCAACGTGATCTACGGGGGAGGTGATCAATGTAATTTCTGTACTCCAAAGAAAAAGTTCCCATACTCTGCAGTACCACCAGCCCATTTCCAGCCGAGCAGCGGTAAATAGATGCAACCTTCAACGCGGACGACTCCATACTTGTCGCCTGCCTCTATTCTTCCTTCATTGTCTGAAGTCTCCACGTTCCTTGTGTGGAGCTCATGGTTTTCGTGCGCAAACCATTCGCGTACTTCCGAAGGATTGACATACTTGTTCCAGTCGTGTGTTCCTGGCGGTACCACACCAATAGGCCAGGGAGCTTCAGCCACGATCTTTGTAGTGAGGTACGACATTGGGTGTCTCGCGATGGTGCTTCCAATTAACCAACCACCTGGCTTGAGATGTGCTAATGCTTGACGAAGAAAGGCAGCAGGCTTGTCAATGTGTTCGACAACCTCAAAGACCGTCACAAAGTCGAAGCTCTCTTTCCCCTGTCCCTCAATATGTGAATCGAGCTCCTCAATTGCACAGTTGAGATACTGGAGTCGGCCAGGTTGTGAGAGCATGGGATCCCCTCTTTGATGTTCCCTGGCTACCTTGATCACCTCGGACGTCGGGTCGATCGCCGTCACACTGACTGTGTTTGGTAACCTCGCCGCAGACGAGGCAAAGATTCCTCCACCGCAACCAACGTCCAAATATTTATATTTTCTTGTGGCTTCTGGATTTTGGGCATCGTTCGAGTTAGGGGACGCTGAGCTAGCGCTTCGCAGGCAGGACTGGATGAAATCGTGGCGGAGAGGGTTCATGAGGTGAAGCAATCGACTCGGTCCATGGGGGTCCCACCAGGATGCTGCTAGCTGAGTGAAGTGACCGACCTCGGAGGCGTTGACTGATGAAGAACCATCACCTATGGGAGAGGCAGAAGTAGAATGAGCTCGAGCATAGCTTATTTGCTCATTCCTAGATCGTGTTGTAGATAGGGAAGTCCAAGCAGGTACTCTCGTCCCCAGGACTCGAACGTCCGGACATCTCAGTGCCACACCTGGTCCATAGCGCACGGCTCGATACATCAACCCGAGCTTTTGCGATATTTAAGTGCTATCACGACTAGCATATCGCTCCTTCTACTCCGCGATACATAGAGTCGTCAATCCTAGGATTCAGCGATGGCTAATATCAACCACAATGTCGGTTGGTGGAATGAGACAAGTTCGTGATACGGCAGCTGCACGTTCAGGCCGCAGGGCACTAATTCTTGGCGTGCCAAGTCCCGGAGAACCTTGTTCCTTGGCGGAAACGACTTTCTCGCCTCTTCTCACCTCGTCATTTGCTACAGATTCCGCGTCACAGTCCGATTTCGTCATTTGGTGTCGCGTGGTCGGCAACGTTTCACTTTCTGTCCATGTCGAAAGCTTGGCTTGACCGAGCCTACCTCCTTGGCGATGCGGCTCGATCACCTCCACCATACAGAAGTCCCCTTCATGTTTGCTAAGAGTTCTCATTGTCTTGGCCAGACCTCAAGATAAGGATGGAAGCATTCTATATTCTTGGCAGCGGAAGACGATGGGGGGTCGTCGATACGGCTTAATGCCCATGGATGGAGTGTGTTTTTTCTGCCGCTAGGCACTATAAGTATGGCCTTTCCTCTGTGCACTGTGCACGGACGTTCAAGATTTGTTCTGTACCCACCATTTAGACCTCTTTGTTGGTTTCCATCACGAAATCTTCTAAAAGCTTCTTACTACTTAATAAATAATCTTATCCATCTCCCTAGTATCACTTGAAACTATCACATACTCACAGCAATAACACGCAAGCCCAACATGGGAAACAAGGGGAAGGAAGAACAGAACTATGCACGACAACCTTTCCTCCTCGGGGTGGACGCCATCACTCAACATCTCCTGACCAATCTTGACACCGGGCTCACATCAGCTCAGGTACAGGAGTACATCCAGAAATATGGAGAAAACAAGCTCGAGGGCGATGGTGGAGTTGCTTGGTATAAGATTCTCACCAAGCAGGCTACTAATGCTATGATTCTAGTCTTAGTACTGGCTATGGCTCTATCATATGGTGTTGAGGACTTCATTGAAGGCGGCGTCATTACTGCTGTCATTGTCCTAAATATCTCTATTGGCTTCTACCAGGAATTTCAAGCTGAAAAGAAAATGGATGCTCTCAGATCGTTATCAGCACCCTCCGCAGATGTCGTACGAGATGGGAACCAAACGACCATCCCTTCACGCGAAGTCGTTCCTGGCGATATCGTCTCTATCAAAACTGGCGATACCGTCCCAGCAGACCTGCGACTTTTCGACGTCATGAACCTCGAATGTGACGAAGCGATTCTCACAGGTGAGGCCCTACCAGTTGCTAAGGAAGTGGAATCCGCAGAAAGAGAAGACCTAGGTCTGGGTGACCGGCTAAATATTGCCTACTCCTCGTCCACAGTCACCAAGGGTCGAGGTAGGGGTGTCGTGGTTTACACTGGGATGTCCACTGCCATGGGTGGCATCGCTGAATCGATGCAGCGAAAGCGGAGGAAGCCAGGCCGCTCAATGAGTGCTAAGAAATATGGACCTATGCAACCAGTCAAAGGTGGTGCGCTGAGAACCTTTGACAGTGTAGGCAAATTCCTTGGATTGACCGAGGGTACGCCCCTTCAGATCAAGCTTAGCAAGCTGGCATATACCTTATTTGGCTGTGCACTCTTACTTGCTATCATCGTCTTCGGCGTCAATCGTTTCAATGTAACGAACGAAGTGGCTATTTACGCTATCTCAACAGGCATAGCCATCATACCAGAATCGCTCATCGCTGTACTTACAATCACCATGGTCGTGGGTATGACTCAGATGAGGAAGCGAAAAGTGGTAGTCCGTCAATTAAGTGCTCTTGAAGCTCTAGGTGGCGTGACCAATATCTGCTCTGACAAAACGGGTACTTTAACACAAGGCAAGATGGTGGCGCGCAAGGTATGGATTCCTGGCGCAGGTATATACAGCATCGAAAACTCGAACAACGCTTCCGACCCCACGGAGGGCACCGTCACCTTCGGAGAAAGCAAGTCTCGCAAAGAAGTGGAAGCTGAGAAATTGCGTCGACAGGAGGAGCTCGATGCCAAGCGATCCACAGCCGGTATCCAGTTTGATGTCCCTCAGGAGAAGATGAACAAGGATAGGAAAGCCGAACAACCTGTACCAGAACAGAACATTGTTATCGACAACCCAGAAACGACACCTGAGCTTCAAGCATTCCTGGAGTCCGCCGCACTCTGTAATCTGGCAACTGTTCGAAAAGTTCAAGAGGACGGAACTAGCAAATGGAAGACAACTGGCGACCCCACTGAAATAGCTCTTCAGATCTTTGCTCACCGATTCCAGCACGGGAAGGACACCCTAGAGAAAGAGCTCGGTTGGAAGCAGTCGATGGAATATCCTTTTGACAGCTCTATCAAGCGTATGTCAGTGGTGTACAAATCACCCAACAGAGACGACAATGTTATTTTCACAAAAGGTGCAGTCGAACGTGTTATCGACCTCTGCACAATGGTAGGAACAGGCGAAAAAGAAGTCGAAATGACACCTGAGACCAAAGAGGATGTTCTTGAACAGATGAATATCCTGGCAGAGCAAGGCTTGCGTGTGCTTGCAATTGCTCGACGCTTCACAACTCTCGAAATTGCCGAACACTCCACTGTCGAACGTACTGAGGTCGAAAAGGATTTGTGTCTACTTGGATTGGCGGGTCTCTACGACCCTCCACGTCTTGAGACGAAGGGTGCTGTTCAGGCATGTGCAACTGCAGGTATTCAGGTCAGTATGTTGACCGGTGACCATCCCTCGACTGCCGCAGCGATTGCTCGCGAAGTCGGTATTATCCCTCAAAATATGAAGTCTCTGCCAGCAGACGTGGCCGCAGCGATAGTGAAACCAGCGACCGAGTTCGACAGAATGACCGATGCTGAAATCGACGCCCTCCCGACACTACCACTCGTAGTAGCACGGTGTGCTCCCGAGACGAAAGTTCGCATGATCGAGGCGCTTCATCGTCGCCGCAAATATGCTGCTATGACGGGCGATGGTGTCAACGACTCGCCCTCTCTCAAGCTTGCCGACGTGGGTATCGCCATGGGTCTAAATGGCTCCGATGTTGCCAAATCCGCGTCAGACATCGTCCTTACCGACGACAACTTCGCCAGTATCGTCAACGCAGTAGAGGAGGGCAGAAGAATGTTCGACAATATCCAGAAATTCGTTCTTCACCTGTTGACCTCCAACGTCGGCGAAGTCATCCTACTCATCTGCGGATTAGGCTTCCAAGACGAATTCGGCTTCTCCGTCTTCCCACTGTCACCGCTGCAAATCCTCTGGATCAACATGCTCACCTCTTCTTTTCCAGCTTTCGGTCTCGGAAAAGAAAAAGCAGCAAAGGACATCATGGAGCGTCCTCCCCACGACAACAAAAAGGGCATCTTCACATGGGAACTAATCACCGATATGCTCGTCTACGGCACAATCATGGGCGTCTGCTGCCTCTCAACATTCGTCTTCATTGTTTACGGCCCTGGTCCCGACGGCCTCGGCCTGGACTGCAACAAGTCTTACGGCGCATCCTGTAATATTGTCTTCCGAGCTCGAGCCGCCGTCTTCGCCGAACTCACCTGGATGATCCTCCTGAGCGCCTGGGAGTTCAAGAGCATGCGACGATCTCTATTCAAGCTCGACCCAAACTCAACCAAGCCACTACAATTCATACACGATATCTGGGAGAACCAATTCCTCTTCTGGTCCGTTGTCATTGGCGGGCTAAGCGTATTTCCTGCCGTGTACATCCCCGGCCTCAACAGTTCAGTCTTCAAGCACACGGCCATCACATGGGAGTGGGTACCAGCAATCATCTGCGTATTCATCTTCATTACAGGTATGGAACTGTGGAAGCTCGTGAAGAGAACAACCGGGTGGTTCAAGGAGGAGGAGACTGAGGGAATGAAGGCAAAGAGGAGGATATTAGGTCACGGATTGTCTTTGAGACAGGGATTCTTCACGCTTGCTAGGACGTTTACGAAGTCGAGGAGTGAGGCGAAGAGTGAGATGTCTGAGAAGAATGCGAAGGTGAGAGTGCCGCCTCCTGCTGTGCAGGGAGGTGTGAAGGAGGAGGTGTAAATTAGCATTTTGATTAGTATTACTCGCTGCGTTGCGGTCACTATGTGGCTCTATCCTTGTGATGAAATTGTGTACCTTGATTATCGGTTCACTTATGAATTCAATTTGCACGTCGATTAGAGGTTGAACAGGAGACCATCCGAGCATTAACTTGAGATTAGCCTTACAGTTATGCTTCAGTCAAATCTTACAACTTTGCATCGAATCCATTCCTCCATATCGCTGACGACTTGATCAGTTTCAGACCGACGCCAATACACTGAAAATACTAACCGCATACGGTGGCGTCCTCCAGGACCATACGCAGTGTAGAACGCATATTGAGAACAGGCCGGCCAGCACCACCATACACAAGCATCAGTTCCTGCGCAGCCTGAACCACATTGCAACATATCCAAGAATCCTATACCCAACGATAATACCAAGCATTATCCCGAGCCATTCCCACATCTTGCCATCCTCGTATGAGTAGTTATAGGCATCGAGAACTGCCGTGCCTCTAGTCTTGCCTTGATTTTGCAGGTCGCTTGGGTACATGCAGTAATATCCGCCATCATTGACTCGATCACAGTCGTAAATGGTATCTTTGAATTGATTGACCATCATGGCTTGGAAGACGTAGGCTTGGTAATCGATGTAATGGAACGCGTCTGGACGGAGTTGTTAGCGATAAACGCGCGGCAAGCAACAGAATAGTTCCACTCACACTTCCAGAACACATTGAGAGTGCCCATTGGGACGAGGAAGCCACCAACGCTCATCCATAGTCCATTGGCGAAGGCTGTCGCCGCCAGAGCCACAACGAAGATAGGGAAGATGGCACTGAGCAGTACCACCAAGCTCTCTGCGGCGACTAGATCGAGAAATAGCCAGAGCACCCATATCCAGAATCCGCCCGCGGTATCACGAAAGTTCGACAGCCAGTAGACGATGATACTGAAGGCGAGAGTGATGAGCAGCAGCCACGGAAGACCGACCAGGAAGTTGGCAATCACAAAGCTCAGAGGTCCATATAGGCCATTGGCATGTTCCTTGCGCAGGGTATGGATATCTTCGATGATACTAGGAACATATGCCACGGCCATGAAGCTCATGAAGGCGCCCCCAAAGAACAGCGCATTAACGAAGGGCTGGATGGACGCCTGTGTATAGTCAAGACGCAGCCACACTGTGCCCATCATAATTGCAAGGCCAATGTACATTGCAACGCGTGTACCGTAGGCGAGGACATCGCGGTACGACTTGATGAAGCTGCGATGCAGGAGAATGAGCGGGATGTCTGGACGAGATGGATGTCCCAGTCGTGACGTTTTAAAGATGGGCTCTATTGTCTTAGTTGGTGATGTCGAGACCGCGGATTGAAGCGTTTTGTACATCTGAGAAGTGCTCCAAAGGTCACAGATAGCGGCTAGCCTCGGACCCGATTGGTCCGCGACTGTGCTGTCAAAGTCTGTATTGACGAGGTCAAGCAAGAACTCGGCTGGGTTTGTATGCAGAGGCATAGGGACGATAGAATTGAAGTAATCGGATACCTCTTGAACTGGCCCAAAATAGCATGTCCTCCCTTTGGCTAGAAGAAGCAGTTGGTCGAAAAGTTGAAAGGTGGTCGTCGCAGGCTGGTGGATGGATGCAATAACGATCAGGCCATGCTTTTTGGCGACGCTCGATATGAATTGCATGACGTTGAAACTTGCAGCTGAATCAAGACCGCTAGTAGGTTCATCGAGGAAGAGGACTTTCGGTGAAGTGACCAGCTGGCTTGCTACACTAACGCGACGCTTCTGTCCTCCACTGATTCCTTTCCGTAACGGAGTTCCGATGATTGTGTGCTCTTGCCGGTTCAGTCCGAATGCATCAACCAAATTCTGCACAATTGCACGTCTCGTAGAGGCACTTAGGCCGTGCAAAGCGAGCTTCGCTGAAAAGTCGATTGTTTCGCGCACAGTAAGGCTGCCTGTCAACGCATCTTCTTGCTCGACATATCCCGATATACGGCGTAGGTTCTCTTTACTGACAGAACTTGCGTTGGCCTTGGTCTCTCCTGTCCAGGGAGTTTGAGAACGATGTGCAAGGACGTTGAGGAGGGTCGTCTTGCCACTTCCACTAGGTCCCATAAGAGCAACTAACTGACCAGCTTCAACATGACCATTACAGGAATCTAGGATCTTCAATGGCTGGTTCGTCCTTCTGTCTTTCACCTGAACGTTAATGTCTGACCAGGAGAAAGATCTGATAACATCGTTTCTGAAGATATCGTCTGGCGCGAACTCGGGGTCTTTTTCGGACATTGTGTATATGTATTATGGTTCACGTTTGCCGACAAGCTTACGTGTCTTTCGGAGAGGTGATGAAGGAAACATATTGCAGCGTCCTCCAGGGCCATCTTTATCAGAAAGGTCGTTTGCGGCCGTAGAGCCCTTGCAATGTGTATGGCCGGCTATATTGGACCTGAAAGACGCGACTGCCATAGTCGATCCAGAAGTCCGCGAAACGAGACTGATGCATCCCTGCAGCGAGGCGGTTTGCTCGGCGAGGTACCACGAGTAGGAGCTGAGTGCTGTGCGACTGATCGAGACTTTGGTCTGTCAGATTACAAAAACGTCCAGCTGAAGAATTGCAGCCAATTACAATCATCATGACAACCAAGGAACCCACCTACACCCCTGCCATTTTTTGCTCGCCGACCAAAACTGTGTTGCACCCCGAGCAACTATCTAACCATGAAATACAGGTAAACAGCCATCACACCGCCTTTGAAAAGTGTGTGAAACCGTTTTGTGTACGCTTCGTGGAGAACGACTGGCCTAAATACAGAAAATGTCGGATGGCCTCCCAAGCTACGGCTCGAAGTCTCACACCACTTGATACGGTGGACCACCATTCTGTGCTATTGAAAGAGTAATCGCCAAGAACGGTCGCGAGATCAGCGATATCTCAGACGAGTCAATGAAGTCGTAAAGTTACTACGAACATTTCGGGCAGGTACGCAGCTTTCTGCAATGAAGATATATGCCTGAGGCACAATGTTAACAAGAGCACCAAAAACTTCAAACGTATCGGCCTGCATCTTCTGTCGCAGCAAACATCTCAAGTGTGATTGTACAAAGCCATTTTGCAACAGATGTCTCGTGAGCGGCACAGAATGTGTTTACGTACAGTCGCGCAGAGGTCAGGTAGGAGGTAGAAGGAAGATACAGGCCGGTATCAGGTCGCGCGCTGTTACCAGCAAGCATGTAAACGATACTTTTGACCACGAATCGACTTTCAGCTCTCCATCTACCATCGAGGATATCTTATTCGCTGTACCAGCAACCATATCGGACACGTCGCAGGACTACCTAATAGATGTATATTACCAGACTGTACATCCAGCACACCCCTTCTTGATCCCCCATCACGCCTACAGGCGTACTCCTGGACTATTGCCGCAGCATGTCATGGAGACAATGTGCCTCCTGGCAGGACGTGTGGTCGGAGGCCACTACAGAGACGAGTCTGTCACGATCCAAAGTCTTCTTGAACGCAACCTTTCTTCAGATATTCAGAAGGTCCAGATGTGTTTGCTGCTAACAATAGCATCGTATGCGTCGTGTAATCGAAGCTTTGGCGATCAAGCACTCAAAACTGCCGCTGATACAGCATATGCAATTGGGCTCGACTCTGAAAACTTCAAGTGCGACAACAATGCCATCCTACGCGAAAGTTGGCGGAGGACTTGGTGGGAGCTGTATACACTAGGCGGCCTGATATCTGTGCTAAACCCTTTCACTGAGCGAGTTCATGCCGCCTCGGATAGGCTGCTACCTAGTCCTGAAGAAGCTTACAGGAACTGCATGAGTGCCGAATCACGAACATTAGAGCAGATGCGTGACCGACACTTTGCAGATGATGGCTTCAAATACTCCTCGTTCGCGTACAGGATCGAGGCTGTTCGCATATTAATGATGATTCTCGGTCACGCTCAGCAACATTCGGCCCAATACGAAGATACCACGTCTCACGGCTGCAGTGCCGCCATCAAAACATTTATGCTGTCACTTCCCGCTCCGAAACAGTCTACTATCGAGCGCAATTCTACAGACGAGATGATGGAATGTGCCATCATGACCATCAACCTAGCCAGCATTATTCACCATACTCCTCGGTCAGGACTCCTTACAGTCAGAAGTTTCGACACAGTATGCACGACATCCGAGCCTTCCAGGTACACACCACACCAACAATCACACGAAACTGCAGCACTACGCTCCGCCGAAGCTATATCCCAACTCCTCATCGATCGAGCTTCCTTGAAGACAATATCACCATGCTTCTCCTGCGCACTTGCCTTTGCGACTACACTGCAATTGTCAGCGTACTGCAAAGGTCAAGCTGCCGAGGAAAGCGCATGCTTGAAAGAGTATATACAGGTTTCGCTGAGTGCACTAGATACGATGGGAGAGAACTGGAGGATAGCCAAAGTGGTCAAGGAACAACTTGCGGGTTTTGCGAGGGAAGTGTTCGTACAGCCTGCTCGAGGCCACGCCATACAGGCGATGGAGACGATCAAAGAGCCATTGACTCTGGGACATGCGGCGGCAGACGATGCTTGGTTGTCGGACTTTATCAACGATCCAGCCTATGCGCTGCCCGAGGGTCAGGAATTAGGTTTCCAGTTATTACAGTAAATTATGGAGAATTGAGGATGTTATGTGCTGACCGTAATACGGATCGAGGCCACATTTCTCAAGTATGCCATTGTCATTGTAGATGCTGAATTGTTCCTATTGAGTGCTCCAGCTCAGCTGCAGGATTTTGACAACACTCTTAGTCTAACCTTGAACCAGTTTTACGTGTACCTCCAACAACTCGCAGATCAGTTTTTCACGAGACTCACCCGACTCTCAGATTAGACAGAATATATAGGACGATCACACTATCACTGACCTCACTTGCCGGAGCGCCATCATGTCCCTCATTGCCGGACTCTCTTCGTCAATCACGTCCTTTTAAGCTACCTGTGTTGAACGTTCTTGCAACAATACCTCGTCCAGGACACTCCCAACAGCACGTGAAAGGCAGACATGCGTCACTCTCTATTGAAGACTTTGTCAAATAGCTTTCGTCTTTAGGTTTCCTGGTATCTGCCAGGTACGACCGACCGAGTAACTACCAGCAACCACCGCCACCGCCACCGCCACCACAATCCCCAGAACCACCAGCACCTACTACCACGTCATCAGCACCGCTCCTGCGTCTCCGTGTCCTGGGTCCTCCGATACCTCTTCACTTTGGAGTGAGAGATATCCCCACCGTACTCGGGGTGTGCATCGTAGTACTCCTTGCGATGCTCTGCTGAGAAAGCTTTGTTCGTGGCCAACTGGGTTTCTTGGTAGCCCGGTTGAGCCCACATTTCAGTGGACCGTTGCCGCGCCTGTTCGCGAACTTCTGACGTGCCCATCACCGCTCTCATCATGGCTTTGTATCGGCCTTGAGTTCGGCCCTACCTGCTTTTGTTCTCTCTGCATGGTACGCCTTGTTGGCAGCAATTGCGTACCAGGCCTTTGACCGCTTATAGGCTGCTTGTCGGTTCTCAGGTACAGACCAGAAGTCGTTCCGAATGCTCCTCAGATATTTTTGATGCTCCTCCTTCGACCACGAAATTTTGCCGGGCTGTACGGCAAGCATGAAGGATGTATACCAATTTTCGTTACGCCATTGAGAAACGTCGTCGTTGCCGCCGTAGTGAGCCATGGCCAAAGCAGAGTCGAAGGCGAAAAGCGGCTCGCCTTCAAGGCCAACGATAGCAATATCATCCTTGTCGGACTGCTTGAGCTTCTTGCGAAGCGGTTCAGAATCGCGGGCACGATCTTTCTTGTAGATGGAGCGAAAGGCGTTCATATCGATGTCAACTAAGAAGTCCTGCTTAGCTTGCTCCAGCCTCTCGGCAACAACATCGACCTCTGACTCGCGTAACCAGCGCCGCAATCGCTCAGAATGTAGCACAAACACAACATTCTAGATCGTGCCGTTAATACTGAGCTGCGCGCAAAAAGTCCATCCTCGACATCGAAAGTATTCTGGAGAAATCTTTTCACAAGTGTTCCTGTAGCAATGAGTGACACTGTTTAGAAACTCGCCATTCTCCATGTTTGACGACGTGAGGAATTTAGGTTGATCATCTGAAACTGGAAAGTAGCTTTAAATAAACCTCACACGATATTTGAACAAGGTATCTTTGGTGAGTTACAAGTGACTCTCAGGCAAAGTTAGAGCAAACCTCGAACAAATTTTGAACGGGCTTGAACATGACTTGACAGAAACTCGAAGAAGGCAGGATATTTCAGATTGAAATGTGACAAACATTGTGTCTGACTCACCTCCCTCTGTATCTATTTTGCTAGGAGTAAGTGTGGACGAACACATTGATAGGTAGGCTAGAAGCCGAGAAGAAGCTGTGTAGACGTGTAGGTGCCTGAGGCAGGATACTGTTCTCCGCCCACTCACCCAACCTTGAGGTCTCGAAAGGCCAGAGATACCGAGTAACGAAGATCATTGAATTGCTCTCTTTCTATGCTGGTTTTCTTCACAGTACTCAGGCTTTGGTTATGCTTACAGTATCTCATATCATAACTACCCCCGAGTCGTGGTCACGTGTTCCCGATGGTTTTCGTCTCGTCATATCTTCGTCTCTTCTCCTTCTCGACTATTCTGTTAGTTGTAATTCTCGCCATAAGGACCTTGTAAACCAAAGCAGTTGGCGAAATAAGTAGTTGTTGCAGACCAGTCACTGAACATTCCAACGATTCCGATTTCATTTGCCATTATATCAAGAACCTCATAGAGTTGTCCATCATGGCTGACGGCTTGGCTGAAGGTGCTGTAGTAATAGTCCTGCCTGGCGTCCACAGTAGTAAGAGGTCCCGACCGCTCGAACGACCACGCAATGATGTCGAGGCCAGCAGCCTTGGCAGCCGTCGCGTACGGGGATGGGACGATAGTGCTGTTGGTAGCATCACTATAAGTGAGCAGATAGTTTATGGGGGGAGCAATGATGTTGACACCTTGTGTCTTCAGAGAAGGCAGACGAGCAGCAGCTGTGACGAGAGTTTCGGGTGTATCACCCTCCTCATCTAGATAAACGGCATGGTTTCCAAATGCGGGAAACTCACTGATCCACAGGAAGACATCAGCAGGAAGGAAAGACTGAGCCCAAACACGCTCAGGAGCGATTCCTTTTCTGATAAAAGCGTTGACCATATCTCTTGCGTATTGCGCTTGGGTATAGACGCCCTTGAATGGCATCGGAACTTGAGATGGTGGCGTCTTCAACTCTGGAGTAAAATTTCGATAACCAGGGAAGGAGTCGACGAGATCGATGAAGCCATCGAGGGACAGAGGTGTGGCGCAAGTGTCATAACTTTCAATACGTCAGTTTCAAATCCTCTGTAGCAGACAGGAAGTTGAGGTTTGGGTGTAAGAATACTTACAGATCAGTTCGCCAGGCAGGAGTCCCACGTTGGTAGGCTTCTGGCGTCCTTGCACTGCTGTTGCTCCCGTCCATCTTGGAGCACAAGGAGTTGTACTCGCTCAGGGTGATGTCTGACGTACAGCAAAGTGCTGATGCCGGCGAGGTTGCGTTTGCAGGCCTGAAAGGCTGAGTACACTTTGCAGCCAACTCCGGTCTTAGCAGAATGTCTGTCGTTGTGTGCAGATCACAAAGAGAATGTCTGCAGACAAGTTGGAGATCGTTTGTGAAAGCAACATCGCATTCAAGAACACCACTTCCCATTCGCGCGCCTGCCTCTTGATTCTGGGCAGATGCCTCGGGTATTTGCAGCGTAGCTCCGCCACGATGTCCCTGTTATGTGTCAGTCCAGAGTAATATGCTAACGCACGAAAAGACGTCAGCACACGTCTTCTTGGGCTCACTTACAATGCTCCATCCAGTGACTGAGAAAGGGCCATTGGCGCATGATTCCAGCTTCTGTTTCAATGGACCCTCAGTCATGTTCTGGACGATATAATAAGGGCGCGGACCCAGCGAGATCTGGTACTCCGTTGGTCCATCTGGCTGTTTGATCAACGAGGTGTGCTTCGAAGTTCTAGCATCGAGAGGAGCTGCTGCTGCAAGAGCCGCAAAGGCCAATGTGGAGACAATGCGAGCCATGGCGCCTGTCTATCGAGTTTGCTCGCCGAAGTAGACAGCAACCTCGCTGTGCAAGGCTCTGTAGGTGCTTTGGAAACGAGCGAGAAGCAACGAGACACTGAATAGACACAGAGCACGAAACGAGCGAAACTGACTTTTTCCAGACAAGGTGGGCTATTTATTTTTCTTCTTCTCTACATAGCAACATAGCTTGCTAGCTGCAGAATGGTTACCTTTCTGTCTTGTAACTTACAGCTCCATCATGCACACCTGTTGCACGTGTAGCAAATCGTGCATGTAAGTGAACGATTGTGATAAGTTGGTGACCCCAAAAGTTGCAGGATCCAGCTGGTAGCTACGGAGCTAGAGAGCTGTTAGACTTGGCCGAGGGACATGATAAGGGCTTGGCGATGCTTATCGAGCCTATAGCAAAGCGTACCTGGAACACACCTTCTGAAAGTTCGGACGGACTTTGGTGTTCCTGCGCAAGCCTCTGTCATCATGGTTGATCGCTTGACGGAAGAAGACTCGCCAAGATCTGGAGATGCATGGTTCGAAGCAAGATTGAAATCGACCATTGCTACGACTGTCGCATCTGGCTAGATGTAGGACAGCTCCTAAAAAGGCAGGTCCATCAGAAGAAAATTCGAGTCGGAACGCATGAAGAGTAACCGCAAAAGAAACGTTCCGCTGGGCAATATTTTGCAGCTTTGACAAAAGGTGCCTGACAGACGCCATGACAATTTCACATTAACGCCCAAACACCTTGCTCAGTAACTGAAAGAGAGAGTCTGACGGCCTCGATCATGCTATCCTTTGTCGTTTCGGCATGGTGTCAGCTTCCTCGGCGCTGTCGTCGCCAATGTCGATCTCATCACCTGTACCACCCACACTGCTGCCATCGTCGACAAGCTCGTCGTCGAGGTCTATACCACCATCTTCCTCGTCACTTTGGCTGACAATGTCCTCTTCTTCTTGGTGTACACCGTTGCCGTTGACCTCGACATCGTCGTCCTCATCTCTTGCACGTTTCAAACCCTTCATCTTCCTCGTTTGCAGCTCGTTGAGATCCTGTCTGCCCAAGTGGATTCTTCCGAGCTTGTCGCCCACTATGTCCGTCTCGATATTCTTCTTGTTTCTGGCTTCATTAGGCCGCCTTCCATGTTTCATAGCCTCTTTCATGATATTGGGATCAGCGGTCTTGAACCGCCCAACTCGAAAATCAAAGCTTGGCCCTATTTGATCGAGCTCGACTCTAGGAACTTTCGCTGTATTTGACCTGAGCGTTCGTACTCTGTACCACCTCAGATGAACCACTGGTCTCTGGTTTGGATCTTCCGATGTTACAGAACCACTTGTCTCACCAGCAGCAATGAACAGCACATACTGTAGACCTGCCACATCGATGCTAGCAATCTCTTCTCCTTGGAAAACGTCCAGGAACGTGCTCTTGAGCTGTCTGAATAGACTTGCCTGTTCCGAAGCCGAGTTGTCGTCCCACGGCGACCCAGCAAACACAATCATTGGCTTCATTTCGACACCTATCTGCATCTTGCCATCTTCTGCTTGTAACTCTTCCGCTGTCGTGACCAGCAACAATTCTGTCATATCGAGTGTCCTGCCATCGAATAACCGTAGGATCGTTATGTTATTCGGACGCTTCTTGGAATGTGTGGCGAACACAGCAACTGCGCAGTCATTTTTCTGCGACAAGAATTCGAGGGACGCTGGATCTTGAAAAGGATGGATATTTTCATTCTTCTTCGTTAATTGGACTGAATGTGGCTTCGTGAGAGTCATGATTGTTTTCAAGACGTTCCTTATCGGATCTGGACATCTTGTGCCGTGAAGTAACAGTATTCTCTTTCGACCTTCTACTGTTTGTGGTTCACGAGCTTTGACAATCTTTGCGGTGCGAGCATTTCGAGGTTTGACTTCGCGCAAAAGCGACATCTTGCGGGTAGCAAGTCCAGATAGTAATAGTGTAGTATGTTCAAGTCTGGTAGGTCGTTCAAACAAATGTTATTGTTGAAGGCTTGACTAGTTCTGACTGCCTCTGCCCTGCCTTTAACTTGAGAAAAGTTAAAAAAAGTTTCGGTATGCGATGAATTACTTCCGAAGTTTGTCCGACTAATCTTGTCTCAATGTGCTACTATCACCACGTGGCTCGCAGTTTTGAGACCTTCACGTCTTATCTATCGTAAGAACTGAATTGAGCTATATCAGTAGCATTAACCTAACAGTCCATCGACAGGTCTACAGCTTAGCCTTGATAGCACCTCTCTCCTCTTCTATCTCCTTCTTCGCTCGTATCCTCAAGTCTCTCCTCAAGAACTTCCCAATAGCGTTCTTCGGTATTTCCGAGACGAATTTGATCCCACCTCGCAGCTGCTTGTGCTGTGCCAATCTATCTGCAACATACTTCTTGAGTTCTTCTGCTAGGGCGGGCTCATCAGCACTGGCTTTGCTGGTATCTTGGTCGAAGTATCGGGTTTGGCTTAGCGTGTCTTGTTTCGAGGAGTCATTTATCGTCGTCTGGTCTATTGATGCTGAGGGTGCTGATCTCGAAGGGCCTACAGAGCCTTCATTTCGTGTCTGGGAATGCTTTGCATCCATGTATCGTGTTTGCTCAACAGTATCCTGCTTGGATGAATCACTTCCTGCGGATTTTTGCAGTGGCGCTTGAGCCCCAGGCGATGTCGGTGTTGGCCACGAACCCGAAGATGCGGACCCAGAGCCTTGTATTGAAGACGTGCTCGCTGAGGTTGTGCGCCGCACATCTGCGTAACGTGTCTGATCAAGGGTGTCCTCCTTAGAAGAGTCATTGCGTGTGTGCTTGGAATCCATGTATCTTGTTTGCTCCAAAGTATCCAGCTTCGATGAGTCGTCATGTCCTGAACTACCTCGGGAGGCCTCGCTGAGCACAATATATGCTCGTGGTAGATCCGTGCCTGGATCATCAGGAGCTGGGACGCCGACAACTGCAGCTTCGGCTACTGCTGGATGCGTGAATAGTAAATTTTCAATCTCAGCCGGAGCTATTTGCAGGCCTTTGTACTTGAGCAACTCCTTCTTGCGATCCACGATATAGAACTTGCCGTCTCTCATGACACCTATGTCGCCACTACAAAACCAAGGTCCTCGGTGGTCATCGTTGAAATCATGAAACGCGTCTTTTGTCGCCTGCTCGTTATTGAAATATCCTTCCATAACCATCGGTGCTCTGATGAGAAGCTCTCCCTCCTGTCCGGGCTCGACATCTTCGTAATTGTCGTTCACCATACGTAACTCAACGTTAGGCAGGATAAAGCCTATGCAACCTGTTACGTCAGTCTGGCCAGCAGGTATCGCAGTAACTGCTCCCGTCGTTTCGCTCAAGCCCTGATCAGAAGGTTAGCTGGATTTGCACTGTTCATGCTACAAACAAGTCAGGCCAGCACCATGAGAGCACTTACCCATGTCTGTCCGATAAAAGTACTTTGCCCATCGCCGAGGCGCGAATTAGAAGAGGTTTGTAATTTCGCGTCCATAGGCGCGGCGCCTGTGCTCGCTGCGACCACATGCTGGAAGTGATCTTTCACCTCCGGACTTTTCGCGATTCGTAAATAAATTGACGGTACAGTGTAAAAAGCTGTAATCTTGTACTCTTTCATGTACTTTAGTAAGTCGGTCCAATTGTACTTTCTCATCCAGAATACTGTGCCACCGGAATAGATAGGAATGATCAGATACGACATAAAACCTGCAATGTGTGAGATTGGTAGATGACCAAGTGTTCGAAATTCCACAGGTGTGTACGACGCAGGATCGGTTTCTAGCAGTTTAGCGACATGCATTCTGCTTAATATCGTGCCAATGAATGTCTCTGCAACTAAATTCAGATGACTGAGAGACACTCCTTTCGGAAGACCAGTGGTACCGGATGACCATAGGATGACGATAATAGATCTCTTGAGTCTTGGTGCATCGGTGATACACTCCCAGTGCAACTTTTGACTCGATATAGCGTCAATGCCACCTAGAGATTTAAGAGACAGCTCTGGCCATGACTCAACGACCAGAACTCTCGAGAATGGCACACCACATTGCCTTGCTGCATCTTTCACCACGGTTTCGTGCTCAGAACTGCAGATAACAAGGTTAGACTTCGCCACACTGATTTGGCGCGCTAATTCCGCCACAGTTGAAGACGGAGAAGCAGCTGAGTAGATGCCTCCAGCTGCGATGACACCATAGAATACAGCTGGTATCAGGAGTTGACCATAACTCATCACAGTCACAACGTCCTTGTCTGGTCCACCAGATCCAACATCGTAATTAGTGCGAAGGCCATGTGCTATTTGTTGCGTCAGGTCGCTAAGATTCCCTTTCGTGAGCTTCGCGTCAGGATGTGCAGCGTCCACATGGAGTATCGTGTCTGGCGTCGAAATGCTATGTTCTGAATCTATCCTCTGGTGTCAGTCAAAGACTGGTTCGGACCAGTCAAGCTCACCAAATAGGAAAGTGAGGAGGTCCACATTAGGGACGTCAACATGTGGCACGGCGGTATTCTGGTAGATTCTGCGTGTTTTTGCCATGGTCTGTTGCCTTTCGAGCGTTTTCCGTCGTCTAGGGCACGTCAATGTGCTGTCAAGCATAGCAGTCTAACGAGCGGTGCCTCTAATGCTGGCTGAATATAGCCAGTAGCATAGCCACGTGACCAAGTCAATGAGGGGAGGCGAGGGCCAATTGGCGGTAAATAGCCTCGGCTGGTTGCCGGACGTGCTCTTGCTCAGAACTCGTCGCACCATCTACTACTCTTGTGTAAATCCTGGACATATCGCATTGTTTTGGTGCTTCGGTCTTGGTGGGCCAGAAAATGCAGACTTCTCCATATTGGTAGCAGTGTGTATACTGGTTCTCTTATGCTGTAGACAGACCTAGAATGTCGCTGAGACTGTGCATTGGCCGATATCCAAAGCTTTCAGGCAAAAGTACGATATTGGTAGTGCGACTTCGTGAAGTTTGCATTCTTTGCAATGTGGTGATTAGTGTCACGGACAGACAGAAACCAGAGCATATTGCAGAGTTGTCCTTGATAGTGATCGCGGCGATATCAGCTTGTAGAGGAAGCCGGCTCAATGTACTGACTGGACAAGTAGAATGTGGAACATTAGGAACTTCTTGAGGTATATGATGTCCTCATAAGTCCCGTGGCTGGACTGTAGCTGTATTTCGTCTCAATCACCAAGTCTCATCGAGCGACTTCTGATCGACTTATTGGCCAGGCAGTCCCCTCGCTGGATTCCATCCAGGGGTATTCTTCTTATCTGGTTTCCTGGCCAGATAGACACTTGATAACTTCTCGTGCAACGTCAACATCCCTTGAGGGATTGGAGCCATTGTTTTTGCTGCGTGCGACAGCACGGATTCGACGCGAGCCTGAAGGGGGGCTGATTAGAATGGAACAAGCAACGGTGATATGTTCGTTGGTCAAATATCGTGTCCTAGAAGACCTGGTTCGTTTCTCCGTGATTGTGATGTTCGAACAGTCGCCTGAACATAGGCGCTTGAAAAGTCCCATGCGGCTAATCATGCACGTGTAGCAACAGCATTGGACCAGGGAATGGTCAGCCTTATGTCGCAGCTAACACACGAGCTACGAATAAGGGCTAGCATCAAGAAGCAACTTTTTGATCTCGCACAAAGACAGCCGCGTCAAGGCGCTTGACATGAGTGTTACAACAAGCATGCATCATGAATGTCGATAACAAAGGTGCAGACAGTAGCAGTTCTGAAGCAACTACGCCCAAGAACGTAATTGCTTCAAAAAGCATTTTCCGGCCACTAAATTCCAAACGCAATGAGATCCGGCTGCTCCACATCGCACCTGCCCCATCCCTCAATCTACCTATAGTTGCAAAGCTCAGCACCGTCAGCCTTGATGATAACCTACAATATGACGCTCTATCATGGTGTTGGGGCGTCCTCCCGATGCAGACTCGATAAGAATTAATGATCATGAGTTCAACTGCAGTCCGAATCTCAGAATCGCATTACAACACCTTCGAAGCAAAGATGAAGAGGTCACATTCTGGGTGGACGCCGCCTGTATCAACCAGGAAGATATCTCCGAGAAAAACACCCAGGTCCGCCTCATGAATCTTGTATACAAGCAAGCAAAGATCGTTCGAGTATGGCTTGGTGAGCCCTTCGATGGAAGCGGTGAAGCAATGATGTTCATAGACGATCTACAGCACTGGCAGGCCGACCAGAAATTGAGCAAACATTGTCAAGTTATTACAGAGGCTCTCATGAACAAAGTCAAGTTGCTCACGGAATTTCCGTGGTGGCAGCGAGTTTGGGTCATGCAAGAGGTAGTCTTGGCGCGTTCAGTCGACTTCCACTGTGGGCATGATAGATTTCACTGGACCTGGTCAATGTGGCGTATCATGGAATTCCTGCCTGCCCTTGTGATTGACCCTACCCAATGCTTCAAACATGACCAACTCCAAGGAGACATTTGGGACATCGTGGAAATCCTGGTTCATGCTTTGAAGGTCTTCACACGGCTCCTGGATCTTCGAGGCAAGGATGAAGTGGCTTTTCACCGGAACGATACTGTCAGGATCTTGATCGAGATGAGTCAGTTGCATACCACTGACCCGAGGGACCACGTTTATGGTGCACTCGGTCTCATGCCAGAATTCGCCAAAATACAGCTCGTGAATTATGCTTTCCCCGTCGAGGCTGTGTTTATGCTGACAACCTATTTTCTCTGTTACTATGTGAGGTCGCTACTGCCTCTAGCCTCGATTTCTGGCAGATCGACGTCTGCTCCCAATCGAGGATGGTCGCTCGCCAGCTGGGCCATGGATTTGAGAAGATATCCAAAGAAGCGCAAGCTTTTCCACTGGTTCACCGCAACTGGAGCTTGGGGTCCTGACAATGCCTTTCAAATTGACTTTGATGTCTACAGCAGATGTTCAAAGGTCCGAGGCACATACTTCGATCGTATCGTCGCTTGCCACAAAGTCGAGGGTAAGGTCAACGTTCACTTCTTTCAGGTAGAGACCATGAGAGCATACGTGCAGGGCTGGAGAGACTTCCTCGGCGTTCACGACCACGGCGTCGGCCACAGCACTTACATTAGTGGTTGCTCCATGGAGCAAGCATTTCGATGGACCATCGTGCGTGGTCTGCTAGATACAAGTGGTGTATATGGTGATGATCGACCGTTGAAGAGTTCCGATGCTGAAACATATTTTAGATGGATCGCTAGTCCTGCTAGCCGAAGCATCAATAGTCCTGATGCCAACGGCTACAGTCATCAAGCTGCTGTGCCATATCAATTGGCACTGCACCGGCTCATGTTCGACAAGAACACTTTCCTTTTCCGAACTGCTCGTGGCTACATGGGTTTGTCGGTTGGTGTTCCAGACATTGCGGTTGAAGACGAAATGTATCTGATGCATCGAGCTGAGGCGCCATATGCACTTCGACCAGTCACATTGAGCAATGGAGATCGGACTTTCGAGGTCGCAAGCGAGTGCTACGTACACGGCATCATGAATGGTGAAGCTTTTCGACCAACTCCAAACCACGATTCACACCAGGCTAGGCGACATGAACTGCGAGAGTCGTTGTTCGGTGGTTCTCCTACAGACCAATTCCTGCCTGTTGCGCCATACCAGGAAATTGTGCTTGTTTGAGATGCGTGCCATATTGAGCCTCAGTTAATAGCACACAATCTGAAGCTGCACGATATTATCAGCAGGCGACTCTAAGAGGTGAACGTCACGTACGAAACAGATGAATCTATCACGATTCCAGAACTGTCATTCTCTTCGCCAAATCCCATGAATCTCAGGCACCCTAAAATGCATGCCGGTCGCCTTCACTGGACCGTCATCCGACTTCAGGTAAGGAGAAGCACAAGTAGATCTGTCTCGTAAGATACCCTGACCGGAAAGTTGTCTGGATCTACCAGCATAAGGGCGTCTGACAAAGCGGTCTCTTGCTTGTGCAGGTATATGAGTGTGTCAAGAAATAAACTTCCTCAATGCAATTTCTGAAGCTCGTTATTGGTGACGTAGAAGGAACTTTGATTGATCTTCAGGAGGTTGGGGTCCGTAGATCCATGCTGCCGGCCAAACAGGCGCGTAGCTTCTGTAAATAACATTCAGGCACACCTCAGAAGAGCGCGTCAGATACAGTGTTGATCGCAGCTGACTTTGCAGGATGAGGCAGGTGCCTTTTTTCCAGTGAAGGCGAACAACGGCTGAATGTGATCGCGTAATTCGCCAGTTGTGGCCTGTTGAGATGTTTACTATCTCGATCTTTGAACGTTCGTTGAACGTTACGTCTTCCCAATTACCTCTGGTCACCATCTTCCCTCCCTTGGCTGGTGATACAGGATGTCGTTCGTTGCAAAGCCGCTGCAAGCGCTCCTAACTGTTTTAGTCTTTACAACAACATCGGTTTTAGGCTCCGATATCCGAAGGCAACCTCAAGGACACTCAGCATATCCATATTCAAGTGCTAATGACACTAGACCAGTTTATGCCGATAACTCATGTTCGTACTGGCTCGAACAGATTCCTCACCAAGGCATTGCCCCATTCCAGGACGACCCTAACTATCAGACCTTTCGCAATGTGAAGGACTATGGTGCAATTGGAGATGGCTTCACCGACGATACCACCGCCATCAATCTAGCCATCAACAGCAGCAATCGGTGCGCGCCTGGTAGCTGTAACTCATCGACGGTGACACCTGCTGTTGTCTACTTTCCAACCGGCACGTACCTGGTCACTGGAGATATCATAGATTATTACTACACCACCTTGATTGGCAACCCGAACTGCCTACCTACCATCAAGGTCGCTTCGAACTACACAGGAGTATTTGTTATCGATGGCGACCCGTATGGTGCAAATGGGCTCGCATATGGCGCTACTAACGTCTTCTGGCGACAGATTCGCAATTTTATCATAGACACAACAGCGGTACCTCCTACAACTCAGGCTGTAGGTATACACTGGCCTACAGGTCAGGCCACCAGTATCACAAACGTGGTCTTCAGGCTCAACGAACAACCAGGAACACTGCACTGGGGCATTTTTATTGAAGAAGGGAGCGGAGGCTTCCTAGGTGACCTTACTTTCATAGGTGGACTGTATGGAGCGAACGTTGGCAACCAGCAGTTTACTTCACGAAACTGGACCTTCTATAATTGTGTGACAGCCATCAACCAATTATGGGACTGGGGCTGGACATATCAGCAAATGTCTATCAACAATGTCTCTGTGGGTCTGAACATGTCGAGTGGAGGACCGTCGGATCAGGCTGTAGGATCCATTGTCATGTTCGATTCCGAATTCAACGATGTCGAGACTGGTATCCTTCATGCTCACACAGCGGACGCTTTACCTCCCGGCGCTGGCGCTTTAATCCTGGAGAATGTCGACTTCAACAATGTAGGCGTTGCAGTACAAGGTCCAGACGGTGTTGATATACCTGGAAGTCCTGGAAACTTCAATGTTCCTGCATGGGTACAAGGTCATGCTTACTCACCATATTCTACCAACTACACGGAACTGCAAGGATACATAACTCCCAACCTCAGGCCCCCAGCTTTGACCAGTCAAGGCAGGTACTACACACGGCAGAAGCCCCAATATGGAGACTGGCCCGTCTCGGAGTTCATCAGTGCACGATCTATCGGTGCAACTGGTAACGGTGTCACGGATGATACGGCTGCACTTCAACGTGCTATCAACATGGCAGCATCACAGCACAAGATTCTGTTTATCGATGGCGGAGACTATATTGTCACGTCAACACTATATGTTCCTGGTGGCTCGAAGATAGTCGGTGAAGTTTTCCCTGTCATACTGGCCACTGGTTTTTTTTGGTCTGACATCAACAATCCACTGCCAGTCGTACAGGTTGGTAGGGCTGGCGAAGTCGGACAAGTTGAGTGGACAGATGTGATCATGAGCACAAGAGGGCCTGCTCCTGGTGCAATTTTGATTCAGTGGAATCTTGCCTCCCCAAATGCACCTCAGTCAACATATGCTCCTCCAGGCTGGGCTGATCAAGGCTCATATGCTCACGGCAGACCAGAAGCATTGGGACCTTCTTGTATGTTCGATGTTCATACTCGTCTAGGGGGCTTCACTGGGTCTGGTTTAGGCATTGTTGAATGTCCTTCGTCGGTCACACGCAGTATACCTATTCCACCTAACCCTATTAATCCGAACTGTATCGCAGCCGCAGCAAGTGTGCACGTCACAAAGTCCGCCCGCAACCTCTACATGGAAAACACCTGGCTCTGGGTAGCCGATCACGACGCAGATGACCAACAACTCAGACAAATCACCGTCTACGCCGGACGAGGCCTTCTCATCGAAAGCAACTACGCAGTCTGGCTCATTGGTACCTCCGTCGAGCACCACAGCCTCTACGAATACCAATTCGTCAACACACAAGACGTCTTCATGGGCCACATCCAAACCGAAACAGCATACTACCAACCCAACCCACCAGCATCCATTCCTTTCCCAGCCATCCCATCTCTCTCCGACCCGATCTTCCCCTCCTACTGCCTCAACGGCTCCTCCTTCCTCCCACCAGACTACATCCTCCAACCCAACGAGCTCTCCAACGATTGCTCCGGCTACGGCCTCCGCATCGTCGACTCCTTCAACATGTACGTCTACGGCGCCGGCCTATACAGCTTCTTCCACAACTACAACGTCACATGCTCACAGCAAGGCTACGGCGCAGAATGCCAGTCCCGCATATTGAGTTTTGAAGGCTCATACCAGAACGTAGCTATCTATGGCCTCGCGACTGTGGGGAGTCAAGCCATGGTAACATTTGATGGGAGGGATGTAGTGTTTGCGGCGGATAATATTGCTGGGTTTACGAGCACTATCGCGCTGTTTCGGCCTGGTCAGGTTTAGGGAGCTTGGCCTTGATCGTGCGATACGAGGGAGGAAGATATGCCGGATAGGATGAAGTACGTACCTAACATGAAGTGAATTATTAGAGTATAATACATATAGATAACGTTGAGTAATTCCATTGTCCTTCCTGCAGATTCGTCGCAACGTCAATTGCTTCTCTTGCTGAATACCAGTGGACGACGCTTGATGTGCTGCACTTTAAGTAGGGAAAATATGACGCTGCCCTAAAACCACGCTAGGAAGAAAATGAATAAAAATGCCATGTTCTTACCACTCCTCGCCAAAGAGGCCAACACATAAGTTGCAACACCAATCCGATAGCATAATAAATTCTAGTATTGAGGGGACTACCAACCAATGCTCCTATACCAACCAGACAGCACCAGCACTATGATGATATCCAAACCACCAAGAAACGCCAAAGCTATGCAGCTATGCAGAAAACCTCAGATCTTCGTATCACCATATCACATCATACCATTATATACATTTCCATCGTCTTCCCATCACAGACTTCAGTCAACAGCTGCCTGGTTGTGCTCGACGACATTAATCCTGCCAAAGGCCGATTTCGCGTGCCCACTGGTGGAAGCTCGTTTCGTAACCCCACGTTTTTGTGACGAATAGTGCTAAGCCGCCAACGACACCGAATGAGCCGACTATCTGCAGTGCTAGCCATGTTTGTGCTCTGACCATGTCCTGCCATCGCAACAAACCAAGAGGATCGTGCACTTGATATGCTATACCACCGTCTTTGTACAATCTCCTCTTGGATTTAGAGGTCAACTTCGCATTTTCGGCTTCACCCTCTTCGATATCAAGCCCACCCACAGGCACGAGTTGACCCTCTCGGATCTCCTCACCCATACGTTCGACGAGCCAGAGAGCACGTTCCGAGCGTGCGATTTTTTCGTACTTCTCTCTTTCTCGTTGCAAGCTAAGCTGTAGATCACTGGCCCATTTGCTCAACCTGATCTGTGCCAATCGTTCTTCTTTCTGGGCGTGGTCTGCCACCTTGGCCAGCGCGAAGGAATTGGCTGTGTTGAAGGACAAATCTGAATGCGATATGATGGGTACGAGAACTCCAGACGCCGACAATGAGGCTTGTAATGGTGAGTTCAGAGTGCTTGGTATTGGACTTCGCACTCGTGTCGAGGCCGGAGATGATGTTCTTATGCTACCCTCGAACCGTTGACCAGAACTATACCACGAAACTAGCTTTTTAGCCGACAGGTGACGGAGGTATGCAACGTTTTCGGGCTGAAGTATTTGATCAACAAGCAACGATAACTCGGAGGGAACAAGTGGTTGAATATATTCTGATGCCATAAGCAAGGACGCGTCCATATTATCATAATCTGGGCCGTTGACACAGGAGATCGAATATGGTGCGGTGGCCATGGCTTCAACTAAGTGCGTCCCGAAGGTGATAGGAAGGCGTGGTACGGAACAGTTGTCGCCTTGTACAGCAGCTTTGATGTCGTCAATTTGAGCAAGTGTGAGGAGATCCGATTTGCTGATAAAAGGGATAACGTTAGTGATCTGCATAAGCTGATTGATTTGTTGAACATCGTCTTTTATCGTTGCTATTGAAATCAGTGTAAGTTCACAATGTTTCAAGAGCGCAGCTTACTGTGAGACACAAGATACATGACAAGATCGACCTGAGAACCGCCAGAACCGCTCATCAAAGTGGTCAGTTCTGTGGTAGCCTGATTGGCATAAGTGATGGTCTTGATCAACTGCTGCTCAATGTAGCTTGTAGCGAAAGCCGGCGATCTAGTATGAGAAGAGTCGACGAAGCAGAGATTACGCTCAAGAACAAAATCGCCCATGCTCTTTCGCCTCCTCAGTACGCGACTCTCGTCCATATCAGACCACCAGCTTGGATAAGGCCTTGTGCTCGCATATGTTTCGTGGAAGGCGTTCGCGGTACTTCTGCCGTGCAACGTCGATCTGGAAATGGAACTGCTGGTGAAAGGATCAACATGTACGATATCTTCGCAGAGCTGGACTATAGATTTGATAAGGGAAGTTTTGCCAGAACCTAAGAACATTAGTGTACTGTAGTTCGAGGTCGATATAGCCTACCTCTCGAACCAGCTACCATGATCTTGAACTTCCCCATCTGCTTGCCACGTTCAGTGAATGGTCTGCGACTGGGCATTCTTATCGAGGGCATGATTAGCTGGGGAGCACTATTCTCGATCGGATGATCGAGCGACTCGGATTCATCTTCTTCCTCCGACTCAACAGCCTGACTACTGCTTTCATCTGGAGTCAGATCCTCATCCGACTTTGCAATAGATCGTGTAGACATTGACTTGGGACTGCTTGGAAGGGACGGTTCTTGGGATGAGGGCTGCGCAGGCGTCAATACGCCGGATGCTGGTTGTGGGAGCAAAGACTGGTGACGAGATGCTTCTTGACGCAGTTCTTCGATACTCTTTGGCCTTATCGTCGATCGTCTACGACTTCCATCCCGCTGAGGATACTTCGTTCTGTTTGGAGATGCCTTGCTCGAACTGGCCGTTGCACTATCTCTGGTCGTTCGGAGACGCGTTGAGTCTGGTGATGTGGATACATTGGAAGCTCGTCGGTCCAGGTCGGATTCGGAAGTGAGGAAGAAAGTGGTTGGACCTGAGGGTGTACTGTTGCGGTCAATGGAAGTCGAGTGCTTTCGCGGCCTGCTGCTGCCCTCAAACAGCGCGTTCGGACGCATGGTGGAACATCAGTATCAGGAGCATAGAGTAAGCCGTGCCTGCGATGGACGATCAGATACGAGGAGTATGCATGAAAGGGCTAAGGCGAGTGACAAGAGATAGGTATGCAGGGTGACAGCGTGCAAGGCTCGATTGGATTGCGCCTGCGGTGAGGATCATAGAAGTCACCCCGCACCGGCTCGGCTTGCTGATTAAGGCCTGTATGCTCCTAAGGCAACAACCATCCGGGCCCGTCGTTCTTGCCTGGCGCCTCATATCGCCTTTGCCTCATCTCTGTCCATTTCTCTGTTGCACATGGAAACATTTTGTACATTTAGGTCCTGGCATCCACAACATTCAAGTGTCCTTCAAATAGATAACACACTCCCACTGAAACAGACATCCTTCGACCGCCCCTGCCCATCTGATGTCTCAGATAAGATCACCATACCCGCTCCTAACCCATGGCTATGCTGTAGTCATTGTGTCAATCGATAATGGTGAATAAGAACTTTTCCGAGAGTGCCGTGCCATCGTATCGTCAGTACAAAGTACATGGTAATCCTGGTTGACGCCGGACTGGTAAGAGAAACAGCCGCCCTGTATTTGGCAGCTTGGAAATATAGTGACAGTCACTCAACTGATCTCACACAGCAATCTATGCTGCTTGTGCTTGGCCTCGGCCTCGAGCTGGTCCAGCGGTCTTGTTGCCTCGAGAGCCTTGGAAGTTACCACGAGGAGCGGCATCGCGGGTGTATCCTGCTCCTTGGCTACCACTTCGTTGCTGTTGCCCACCTCGTCCTCGTCCGGCTTGGGCCCCACCTCGAGTGAAGTTAGTGCCAGTAGTACCTGGACGAGGGCGTCGCTCTTCGACATTGATGGTCTCTGTGCCGACTTGGTGGGGGTTCTCGGCCACTGCAGCAGCATAGGAAGCAGAGTCTTCGAATTCGACAAAAGCGCATTGCTAAAGTATGTTAGAGTGGACTTTCAGAGCTAATAGACATTAAGTGACTTACCTTGGGTCGTGAGACGTCGTAGTATTTGAGCTTGCCGAATTTCTCGAGCACTTCACGGAGGACGCGTGCATCAATCTTGTCATTAACATTCTTGATGTAGGCATGCACGATGCCTTCTTGGGTCTTGGCTTGTTGCTTGGTCTTCTTGCCTGCCTCTTGCCATCCATTGCTCTGTGAGGTTGGGGTGGACGCTGTTGTCTCGGTGGTAGGTTCGGCAGGGGCTTTGGTAGCTTGTGCGGTAGATACAGGTCTAGGCTTTGGCTGTGAAGGAGCTGCGGCTGGAGCTTGAGTTTGTGGCACAGCTGGTACGACAGGTGCTTTGCTGCTGCCTACCAAGCTAGCCCAAGTCTTTTTGACTGGTGCGGCATCGGCAGCTGGGATAGGTTGAGCTGTGGTACTTGTTGTGGCTGAAGTTTCGGTAGGTGTCGGTTCTGGGTCGAGTGGTTTCTCCTCTTCGAGGGTTGCTGTTTCCTCGACAGCTGGCTCAGACTCGGGCTCAACAGAAGTGTCAACTTCGGCCTCAGGCTCGGTTTCTGTCGTCTCTTCGACTGGAGCAGCTGTTCCATTGACCTCTTCAGCAGTACCTTCAGATTGCTCAATAGCAGTTTCCAACTCCTTGTCCACCTGCTCGGCTGCCTCTTCATTGTCTACAACCTCGTTGGCAGCAGGGGTAGGCACTGGCTCTACCTCGCCTGTTGCCTCCTCAGGTTGGGTGGTTGCCTCTTCGGTGACTGGTTCGTCTTCGACGATCTCATCCACATCCTCGTTGAGGTAGCGAAAGATATCATTCAGGACGAAGTAACCATTGGGTTGTGTAGCCAGGATGAAAGTTTGCACGAACTTGTGATGTGGCTGGTTCTTGTTGGACATCTCACCAATGACCTGAACAACGATGTTGTCGTAGGAGGATTGGGAATCGACATTGAGGACTCGGATCTTGCAATCGGAGATATCGAGAGATTTTATCTTCTCGCTGATTGCCTGAAGGTACTGTTAGTATCTGGGATCAAATCTGGACATACCGCTGACCTTGGATCCAACGGCCGGCAGTACTTTCTCAGCCTCAGTTCCTGTGATGAGCTGGGATTTCTTGTTATAGAATAGATGTATTTTGTCCGGGCTCTTGCTGAGAGTTGTGTAATACTGCTCCACAAAGTACCAGCCAATTTCCTGTGGATCTGCCTTCTGCTGCTGACTAGAGGCTCCATTCGAGCCTTGAGATGCTGAAGCTTGATGAGAAGGAGTAGAGGCAGCCAACTCAGCTGGCTGACTGTACTGGTTATAGTCCATACCGTTGACTGCCTCGCTAGCCATTTTCACCCTGGGATGTGGTTATACTGGGAGAGAAACAGACGTATCGAATTCGAGTTGATTGAAAAGAGTTTTTTGTGCGGTCGTAAAACTTATAGGTGAAGGTTCCTTCTCTTAGCGCAGGAAGAAAAAGACCTGCAGGTGTACGAACTGAACAGAGAGCTCACTTGACCAATGGGGGCAGGTTGAGAGTGTGCGCAAAGCTGCTTGCTAGGAAATTCCGCAACAATCGGTTGTGAAGGAAGAACTTGGCGAGACGAACGCGCTTGAAATAATAAATTCAGGTGGTTATTAATTTGATAAAGTTGTGACTTTTGCGATGATGCTCGTAGCAAGAGAAGATGATAGACATTTTTCGGCACAACTGCAATTTACGACGGGCCTTGGAGTGCATCGGCGGAAATGCATAATTTATCCACTAACCGAAACTGGCTTGACGCCAATTAATGTCAACGGCCTAAGTGGCTGCCTACTGTATACAATTTTGTTTGCTTCAAGACACTCTCGTGAACAGCATACTAACGTACAGAGACTAACAATACCCAGATCTCCCCTCGCGGTACTTGTTGGGTTCATCTCAAACCCCCTCTATCTCCTGAATATCGTCATTCGATGTTTCAGTGATCATGACCTCCTCTTCCTCCTAGCTCTTCTCGAACAGCTTCTCCATTCCTTTCCAGGAGCTTTGTCACTGACGCAATCCTCCTGATCTGTTCACAAAGACAGCACCAATACCCAAGGCTCGAACTCACGACCATCGTGGCACGAGACAGGTATTTCTAATGACAGTGCTGATTGTCAATGGCACCTTCGTTCTTTTGTGCCGAGGAAGCACGCCTGGCAAGGCCAGCCGCAGCATTTTAATGACATTGCGGTCTCACTTGATGTACTCAAGTGATTCCAGGTCTTAGTATGGCCAACACAATATGTTGGAGGCTGGACTTTGAAACCATGCGGGTATGTGGCAAGCTTGGTACGCATCAAGGATGGGTTGTTTCGTCTCAAGGACTAGTTGGTGACTTCTGGTCTGCTGTTCACGAGTCTTCCATCTTGACATCCTGTTTCGGCACAGAGTTGAGATTTTTCAGGAGATATGATCTTTTGAAGTACGTGTTCGGATGTACAATGGTATCCAGCTCGGCAGGTCCCCATATATTGTCGTCCTTGACCCTCTTGATCTCAACCTTGTGTGCCCACTCGAAGACTCTGTTGCATGCGATGTGATATCTCTTCTTCTCCACATCTTCTTTGACTCCTCGAAGCACTTCTCGATCATGTACTCCAGTAGCCTGCAACATACTTGTCAAGTTGTCAATGTTGAAATGACGGTAAGGACAGCCGTGTGCTTCATTGGTACCAGGTGGATGTTCAGTCAAGATCTTTTGGCACGAATAGGGTGAGTAGCCTCGCCCTCTCCGGTTTGCGTCACCTCCAACATCACCATACACATGTCGTACATTGTACCGATACTCTTTGTTGAATTTGTCATCGTCAATCTTTTTAAATGCTTGCCTCCAGAATACCAGGCAGTCGTCTAAGCTCAGACCTATGCCTTTCAAAAAGAGGGTATATTGCAGTCTGCCAAAGTGTTTAAGGTGATCGTTCTTTCGAAGCGTGGTATGCAGGTTCTTCATGCAGAGAGGGAAGTGTTGTGACAAATTGTCCACATTAGCAGCATTAATGGGAGCACCTGGCAAAGACGAGTCTGCGTCGTGGAAACCAGCGTCCGGGGTTGCAAAGTTCTTCGAAAGATGTTCTAGAATGGGTGATAGCCTGTCGTCCTCGTCTATGCGTGGTAGAGCGCGAGCGCTGAGTTCTAATGCTTTGTCCAAGTTTTGGGTAAATTGTGTAATGATCAGGCTTGTCTGTTGTTGTGTTGGCACATATGCTTTTCCTTTCCTTACGAAGACACTTCGATGTTCTATCAGATCCGGAATACTAGTCCAATCGACCTTGAAGAAGTTCTCGTCGTCTACTCGTTTGAGACTGGACGTCGCTGCCAGCAAGTGCTCGGAAAGCTCAGTCTTTTCTTCTTCAGATACGGTTTCCCAATGAAGGTTCAGACTGTCAATGAATGCCCTTTTCTCTTTGCCGTCGTCCTGCTGGAACCGCATTCGAAAGAGGGTCGTTTCGATACGCGAGAATCGTCTCCGGAGGTCTTCAGTCCTGCAAAAAGCTAAGCGCAAGATCCAGTGTGAGTAGTGGTCCTTCTTCCGTTCTTCCTTCAGCCGTTGGTCAATATGCGCACCAACCGCAGCAGAGTTGTTCGACAGGGGCATGTATTTCTTGAGCAACGGCTCCATGTGCACTGCAGTCTCTTGAGGTGATCGATTTCGGAATGAACACGATTCTAGTTCAGCAAGGACTGGCTTGATTAGTTATACTAAACTTTCTTGTGAAAGAATGGCTTACCCCTTAGCCGATCTATTGCCCATGTCTCGAATTCTTCGAGACTAATCTCTGCTGTCGGCGGAAAGTCGTACAGCGACAAGCGATGTTGGTAGTCATGCTCTTGAAAGGTCGCCTTTGCGAATTGTGTTTTCTTGTGATCAATTCGCTTTTTCTTGATTTCTGGTCGAATCCCTGATCGAATCATGATGAAGTTGTGGTAGACGGTGTGGACGACTATAGGCTCAAGGAGTGATCTTTCGCGAATACAATGCTCGCACTCAAAATGACCCGCGACGCGTCTAGAATCTCGTGTTCGAGAGACGCGTCTGTCGGTGGTGCCATGGCCAACTTGCCGTTTGCTTACGGTGTAACTGGTTGACAACTCGGTACATCCTGTAATTTATTAGCGCGTCATCGCCCCTGCCGAGGCTCTGTCGCGCTTTCGATTTCTCGTACTCGAGAAGCTATCTGATGGCTGTCAGAGCTATGGTTGATACTGATCAGATTCACGGCATCTGTATCGCAAGGATGTCTCTCATCCAACCCAGGACAAGCGACAGAATAACTTGGACCTCACCACATCATGTGAGAACTTCTCAGGTTGAGAAGGATATGGCTTTGGGGTGCAGAGTTGCGCTCGGAGACAAAATAGCCACTCATGACCGTGACTGGTCGAAGTTCCCTTCAACCGCAGAACTGGCTTTTTGGCAAGCGACATCGGCAACACCAATGCAAACATAGGTTCTTCAACACCTAGCACGTCAAAAGGGCTCTTAGTCGGACCTCAGCTACCGTGGAGAGGGTGATTAGAAATCACAGTAAGAACAAGTTGTGGCAAGGATGGCAGGTGCCGAAGAACCAGTTCCGGACTTCATTGAGCAAAGAATCACGTTTCAAGATAGACAGTCTTTTGAGATTCTCAAACCACTTACAAACTACCGCAGCTGTCACGATGGCACGCCAAAAGAAGCTCGAATGGTCTTTACTTGTCGTAGAATTTCACCAGACGCATCGACAGAGGAATACGTTATGAAGGTCAAAACTCAGTAAGGTCGTTCATCGCAAAAAATACCAGGTCTGACAGTTTGCAGACTACCTGCCGAAGGTCAAGTACCAGTTGTGCATCCAAGTACAACGACAGAGCATGAGCTCAAAGCTCTGACGACTTTCCATAACGCCAATTCTTCTTTCGCACCTCAGCTCGTTGGCTTTCACTGCCAAGCGCAAGATGAAAGGGGACCTCTGCCAGGTGGATTTCAGACCTTCACAGTCATGACGAAGATGCCCGGGTATGCGTTGTTTGGCAAATACTGGAACATGTCCACCCAGGATCGAGACGAAATTATTCCGAAGGCAGCCGAAGCCCTACGCTCGATTTATGCCCTTGGTATTGAACCGGTGGACCGAGGCATGCGAAATGTAATATGGGATCCTGACACGAAACAGTGCAGTATCATCGACTTTGAGCTATGGAATGAGACCCAGGAAATATTCGCCGATGAGAAAACAGAACTTCAACGTTGGGGCTTAATTCGAACGCCACCAGCCAAGGATCACTGGGCAGCCTGGAACTCGATGTATCGTTGAAGAATAGTCAGTAGACTTTTGGTCATCACAATACCACCAGCTAGAGCTATCTGGGCGTCCTGGCCGTTCTGTTTCTTCGTCTCATGGACCAGCACAGGAAGAATCTCCATACTGTCCCTCTATACAGCCCACAATACTACGGAGAGCTGTGAGACCTAGCGCGAAGATGATCAGCTCCGTATCATATCGCTTCTGTCTTGAAAGCCTTCAGCTCACTATTGTGACCAGGACTCAGATATTTTAAGAAGTCACTGTACTCAGTACAGAGCGCTACAAATCAACTCCTTGAAACGGTCAAGATACAGCAACCACGACAGAATCGTTGCTCGGCCAACCAAGAAAAGGGTTATTAACTGGTGGTGACTTGCCATCAGTGACACAATGAACACCACTATGCTGGAACGACTTTCAAGTAGCAATGCTTCCCGAACCAATCACACCCCCGTGAGACGAGGTCTCCCTGAGGATGTCAGAGCACACCCTGAGCACTGCTGAACGTTACTCAGGATTCCGGCTCATTATCAGGTTATATAATGTCAAGGACCGACACAAGCACTGAGGGTACTGAACTGTTGGAGATGACTCAATACAGACTTTCAGCGTCTCGAGAGAAGTGTACACGGTGTCGTAGCCCCACAAATGATGCCGCAGCAATGCGTGAATGACACAAGAAACAGAGGGGGTCTGGTAGAAACGCCTCCATGCTCGGTGGTTGCTGCACGTCTACGTCAACACAATCAGTGGCAGTGCAGAAGATCAGTGTTTATAGTTTCGTTATCGTCTCTTGAACTCGAGAGCAAAGTAGAAGATGGATAGGTGCACAATGAAGCATGTGCCATCGGGTAGTAAAGATATCAGTAATATCAGTGCATAATGATACAGCTACAAAACTGTTCCCTTAGGTATCTCGACTAAAAACACTCGGCTGTCCTGAACCTGATCTTGTTGCGTAGCTTACGTAGCTGTGATGCATAACAAGTCTAGAACATCAAGCTCCCTAACATCATACCTCCAAGCAATCCACCGGCAATGGGCATGCCCATTCCACCACCATAGCCTCGACCATAAGGACGTCCATAATAGCCCGCTTGCGGTCTGATAAACCGTGCATTTGGATTTGCATATGGTCCAGACGTATAAGGATTGTAACCATATCCTCGACCACCATAACCACCACCACCCATCATATTTGGCGGCTCGATGTAGATCTCTTGACCATTTCGGTCTTTTGCGAAGAACTGTGGCTGTCCAGTGATCTGTGCTTGCTGCATGCACTGTCGGAAGCGAATATGTGCCTCGTAATATTCACGTTCTTGCTGGTCTCTGATTTCTCGTTCTCTCTGACGCTCCTCCTTAGTCTGTCCTGTGACCTTTTCCTTGAACTTTTCACCGAAACCCTTGTGGTGGGAGGACGAGCTCGCTGCGGCTGTAGTTCCTGACGTTCGTGGTGGGAGTTCTTCGGGAAATGAGGAGGATCCAGTGTGGTGGGAGGATACAGGTACGCCGGAGGAGGCTTGTGATTGTTTCGTCGAAGTAGATGACTCGTCGTAGTCATGGTAATGTTCCATGCGCTGACGCTCTTCCTCCTGTATTCTTTCGCGTTGCTCGGAAGTCAATGTGCTCAAGTACGAATCATCGTCGTATGGATGATGCCAGATCGACTGCGGAGGATCAGCTTTGGTATTGACGAAGAATTGATGTTGCTCTTTCGGGTCCCACTGCCTGACCCAACCTTCTGGTAAAGGTCGATGCTCGTCCTCCATGGATCTTCGGTGATGCGCTGGTATGCCATTGTGGGCTGCTGGGACTTGCAGGTGGCTGGATGCTGCAGGTCTTGAAGATGTTGTGGACGACGAACCCGTGACTGTATCGTAGCTCGGCGGGGCATCGCTCGTCGCTGCTTTGTAGGCGTCGGCCATCTTTTGAAATCTGCTGAACTGGTTCGAAGATATGGAAGGTAATGTCTAAGTTGACCAATAGTACGTGACTCTTCAAAGTGGTTTGGGAAAAGAATGGATGTACAACAACTCTATGGATTTGCTGGTCATGTATGAACTTATCTAAATTCTGTGCGAGGCATAGAAGCCCGCGGCGGTAATGATGACGTTGACACGACGCTGCGCCCCACTGGACGAATCCCACCTGCCAAGAGATCGATCGCCACAGATCAGCCGGCCCGCGAACACGATCGACTGTTCCGCTATCAGCGATGTAATTAGACCATTGCACTGGCCTCAACAATTAAAACTATACTAAAGGACACACCGGTATTGATACTGACAATGAGGTATATCCTGAAATGGACTGGCTTGCAGGATATGCACATGCGACTGGAGGTCAATCGATCACGCCAGGAGAAACAGTATTATCTTGATCTTTAGACAGTGTAGTGATCAGAGATCCTAGCTGGAGAGCTACACTTCCAAATATGGGAACAATGGCTGTCTTCTGTCTCGTGTGCAGATTATCAACGATACCCATTACATATATACGCGTCTCAGCTTTTTTCTCCCCTCCCAACCTCGCAGCTCCAGACATGTACCTCACTGTCACACCTAAAAGCACTGCTTTCACCACTTGGTAGAGAGAGATTGGCTGAGTGAAAGCGTATAGAAGTCCGACGAGCAGTCTCAGGCTAGTATCTTCGCGCTTGTTCAAAACCGTACAGTGACGAATATGGTAGGCTTTGACAGATCAGTGCATATGCTGGGTTTCCAGGCCTGACCTGGGAGCCAGAAGATCCTCACCAAACGGGCATATAGCTTGTCAAATATTCAGAGCACGCATAATTGAGACACGATGATATTGCTTAAACCACAAGTGCTAGAAGACCTGCCATCAGACCTGGAAGAGTATGCCTCACAGCACTATTGGCGGAGGACGAAACAGATGCTGCGCTAGGCGATGCTGAAGCCGAAGTCGATGTTGCTGCTGCTGCTGCTGCCGATGTCGTTATCGCCGACGATGATGTCGCCGAGGACGAGGCACCGGAGGTGACAGGTGCCTCACAGTCCCAGTGGTCTTCGTGAGCTGTGCAACCAGTAGATGCTGTAGGACTCGGTGGAAGTGTAGCAGCTACCGCATTCCCTGTCGCAGTCGTGCTGACAGGTCCGTCGCAGTGCCAGTGGTCTCCGTGGGGTTCACATCCGACCGATGCGGTAGGACTTGGAGGCAAGGTTGTCGAGACAGATGCCTCGAGCGCAGTCGACCCGGCGGTGGGAGTCACTGGAGCTTCGCAATGCCTTGCAACAGGTCAGCCAACCTGAAAATACGTGGGCTAACGACGTTCAAACATACCAATGGTCACCATGTGGCTCGCAGCCAGTAGACTCTGTTGGAGAGGGTGCCAGGGACACGGAACTGCTGCTCTGGCCATGTACCTGAGCGATTGCAGCGATGAGCAATAGAACAGTCTGAGGAACCTTCATCTTGCAGTATCGTCTTGGATTGAGATATGTAAGAGCATGAGTCAATGGAAGAGCTTGCTTTTCTTTTAAATGGAAACTTCCTGCGCTAGGACCTGAGCTCAGGTATCCCGCTGCTTCTGGCGCACATCGAAACAGGCCCTGCATGGTCCATCGTCGTTCTTCGCTACTGCTCGCCCATATACCCTTAGAGCGCGAAATTGCAATGCCTCAGTCGATCAAGAGCCAGTCGGAACGTGTTGCCACGTGGTGGACGCAGCAGCGGTCATTGCGAGTGGTGCCGTTGTAAGTACTGGAGCAAAGCCGGCAATCTTGGCATTCTCAAGGTCCTCGTTCTTGGTACTGCTTGCCAAGTACGGGTCGTGAGCGAGGAGGAGCCTCAAAGCAAAGTTCACGTACCTGCATCGCTTGTTTTTCGGCACACATCGCAGCTCCTGAGCTTTGTAACATGTGAAGGGACCTGAGCAAGTTATGGAGCCAGAGATCATGACTGGACGCTGTAGTAGCATTGCATTGCCTTGCTCCAATCTGCTTCCTGGGTTGACGGAGCATTGTGACTCTCTAAAATGATGTCGTTCTGCTCATCCTCCTCATGCAAAAAACAACTATGAGAAGCTTTCTGCTATTGCGGCATGTGGTAGCCGTTGTTGTTGCATTCTCTGTATGCTTGTCGAGAGCAGAAAACTACAGACTTCAACCTGAGATCGAAGTCGAGGTCAAGCACGTGACCACACTGTTGGTTCAAGCATTACAACCGAATGTGCCGTTGCTCAGCCCTAGGCACGAGATTGAATTGTCTCGACTTCGCGTGCAACTAAAGCACGGTGCCATCAAAGGCGAATCGAAGTCAATCAGACATCGTGTACTGGAAGCTCTATATGGCTTCGAGACTTACAAGCATGGCAAGGTAGCACGATACCAGAAGCTGTATCAGAATGTTTCGCAGAGACAAAGGAAGGTAATATATCTCCGTCCTCGCCACAGAATGGACATTCTGACTTCAGTGGCAGATTCTGGATAGAGCTGTTGGTTACAGCGACACACTCCTTGGATTGGAGAAGCTCAAAGTCGTTAATGAAGATGTGTGCCATGAGATAGTGCGCGTAGCTCTAGCGTATTACAGCATCAATCGACAGGAGCTCGATGAGTTCATACAACAAGAACAAGCAGCGAACCGACAACCGGACCATGAGAGTGTTTCTCAGGCATTGAAGCTTTTTGTGAGAGACTGGGCCATAGAGGGACACAATGAACGGCATGCCACATTTCCGTGCATTGAAAGTTACCTCAAGGACAATTTCGAAAGTGTTGGTGTCAATGGAGGTAATAGTGTCGAAATACTGGTACCTGGCGCAGGTCTCGGTCGTCTCGCTCACGAAATCGCAGGCTTGAATGGTAAGTTTTCGTGTATATAGTCGATGAGAACGCTCAGTGAAATTAATTCTTTGAATAGATCGATTCTCTGTAACAGCTAACGAGTGGTCATCGTTTGTGAATGCTGCTTACCACTTTCTCAAAGCCAACACGATACCTGATACGGTTTCGATGTATCCTTTTCTGGATATTTGGTCTCACCTGAAGAGTCGGGACGAGATGCTGCGCCGAATTAGCTTGCCAGATGTCACTGTCAACACCTCGCAGGTCCTTCTTGTGGAGGGCGATTTCACCAGAGTTTTCAAAAAGTCACCAGCCAAGTTTGACGCCATCGTTACACTCTTTTTCATTGACACAGCTCGCAATTTGATGAATTACCTCGAAACAATTAGGCAGCTCCTCAAACCAGGAGGTCTATGGATCAACTCTGGACCCTTGTTGTATGGAACATCAGCATGGGTACAACTCTCATTGGAGGAAATCTTTCAGGTTGTTGAAGAGATGGGATTTGAGTTTCTGAACACGGACAGCGACTGCGGTGATATCACGTTGGAAGGGTATCCAATCCGTGGTAAGGAAGCTCTGTACAACTTCAACAGCTCATCTCTGAGCAAATATGCCTATGTTGCGCAACATTGGGTGGCTAGAAAGCGCCCGAAGTGATGGGATGGTGTCACCGAAAAAAAGCCTATTCGACAACGATGCCATCTCATCCTGGCTGTATCAAAGCCACTTGCGACTGCCGTCAAAGAGCTACCTCTTGAGGACGCCTGTACTGCGATCTTCTAGCTCACGAACAATGAGGCCACTCGTACAGAGGTGTCGAGCAGGGAAGAAACCATTGGCTAGAAGACTCTTCACTTTCGAGACCAGGTCAGAGCAACAATGTCCATGGTCTCCCAGCTTTCAAACCAAATCCTGTCGCCAATACAGATCAAGAATTAACCAATACCATATCCTGTAATCTGCCCAACAAAGTATCATCCGGATAGTCATCGTTATCGAGGTCCTGGTAACCTTGCAGGTTGAGGCTACGAGGTAGAATAGCTAGTGACCGACCCTTGACTCTGGTATCAGAGATAATCTTCAACGCGGCTTCGGCTGCATCCTCAACGGTAGCAAAGTCGACGTTTCGTTGTTGCAAATACTGCACAAAGGCCTCAGACATGATTTTCGTCTGAATGAACCTGGAGTGATGGAAGTCAGTCGTCTACTCGCGTCGTAACACAACACATACCATGGTGCAATATAGTTCACTCGGATGTTGTGTGACAGTTCTGAGCGTCTCAAACATCTCATGATCCCTCGGAGTCCCCACTTTGACGCACTATATTGGACGGCCCCGTGTAGGTCAAGATATCCGGCTAGACTACCTTGGAGGATCAGATTCTGGTCCAGATCCCCATCTTTGCGTGCAGCATTCTGCTTGCGGAAGTAGAAGAGTGCAAGTTTGACAGTGTAGAGCACTCCTGTCAGGTTGACGTCGATGACGTTAAGGCGAGGTTCTTCTGGCTCGTCCAGCTCGACTGCAATGAGTGTACGGTCAGTTCATAATTGATCAATACTTTTTCGAAACATACGATTGTTGGCAAAGATGGAGTCAGCAGCACTGATTCCAGCATTCGCGATGACGATGTCAATTCTTCCGGATGGTGAGCTTGAAATTGCTGTCTTGAACATGGCGAGTTGATCAGTCCATTTCGTGACGTCCGTTTTGACAAATTTGATCTCTGAACTGCAGTCTGTTGTCAATATCAGCCGTTACAGCCGATCGTCTTTTTATTACCTAGATAATTCTTTGGCCAGATTGTGCCCAACCTCTTCGTCTAGGTCCGCAATAACGACAAAGGCTCTAGATTGTGTCAATTGCCACGAACTACTTGGACGAAAGACATCGCACCTACCCAGCTTTGACCAAAGCACGAACATAAGCCTCACCTATGCCACTGGCGCCTTTAATAGCCTGGTTAGTGCGTGTGTCAGACCCTGCGGGGTTGTGGAATCAGGTTACCTCCTGTAACTATGGCAGTCTTTCCATTGACGTTGCTGGTATCAGTTTTCACGTCCGTAGTGATGACGCCTGAATTGATGTATCCTGGCGTGGTCATGTTGGCTCTGCAGCTGGTTAGTGTAGCCTAAAGTAGTAGTACCGGCGAACAGTAGAGGGATGGTATCACACAGTTGACACGACCTGAATGGAAGAAGGAATTATTGCAAGATTCTTTTAGCTCGTACAAAGCAGTAAGATATATCGCTCTTTTTGGTGTGTGGTTAAGACTTCTATTCTTATCCTTCCTCGCTTGTAGTCGTGCAGTAAGCTCAGGGTTCGTGTTACACCGGAGAACAATTCAACCGAGGCTGCCGAGCAATTTCCATGAGGCCTGTCAGTAATGGTTTTCTTCGAACGCAAGGATGTATCACGTCCAAGCAGGACAAGACAGAGACAGTGATGGTCACTATCATTTGAGCAGAGTCACGACTTCACGAGGCGGAGGTTGCCATCTCGGCCACAATCGTCATTTGCAATCAGTCGTTGGTAGGATCTTGCCTCATACAAGATAATACAGTACAGTACGGCCCAGAGAGCTTCAACCATAACATACCGAATCATCGCCACAAACGAATTAAGAATGATGATCGTCCTGATAGTGTTGGTCCACTACTCTAAGGATGTGCTGATAAGAGGTGTACATGTGCTGGCAAGTGATTGAGTATCCGACGTGTAATGATCGCAGGCAATAGCTTGAAGCAGCACAATGACAGTGGGCAGCCGCATATCAGCCGTGAAGTGTAGCTGACGTCCACCCCGATCGGTGCATGTGGTAACGAATGGTAAACATCGATACCATTGTCACTATCCACGGAGATGCCCCGAAACCCGGGGTAGCGCCTATCGTTTGTGGATCAGCATCTGTATTTGTCATACTTCGAAACAGCTAGGCGAGATTTGTGGTCTGACGTTCAGCGACGTTCGAGGACTATGCGATTGAAGTCGGTTAGAGCTAGTCAAAGCCCGTAACCATTCAAGACGAGATCGCGATTAAGGAAGCTGAGAACAATTTGATCACTGTGGTCTACATTGATGACTAGTAGTTCGAGATGTCACAGTCTGAGGATTGCAAGGTGCGATTCTGCCACTAAACACTTTGGGGTTGAGGGGAGCTAGATGAAATGAGTTCAGGATTGACTGAAAGTTGAACTTTAATCACCATTACCGTTCCATACAATCACTGTCCCTTGCTTGACCCCCATAAATCTTAAGCACGTTCATGGAGCAGACGTGACCGATTCATGAAAGACAACGACAACATGTCCGATTTGGGTGATTTACTACTTGCGAAAATTAAGATGCTAGATCTCAGTATGTGAACATTAAAACTGAACACGAGCTGCAGATCCCATCAATCATATCTTCAGGTTTTGACAGCTGTCAATAGGCCGATAGCTGTACCTTACTGCTCCTCCGCGATAACACTGCTAAAACTACAAAACGACTGACACGCTATGGCTGCTCCTGAAGGTGCATACGACCTGGTCGTTATAGGTACTGGTTGGTATGGTCTCGGATCAGCTAAAGAATATATCCAGCTTCACCCACACGAGAAGATCTTGATCCTAGAGTCAGGCCAATACTGTGGAGGGACGTGGAGCAAAGATCGCCTCTATCCAGGTCTACATTCAAACAACTTGTGGGGCTCGTACGAGTTTCCAGATTTCCCCATGACCGAGGAAGAGTATGGTGTCAGAGAAGGACAGCATGTCCCGGCGGACGTCCTCCATAGATATCTTACCGATTTTGCCAAACACTTTGGCATTTTTGAGAGGACAAGATTCAACACTAGGGTCAATGTGGTTGAGGCTGCAAATGATGGATGGGTCCTTCATACAACAGGCAGCGAGCCAATACGGACTAGTAAACTTATCGTCGCAACGGGACTGACCTCAACGCCTAATCTGCCTACGTATCCTGGTTCAGAGACATTTGGTCCTCCATTATTCCATGCCAAAGACTTTTACAAACGTGCGAAAATTCTCGAGACTTGTGACAGAGCAGTGGTGGTTGGAGCTGGTAAGTCAGCCTACGACATCGCATATGCGTTCGCCACAGCAAAAGCCACAGTCGACCTCCTCATTCGTCCTACTGGTCAAGGTCCTGTCTGGCTTTGTCCGCCGTATGTCACACCATTGAAGAGGAAGCTCGAAGAACTGATTGCAACTCGCTTTTTCTCATGGATGAGTCCTTGCCCATGGCAATGGGATGATGGTCATACGTGGGCGCACTGGTTCCTTCAGGGAACCAGAATAGGACGCATCATAGTCAATAAGTTCTGGAATATCATCAGCGACGAAGTCGTGGACACATTCGGCTTCAATAAAGACAAGGAATTGGCAAAGCTGAAACCCTGGAACATTGCCAAGTGGACAGGCAGCGCCGTTGGCATTCACAATTTCCCCACGAACTTCTTCGATCTCGTCAAGCAAGGCAGGATCCGTGTTCATATCGCTGAAATCGACAGACTTGAGGGGACCACCGTGCATCTATCGAATGGTGAGAGACTTGAAACAGACGCTGTGATTTGTGCTACAGGATGGAAGAAAGCTTCCGAGCTAAAATTTGTCGGATTTGACACTGGATTGGCACAGTCTCCTGCTGAAGTCCAACGACTGAGCAAGATAGCGGACAAACACGTACTCGAGATGTTCCCGTTACTTCGAGATCAACCCAAGTTCGAGGTGGACGTCCGTCCTGCAGACCCGATGCGCAACTACAGATTCATTGTCCCCTCCAAAGCCATTTTCAAGCGCAACATCGCATTTGCCGGCATGGTTTCAGCTGTGACCACTGCTATCTTTTCCACCGTCCAAGGCCTCTGGATCTCCGCTTACTTCGATGGGAAACTTCAACGGGTGCCTGAAACCGACGACGAAGTTTTGCAGGAGATCATGCTACACACTCAGTTCGAGAAGTGGAGGTACCCTTGTGGATATGGAGCTAGCTTGCCCGACTTTGCCTTTGACTGTATTCTGTATGCCGATATGCTTGTCAACGACCTGGGACTGAACTGTCATCGCAAAGGAACGTACATCAGGGAAGTGTTCGAGGCATACAAACCACGCGACTACAAAGGTCTGTCACAGGAATGGGCGGAGAAATACGGGAGAGAAGAGTGAATGCGATACAGCCCATGATGTTGTGGCAGACCTGGTCTTGACCGCGAAGCAGGTGTATTGATAGGAATAGGCTGTGTCGTCCAGCTTTACCTGCAACAACCATGCCCACAAGTTGTATATTCGCCGCATCATGTTTGATACCGATGACCTGTGCTTTTATGCATAGTAGATAAGCCCATCAATGGTCCCAGCATGGAGACCACCTGTAATGGGGATATCCGCCGCCGTTGTGAACCTCGCAGCATCGCTCAACAGATACACGATAGCTCCCGTAAGATCATTGGCATTACTCAAGCGTTTCATTGGAGGTGAAATCTCCATCTGCTGTGCTTCTCTTGGGATCTTAGCAGTCTTGACTCTTTGCAGCATTTCCGAGTCAACGAAACCAGGAGATATTGTATTGACGCGGATATTGTGTGGTGCAAGCTCAACAGCAAGAGCTTTTGATAGCATGAAGACACCGCCCTTGGACATGTTATATGCCGCCATGCGATGTCCGGGAATGGCGCAATGTGCGGTTTGTGAGGCGAGTAATACCATACTGCCACCGCTGCCTTGCTTGATCATTTGTTTTGCGGCGAGCTGACAGCTGAAGAAAAGTCCTCTACACTTTGTCAAGCGTTAGTAGTACAAAACGCGTAATATAGGGAGTGATACTGACATTGATTTCTTGTATGCGAGTGAACTCGTCCCATGTCTGGTCAACAAAAGGCTTATCAATAGCAATCCCGGCTGCTGGGACAAGACCGTCCACGGTGCCAAGATGCTCGACGGCCTGTGCAAACCCCCGATTCAAGCTCTCTTCGTTCACCACATCCACTTGAACGTAGAATGTCTTGGCACCGAAATGACTTGAGAGGGTGTCGAATTCGTCTACTGGTTTCTCCTGAATGTCGAGGACTGCCACATTGCCTCCCATTTCGCATATTGCTCTCGCTGCAGCGAACCCAATTCCCTGAGCACCACCAGTGACTACGAAGTTGCGACCTTTCAGACCAAACGCTGGACGGATGTTCTCGAGAGATGGTGCCATCTTGACGCTATTGCTCGGTCCTGCTTTTAATGCCGCGGCTCAGGTTGTGCTCAGATCATGATGAAACAAGACTGTGATTATATAGCACTACTGGTATTTCGATCTGCCACGATGGTGTGATAATGTCCTATACCGATACGTGCTGGGTTGGCTAACACGTGTTTGATCGTGAAAGTGACCTGACGCGTTTCCTGCTTACCTGCTTGAGCTATATTTAATAGGAGTCGAGCTTGGGGTTATGCAATTGACAAATCAAAGTGCGGGGAATGTTTATTCATCTTCCTCTGAATGTTGCCCAAACGGATACTCTGCTCGATCACCTCAATCGAAGTGGTGGAATCTACAGTATCGCTGATGTCTGTCATCCCGCTGTTGGTGTTGTGTATAGTGCCTAGACGAGTTGTACTGCCTTTCAGACGACATGATAAAGATGAAACCCACCTCGGAGGTGATGACCATACGATGTCCTTTATTGCCTTGTCGTCTTTTCCACGTGCAGTGTGAAGGTAAGCACACCTCGTGTAGCGATGGCGCAAGGTATATCTGTATGTGTACGTTCATCCTTCGGCTGGGCACTGTGCATTGAAATGCCCGGTATCGATGAAGGCATGTTGGGCTCTCAGGCATCAAAGTTACTGTGGATGGTCCAGCCAAGATTTCGCTCCTTTCTCCGCATCGTGCTACAGTAGTGCCAGGGGTCCCTCGTGCATTGAACACTTAGTGTTTGTGAAAGTCGTGTATGCAAGCACAACCATTTCCCTTGACGACACGATCTCTCCCCGTACCCTTGAACAAATAGCTAGCAGTCATGCTATCTCTCACCACTTTCCTCGGCATTTTACATCTCTTCATTTCCACCATCTCTGCGACAGCCCTCACCTACAAGATCGGAGCGAATGAGAAAGCCTGCTTCTTCTCCTCTGTCGACAAGCCTGATTCAAAGATTGCATTCTACTTTGCAGTACGAGCAATCCTCCCTGAAACGCTGTGCTATCGGCACTAACAGTTGCGCAGGTACAATCCGGAGGCTCGTTCGACATTGACTATACAGTGACCAACCCTCAAGGCCGAGATGTTCTAGCAGGCCAGAAGGAGAGGCAGGGTGACTATGTGTTCACCGCCAAAGAGACTGGCGAGTACAAATTCTGTTTTTCAAACGAAATGAGTTCTTTCGCGGAAAAGATGGTAGATTTTGAGATATCGGTACGTCAAATCTACAGCGCACTACAACTGTAAGGACATCGTAGACTGACAGCATATCCTAGGTCGAAGACGAAGTAAAACACGCACAAATCCCCACGAAAAGTGGCGCAGACAACGCAAAAACGCAAGAGCTGGAAGACTCAATCTTCAAGGTTAGTGGCCAACTGAGCACGATCAGCAGGATGCAGAAATACTTTAGAACAAGAGAAAACAGAAATTTCAGTACTGTGAAGAGCACTGAGCAGAGGATATTCAATTTCTCGTTGATAGAGGTTTTGATGATGGTGGCTATGGCTGCGCTACAGGTCTTTGTCGTCAGGTTCTTCTTCCAAGGTGCCAGGAAAGGTGAGTGCTACAAGACGAGAAAGATTGAAAAATTGTCTGACGTGTACAGGTTACGTCTAGACATATGTGCGTGAAACAAATCCATGGAACGAAATGAGCTACACGAACAACGAGGACGAGCATCCGCATCGGCATCACGATTCTTGATTCGAACGACTCTATGAAGCATTATCTGCACGATACAGAACAGCATCAGCAGCGTCAAGGCGTGGGGGTGAACCACAAGATGAGAATGGCATGGTATTTCTCAGCTTGCTGGCTCTCAGGAATACAAGGAAAAGTGACAGTATCCATGCACTGATCTGAGCATACACAAATTGATTAGGCACCTGAGAACTATGTGCATCCTTGACTTGACCAGCCTCTGAGCTCCGGTTGTCAAGAACATGGATTTGGCGGTTGCCCGTGCGGTACTAAAGTGTCGGTTTCGCGAAGCAAAGGATCAAGGAGCATCTGTCGCATGAAACACCACGCTGATTGCGACCGTAAATACTGCAAGCCAGGCCTTTGCAGGCTTCGTTGAGCCTTCGCAAATTTGTAAGAAGAGTCAATGATATGTCGTGTGAGCATTACGAAGTGTGCTCGATGGGTTGTTTGAGTCTCCCAAAATGTCTCAGTCTGTAGCGTGCATCATGAGCGATCAAGAGTACTGGTATGAGTGACTTTGTAACTCCTTTGACTCAAATATATTATTCCAGCGGAAACTGTCTCAATGAGCCATGGTGGGGCCGCTGTACGGCACCATACGACTTCGGCAAAAGGTTCGCCGGGACTAATAACATACCTCTCAGCTCTTCAATTAGAACTCGGCCTTAAGAACAGGCAGCAGAGAGTCCAGTGGTCGTACCGAAGTGTCTTGTTTCGCGGTCCTCTTCCTGCAGTACACCACAGCACTTGCAGACAATTACATCGAGTACAATTGCCAAGCCTACCACATCTTCTACTTCAAGCACGAGCACTACTTCACACCTGCTCCCACCATGCCTCACACCCGCACTCCACCCTCAACAATCGAAGAAATCCTAGCAACAGCCACCCCAGATCCAGGATGGACAGCCACACTCGAGAGCTGTCCCATACCGTCCGGAGCAGACTACGAGCTCGAAACTCTCAAACAGCTTAGTGCCGCAAGTTTACCACGTTTACAGAATGTGCTAAAAGCAAATCGTCCCTCGGACGTCAATGAGATTGAGGTCTATATAGACATTCCGAGCACGGAGCTTAAGCCGGAAGCGGGCAGGAATAGAGTCATTGTGACTTGGCCGAAGGACTCGATTGAGCATGAGGAGGGCTGGCCTGTGATTGTGCTGTTTCATGGTGGTGGACATTCGATTGGGTGTCCCGAGCAGGAACTACCGCTTGCGAGATTGCTGGTACAGAAATCTAACGCTGTTGTCGTACTTCCCTCATACCGCTTAGCACCCGAGCATGCCTTTCCCAGCAGCTTCAACGACGCCTTCGAGACGCTCAAGCAAGTCGCGGTGGATGCCGTTGTCCTTACTGAAGCTGGCCCGGATTGCCAAGCAGTCAAGGTCCTTCCGAAAGAACTTGCTGGCAAAATAGATCCAAAGCGGGGATTCGTCATAGGAGGAACTTCAGCCGGCGCCACCATTTCTGCATCGATATCACATCTCTACCATAAATGGCGGTCATCCTTTCCCTCATTGCCGACTCAAAATCCACCCGTAATCACAGGTATTTTCTTTGCTGCTGGCACAACACTCAATCCAGACTGTGTCCCTGCCGCTTACCAGCCCTATTTCTATGCTCGCAAGCAAAACGAAAATGCTCTTCCACTAGACAAAGACCTTGCCGCGCTCTTCCACACTGGTCTCAATCACGACCCAAACTCTCCCATCTGGGCTAGTCTCGATCAACATCCCGAGCTGAACCGTGAGAAAGTCGGCCAGGACCATCTTTATCTCAAAGAAGTGGGGACAAGGGTGTACTTCCAGGTCTGTGGGCAGGATATATCGAGAGACGATGGATTGATATATGAGCGTGTGTTGAGGGAGGAAGCTGGTGTTGAGACACGACTAGACCTATACTCGGGATTCGGTCATTGTTTCTGGGGAATGCCAGGCCCGTATACGGAACTGCAGATGAGTAAAAGAAGGATGAGTGATAGTGTGGAGGGCATCGAATGGTTGTTAAGGCGTTGAGGAGGAACGAATAGAGGTCACCCGCCAGGTCTCGGACCTCGACATCCTCTTGTACAGGCTGGATGTGATTGCGAGTCAAGCTTGGCCTCGTCATGAGCGGCTGTTCTCGTCCTCACAACTCGTCATCGTTGTCAGCTTTCTGCTTCACACTAACGTACTCTGTTCCCTTCCTCTGGTGCATCTGTACCTTATGATCGACTCCAGTAGCTGATAGTAGGGTTGGCTGGTGCTCAAATATCTGCACAGGTTTGTGTGCAACCTCTTGGATCCAGATATTCGTCTCGGCTTGTCGGTGGTCCATTCCTCCTTCATTTGGATACACAAAAGCAGCCATGACTCGTCCGCTGGTGATAGCATACAAGTAGTACTTTAATCGAGTTATCGTGCCACGTCCGCACATCATAGATACGAGCGCAAAGAGAAGTATGCCTGAGACAATACTCACGCAAGTGAGGGCTGGTATGGCGTAGATCCAGTGATAGCGAATGTGGTGTTCGAGGACATGTACTGGAAATGTTGCTTGACCAGATTGTCCGCCACTAGCCTGGCGCTTGGAATTGGCCGAGTAAGACACTGGCTGTTGATGTTTTGTGGTATGATGTCCTTTCGTGCCGACAAGATAGTTCGCAGCTAGGTCTACCCAGATAAGTCGAAGCATCTTCTCGATACCAGTTGAATTACGGCTGAGTTCCCTCCACAGCATCTGTAAATCTTGATCGCCTTTGCCGCTATACGCTGGTCCAGTGACTGACGAGTAGAGTGTTGCTGACCAGAGATCAGGCGGCGTGCGTATCATGGGAACATTGTCTCCATTTTGGTATGAGAGGTCAGGCGTTGTACCCACTGCGGACGTCGAGGAGTGAGGAATATAGAACGAGGGTGCCTGTAGGGTAGTGAGATTGGGAGTTTTGACTCGTGCAGGATCTATGATTCCCCACAGAGGATTAATGTCGGAGATGTTGAATTGTGGCTGAGGGGTTTCGAAGCCCCAGATTGGGGCGGATACTGAGTTGGTATATGTTTTGTCTTTGATTGACTTGATGTAAAGCCCCGCAAGTGAGTTGTCGATCGTTGCGTTGTAGCGGAACGTAACGGTCTTTATTTTCGCTTTGGTGGCGCCTGAGCAGACGTAGATTGGTCGTTCCCAAGTCGAATTGGGTGCTTTCACATCCTTTGCATCCTCGAAACCTTTATCGACTCTGTGTCCCACACCTCCGACCATGCCTAGCTCTACCGCAATCTCGGTGATATTGACTGGAACGCTACCGTAAGACGACTTGCAATATTTTGTGAACAGATGAAATACCTCGGAGGCCACATCTACATTCCAGGTCAGTAATGGTAATCAACAGATCTAGTGATCAGTATCAGGGATAAGGGGATATCTCACTGAAGGGATTTGCAATTTCAGGATTGCTGCTGTAATTTGTGCCATACTTGGCAGGATCGGAGAAAGTGTAGTTGTAAGGTGTCTTGACAAGTTGACTGAAGTCTGTAGTTCGCTCAATATATTGGCTTTCATTGGGATCGTATTCCTGAAAAGTACTGTTCACTCGAAACCTCTGGCTCAAAGCAGATGAAATGCGTGACCGATTTGTTCGAGGCTCGGTCACATTGAGGAATTGCATGGTGAAAACGTTCGTAAGCCACGCGGCGAAATAGGCTCTGTCGTACAACATTGGCAATCGTTGGCTGTCCGTGAAGGGATATTCGCCTGTTTTCGACGAAGCCACGGGGTAGGGATCGGTGCGGTTAATGTCAACGAAGCCGCCACGATCGACCAGCCCCTTTTCATTTCCGATGAGGCCTGTGTCTGTCAATGTGTAGTATACAGTCAAGTTGGTATTAACGCAAGCGGCCTCTGGCTCCAGGAACAGTATATCTTCTTCCCATTCTGCACCATATATCAGATTTGCTGGTACTGAATGATTTCGGAAACCAATACTGCCTGTCGAAGTCAGCAGGCTTTGCAAGCCTGGAATTACCTACTTACCATTGATTGTGTCGAGTATGACACCCTCCAAGAGCTCGTACTCGTTGTTCAGTATAGACGACCCTAGCATCTTGAAGTCGCCCGTGAGGAATGAGGAGTTGTCCACAATCCAGAAGTTCTTGGTCTCCTCCAATTGTCTGTACTGTACATCGAAGAAACTAGACATGGAGGTTTTATCGTTGACGCCACTTTGGAACAAATCTACCAGCGATTGGGGTATCTCGGGGCTTGCGATCCGTCCAAACCTAGTCCTATTTGTACCGTTATATATTGTCGTTTGTGTGATATTTCCCAGCTCTGGCTCGCCCGGACACGCGAACTCAGCACATACACGACTGAAACCGAAATCGACATTGCGAGCAGGAGTACCGCTCCCTAGCGGACCTCTGTCAGCAGCATACACAAAGGCCACCTCTTGGATGTTGGTAGCTGGATAGATACCATCATACAGACCCAGAGGGCTAACGATAGCAGCAATGGCTGCGATCAGAAGCGTCAGCGGCCTGATCCAGGTGACAACTGCAATATTTCCAGCGACAGCATTCGACGATGCGCTATCAGAGCGAAGGAAGAGCGGCCAGTCGGAACTGAGTAGGAACCTCGAGACAACAGACCAGGTTACAGCTGAATGAGATTCGGAGAGGGTACCAGTCAAGACCAGAGCGAGCGCATTCGGAATAACGAACTGAAGAAGCGCAATACATGCAGCGATACACGCTGACGCGACACCGATAGTGAGCTCAACCATCACTCCTGCGACGATGCTCGGAAGACAGAGAATGGAAAACGTTCAGCGCAGGAAATTGCGACATGATAGCCGCCCACCTGACAGACTTTAAACATCCTGTAGACTCGCAGTAGCCACTGTACGCTTTCCATTTTGATGTTCTTCAAGGTCAGGCATGTAACGAGCACCGATGCAGCTCAAATTGAAGGATGCTGGCTAGCTGTTACGTGAAGAGACATCGCGTCCGACGTCAAAGATGCCCTTCGAAGTATCAAGCTTGATGCCTGCAAGCCAAGCAATTCGCCTGACTTGGCAGGGCTTTCTCCTGTCTCACAAGACGCACGGTTATACTGAATTGAGTCGAGCTTTCCACAAACCCTTGTCGAACGAGCAATCACCTCTCTCTGGAGGCTTGCGCTACAGTGTGGCACATTAGTAGGTAATCTGCGAGAGGCCATACGTACAAAAGGACAGAATTTAGTCTTGTGCTGGCGTCCTTGAGAGCATTCTCTCATTACCAGGAGTGAAAAGTGCGGTACCAAAGGATGAGCTGACAGCGAAATGTCTCAGATGAAAGTCATCTCGACGTACTGAAATGACACAACGATGACAAAGATTAGAAGCTGGCATGAGATGGATGAGAAACTTCATATGAACCTTCCTCTTCTTCATATAGGAACCAAGGTCATTAGATATTATAATTCGTGTCTGAATGTTTGTGATCGTTACTTTGACCGTGGTTCCCTATGTCGCTAGATATGTCGTAAGTATGTACCGTTATATACAATCATTACTACTACATGATATCACATGCCCTCGTCGCTAGTCATACTCATTCAACTGCTGTCGCTCATGAGACCTAGACGCCCTCAACGAGGGAAAACGACTCCAGCCATCCGAACTCTGATCACTTCCCATCAATGCTGATTCCGACCCTAGTTCACGTGCTAGGGGCTTTCTCGGTATCGTATGCGTTGGTGCTGGCTGCCATTTTCCACGCATGCTTGAAGCAGTCGCACTGTTCCCAGGCTCGATATCGTTCTCAATCATAACGTGTCCTTGGTCTCTTTCGTAGTCAATGCACCATCTTTCCCTATCGTCGACACCAAGCATTCTTCCGAAGCAGAATCTCCTCTCACTACTCTTGACCAACGTGTCTCTTTCCTTACGACTCAGGTACTCCATTGGCGTCGCTGACGTGCTATCACTATTCCAATCTCTGACCATTTCTGATCCGCACAGATAGCTGAGCATGCTGCCAATAGTATCTGGTTGGCGTGGCATACGTCGAATGACTGACACTTTGAGCCACCATGCCATTGTTACCAGGACGACGGCAAGGATTGCCGAAGTACATGCCATGGATAGATAGCCGCATAGATGGTACGTCAGACTCGTTTGTGCCAGATTCCAAAGTAGTCCAGCCACAGCAATGATGTTGAGGTCACTGAGACACGCGACAAGACTGACTACTGTTACCCACCACATCCGGCCTTCGGCGAACTCGTATCGGAAGAGCAGGTAAAGATTTCTGGGGAGGTTGCTCCAACAAGTGCCATTCAACGGAAGTAAAATCGTGGTTTCCGCTCGGGCATTTCGTGATGCAAGTCGACGGAAGGGATCGGTGATACGAACGACTCGATCGAGGTGTTTCATCTGCATATCAACCAGTACTGCTAAACCGACAAGCAGAGTTTTCGGAACAATCGCTGGTACACTATCGGCATTGAAGAACCTGTTGAAAGCATCGTCAAGGTTTTGGTCGAGCCAGTAGGTCAAAATGATCGTCAGAAGAGCGGTCGTTGTGAGCAGGTGCAATGAGGTGAGTGTCCAGGCATAGGAGTATCGTCGAAACTGGAAACTGCTTGACGGCTTGACCCGACCAGCATCGTCAGGATTGTCATCAATGGACGTGTAGCTAATTCGCGACGTCTTGCTGGATGTCGAGAACGAAAGCCAGCTACTGCGGTCTTCATTTTGTACCGCATGCTTAGTCCGATACGTCACGAACCCAAACCGTGTTCGATCAGTTTTCTGATCATAATGTTCAACTATGCGGAATAGCTTTTTCTTCCAAGCAGCGCTGAACAATCTGCCGTCTGCGTCCGGGTCAATGCTTTGCAGCTCCTGCAGTAGAGTCTGGTAGTTTAGTAAGGTAGCCAGTGAAGCAATCGAGCTTGGGTTTGTAGCAAGAGGAATGCGTGACCTCCGCGTCAACCACATTAGACAAAGCACTAGGGCTATGCACGCCAAGACAAAGCCTTCTAGCAATCTAATCAAGGGTATGTTGATGACCCATGCAGGATCACATGGTCGATATTGGTTTTCGTCATCGAGGCACATCTTCCGAGGCTTCACACTCATCGAGACGGAAGCAATGAGTGGTGCAACTCCAACCATGATGTAGATGAGCGCAGAAATAATGGGAATTGTGCGACCGTGGCCCAGCGCTTGCAGGATGTCGGATGAGATCATGCCTTCCAAGTACTCTGTCAGAATTGAATAGCTGGCGGTGGCTCCATTGCCTTTTGCTAGACGTTCGAATGGCTCGATTAGCTTAAGTGAAGTGGCAATGACCTCCCACGTCACTTTGATGACAACGGCAACCAGGGCCGGCAAGAACATGGCAGCGAAGTAAGTCGACCAGGTGAAAGGTCTTTCGACTATGACTTCGTTCTTGCTAAGTGAGAAGGCCATCGTCGAATTCCCCTTGGTCAACGTATTCGTTGCTGTCGCGGGGGCGGAAGACTTCGTCGTAGTCCCGACAGCGACAATAGTGCTTACCGAGGAAAATTTACTTGTTGAGGAGACGATGACCTTGGACGACGAAGTTGCGTTCGATAAGGGACTCGTTATCGAGGATGACTTGGTTGTTAGAGAAGAAGTGCTTGTCGAAGATAAATTGACTATTGTCCTGGTTTTAAAGTCAGATTCATAGGTATTACTTAGAGCATCCGTAGGTCTTGCAAACGGCTGCACATTGCTGGTGGCTGTGGGTCGCGAAGAGGACCGGGTGGTCTCCTCGTCAAGGTCTAACGACGATGAAGCAATGTACGTGCGACTGCTACTGGTCGCAGCAGAGGACACATAGGCTGCCGAAGTTGACAAGGGTAGCGACTTAGTGTCGGACTTCGAGACAAGGCTGTCTGGTTTGCTGGCACTGTTTGAGGCGAGAACAGCAGATGTGGTCGAAGATTTGTAGCTTTGAAATGAACTCGAGGCCGCCTTCGAGCTCGTTCCTGTGATGATTGTGTTGGTGCTTCCAGTCCTGATTGTGCTTGTGCTGGTTGTGCTCACGGGACTTGTAGTCTTAATTGTGCTTGTGCTGGTTGTGCTCACGGGACTTGTAGTCTTAATTGTGCTTGTCGTGATCGGATGTGTCGTGCTTGGTGTGGTTGGTGGGAGTTGAGACACTGAAGATGATGTGTGAGTGGCTGTTGCCCTCGTGGTGGTCAAACTTGCACTGGACACGGTCGGGGTTTGTTGCGCCGTCACAGGGGCGGACGTAGTAACTACGGCCTTGGTACCAGCCTTGGTTGTCGTCAAGCTCGCTCGATCTATGTCTGTAGTGATGAGTAACTGCGAGACTCGGTTTGCGCCACACACATTGTTGTAGGAAAAGGTGATTGTTCCGTTTTTAATTGTGGGACCACCTGAGTCGTGGCAAGGTGGATCCTGTGTTATTATTCCTCGACTACAACCGGCAGTGTATGTCCTGGTCTTCTTCCGGCCATTGTACATGAACCACAGGTCGGAGCATTTATCGGTAGCAGGATACAGGCAGTCCCTTGAAGAGTCCTTGATTGTGTCCATAAGCCCTTGTTGGTCGCCATATGCGCTCATCCATCGCGTAAACGGTACTTGTAACGAGGCTGGGAGTGTATGTTTCGTGTAGTATGCAAACGTGTTCGAATACGTTGAGCACAAGTTCTCCCAGATGGAATCCGCTAAACCAGTCAGCATGGCCTGCAATATCATACAGTAGCTCACGAACCGCTGGCTGACATAGACTCATACTGCTTCTCGTTGATACAGGGAGTTGGCGTGGTATACGGGGCGCATGTTAATTGGCTAGTGTTATAGGTTGTGATCGTCGTCAATTCTCTTCTGGCGAGAACAGCTGCTGGAGTTGGCGTACTAAGACTTGAGGATTGTCGCACAGCAGTATCTGATATGATCCACTCGATGAGACCAACACAGCCAATAAATGTCGTCAAGAATGCTGAGAGACACAAGAAGCGTATAGCGGGTGGTTTGTACGACAGTCGATTTGAATCGTGGTATGCTCGATCTTTGTTATGGTTAGTAAGAGGTTGTGTACTGATCAGCTCTAAAGGCTGTAGTCGGTGCGAACGTACCGGCTCGACCAACAGGGTGATACATCCTGAGGCTCGTGTTTCGCTAATGGAAGTTCCCTCAACGCGACATCATGTTATCAAGCACAACCCATTCGTACTGTCTGGCCATGGTAGACAACAGAATCCGAGCTCGAGCACGCAAAGCTTGGGCTTCATGGTACTGTACTCCGTACTTCCATGATCCGCAATCTGCCTCGTCGATGCCCGCAGAGGTGCGCAGCCACGAGCGCAGAAGAACCATAGCCGCAGAAACTCAGACAAGCTTGCACTTTCGCAAGACCGTTCATGGTAGCGTGCATCGCAGAGCACTATGCGATATAGCTCGTGACATATGTGGCTAGAGCCATGAACGACTTTGATGAGAGCGATGTCATTCGTCGACACAAACCCGGAAGGATGAAGTCCGATAAAAGAGGCGTGTGCCGAGACACTATTCTGCAAATAGACCAGAACATCCCGGCCCAGTTCTGCGCCATACAGCCCCGAACAACTTTAACTTCGACATGAAAGACTTCTCGACCACATAGTGCGGCCAATCAAAATTGATACTGGTTTCACCGGCTTTTCATCAGACTGAGATGTGAAGCCGAACCTCAGCTGGCATGTGACTGGGTAACCATGGAAGTAGACCCCATGCCTTTACTTCAAGCATCGGTCGCTCTGGAAGACGGCGGACTGCATAAAGCTTATTTGACCATTCTGTTATGACTCCTCAGATGGTGGTCACTGCGTGCCATGATGAATGTGCTATGATTTACAGGCTGAAAATATGTTGTTTCTTGCCGATCTATACATTGCTTCAACACACACTCGTTTGACACGTTCGGTACAGCTCACGGACCTCTCTCCAACTATTCGGTCCTCATATTCGTTGTCGACTTTGCTGTTGCAGTTGTGGTGGCTGATTCTTACGGTTCCGATTCGCCCAATATTTCGCGTAGAGACACCAACCCAAGAGAGCAATTGCAGCAACCGCTCCTACTGCGACACCAGCTATTGCGCCAGTGCTCAGTCCCTTGTTATCTGATTGCGCGTCAGGTATCCCTCCAGCAGTAGCCGTCGCGCCCGCCACGCTGATCACACTGGTTGCGCTAATTGGGCTCGTTGACCTCGTCGAGGTTGTCGAGTTCGTCGAGCTAGTCAAGCTAGTTGAGGAAATACTGGAGAGTTTACTGGTGCTGGATGTGGAAGAAGAAGTCGTTGTTGTAGAGGACGATGTCGTTGATCCTGATTGGGATAAATCGTCTGTCGCACTAGCATCGACCTGTCGGCTGCCAACTATACCCTGTACAACCAGATCTGCTGGAACAGGGTTGTTGCCGCAAGCAAACCCTACGTAAGCACTGACTCCTTCGGTGAACTTGTACCGTGTACATATCGGAATTAGACTTGGACACTGAAGGCAACTTGATGCCGAGCATCTATTTGTGCCTGATACTAATCCTCCCTGACAAGATGTGTAGAACCGGCAGTTATTGGATGCATCGCAGCAGCCCTGGTAACCACCAGTAAATGTGCATATGGAAAAACTGCCTGCGCATGTCGGCGCAACAGCATTCGGATATTGTGATTGCAAATCTCCACACTCTTCCGCTCTTCTGCGTAGAAGTTTGAGTCGAGGGGTAGGTGTTATCACAGGAGAAGAGGGCGTCGTTGATGTGACAAAGGTTGTTGCTGATGCTGCTACCAAGACTTGAAAAGCCGCGAGGACAGTCCTACCATACATCTCCTTGGTCTTGGGCTATCACGTTGCAGCCAATGTTCGTGCTCAGCTGGCATGATATGTCTTTCTGCGACTATGCGAGATAAATTGTCTTAGCAAGTCCGCAGGGCGGCATAATATCCGCGAGAGCAAGACCACGACTTTGAGATGGACGGCTGAGCCTGTCTGCAAGCTAATGAAGCTCCATCACATTGCTGCTCGCTCTACTAAAGCAGTGTCTGTCCTCTCCAAGTGTCACCTAGCTCATCCTTAGCGCCGTCGTCTTTGCAAAAGTCGAGAGGCTTAGCACATGCTCGTCCTGCCATGATCGCGGACTGGGTTTGCAACTGCAGGGGAGCTTCGCATGATCGTAATGTGTCCAAATCACATCCTAACATGTTGTAAGCGAGCATCAGTTCCCAGCAGTAGCCTAAGGCACTTCTGCTCTAGCTTTATGGTTAGTGACCAATTTCCTGCTGCTCTAAGCATCTTCCTCGACGCCTTCGACCGCCAAGACTCCTGCGTCGCAACCTGATACCGCAATGTGGTCAGACTTTGGGGTCTTTGGAAAGCACAGAATTCTGTGTTGAAGATAGTGCTACCATCAATCTCGTGCATATCGTTGCATGGACCCTGGAGGGCATCATTCCTCTGACACTACTTCCGGCTTGTCTCGATTAATACTAGCCTGCTGTAAGGCGCTTTGGGTACCGATGCAGGCATGTCTGATCGAGCAAGATCGAGGCTTGCGTCCACCCTTGCCACCATAGGGCATTCTGGCCACTCGCAGCGAAGATCTTTCGTGAAGGTTTCATCGAGAGTATCAGCTAATGGCAGGCTAGTTTGCCTACGAGGTCGCGCTACAAGTCCGGCTCTTGTTGATATTATGGTCAAAGTCAATTTGCAACCACGATTTCCAACCACCCAGTACGTACCTGGTAGTGGCATGTTGTAAGACATTCCGACCATAGAGGACAATGCCTGACGGAGTGATACCAGCGACCATTGTTTTTCCAATATTCAATTTTGCACTACGAGCAGTCCAAACGAGTTACGAACTCGCATCAGTTCAGTCTGAAACTGAAAACCACCTCAAAACAATCTCGCAGGTTCTTCTCGATCTTTCAAGGGCAAGAGCTCTTCGAGATGCAGAACCTACGTCTCTCAGTGATGCGGATACCAGTCGGATCGACAATGTCATCAAGAACACAGAAGAGGCCTTGGCCGGTTTAGAATCTCTTGTGGAACGTGCTCGTGTAGATATGCAGCTTCACCAGAACAGTGTAGGAGCACGAGCACGGCTCATGTGGGTGATGAGAGATTCAAACAAGGTGAATGCTGCTCTAAGTCGACTGACAGTGGTGAGCCAGTCTTTGCATTCCGAAATTCTCGAGATGAGGCTTACAAGCCTGCCGTTTCGGAAGGAAGCCACAGATCGATCACTGCCAAAGTATTCCTATTCGCGAATGGACCATGAAACCTCGTCACTATCGAGTCTTCAGGAGACTACAAAGAGCCTAGCACAACGCAGAGAGTGGATGTCTCGTCGTTTTGCTTCGATCAGTTCCGAGTCCAGTCAGAGCGGGACCACGGCGGAGCAACGAGTATCATTCAATCCAACAGTCCCCTCTCAGGGAAGTACAGTGCTTGGCACGCCCGCACAAAGAGTAGCTGATTGGATACGAGATAATGAAACAGTTCTTCTGGAAGAAGCCCCGATATCGTCAGCTAGACCGCGCAATGACCTTATACCAGCCAAAGTTGTAGACGCTGAGGATAATGAGAGGGCCACGTTCCCATTAGGACTCAGTGAACTGGCCGTTGGACCCTATTTCCCACCAGCACCACAGCCACGCTCGTGCACACTCTCGACACCGAATATGCTTTTTGCAACGTCGAGCATAAACGATCGAGCGCGCGAGCCCGCAAGACAGAGAGGCCAATCGTCGTCGCCCACAGCTCCTAGCGCCACAAGAAGAGCACGAGCGAGACCTCTGCGAAGTTTTCCTGGTCCTACAGATTGTCAACCAACAGACGTTGACATACGGACTGTTTCGAGCGCAATGCATTTGACCACGCAAGTTCCCGGCCAGGCGCGATCACGTCTAATTACCTGGGATGAGCCTATGCAAGAAGAATCAGAGGGTATCAGCCATTCGCTGAATCACAGACATAGCGGCACGGTTGAGTCTCCACCTGCTTACGAGTCCGTTGCGAGACCCGTGATATCTGCAGGCACAAGAACAACTCGCAGGCGCACCCCCAGAGTTTACAACACGATCGAGCCAATTGCAGCTGTGATCGATGTACCTGCAGCTATAGCTGGAAGCATTAGTACCATAAACAATCGTGGCCGCCAATCAAGGAGTATGTGGGCACTTTCAGAACACGAGTCGGAAGCGATGAATATCGGTCACCGCAGAGACTGCTGATGAAGTTCTGTATTCGCTTCAAGCTGGCGTGAGTGTTAGGTGTGAACATCCTTGAATCGTCCAGATACATAGAAAAAGGCCGAAGACTTGTCAGCTATGAAAGATGCTTGAATGCCTTGGCGAGACGACTACGTAAATGACGCTTCGTGTGCCCATCTTCATGCCCTCTTGAGTTCCTTTCGACCATTTTGTGCTGTAAAACAGCTGTGTGACCTGTTATTCTGCGGTTCTCGTACAGTTCACTCGCGTCGTCTTCGTGTCCTGGCCCATTAGGTCGTATGGAATGCGCGTCTCCGACTGGCCGCCCACGCTCCGCATTCACAGGTGCTGACTGACGCACATCTAATCGACTGTTTGGTTGCTGGAGCTCCCGTGTATCAGGCTGTCGGGGAATGTGATGTGCTGTCGCGTTTCGGTCATTAGGGAAAGAAGCTCTTCTCGATTGGACATCCAAATCAGTATCGCTGGTCCGGCCTCTATGATCGCTGGAAGCGCTTATACTTCGGCGCCGACGAGATGAACTCGTTCTTCCCATTGGTAACTGTGTCGTGGAAAATTGCTGGATGGACGATGGAGGACAAGGAGCTGCTTTACGCCGTGTCTCTTTTGTGTGTAAAAAAGCTTCATGCGTGGTAATGGGTCCCGAAATCGAGTGAGGTACGACATGCTGCGTCACATCCGCAGCGTCTTTGTGTGGAACGTTCTGGTGGCCATATCCATAACCTTGGACGGCAGGTAACCTTGCACTGCTGTTGCTGAACTCCCGTGGCGTTGCTGGTAACTCAGAAAACATGTTCAACGGAGTGTAGTTGTGCAGAGGAGGAAGCTGTGGAGGCATACGATCTTGAGCTGAAGGCGTCAGCACTTCAGAACATCTCGTAATATCCAAATGTCCTGGAGAGCCTGAATCTAATTCATGAACATGTGGTTGAATCTGTGCCTCACGCGCTGTTCTACGTCCACGATCGCTTGTCTCTGCAATATACTCCCCTGAACCACGGTATACGCCGTCGACAGAAAGCGTCTGGTGTCTTTCCATCTGTCTGATTACGCTAGACTGCACAGAATGCTGGGCCTGACCCGGGTGCGAAAGATGGCTACCATATGAAACCAAGTCGCTGAAGGTTAGGTCGCTGTCCACCAGATCTTCGACGAAAGATGAGCGACAGGTCTTGATGTTGATCATTAACTGGCTACGTTCCAGTTCATTGGCCTCTTCATCGTTGATCTTGAGTAAACGAGGAGAAATTGCAATTTCAAAATCCGTGGTTGCGTTGGGTTTTACTTGCCAAGCAAATTGGAACGTGCATGGTTGGGAGAACAGAAGGACTCCCAATTGAGCAGTCCTTTCCAGAAGATTCTCGAGTGCAGGCTGTCTGTTGTCTTGAGCATAAAGTTTTTGTTCCCATGGCGAAAAGGTTATCTCGATGATTTCGATCAGCTCAGCCATGGTACCTCTCAAATGAGCTCGGTAATTCTCGTCCCTGTCGATGCCCTGTCTGAGATAGGCGAGCAGAGCTCTGTATGCCGAGAGTGCGGCAAACTGGTCTACCTATCGGGTCAGTAACGCTATGCTGATGAGGAGCATTGTATATACCTGGAACTTCCTCTCTTAGTGTTGATTTAGTGAGTGCGGATTCTAGTACAGTGAACTCGGGTGGCAAGAGCGATGGAAAGAACTCTTTCACATCGAACTCAATACTACTGAGTAGCAGATATACCAAACAGTGCTTTATCGCGATAGTCGGGTGAGCTATGAGAAATAATACGTCCGCAGCAGCATTACGTTCCGGTAGGTGTGGAAAGTGCATAGCTTGGAATCTATGGTGGTCGCCTATACTCTGTCTTGATCGATCCTCGTAAAAGTTGTCCACATACTGATCCGCGAGCGCGAACATCTGTTCCACATGCGTGATGATAGTTTGGTCGTCAGCTGGTTGCGGAAGATGTCTGACGAAGGACCAGAGCCCTGCGTGTCGTTTTTGTTGGCCATACGCATTTGAAGATCGAGTGCTGCGATCTACAGGCAGTGGTGGTAAGAATCGATCAGTCATTGTACTGGGAGATGCTGTCTGTCTCGATGTGCCAAGTGCTTTGTTAGAGGGTTGGGCATGGTTGGACGAATATCTGGAGACATCAATTCCTCCTTGGAGGGTACGAGTATGCACTGATGTAACAGGTTGGTGAGTGAACGAATTGCTGTTACAGGCGGCTCGATGGTCGTTGGGAAATGTCCTGGAGGGCACCTGGCTTCTTTGTGGGTATGAACGCGGCGGACTGCCACGACCATCCTGTACTTGGTCAATTGAATGATGGTGCGACATATTTGCCTTGAAAGCTCGATCTCAGTCGATGTTCAGAGCTCAAACCACAGTACAAACCGGTTAAACACGTGACAGTAATTACAAACGAAGATAACATGCTGGCATTCGAAGCAATCCACACTTGCCTAGAGGCTGAAAGGCAAGCAATGCAGCACAGTACAAACGGAGATTGAACACCAAGACCTTGACCAGGGCCAACGGTCACACGAACGCTAGTATTACGAATGCGGGTGACTGTGCCATTTTGAGCATTGTCGACGCTATTGGCTGCAGCATCTTGTGTCGCTACTGTCACAATCGATGGACAACAGTGAAGGCCCAACACGATGATGATAGCGGCAGGGGTGCTCCACACAAGAAACTTCTGGAGACGCCAAAAGCCCAAAAGAACTTCGGTCTGCCTTTGTGGAGACCAGCACCAGTCAACATCCCTGCACCTTTGCGTTGACTAAAGCAGCGACAGGAAATGGGCGCTGCGAGCTGGCAAGGATTGCCTCGCCTACGTTGTCTTGATAGTACATTGTCACGACTTCAGTGTCGCTGGGTTCTCATCCTTCTCCGACCTCATCATGGCCATTATCGATGGATGGAGGCCAAGCCTCATCGTTGGCATAGACTTTGGCATGACTTGTACGGCAGTCAGCTTCTCTCAAGAACCAGAATACCCAGGCCCTTGGCAAATACAGAAATGGCCCCGCCCTATTGGTACAAATCCAGGCCAGCTCGATAACAAGGTCACTACAGCAGTGGGCTATGATGGGAACAATGTTCTGGTCAATTGGGGCTTCGTTACAGGAGCAGATGGCACAGCTGTCACTCCCGAAAGAGAATTCAAGTTGTACATCGATCCTAGTTTCCCAGATGACCATCCAACCAGACCAAGTCATGCTGAAGCTATACAGTTCTATACCGACTACATGACATCGCTACGTCAGTATATTGAAGTCTTCTTCGCGAATACGATGTCTGACTTCCACCAGCGAAACGTCGAGTACCTGTTCAGCATCCCCACAACGTGGAAGAATCCAATGATTACCGCAAACCTCGGCCGGATCCTTAGTCTCGCTGGGTTCTCCAATGGCTACAATCGACGCCTCGAGATTTATCTCACTGAGGCTGAGGCTGCCGCCGTCAATGCTGCCAAGCAAACATTTCGAGTGGGTGATATCGTTATGGTAGCCGATGCTGGCGGTGCAACCACCGATATCAATACCCTGAAATTGCTTGAACGTTCAACTCGAAGCACAAAGTTAAAATCACTGACCAAGGCAGAAGGCATTAATGTGGGATCCACGCTCATCGACGAAGCTGTTAGGAGATCTATCGCGGTTCGTCTTCGAACACTAGGTGTCGCAGGTGATGATGGCGAGCTTCATTGGATTGCCGATGATATGATGCGGGAGAAACGTTTCGAAGGTATTAAATGTGGTTTCCTTGGTGAACCCTGGCAGGTCCAGCTTAGCAACATTTTCAACATTCCCTTGGACGTTGCCCCTCAAGTTAGGGACAGAAGAATCATCGTCACAGGCACTGAGTTGAAGGGCTTCTTCGATTCACAGATCGCGGTCATGGCAGCAAAAATTGATCAGCAGAGGCTTGAGCTTACACGAAACCAGCCCGGTTCAACTGTCGGATACCTCGTGCTCTCAGGTGGCCTGGGCTCATCAGCCTACGTCCAAAGACAATTGAGAGCTCGATATCCCGGTCTGCAGATCTTGTGCGCATCCGAACCACAACTAGCCGTCGCCAAAGGCTTGGTTATGGATAGAGTACAGAAGCTGAAAGAAGGTGTAGGCGTTTACACAGGCAAGTGTAGTCGAGTGTCCTATGGCGTTCTATGTCGCCAACCCTACGACAAGAAAATCCACAACGGCGAATTTGTTGAAGTCGATCCTCTCGACAAGCAGAGATGGGCGATTGAACAGATCGACTGGCTAATTCGGGAAGGAGAGGCTGTGCCAGAGACAGGTTTCACTCGCCGATACCAGATGAAGCTCCCCAAGAACCCTGAGAAGAAAAGTTTCGAGGCACAATTTGTCATGTCCGAGGCTCCATCTCACGATCTTCCGAGAAGTCTTAGGCGAGGCAATCTTACACGTCTGTGCAACGTCCGGGCGACATTCAGAGACAACGAACCTGTCTGTCATCCAGAAGAGAGGGCTGCTCTTTGGTCGCCAATCACACTTTATTGTCGACTTTAAACTCAGGACCATCGTCGAGACCACAAGACTCAAATTCGAAATCTGCTCTATAGACGGAGTGCGTTATAGTCAGAATAATGCGAGCGTCGAGGTCGAATGGCACGAAGCAGCTGCGCCTGTTGAGCAGCCATTGAGAAATCCACGGGAATTTTATCCAAAATACGGAAACTGAATTCATCGAACGAGATCTCGCTAATGTGATCCAACCACTTTACGCGTCCAGACAGGATTTTGTACCCCGATACGCCACCGATGTAACGTTTTGAAGAAAGCGTCGACATGAACGTCATATATTCGAAATAACAACTTCGCACGCTGTCCACTCACAAGCTTGGGGACGATTGACATGAAATCCACAACATACAACCATCTAGACATTTTAACATGACCGAAGCTATAGTCCAATCCTTCTGAAAAGATGAGGAGATCCTCGAGAAGATATTGGACTTGACCGCAAACGAAGGAACACGTAGTAGCCTCGCAGCATTAATTAAAGAGCAGCACGAACTTGATCTATACGTTTCGAGTCTGTGGACAGTCACTGAGAAGGATCGTGGGGCATCGATACGGACAAGGAGAGGCGTGTCAAGCGTCGAAAGACTGACCACCAGGGAACCTATGTTGATCCTAGGGAGGACTCCGAAAGTGCGATAGATCCGGCATTGCAGACAGAGCAGCCAAATAGTCCGCATTATGCCGCGAATCAGGTGACTGCTGTCATTAGAGAAGAGTCGGAGGACGATTATCCACGCACGAACGACCCAGCGGCTGGGGTAGTCTCTAAACCAGCGTCTAAACGTAAGTCCAGACGCTCTGGAGGACGCCAGTACCACCACGACCAAACAACCTCTCTCTACAGCTGAAGAGAAGAACCTCAAAAAATACCACCAGTCCCTCCTAGTAGGACGCGTCCATTGCGGCATACAATACGATAAAATCGACGACCAGAATCAACCCTGTCGGTATCATAGCAGACCCTCCACCTTCGACGAAGAAGGATGGGAAGATCATCCTCAGCCAGTCGAGCTCGTCGAAAACGATGTCTTTCGTCTCATCATTCCAGACGTTTTCGTATGGGATTGGTGTGATTCGAGGGACGCTGAAAGCATTACTTCCGCCCAGGCAGCTGACGGCATTGATGACGAAGGCAGGAGGGAATGTTGCAGAGGGCACCATACACATGTTGGGGAGACGACGCATTTTGCTGAATTGCAGATGCTGCGAGAGCTTAGGCCTCAGATACGCTATGTCTTGCAGGAGCAGGACTTAAATGGGTGTTCAAGAAATGGGTTTTTTTAGTAATTGAACAATTTGCATTGTGAGGACAGTGGTGTTGATGGTATCAACTGTCACACGCAGTCTGTCGACGTCAGGTTATTGGAGCGCATGGAAATAGTAGGATGGCCTGCCTATACGCGCGACCGACAGCCAGCATCCGTCAAAGCCGCTTCGACTTGGTGTATTAAGTGACGCTCCAGCATGCGGTCGATGTCGCAGTGTCCACTACAGTCCCACAGGCTATCAAACAATCAATTCAGGGATTCAGGCAGGTTAGAGACTCTGATGCTGACCTGATAACGGTTCCTGCCCTTATAGCGCAGGGATTTTTTCTGAAAGCGCTGTGGTTGACGACGATCTAGACCATGGACACTGCATAGACTGCACAGTTCGTTCCTCGAGGTGTCCAATCATTCTCTTACCGTTTCGATCCAGGCTCCATAATTCAGCAGACGTCGTTTTCCAATCTTTCTGGTTGCATCTCAATTTTTACCACGCTGTATATCCGCCGTCGATTACCATATGACTACCAGTCATGAAAGAGCTTGCATCACTCAACATGAACAACACAGCACCTTGATATTCGTCAGGCTCTGAGATCCTGTTCATCATGTTTGCATTTTCCCAGGTTGCCCGTAACTGCGGGTCGTCCGCGAAATTCTTAGCAACCATCTGCAGCATCAGTCAGCGACGGCGCATAACACGAATCCAGGATGATTGACTCACCGGAGTCATGATGTTACCAGGACACAAGACGTTAACTCTGATACCACGTTTCCTTGGCTCGCAGTCTTCAAACTCCTTCATATTACCCCACTCCATGGCCAAGCTGCGGCCCAATTGAATTACGGCGGCCTTGCTGGAATTGTATACCGAGCTTGTGAAGCCCTTGTTGGCGTTCAGACCGCTCATGCTTCCCACCAAGCACATCGAGCCCGGGGTTTTGTATTTCAGCATTTCTTTGGCGCATGCTACTGCTGACAGGTATACGCCTGTATAATTGACCGCTAACATCTGGGCAATATCAGCATACAGCGTACGTCGCGAGGGTCCAACGTCGAAACGCAAGCTCAGGAATTTTGCGCCTACCTCAGGTATCTTCTCTGGTGGGTAATCTAATGCTGGGACAACATTCTGAATGCCTGCTGCCGCAATCAAGCCGTCCATACGCTGGCGCTCGGCGGCTACCTCCGAAATAACCTGATTTAGGTTCGCAGCATCGGTGACATCGGCACGACGATAGTGCAGGGAGCCCTTCGATGATTGAGCCAACCTGTCTTGAGTATCGCGGAAGGCCTTGTTTGGCTCGTCGAGACGATCTAGACAGTAAACTGAGCAGCCGTTAGCTTGGTTGTGGACGACGGCGAGGGTAATGAATCAAAGCTCCTGGCTTACCATGCCCGCCGGCTCCAACTACTGCCTCAGCAAGCACCAGTCCTAAACCTTGGGCACCACCAGTAACGACGTAAGTACGATCATCGAGCTATTGAAGGAGCTGTAAGCAGGCATCACTCTCTAAGTACGTAATTTGCGACGTGTTGTAGGTGTATATGCAATACTTGCCTCAAACTTTCCGCCTCCTTGAGCCAACCCTTTCCCACCACGACTTCCAGTGTCTTCTTGAGCTAACGATATCGTCGTAGAAAACGTCTTTATCCTCCCTGGTAAGCTCGTATATTTGGAAACTCTTGATATGCAAGTAACTTTTGTGAAAGCTGGGGGAGCCAATAGGCGTGGTTGTCTGAGTGCGGAGAGTAAAGGTAAACGAGCCGAACAAGCTCTAATCGGCAAGGACATCCTGGTTGCAAAAGCGCATCAGAAAGTCAAGTCACGCTGCAGCAACACAAACACACACACAAGATTAAGCAGTATAGGTAAATGAATAAAAGAACATGAATGGTATGAACATGGCACAGAGATCGAGCTTGTGACGTGTGTGGCTCCTGCAGAACCACTGCTAGCACTGGAGAGGATGGACGACCTTGGTTCTGGGAGACCGTTATGGCTTGGCCCAAGCTGCAGTTGCAGTTCCGAGTAGTGTTTTGATGTGAATGGTTCGGAATAGCAACACCGAGATGTGGTGGAAGAGGACTGCTTCTATGTCCGATGGCTGGTATGCTTGGATTGGATCATTGCTTTGGTACTCCTTACTCGAGCTGGGGAAGTCATGCATCTGGTCGACCATGTTCGAGATCTCAACATTGGTTGTTTGTTCAATTTCAAGATGAGTACCGTCGCAACAAGCCATAGCACCATGGCTCACGCCATTCCTTAGAGGAACATTGTTGGTGCAGGACCAACTCACTTCGGGACAACAGGCAAGCACAGGATCACGAAGCACTGCAGCCTGCCGTGTTGGCTCTACGGATGTACGAGAAGGCCAAGTGCACTTTCCAGCCCAAAAAGAAAAAGAATGCTGCGTGGTGCTAAGTATATATTAGTAAAGAGTAAGCACCTCGAATTTGCATGTCAAGCAAGCTCACTGGACGAGTCATCAGTTTCATACTTTACGAGGGTACACTAGCACGAAATGCAGCAATAGCCGGTCGTCAGACAGGTAACAAGACCGAGCTGAAAACTCAACAAGATGTATTGAAACTGCCACATCTAGCAGTAACGTTGAAATGTGAATGTTATGTATCAAGCGCCGGCCCAAGAACGCTTTCATATGCTGCGAGATTGATGTATAGAAGGGTCAAATGTCTTCGTCGTGCCTGTCTTGAGAAAACTCTGCGTCTCTCAACCAGACATTCAATCGGAATCTGGATTCGTAATAAACAATCTCTGCCTCGTCATGGTAGATGTCCTCTCATCCACACTGCCTCTTCGTATCAGGTCGTCTTGCGCTTTCTGATCCATTGCATGCTGTTTCGAATTTGGCCCGGTCATTTCCTTTAGCTCACCAAACGATTCTTCGCTGTCTGAACGATCCAGCTGTTTCTGTGTAGGCTCGAAGTAGTTTTGTTGCGGTACATCTGCCACGGGCGTCTCACCAGCTTCGGGTATTCCTTCGTGCGCGGGTGAACCACCATCTGGTGGACTGACTCCTGCTCTGGGATAGCCACTGCGGTATTTGCTGTTGATACTGCTCTTGCCACTGCCTGTTCGTGCGTGAACCATGGAATTATCGCCTAGAACTCTTCCCTCTTGCTCTTCCTCACCTTGCATATCGAAAGCTAACAATCTTGTCGGTACGCCTGCACCTATCGTATTTGGCGCAGTATACTGTGGTGCTTTGGCGACACCACCGTGCCGTATCTTGCCGACCATACCACCGGAGCTTATTGTACTTGTTCGTTGCTGATTGCCTACCACTTCCAAGACCGCCCTCTGCTTCGCAGCTTTTTGTTGCGCAGCAAGTCTAGGATCTGTGGCTTGCGCACGATCGCACCACACCGTCGCTTTCTGTTTTCGCATCAAAGTGACATATGAGGTTGGGCTATTTGTCGCGACTGATCTTCCCGAAGTAGATCGACGCGGTATGCTTACGCTCGTAGTTGAGCCTGTTGTGCCTTGCCGTTGCATCACCGCGGACGATTTCGGTGAAGGTCGCGGAGATGTGGTTGATGAGGAATGCACAGGTCGTGGAGAGGTGGACGAAGTGGAGGTTGGAGGCACGTAAGAATGTCTTTTGTGGAAGTCGAGCTTGGTGGCAGAAGCGAATGGATTGACAGGCAAGGTAGACGATGAGACAGTGCGGGAATGACGATGTGTGTTTGTCGTGGCTAGCGGGACGACTTGCGCAACCGATCGAGTGTATTCGTGGTTTGCTGGTAATTCCACCGGCGGCTGAGGCAATGCTTTGGTTGGTGGACGACTGAGAGGTCCTTCCGACACAGCAAACATACGATCTGGCACTGCGTGGAAATTGGTGACAGTCAGAACACTCATTCTTGGGACTGATCGACGAAGATTTGTGGTTGACCGAATAGGCGATCGCAATGATTTAACGCTGCAGGCTCAGGTCTTTTGAGCCTTGGTAAACCTGTTGCAAGCGTGGGGCTGCAGCAGCGTCCAAGCTGAAAGTGGAGAGCTGATGGAGGGTCTTTCGTGCCGAACACCGCTAGAACAACGCTGGATTGCTGCTTAAATTGTAGTGTCTTGATTTCTCGGATTCACGCTACTGTAACGTCTGTCTAAGACAACGCTCGAAAACATCAACGAAGAGAGACAGTAAGACTTTCAAAAGTACCTGAGATCTTCCTGACGTCCAGGCCTCGTGAGAATGGATATGTTGGTGGGATGTCAAACGGACTTCCGACGTTCACATAAGCGAGTGCATGCTTGTTCCAGACAGAGCAAGGATTAATTAAAAGGGATTAAATCGAGTGCTCGTCACTCGATAAGCCTTGTTATTGCGTTCAAAAGAGGAAGTCTAGCTACTTGATTGAGCAGTACTTGCCTTGACTTCAGGAAGTTGCACTTCTACGATATTCTATTGTGCTCTCTGAACTGTTCCGGGAGTAATGGACGGACACCTGTTGGTTGTGACATGTGGTGGTCACTGAAGCTGGCCAAGAACACATGAAGAGTGTTGATGCTCCACACCCGCGCATTTTAGGCTCGACGAGTTGACGGTATTAGCACGCAAAACACTTGACTGAGCCGAGCTGAAGGTGAATTTTAATGAAACATACGTGTCAGGTACCATCACGAGCTTTCGTACCAGACGACAAATCTGGATTGGTGTCAATGGCCATCCAGCACATGTTCTCCCAAGATTCTTTCTCATTCGCTCTAGGCAATCAGAAGCGTGTGAAAACAGTCTTTGCCGCCTGCAGTTTCTCCCAAGTCGACATTGGGCTTCCACTGGGTACGCTTCGAGCCGCTAAGGAAAATGTCTCGAGAATTCCGCAACAGATAGATGCTCTTTCTGACCCGTCGTTATCTAATCCCGAGACTATCTTTCTGAAGTGATGACTTGCTAAACGAATATTCACTCGACTACCACTGAAAATAAGCCGGGTCTTTTTTCCAGGACGTCCTCGCTGGTGTAGTTTGGGCACTCCGTTGATCTGCAATTTTGCCAGTGATTCCAACTTTACAAGTTTGTGCAGGTATTGCAGCTTCATCATAATGATATTCGTCTGAACCCCCACCGGAGGTACCACAGTACAATATAATTTTTTTTTGGTAAGGCATTAGCGAGGTAGTGATCACTTTTCAGTATGGATCTTAATCCGGATAAGGTCAGTAGCCGTCTCGATACGCGTACAGTAGGACAGCGTCAAATGCTGTGCTCACACTTGTCTCCATCATTCGGTAATCCGGACGTGTGACATAACCTGGTGCAATCGATCTTTCGATGTAAATAGCGACCATGATCTCGAAAGGGAGTCAAAGACCCACAGAGTAGGAGCGAGTGAACTACGCTTGGCACATTGCTCGCATCGTGTCAGAACTGTTTCATTGCCATGTTGCATTCATCCCACCTTCAGCCGAAGATATTTTTATGATTCCATCAAAACCAATGTTCATTGCGACGTTCTCGGCGCCTGCAGCATACCATACAATCTTCCCCAAGCTCTGTATATATGGCTATTTCCTGGACTTCTCTTATTGGCACTTGAATCATCTTGTGTCGGAAGTCATTCATGCCAAGCCGTTCGCAAAAATTTTGGCAGTCTTGTATCCAGATTCAAGATACGTAAGCACCTTAAGTTTCGGAGCAAGCGGGATTCCTTGCATTCTACAATCAATGCCGTTCTTGGTGTGACACAACTTGTGCGGTATTTTTCTTCTTCTTCACTTCGCGGGCTTTGACCTTGAATTTCGTCTAGGATGGAAATGCTCAACCCTATGACACTGACCAATCAGGGTCAAGATTGTTACTGTCATCCAAAGATGTCATCTGTGCTCCTGTTAGACAGTTTGCCCTCCTCGCATCACCCAATAATTCTCCACTTTTCTCGTACATGACCCGAATTGTACACGGTCCAAGTCGTACATAGTTACTAAAAAGCTTGTCTCTCTATGCGAGGCGCTTATCATCCACATGCCTAAGGAACGCCAGACTTGTACAGAATGTTCCATGCGAAGACAGAAATGCGACAGGAATACTCCATGTAGTCGTTGCTTGAAGCGTGGTGAGCCAGAAAAGTGTACTAGGGAATGGCCAGATGGAGGTTATGACCCCAAAAAGCATCGAACCTATCCTCGACCAGGCAAGCGCAATATACAGTCTCCAGCGACCTCTCATGACCATGAAGAAGATCATGCCAGTCCAGGTTCAAGTCCTGCCGCGGCGGGTATGTCCACTCAGACACCTCAGCTGAGAACAAGTACCTCGATGTCGACGCCAACATTCACACAGGACTTTCCAGGCACCGCATCATCAGAGACAAACAAACTCGGTCAGTCGAAAGCGCCCGTACCAGAGAGCCGCGCCTGGGGTCGAGGTAGTCTAGCCGACTATCAGGTTCAATCTTTTGACCTGCTAAAGGAACCTTTCAAGAACAATTCCCAAACACAATATCCAGACCAGGAGTATTCCAATGGCTTCGGCACTACCAATGTGCAGCAGGTGTCGTTCCTGCAGCTGTTATTGCCTAGAAGAGAACAAATCTTTCATATAGTAGACTATCATATCCATATAGTCCTGTGGTACCATGCTTGCTTTCACGGTGAAACCTTCCGGAACGAACTGCAGACGCTCTACTTGCACCCAAACGGACTCCAAATCCAAAACACAGACCTTAGATGGTCAGCTCTTCTATTCGCGATCATGTCTTCCAGCATGGCTTGTGCTAACGATCGTGTAGCTGCTTCATGGGGATTCCAGCGATCGGAGAGGCACAAATTAATGCGACAATGGTACAAAGCTTCTTTGACATGCTTGAATCTGGCCGACTATATGTGGAGGCATCACATCAATTCAATATCTGCCATATGTGTTCTAACAATGTCTGGCCACATCCTGGGCTTCAGTAATACCCAATCCACTCTACACGGAGCCGGACTGAAGATTGCACAAGGGCTAGGACTGCAAAGACTTGGATCTGAAGTGGACGAGGTCATAACAAACGATCGCGATTTGACACCAGCAAGAAGAGAGAAAATAGTACGCAGGGAAGTCGGTCGACGTGTCTGGGGTCAACTCTGTAACCAAGACTGGTTCTCAATACCGTTCAGCGAGATGTATACGATACAGCGCTCACACTTTTCGACCTCAAGGCCTCAGCATATTGACGACCATACATTACTTCCTATACCTGCTCACGAACCATCGTCGACCTCTTTCGCACGATGCCTCAACGACATCGCAGCCATCATGCCACAGACGTTGGATGCAATCACGAACGCAAGCACATTGTACACAAAGTATGAGCAAGTTTTACATTACGATGCGAAGATGAGGGCGCTCGGTAGTGAAGGCACTCCCTCCTTTCTGCTGGCAACAGAGCCGATAAGAGCTGAATGGCCTCATTGGATACCGTGGGCTCGTCGAAGTTTGAAACTTTGTCTCGCCCACAAGACTATCATGATCCATAGAAGCTTTCTCGGCAAGTCCCTGACCGATGTTACGTTCGACCACACACGGAGGACTTGTATGGAAGCATCAAGAACAATAGTGAGAGAAGCAAGTGTGCAAGACGATTACAATGGACCAAGACTGTGGATTGACCAAGCATTTATGGTGGCTGCCGGCATTACGCTCTCGCTCGATACATTCCACCGAAAACCAAAAGCTCCCGAGATAAGCGAAAACCGCAAGTACGTTGAGGAAGCAATCAATATGCTTAGCAAGTTCGACCACAGCATGATCGCTGTTCGTGGTGTGCGCCTGCTCACATCCCTACTCGCTGAACAAGCCAGACTATGCGCTGAGAGGTCAATAGACAGTTACAAGAAGAGAACACGCGATGACGAGACCAACGTGGATCCTCAAACTCCAGGATCAACCTTCAATTTCATTCAGGGTGGTGCCGATGGCGGCAGTTTCACAAATGCTCTCAAGCGACAAAAATTTGATGTGCCTAAATTCCTCGAGAACTTCGTTGGTCAATCCAGGCAAAATCCAGGCTTTGAAATGGGTCACGGTGTTGACACAGTGGTACCAGCTAGTCTCAAAGATGATGGAGATATGGTTTTAGGAAATGGCAAGCTAGGAAATGTTCTTATGCAGGCACCTCCAGTGCAAGACAGGCTGCCACCTCTCAGCTCTGTGACTAGTCCTATGAACACTATTGACGGCGCCACGGATACCAGTGGTCTGCCGGTCGAGTACGACTATGAAGCTTTCGAGCAGATATTTCCACCTCATGCTGGTATAAGCAACACGTTTTTGTTCGAGGACTTATTGAACTTCGAATTATGACTACCTGAGCAAGAAGATCACACAACTAGCAACAATATCATCGAAGGCGATGCAGGGGCTGTGTCCGAGAAGATTAACAATTCAGATCAGCAAATCGCTGATGGTACCTCTCACACTAGCTCCGGCATCTTACCAGGATTTATTGCAGAAGTGAAGCAGTCAGCTATGCCTACGAGCGAAGTACCACCAAGCGTTAACAAAGTGCTAAATCAGCTCTTTGTGGGATCTGGGGCGTCTGTTGGCCCTACGTCTCCATCCACTATGTCGACACTTCTGCCACTTCCAACACAAAAGGAGACACCAGCCACAAGCCGCATGCGCAAACATTTCTTACCAGCTTTCATGAAGTTAAAACAACCTTCTATACCCGGACTCTGGACCGCTTGGGATCCTGTCGAAGGTCCACAGAAGGATGCTGAGAGTGGAGATTGGCCTCAATTCCAGCCGAACTTAATTGAGTCAGTCTCACAGAAGGACAACATCAGTCAAATTAGTGAGCCAAAGTGCTTCCACAAAGCCCAATTGGTCTCACACGGGCAACAGCACGACGAAAATCCGGCGTCAATCACGAACAAGACTCAGAATATCAGGTCAGGGAAGGACCTTGCCATTTCTGATCTGTTCGCTGCCAATGACGAAGGTAACAACGAACCCTACGACCCAGCTCCGAAATCGTCTCCGCTAGAAAGAAATTCAGCTAGGTCACTATTTAAAAAATAATGCGAAACTAAGCCGTTCGCTACACATCGACGGAGCCTCAACCCAACGATGTTGACCCTGACACTAATTGCCACGAGGTTGTGGAGCTCAAACGTCTTATCTGCCAAGCACATCTCAAGCAAGACAATGGGCCGGTCTGGCGCTGCCACTGCACCTCCCATTAGTTGTGATGAGACAGAAGATTACTCTGTTAGTGTATTGAGAGGACTAGACTCGAATTATGAACAGACTGGGGAATAACATGGTAGAAGGAGAACAATAATTCTGGGAGATCTGAGCGAGATGTAACCACAGTGAAAGATCGTGAATGCAAGGAGAATAATGCTACGGGAGCTATTCATAGGTCTTTCAAATTGTCTAGCAGAAAGACGTTCTGATAGCAATTCATACTATGCCTTCATGTACTATACAGGAGTGGAGGCGCATGGTGCTCAGGTATTGATAAGTGTACTATGGACTTACAATCATCACATCTGTACGACTTGTGTTCACAATGGTGGTAATCCAAGTGTTTATTTTGCGAAAATTGCAAATATGGCAGAATCCCCTTGCCGATAGGCATCTCAATTACTCGGTATCCATCTTCTGTGGTATTTGATACGACAGTCAGCTTGTGGTCTGCAGATCAAGCCCCGATTACATCGCATGAAGTTCTCTTGCCTCTTCTGTATTTGCTGTGCGCGCGTCTTGCACCCCCCCTCTTACCATGGACGAATTGAATTCACTGTAGCGCGAAGCAGGCGGCTTCAGACCGTCCATCAATGGAAACCACCTACCTCGAGTACTGACCCGTAGTGTCATCCTCTCCAGATTGCACGATCTATTGCAACGTCGCGCAGAGGCATCCAATGATACTTAACGAACTAAGCACATTTGATAGCGCAAAGCTGGTGTGTAGAGTGAAGACCAGTCAGCTAGCACACTCGAGCTGGTCGCGCGCATACCGTATACGCAGCTAAGCAAGTTACAGCTGGAAGAGTTTCGTAGTGGTGTGTGTGCAGATCAACTCATCAGTTGAGGCGAAGGGTTACAATTTTCTCTTGCCATACCGTTGCATGGTCAACCCTTGTTGTGTTTGTATGTGAGTTATTGAGGCGTGTAATATCTGTCACTTCATCCTTCCACACCCGTCTTCTTCAAGAATGCGCCTTTTGCCATCATCGTGTTGAGAACAGCACAGTTGAAGGCTGCTTCACCTGGTGGGACCACGACCGCGATGTAGGTATTCTCTGTAAACCTCGCCAGGAAGGCGTTGAAACTCGGTGTCTGCACTTTGTAGAGGACGAAGCCAGCGGCAGAGACAGAGGATGAAGATGGCCCCTTGGTGGACTTTGCGACTGTATGCTTATAGCTCTTCATTATGTTCGATATTCTTTCGTGCCTGTCCGGATTGGGGTTCGCAGTTTCTTCTGAGGTACCCTTTGGCGCTGTCGTGTCGACACTCGTCACTGTGAGGAACGTACTTCGCTCGAATAGAACAATCTCTTCTGCGCTGATTTGTTCAGCGAAGGCTCTCAAGAAGCGCTCAATGATGCTCAGGTTTGGGATCATCTTGTGTACAATACCTGCCCATGCCTTGTATAGTGTTTGGTCCCAAATACTGCTAGCAAATGTTTCTACACTCATACTGTCTGACTGGGTAAGAATCATCCGACATCTTTCTTCGTAGATGCGCTCGCGGTGTTCAGCTTGTACCAGATCCATCTTGTGCACGAGGCAGAAGACCATAGCACTTGGGGAGAACTGTTTCAGGGCGGAAATAACTGCCGAATAGGTATCGAGGTCACGATCAACTTCGCGCGATTCAATATCGAAAACATAAATCAGGACCTGTGCATTCGTGAAGACGTTCTCGCGCTGGGAGTTGAGGTAAGAGTCCATGAAGGCATCTTGACTAGGCATGAGCATTAGTACCAAGATAAACATATAGGTACACATGCTGTACCTTACCCTCCACAATCCCACAAATTCAAGGTCAAATTGCCCATAAAACGAGCATGGCTGTGCTCAACGTCGATGGTCGCGCCTAGTCTGCGGACGTCCTTCGCAACATAGTTACTAAATATGATGGAGCGCATGGAAGATTTGCCCGAGCCAGACTTTCCCATAAGAAGCACTTTCTTCTTTCGCTTTCGAGCGTCCATGTTGGCCGACTTCAGCAGATATGATTGAGCAATAGAACAAGTTCAATGGTGAGACGAATTGTGAAAATGAGCTCATGGTACATTCATGCCTCAGGCTCACTCACGGTCGCGCTTCCCCCGCACCGAGGTGCTTATCGACGCGTTTGACGCCTTGCCCAAACAGGCACGGCCGTCATCGACTCGGGCCCTTCCAAACGCTGCAGGCGCCAACGTCCTCGTACCACAGTACTTCGACTGAATTCCAGCTGAATCGTTGTGTCGCTGCTATATCAATTCTCACGCTCTGAATCATACTGTATTCGCTAATGACATCGCACTAGCAGTAGATCAGGATTACCAGGCACTTATCGTGGTAATAAGCGAATCACTTCAACGTATTCGAGATACCATCTTCACAATGAGCGAAAGAGACGAGCAGAAGCCTACTAGGGAGCAGGACAAATATGTACCGCCACCTATGGACCCATATGCTCGATATCAAACACCCTACGATCGTCGTCCTACCGATGACAAAAATCCATTCATCGAATTCCGCCGCTTTGCCGATAAGCAGTTGTCCTCATTGTTCGATGGCTGGGAAAGCTTTCCCAGCTTGCCAAAGATGTTCGGCATCTCGGATGAGATGCAGAAGATGAGGGAACATACTGACAAGATGAGAAACGACATACAAAAGCATATAGAGCAAGTCATGGAGGAGAGGCAACACATCATGGACGATTGGAGCACGAACGATCAGGTTGACAAAGTAAGAGAAGTTATGCAAAAGCACTTGAGAGAACTCAAAGAAGAGAGACAACGCATGCTGGAAGATCTTTGGAGTAGCAGGCGAGAAGAGTCGCAAAGGGCTGCACCGGTAGCATCGTCTGATGAGCAGGACCTTCCGAAAGGATGGCTAGCGGCTATTAGCAGAGATGGCAAGACCTACTATATCGAGCAAGCCAGTGGCAAGGCCACTCTAGAGCCTCCTACAAAATCTGTACTTCCTATCGCTTCGGAACTGAAAACATCAGAAGACAACATAGATACCACATCACAAAGCGGTATGCGTAGACCACAGGATGTTTTCCCTGTCGTAGAGGACAAGAACCCTGAGCGTGCTGACACGATCGATGATCAGGCTGCAAGTTGGGAACGTGGACTGCGTGACTGCCCTGGGCTCAAAGATTACACTAATTCAGCCATGCATCAGGAAATGGATGACGAGTTTTATGAACATGAGTCGAATGATCGTAGTGCTATTGGGGATAGGCAAGCGCAATGGAGACGAGGTTTTAGGAATTGCCCTGAGCTCAAGAAGCACAATGACGGCACTGAGTTGGCCATGTACGAAAATCTGCGCGCGCAGCAGAATAACGACTACTATCATTCCGATGAACACTGGGAAGAGGTTTGGCAACGGGGGTTTGAGAACTGTCCAGACCTCAAGACTAACGGTGAGGAGAAGCGCTCCCTCATCGAAGCAGCCCTGGGTAGACGTGACGAGCATGATGCAATCGTTACATTGCCCGCGAGCACCAAAGGGAAAATGGGTCGATGGTCGTGGCTGCCATCTGTTGGGTTTGATGGCTTACAGATGCAGCGCGCCAGTGGATATCCTGCCCTACCAGAGTCATCTCAAATTGAACGTCGAGCACACATCGAGAACGCGAATAGCCCCGATTATGACAACGAACGTCTCACAGAAAGGAAAGAGCCTACATCGGAAGATTTGGACGACGTGGCACGCCTAGCATTGAAAAGAGCTATCGATGTACTTCGCAACGCAGATATGGTATCGAGGTTGCTGCAGTTCACTGACGCTGAGACTCTAGATGACGAGCCAGAGCTTTCTTCCCACAGTCTGATCGATCCGACGTTGCTTGCTCTGTTTGTTCAGAACGGGTTAGATAAGCACTTGATGGACATTGACGAAGACGTCGACGAGGAACATCCTGTGGATCAGCAGGCAGCAACGTCGTCTGAAAGAGATTCTGAAACAATCCCTCGTTCCATACAAGCCTCGAAACAGCTTCAGCCAGAACAGATCATGCCTTCTATCGTCTCAACCATGACAACCACAGAGACGAGAACACTGCCCGATGGCTCAGTAGAAACGAAACGTGTTTTGAAGAGACGATTCGCGAATGGAAAGGAAGAAATGGAAGAATCACATGATATATCCCAGCCCACGAAGAATGCAAAGAACCTTGAGAGCAAGAAGAGACTGCCGCATAACTTCGTGGCACAAGGATCGGACGACCCACAGCAGAGGAAGCCAGGCTGGTTCTGGAACTGAGGCGAGTAAACAAATAAGTAAGATGTGGTCAAAACAGACTTTAGGGCAGGACGACAAGGAAGTTACAGATGATATGGATGATATTTATGAATGACCGGTAACTCATCTCAATTCTTCAAATGAAACACACCAGGAAGACAATATTATTCATGCTACAGCTGAAACCTCCAGACACTTTACAGAGTTCGAAAGTTCCCAGCCTCATCCATTGAAAGTCACTTCGCTTTGTGATGGTCTGTCATTATGTCGTCGCTTTAGTGACAGGATGTCTCCACCAGTGTTCTATAGAATGGACTTCTAACCCTGCATGCTTGATTTAGCAACAATACAGCTTCTTTAGTCCCTTTTTTGCCCTTGATGTCTGACAGTCCATCACCACGAAAGCAGTTGCGCCTGTTCACCAAAGGGAAGGGAAAGGTAGATTCACTGTTTCGACGTAGAAGGAATGGCAATAAGCAAGACGATAAAGACTCCGACTTTGAAGACGATCAGCCTATACTGTCAAGGATCAACGAGCCGTCTGAGCCGCCTCAGTCAACAAGCCTACGGAAGCTCAACCTGAAAGCGAACGCAAAGCAGGGTAGCAATGACATACAGAGTCCTGGCTTAAGCAAGAAACTGGCAGACGGCAATCAGGAAGATGCTGGACACAATGAAGGAACGAACATGGAAATTGAGGATCAGCCACAGAGAACGAACCAGAATGAAGAGCAAGCGACCAAGGCCCGCAAAAGGCAGGGCATGATTGGGGTTGAAGGCATTGTTCCGACGTTCAACACCAATAACGTGATCTCTGGTGGTCGTTTGATTGCGAAGCAGCCTGGTCCAGACATGCAAGCTCAGCCTTTCACCTTCGGTACACAAAGCAGAAGTCTGGACACAGTCACAGCAGCTTCTCAACTCAATTTTTCACCACAAACTTCCTCCTTCAATGCCAGTATCGAATCACACGCGCCCTTAGCGGTCCCTTTAGAGGCAGAGCAGCCCAAGCCTGGTGCACAGGGTGTTACCGTCAAGCAGTTCCTGGTCTCAGAAGAGCAGCCAACACAGGAGATATTGACATCAGCAACACAGAACACCAATCCCCGGACTAATTCGCTGCCGCCTGGTCTCAAACCTCGACGATCAAAAGGGGCAGACCCTTTAGCTCATCTTAAGCTCGACGCTCAACCAGCTGCCGATCCTCCTCGACTTGACCAACCCTCCGATATACATAGAGTGCTGGACTACATTTCCCCACAAATTCCATTGCCTGAACCGGGAGATCAGGTCTACCGATACAACCACTACAAGAAGCAGATTCCTCAGTACGTCTTTAACAATACTCTTCCAGATGCCTGGGAGGCCACCGCTTTTGCGCAAGATGTTATTGGTGACACAGAAATTCGACTGACTAAAGATGGGGATGTGCCGGCTTTGGAAAGTGCTCCTCGCGAACGAGTTCCTCTTGGCGCAAGGGAAACACCTGTCGACGTAGATCCAAGTGGACAGTCCGATGATCCAATCAAAACCAAGGCTTCGTCCTTGCAAGGTCTTCCATACCACGCTCGCGTAGCTGCTAAACGCAAGGTGCTTCGTAATAAGATCGTCAAGGAACTGGACGACCCTTCTACGCCCGATCACCTTCATACAGCACCATTCTATATGGTTCCAACCACCACTCTCAAACGCAAACGTCCTACGAATCCTCTTGAGCTTCCACCACCGGACTATATCTTCCAATCTACCAAGTCACCAGATTTCAACATTTTCACGAATGGCTTCCTACTCTACCCCGAGCTCTGCCTCCTCCTGGCGGCGCAGATGCAGGTGAAGACACTGATCAACCTGTACAGCATCAGCAAAGACTTCCACGTCATTCTCAACCAGCGCTCCTTGACTGTGATCCTCAATCAAGCTACGCTGAAAGCACCAGCCGCAGCACGTTGCTATCCCTGGCGATGTTTCGACGATCTGTCTCAACCTGATCCAGCCTTTCACGCAGGCACAAAGTCGCTAGCGCACCATATGAACGCCAAATCAAGCAGTGGTGGTGGTGTAGTCATCAATATCCCTACACCTCCTCCTCCACCCTCTCCACGACCCGTATCTCCAAAGACAGGTCTTTCAATTCCCTATCCCAAACGTCCATCCCTCTCACCCGCAACCCGCCGGGTCCCAACCTTCCGCTGGCTCCAGATGGCCATCCACCGCGAAAAAGTCATTCACGCCCTATACCAAGCCTTCGCCATGCGCGGTATCCCGCTCCCTGGTGATCCAAACTCCCTGCATCAAGGCGACTTCGCTCTCTCCTTACACAAACTCTGGTTCTTGATGGATATCCCAGACAACACACGCCGAATCATTTACACCCGCACCACGAGTTTGATGGCAGATGTGGACTTAGGTAACATGCTGACATTCGTCGTCAAGCTCGACATGGCATGTAATGACCCTGTAGCGGGGGAGAAACGCGACGGAATGCGAAAGTTAATGCTCAGCGCTATTGATGGGTTCGATACGATTCTCAAAGTTGTCAGACGAGAGATGTGGACGGATGAACTTGACGTGCTGAGGGCGTGGACGAGGTTTGGCTTTCAACTTGACCGGGAGCAAGGACCTCGACGGGCGGGATGGGCGCCACTGCGTCTGAGTGATGAAGAGCACACGGCGAGTAAGACTGTGTTTGGGATTAAGAAGGAAGAGGTGGGGCTGCTGAAGAGGGAGTTCTGGGGGAAGTTAGAGGTTGATCCTGTGAGTGGACGGAGGAGAGGTGCGGTTAATGGTGTTGGGACGGTGAAGGAGATGGGGCGTATGCCTCAATATCTTATGCGGCCTGATCAGATCTTGCTGAGGGAAGTGGTGAGGCGGGAGATGACGTTTCAGCAAGGATTTCTGAGAGCACTGATCACGGGATATGTGGATGAAGAGACGCTCGAAGCTGTTCCACCACGAGATCTGAATGGAGGTAGGAGTGGTGTATTGGAGCTGGAAGGGGAGTATGATGTGGATGATGCTGTTGCTGGACTGCAGGCATTGGACATTGAGGAAGGTGGTGATCCGTTACTGGACCTGGGTGATACCTGGCAAGGAAGTCCTTGGACGGTTGAGCATATGGACATAGGGTTTGAGACGGCTCAGGCACGGATCGAGCAGGATGAAGCGTTGCAGACTTGGATGGCTGCGTGGCGGAGCGAGGTGGATGAGGAAAAGCGGCGAAGGCAGTATACTGGTTTTCGGGTTGTGGATTAAGGGCCGGAAGTCATGCGTTTTGCGATAGGCATTGGACCATATTTCATCGCAGGCTGCATATTATCTCGTCAAGTGATTCTGATCTAAATTCATAGTGTCGGTGTCATATCTACCTTGTCTCATGTTGCGCGAAAGAATTCCTAATAAATGTGACCAGAATAAAATGTTAAAATTGCACGTCTCGTCCACTCTCCGTCTCTCGATCACGCCGCGACAATCTCTACCCAAATCATAGCCAAACGGGTCACAAATTATAGTCTTGCCTACCTCCAAAGACAACTACAGATAGATCTACACGTGCAGACAATGCCTAGAGCAATACTGCAGATGTGATAAAAAAGCCTCTACCTGCTTTGAGAAGGCGGAGACGCGACTTGGTGGAAGAGATGTCCGAATCGTGACTTTTGAGCTTTCGCTGTCTACTTTACCATATGTGGCACTAAATACGATAACGCACGCGACACAGACTCTGTAGGCACTCATGTGAAATGCTAGGAGTATTACCAGCGTGACCCACAGCTGTTAAGAAAGTGTGGCAAGGATGCGTGTTTCGCCTTGGGATCAGGAGAATACAGACCACTGGTGATCCGAACATGGTACGCACCGTCGTAGGAGCCTGTGACTCAATCTTCAAGATTGGTATATGTATCGATTATGAAGTGACTTTCATACACAACGACCTCGTCGTAAGAACCTCGGGAAGAAGCAGAAATTCGTCCAACCGTTGCACCACCTGGGTTTGCAGGTGTTCTCATAACTCATAACATCTATGCGACAATGTCTATAAAACAGCTCTTACACCAATACATGGTATTACCCACTCCCTTCGAAAGAAGTCCTTGAGTGTAAGGAAGACAGACGACAAATAGCTTGGAGCCAAATCCGTAACGATATCTCTTCCTCTTAGTCTCGCAGCAACACCACTAATGCTAGACACTGCAGAATCCGCCAATGCTGTTGCCAGGTATCCCAACGTCTCGTTTGTTTGGTTGTTCCAACTCTGCTCGTTCATGGTCTCGAGCCGTGGTAAAAACCATGTGGCATAGCCTGAGCCTCCTTGTGAAAAGGGTATATAGTTGAAGTCAACGAGACATCGTTGTGACCAGTAACACGAGGTAGAGAATAGAATGATCAGCAGTAGTGAGCAGTACACACACGGCCGATTGAGGAAGCATGTCAGGCCGAGGAGGATGGAGAAATGAACCGGTGATAGTGAGAGAGGTATAGGCAGTAAGAGAAGCGGGATGTAGCTGGTCTGGTCAGTGATGGTCTATTGTGGTGGAAGCCCGAATAGCCTACCTTCGCAAACAGTACATCATGATATTGTAGAGATAGAACGATGACTGAAACCGGCTGGTCCAGGAAAGTAATGCCAGTCAAGACAAACGAACTGGCATGGACGAGGTCAGGGTCTGTTGAGTGCAGTGAGTCTGTGCTGCTTCACAACTGCGCGTTGTGGTGCAGCAGAAACTGATTGTCGGCACATGGCAAGTGCGACCAGGCACGCCTATTACGTAGCCGAAGCGGAACGAAAGATGTCGCCGATGTGCACTAAGATCTCAAGCTAGCACGGACGGCAGAGCTTGGCTCTGAGCTCTGCTGCAATGACTTTAATCAGACATGGTGTGCTACGAAAACCTGACCGTCGAGAAGGAGCTTCTTGTGTGAAAGACGGCAACATAAAGATCACGAACATGTGTCAAAAGAGAAAGGAACATGCATGTTTGAGGTCATCGTTGATAGGCGAATTGGGTTAGGATCGCCACTTTGTCACCACTGAGCTCTCCTAGTAAGGTTTGCCTTGTACTTTTTCTGTCGTGATTCATTGCTCATTGCATCTCCGAATTCTTTTCACTTCCAATTCCATTCCCACAGCGTGTACTTGGGTAGAGCTCTATCCTCGCAGCTTTCGATATTTACCTGATTGGATCTTGATTGTGAAATTTCAAGCTCCAACTTGGTAATCGGTCGTACTACGCCAGTCGTATCACCACGCTGCATCTATCGACTGCTTCAAGGTCTGTGTCAGGATTCCAGTCGACTGTAAAATGTCTGCTCCCGACCCAAGTCTACAAGCGCTCTTAGCCAACTTGCGTCCACGATCGCAGGCTTCCACCTCCAACCATCCAGACGCGCATAATAGTCCTCGCGATGTATCCATGTCCTTAACTTCTACTTCAGCAGGACCTACCAGCCCACCTCCTCCTTTCTCTCCCACTCTGTTGTCAAGCCATCCTGGCTCTAATGCTGCGACGGCGCAAAACCTGCTGAACCTACTCAACTTCGGCAACGCCGCAGCTCAAGTTGCACCTGCCACAAGATCTGCTAGCGAATCAATCTCCCAAGGCTCCGCCAACCGACCTGGTCAAGAGAATACATTCACTGCTGCTGACCTACTACGACGTGCTGCAGCAACGAGCTCTGTCAGTAGAAGCACTTCAGTTGCAAATCCACAATCTCCAGGCCTTACTCCTCAGCAACCATCACGAGAAGTACCTGACGATGCAACTTCGGCACCTGCTGCTTCAACTTCCCTGGCACCTGCCTTTACCACAACTCATTCAGATGCTCCTCAGCCGCAACCTGCGCCTTCTAGCCAGGCAACTCAAAAGCCACTCTTTACCTACAAAAATCCGTTCGACGCTCTTCGAGCTTCCCGACCACATACACCACAGAAGCACCACCAACCGACTGTAGAGACCCCTCAACAGGAGACGCCGCAAAAGGAGCTTCCTCAAGAAGAGATACCACTACAATCAATAGAAGATCAGCCTACAGAAGAGATCCGAGATGATGTCATGCCAGACCGAGTGAAGCTGACACCCAAATCACGCGCTCCACAATTAGCCACTCCTGCACCGTCGAATGGGCTGGAGAAAGGTGATCAACTACCAGAAGAGAACCCAGCCACAAAACCGCAGGCCGAGTCGAAACCTACCCTTGACGTTGCTACCACTGAAGTGCCTGAACAAGCTGTTGTCGCAACCTCAGAAGATCCGATGGATGATACCGGAGGAAGCATGCCGCCCACGAACGGAATGCAACAGAGGGTAGTCCCTGTCTTGACTTTTCCGGTCAAAGCATTTGTCTCGATCACTTTAAATCTCCCATCCCCTGCATCTGCCTATGTTCGCGAGGATGGCATAATGGAAATTTCACGTCTGAAGAAAGAATTTGATCAGGTCGATCGTTCGTTAGCCGCTGCTTCCTCCAAATACATCACTTACGCATTAGTCAAGAACGGCGGTATGAGAATAATTCGTCAAGATGATGGGAAGGATCGGCAGATCTTTAAACACACTCACGATCGCATCTTCAACGTTGCTATTTGTACCAGCACTACGATAGCTCCTTCTACCGATCACCAAAGTGTCCTGGGTACTGGCGTAAGTGGTTCCGTGTATTATGCCACTCTCTGCAGACAGGGTTACGACATGTTCGACGCGGATGAGCTAGAGAGAGAAAGTCTAACATTCCCGGCATATCCTCAAACTGATGAGAATCCACAAGGCGGTGTCTTGAAGACTCGCACCAAGCGAAGCTCTCGTCATCCTGAATTCTTCGCTATCGGACGAGGCAAGACTATCAGTATCGTGTGGCCAGCAACCGTCATGAACTCCAATTATACTGTTGCAGAGGACAACAGAAGAGTCGACGTGGAAAAGTTCTTCGCAGAAAGACCTCTGCAAATCCTGACCGGTAAAGCTGGCAAGGATTTCACCTTCAGCGAAGATGATACAACCATCGTCTCTCTCGACAAGGTTGGTCGACTTCGATTTTGGGACATTCAAAGATTGGTCGATGAAGATAATGCCAGATCTGTCCACATTACTCCATACATAATCACCCAGCCTACATTGTCATTGGCAATCTCATCTCCTGCTGAGAAGCCGTGGCCAACATCAGTCCTGTTTGTCGATAAGAATCGACCTTATACCAAGGGTGGTGCTCTGCGCTACGTTCTAGTTGGGTTGCGGCAGAACCATACCCTGCAGCTGTGGGACATTGCCCTTGGCAAAGCCGTGCAAGAGCTAAACCTGCCTCGAGAAAACGACACAGACGCTATCTGCAGTGTTTCGTACCACCCACCAACAGGCATGATTACGGTTGGCCACCCCACCAGAAATTCTATCTTCTTCATACATCTCTCCGCACCTAGATATACGCTCAGCTCGAACCTATCTCAAGCCACATTCATTTCACGTGTCGCGGCTAAAGACCCTGATATTCCCAAGCCAGAGTCAACTGCTTGCATGAGCGGTATCCGGGAGATTTCATTCGCGGGACGTGGTCAACTACGCAGCGTGGAACTTCTGCCAGTCCACAAGCAAGTCGAGAATGTGCAAAGTGAACCGAATGACGCATTATTTGAGCTCTATGTTGCTCATTCTACAGGCGTGACGTGCCTGGTCATCAACAAGGAGGATCTTGGCCTAGACACTGACAATAAGCCAGTTCGGGCAACGAAAGCCCAGGAAGCAGGGCTACTCACCTTGAAAGACTTGAAGCTTGGTAGTGTTATTGAGGACGATGTTGGCGTTAAGAGCCCAGCACCAGAACCTGCACAACCTGTCAAAGTCGAACCCAAGAAAAAGCCCAAGGCAAAGAAGAATAAAGATCTACTGGACGAACCCACGAACGGTCTGGGACAACCTTCTGCGCAAGCTTCTGAGGTCATCGAGCCAGTAGCACAAGAGCCAATTTCGACAGAAACTACTGCTGTGGAACAGCCTTCAACTAAGAAAGACAAGAAGGACAAGAAGCAGAAACAAGACAAGCACGCAGACACATCACGAAAGCCTGAGACTTCAAGCTCTGCGATCGAGGAACCTGCACTACCACGCCAAGGAGAATCTACCTTGCCGCAGTCAGAATCACTCTCCATGAGTATTTCGGGCGATTGGCTGGATAAGGAGATGAAAAAGCTCGAAAATGGTGTCAGCACTGAGTTCAAGAAGGAACTGGATCTACTTTACCAAAATATCAAGACAGACCGTGCTTCCCAGGACCAAGCTTCTGCTTCTCGGCAAGAGGCTGTGCTGCGCGTAGTGTCGAATACTCTGAACACGAATGTGGAAAAGACTTTGACTCATATTCTTCGCACCCAGATGGAGCAGGTCGTTGTGCCGTCTGTTGTCCAAACTTTGTCCACCAGTATCGGCCAACAAATTACCCAAACAGTCGCTCAACACGTTAAGAAAGAGCTCGGCTCCGAATTGCCGGTTCAGATTGATCGAACCTTACAGTCTCAGCAAATGTTGACACGAATAGCTGATAGCATTTCTACGAGGATCAATGGCCAACTCGAACGAGAGATCAATCAGGCTATCAGTGGCACTGTTTCATCAAGCATGAAGGCTATAGCAACCAGTACAGCAGCCGAAGCTGTTTCAGTTGCAGAGACACGTATGGCAGATCAGGTTGCACACATGTCCAGACAACATGCCGCGTTCAGCGAGAAGATTGAGCAGCTGAATGGTGCTCTTCAAACTGTCACAACTACTTTGCAGAGCATGATGCAGGCTCAGACCACTTTCCAGTCACAAGTACTTGACGATCTTCGACAGGCACGAGCCCAAGAGCAGCTTCGTCCTGCTTCGCCAATGAATGCATCTACTGTACTCTCCCCATCTTCGAGCGTAAAGGCGTTGCCAGCACGCACGAAGAACAAGGCTGATCTGGAGATTGAAGAGATAGCCTCTCTGTTGGAGCAGCGTAAGTATGAAGAGGGCTCGATCAAGTGGCTTCAATCAGCTCAACCAGCCAAAGTCTTTGACGACTTGTTTGTACGATACACGCCTGATTATCTTACCACAGATGTCACTCCCCTAGTCGCGTTCTCTATCGGCGTTACCGTTGCGAACAACTTGGCGACCAACACTCAACGACGTCTGGAATGGATCGAGGCTGCTTTCCATGCTGTCGACTTCAGAGTAAGTACTCATTCCATCAAGTTGTATTTTTCGTTCAATAGCGCTAACAAAACATTGCAGGATAGAGAAATACTCGAGCTTAGAGCTCATGCACCATCACTGATTACTACTGTTGTTCAGAAGCTAGAGAACACATATGTTCAGCGTGCACAGGTTGACCCCCACGACGAAGTGATCAGGATTATTCCACCGCTCCTCAAGACGGCCAGAACTCTCCTCGCAGCCTTTGAGGCTATTGAAAGTGGAAGTATGCCGGAACTGACCTATGTGACTGGAGACGCAAGAGCTGTGGTTATGTGAACCAGAAGGAACAATCTGATGAGCCGAGGATTCCGAAGAGAGTGGTAGGGATGCGATAGCGAGAAAAGAGGTGTTGAGCATACTAAGAGCCCTGGGGTTCTTCTCATGGACATGAAGGTGAGGATGAGCTACAGGTAATTGTTCGCTTCTTGGTGAAGAGCACTTGAAGCAACAACCAGTATCTGTGACCTCGAGACGATTTGTGCTTTACATGTCTCACTTGACCTCAATCAAGCAATTTCGTCGTCGCAGCAGCTGAATATTACCGTACCATGAACACATTCACAATCAAAATCATATTTCTGAATTGCCTTATATCAGCTTACACGCAACAAACTCAGCTGCCAGTTATAATCATCCTTGACGCAGAAGTTTCCACCGAGTCAGGTAAGCTCCTGCCTTCCCACTCAACTGTCTTTGTCTCCCTTCACTAGCACGTTACGACCTTCACAACTACCGCCCTCTCACTGCTTCCCCACACTTACTAATGCCACTCGTTCTCAATCACTAGTAACCCTCATCCGAGCTTCTGCTTTCCGACTTTCACTCTCAATCTCAATCGAATGTGGGTCAGGACCTCGATTTTCCTGCTTGTTTGAAAGCTTGGCACAGCACTTGAACGCGTCCAGGTCGCGCTTTCCGTTGATGGCTGGGAATCTTGATAGCTGAATTTGTTCTTCGAGTTTGTGTCTGCGAGGAGCACGGTTGACAGGTGTAGCGGGCTGTGCTGTTGTGCACCATGGCTCCATCTTCTGCGATCGTGGCTGCTGGCACTACCGATAGCAATCATCCTGAGTTAATACGTGGATCTGTGACCAGTAGAAGACAATACTGGAACTACGTTTCACATCCGATCAATTTCGCTCTCCAACGCGGCACATGGAAACACTCCACTTATGGCCATCAGAAGGTGGACCGATTTGTCCTCAAGATAAAGCACCTCGATCGAGATGAGATTGTGGAAGTGCCTAGATGGCAAGTGTCCAGTATTCGGCTCGCCTTCGAGCAGCATCGGGATATTGCTTCAACATGTGGAAATTCTTATCTGGAATGGTTCGCTCAACTAATACACTACGGAGTCCGCGTACCGAAAGTCCTCAAACCCGAGAGCCTCGAACTTGTGACAGAGCTGTGCAAGCATAACCTAGCAAGACGTCTCCGGAGGGATACGCTGCGAGTGCCAGATCAGCTGTTGCGACTGGAAAAAAGCCTACGAGATGCCGTCTTGCTGAAAGAGCTTGGAGAACCTGGCTTACCTCCTGGACAAGGAAGGACAATCGGACGTTGTGAAAACTCTACAGACGATGACGGAAACACCCAGTTGAGCATTACTCAATCGATCTTCGCTCCCACCAACGACGTGGCTCAGATGCTTCTTCAGCAGATGAAACGTCTCGACGTGAAGTTCGATGGGCTGGTCGAGGACGTTCGAAAGACAGATTCATCCAAACCTAGTCGAGTGAACAGTACGCCTGCTGCGGCCACTCTAAGTGAAAACCAGCGTCGATTTCAGAGGCTTATCAACGACGAACCGTCCGCGCCTTCGCCATTGCCGCTAATATGTCAGAGAGCATTAGATCTGCCTCCTTGGCGCAGACCCACAACGCTCGCCCACAGCATTCACGAAGAAGAGGAAAATGACCAGAGAACGATGGATGTAACACCGAAGTCTTCCAGACAGCAAGATATCTTCAGCTTGCGTGCCACTGCATCCCTTGAGCCTGAAGCGCTTCCCTTGAGGACTCGAATAAAGCCAAGAACTAAGCTTCGAAAGTTTAACACTACCGCCGTCACGCAAAGCACTCAGTCTCTTCTACCTACTCAAGCCACTAGCACAGCCAGCCACCAGATGAGTTCTGCTCCCCGAAATTCCGGGACCAACATGGGGGATGATTGTAGTCCGAACACTGCAGCTTAGGCAGCTGCAGAAGAAGACCTTTCCATTGATATGAGATGGCCAGCTTGGCAAGCTGATGGGCCCAGAACACAGTCGTCCTCTCCCACCAGGCAAGTCGTGCCGCTGCATACAATGAATGAGAACGCAAAGAGCAAGAAGACCAAAGAGACAAAGAAGAGAAAGGAAAGAGAGCATGAAATCGAAAGAGCAGAAAGCGGACCTCCCACACGTGTGGCAGAAGCGACATCGAATCACCCTACACGAGCTAACCCTACAAAGGTCTTCGAGCATGCAGCCGCGCAAGAGCTCAAAGACTCCTCTATCACCGATACATCTACCAAGGTCCGCAAAAAGCCTAATAAGCAGAAAGAGAGAGCGCCTGAGCACACACCAGACAAAACCACATATCCTCAAAGTGCCGTCGACTCTTATGTTGCACAGGACATTACGCATGACAGGATGCCTATCGTCAACTCGAATTCCACAAGCCGGCCACAGGTCAAGCACAGATCATCGAAGAAGCGGCGTCACGCGGCAATTGCTGACGACGATCTGGAAACTCCTACCACCAGCATCGACGACAGTCAAGCCTCAGATCGTGCTAGTGCCAACAAGAAACAGAAGAAGGGCAAACAGAAAGCAACTCCAAATAACGACGACATTCTGGACACCGGCGCGATGATCGAAACCGGCGACCTTCTGCACCAGGTCACCGCAAAACCTGCTTCCCAACTCAGTCACAAAGATATAGATATGGCTGATGCTGCTGCTCCTCCTCAAGCAAGCACTCCTCTACCAGCAGTAAGTTTGATGCCTACCACCCCGATTCGCAGTGCCCTGAAACCCCCCAACTCACCCTCGAAATCAAGTGGCAAGTCCGTTAGATTTGCAGATCACTTTAACCATTACCACGTGATTCCTGCTCGAGATGTCTTCGATGACACGACTCTTCGAGACGAACCCGAAGAAGCATCGAAGAAGAAGTATCGTACTTTCAGTGAGCTAACCCGTGAAGAACAGGAACTCGAGCTCGACGAGTGGGAAGCCGAAGCGCACGACCTTTGTTCATAAGGAGTCAGGGAAAGCAACAATACTTGCCGTCGGGGCTCACAGCTCGCCATCGACATTTCCGGGCAATAATGTTCAGTCGACGAACCCGCCGGAATCGGCACAACAAACATTCATTCCCCAAGCATCTTCGACTTCGTGCTTCAACAACCATGGCGAACCCTCAAGAGGCAGTAGTCAACGCACGAACTCAGAAATCGCCGCCTCTTCTGCTGCTCTGACTTCCACGAAACACGGTGCCTGTGTCGTCGATCCAGTGACCTTGGCGCAAACCTCCACGGTAATTCCTCGCAATGGAGATAGATCTGGTCTCAGAGCTGAAGCAACTTCCGATGGCACAGGTGTGAATATTCCTGCATGGGAACGAAGATATCTGGATAGGTGGCGAGGCAGAACCAACACAACAGGCGGACGACACGCATATTTGCAGATGTACGATGTTTACCAATACCGGCACGGCTGCTCAGGTCTGATGGACCTGAACTACGGACATGTACTCGATGATGGTCTGGCAGCTGTATCGACTGCGTGCTTGGAAAAGAACATATCGTCGAACGGAGCAGAATAGTCCGGACAAGCTTTAGGACTTAACATGAAAACCAACCTGGCTCGTAGGGAGATTTATAGTCCAGTCGATCCACGAAGCGTGCGACCAGTAACGCCTCCTCTAGCCGAATGGGGAAGCACAAAGGATAGGGCTATTGATTTATCAACTCCTGAACCTAAACGCCTCGTCCAAGCAGACATCAAGAAAGAGGAGGACTCTGACGAGGATAGTCCGGCTACGTTGATAACGCTGCCGCCTACGACCCCAGCTCTGTCTCGATCGGGTCCTGCTCCTAGGCCAGAGAACCAGCCAGCTCGAGATGCTATAGACAGATACATCGCACGTCGGAACGCAGGACTGATACGCTATCCTGTCGCTGAACCAACACCTCGACCAGAAGCCGCATTCGCCCAATTCAAGACCATCCAAGATACCGCAAAAGCTCAAGTTCTGGATCCACTCAACAATTTGGCTTCTCCAACAGCAGCGTCGAGTGTTAGTCAAGAGCCCTCCTTGGCCAGGGTACTTCGCGACGATGCTCGTGCTCTGGGCACTCATACCTCTCGAGGCATCCGAAACCCTACCAGAGACGCTTTGTGGCAAAAGATGGCGGCTCATGCAAGCGCGTATGCACCGAACGCGAGGCCGTTCAACACACTGTTCGATGCACCGCGCGCTCCAGCTGGAGTGAGAGATTTACTCAATACACGTATCACGAGAATTCAACCGGCAAGTTATTCACGTTCCAATAGTGCTTACAACTCTTCTGTTAGATCACTAAGGCCAGAGAGAGGTCGTTACAGTCAATAAGGATGACGTGGCTGCTAGTACGCACGCTGAAGTCGATGTCTCAGAGCTGGCTCCGGTGTGGTCACCTATCTAAGACAGCTAGCTCGTGTACCGAGGATTTCGCAGAAGTTCTGAAATTAGTTTCTTGTTATCATCTGCTCCTTACAACAGTTATCAGGAAGCTTGAGCAAAAGTCATCGTGGGCTTCGAATTCAAGACTTTTTGGATCGTTAATGCATTCTATCAAAAGTCGTGCTACTGCGCTTCGTTATACGCATATTGTCTGCGGGACAAAGATGGAAAATCCGCAGTGCTACGTATCAGAGTCTGCGTTCATAGTCACAGTCTGTAGTCAAGTTGTTTCATGCACATTTTTACTCAACTAGCAAAATGACAGGTAGTTTCAGGCAAGCAAATTGTTAAACTCCACCGTCATTCTCACATGTGTCTGTTGACAGTGCTAGTTGTGTCTACTCATCTTCCAGATACTTGTTCCTACTTCCCCAAAGTTCGCTCTCATCCCAATGTAGTGAACACAGGTTTCCGTGCCCGTGTAGCTCATCTAACAACGCGTCTCCTCGCGCTCGTCCACTCCTCAAACCATCTTACCAGACCACCAATATAGTGGTAATCACCGGGCGCGTGAGCTAAATCAAACGATCCGTGAAGTAAGGTTGACGTACTTGATCACAACCTTGGCCTGACCGCCGTGTCATACAGCTACCTTGCGTGGGGCGCACGAGCCAGGCCGAAACAATGGTGCTTCGTTGTGCGTCAGATTAAACCCAGCTGGCGCGCCTTTGCGCCCTCCCATCGGGGAGCGAGCGGGAATGAGAAAGTCGAACAAGAAAAATCCTTCGCGGGTTGTACTGTGCTATTTGGGGAGTAGTGTCTTTGTGGTTTGACAGAGGGAGAGTGTGGGAGTGTGAGATGCGAGTGCCCCTTAATTTCTTTTTGGCATTAGCATTATCTCGTTGTCTTTTCTTCACAGAAGCAAGTTTCTGATAGTAGGTTTGAGGTATTGGATAGGAACAAGCTGCTGGCTTCGAGATCGGGGTTTTGATTCATCGTCCACTGATCGTGTTAGAAGGGGAATCACCTGTGATGACAACATCTACCCAAGGACATTCCTCTGGGCATAAAGATGCACAACGTGGGTGTAAGGATCCTTAGGAAATATTCGACGTGCACTTAAGTCAGATCGTGACTGGAGCTCATTCGTCATGGCTGTGTGGAAAGCGCGATGTAAACGACGAATTCCGCTCGTCAAATAAGGAGGGTAACCACACAACGTTTTGCTGTTGTGCTCAACACCGGCGATTGATACTCTGCCAACATCGTTAGCATGGTCGAAATGTGTTTACCGCCGAATTGACTTCGCGTGTTGGACGGCTGGTCACGATGATAAGTTGGGAAATGTGAAAGGAGCAGAGATGACTCGATTGGCACTAGCTCGGTGATTGGGAACGAGCATTATCTGGCCTGTGCCAGCGAACATCAGTTCATTAGCAACGTGGATACAATACCAGCCCGAAGACAAATTGCTCCAGGCTAGTTGAAACCCTCCGATGATGCAAGCAAACCAGAACAACCAGGATATCGACGACCCTCGCGCAGCGTCTAGGCTTGTGAGACGATATGCTTTAGTTGGAATCTCTCTTTGACACGTTGACCTCTCTTTTCATGATTCCGCAGTCTGCCTTTCCCTCGGAGACGGTATCATGATGTTTAAGAGAAACAGCAAGCCACGAAGGCTTTGAGTAGTAACAGGATGCAGCATCTTGAAACCAACAACGTGTTTCAGATCTGCGGCATTGACAGCTTGGCTCCGCTTACTTATCTACCCATACTAGTGCTTGGACACAGCATCCTGAAGAGCTTGTATCAATCGCAAGCGCACGTTGGTGTGAATGCTTTCTTAGGAAAAGGTTAGTCATGTCCAAGAGCTGGGAGTTGGCTCCGGACCGTACCAGGTGATGACTGACTTGTCTTTAGGGCTGCTTGTAGTCATTCAAGCCTTTGTGATAATGTGGATGTACTTCGATGGCGATGCTTTACCCGTCCACGTCCATGCAATTCGCCGATACTGGCTCAGTTCCAGCATTTGGGTTACATCACACGCTTTCTTACAGATTTCTTCATCTTGGCATCCTCCACTCTCACCGACCTCGTCCTCGCACATGATTGTCCCAACAGCAATACCTACGACCTTGCGGAGACTTATAGGAACAGAAATATAGAGAAATCAGAAGAAGCTTCACGTTGGTAAGCAAATCCAGAAAGTTGTCTTTCTTAGGTATGGCCGGCTGACTGCTTTCCCAGGTTCTATTGTGGCGGTCTGGCATCCACCTTGTTCTTCACGCCGATAATCAGCTTCTGTCACATCCACAAGAAGATCCCCAATCCACGACTGACCAAGAACATCCGGCTCATCATTCGACTTTGTGTCGTCGTCATCCTGGCATGTATACCACTGGCACATCATCTCACATCTCTTTCTCTCATCGGCATTACAACCTCTCTCTTCCTCCTCGTGCTTATCCTTGACATCTTCGGCAACTCTTGTCCTGGCGATCAGTTCTTCACTGGTGGCTGGGGCAGCAGTCCTGACACGCGATGTAAGTACACCGCTAGACTAGAGATGAGAAAGCAGAGGAGGGCAGAGCTGCAGAAGAAGTTGACAGCAGGCGAGAAGATCAAGTTGGAAGATACATTGCACAGGTCAAGGTCAGGAAGTATGGGAAGCGAGACTACGATGGATGTAGATGAGGAGTGGCATGATGGGCATTGGTAAGCAGGAAGGTATCAAGTAGGAGGAACACTTGTTATCAAGCTGTAAGGCAACGCCAATTGCTTGCAGCAAAGGGACATGAAACTGTATTGCAACTTCAGCGTCCGTGAGACGTTATCCCGCCAAGCCCGCCACAGCCCATATGTGTACTACCTGGTGAGTTTAGATTTCTGAGAAGGGGATTGATTCCCAGGTATCAGGCAGTGCATTGCATTTAACCTATGCCAATCACCCTGCTTATACTGGTAGGACAGGCGCTGCAACATCATATCCTGCACTGCAGTTTTACTTTCTGCTGGTCCTTGTAATTGATTTGACGATATTCAGCCTCACCAGGCCTGCAATGAGACGTCTGTGCACTACAATTTTAGTGTCCGCCAGCTCCTCAAGCAGAATTGGTTTGGCTTTGCTATACTCGTCATAATAGATAGTTTCAAGTCCGCAAATGCGTTTCCTTGCTGGTAGACTTGGAGCTGGTAAATGACAGTCTACTGAGAACAATGCTAACTAGATTTGTGGTATGGACGAAGAATATTATATTTGCAATCTCCTGCACTTGTCTGTGAATTTTGAAAACAACACCGCCTGATGTAGGTCAGCAAGGTTCTTCGAGAGTCGCCCTGCCCAATAAAATTGCTCGGAAAACCAGTCTCTATGGGAATAACCTTGAGTGCCGATCCGACGATTGAGGTAGCCATCAATTCGGTCAGAGCTTTAATGTGCCACCAAGGCTCTATTAACGAACTGCTCACTTTCCTCTTTGCCCCTGTTCATTTTGGACCAGCCCAGATAGGTCAAGCTAAGTCTTGATGTCTTTGTTGTTTGGTAGTTCAGATTGCCTGCCATGTTGATAGCAGCACTGGCCGAGACTATGTAGCATGAGCTTCGTGGTTCGACCGGAAACGAGGTCACGTGTACGCTGTCAACAGCGAATCAGACATAAGTGGTACGCGCAACCAACGCTGAGCCAGCCTGGCCATTTTCATCACTGCAACCTCGAGAGCTGTATCCGGTCTGCGCCATTATTCTCCCCAGTCAATGGGTGTCTAGTGAGCCTTGGCGCGGAACGATATCGCGTTGTGTCCGCTCAAAAAGATCTGGACCGTCAGATCTACAAGCGATGTTGCAAAGCTTCTGTGATAGACTGTAATCGTTGTTTGCTAGTCTGCTGATGAAAAGAATACTCTTTTTAGATCCTACCAGGGAAGTAAGAAATGACTAAACCAAAAAGGTTGAGTTAGTGACAACTAACAAGTCAAATAGTGTAAATAAATGAAAAACAAAAGTAGTCTGAGCCATACCGTGAACTTTGACATTGCCCGGAACGTCCAAAATAGTGTAGTACTTATCCCACTGTTTCCGCTCTTCGGAAGGAACGATCCACACCAATCAATCTTCCACAATTGAAGTACTGTCCAGCCATCTGTCCGGCCAACGAGATTGATCAAATGATGCTGATGGCTGAGATCGCCTTCAACCTTTTGTAATGTACCTGGCATTCTACATTGAGTGCCGGATGAGTTACGACAATTCTCTGGGTATAGCACCATCTGCCCTTAGCTCGGGAGTCACTGTCAACGCATGAAACTCGTCACTTAAGAGGCATAGCTGTATTCAAACCGCCCCGCCATGGGGGAAGTCCGTCGTTACGCATACCAAGCTCAGTCGGTCGAATCGAGGAGATTCTAGAAGCTAGATTCCACACATGAATGTACTTCTTGGAATCAGTGTGTGCCATCCTCCGAACAACGGCTCACCATCCGCACTTAGTGGAGCTGGTCATGCAAAGTAGTGTACAACAAAGCGAGTATACCCTTGAGTATGGCGGCATACTTTTAGGTTCGACTAACACTTCACTGTCCCTACGCGGTAGTGGCAGTTGCGATGAATGCTGTCAAGATATGTTCGCTCTCCACTGATATCGCCTGGAAAACACAATAGCACCCACTCGACGATCCCTCCCAGTGTTCGCATTCAGCAACAAGGTATATACAAAGACCTTATCCTTCCAGTGGTAGAGTTTCTACTTGATCAGCCTAGGATCACAATGTCAAACCCTAATCCCGGATTTGGGTTGGAGTCGTGGTGTTTGTACGGGTTTGGCGCTGCTTGTGTTGTGCTACGATTGTAAGGAAGATCGGAAGGCTTACTGGTACTCTTCTGACTAGCGATCAGCTTCTCACGCATCAGAAGAGCTGGCATACAGCACATCCAGCTTGATGACTACTTCGTCTCCTTCGGCCTTGTGTCTTACACTCTACTATGCGTCGCCTTCAACGAAATACTGAAAGGGGTGGGGTCGAACCTCATGACAGATGAAGAGGTAGCGCAACTCACACCAGCAACCACGTCCCAGCGAGTCAGAGCAAGCAGATGGGTCTTCGCCTCTGAACATGCCATGCTGCTGACAATTTGGAGCATGAAAGCTGCCATGCTTGTGCTGTACGCCAGACTCACGGATGGTGTCATGCAACGTAAGGTTCTCAACGGAGTTATTGTTTGGGTTGTCCTGAGCTTTGTAGGAGACGAAGTAGCTCTTTGCACCATTTGCCGACCTATCTCACAATACTGGGCCGTGCCCGTGAACAATCCGCAATGCGCATCATATCAGTACTACCAGATCGTCAACGCTGTGTTCAACATCAGCACGGATATCATGCTTCTGGCTGTTGGGTTGCCACCCATGCTCAGAGCCAGATTATCACTACAGCAAAAGCTAATCCTCGTGGTAGTATTCGGGATGGGCTCATTCGTCGTCGTTGCCGCGATCCTGCGAGCCATTTACTGCTTGGTGCCGAGTTTGGTCTCGTACATCTACATGAATTGGTACTTCCGGGAAGCCTCGGTGGCAGTCTACGTGACCAACGTGCCAGCAGTATGGGTGCTGCTACGAGACATTTTCCCTGGCCTACAGCGACTTGGCCGCAGCACGAGGGAGACTACAAGTGGAAACAAAGGGCCTAGCCATGGGGTCGCGTGCGTTACTCCATACCCAACAGATGCGAATCTAGGCCGGAACGCCACTTGGATGAGAACAGCCGGACGAGGATGTGACGGCCGAGACCTGTACATCATAGACATGGATGTATGTCCGATCAACGAGGCGGAGGTCACGACTAGCAGTTCCAGACTCAATGATGGACATAGAGGACAGGAGTCACAGAAAAATGCCTCAGTGTCCTCTCAAGGCGGTCTGCTTGGGATCAGACGGGACATGACCTTTCCTGTCTCGCATATTGGTGTGAAGCAGAACGTTTGATAGTAAGATACCGTTCCAGAAAGATCTGTTGCCCGTGCTATACAGTTCACAATACACTTTAAGTTGTCTCGAGAAGGCACATCCTGGACATTGGACCGTTGACTCGGGCTCTTAGAACCTTTCGTTTGTGTCTTACTGAAGTGCCTTGCACAAACGACCAACGATGTAGCAGCAGATGTTATGTACACGAAAATATCAGTCATTGACAGCTGAAGTCTCCAGCACAGGGCACAGCCTTGAGGCTGTCAATCGTTGGGTAGAAATGTTGATCTCAACCTGTCCAAGGACATACAAGATCTCAATTGGCTCTTCTTGTTCGTTGTCAAGAAAAGCTTTGCAGGCATCGCATTTAGAACACCATATGACATTTTTCAACGCCTTCGATAGTCGCAGCGAGTGCCAGTAGCCAAAGTGAAGTACCCTACCAGAGTAGAGTACCTGAGATAGCTTACCGTACATAAGTGCAGAGCCCTACGTCGGAGTTTGGCAATTTCTTCTAGCGAGAACAACTCTGACTTGCTTTTCGGCACGCTGCTTGGCACCATTACCATGAGCGGACTCTTGTGCACCTTTCAACCCTCTTCAAGTTGAGACACATGACCTACTACTTTCTTTCTGCACCTGCAGGATAGCCAATACTGACAAGGCACAACACAATGAATAAGGTGGTGCGACAAAGACAAATCGATGAGGAAGTAAGGTAAGTCAGACCAAGGCCTGGCGAGAACGAGTTGACGAGACTGCCAAAAGAGAGTAGTACAGTATGAGGACTAAGGAATAAAACACGCTTCTTCAAAACTCTTTTCAGATGATTCGAGGTCACCGCTCGTCATGGGAACATCCTGCAAGAGTTGTGGTTGTGAAGGAGTGAAAGGCGGAAGGACATTGTGGATCATCAGTGCATCGACAAACCATCGCAGTGCCGCTATTAAGGATATCATTAGACTGGGTCGGATTGTCGGTCTGGCTGTCTGAAAGGCACATTCTACGTTCACCTCCGCATTCACACATTGGTCGTCAAATGGACCAATCACGAACTACTTACTCATACGTAGCTTGAAAGGCCGAATAAATTGGTTCAGCTGAACCCTTGATATAAGGATTAGATTGAATGGCGTATCTAGACCTTGATTGGCACAGTGAAGGTCGGGTGTAGGGATCGCGACAATGGACTACCTTGGATATTACGGCTAGGAGTCCGAATACCCTGATGGCTTGTGATCATGCCTGGGGCAACAACGCCAAGAATGCGTTCGCGGTTGAAGAATGCTGTCGCCTATTTTCAGACTCGATCTGCGGACTAGGTGGATGTTTCTTCCTTAATACGTTCTACGAGAAGCTCGTAAACTGTGGTCGTTGCAGTGAGAGCCGACAAGCCCGGAGGTCGTACGTATGAGCGACGCTAAGCAGAGCATGCTGCAGAATTATCCTTTGCCAAAAAGGACGCGTCTCGATGTCAAACAGTCCAAGAATGGCTGCTACACGTGCAAGTCCGTTCAGCAAAGAGACGGCCGTCACAGGTACTGACTTCCAACCAGGCATAGACGCGTCAAATGCGATGAGACGCATCCAACATGTTCGCGTTGTAGGGCTGCGCGCAAACAATGTCTTGGCTACTCAGAATGTGAGCCTGGTCGTGATTCCCAGGCGTCATGTAATAGACAGGGCTTCGTAACACTCGCCTCAATTTACAGACCTGTACGCCGCGTTCCTGCAGGTTTCTCAAGCAACAGTCTGTTACGAGGATCAAAACTTGAGCAAATTTGCTTTAGAATGGTTTTCAGTACTCTGCTTCGAGAACCCAACCATGACTTACGATGGCTACGAATGGTGATTCCTGCTGCAACTGTCAACTTGGCAGTGTCAACATCATTGATCTGCCTGGGGTCAGTGTTTGAATATTTCTCTAAGCCGATCGGTTCTCGCAATCCGTCTACGAGCATTAGCTTCTACCAGAAAGCAATCAGTGCCCTTCAGAATGAGATCAATGAGCTGGAGTATGGCTTATTGCCAGCATTCATGGCCAGTATCGTTCTCGCAGCAAGTGAAGCCCTCTTCCGGCGCATGCCTGCTGCATTGATCCATCTCCAAGGTGCTTTTCGAATCCTTGGACTTGCGAGCGAAGTTTCGAAGCATTCACTCAACACGAAGTGTATTGAGGGGAACGAGGACATCAATGACATAGCTTTGAACATGGACATGCATACAGCATGGTATCGACTTTCTCAACCACCGGACTTACCGCTGAACTTCGGCCTTAGCGGAAACTTGACAGAGAGAAGAGATATCATAAACGAGCGACGCCTCTTTGCCTCTCTTCTGCATGATTGCTATCATTTCGCATGCAAAGCTGCGACATTCAAGTATCGGCCCTTCACATCGATACCATCTTCAATTCTTGCTGAGCAACAGACGCTCGTCGCGTCACTGGATCGGTGCTTAGCTCTTCTCAACATTGATAGCACCGCTGATAATGAGGCGCACAAAGCTGAAAGTCTAATCCAGAAATGTCAATGCCTGAGTACTTTTATCTACCTGAGCACGATTCTGCAGCCATACGAGAAGGCCTATGATGCTTTCGAAATTAAGTTCTGCCAGATCATCGAGACTGCACAGTTCATCATCGACAATTACTACCAGAATCACTCCTCGCTGCCGTTCTTTCGTTTTCGACCAGGGATTTTCCAACCTCTGTATTTCACAGCCATGAAGTATCGCAATTCCTATCAACGGCGACGAGCGGTAGAGCTGATCAGGCGAATCGGGTTCGAGGGTCCCTGGAATGCACAGCTCATGGCAGCGATAGCAACCCGAGCCATCAATATTGAGGAGGCATCGAATGTTCCGGATGTGCCAAATCTGTCTGTCCACCAAATCTCAGAGTGCACACGAGTACATGGCAGTGGTCATGTGTCACCAGCTGTCGAAAACATTCAGTCTTCTATTTTCGCCGAAGCTGAGTTCAGTATCTGCACTGATGTCAAGGGCATGATAGCTGCTGCAGACGAACTGGAACAACGTCAATTTTGGAACATCTGGACAGAGCAAGTGCAAATACCTGATTACGTGTGATTGAGCCTTGAGACTTGCAGCGCCAACTATGTATACGTTCCGCCTTGATGCGGCATGCTCACGGACCGCCTCCTAGTTCGTCGACGAGCTTGTACCACTTGTCTGTAATTTCGTGTTTCTGTGTTTCAGACGCTGCCGCAAACTCATACTCGCCCTGCAGCATACGTTGCGTCTTGATAGCCTTCATTCCATCAGACTTCAGAGCACGACTGATCGCAACGTCGATACCTCTCAGAGGATGGCCCACAATTCCGTTGGCAGCTGTAACAGATTAGCTGGTGCTTGGAAGTGGGGCCTTAACATACCTGCAAAAAATTTGATCGGAAAACCAAGCAAGCCCTTGGCAGTGCCTTTTGCCAATCCCAGGAGGCCGCCATTAATCAGTCCTGTCACTGGCTGCACGAAGAGACCGGCGGTCCCATCGTACACTCCAAGCACTAGCTCTTTACAGCCATTTGATATTCCAGACCTGACACCCGTCGTTGAGGTTGTGGGTCTGACGGTGGTGTCACCCCACAGTCGTGGCATGTCGTGAGACCCTTGTGCCATCGCAGATGTGAAAGCGCCCGGTGCTCGTATTGCAGCTTTACTGATCCTCAGGATGCCTGTCAGCATATACCCACCGATGTGTTTGTGAGTCGCCATCTCTGCTTTGGTGGCCGTGTGCTGCTTAGTAGTTGTAGCGGCTGGGTTTTGACCGATTTTTGCCTCTTTCAAGCGCGCCAATGACCTCTTGGTCGCCCGATGCGCAACAATTGGGACATGAGCCACTTCAGCAATCATCTCACCCATGCCACGAAAACCGTCCACAATCAGATCCGTGACAGCCCATGCAGCACCCGAGAGCGGATCGTATGGTCCGTGCACGATGTCATAGTTCACGGATCGATGTAACTCCAATTTGTCCCAGTCGATTAACCTTTCTTTTCGCAGGACAGTGGCTGCAAGTGGACTCAGAAGCGTTGTGGTCGAGATCAAGCGCCAGCAAGCAGCTCGATCAGTCAGGGCACAACAGAGAGATTTGTTTGGTAGACATGCATGAAAGTTTTCGACAGCGCCTAATTCGCCGTCTTCGGATTGTGTCCTTGCGCCGAGTGTCTTTGCACAGGCGACAACATCTTGGCTTAGCGCCGACAGGATCGCTTGTGACAAAGAAACTGCCGTCAAAGTCTTGTACGGTATCGGCTGTGGCCCAGCTCCCGCTCGAGATATAGCATCTCCCCAGAAGAATTGATCACCGAAAAATGGTACAGTTACAGTCGGAACACCAGCTCGGAGCCCTGCCGCAGTGGTTCCCGCGCCTCCATGATGGACAACGCACGCCACTTGAGCGAACAGCCATTCGTGAGGGCAGTCGTCTCGCAAAACGAACAGGTCTTCCGACTCTTGAATGTCACCTTCAAGGCCGCTCCACCCCAAGGCTAGGACCATTCGTGTCTGCAAAATACTTCTTGTTTTGCGTACGAGGACCAAGAATTCCTCCGGGTTTCCAAGCACGATTGATCCGAAACCAACAAAGATCGGTCGTGAACCCTTCGCAAGGAAGTCGACAAGTGCAGAAGAAGGTGCGTAATTGTTCAAGGCGTCTAAGGAAGTATAGCCTGTCACTGCAAGGTTTTCGGCCCAGTCCTTTGGCTTTGGGAGGAGAGATGGTGACCTAGCCGAAGTGTCAGCGTCTTCGAATCGATAAAACGAAATCGACGGACCAGCAGTATGAGTGTGGCACATTCATTGTGTGCAGAATCATGGGTCCTTTGGTCGGATGTATGGGATCAAGGGCGAGATATTTGAATCTGAAACGATTGATGATGCTGCCCAAGCCTTGCCATATCATTCCTTCCACGAGAAGGTACGATAGCAAATTGCTCTGCTTCACCTCGTTGTCATTTGACCTAACGTTCGCTAAAGGATGGGCAACCTCTTTGGTCGGAGACCACGGCATTCTGGCACCTGTCAGCACGGCGCAAAAGTTGAGCTGTATGACTCACGTGAAGAAGATATGCAAAGGCACACCCAAAGCCTCAGCACAGTGAATATGACCAAGTGCAGGCGGATTCGCGATGATTGCATCTGCCACAAAAGGCCGTTGGACTTTCGGGGATACATCCTTTCGCCTGTCGTTTGAGCCTATATTCATATGCTTGTGCAATACGATCTGGTCGGATCGAAAGCAAGCATGCCAACAGTTGTATATGATCCCTTGCATTGTCTTGCGACGCGCACCAACTTCTCCTGTATGCAAAGCAACGAAGCCTGGCATGAGTCCCGGGTTCTCCACCATGTACGACATTAGCGTTCTTGGATCTCCTCCAAGGTCGAAGAACTCGATGCCATACTCTTCAACGAATGGCTGGAATAGAGAATGAGTTGCAAGGCGAATCCGATGGCCGAATCGTTGCAGAGCCAGTGCTAGAGCGATAAATGGCTGGATATCGCCTCTGGAGCCTACCGCAAGCATGAGAATGGCCATCTTTGGCGGCCTGGTACAGTCTGGTGATGTGGTGGGTTTTGCATTATTAGCTTGTCCCGCCTCTTTGATCATATTGGGTGCAAGCCCTAGGTGATCCAAGATGTCATCTCCGTCACTCTTGACTGCGAAATGAATCCTTCCGTCGCTTTCAATGGACTCGACACTGGAGTCTGTATCGAAGTTAGCATCAATGTGGAAGTATAGGTCTGACGCACCTATCTGGCTATGCAGTGTTTTACTTGCAACATAGCTCGGTACTGCTGCTTCTCCACCATCGTCGGACTCGTTTCTGTGATGTTCGCGAAAGCTGGTGTCCTTCGTCATGCTGGGTGAGGTGATGGGAACGGGCTACAATGGCTCGGCAACTTTGTAAAAACCTGCCTAGAAGACTTCTTGGCGGTTCAGCATCTAAATGGCAAGTACTACACTGTTGAAAATATGATGCAGTAGAGCAGACTTCTTATTCTCATCAATGACATTGATGCCACAACTGCGCCCCGGACCTATACGACTCCTTCGGAATGCCTTTCGCAATGCAACAGTAGTCAAGTCTCAGACGATCATGACACCTCTTCATGGGTTGTAGACCGAATCGGAGGTGATTGGCCACTCTTTTCTAAGCTCTAAACTCAAAGACCGACAGTATTTTGATTGGCCGATGAACGCTAGCACGATGCCAATTCGGGACGAACATTGTACAACGATGCTGGCGCGACGTTCGAGGACAAGGCCATGTTCGCGAGCCAGTGTTCGGTCTCCGTTGTCCATCGGGTGAGGGTGTCGCCTCTGTTCGAAAAGCTCCAGCATTTGTTTGAGAGACTTAAGCCTCATACAATCTCAACCATTTCTGATGTTCTTCCAAGCTTGCCCTTGACCACTAGCAGCATCAGCAAACATGGCATTGTCAGCATCCGGACCGTTTCCTGCTATCTCTGGTCTATTCACACCTATCTTCCAACAGCCTGATATTCCTACCATCGCCACCGAGCTATGTGGATTTTTCTTGCAACACAAATGGTTAGTGGAAATCCGCATCCGCCATATTCTTTTCGTTGGCTATAGGATGCTAATGTCAATGTGCTAGGGACATTGAGATTTCGCATTTGACAAGCGGCTACTGGTACAACTCGGCGCTGCAGGGCCAAGTCCGAGTGGACGAGACTTATCACAATGCATATGGCTCTTCCTTGTTCGACTACACCAATATCAGTACTACTGGTGCTATCAACAATCGCATGTTTACTGTTAATCCCAGTGCAGGAAGTCCCCCTGTCTACTTCGAAGCATACATCGACAGTCCAGGTTTTCCTTTAATTACCAGCAATTTCCTGCAATCGGCGAATGCGACATTCGGTGGAATTGTTAATAAACCATTCCTAGGTCACGTACAGACTGTATGTCGAGCTGCTGTGGAAGCTGCTGATATACTGATTAACTCATAGTGGAATCTGCTCTTGGCGGACACCATCTCAGTCATCGTGTATTTGGACAATGGTTCCATCCCAATCATGCAAGGCTATGACTTCTGGGGTACAGACAGACGGACCAAAGTTGTCACAAGATTTTGGGCACATGAGTCTGCGAATATATCGTCCGAGGTGTTTGTCGACTTTCCTCCGCTTATCAAGAACTCAGAGCCTTCTATGACTTCGATGCGGTCTCGTTGCTGACGTCTAAGAGTAACAGACCAAGAATGAATGTGACTAGCCTGATTCGACGGGTTCTTCGCCCCTGAGGTTTAGCGATTAAAGTAGGAGTGTTGGAATGACAGGTCAACCTTCTCTTGCACCACAAGTTAGATACAAGGGCATTTATCGCTAATAGTGGTCTTGGTCAATTCGATATTACAGCTCTTGCTCTGGTCTGGTAATTGCATGTTTTCAACCTCACGAAGTAAACGTGTAAACTTAGATCGTAACCAGGTGCGATAGTCAACAAGACCATTTTGACATCAGCATTATGCAGGCTGATCGTTCATCGATCGGATCTGACTCGTCAGTCCCAACTCTACTTACTGTCAAGTCATCCGGGCGTCCAGGACTGCTCGATTTCGCGAACGGACGTGTTGGACTTGGTGTTTCAAATAGCGAATCCGGTGAGCCTCTGAGTCGTGATTAAGTCATTCAAAACTCTACGCAGCCATATCCATGTAAGGATGGGAAGTTTGTTTCTTTTTTGGGATTTAATGATGTGCTGAGCGTTTCTGTTGATGGGTCTGACTAGATTGCAGGTGATGGAATCTGACACTGTAGGCAGGTGGCTTTATTCTACAAACTCCTGCCAAGCGCTGAGCAACAACGAGGCCCAAAGAGCGCCTGTAGGACCAGGCGGGCGCACTCGCTACAGAACAATTTCGCTGTATATATACTTAATCTGAGAAATACACGAAAAGACGGCCAGCTGCTAATCACGTCCAGTCAGATCCTTTATCGCGTTCTCATACGACTCTTCCATATTCAACAAGGCTACTTGGTGCCGCAAGTCCTGAATCTCGATACCTTTTGCATGTTCAAGTCTGGTGCGCTCTTTTTCCTGCATAAAGGCCCTTTTCGATCCTTCTTTCCTTTCCTTACCCTCGCTTTTTGGATCACACAGATATTGGGTTGCAACGATGTGCTCTGATCAAAGTTTGATGTTGTCATCAATGCTGAGCCATTCACGGACGCTGTTGACCATCTCAAATCTTATCTGAGTCTATCAGGTAAGCCTACAATCTTACTGATTATCAGCTTCCACTGGAGTACTTTCTCGACAAATTTAACGGCATGACGATAGCGATCGTCAGCGTAAACGCACAAAGGTTTAGAAAATAGGTCCACTGTATATTTAACTTTTACTGGTGTCGCCCATCTTCGGGAATGTACAGGATCTTGGATCCAACCCTTTTGGCACAATACCCCTGACTTGCAGGACCTCGTAGTTTATCTGTCAGACACACAAGATGTGTGTCTGACTCAACTACATCTCGAATTATAGACTAGGGTCCGCGAAGAAGAAAGATCAACATAGGTAAAGGTATTACGCTGGACGGGTCCAGATTTCTATGTACAACGATTTACTGTGCTAATTTCGTGATGTCTCCAGCGCCCGATATGTGAGTGCAGTCCATTCGCCCTTGCAGTGAAATGTACAAAAGCAATGCAGGTATGGAAGGAGGATTTTGGTTTACTGCATCAGAGTCTATGTGCTTGTGTGGATATCCCTGTCGCTGTTCGTCGATTGTCTCCGAGATCCTTCAGGCCACATATATTCACCAATCCGTATGACACGTAACCAATCTCAGGGCCTTTGTACGTCGAAGACGCGAAAAGAAACAGCGGACAGACCGGCTTAAGATTGGAAGCCCTAGGTAGTTCAGTAGTCCGAATAGGCCTTGAGGGTACACGATGTGCCTAGTCACGGATCAGTGCAATGCCGCAAGTTGATAGAATTGGTTGTTCCAAGAGCCGTGCCTGCATGTCGACTCTGGCCGCCTCGGTAATATTTTAATATCCCCATAAGGACGTGTGTGTATACTTGATCGTGATCATGTATTCATGGCACATCACTTCCTCCTATTTTCATGGATCTTCTCATGACGATTACGGTCATCCTTGCGGGTGAACCCTGTTCCACACTTCGAGCATTCGTGTGGCTTTTGCCCTGTGTGCGTGAGTTCGTGAGCTTTTAGGTTTTCATTTCGAGTATAAACCCTGTCGCATTTGCTGCACTCAAATTTTGTTTTATTTTTGAGGACTGGTTTGACTGTATCGAATAACGAAGCTTTCATTTCTATGTTGGGATGAAAGATTTGGCAGTGAATTTCCAGATCTCTTTTCGAGGTGAAGCCAAAGTCTCCAGCTTCACAGTCAACCTCACTGCATACGAATGGTCGGCTGTGTCGACTGTCATGTAAGTCGCGTGACCGTTTGTCGACGAATCCTTCGTGGAAATAAAAGCAAGTGGTTCTTGAACATTTGTAGATGCGGCTGCCGTAGAACGTGACCAGCTCGTCCTTGATGTCTTGTGGCAGATGCTTGTTGCTAAAGATATTCTCTAGGCAAGCTCGCATTCGCTGGCTGCCTATTCGAAGCTTTTCAGGAATGATGAGATTGCGGGACTGTAGGTCTTTGAAGCGTTGCATTTCTGAATGTGCCCAAATTAGTCGAAAAGCGTCCGAAGTATTGTCAACTCCTCCGAACTCGGCGATTGAACGCAAAAGCGTCGGTTGTATTTGAGCAGCGACCTCGTTCTCTGCCATTCTGCTCAAACTGTGTTCAAGATCGGCATCGTACTTTTCTGCGAAATAGCTGACAGCCTCACAAAGCTCCTGCATGACAACCTCGCGATCACCCGATGTGCTAGGCTCCAGCAGTGTCTCAGCCAGCCCACAAACCTGTCGGAAATGATAGGTCCATTTTGCTATAGCATAGTCGGCAAATGCAAAGTACCCGTTACGAACGAATCCATGCAGTTCGTCGTCCGCTGTACTCTCACTGAAGCAATGAAAGCACAAGTAATGTATGCACACAATGGCCAAACTGCACTCGGCTACAGGTGCATCGATATACTTTGATTTCGATATGAAGTGCTTGGCTGTGCTGTGGACCAGACTCACGCGGTCGCCAACCACCGAGACGAGAGCGCCGCACAATTCGTGAATATGTCGATGAGATTGATAGAGATTGAAATTGACTTCCTCCTTCTCAAAGTCGATAGATATGGCTCCTTGCAATTCGTGCCACTTCAATGGTCGTGCAGCGCAGGCGATCCAGCTGAGGAGTTTCCAAGTGATTGGCCATTCACGTTCTGGGTGGATATTGTTTCGTATACGTTCAATGATGCGTTCATACCTGTATCGGATCAGGTTAGTGGAGAGTAACCAATCGCATCGGAATGCCCGGTCTGTGTTGTGCATGTTGCACTGCAAGGAACAAGAAGAAGTCGTATCGAGCTTCGGTAGACAATACAGAGAGGCCAACAGAGATCTGCTACTTACACTTCGGATAATTCCTTCGGAAAAATACCCTCTCGAAGCTCGATGTCCAATGCGTGACTCGTAAGTTGACCATAAAGGTTGTCCATAACTAATTTTGCATACAAAAATTGCTCTGAGACCTTAGTAGAGCTTATATAAGCAGGAACGACTACTTACCCTTCGCCAACAGACAGGTTCGTTCTGTGATATATCGTTCCTGTGCCTCAGTGAGCTGGAACTTGTGTTAAATCTTCTCCGACCAGTGAGCAACGAAGTATCTGATGTCGTCTCTATTGTGCTCAACAGTAAGTCGCAGCTCTTCAGCATCGACCAGTGCCCGACCTATGTCGCCTACGTGCTGACTGACGATCAGCAGCCGTACCTTCCCTGCTTCTCTGTCATCGATTTCCTTGACCAAAGAGCTTAAAGATGACAAGATAGTCTTTCGTTGACTCAACGCACATTCGTCCAAACCATCAACGATGAGATACTTACGACCAGGTGTGTAGCAGAATGTTTTCAGTAAAGTGGTTGCAGATTTCTCTTTGGTCAGCACAGCCTCACGACTTTTCTGTCGCTGCTCATCGAAATAAGGCAACAAGCTTGTGCTATCGCGAACAATACGATGCAGCAGGCCACTCAACACACCGATTGGGGTGCATGTTTGCGAGTCATCGTGTCTGCAATAATGATAGGCAGTCTCGGCGCCTTTCAACATCTGACAAGCATCCACGATGATTGAGGTGAGTATCGTCTTCCCTAATTTTGTCAGTCTTATATCGTTATAGTCTCTTACGCCATACCGGCCCCAGGAATTCCATACATCCAGAGCACTGGTCTGCGTATTCCCTCCCCTTCCAGCCAAGTTGTGACCTTTTCATGTTTCAATATCCACTTCCCTGTGTCACAGTACATTTCATGCACGCCATGTGCGCTCTGCTGGTAATCGGTTGAGCCAGTTCCAGCTAACCAATTGACCAATGCACTATACTGCTCTTGCCTACGGACCACCTTTTGCTTTTCTAGGACGTCGATAGCGTTGGCCGAATTCTGCTTCAGGTCTTCTAATTGCTGCAGAACGAGCTTGCTGTCGAGGTTCCTATCACTACATGCATTTTGATCACGTGTATCAGTCGAGTAGTGATTGCCGAAGAGTGCATGAGCGTTGTCATTCACGTTTTTCCGTTCGTAGTTGTTGCCCGCCACGTAGGTCCCAATGTTCAAGAAGATTGGTGCAGCACAATCGGGCATGCTGGCAGGGTGTAACACTACTGCCACACCATCGAATAAAGCCTTTAGTCCTGTGACGTTTTTTATGTGCTGAGTTAATTGTGGTTCGACGTCAATCCACAAAGCATGAAAAGCCTGCCTCCAAACTTGACGAGCGGATCAGTTAGATCAGTCAGGAGTCAACATATTGTAAGGAAACTTACTAGGTTCAGGTCTGAAACACTGACAGATGCAGAAATGAAAGGCAACTAACTCTTCTTGCATCAGTCTCATGCATTTGTGCATAAAGGGTTGGTTTTTGATGGACGATTCATATTGCTGAAGTGTTGGGGCGTTGTTTCCCAACTTTTTGTATACGTCGAGCAGATTGTCGAACGCAGAAGGGTATGCACTAGCAATCTCAAGTGCGAATTTCATGCATCCGTAGATGTAGTCCAACTGTTTCGTGGGAAGTCCCAACTCGTTCAGCGATGTCTCCAAATGGGCTGTGGCTCCCATGAGTGTGCTGAGTCTGGTCAAGTCTCTCAGCTCTCTGTGTGCGTCCTGTCGAAGTTGTATGACGTGAACAGCACGCCATATTTCTTGCAGCGAACAAGGCTGGATATTGATATCTCTTTCAGACAGATCCTGATCAGGTGGGAGTCTAGTCATCGTAAACGCAGGCTTGAGGCATTAGGAGAGCATAGACGCTAGCGGTAGTTGAAGACGGCAGAATGAGTTTGATTTCTGAAGAATATGATGTCCACGACGTGTCGTGGTTGACCTGAACCTATGCAAAGGCTTGAGTCGACCGAAGTGGTCAGCATTATGACCGCAAGGCAGAATCCTGGGCTGATTGCGACGGTCTGACCAGGGGACCAGCAGGCTGAACTAAGACAGACTTGCGACCTCTCTCACCCGACAGAAAACCAGCTCCCTCTGGTATATGTAAGACTCGCGCGGAACGAATATACGGATAGTATATTGTATACCGAGACTGTTTGGTAGCTCTGTTGTCTCTCGCAGGCCTCACTTGTTCGCAGCCAATGTTCATGACATCACTAAAGAGAATCCCGGAGTGGGACAGTGCTGACTACGCCGACGCTCTTTCCTCGCCTTCGCAGGAACATGACGATACAGCCAGCGATTACTTGGGTCCAGCTCTCAGAAATATCGACTGGAACGATTATGATGATTGGGACGTTGTCTTGCAAGATGCCGATCCTTTGTGGTCGAATGATCGTGTGTCTGAGCAGGATGCAATACAGACCAGTGGCTTAGATCTGTATCTGAATAGTGATCATGTCCCAGCAACAGCTACAAATAATGGTGCGGCCAGTATCAAGACTTGGATGACAACTGTGTTGGAAGAGCAGTCTCAGCCTTCGACGACAGGTGGTGCTGACAATATCGTTGCTCAAGCGCCTAGAGTCCCTAGTGCTTTCAATCTGTGCTACGGCATGGTGAGCCTTTCCCATATTCTCGATCCATAGAGCTTCTGGTTTTTCGAGTGGTCTCTGTTACTCACTTCTGACATATTGAGATGAACAGATAAATCGTGTGACCATCCAATTAGTTGGCGATATGTCAGATATCTCCCGCATCCTCAGATCTGCCGACGTCGAACATGTCCGGTCATATTACCTGTTAGATATCAATCTCATTGACAACAAACTATATGTTACGTCACCAAACGGAGAGCCTATTGCTCAGGTCAACAAACACTTCGAGGATTCTCTCCTTGAGTCTGTGAAGTTTCAACGTATTAAGCTGCAAGCTCTTCTTCACAAAACGAGGGTCTTTGAGTAAGTCATGTCGCTGTGGGTGTTACGCTTATCCAGGAAGGCATTGTGCTGATAGCACCCTTTTCCCTGACGTTGAGATCCTGCCTGATCGTCCTGTCTTGACGTGGGCCATTTGATGTGGTAGCACGTCGAATTCTATCCTGCCGTCTTACCTTTGAAGCTAACACGTTCTCAACCAGGATCATCGGTCATGCCACCCGTTCTAAAGATGCGAACATGAACGTGAATATCAATGTTTACGGCTCAGTCACGAACAGCCAGTCATTGAGTCAGTTGTTGTCCGTTTCTAAGATCTGGCTGCAAAGACCTGACTGGTTTGACCCTCAATCTGACTACCAGAATCCGCATGTTTTGAAAATTCCCGTCGGCCTTTTCGAAAACGAGGCGCAGGTATCGACCAATGATGTTGCGAACCCCGAGGAGGCCTCTCTGCAGGAGTCCATAGCCGAAGTCTTTTCGCAGCTTACAAGAGACGCGAATCCAGGAAACATGACAGGTAACGAGAGACTCTCTACGAACCTTCTACCACATCAGGAGAAAGCATTGGACTTTATGATTCAGCGAGAGACTGGTCCGATACCTCCACAATATCAGCAATGGACTGAGGTTACAGGTCAAGACGGAAGCACATGGTATCAGCACAAGATTGCTGGTCTCAAGTCTCGGACCCTTCCAAAAGAGACTGGAGGAGGTGTCCTTGCCGATGATATGGGCATGGGGAAGACCCTATCACTACTTGCTCTGATCGTCAAGTCATCAGAGGAGGCATATTCCTGGTCCACTGATGATACAACTCGACTGGACAACGAGATATCCTCGGACAAGGTTCTCTCTCCTGCGACTCTGGTGGTCGTCCCAACACCGCTTTTACTGAATACTTGGCTCGCCGAGACTCGGCATCATTTGAGGATTTCTCTAAGAACAAGAATCTACCACGGAAATAGACAATCAATCAAGATACAGGACTTGACTGATTGCGATCTTGTGTTGACCACTTACCAAACATTAGTATCCGATACAAGGAAAGGTTCGAGCTTGTTGCAGGATGTCGCCTGGTATCGACTCGTACTTGATGAGGCACATATCATTCGCAACCAATCGACCTTCTTCCATAAGCGGGTGACTCAGCTTCAAGCAAGATATCGATGGTGCTTAACAGGAACCCCAATTCAGAATAGTCTAGATGACATTGGTGCACTATTTACCTTCCTGAGAATATACCCTTTTGATCGTCTGAGTACATTTCGAAAATGCGTTACTGAGCTTTGGCAATCTGGTGGCAGCAGAAAAGTTCAAGCAAAGCAAAACTTGGTACAATTGATTGATTCTCTCTGTTTGCGCCGACTGAAAGACCTGCTCAACCTCAACTATATCGAAGAGCAAATCCGGCACGTCGAGTTGTCAGAAGACGAGCGAATGCAGTACACCCACACAAAAGAAGACATGAAAAGAGCCATGCACAATAACGTTGATGATTATGACACCGACAATAGATTCGGCATGTTTCAGGCTCAGTTGCAACTGCGTCTACTGTGTAACCATGGCACTTTCCAGCATCGATTTCATTGGGCACGTGCAAGAACACTAGCTGACTGCGACTGTCTTATCATCCAGGAAGATGCGTCGGCCCTGGTCGGTAGAAACGGGGATGTGATGTGCTCGGCTTGCTTCACGACAATCCTGTCCTCAGATTTGGAATCAGCCTACCAGTTCCAGCGATCGTGCTCTCACGTTTTGTGTACAGATTGCCAGCTAGGCAATAGTGTAGACTGTCCTCTATGTGAAGCGGCGTCGTCCCACCAGAAGCACGATCACAAAGTCAAACGTGCTCGATTTGACACTACACATCAAGGTTACTTTCGAATAGATGGACATTCTTCAAAGCTGCTCGCTCTTGTGGACGATCTGCGAACACTGGGAGTCTCGGACAAAAGGTAGGGCATGTAATTTCATGGAACGTGTGCTTACTGATGCCATGTAGCATAATCTTCTCGCAATGGACAACGACGCTGAATCTTGTCGGACAATATCTCCAAGGACGCGATATTTCGTATGGACGCATCGATGGCACAGATGATTTCAAAGTTCGACAGGACACATTGGACAGGTTCAAGAGGGAAGACAACTTCAAAGTTTTGCTCATGACCACTGGGGTTGGTGCTTTTGGGTCAGTTCTCTCAATGGTGCTGCGTCCTTCTACTAACGCCAGGTCAGCTTGGATCTCATTGCAGCAAATCGCGTATTCCTTCTCGAGCCACAATGGAATCCCAGTGTCGAATTGCAAGCCATTGGCCGCACGATGAGAATTGGTCAGCAGAGAAAGGTGCTTGTGACACGGTATATCGTGCTTGATAGTGTAGAAACGGTGAGTACACGACGATTTCTTCGAGTGACTTCACTGATTTAGCACTCAGGACATGCAGGACATGCAGAAGCGCAAGCTTGGTATGGCAGGCATCGCTAGCAGTAGTGGTAGGCACGTTGACCTATGATGTGGGTCGATACATTCTCCTCCAATTCCTGTCATGCTGCACGCAGTAGCACATAGCATATTCATTTTGAACGGGACCATGAGAGCAAGAGGACACCATCATCTGAGCATCACTAAACTGTTCCTCTTAGCAGAGAATAGAGCGAAATCAAGGCACGAATGTGTAGAGTGGAGATAAAGCTCCGAAAGGTCAACTTCATGGAGCAAACACCTCACAGTGTAAAACTGCAGGCGTAAAAGCAGTAAAACCATCAACAGCAATAGATGACCTATCTACCATTGAAGACTGATATAGATAGCCCTAGACGTTAAAATTGCGGTGTACCTCCTCATTGCACCTCTAGTGGAAAGAGTTGATCTGCTTGCCCTGCAGCACAAGCTGGAAAAACTGTTCGCCATACATCTAGCGGCCATGTTGTGTTGCCCGAAGCCGAATCGTCTTCGAGAGGCCGGTAACAAAGCCGACAGTAGGAGGCAACGACTGACGGTAGCTCCCTAGCGCCCTCTTGCCGGGATGCTTCCGAGAGAATCATTGGTACTGTACTGTTTCTAGGACAAGGCTGTCGTTGCGCAGTAGATACATAGCATGTCTGGTCATCCAAGGTCTGAGTCGAAGCTGGGCATCAGCATGGTGGCTCGTGCCGCAGCTCGTGGGGATTCAATTGAGACGGCAGACGCTATAATTGCGGTGCAAGCGTTAAAAATGGCTGACCACTTTTAGCGTTCCCACTTGGAGGGATGATGTCAATAATACAGTACGGCAATCATCTCAGAATTCACGCTAACCATTCATGAACACTGAACCATGCCAATGCAGTTCGGGGGAGATTAAAAACCGAACATATCCTTCAAAGTAAGCAGGCGCAAGCAGCAATTTCGACAAGGATATAGTGGAAAAGTAAATTCCGACCACTGTCGCATATGAGCGACACGTTTCCACATAGGAGGGAAGTCGTCCTACTGTAGACTTGGCTGTTGACACGTCGAGGTCGCAGGAACTGATTCGCATTAACGAACAACGTGAGTAGTTAAATTGCAGGGGTTCGCGTATTTTGCGTTTGTCTCAGTAGTAGCCCGCTGGCAGAGTCGGAAAGCGGCCATCTCGTTAGTCCTTTGTCGATCCGTAACAGAAAGAGGTCCCACAACATCTAAAGAGCACTTCAGCTTCTAATCATTCTTTTCGTGCTTCTAGCAAGCAGTGCAAGACCTGCGATATCGGCAAACTGGCCCGTTCCCTAGTGGGTGTGTGATATGTCCTCACCAAATACAGAATCATGAGCAATCAGGCTAAGGTGCGCCGGTATGGTTTTGCATGTCTGACCTGCCACCGGAAAAAGGTCCGCTGTGATGGCATGCAGCCTGAGTGTCAAAGATGTCTCAGAGCTGGCGACTCTTGTATCTATAAAACGGGTATTGGTTCGTCTTCCCACGACCAACATAGAGGTAATTTATAGGACCACGAACCTCGCGACAATGATTCAATCCGCGAGAGCCATTTGGAAGACACTGTCCAGCGAAATTTGGCAACGACAGATTCAAATACCACAGCCCAGGGCCTAGCGACTTCGACGACTCCGGTTGACACAGCCAAGGCAGTGCAATCAGAGATCACTATCGACGAACACGGATTTGTCGCATATTTCGGGACCACATCTCGGTTCCATCACGAGCCTGCAGAGAACAACGCTGCAAACACCGCGACATTCGACGTAGGTTTCCATCGCAAATGGCTCACATCCAACTCCAGATTCCAGACAGCTGGGGAAAAGGTAGCATACGACAATCTAGCGAAAGATCCGAATCTAGACCCGACTGTGGCAGTAATCCTTCCGATCGACATTGACCTACGAAATCGACGTTCGTAGAACTTAAACACGCGATAAAACTGTACCGAATACCGCAAACAACAATTCTCGTTAACGTCATTCCAGGAAACTCCATTCAAAGAACCGCGATTCATAGCCATCGTGGTTCATCAGAACCCAATGGCTTTGGCATATGATCCCATCCAACCTGCATGCCATCTATAGTCGCAGAATGCTTTACTGATCTCATCACACCGAAGCCTGACTTCCTCGTCTCCATGTACTCATCCGCCACTTCAGTCGAAGAATTGATATCCTTACACTCGAAACCAGACTTCCCAGGAAATTGACCCAAACTCCTGAGATATTTCATCACTCCAGCCAGACTCACATCCACTTTGTACGATCCACCTTCAGTGGCTCGCTTGTAAAGTGCGGCGATGATGCCAGCGGCCAGGAAGTAGCCTCCAGTGTGGTCAAGTGCTTGACAGGGTGTTGGACGAGCCGCCTCACCTGCACCGTAGTGCTCAGCTTCGGAGACGTTCATGCCTGAGCATGTCTGTACCAATGAGTCGAAACCTCGCTTGTCGGACCATGGGCCGTCAGGACCGTAAGCGGACATGTTTGCGCATATGATGCCTTGAGGATTTTGTGCTGCTAGCGCATCTGGACTTAGTCCTCGGGCTGCTAAGCTTCCGGGACGGAAGCCTTGGATGAACACGTCCGCGTTGGCAACGAGGGATTGCAGGCGAGCCTTGTCTTCGGGTTTGTCGATGTTCAATTGAGCCGTGCGCTTGCCACGAGCAAAGTCTCGATCCAGGGCTGGCAGATCCGGAAGTTCGGGAGAGGTGATCCATAGAACATCGGCACCATGTACAGCGAGAGTCTTGCCTGCTAGAGGCGCAGCGATGACACGACTCATTTCGAGGACCTTGATACCTCTGAGACACTTGTCGATGTCTCCAGCGTTGCCAGTAGGTGAAAAAGCAGGGCCGTCCACGATTTTCGTGATTGAGATAGGGAAGTCAGCGATGGCTTTTGCCTGGGGCAAAACATCCCACTGTTTGTAGCTTCTGAGCGCACTGATGACGAGTTTCGACTCGAAAGCTGCACTCTCTAGGTCTATCGACGTCCAGTCAGCAATCTTCTGACCGACAGCCGCACGGTCTGCGTTATCGGAGCAACCCAGCAGGTGTTTAGTACCCTCTCTGTGATTCGGAAATGAATCGTGTAAGCGGACGTGACCATCTGAGCTCTTATGGAGGCCGCCAATAGGACCCCGTGGGTTCGGAGCTGGTTTACCATCTAAGGAGTAGAGTCGTTCGGACTTGAACTCCACGACCGCATGCTGCAAGGGCACTGTGACACGCGACACTTTGCCATTAGGCCGCAGTGAGTGGTATGTAGATGCAAGAAGCGCTGTGAGAGCTATTGACGATTGTGCAAGATGCGCAATTTTGAACGAGGATGGCAGACCTAAGCCTTCACCAGAAAGATCGACGCTTTCCACAAGGTGGCTAGGAAGGCTCATGCCTTCTAGCAGATGCACGATGGAGTCTTTGGCCTCAAACGAAGATCTGTCGGGATTTGGTGGAGTCGAACCGTTCGAAGTACCAGGTATCATCTTGACGGTTGAAGGAGATTCTTGACCATTTGAGACTTGATTTCTGGTGAAATCATCTGTGTGAAGCATGACACTGTCGCGACATCAGTGCACGCCGGGTCAGCTATACATGGTTGCTACCTTTGCGATCGCAGCATGGAATTCCTTCAAGTCTTGAGATGTTTCGTGGATTAGCTTTTGCTTCGACAGTCCTAAGCCGCAACAGCGCGAAAGTACGGTGTTCGTCTCCGGCATGCCGATGTCAGGCCCTCACCTTCGCCTGCCTCATAGCGCAGAAGCCGTTCGCACAAACAGGGTTTCATCGAAAGCTGAGGCGAAGTGTGTCACGAAAAGTGGGTGGAGGATTGTGAAAGATTTTGGTTGGTAAATAGCCAAAACTGCTGCAGATGCCCCGGAACGACTCCGCAGCCCCAGAGCTTGCCTGTCAAGGTTAGCTCTTCCAAGCCTATAATTACCAGCTGCGGCGTCATGCCGAGACTGATTTCAGCCCGTCTTATTACTATTCGGTATGATGAGTTCACTGCACTAACATGTGCAAGGCAGAGTACACATCAGCTCCGGCATTGTAGAGCATTCAGGTAGAATGGATCTCGATAAGGATCTCTGGCTACACGTTCTATACGGATGAAATGGCTTCAATCTTTCGATCTATACTCTGTAGACTTTCTAAGCCACCAGCTCAACCAAATCCACAGCATTCGAGCCTGAGAAGAGAATCTCGGTGTCTCTGTGCTGTGGACGCAAAATAGTTTCCTAGGTTGGTGGGCAGAACGACATACGTAGCACAATCAGATCAGAACAGAATAGAAGACCTTAGTATTGATACACGACGTGAGTTTGAAGCACATAAGGACAACTACATTTTGAAGCCCCAGCAACGACCTTGTCTCTGTCTTGGGAGAACATGAGTTACTTTCAAGATGAGAGGATAATCGGAATAGTAGCACAAGAACTGCGAAAAGAGTATCTTATATTATATAAACATGGCCGAACATGGTCCTTTTCCACCTCTCTGATCGTTCTTAGGGATTAAAATTGCAGTGCACTCCGTCGATTCACACCCAAGAGTCGACAAAGTAGCGGTGCCTCAAGTGCTCTTGTTACACCTCCCGTGCCCGCCTCTTTCAGATGTGCAATTCAGCGTGAAAGGTTTCGTCTCTTAGGGTGTCGCGTCGGAACTCTCGGTGTTCGAGTCAGATTAAATGGGTGGTTGTTGTGCTCTGCCCTGCATTCACCCGCAAACATACCTCAGCACCTGCTGATACCAGAAAGCCGGTCCTTGTGGACCCAGATCTATTTGCTGAACACTACACGAAGTCTAGCTGTCTGCATACAAAGCAATTGCAAATATTGCAGCAGGCACGTTCTCAACTCGTGACATCCATCGCATCAGAATGGCCGTTTGTATAGGCCAAATTCACGGACCCAGAATCGCTGATCAGGTTCTTCTCTGATTCGCTTACAAATCTAGCCGATCGTATAGGGTCGTAGAATAGCCTGTAACTTCGCTGGATATCATCGATACTGATCCCCTTCGCCTTGCGCTTCAAGCTAAGTAACGTCGAGGTTGTGATGAGATTGCTTGCATATCGGAGGCCGGCCTCTTGACCAATTTTTGTGAGCAGTGCGAGGGCATCAGCTGAGAGATCCACCTCTTCTTCCTGGGCTCGAATGGCTAGAATCTGGGAGACGTCATCGCCAGAGTAGGATTGTGTGCTGATAATCACGACTCGGTCGAGGAAATCCAGAGGTAGGCCGTGAGGTGACCTGTAGTCTGTCCCACGTATTCTGGCGTTTCCTCTGTTGCTTGCCATGATTACTATCGGTGCCAGCTCAGCCTCCAAGGCTCTGTTGATGTAAGAGAAGCATTCGATATCCAGCATGTGCACCTCGTCAATAAATAAAACACCAGGTATAATGTCTGCTTTGCCCTCTTCTTTCCACTCGCCAACTTTTGTGTTGATCTGGTCTCTGACTTCACTTCTAATCTCACCCGTATCGCCTGAGAAAAGCGCCAGGAAGCCTTGTGTTCTGGAGTTGATCACATCAATCTCGTGTAAACTGACTGTATGAACCACCTCTTTGCGCACTTGCAGTTCTCCTTCAGGACATTGGACAAACTTTGTGTCTGCGCCCATGGCGTCGTAGTCTCTGGAACGAGTATAGGATCGGCCGAGTTTTGTGATCTTGCCTGAAGACTTATCAATCGATATCACGTCTCCAGCCATGACCTTCTCTTTTGTCATTGAGTCGATCATTTTTGTGCCCATGTCGTACACAGTCTCCATATCAGTCGTCTTGATAGTCAGCTTTCCTTGCTTGTTTCCACCAGACACGCTTCGATCAATCTGGATTTCGACAACTTCGCCCTCGATGATTTCACTCTCTTCTTTTATGCGCACGCCGATAGATTTGCGAAAGGCTTGCGTCAAGGCTTCTGTTTTGGACATTTCAAGGGAGAATATCTCGGACGAGGCAAGCATCGTAAAGGGCACATCTGGACCTAGCGATTGAGCCATACCCATTGCGATTGCAGTTTTTCCTGTGCTAGGTGGACCTGATATGAGAACTGCACGACCTGCTATTTTCCCATCTTTGGCCATCTGTAGAATCACAGCGGCAGCTTTCCTGGCTTTTTGTTGGCCAACCAGGCCCTGAGCCTGACTACTGACATCGAGAGTAGCGATATCGACCCCAAGACCTCGAATATGTGAATGCGCAGCGATCAAGTTGAGGCCGCGGACCTCTTTGCTTTCTGAGATGGTTGTTATATTCTGCGACATTATTAGCTATAACATTTCTAGCACTTTTGAATCTCTTACAGCCATATTTGTCAATGACTAAGTTGGACAATCGTAGTTCTTCTTAGCAGATTGTCTCAAGAGGACTTCCATGCCATAATACATGGGGGTTTTAGTACTGTCCCTGCCAAAAAGAAATCAATTTATGCAAGGCTGAATCAGATACGCCGGAAAGCGCGTCGCGCGTCGTAACTGCCCCACATTAGGCTTATAATTCATCCTAGCAACTTCCAACTAAGCATGATTCATACTCACTTCAAAGTTTTGATGTTACCAGCCTACTCTCGGTTCGAATGCCGTGCAGGGTATTCGACGTGTCAAGAGATCTATCTTGACTCTTCTACGTCACTGTATTGCTTTTCAGCGAGTCTGCAAGGCTTTTGTGCTCGAGCACCTACTACTACACCGACGTTAAACTTCTAGTAGGCACATCTCCGGATTGCGGAGTCCTGCCAGCATCATGTTTGCTGAAGGGCAACTGCTGTTTCATAGTTTGAGCAAGTATGGGCGATAGTTACAGACCCAGCTACGACGGCGATGACGTTCGACCAATACTCTTTGACCGGCCACGACGGGACTTTAGAGAAGAACCAGATCGGACAAGCATCGTGCCAACTGGTCCTAGAGCTCGATCAACTGGCCCCTCGCGTTCCTTATCTTCTGCACAATCACCAGATAACATCAATCTCGATGGCGCCTCAAACGCACTACCCGGAGCGAGTATTGCGAGATCCACCCCCACCGTGTCGCCACGCTCGCCCGTTGTCCCGAACATTGACCCGGTCTTGGACAACAAAAGATCCAGCCGCGATCCACGTCTCAGGAAAGATGGCCAGAACACTATCTCAGAAAACTTGGGTGTGATCTCAGGCACTAACGCTCGGAAACTCGAGATCGAGACAAACAACACAGCCTTACTTGACTTCTTTAGATCCCTTGCTCAACAAGCCGTTTTTGAGCATATACAAGATCAAAATCAGGTGAGGCTCGAAAGTCTCAGAGAAGAAAACGATCCTAAACATGCTTCGGTCGACAAGGATGCACGCCAGTACCGCGAAGCACGACTGAAGCAGCAAGAAGATAAGCTTACCGACATATCTAAGCAGATCGAGCGCTCTACAGTTAAACAGATCGAAGCCATCAGTGCCATGCCGTCTGGTCTCAAAGACGTCTTTCGTGGCGTGTTACCTAAACAAATAGCTGGACCAGACTCTATGCCTACACGGGCCCAATATAATGCCCTTATTGGTCGAATCGCGGAGCTGGAAGAACGAGACAAGGCTAGAAAGGACGAGTTAAACGAACTTCGCACCAGCAAGGAAAAAGAGCCGGACCTGAACTCTCGCTTACACTCCATCAAGCAAGAGTTTGAGATAAAGCTTAATGCTTTAGGCCAACAACTAAACCAACTCGAGGAGCTCAATACCACCTTAACCAAGCATCAGTCGACACTAGATAACCACAAAGAAAGGCTGGAAAATCAGCAGAATGCTTTTGCAGAGCAGACTCAACTCATCACTAGATTCGCGCCTGCCCTACTAACATCTCATCCTTCTGGTCATCCACAACCCGAAACGGCCTTGGACAAAGTAAACTCCACTTTGAAAGAGCACAAGCAAAACTTTGCCAACCTTTCCAATCATTTTGTGTCAAGAAAGGAGCACAGAGACCTTGTAAAGGACCTTGACACTTTGAAGTTCTCTATATCATCTCTCGTCATAAGAGTCGACACCCTTCAGCAGCGACTGGATACTCAAACAGCCACAACCTCCATCGCTAACTCCAACTCGAATGAGATCATAGAGATGTGCAGAGAATTCGAGGCGTTGAAGAAAGCTAAAGATCATTACGAGAAGTTCTCCAACGACACTGACTCGATGCTTCAAAAGCACGAAACTGCGATAGAGGAATTGATCAACAAACATAAAGTCTTAACAGCGAAGCAAGACTCTTATGGTACTAGCCTCTACCGCCCGGATCCCCGGTTGGAGAGCGCTGAGACGAATATCTCCAATATACGTCAAACACTAGAGACAATACAGAAGAATGGTATCACGACGCCAGCGCAGCTCCAGACCGAACTTGTGCACTGTCGGAGAGTAAATGAAAACAGATACGACAGCTTCAGCACAAGGTTGGAAACGAGCTTGAATGAAGTGATCAAGAAGCAGTCTGCACGAAATTCTGCTGTTCCTCCTACCATCACTCTCACTCCGGCGGTCCAGTCCCAGATCGACCGAATGCAGCAAGATGTCAACGCCTTAAAGTTTGCTAAGGGACAGCATGATCACACCATACGAGCTCTGAGCACGAGGTATAATGCAATATCGACACAACACATTTACAAGCATATCACAGCAGCAATGACTCCTCTTGCTCCCAGGCTTGTGAACGTAGAAGATGCGTACCAGCACCTCGAAGCACGCTACAATTCTGCTGACTCAGACGCCTTGCAAATGCGCACCGATATCAACGACCTAAAGACGCTTTTTGGAGAACCAATAGCTCCTGATGCAACCATCGAAACCCGACTGCAGGCGATGAAAGAAGTTATTGACGGCATCGCTGATCGACCTCGTTCTCCTGATCTTTCTGAAGCACAGATTAAGGAATTGGAGCATCGCATAGCCACGCTTGAAACCGACGTGGGTGAAACAATTGGTAAGGTCACGACTTTACAAGACCTTTGTGAGACCAGTCGTCTGGTGTGTGAAGAAGTACAGCAGAACACGGGCACAACTTACGGTACCACAACAGAAGCGTTAGACAGTATCAGAGAGTCTATTTCGGAATTATCAAAGAAGACTAAAGAGCATGATGATGCGGTCACCAGCCTAAGGCGACGCCACAAAAAGATCTCGGCTGCTTCTCAAGAGACTCAGAAGGCAATGACACAGCCGGAAGAGCCCACGGACTCTCAGAACTCAGCTACTACCCATTTACGTGGCGATGATATTACACATCCTCATACACCAGTTGCCGAGCCACAAAGCTTGCCAGATAAGAAGTCGACAGCTCGACCGAGGCGAACCATCGATCAGCTAGAAGAAGGTCTGCAATCTGCAGGTGCCTCAAATGAGCAGCCTGAAATCTCACCCATAGCAGGATACGTTGTAATTGAACAGCTAACTTCAAGATATACGGACAAGAGAATCAAGCAGAAGTTTGACGAGAAGATTGCAGAGAAGAAGCTACCACAGATTGAGATTAACAATATCTGGATAAGAGGCCAGAAGGACGAGATCACAGGCGCAACAAGCAGATGTGCTTTACTACAAGTAGATTCTGGCACGGTTGACAACATACTCAGCGCATTCGAAGGACATGAGAAAGCTTGGTCTGGTCGTACCGTCAAAGTGAACAAAGTGGACGCACGTCGAGCTCGAGAGATCATCACGTCCGGCCCTACACTTCCAGTTGCACCACTTCTAGAGTCAACGACTACTATGTCAACACGTGATTCCCCACTCACTCCGTCGATCGCAGCACTGTCCAAGAGCAGGGAGTCAGTATTGTCGAACATTGATGATCAGCTCGAAGTGGACGATTCGCAAGGTACGACTGAGCTAGCAACACGTGATCCACTGGAAGGATGGGGTGCCCGTATTGGTAGTGTGGCAAGGACATCACATCCGAGGAGTGTGCCTACAAACACCGAAAGCAATCGTAAAACTACGTCGACGACCTCCGTCAACAAGACCAAGAGACCACGTAGAGAATCGACAAGTGGTGGCGGCAGCTCAAGACCAAGCAGCAAACGTGGACGGCATGCCTGATGAAGTCGGTTCTCTATTCATACGGCGTTATGAGGTGTAATTAGGCTTTCAACACTAAACGACCTGGAGTACACGTTTCGTGTGCACAGATCAGAAAGTGACCAGAGCTCAAGCACAGAACTCGAAGGGTCTGATTTCATCCAATTCAACGGCGTAGTGTATATTGGAGTGAAACGTATTAGCACTCTGCAGTATTTGAACATAGAGAGCCTTACATACGAGAGCGTGTAGAAATAGACGGATCATAATAGTCGTATTTCGTGGCGGTATCATGCTGCAGGCAGAGCTAAGTCGGTGCCAGGGCATCATTTTGAAGTATCTAGGCGCAAAGGGTCGTGGGATGCGTGGAAAAGGCCTCGTCAGGTTCAGGTGAATAGAGTCTTCACGAATTCGTGCACTATCGTGTCAATGATTCCATGCCGTTAGCGACTACTGCAATATACTGGCAGATGGCTTTACTCTTCTTTTGAGTAATGCTTCATTCATGGTATTCATGTATCTTTCCTGAGTGCCGTTATCAACGTTTGCCGATTGCTAGTTCAGCGCTCGCGTCGTGCTCGTGTAGACCACGATTGACTTGGCTCCTGTACCTCAACCTCGAAACTTTGCTCACCAGGAGCTCTCCTACGTCCAAGATTGTGCCCACTCTGAACTGGTATCTCTTCACTTGGCTGCCTGCCATATTTCGAATAGCTTGGCATTAGAATTCCGTCCAGTAGATTTTCCGCGTCTTTGTCCAACTTTCTGGAAATGAGATCGTTCATGTCCAGATCTGCATGTATGCCTGGCTGCTGGAAGTCTCTACCTGTTCCGGCTCGCGACGTGGCGTGGTGTTGAGGTTGCTCAGTGTCGTCTTCGTCCTCACTGAAAGCGTCTTCCGCGTCATCCTCGTTGTCTTGCTCTGCAGCCCAAACTTCCATTGCTCGAGTCAGCAGGGTTCCAGCCATACCACCACCACCAGCATCTCCACCTGAAATCCGTACAGCTTCGTGCAAAGCTTCTACTGCTTCTCTGGTCCGACTCATCATGCTCAACAGTACCAAACCACGAGCAGTGTGGATTGCTGCCAGCAAATTCCGCTGTTCGTAGCCTGCGCTTACAGAATGCGCTGTCAACCCGGTCGAGATTGCGCCACTGTCAACACTGAGATTCATGCTTGTAAAGTTCTTACCTAAACCTGATAGAATCGACGAGGCACCTCCAGTCAATTGTCGGAGACATTCGTCAAATTGATCCAGCGATTCCTGATATCGTCCCATTCTTCGTAATGCATGAGCTAGGTTGCCTCTGACCGCGACCCATGCACTCATATCGCAGCCTAGTTGGGCAGCGAGCTCAAGACCGCGCTTGAACAGCTTAGCTGCAACATTGAGATTTGTTTGATGATACAAGATCACACCTAGCTCACCGATGACGAGGGGATCACCTTTGAGTGCGTGCGGTTGCGTGAAGACAAGCTGGTTGAGGCGATTCGTATCTTCCTCGGTCTTCGCTCTTGAGGCAGTTACTGATGATGCTGCAGAAACCGAGCCAGCACCCGAAGACATAGAGAATGCATGCAGTACGTATTCCCACGCTAGTGTCATGTTCCCCAAGCCCAGATGTTGCATGCCGAGAAATAGACTAGGCAGATGGCTGCCCTGAAATAGCCGGCTAGCGGTGCTGTAAGCTGCGATGGCCTGATCGTGTTCCCCCTCGGCTGCAAAGGTATGTGCAAATCCAATCCAAGCCTCTGCACTATGAGGGTTCATCAGACTGGCTTTGCTAAAAAACCGACGTGCCTCAGGGATACGTGCGGTGCTTAGGTAATAGGTAGCTATTGCAAGATACGTGTATGACTCGTGTGGAGCGTGTAGAGATAATGTGTGTGACAAGTGGAAGAGGGTATTGTGTTGTGAAGTCTCGTACAAACAGGCAATATGAAGGGGATAGAGATTCGGTGCATGCCCCAATGAGGCCATAACATCAGGATTCTGATCAAGGTCTTCTCTTTCTGCATTGGAGGAGGAATTGAGGATCTGAGTAGTAATCGCCAAGGCTTCGTGGAAACGACATTGTGTGTAGAGAGTTTCGGCTTGGGTGAGCATAAGGTCTGGATTGTCAGCCAAGTTGTAATGGGTTGCTAGGGTCTCGGTGGCATCTGTCATGGTTTGAGGAGAAGAGTATTTGGAGAGTCTAGTCGTGTACAACAGCTTTGTTAAATGAGCGGCTTCCTGTGCTTGTGCAGGTTCTTCGGTTCGTATGCTGTCGAAGTCGAGCTCATTGAGAAATTGAATTTCTTCGGCTGGTGTGAGTAAAGAGTTCTTCATGAGTTGGTCAAATGCTTCGAAACATTGGACATCGATGCGAACGGCAGCCATGAAGCAGTCTTTGGCCTTGTCGAAAGCATTCCTCTTTGACCAGCAAAGGCCTCTTAAGTAGCACATGCCTGCTTGGAACTTCAATTCCTTCTCTTGCTCGCGGTCTCGTTCCCTCTCTTCGCTGTATTCTATCCTGTCCCTCTCTCCACGACCTCTCTGGGTAATGTGCCTGCCCAAGCCATTCGTATGCGCAAGCTTTCTCCTTGCATTATGTTGCACAGACTGGATCAGGTGTATAGGATTATCCTCGCCAAGTAGAATTAAGGCTTGCTCGTATCGACCCTGCTTGATGTAGCAGTGGGCTGCTAAATAGCGACATGAAAGACTCCTATTAATGAGATCTTTCTTCGAGAGAATTGCCAATGCTCTGGTGTAGTTGTTGTTGGAGAAGTGGACTTGAGCCAGCCAGAACGCATCTCCATCAGAGTCTAGAGGCGTGATGTTAGACCAGTTCCTACCGCTGGTGATTCTACTCACTCACTGCTCAATGCCAGCACTTTGTCGCCAATATAGATTGCTGCATCGTGTTGGCCCTTGTTTAAGGCGTCTTGTCGCCAATTACGAAGATATTTGTCCATCTTGTTGTGCAAACGGATAGAGCAGATGGCTCGACATGCTCATAGTTTGCAGGTTTGTGAGCAGATCCAGAGAAAAGCGAATATCGGGAATGCGCACCTCGACATTTTTAGCACGAGTTGTTGTTCCATCCGTTATGGGAAGGCGCGTCTGGAAAGAGTGACGCAGCGACAACTACGGTTATTCTTCGATCTGACTACGGCAGAGCATTACTGGGTGGGACAAAGGCTAGACTTTCGATATGGCTTGGTACAAATCGACCATTTCTATATCTGCTTGCTACAGAGTCTGACAGCATCTGCTGTTGTCTCGTGCTTGGTCACATGTCTATGCAAAGTACTCGACAGTCAGTCCGTACATCGAAGCAACAAGAGACGCAGAACAGCCAAGGTTGGGCAATATTTGCTTCGTCGCTAAGCTGACATGTTCGAACATACTATATCCTTTGACCAGTATCTCGTTTGCTGGAAACCAGAATGACTATTCATAGGTTTCTCTACTCGACAATCGGCCCATAATCAGACTTTGTATCACGAACTCTTTGTCCGCGACATGTATCCGTGAGTGTGCGGTGGCTGGCTCTTGCACGTCACCTGTGCCTCTCCTCCTATTGCTTGAAGCATCATTGTTCGTGGACTTAGGCACTCTGAGACTCTTGGCAAGGTTCCTGGCAGCTTCCCTTTCTCTGTCGGCAACCATTAGCCATATCGTAGGCATTTCTCCCCCTGGTTCGTCACCTAATGCTAGCAACTTCTCCTTAGCTGCAGTCAAGTCTGCCACCTTCACCACGTTGTCCGCGCCCAGGATCTGCACAAAGAGTAGGTAGCTTGCTCTCGTTTCATCGATCTTGCCTTTTCCCGTGACGAAGACGACGGTACACGCTTCGAAGAACTTCCTCCTTGTTGCCAGTACTTCGTGGAGCTGAAATTGCTCATAGGCTCTAGATTGGAGTTGTCGGGATTTGACTGCTCCATCAAGTTCCACGCTCTCTCCTGCTGGCAACAGATAATCTTGCCAGTCTGCCAGTTGGCCGTTCTTGATTGATGCTTCTACCCATTTGCCACTAAGACAGGGCAAGCCAAACGCTAATGCCTCCATGTACTTTTGCCTTCGCGAATGTCGATCCGTGAGCAGAGCAGTAAATCCGCAGGAATGAAAGCGAAGCTTGAGTTTCAGTCCTTCATCGACTAGATCACGGAAGGACCCTTGTAAGATTGTACCTCCATTCTCATGTATCAAGGACGTGATGTGTTGGCGGCTGGAGTCGTCGTCCGAGTAGGAAAGCGCAAAGGCCATCCCTGAGAATATGCCGTCTTTATAAGGTGCTGAGATGTCCTCGGTCACCTCGAATTTGACTGATTTTCGGCCACGTGAGGAGGGCGTTGCAGGCGTTGAGGCTCGGATTGGTGGCGTAGATACTTCTGGAGCGACGTAAGTGGTTGTGGTGGTTGCTCGTTGGTATGCGAAAGTCCGTTTGAGCATTCGGTTCCAGGTCGCAAGTCCGATGTAGACATTACCAATCGAAATTCCCTCATCCTTTTTAAACCTTTTCGGCACTTTTACCTTCGAGTCCTTGGGCTCGACCACAACATGAGTATGGCCGTAGATATCGGTGATCGCATTGTTCTGCCTCGTCGCATCCCTTGTACAGAATGCGCGAACTATACATGCCCCTCGCGGAAATTGCTCAAGGTCAACTTTCACCTCGTCGCCAATCCTCAAATCCAGTGAGCAGATTTTATGTTTAGGCATGTCTTCGGGGTCATAGCCGGGCCACTGGATCTTGTAAGTTTGCGAATCTGCCGATGTTCCCAGGCATTGTGCTGGATAATAGCTCCTCGTGGCTCCAAAATAGTAGGCAAATACCATCTGAGGAGCCAGTACCCGGTCTATATATTCCTGTGCAGCTGGCGCACTAGGTTGACGAGTTGACTGAATAGTTGATGTCGCCTCTGTCGATTGCAGCACAGAGCTTGTGTCGTGCATGTGTGGCATTGTTAAAGGAGTCTTCCGCTGCTTCTTGGAGACCTTGCCCCGTGCTCGTTGGACCTCCTTGTGTTGGGGCACATCTCGATCAGGTTGAGTGTGCGATTGTGGTGGTTTGGACACAAAATGAGACTTTGGAGACTCGCCTATATCCCAGGTAGACTTTCGGATACTTCTCTTCACTGGAGTATTGGACTTGACCACTGGCGGAGGCGCTTCCGGTGTGAGTGCTGGAAGGTCGAAGACCTCAAAATTAGCATCCCTATTCCTAGTGTAATGTTCCGGCGACTCCTTCTCAGCATTTGTACCTATACCTGAAGATCTTGTGTAACTGGGAGACTGTTGCGGCGTGCTTCCTGGTTCCGTGTACCGAAGTCGTTTCCGTGATGGCACAGGTTCTTCGTCAGGAGACGGAGCAACAGCTTGGGCAACTTCCGCGTCCTGATCCAAGGCCATGAAATCAAAATTGCTGTTCTGCGTAGGAGGCGGCATAGCGTCATCTTGGGATATCTCGTCCATCCTCTTTCGTTTTCGCTGCCCTGTCTGTATCGGCTGACTGCTCTCTGCCTCTCTCTGACTTGCTGGTGGTTGTTTGGTGTGAGCAGTCGAATAGTGACTATCTTGTTGTCCCATATCGTGCTGTCGCAACACCGTAGACTCGGGTAATAGTGCTGGATCTTCGTGGGAGCTGTTGAAAGCAAGGACTCGAGCGTGGATAACCTCATCCTGGTTCAAATCCCTGATTATTACGTCGTTGTGAGCAGTTGCCTCGGACACTAAATCCTGCAGCCGTGCTGGATCCGATGGTTGGGTAGCTACAAGCTGATCTTCGGGTGAGGCAGGTACCACATCGACAGATTCACCAGAACTTTTCACCGTCAATTTCTTGGACACGTCTTGAGTTGACGGCCGAGATCGTTGCGAGTTCTTGATTCGAACAGAGGCAGAGCTATCCACATCAGGTGCTTCCATTGGCTTTCTACCTCGAGTTTGGCGCGCTGTAGGACTTGGTTGTGTGTTAGAGAATGCATCTAGGTCTTTGCCCAGTCTCTTGGTTGTGTCAGGAATGAAAGTAGGATGCAAGGCTCGGCGTACAGTCCAAAGTTGTGGCGGTTGGGATGCTACTCCAGCCCCATTGTCACCCTCATCACCGAACTCCGGCGACACATCAAGCTCTGTCTCTGGCCCTTCATCGGCTTGGTGCAAATCGTTCCTGTCCTTAGGTACATTAAGCCGAGGTGGGCTGCTAGAGAGGCTTCGGGAACTCGACTGATGCATGGACGGTCTCCCAAATTCTTGTCTTCGTTGAACAGGGCTAGACAGTGCTCTGTCAGCAGCTCCCAGTGCCTGTAATGCGTTCCTCTCCCTCATCCGAGTTGCAATGTGACGGCGCATCATGCTATCTGGCTCCATATCAGAATCGTCACTTTCCTGAGCGTCACCAACTTCGGCTGCTCTCCTAGCAGCAGCCGCAGCTTCGCGACGATCTTGAGATTGACTCATTGTTATGTAGATTGACTGCGGCTCGCTTTTAGCTCTTTTGACCTCCGACAGGAGTTGCATTGGGGACGAGGTTGTATCGTGAAAACGGCGGCCGAGTTCTAGACCAGGAGAAGGTCTGTCAGAAGGCAGAGCAGACGTGGGGACAGGCGTCAGTGGTGAAGATATAGCTTGAGTGTTGGCGAAGAGCTGGCTGAGGCCAATAACAGGAGCACTTCTCTGTGCATTGCGTCCGAAAGGATTCTTCGATTCGGTAGGCGGTGGTTCAGCAACGTCGCTTGCATGATCTCTCTTTTTGCCAGCAGTTGCTGGAGTCTTAAAGCGCTGTGACTCCGGAAATTGGGTTAGGGGTGCTTGCGATTGACTTGGTGATAGAGAGCCATCCTTGGGGCCTGGCACGACCATACTAGAGGCAAGATCGAGCACGTCCAACTCTTCTTCTGGACAAGTGTCTGGAAGCTCTTCTGAGTCCTCGTCAAGCACTCGTGGCTTTTCACGACTCTGTATGTCTTGCAACTCTTGTAGTTCTTCACCAAGCTCTTCAGCCTCCTTCTGCTTCTGACGCTGTATTCGCTGCAACTCTTCCTGCTCCTCAACAAGCTCGCGATGTCGCTCAAAGGCAGTCTCTCTAATACTTTTTTGGTATTCCTGCACTCCTGTATCCGAAATCTCCTGCGTTCCGTCATCGCTGCCTTGCGTGTTTCGAATGTCGGATGCGGTTTCTGGGACCTCGTAATCCATGGGTATAGTATCCGTCTTAGATTCGTGGTCCCCAATCGGCTGTTCGAGAGTTTCTGGTACAGTGCTTGGCAGACATGCCAGAGAACTACTGTCATGGTTCAAGTGGGCGAAAGGGTGACGCGTTTCGTCTCCTGGCTGGCCATCTTCAGTGCCATTATTCGATGTGGTGCCGAAGCTGACTGCAAGTCGAGCTTGACTGGGTCGCGTAGGTCCAAATTCTTCATGATTCGTTTTCGCGATCGAGTCAGACGCGGCAGACTGAATGAAGTCGACCGACTTGGCTAGATGATGGCGGGATTGCGTTATTAGTGCAGGCTGGCTGGGGTCTGCGATACGAGCTGGATTACTGTCGCGTAACAACTGCGACTGCAGGCGGTTTAAATCTATACTCGCATCTTCAAGGAGCATGCTTGCCCATCGCCTGCAGTTCTGGTCAACTTTGAGCGATCTTTCCAGAGTCGAAGCACATTGCTCCTGCCGTTTTTGTGTAACCACTCGTGCCACTTTACGCGCTACTGATTCGCGAGATCACGCTAGTGGAAGTGATAAGATAAGAGGTCGTTCCACTCTTGCGGGAAAAGTTTGAATGTTCACTGCTTTGTATGCAAGGACCAGACACGGAGTGATACATTGTATCAATTTCGTGGACGGTGTCAGTCCGCGATTGCCAGCCTGTTAGGAACTATTTGAGCCGTGGCCACATCCGACAAGCAGCTCTTGCGCAGGCTTTAGGAATTCCAAAATCGACTATTTCAGCAGTGAATAAAATAACAACATTCTGACTTGGGGTAGGCTATCACGCGTACGAAACACATTCAAGTACCGTCGAATGTATTTTGCTTGGACGGCCGCGTATGCAGGACAAACTCTATTGTATGCGTCGGACGTTTGATGCACCATGAACAGGCAAATGAAGACGATAAGGACAATAAGCAAATGCATAGACCACAAACAGGGGATGGTATAAACGTGTAGAATTGTTTGATGGTGTAAAACAGCAAGAAGAATCACTTCCGACTCATAGGGTGAAAGAAGAGTGAAGTCCATAAGTCACCATGTTGTTCACATTTGCGAGGAAGGTGCACCTCACCTTCCTCAACTTCTTCAAGTCGCACCTTCCTGCATGGCTCCTTGGTCGCCTTCCTTCTCCTGCTCGAATTCTTACTCCATCTTCTGAACGGCAATGCTCATCGCCATCTCAAAAAGCGACCATGGATGATCACTCCGAACGTCCTGAGCGTCTCGAAGCATTGAAGACCTTGCATGAGACTAGAGCCAATGACCAGTATGGTAAGTGTTGTTGAACAATGGAAAAGCGGCTTCACTGACGAAACCCTAGTCGAGGCTCTGGTGTTTGAGATCCCTGCCAAATTTGCTTCTCGAGTACTTGGGTGAGTTCATCATGGCATATTCAGCGATAGTCTACTCACTCAACCCAGCATTGTCAAACCTGTCCTTGCTGAGGCTCCTAAACAGCCCCAACTTCATCACCTTCGACGACTGATTCATCTCCCTCACTTACCACGCGATCTGTTGGAAAGACGCGTCGTCGTTACACAACCAGACAAACCTACCATCTTTCTCATCCAAGTTGCCACCCAGGACCTGGCTGGTGCAATCATGAAAGCAATTAAAGACATCATGGACCAGGATCTTGCGTTGGCTCAATATGATCACGTTCCACGTTGCTTTCCCATCCCTGTCCCTCTACACGCTCCTCTCAACGAAAGCCAAGCCAAGGAATGGTCCGAGAGATTCTGGCCATGCATTTACAATCCTGCTGCTCAACTTCTGCAAGATGCTCCTCCTCTACATCTTCTTCGAAAGACCAAAGCTGAGCTGGACACTTACGAGTCAGACAAGTATGTCATGCTGGCACAAATACTAGCAGAAGAAGCTTCGACTAGTGGTCGTGGGCTGGCGATTGGCGCCGTCGTCGTCGATCCTGCCACCAACCAGGTTGTTGCTGCTGCAGGTGATGCCAGATACTATCCTCACGGAAGGCCAAACCCTGACGACGATTCAGGTGGTCGGCCGGAGTACCACGCTCTGATGCGTGTTATCTCGATGGTAGCCAACAAAGAATTGCGAAGGAGACTTGCAGCAGGCTCGCACCAGAAGTTCGCAGCAACATGCTCAGAAGGAGTCCCAGGTCAAGCTGTTAGTGCCATCGAACAATACTACCTCGATGCTTCCATGTTCGGGGAAGATGCTGATGCCAAGTTTGTCGGCTACCCACCAAGACATGTCGGAGAACGAGGAGAAGGCTACCTGTGCAGTGGTCTGGACATCTACCTTACTCATGAGCCGTGTGTCTGTTGTGGCATGGCTATGGTTCATTCGAGATTTCGATCATGCGTGCTGCTGAAGCGAATGACCAACAGCGGAGCCCTATGCGCTCGCACCCATCAATCACTTCTTGGATACGGTCTCTTTTGGCGACGAGAACTCAACTGGCGCGTTTTGACCTTCCGGTACCGGCACGGAGACGATCGCGATTCTGTCCTGAAAGATATGTTCCACGCATAGAAGGCGTGTACTCAGACAACATATGACCCCTACCAGGTCACTATCCATATCACTCAGATCATACCGAAGCACCCATACTCATCCTCTTACTCGGTGTTCAACAAATCATACGAAATCAGGAATACGAGTCCAGTCCTCGCCCACCTTCCGGAATTCCACTCCGTCGCCAAAATAGCCAGCATCCGACCAAGCCTTCATGGTATTTGTATCATATGGACCGTGGCTGTCGCCTCCATCTCGAGCATCAGACCAGCGATATTGCCAATAGGCAGAGTCAGTCACCAGATCCTGTTGCTGGTTCTCAGGTGGTTCGGTGTCAGGGTCTTTCCAAATCTCACCAGTCAACCGCTGGTATTGCCTTATGAGCATTTCTCTTTCAGCATCGTAAATCTCTGGTTGACCTCGAGACAGCAAAAGGTCAGCAGCTTCCGTGATAGAATCAATGGTTTTAGTCCTCTCCTCGTCCTTGTTATCAGTCTCGTCCACTGCTGCATCTGCCTCACCATTTGTGCTTTTCTTCTTCGACTTGTTCTGCCATTTTGGCTTCTTCTTGTGACCTCTGTTCAACCTTGCCAGCGCCTCAAGTATCGTCTCCGAAGGCTGTAACAGTGGCAGTAGATTTCTCAAGACGTCTTCATCACTCTTAGCATCATCTTCAATGGTCTTCTGCCGACGCTCCTTCTCTCGCTTTTCATGTGCATCCTGAGCCTTCTTCATCTCCTTCTTGCTGATACCTTCAAGCCAGATATCATGCTTGGCATCCGGGTCGACTGCTTTTCTTACATAATTGCCTTGTTCGTCGAATTTGCCCTCTTCATTCTCTTCCCTCATGTTGAAAGCATCCAGTTTCGGTGCATGTTTCTTCTTCCCACCTGCACCCAGCTCTTCATCAAGGTCACCAGCATCTGCTCTCATCACGTCGTCGACTTCCGAGTCTGAGCTGCTCTCTTGTTCCTGGTCAATATCCTTGCCCTTCCCATGTTTCCTCGCACTTCCATTCAGAGAGAAATCAGCACTAACATGTCCACCACTTTTAGAATTCTTGACCTGTCCCTCAATCTGATCCTCGTCCAAGAACTTTACCGACTTCCTCTTCCCTCCTCCTTTGCGTTCGGTGTCTCCTTCACTGTCGTCCCCATCCTTGTTGAACTCCTCCTCCAGCTCGGCAAACATATCATCCTGCTCCTCCTCTTTTGTCTTCCGATCTGCATCCTTCTGTGCCTTGGCTTTGGCAGCAGCTCTAGCATCGAAGTTCTCATTGTCGCTGTCGGAGTCGTACCCGTCTACGTTGACTGCACCGCGCTTGACTTGTTGGCCTCGTGCGCCGATGACATCTGCGTCTAGGACGGCATCGTCTTCTAGTTCATCGGGGGCGAGCGCGGAAGGGTTGCGCACGTCGAAGCAAGGTTTCTTGGAGGGGTGGTCTGTATCGAAGGCTTCGTGGTGGACTCGCGCGAAGTCTTCGGCTGAGCGCTTTGCAGATTGCATCGTAGGAGGAGAATGGAAGTTTGGTGCGAGACCTATAGAGAACACTACATCGAGGTGGTGTTGGAAGTCGTTTCTCCACCACTGTTTGCAGCTTCAGTGCACATCGCTGAGCTTGTGGAAGCCTGAAATAGTGAACACAAGTCTACCGTCTTTGCACGAATAAAGTTATCGAAGACATGCACTCTGACGCGCAACGCGTTTGTCTATACAACGATCATCTGCTACACATTTGTTGGCCTGCCTCATCTGATTCTACTAGACAGCTTGCTTTCACATCTTCACCTTTGTCTATCAACTCCGTCAGGTCAATTCGTGGATCTTGTCTCGCTGAGTCGCTGGCACGCGTCGTAGCCATACGTGCTCGTCAAAGCCAAGCCGCTGATACACTTTCGAGCCAAACACAGTTCGGAAGAAACCCTTTTCAAATCTCTGATACTACAGTTCCATGTCTCCAGTTTGCCATGCGCGAGCAAACCAGTCTCCAACTACACAATGGCCAGAAGTGGACGAAAGCTCCTTTGCTTTACAACACCATGCATCGTGATGACAAGGTAAGAGGTAGGGTCCAGGAGAATTGATGAATATATTCTTGAAGCACACGCTGAGGTAAATCGAAGCACCTAGTTCCTGTCCCTACAACACTCTCAGAACATTCTTCGCCTGATCGTTGCCCTGCATTCAGCAGCTTTGTTAAAGAAACCTTCACGTATAACAGTGTCAGTTATTGTGAGTCTTTCGACATGGAGAAGCTTGAACACGACTACTACAGCTTTCAATATCTCCATCCAGGCGAAACTGTACAGGATTTGTCAGCGCACAGCTCGTTCGGGAGTACGCGGATTGGGAAAGCTGAAGGCTACACTTACTTTCTGCCAATGCATGCACGTGGACCGACGGAAAATGGCAAGAAATAATCCAGCAGCTTGTTTGAGTCGTTCTCTTGCCAGCGCTGCGTTCTGATCTCATGCGCATCTTCAAAGATCCGTTCGTCAGTCAGGAGACCGCAGGTCGGTACGCTGACAATTGTCTGCCACCAGAAAATGATGGGTTAGCACATTACACGTGGAATGAAGTGCTGATGCCAGTAGACTTACTCCTTCAGGTAAATACTGCCCTGCAATGGTCTTGCCGCCTGCAGGAGTCACTCTCTCCAGTCCTGTCGCACTTGTTGGGCGCACTCGCATGACTTCGCGCAGCAATTCATTCAGGAATGTCATTCGGCTGACAACCTCGTTTGAAGGTATCCAGTTGTCGTCTACTTCCCCAGGGTAGAACGTGTCGATTTCCTCAACAAGTCGCTTTTGCAAGACCTTATCGCGCGAAACGATATCAACAAAGTTTGTGATTGTGCTACTCGTCGTATCACTTCCTCCGACAATAAAGCTGATCGATTCGGCCACCATTTCTGTCTCAGGAACATTGTCCTTGGCCGAAAATAGGTAACTGAGGAAGTCTTTCCGTGGCTGCTCATTCGACTTTCGCTCTGCAAACGCCTCACGACCTATCTTTTCTAGGTTCGTAGTTGCTCGAAGTCCCTTGCTCCAAAAACTGTCGAAATAGTTGTACCTCATCCATGGCCGAATCCAGGATGGGAGTGCACCGAGTGCAGTGAGGACTTCGCCACGAGTGTCGATGGTCTTGATCAAGTCATATGGGTCGTGCCCCTTTTCGCTAAATCCAAAAGACTTGCCAAATGCGAAACTACCTATAATATCAAATGCAAGATAATTTGCTAATTGTTACGGCTAATCAGTAAAAGGCTCGGCAAATTAAGGCAAAACGAAGAGGCCAGGACGACTCACTCCATACCGAAAAATCTATATCTGCGAAGTCCTGAGCAGCAGTCATGTCCAGAAGGCGCCTCTTCCAACTCAGCAGCTCAATGTCCATATACGGTTCGAACGCCGAGAGTGCACGAGCTGAAAATGCAGGGTTCATGTATTTCCTCTTCCTCTGATGAACTTCTGTATCGCGCGTATTGAACACTACAGGCTTCACCTGCACAAATGCATCGTAAAAATCGCTCTTGAGAAAACCTGACTTGTGGCCGTAGATTTCCAATGCTGCTTCAGGGTTATTGATGGAGATGTGATTCGGTCCGACCCTAACAAAGTCGCCGTGCTTGCGATGTTGTGCCATGACGGCGCGGGACCTTTGTGTGAGGCGGCATTGTCTCGCCAGCCAGAGGGTTGATATTTGTGCACAAAATGGACCAGGGAATCTTCGTAACGGAGAGAAAAGAGGTTGTAAGAGCCAGATTGACAGCTGCAAGCATAATCAGAGATTGACTATTGATCATCGACTGACAAGCTCACGACGACAAAGCCCAGGACAAATGGTAGCCTGGTCAAAGTAACTCCCAAACGATCCAGCCATTTAGCAGCACTGTGCTGATTAGCCGTATTGAGATCATGCAACATCGCTGCTTTCCTTGGCGTATTCTTGGCTCTCGTTCGAATAACGTGAAACGACGGTCGAAGGCGAACTACTGCACTTCGTCTCGAGGGCTTGACACGTTGAATACGTCGATCATCTTACTCCTGTCCCCAACACTGCTGTGGGATATATCTCCAGATTGAAATATATTGGGGATGGAGTGAACCGATGAAACCATATCTCCGCGTCTCAAGTAGTGTTTCTCTCCGCACTCCGGATTTGTCCGATCGTCCTCTCCGCACTCTACCCTTCGCCTATCGGAGGCGGCTGCGCGAATAACGAGGCAACGACCATTTGCTCTCTAGTATTGTAAGGAGAGCACGGTTCATAGCTATTTCCATTCAAAGCTCGCAACTACCCCTACCAGTGTCACTGATGAAGTAGTGACTGTCAAGAATCTGTTGGAATTATCAACAGTCCAGGGCGTACCATTCATGCAATGTATCGGCTTGAATTATGCCAAGCACAGGACTCAACATACATATGTTCGAACTGACGAACACAGTGAAAGGAAGAGGTTGATACACAAAGAAAGCACGAAATTCATTGGCGCCGTGCCCATCCATGTGCTCAATATGTCTTCCAGACCACAGCGCGGACATCGAGACCCTAGAAACTGCACAGGAAAATCAAGCTGACTGCAAGGAGCGAAACAATAGCCGTACCATTCCTCTCTACCATTGAGACACCTGACTGCGTCCAACCAGTGTATTGTTATAGGTCGCGACGCGAAAAACGTCTTAGTCGATGACGCGCTCTCTTACACCGGAGCCTACACAGTCGGCAACGACATATCCTCGCAAACTCCAACACGACTATGCCTTCGCAGGCAAGCTTGCGCAACAAGATTTCTCGAAGACTTTCAACAAATGTGCACCTTTGGGTTTCTGTCTGGTAGCGGCTGATTTAAGTCACGGCCAGAAGACAGCCAGACTTACCACTATCGTTCATGGGACTGTTCAACATGACGAGCTGGTGGACGACTTGCTATTTGACTGTGCCTACCTTGTATCATGGCTCAATCAAGGCGCCCCGTGGTTATGACTGGAATGTCCGGTGGTAAGTGGCCTCTGCTCGATGAAGTTACGTAGATACCGAAACGAATGGCAGGCGTTTGATGCAGCCGTGAGTCCACCAAGATTCCTCACGCTGAGAACGAGGATTGAGATCAAGATCTCAGAAATTGGTACACTGGTCAACACGGTTGACTTCGTCTATATATATAGATATCACAGGTTGCACATAGTAGATGTTCGATACTCGAAAGCGATGGTGAATAGCTCTCTACATGAAACGTAAAGGTTTGTTCGTGTTTTGTAAGCAGTAAAGAACGATCTTCACTGCGATACTACTTTACTCTAAGTAAGTGATCTCGGGACTCGAGAAAACACGCTAAAAAGCGCGCTACAGGACGCGTGCTTGCACGTTTCGCCGTGGTACGTCACTAAATTTGTGGCCTGGAGGTCGAGGCGGAAAGTGCAACCTGCTCACATCGGCCTCACTCTATGTTTTGTTGCCATAAGTTGTGTCATCCTACAAACAATTATCAACCTGGCATTGCTGCCTTCTTGATCATTTGTCTACTCGCTGCTACTGACAGCACTGCAAGGTCGCACATTCCGAACCCAAAAAGCTTTGAACAAGCAGCGTTCTCACCACGCTCTGCCCAAGGACCTTTCCAATCTATCTTTAGCACACTGTCTACGACCTTCTGGCTCGAACTTTTTGACTCAACAGGTCCGGTAGCGTTGGCGATATGTCCTTCTACTCAGACATGGGCTTCGGCTCAATGGGCATGCGCCGTCCACCAGTCGGTCAAAGCATGAGAAGATTCGACGAATACTACAGATGCTATCCAGTCGTCATGATGGCAGGTCCAGATCGAACCCATGCCAACTATGGAGGAAAACTATTTCTGCCGCCTAGTGCTCTGGAAAAACTCACAAGATTACATATTACATATCCTATGCTGTTCGAGTTGACGAATGGCCAGGCAGATAAAGTAGGACATGCTGGTGTGCTGGAATTCGTTGCTGAGGAAGGAAGAGTATATCTACCACAATGGGTAAGTCTGAGGGTTGACAGGGGAAGAAGAATGTTGCTGACGCGGTTTGCAGTTAATGCGAACTCTAGACCTTGAACCTGGTGATCTCCTTCAGATCAAGTCAACCGATCTTCCACCAGGAAAATTCATCAAATTACAACCTCAATCGCCCTCCTTCCTCGACATCTCAGATCCTCGCGCCGTCCTCGAGAATGCTTTCCGAAATTTTTCCTGCCTGACCAAAGACGATATATTCCAGTTTCACTACAATGATGAAGTCTACGATATCAAAGTTCTCGAAATCAAGCCCGACAACAACCAGCATGCGATTGTCACCATGGAAACAGACCTAGAGGTGGACTTTGCAACACCACTAGGCTACAAGCCGCCGGATCCAGTCAATAGAAGTGGAACAAGCACACCAAGAACAGCTGCAGGCGTACCTCACGGAGGAGCGGTACATCCGTATGCCCAGGGCACAATGGCACAGAACATAAATTATGCCTCGATAGCACCGAACTCGACTATACCCGAAGCAGGCGCAAAAGCCGTGTCGCAGCACTTCCTTGGGGTAGGGAATAAGCTAAAACCTGGTAAGGGCAAGGGCAGCAGTTCTTCTACACCACTGAAGTCGTCCACACCAGTAGCTGGCCAGAGTACGAATACTCCGCCACCAGTGGCTACAGCAGGGATTGTGACAAATGAAAGTCTGAGTGCGAATAGACGCTATGCAAATGCACCACAGCCATTACGATTACCACCCAACAAGCTGTTCTTTGGCTATGAAATAAAGCCGGTGCGGAAAAAGGACGAGAATGGTGAGCCTGTGGCTGGCGATGAGGTGAAGCCCAAGTTCCAAGGACAGGGTCAAACATTGAAAGGGCTGAAGAAAGACACGAAGAAGTAGGGATGCAGCTGAGCGATAACTACTTAATTCTTGAACCAATTGTTCTGCACTCGTGAGGCTCAAGTCTCAGCCTCCAACAACCAATTTTATCAGCTGTCCATGCTTTCGAAATCGCTGCTCGTTTCCTAGACTATGACCGCGTCGTACGTAGCAATGCCTTTGTACTGCATCAACAGTCTCCTACCACAATCCCAACGAACCTCAGAAAGGCTCAGTATTTTGAACCCCCTACCAAATCTTCGCTTCTAGCCTCCATGCATATTTCATGCTCCCTCACTTCTTCTGTTCCCCTGTTTCATACAAGAAGAATTGCCTTGCATCTACTGCAGCTTACCTCAGATATGTTGGTGCAAATCTCTGGGTACAGTGCCCCAAGTCATGACTCTGTGCAGGATCTGTGAAATTGTTATTGGACATGTCCAGGTATTCTACATTCTGTCACTCAAAAGAGTCGGCTTGTATCACAACATCATGCGGTTTCATACCATGCGTGGGTTAGCTATGGGTAAGTAAAGCAAGAACAGAAATGAATATGTGAGAAGAATGTGTCAGCGGTAGGTTTCTTATTTCGTTGATTGATTTGGCTACTCCAGGTAGCACCAAGAGATTCGACTTAGGGTAATGCGATTCTGCAGACAGGTCAGCGCATTCTTAAACACTTCCGTAGTTCTTTCTGATCTGGCAGATCCGTGGTTTGTACGCGGAGAGGAGGGCCCTTACCTATTTTCTTCGGCGGGGCCTGTGGCTGAGCCTTTAAATGCGACTGTGATAGGTCGGCTGCCGCCATTATTCGCTGTTTCTTGCTCCTCTCCGGGTCAGGGTTTACCTTGAACTTGAAGTTAGCCGGCCGTTTCAGGTTTGGACCTCTCTGCACTGGCTTCGACACCTGCGGCACCGTCGCCACAGGTGTTGGTTCAAAGAAGCTCACCGTTTCCTCTATACTGGCGTCGAAAAACCTCTTCGTACTCGTACTTGATGCTGGCACGTCTTTGTTTTGGTTGAATGCCTTGTGGAGTCGAGCAGCTCGTATCTGTGCCGCAGTCTTCGGTAGTATATGGCCTCGTCCAACAAGAATATCGAGGTCCTTGTCCGTGAGTGGAAGTTGTGCTTGGATGGAGAGATCATGGCTCTTGACTAATTTGGCCTTTGGCTTGGCCTCTGCGTCAGGAGGTCGATAGGGTTGATGGCTGTATTGCTTGTTTAGGTCGCCCAGATGAGCGGGAGATCCACCGTAAAGGTCTGATAATGCTGACATGTTAGGCAGTCTAGGTTTTGCTGATGATGTTTTGTTCTTGTCTGTTATTGTCTGCTCTTTGCTTCTGTATACAGGGACTTCGATCATGCTGAATGCGGGACTATATAAATATATCAATCTCTTCATCACGATCAGTGAATAGTGTCTTTGTGCATTGTCGGTTGGCAATGGTGTGCTTGTCCCAGAATGCATTGTGCTGCCCAAGTACAACCGCATGAGGGCGGCACATGAGAGGTGAGAGTTTCAGTGACACAAAGACCAAGATTGAAAGACACAAAGAGGATGTTGGACTAGGCACAGGTGGTGGTTTTGGGCAGCCGATACCGATCCGAGGGCATTCGTTTCTCATGTAACGTGTGGCATGTCGCAAAGCTTTCGAGCAGTGTTATACCAAGAGAAGTGATTGGATAGGCAGAAATCCTTAACGATTCATTCCTGGCGCTCCTAGCAACTCCAGTGCTCGTGCTGACCGCCATGTCTCGCCCCCACTTTTCGACATGGGAATATCGGAAATAAAAGATTCAATTGAATCTAAGAGTCAGCGGTATGTCTGTACCAAACAGCCACGCCAACTGTTCGATAATTGACCAAGCCCACTCAGGTAGTCTTCTGCGGTGATAATTTCCAAGCCCATGATATCCGTCCTCTCTGAGGTCAGTGGTAGGACCCAGCTTGACAGCGACTTATATGTCAGAAAGCAAACAGACTCAGCCTTGATTCAAGATTCGAGATTCAAGTATTGGTAGTAGATGCTACCGTATCCACGTCCATACTTATATCTAAGCGCTCAGCTTCCCACTTAGTCAACGTCACTGTAGACGATAGAGACTGAGGATGCGTAGCGCCTCGGATATAAGTCTGACGCTTGACACAGTCTCTCATCAGCTCTATCGCTTCTGTATCTCGACCTAGGCCTTTCCACGTAAAAGCAAGGTTGTTCATACTGGTCAGCGTATCTGGATGGTCCGCTCCTAGCTTCGTCTTAAGAGTCTCAATCACTTGCACCTGAAGTTGTTCAGCCTCCTCCCAACGGCCTTGATTCCAGTATGTCGAGGCTAGGTTAGCCATAGTGGTCAGCGTATCTGGATGGTCCGCTCCTAGCTTCGTCTTACGACTCTTTACTACCTGTACCTCTAGTTGTTCGGCCTCCTCCCAACGGCCTTGATTCCTATACGTCGAGGCAAGATTGTTCATACTAGTTAACGTGTCTAGATGGTCCGCTCCTAGCTTCGTCTTACTTATCTTCATCACTTGTACCTCTAGTTGTTCGGCCTCCTCCCAACGGCCTTGATTCATATACGTTAAGGCAAGATTGTCCATACTGATTAGCGTAAAGGGATAGTCCGCTCCTAGCTTCGTCTTACTTATCTTCATCACTTGTACGTCTAGCTGCTCGGCCTCCTTCCACCGGCCTTGACCCCTATACGTCGAGGCAAGATTGTTCATACTAGTTAACGTGTCTAGATGGTCCGCTCCTAGCTTCGTCTTACGATTCTCTAGCACCTGTACCTGTAGTTTCTCGGCCTCCTTCCACCGGCCTTGATTCCGGTACGTCAACGCTAGCCAGTCTATGCTGTTCAACGTGGACGGGCTCTCTGCATCAAGCGTCTTCGTTTGCCTCGCTAGAATTTGAGTGAACAACGCCTCGGCTTCGTCCCATCTTCCATCGCTGTAGAGACACTGTCCGCATTTCCACATAAGCGCCATCCTTTGCTCCCCATCTTCACTGACAAGATCAGATGCTATCACTTGGCGCGCATGTGGTAGGTATGTTCTCCAGACGCTCCTGTTGTTGTGGTTATCGTCTGGAAACACTCCCTCCAGATGGATAATGGTTTTCTGTGTCCACTGAACGAGCATCTCCTCCTTTCGGAGCCAGTTTCTTGTTGCCAAGTGCACCAGCCGATGAAGATCAAGTGAAGACTCCACAGGTCGCCTACTGATGAAAGAATATGCAGCGAGCGTGCCAATGGCCTCGATCTCCTTCTTTCGCGACGGTCCTGGCGGAAGGAGAGACTGCGGTACGTCTCTGGGGTTGACACATGCGATGAATGACAGGTACTCAGCCGCTAGAGGATCGGACCGCCGGATCTGCTCGAATGAGATCAGCCATGTTGTGGCCACAGGATTCTTCACGTCTCGATATCTTCCGTAATCCTCAAAGTCCTCGCTGAGGAGGTCTATAGTCTCTTCCTCCTTCTCTCCAAGGAGTAGTAGATAATCGGATAGTGTAATCCCGTTCTCGGTAATATAAGCTGCCGCTTGAGTGATTGCTAGTGGTAGGTAAGTGAGCTCTGCTAATAGTGCTGTTACATCCTGTAGATTGTCGACGAGGGCAGGACTGGCTAAACACTTTTGAAGTAGCTCTCTCGCCGCCTTCTCCTTCATTTCGGGCACTGTGATGATGTTCGGTTGCGCTAACTTAACTGCCGCTTTCCGATTACGTGTCGTGAAGATGATGCATCCGCGCTTATTTCTAGGGAGATAGTCGATCAAACGGCGGGATCCTCCTGAGGATTTCCGAACCGACACCTCTATATCTTCGTGCTCTCGTGTCCGGGTAGCTACCATCCACATATCGATGTCATCGGCATTGTCAAACACAAGCAGCCATGGACCGACATCCTCCTTGCTTAGGTGATCCTGTACAAGTTTCTTGACGTCGGCCTTTTCGTCTTCACACTCGGGGATGTCCAGCTGCTGTGCAACAGTGAGGTATCCCTGATGCAAGCTTTCTATCGTCGTTGCTGGTATCCATATAATCGAGCAACCTTTATACCTCTCTTTGGTTCGGTAGAGAAGTTCGAGCACTAGCTGCGTCTTTCCTACCCCACCGAGTCCTGTGATGGCAATCTTCGAGGTGTGGTCCTTGGCGAAAAGTTTTCCTTCCAGTTCGGCGAGCTGCGTCTCGCGTCCAGTAAAGCGTGAATTCCTCTCAAACGGTACGATCCATGGAGCATCGGTTGCGACGAATAATCCAGGGTCAGCCGATATTCGAATCTCTCTCTGGAGCCGCGCCAACGCTTTTTGCCGTCCTTCACCGTAGATGAGGGGCATGTGGATGTTGAAAACGCCCAGGAGGCAGTACACAGTGTCTTCTTCGATGGTCGTTTCGCGCCTTACGGTCCATGACAGTCGCTCCTTCTCGTCAAACTGCGGGGGAGGCTTTCCTCGAAGAGCGTCGACTGGAATCCCGGTGATCTGATGAATCTGTCCTTCGAGTGACTTCTTGTCACCCAGCTTCTTACCCTCCACGGAGAAAAACTCAACCACGGCGGGAGCAATCAGCTCTTGGAGCGTCCAACCTCGCGTGAACCATTCGCTTTTCTGAAATACTGGTCCCCACATGTCTTGGATGGCTATACCACTGGCGCAATCATCTATTGATACGTCTGGTAAGTACACGTAGCATTTTCTCGTGTTTTGGTACCACTTAAACATCGAGTTGATGGCTTCTTGAAGTTCGGTACTGTTTGCCTTATCGATGCAACAAGTGTCTATCCAGAAGTATAGTAAACCATCACGTGTGGCTTGCTCCCCACAGAAGTCGAGCTTTTTGTAGCCAGCTTTAGTCTTGGCAGTGCCGTCCTCAATGTCCTTGTATGTGACTTCGCCTGGGCCCCATCTGTGCGAAAAAATGGCATACTCCGATGGAATATTCGGGGGATCAAACTTCGTAAGGCTGAAGGTATAGGTGCCTGTGAGCCAGCCAGATTTCTCGCGTTTCAAAAGACGCATGGTGGAGGTATCTCGACTGGGTCACCAGCAGGACTAAGAGGTCATCGACATCAAGATGATGTAGTGTCAGATGGACTACGAAACTGCCAATGTCAACACCATACTGCTTAGCACGTGAGTAAATTACGGAGGGGAAGTTGATGAAGACACTTTAGGCTTAGTGAGAGTGCTGCCTGCATGGCTGTGTAGATCAAAGTCAGACGCTCCGGAACGGTCCGTGGATTCACTCTAAGGTTGTTGCCACGCTGTCCGCGTCCACCATTTTAGTGGCAGAAACTTATGCGACTTGCCGTCGGGCTTGCTAACCAAACGTTGTAGCGACGCCTATCACCAGGATCAAGGCCTTCACTAACCAATGTCGCCCGACCTTGCCCCTTGCCAGCATGCGCAAAGCCATGATATGCTTGTCGCCAGAACATTGACAGCTTCGCAGGTAGGCCAAGTTATTGGGCGCAGCAAGCGCAGCAAGCGCAGCAAGCGCAGCATCCAACATCACCGCGCGAACCTGCGGTGTTTTGGTAGCACTACTGCACCCCGCAACTGCAGCGGCCGCGAAGAGCTGCTGCATCAGCTGAAGGCACAGACAATACTGCAAAGGAGACAATGCCGAACGAAGAAAAGATTGAGGAGGAGACAGGAAAAGTGACCGTGAACGAAGAGAAAGAGTGTGAGAAGGCTGGCGGTGAGAAAGAAGAGAACAACGAGGAGGACAGCCTGGACGCCTACTCGACAGAACCTGATGACGATAGCGACTGGGATGAGAGCTGGATCGAGGAGGCAGCCTTGGAGAAGCTGTCTCTCGATGACTGAGCCCGCCAGTGGCATCGCGAGGTTCGAAGAAAGAGATTAAAGAAAAAATAGACAAGATACGGAAAAAGACGAGACCCAGAGCTCGATTCCAACCACCCGCATCATCCATGTAGAATTACTTCATTTCTTTATTGTAGCAGTAGTTTGAGAGTCGACGTTGTATAACTTACAAGGTGAGGCTGTGATGCTTGCTTGTTCCAATCAATGACCATACCTCGAGTTGTTTGCCAAATCGACGCGTTCCAACAACCCTAATGCACGAATGGAGACACAGTATCGTCGTACAATGCCAGAGAAGATATCAGATTAGCTTTTCAGTGAAGTCGAGTCGACATTGTTGAGCTTGCGGAGCTAGGCTAAATGGGTTGCTTCTGCACAACCGTACCGAGTTTTCGAGCTCCTCTCTTCCATTGTTTGTGGTAACATTCTAGAAAGCCTAATTTTCCATAGAACAGTTGCGTCAATAGCTTATCAAGCTCACCGTTCCTGCATATTCAAGCTACTAGTTTGATCTTCTGAATCCGAACACTAACTCGTGATTTTCTTGAGTCGGAAGTGGAAGCACTAGATGCAGAAAGATATCTGTTGTCGGCTTTAAATTGTCGATCTCTACTCACCTTTCACCGCATCGGCGACTATCCAGCATGGGTCGTCTCATGACATTAGCGACGTGTTCGCTCAACCAATGGGCAATGGACTTCTCAGGAAATAAAGCTCGCATAATTGAATCTATTAAGAGAGCAAAGTCTGCTGGTGCCACTCTCCGTGTAGGTCCCGAGCTCGAGATTACTGGTTATGGCTGTCTCGACCACTTTCTCGAAGGTGATACCTTCCTTCACAGCTGGGAAATGATGGCTCAGATTATCGAGGACCCCATATGTCAGGACATTGTTTGCGATGTTGGCATGCCTGTACGGCATCGCAACGTACGGTACAACTGTCGAGTCATATTCTACAACAAAAAGATATTATTGATCCGACCTAAGCAATTCTTGGCTAATGATGGCAATTACCGAGAGATGCGATATTTCACACCTTGGAGTAAAGAGAGGTATCTGGAGGACTACTATCTGGAAGAGACGGTCAGGAACATTACTGGTCAGAGAGTGGTACCATTTGGTGATGCCATTATCAGCACGTTGGACACGGCTTTCGCAGCTGAGACATGTGAGGAGCTCTTCACCAGCAATGCCCCTCACATCCACCAAGGTCTTGACGGTTGTGAGATTTTCACTAACAGCAGCGGTAGTCACTTTGAGATAAGAAAGATTATGACGAGATTGACGTTGATGACTGAAGCTACAAGATTGAGCAAAGGTGTCTATCTATACTCTAACCAGAAAGGTTGTGACGGAGACCGGCTCTATTATGACGGATGCAGCATGATCATCGTGAACGGGAAATGTGTTGCTCAGGGCTCTCAGTTCAGCTTGCATGATGTCGAGGTCATTACTGCGACCATCGACATTGAAGAAGTACGCTCAGCTCGATTTGCACCATCTCGAGGTATACAGGCCCAAAACCAACAACCTTACCCACGAATCGAAGCTGATGTCGCTCTCTCTGAACCAAAGTCTGGCCCCTCGCCAGTCGATCTGAGCCCATCTGAACCCATATCAATTCAAGCTCACTCTCCACCTGAAGAAATTGCTCTTTGTCCAGCTCTGTGGCTGTGGGACTACCTTCGTCGAGTTGGTGTGGCTGGCTTCTTCATACCTCTGTCAGGTGGCATTGACAGCTGCGCAACTTCGGTCATAGTCTTCAGCATGTGCCGACTTGTCCACCAAGCAGTTCATAGCACCACGATCCATCCGGCCACCAAAAGTCAAGTGATCGCCGATTGTCGCAAGCTATGTGCAAAACCAGACAGTTGGCTACCGTCCTCACCCCAAGAAATATGCGGTGCTCTTTTTCACACATGCTTCATGGGCAGTGTCAACTCCTCCTCCGAGACTCGCTCAAGAGCAAAGAGGCTAGCGAAAGACATTGGTGCTTACCATACGGATCTGAATATTGACACGGTAGTGGACGCGCTGACAGCACTCTTCACAACGGTTACATCCTTTACCCCAAGATTTAGACTTCACGGTGGCTCACCTGCCGAGAACTTGGCGCTCCAGAACATTCAAGCTCGTCTGAGGATGGTCATAGCATATCTATGGGCACAGCTATTGCCAACAGTGCGACAGCGTCCTGGTGGTGGAGCTCTGCTTGTACTAGGATCAGCAAACGTCGACGAGCAATTGAGAGGGTATCTGACGAAGTACGACTGCAGTTCTGCTGATATCAACCCAATTGGTGGTATTTCCAAGACGGATCTAAAGTCCTTCATTGCGTATGCTAGCAAGGCTTTTGACCTGCCCGTACTCGACGAGTTCCTCGACGCAACACCAACAGCTGAGCTTGAACCAATCACGGAGAGTTACGTACAGTCTGACGAAGCAGATATGGGCATGACCTACGCCGAGCTGTCTGTCTTTGGTCGACTAAGAAAAGTGTACAAACTTGGTCCATGGGGCATGTACGAGCGACTTCTGTACAGCTGGGGTAAACCTGTACCGGAAGACCAGAAAAGTATGGCAGAGGGTAAAGAAGGTAAAGGCGTCGATGCAGTCGGTCAGCAAACTGTCGGCTCTACTCCAGAGAGTGCGGATGCAAGTCACCTCATCAATCCTCGTGGACTATCGCCTCGAGAAATTCGAGATAAGGTGCTGCGATTCTTTCACTTCTTTCAGATCAACAGACATAAAGCTACAATTCTACCACCTGGCCTGCATTTGGAAGAATACTCACCTGAGGATAATCGATTCGATCTGCGACCGTTTTTGTACCCGAGTGTCTGGACTGGTTGGGCTGCTGGGAAGATCGATCGGCACGTAAAAGAGCTAGAGGAGAAGAAGACGAGATAGACATGCTTGACCAGATAAGAAGAAAGATTCAAAATCTGCTGAGAATCGTAGCGAGACGTGCTTCAGAGTAGAACAACCGGACTGAGCAAGCCACCTCTTGTCAAAGCATTGTCAAGTTGTCAACTACAATCTAGGGTGAACTTCCTTCTCTACCCAAATCGTATAAATCCTGTTGATCCTCATCAAATGGACAGTAACAGGTCTGCACGACACACCATTGTGGCGTCCTGGAGCAGCCTTTCAGACCTGATAACTAAGATGGGCTCAGCAAGAAACAGAAGCACTAGAAGATACTCATGGCGTTCCAGCCTCCCTCCACCCGATCAACATCCTGCGGCCACGGGCATAGCCACGCCAAATCGGGTCCGAAGATCGCTTGAGAGCAATCATTCCATCTGCTGCACTGGCTGAAATCCCTGGCCGGACCCCATCACTGGCCACGACATCAAGCAAATATACGAAGTGGTCCCGGAACCATGATGTCTTCAGTGGAGAAACGCGAAGATATTCGCTGAGTCGCGCTGGCCGAGAATCAAACACCATAAGAACGACATTATGGTACTACCCAGAAATGACAAAGTGCCAAATGAATCCAGAGATAGATATTGACTTGAGGTCGGGATTGAGGTCAGGCTAGCTGCACTGTGCCTTCTGTCTCACTGCAGACTGTGTCCTTGTAGTTAGGTATACTGTAGCAACATATGTTCTCCAAACTAGCCAGTTCACCACGAAAGCGATTAGAGTATACCATTTGAGTTTTGTAGAAATACTGACTGGGTCCAAAACACGTAGCGACAAAGAGAACGAAGGTCCCAAAATTGGATGCAGCTTATCATATCATTATTGGTTAAATTATTGGTCTCGAATCTAAAAACTCATGCCATCGCTTGAACGCTCACAATTCCCCAAAACGATTTTCGTACAATTTTGTCACACATAGAACCACGGTAGACGATTCAAGGCGGGTTCGTCTAGAAATGATGGTGGCTCGCGTACGAGTACACTCTTCCAAACTCCTCTCTCTTGGCTCGTGTCTCAGCTCGACTAGCTCGAGTACCGGTTCTGCTGAGCTGAGGTCTACTTCTTGTCCTCGTGGTCGCAGCTGTCACTGGTGCATCAGTCCGGCTCTCGTGAGTATCGATCCTCGACATGTCGACACGGTCGCCTTGCTCGTTCTTCTCTTCGTTGACTTCCTCGTCTTGTCCAGTTTCCTCCTCTTCCTCTTCGTTGAGCTCCTTCTGTTGCGCTCGCATGTCGGACATGATCTTGTGTGCTTGAGCGGCATACTTGCATTTTAGCCTGATTGGCTCACCGTACTTGTAGAAGAGGTAAGGGAATGGTGTGCATGCCAACGCGAGGAAGGCAGGGATAGTTGAAGCCCAATGAATACCAAGACTGCTATACATATCGGCTGTGAAGAGTGGAAAAGCGGCGCCAAAGAGAGACCTGAGGACAGAATTTGCGGCCAGTACAGAGGCGGCGTATATCGTATAGCTGTCGATCAGGTAATTCATCAATGCTAAGAACAACAATACCATGCCAAAGCCGAAGGGCACTGTACCTAATATACAGACGATCCAGTGAATACTTGGATAGTTTGTCCAAGCAAAGACGAACAAACCAATAGGTAGAGCCACGGAGCCAACGATGGCAGGTGGAAGTCGGGCTTCTGGTGGTGCTTCTCCATCGTGTTCATCTTCAACTTTGACATAGCGAGAGTTGTCCCAGATGGCGTAAGCAACGCCGATGAGCATACCAACGGCGACACCGAGGAAAGCCAAGCCACCAATGCCCTGGCTCCATCCGCGAGTTTGTTGAAACACAATGGGGAAAGCACCGAAGAGCATATAAAGAATTCCGTAGATGATGGCCATATAGATGCTGATCAAGAGGACAATAGGTTCGAGGAACAGAAGAGCCCAAGGTCGAGTCAGAGCCTTCTTGAAAGCAGCTTTAGGAGTGGTCTTGCCTTGTCTCTTCTCCAAGACGGAGATGTATTTCTTGCCAGTCATTTTGCTCAGCTTCTCAGCGCGGCGTCGTAGGATGACGGGAGAATAGGTCTCGGGGATGACGAGTGTGCCGAAGATCCACAAAACTCCAGTGAAAATGGCCATGACACCTTCCACCCATCGCCAGCCGATCGTCTCTCCTACAAAACCTCCAACAATAGGTCCAATGACAGGACCTAAGAAGGGAGCAGCTGCAAAGATACTCATGCCGATACCTCGCTGATTGGCAGCCATTAGGTCAGCAATCACGCCACCTGCATTGGTAAGTGGAGAGGAGCCAAAAGTGCCGGCCAAGAAGCGCAAGATGATCAGACCATAGGGGGTCTTAACACCCGCCGCGGCAGCATTGAATATTGTAAGCATCATATAAGTTCCAGCGAACAGAATCTGTCGTCCATAAATCTCAGATAGCGGCGCCCACAAAAGAGGTCCAATTGCAAAACCCAGGACAAACAACGAGATACCAAGGACAGACACCTCTTGAGATATGCCAAACTCTTGTATGACCTGTCTCGTTGCGCCGGAATATGCAGAGGAAACGAAGGCGACAGCAAGAGTCGCGACCGCCATAGTCATGACAATGAACCACTTCTTGACCTGGCCAAATTCCATAGGATTGCGAGGGTCGTTGGGAATGAATTCGACGACATAGGGGTCTTCCTCGGTACCGTTGCCCTTGTATTTGTGATTGATTACTGCATCGGTAAGCAGCGTTTGTGACCAGACCAGACGCCAATGTGGAACCTTCTCTTTCACATGATGTTGTTGTTGTGCGTGTTGTTGCTTCTCTGGATCGGCGTTCTGCTTTTGCGCAGCTCGTTCTGGGGAAGCTACAGGTCGATCGTTTCCACCCAGTGTGTTGCCTGTCGAAGTGGTCGATAATGACGCTGCTGTACTCGTTCTGTCAGTGACAGGTGACAGAGGCCGTGCCTGAGACATGATGGCGAGATTGTAGGCTTCGTCCACCTAGTCGCACAATCGCAGTCGTGAGGTTCTTCGGAAATGATTAAGACGTAGTTGATCTCAGGGAATGTAGGATTGATGCAGATATATTGCAACCAGGACTGACGACACTCTATTCATGTTGTCGGCCCCGACCTGAACAAAAAAGAGTTTGCGCAGGAGATAGCAACGGTTCCTCCGTGCAGTGCAGAAAAGATGTCATCCCTCACAAAGACTTGATCGCATTTTGAATCAATTCGGTGCCGTTTTGCCGTGAGGTCATTCCTATTGGCTGATCGGCAATCAAGGTCACTTAGCTTCCGAGCTAAGAACAGAAAATTACATCATTCCGCTCGCACTTGCCGCTCTTTTTGCTTGGGTCGAAACTTCCAGCTTCGCTGCAAACCTCGACCGAAACGTGTTTTATGATTCACAACTTGCACAATCCCGTGTGCACTCGGATGTGAGTGCTGTGTAGTTCAGTCCACCGTGTCGATCTGAAACACGTCTTGCCCGGCCTTGACACGCTCAATCGAACAAGTTCCACCGTCTGTGCCTCGGTTCCGCCCCTGCCCCATTAGTAAGACAATGCAAAGAGCTTTTCTCATTCATGCAGCACCTTCCTGCTCCAGCAGTGATTCTTTGATTCTACAGATGTGTAACGATATGTCTGGTCGAAATTCATCCGGCACTCTCGCGCTTTCCGTCCGAATAGACGACTGCAATACAAGTAAGACTGTGAAATCCAGGATGTATTATGAGCGAACATTCAATACTCACTTCCTTTTACTCGAGTACCATCCACCTAATTTTGGCGGCCCTCCCTACTTTCCCAGCCCAATGCTGTTCTAATGTTTGAAGGGCGTAAAGCTCTGAGGCCTATAGAAGTGTCCGATGCTACACACCAACGCAGACTTTGTACCTTGTTATGTTGACCTCCGCTAGGCAGGTTTCGTACACGATGGACACAAACAAGAGGTAGCCCCGAGTTAATATCACCACTCGAGAATCAATGGTAGGTGAATATGGAATAACTGTATTTATCGCCAGAATTCACGAGACACTTACGACATTGACTTAATGCCTGGAGCTCAATTTAGTGTTCATTGTCATGTGGAAAAGGTGCCAATATGTATCTGCAGCATGTGGCACATGTTTCGAAAAAGAATCCGAGACGGCGTTGAGGTTTACACTCAGCTGGCTGATACATTCTATGGGGTGAAAGAACGAGGTGGCTCAATCATGACCGCGTCCGGCTGGTCAGGCGTTTGGTAGAAATTAACTGTCCGTCACAGGCAAAGGTGCAAGTCTCAACAAATCTCGGATCTTCACTGAAGCCGTCCATCTCAATTGACTGCCTTCACAACCCCGAACTCCTTGCGAGAACCATTCTCATCAGAATCCACTGTCTGCTACCCAGGCACCATGCACGACTTCGGATTCGTTCCTCTTGCTATGCTAGGTCTTCTCAGTGAGTGATGAGTGGCACTGCTTCTTCCGAAACGCAAACTGATGTGTCACCATCACAGGCCTAGCAATTGCCTCTCCACTTCAGTCGAAAAGCAACATTGACTTGTCAAATGATCCTGCCACTTCGAAAGAAATTCAAGTCGTCGACAATGAAGTTGTAGGTGGAGGGCAGATGTTATCTCCAAGCGCAATGGCTAACAGTTTTACAGGCTCCTCAGAACGAGATTTCAGCGGAAGCCTCTATCCCGAGTAGTTGCCACATCTCCTCAGGCCCGGAGATAGGGTTATATCCCGGTAACGACTATGCCATGGTCTGCATCGACGATAAAGGCTGTACCATGTCTTGCCAGGGCACCTACGGATACTACTGCGACAGTCGTGTAAAACTGAAAAGAGACTCAAGCAGGAACAAGGACTCACTGCCCATCTGCGAAGAGTTCTGTGAATGCATTAACCTCAATCCAGCTCCAAAAATGCTCCCAATCTGCGCTGTAGACTATACGGGCAAGAGCTACTGCACTTCGGGAAACAAGAACGCTCGAAGAGATCTGGCCATCCCCTCCGATTCCGACATCGCACTAGTTGGTAACGACTTCGCCTTGGTCTGCTTTCGCGACAAGGTCTTCACTGTCACTTGCCAGGGAACCTACGGCTATTACTGTGACGCTCGTGGAAGTCTCAAGCGGGATTCAAGCGCAGGCCAAGAGAAAGCCAGAGTTTGCGAGCGAATGTGCGAGTGCATTAACATCAACCCGGCTCCGAAACTACCAGTCTGCGCTGTAGACTACACGGGAAAGAGCTATTGCGCAGGGGCAAGGGCTGGAAAAGAGATTTGGCCATTCCCGCCAATTCCGACGTGGCATTGTATTTCGGCAACAATTATGCCATGGTTTGCATGATGGATCGGGAGAAGACCACTCTGTGTCAGAAGACTCATGGATATTTCTGTAATAGCAAAGGCAAACTACAGAGAGAGGCAACCCAGGGTCAAAAGCCTCTGCAGGTATGTGAATGGTACTGCGAGTGCGTCAATCTCAACCCGGCCCCGAAGATTCCACAATGTTACGTGGACTACACTGGGAAGAGTTACTGTGTGTAATTCCAGGGGAAGCGTGCAACGGAACCAGTAAATAGTTGAATCAATTCTACATAAGAATTGCTGTTCTGTTCTTTAGATGCCGGAAATGCATGCAAAGCGTGCACGATTGGAAGTAACGATTCACATTGCGAGGTAAGTGCGACCTAAGACTTTCCTAACCGAAAAATCGCCTTCCGATAACACGTAGTACTCTTTAACTCTTCTTCCTCTCATAAGTGTCTCAGACTTTGCTGCAATACAGACGTCTTGGCTGTGGAATCAGTTCACAGGCTACGATAAACAGACTCAAGCCTCCGCAATGGACGAAGATCCTGATGCAGACATGCTCGATGTTGGCTCGCCAACACTAATTTCTAGTAGCTCCGTGTATATTCCCTCAGCAGCAAACCTCAAGGTCCTCAATTTCATCGAAACCACCTTCGACAACATTATTGCTGGACTCGAAGTCGAACGACCACCCTTCGGCGAGGTCGCGGTGCATCTCATGCGTATAACAAGAAGCAAAAGCAGAGCGAAAAGACACGACCGCAGTGGAGCCGAGCTGAACGCTGGTAGTAGTGGTGACGATGAATCCAGTACAAAGATCCGCAGTCGACAGGTCAGGTACTCCTGGCCAGGTGATACTGCGAAAGAAGCAGAGCGCTTTGCTTACTTGTTGGCCATCCTGGGTGAGATCCGGAGTGCGATCTTGAGTGGCGTAGTTGTGACAAAACGAGATATCTATTACCATCAGCCGGAGTTGTTCGGGAAGCAGGAGGTAGTAGATAGGTGGATCGACGATATTGCTTTTACTTGTGGTGTGACGAGGAAGGACTTGATGGTTACTGCTAGTCCAAAGGGGTTGGTTTGTGGGCTGTGTGTGGAGGAGAGAGTGCAGAGCGTGCCGATGAACTTTGACGAAATTACTGGTGAGGATGTGAGGCATTTGAATTGGATTCTGGTGGTTGAGAAAGAAGCTTCGTTCAAGACCTTGGTCGAGAGCAATTTCGATCAGGCGTGTGCTCTCGGCGTCGGGATGCTGGTTACTGTAAGTTCATCTATTACTCCCCTCTTCCTGATTCGACCCAAGATCTCGTCTGCTGCTGAAACATCTGACCTTCTGCAGGCGAAAGGCTATCCCGACCTTCAGACACGCAGCTTCTTGCGTCATGTTCTCAATATTTCTGCCCTGCTTTCACCAATTCCAATCTTCGGTCTCTTCGACGGCGACCCAGATGGCCTTGAGATCCTCCGATGCTACAAGTCCGGGTCAGATGCTCTAGCACAAGAGGCCATCTACAACTTGCCGGAGGTGAAGTGGCTAGGCGTCGATGTATGTGAGTTCCTCGGCAACCCTCAGGTAATGAACGAGGCAGTAGCTCTCACTTCCAGAGATCGAAATCGCGCCAAGGGTATGCTAAGCAGGATTCATGTTCGAGATGCCAGCGCTCAGACCGCTAGCACGAAACGCATGCTGCAAATGATGTTGATGCTTGGGAAGAAGATGGAGATTCAAGCACTGTCCAAAATCGATGGAGGCCTCTGTGGATGGCTCGAGAAGGCAGTGACCGTAGCCTGACAGGGTGGGTATGCTTGGGATCGTCCAAGGCTCATTGTTCAGTTGACTCGTGTAATTCAATGTGTTTTCTTCCGTCAGGTCTTTTTCTTGATTCACAGTCCTAGACTCCTCCTCACACTTTCTCTTACTCTCTTGTTAAAGTCAAGCCTTCTTTCTCTCCACATCTTCGCAGCTTCCACGTTTGCAGGACTCTCGTCGTTTGGCTCAGCAAGCATGCTCATGACCGATATCAGAATCTTTTCCACACTCTGTATCGGACTCCATCGCTCTGCTGCACTTTCGTAGTGGTTCGGGTCGTCACCAGGTGGATGTAAGATACTGATACAGACCTCACCGTTCGCATAGACTACCACACCCCGTCAGTAATTCTTGTTACTCATCAAGAGAGCCAGACTTGCCATTAGGATGATAAAGCTCACCGAGGAACTTCATCTTCGGCGGATTGAGTGGATAATCCTTTGGGAACTTCAGTTCTGCTGGAAAGATGCCTCCTTCATATGGTGTGCCTTCTGGACCTTGAATGAGCGCTTCCCACACGAACATGTCATCCTCGGTGACCGGACCCGCGGTTATGCCGTCTGGTGGTGAGGTGAGAAGAGCTTTGTATTCACTGAACAGTCTCTTCGAGGCGACTGACGTGGCTGCCATTGTGTAGGATGTCTTTGGCGGCAAGAAGAGGATAGGTACCGAGGCTAGAGCTGTCGAGTTGTGCAGAACAATGCGGGTAGACAACTTAAACCTGTCGTTGCCAAATAATCGATAAATGTTTCCCGACTACAACAATACCGGCTGGAAGTAGCAAAGGACCAAAGATCGTGATTCGGCAATCACATGTAGGAAGTCTAATCGAGGCATGCAGGCACTTTCGCAAACTAGAATCCACCTTGTCACTCTCAAGAGGTGACGAGTGTCACCATTCGGACGTCTCCAAACCAGACCATCGGACTTTGTGGAGATAAGAACAGCTCTAATGCAGCCTCCTTCCCGAATCGTGCATGCAGGAGACACGAGTCGCGCATGATCTGCGTCACCAGACGCGTCCATCGCTCTTTCCTTCCTGCTTCCTGTATCATCGCAAGTGCCTTCTTTCGAGCTCACTGTCAATGTGCTTCGTCTACGCCGACAACATGGTTCGCAAAACATCTTCTGGCTTCTTCCGCTCTACTCCAGACACTGAGCTGCCTTACCGTGTAGCTCGTGGCTACGATCGCTTGAACACCACTCACTTCTCGTACTCATCCTCGAGCTCATCGTTTCCACGTTTTGAAGATCAGAAACCAATCAAGAAAGAATTCGATCCATCACTATATACCCTCCCATATGTCAATTTTATGACCGATAACCCGACAATCTTCCATGCAGTAGATGCCTTGACGAAGAGGCTCGAGAAGCACGGCTACAAGTATCTCAGTGAACGAAGCCTGTGGGACATCAAACCAGGTGGAAAATACTACACTAAGCGCAATGACTCTTCGTTCATCGCCTTCAACGTAGGCAAGGAGTACAAGCCAGGCAACGGTGTCGCGATCGTCGCAGGTCATGTCGATGCTTTGACTGCTAAGCTGAAGCCAGTAAGCAAGGTGCCGAACAAGGCCGGCTACATTCAGCTTGGTGTTGCTCCATATGCTGGTGGTATGAATACTACATGGTGGGATCGTGATCTCGGGATAGGTGGTCGTGTTCTGATCAAGACATCCTCTGGCAAGGTCGAAACGAAGCTCGTCAACTTAGGCTGGCCCATCGCGCGAATACCTACCCTCGCTCCTCATTTTGGTGCTGCTGCTGTGGGTCCTTTCAATAAAGAGACGCAAATGGTCCCCATAATAGGCATCGACAATTCAGATTTGTACCCAGAACAGTCGAAGAGTTTGGGTACAGAAAGTAAGATCAAACCAGGTACATTCGCAGCTACACAGCCACCCAAGCTGGTTGATACCATATGCAAGAGCATAGGAATTCAAGACTACTCAGACATTGTCAGTTGGGAGCTTGAGCTTTTTGACATTATGCCTGCTCAACTAGGTGGTCTAGACCACGAATTCATCTTCGCAGGAAGAATAGACGACAAGCTGTGCTGCTTTGCAGCCGTCGAGGCTTTAATAGCTTCAGAAAACAATGAGTCGACTGGTATTATCAAGATGGTTGGTTGCTTCGATGACGAGGAGATTGGAAGCTATCTGCGACAAGGTGCTCGAAGCAATTTCATGGATAGCACAATATCTCGCATCGTAGAGGCGACCAACCACGAGACCCTCGGACCTAACCTGAAAGGCCAGGTTTTGGCAAACAGCTTTCTGGTCAGTAGCGACGTCATTCATGCTGTCAATCCAAACTTCTTGAATGCCTATCTGGAAAATCATTCGCCTAGACTTAACGTCGGAATTGCTGTCTCGGCAGATCCTAATGGCAACATGACTACCGACAGTGTATCGACAGCTCTTCTGAAACGAGTCGCTGAGAAATGCGGCAGTATTCTCCAGGTCTTCCAGATTCGAAATGACAGCAGGTCTGGTGGCACGATCGGTCCAATGACGAGCAGCGCGCTAGGTTGCAGAGCCATCGACTGTGGTATCCCGCAGCTGAGCATGCACAGTATTCGTGCTACCACAGGTAGTCTGGATCCCGGTCTTGGTGTCAAGTTGTACAAAGGCTTCTTTGACTATTACGAGGAGGTTGATAAAGAGTTCGAATAGCTGCCCTAGTCCTCGAGCACCTTTGTCTTTTGCTCCTACGTTGGCTGATTATCGTACTAGCTTGGCTGTTGTGTAACCATGGATCGATCTCGGACACCCGCTAATTCTCCTCACAACATGTTGGGGCCCTCTCCTTTTGTGAACTCTGAACCATCTGTGTTCCAGACGTCTGAAAAAGAGCTCGAATTCCAGGTTACATCCGACCCGCCCTGTCGGCAAATACCTAAGACGTGGATCGTGGACATTCAAGCAGATTCTATATCTATGGATGCCTCCAATGCACAAATGGGGGAATTGTTCGAAGAGCAGGAGAGAATGCGAGACTGGGAAATCGTCTCCGCTAAACGCTGTGGTTGGGAATGGTTTCGCGTCAAGAGACCGCGACCTGAAAAAGGAACCGCAGAGCACCATGCCGTTGTTAAGAGACTCGGAAGCAAGCCATGGGCAATACAAAGTGCGGGACTGCAGGTGCGATGCGAGCAGGCGAACGAAGAAGGCGGATTCGTGAAGCACGCGCACGAGACGCGTTGTTCAAGGATGAGGAAAGGAATTGCATGTTGAGGTTCGTTGAGCCATGAGAATAGCTCACATGTAATTTTGGCAGTTTTATCACACGTAGTGGAAGCAATGCAGAATTCAAATTTACTGCCTTCTCAGTCTTAACATAGCATCATAAAATATCTATGCTGTTCAACCTAACTACTGCCTACTCATTCCAAACAACCGACGACACCTCTCCCTCAATCCTAGCCATAGCAACAGGCTTAACAATCAATCCTGTAACCACATCTCTACTGAACACCACAACCTCACTACTCTTCTGTAGCCCCACAGCAATCAAGTTTCCAGCCTTGTTAGTGCTGAAATGTCGAGGGTAGCTACCATAAGCCGGCGCAGCCTGGACAAACATCAAGCTGCCGTCGCCATTGAGGGCGAAGGTCGAGATACTGTCTGACTTGATCGTTGCTGATTTGTCTTTGTTTGGAGGGTTGAAAGTTGTGTCGTTGCGGTTGCCGATGAGGAGGAAGCGGTTGTCGGGCTAGAAAATCACAACAAGTGTTAGTATAATATACACGGTATAGGATAATGAATGGGAAAGGAGACTGGAGAATGTCAAAACTTACCGAAACACTAATCTCGCTAGGCGCATTGCGTTGAGGACTGACGAGATGACCCAGGGCGTTCTGGGTGTCCTTGAGCTCGAACCGTAAACCGGCATTGTTCTCGCGATAGCTGACTTTATACGAGGCAACAGTTCCACTGATCTCATTAACGACATACAAGAAGGTCGTGCAGTTTTCGCACGAAACACCATTTGGTGTCCAGAAGGCGGCGTGGCGAGGACCGGCGCCTGGGTCGGTGACAAGGGAGTCGAGCGGGTTCAGAGCAAGGTTGTCGCTGTTATAGGAGAAGACTCGGATCTGGTCGGTGCCTAGATCAGGGACGAGCATGTATTTTCCTGTTGGGTCGAGGATGGCTTGGTGAGGATGAGGAGCGTTCTGTCGGTCGGCGACTGGACCTGGGCTGGCGGTGAAGGTTTGGGAAGAGCTGAAGTCGACGCCTGCGTCGCCTGGACCGGCAGCCTTGAGTGTGTAGGTGCTGATCGCGCTGCCGTAGTGGGCGAGGACAATACCTCGTCTGCCTGACGGGTTGCCGTATAGTGTGGCGTGGACTGGGCCGGCGAGAGTTGTGAGGTTTTGGACGTGAGATAGTGAGCCGTCTTGGTTGACTCTGAAGGAGCTAAGGGAGCCATTTGAAGTGGCCATGCCCTCGTTGACGCAGAATAGAAGACCGTTGGTGGCGTCGAGAGTGAGCCATGAAGGAGATGTGCCGCACTCAGTTGCGTTGTAGGTGGGAGTCAGAGAGTATGCGCCGTCCTTCTCGGTGAGGGCTAGAGATGTGACGTTTCCTGCGTAGGAGGAGACGAAGAGCCTGCTAGCGGACGCTGCTGCCGCGCATAGTGCAAGAGAGATCAGTCTCGAGAAATTCATGTCGATTTCAGTGTTATGCAAGAAAGCTGCAGAAAATGCTAATTCAGTTCACGCGAATAGAAGTTAGCACAACGAACAGTCAGTCCCAATGCCTCCTGGGTATATCACGAAATTGGGTATTCGGTCATGGTCGAACCATTCATTGTTGTTCAGATGACTCCTTTGTCGCTAACTCCCACGTGTGCCGTCTTCGATATCATGTTGACATTGGGTTAGAAGTGTTTCCACCTTCCTTTGTTGCGACAATGAGCCGGTTCATGATTGAATTAGCAGAGAAGCACGTTCGGCACCAGGGAGCTCAGCCGCCATCGCCATTCTCCATCAATCACATCCTTGAGCAGTTATCCGACGTCACTCGTTGTCGATAAACTCAACATCACGACGATGTAGTATGATAGTATCTCCAATCAGACTATGATTGTCAATGGCGCTCAAAATACAGAATTGAGAAAGAGCTTGAATTGTTGTTCCCAATTTATTGATATCTCTACAAGTAGCAATATTGCCGGCTACATAGTATGTAACATCCCAGGTACTGGCTACTTTCAGCAACTGGTACGGGGTATCTGAAAGGCCGAAACCACACTTGAGAACGTAACCATTCGCTTGGAGGATTTCTGCTCGCAATTAACAGGCAATCGCCAAGTCAGCGAGGAGAGCAGGGTGACCGTCGCCTTCCTCATTGCTCACACCATCTCGATAACGTTGCATATTGTGGTACCGTGCCACTGGCAAGAAGTTGACCTCAACTTCAAGCATGCAATGAAACTTGCATATTAAAATCCTAATTTAGTTCAATAGCAATCGTGAAAACTTTTCGCTCGTATAGTACTGTAGTCCCAAGCATGAATAATGCTTTGGATGAATTTCCAGGTATGTCCTCTCTCCTTTGTTCAATTTCGTGCTTGCACTTCCTCCATACCTATCTTGAGCGCTTTCAGGGCACGTTCCAGCTGCGTTGCATGTACTATCACGCTACCCGCCTTTGCAGAAGACAAGAAGCTGATTTCAATGGCGTCAGTATCATCTGATACTTCACCAAGCTCATGCGAAACAGTGCGCTGTGTTAGTCTTCCTGCGACACCACCTACGATACCAGTCGCTTGCCATCCTAAGCTTCGTAGATCCAGTGTGATCGGAACAAGGACATCCTCCTGAGATTTCGAGGCAAGAAGTGTGGAGCCGAAATGTGGTAAAAGTCGGTCTTCCATCAGGATGCTAATTGGTTCATTGGAAAGAGTCACGGACAGAAACGATGCAGAGATGTCATGAGATTCGTTGTTATCGAGATCTGAAATCAACAATCCTGGTGTTGTATGATTGACTCTATGCTTGCAGTCTTTGCTGCTTTTCTTACATGAAAGGAAATTCGCGGCAAGAAGAACCTGCATGAGATGCTCTTTCAGCTCTTGTGCTTCAGCTAAACTCGAGTTCCTGTTACCGGCACAATTGACCAGCCGCAGCTTCGGATCGACAAGAGGACTTATGCCATTCTTTATCAGCTTCGTGAAAGTCCGTATCTGGAGTTCTGGGATATCCTTGGCAGGTGGAGTGGTTGGTGCAGGGCTCGAGCTCGATGGTGGACGGCTCACATCAGAGTCTGAAGATGAACTAGTTCGTGGTCTTCCTTGGAGGCCTCCTGGGCTGTGATGATGCAATATCGGCGACAGCTGAGATACATATGCTTCTGCTTGTGGGGAGAAAACAAAGCCTCGCTGCTGTAACGTGGTCACTACAGTATGCCTTGCTTTGACTGGTACCAGGATGTAGTCACTGAAGTATGTTGTGATGAAGAAGATAGAGATTCCGGCCATGGCCAAAGGTCCAGTCAACTCAAGCACTCTCTGGTCTGCATCGAGACCTTCACCTTCGACCTGAACAACAACGTACTCTTCAGTACTGATCTCAACACCATTAGCTTTTGCCGTCGAGTTGCTAAGAAGGGCGTTGAATTGATCGATCAAGGGCGCCAGGTACTTGTCAATCAAGGGTTTGGAACACATTAGCGAGCAGCCCACAGGAGTAATGCTCAGGTTGAGAAAGTGGTGTCGATCGGTCCAAGGTATATTGGTGGCGTCCTCCTCATATCCGAGATTGAATAGTATGCAGAAGAGTGGCTGTACGAAGAAGTGATAGAACTCGATAGGGATGTGGACAACCACTAAGTGGGAGGACTTCTCGACATGTTAGCAATCACTCCACAGACAGGACATACTCACTAGAAACGTGATTTGTGCTGTCACAAGGTTAATAGAATCGTCCATGCTTGCAGATTGCACCTCAGTGTATTGGTTGGTTTTTGCGAAGTGCCAGTGTCGACACAAGACAAAAAGCCTCAAGAAACCGTAGGGGTCCGGCAGAAGGTCAATGAGAGCGTCGCCATTTTGATGGTGTAGAATCGTTTGGCGAAGATGTATGTGTGAACCTCCAGTCCAGTGTGTCCGACGAGCACAATCGAGCACTTCAATTGAAGTAAAACAAGGTCGAGCAGTCAATAATAAGGTGAAAATCTGTTAGTAGAAGTGCTGCTGGTAGGACACTTCTACTTCAAAGGTCATGTGCTACAGATCATGATCAGATCGAACGATACTTACACTTTGAACGGAATGCTGGTGAGCAACAAAACTCGAATTTCCTTCTTGCAGTGCCTCGTATCACAGCTCGAAAAGCCCGAAAAAGAAGCAGTATTCTTTGTTGTTGTAGCGTGGGGGAAAGATAGGTTAGCACAAAGACCGAGGAGCGGAGAACCCAAGCAAAATGACGCTTTGCTGTGGAGGACTTCCAGGAACAATGTCTCCTGTACCAACCACGTGTACGACCGAAGTCTTGGATGTGGGAATACTCATGCTAATGCAAGTCATTCTGCGAAACTATGCTCACCTGCAAGGATTCCAACTGGAGGTCCAGTCATTCGTAAATGGGAAGCTGCGGCATTATGTCTTCCCCTCGCTGGTGCCTCAGGCAATATGGCATGGCAGCGCTGGCAAGAGGGTGCGGCTCGTGGTTGCGGGAAAGGACAGTGGCGTGAGAAAGAGCCGACGCATACCATATTGTGTAGTTGTGTGACATTTGATTGACAACGTGTCAGTGAGATGTCTTTGCATGTTCCACAGGATGTGGGATTTTCACAAATCGCAGAGCTCAATTGCTAGTTCCTACGTTAAGTACGTCCACACGATCCCCGGTTCGTTCCGTTCGTCCCGTACAGCTTTTTCGGCAAAATCTCTCGGAGACAACGTACTTACATCTAATCCTGCTTTTCTTCATCATTCCCTAGCAAGCTATAGCTTCACCCCTGCATCCGCTGCGGGTAGCTTGTCACATGACTGGACATTAGTTGCTTCCGTTAGTCGCAGCTGCAGCTGTTCCTCGACCACGACCTCCCCTCCCTCTATCTGCACCACGACCTCGCCCCCGACCTCGTCCTCGTCCCGCCGTTCCTTGTTCCAAATTCGCTGGTGGTGGAACGTTGTGATGACCTTTCGGTCGGAAATTGGGGTTGATGTGTACAATGTTTGATTGATCATCACCTCGATCAATCTGGTGATAGCCACCACGATAACCTAATCCTCCTCGTGTGGCGTTCATGTCGTTAACTCCGTTGGTCGTGGATTCGCCGTTTGTTTGAGATCGAAGTGGCAAGCTTGTTGGGTTCGTTCCATTTGGAGCACCTCTTCCGCGGTGCATGTTGCCTCCCCTGCCTCCTGCAACCACAGCGCCCCTCCAGCCTCCTCTAAGAGCTGGTGGCGGCGCTGCATCACGAAGTTGACCTTGACCATTGATTCCTGGCATGCCGTAACCGCCCATAGTCAATGGTGTCGATGAATTTGAGGTAGTCCTATCTGAGCTTGCCTTTGAAGAGGCGATCGCTTGTCTATTTGTCAGATTTAGGACAGACCAAGTAGGCACTGTTGAACCTCTGAAAGGCGAACAGCGGTCATTTAACGACGTCCCACTCATGAATGAAACATCGAAGACAACATCAAGCCATGTCTCTCTTGAGGTCTGAGTGAGTCCGACAACAGTACCTTTGGACGCGATAGGAACTTTGCCAGAGTCCGCGACGTAGATGACACGATCTCCAAGCTGGAATCTTTGCTGCCCCAGGCGCCACTGAGCATCGATGGGTTTCAGTAAAGCGTTTCGGGGGATGCCCCTTACCGTCTTGTTGATAGGAGCTGGTTCCGATGCCACACTCTGGTCTGCTGCAACCTCGATCTGTCTGACTACATTCGAGTCAAGTTGATCAGCGTCAAGAGGGACTCTTTCGAAAGTTCTTGTCTCTATTTCCTTCAGCCACATCTGAATCTTCTTGACCTCCTCATCAGCTTCCTCTTCCGAGTATCCTGGTAAGTATGCTGTAGCTGGGAGCATATCACCTTGTGGCTGTTTCGAGATCATGCCGACAAAGAGCGGGAACTTGTGACAATATTGACTTAACAAGTCGACTGCAGCAGCACTAAACTCCCAACCACTTTGAGTTTTCCTGGAGTAGCCGAGGACTTTCAGTTTCTTTGCTTCGAACTTGAGATTGAGTCCCAGATTGGCTCGACTGTCTCCAACCTTGATCGAGAATGCTGAAGTGATCTTTGCAAGAGCAAGAGGATGCATGCCAAGCTGCTTGGCAACGACAAAGGATGGTGTGTATGGCGACAGACGCTCGGCTTGGTGGGCAATCTCTCTACCAAACTCGACCTGCTGCGCTTTGGATGTAGCAATAATACATACTGCTTTATCATTCTCATGTCCTGTAACGTTGATGGGTCTGCCATACGCGAACTCTCCTAAGAAGAAAGCATTAGTTCCATCCGGGAATTCTTCTTCGATAGGCAGAGCGGCCCTCTCTATGAACCGCTCGTCCTCGCTGATGACCTTCTCAACCACAAGCTGTGGAGCATAAACAGTTTCCAACCCGGGCATGTCTGCAAATTCCTTGACTGTAGAGCCGTCATCTAATTTTCGTAGACCTTTGAGCATCTCAACATGGACAAGTGATTCCACATCACCAGCAAGCATACCTAGGCGCTTGCTGTACCACTTCTCGATACGCTCTGCCTTCTTGTGGAAATCGTCGATCTCTTTGCCACTATGCTCGGACTGTCTAACCTCGCCCGAACGCTCATCTGGCATCGTGTAGTCGAACAACTCGTCAGAAACTTTCACGACCTTCGCCTCTTGAAGGAAAGGATAATTCACGTGGACTCTCATGTTGAGTAACGATTTCGCATAGTCGACTTTGGTTCGCTGTTCAGCGTGTGACAATGTGATCACCATGCTTTCGTTGCGACTGTCTTGCTGGAAGACATTCACGCCATGGAAGCCTAAGGAGCCAGTGTGAGGCAGCGTTTTAAGACTTGGAAACCCAGCTAAAGCTGCTGCGCCGAGTTTGACTCCTTGAACCAAACCCGCATGTGGCTCAAGACCATCCATTATGGGTAGATCAAAGATGTTGTGTACGCAACGACAGTGCTGCAAATCTGGGAATATACCGACCATAGATGAGGGATAGGTATAGTCGACTTCGTCGGAATAGGTGAATTTCAATGATACTCCGAACTCATTTCTCTTCTTTTCAGCATCTGAGAGTAGCGCATCTCGAGGAGCCATGGCACTCAACAAACGCTTTTCGTCAATGAATGGAATCTTGACGACTGCCTCCCATTCCATCTTCTTGCCGTTCATATCAAGATTGAAGTCTCGGGGATAGAAGTCGATGATTGGGGAATCGGGGGAAGTCATAAGTTCGTGGTAAATGGGAGGGACAATCTTCTTGCTTCGATCCGGAAGCACTCCCATGAGCTGTTGGAAAGGATGGAATGGCTGACCAAGGTCAAATTTCATGTCAGCCTTCAGACCTTGCTTGACGTCGGAGATCATGGGCGAATAGTGGTATTGGTAGAACCATGGCCACGACGCCACGCCTTGATAATAATAGAACAGAACCCATTGTAGACCTTGAACGTAGTTTTCGGCCAATCTCCTCAGTTCCTCCTTGTTAGAGGTGTCCCATTCGAATTTTTCTCTGTAGTATGTGTCCTTCCAAGCTTGGAAGTTTTCGTCATACTTCTTTTGCATATCTGCCTGCGCTTGTTCGCTTGTGACATCCTCGACCTTGGCATTCTGATAACGCTTGAGAATACGTGTGATCGCGACTTGCGATTCCACCTCGTCCTCTGCGTCGTCTTCGTCGTCGTCGTCCTTATCCATAGGTGGGAACTCGAGTCTCATGAATCGATTTCCACGCGAGTCCTCCTGTGTTGACCATCTTAGATTGAGGTCTGCTGCAAGTTGTTGGACAAACTTTCTATCACGAGCTGGTAGATCGGAAGGGAGGTCAAGCGGTTGTCTCGTAGCTCGATCTCGGTTGTTTGGATTAATGAAAAAGCTCTTGATGCGTGTGAGCAGGTCTTTCTGATCCGTGGAGATTGACGTTGGCACTTTTCCTGGCTTCACGGTGGAAGTCCCACCGACATCACCTCTTTTGGCCTTTATCCACTTTGCATCCTTGAACTCGTCTTCGAAGAATCGATGCTCCACCTCCGACAGCTCGTCCAGGAGTACAGCAAGTCGCTCCACATTGATAACGCCGTGCTCATTGATATAGCCACCAAGTCTGGGCAGCACCTCCTTGTACTTCTGGAACATGAGCGCCAAGGCTCCTTCGTTGATGTGCAGATTGGGCAAGTTCGGTAGGAAATCATTTCCCACGAAAAAAGCCATCAAAATGAAATCATCGATGATTCGTTCCATGTCATACTTGAAGCTTAAAGCTCCCTTGTTCACCAGTTCTTGAAATTCCAGCTCCAAATACTCGCGCACTATGCAGAGATGGAGTAGGTAAAAGTTCTGGTGTTCCAGCTCCTTCGTCTTCTTGACCTGTCGTCCGAAAGTGACTTCCTCTCGTAAGAGGCAGAAATGTGGATCGTGACTGAGAAGACCCAACATGATTAGGTCGGCGTCCAGGCCGTACAGACAGTGTCGTACGTTTGCATCGTAGCCAGGCTGTGCCTTAGCCTGGCGAATGTATTCCATGATTTTGTGCTCGCCTTCTCCAGGGACTTCGTGACCAGAAAGCACAACTTCCACCCCTTGCCATTCTACATCCTCTGTGACCTTCTTGCTGATGAAATACTTGAGCTGCTCGGTGAGTCGAGCCATGAAATCGGTTCCGGGAGTGATGCAATTGCTGTCGAATGGATCTTCTTTTGGAAGCTCAATTCCCTCCCTGATCGCTTTCTCGCGTGCCTTTTCCGCATCCAGAGCTGTTCGAAATCGTCTAGCACGTTGCTGATTCATTTTAGCCCGAGGTGCTACTCCATCAATAGCCATGTAAAACAGCTTCTTCGGCTTGATCTTCCCGAACAAATGCTCAATGTAGTTAAAGATAGCGATAAACATCTTCTCCTCAGTTAAACGAAACTGAGGCGAATCAGAGTCTTTGTGCGTGCAGTTGTGAATGATACCATTCATGTCGAGGTACAGACAATCGAACTCTGGAATGCGATTTTCTGAGATGAGCTGGGAGATCGCAGGATAGCGCTCACTGAGCCATCTGAAAAACTTTGGGACACCCATTCTGGTGATAGGAAGAAGACCTAATGTGTGCTGTTAATGAGAGATATATCGTTGGTGGTAGAGAAAGACCGCAAGTATACAATTATACAAGGCTCAAACCTGACGCCGAACACAAGAAGATAGTAAAAATGCGTCAATCGCAAATAATAGTCGTGATTCTGAAATTGTTTAGAGATCAAAGGATAACAGTGGCGGTGTTTCGTGATGGTGTCACTGACTCTGTCTCCAGGCACTCAGGCAGCCTCAAGTCGCTGTATCGACTTGCTTGGCGTTACGGCGGCTCTTCGGCAAGTAGTCATTTACGCGTAACGCGTTCCTTCCACTGAGTTCGCGTGCCTATAAACTGCCACAGAGACCGCAGCATATCACAAAAACTTGTCCAGACCTTGCGCGCAAAAGTACTTCATTATATCTGCTTATTAAGTCTCGCGCATCAAACCTTGATCTCAGTCCGACCTATCCCTAAGCCAAGCATACAGTATGGCAGAGGAAGACGAAAGCAGTAAGTGCGAGGGTGGAAGCTTTAGAGTCCTAGCACTGATATATTCCTGAGTGAGCGAACATTTAGACAACGATGAGCACATTACCGAAGAGAAGATAGTCAACGAAGAATACAAGACATGGAAGAAGAACGCCATATATCTCTATGACACACTATTGACCAACGCACTCGATTGGCCGACGTTAACAGTACAATGGTTTCCTGATAAACAAGAGTCTGTGAAGCCAACTGTTTCACCTTCAAGACCTGCTGACTGGTAGCAGAATTCCAGGAACAAATTATTCGAGACATCGTGTGCTATTAGGGACGCATACAGTCAACGATGACAAGCATCCAAACTACCTTCAGATCGCAAACGTCCAGTTACCCAATCCTCCCAAACCAGAAGCGAAAGACTACAATGAGGAGACAGGAGAAATTGGTGGCTATGGAAGTGGAGGCAAGAATTTGGTTGATGTCAAATTTCAGGTCATACAGAAAATACCACATCCTGGCGAGGTCAATAAGGCGAGGTACCAACCACAAAACCCCAATATTATCGCGACCATGTGTACAGATGGAAGAGTACTGATATGGGACAAATCGAAGCACCCGCTTATGCCTGTCACCAACAAAGAAAACAAGCCCAGTCCCGAGATAGAGCTCATTGGCCATGAAAATGAGGGTTTCGGTCTTAGCTGGAGTCCACACGTTTCGGGCCATTTGGCTACTGCAAGCGAGGACGAGACAGTACGTTTGTGGGACACAACACAGGCTTCGAGAACAGTACGACAACTACATCCGACCCGAACTTATACACATCACACAGCCATCGTTAACGATGTGCAGCACCACCCTCTGCACAAATCTATTCTGGGTACGGCATCGGACGATTTGACACTGCAGCTGATAGATCTACGGATGTCAGACACTGGAAACAGTGCTTCTAGCACCAGTCCTGATCAGCACAAAGATGCGATCAATGCACTTGCCTTCAACCCAAAAGCCGAGACTGTGGTGGCTGCAGGCAGTGCTGACAACACTATCTCGATATGGGATATGAGGAATTTGAAGCACAAAATCCATGCACTCGAAGGCCATGGCGACAGTGTCACCGGCTTGGAATGGCACCCTTTCTACGAGGCCGTTCTTGCCTCTAGCAGCTACGATCGACGAATCATGTTTTGGGACCTCACCAGGGTAGGAGAAGAGCAAACACCTGAAGATAGTGAAGACGGTCCTCCAGAACTCTTATTCATGCACGGCGGCCATACCAACAGAGTCAGTGACTTCTCATGGAATTTGCACAATCCTTGGGTCGTATGTAGTGCTGCTGATGATAACCTCATCCACGTCTGGAAAGTTGCGGAAGATCTAATTGGTGCGGGGGAGGAAGATGTGTCTATGAATGAGCTCGAGGGATGACAAAAGATTATATAAATAGCCCTTTTTAACGCGGACGACCATCTATGACTTTTCACAGTTATTTTGTCAAGAGGATAAGGAGTATGTTCCCCGGACTGAGATGTGAGAGGGACTTTCTGCGGTAAAGGTCTATCGTTGTAGCCGTAGCAGCTCAGCACATCCCCGAGGTTGTCCCGGCAGGACGACTTTGTCGCAGTGCAAGTTCAGGCGCCCAAGGGTCGCTGATAGGTTCCTCAAAAACGAGGTTGGGGGCCATCCTTGTACACCACGCAATACGCGGCGTTTCACCTTCAAGATGATTCTGATCTGGGATATCCCCTTCTCGATAGCTAGAAGAAGATGGCATTCACGCATCATGCTGTCTGTGTCCTTTTCATGAAAGTGCAGGCTCAATATGTCGCCACAACAATGAAGACGACAATGATTGAGTAGCGGTATGAGTTTTGATCGCGTTCTTGAATCGCTCTCGTGCTCAAGTCTGCAAAGATGGTAGGAGTTCCTCGAAGCAAAGGTTGCCGAATCTGTGTGCAAAGAAGAGTTCGTTGTGATCAAGCCAAGTACGTCCTCATGCCACTATCCTCTTTACATAGGTCATCCATTGCATCGACTATTCAACGGTCGTACACACGGATCACGAGGCTAACTAGATGGTAGGCCAACATGTAATAACTGTAAGAAAGGCAACCGGCCATGTCCCGGGTATGGACAAGACTTGAAATTTCAGGACGAGAGCGTCCGGTTGAAAAAGCGATATCAACCTACTGATATGGCGGCAGGCACAAATTCAGGATGTGATACAGATACTAGTTCATCTGATTCACCACCGTCACTCATCACGACTGCCGAGACAACGTCTAATACTGCTCAAGAGGCTCTACCATTAGCCAAGGTACAGGAAGCTAGTTGTTCGTTTGATGGCAGCGGCCATACTTCGTTCTCCAAGAGCAAAAGCTCGAAGGATTGGGACGTCGTTGGTCTCAACATTAGCGAATCGCAACGACTTACCTTCCTTGGCCTTCTCGAGGGCAAAACACAAGCTTATGCTAACCTTGCACATTCCATGCCGAGCATTGACCAGCTTGAGTTTACAGAGAATCTGCGGACGACACCGTTCGTTGACGCTGATCGTTTGATGTTCGAGAACCTCGGTCAACCACACCCTTCATTCTATCAGCATGTCAATGCACCGAATTCTATTCAGAATCAATTGGTGATGAAGTTTCGAGAGTCGTTATTTCCCGACAACGGGACCGTACCAGAAGCTCTGAGAAATCACGCTCGGCTGCTGTCACATTTACCACCACTAACAGGCACAAATCCACTTCTCGACACTAGTGTAAGAGCTGTCACACTTGTTCATATTGGTAGATTGAACAATTCAGAACCTTTCATAATGGAGTCTCGACCTTACTACGGTCAAGCCTTGCGACTCCTTAACAAGGCACTTCAGGACCGGAAGCACGGAACATCTAACGAGACATTATGTGCCGTCATTCTGCTTTCCTTCTACGAAATGTTTGCCAGCGACAACAACGAGTCCTGGATTCGCCATGCTGGAGGAGTTTCTGCTTTGATGCGTGCTCGCGGACCTGAACGGCATAGGTATGGTTTTGATCGCGAGATTTATCTGGCCTATAGGTACACTCTTGTGATTGAGGCTTTCCAGGAACGCATGCCATGCTTTCTTGCTGAAGCTACATGGCTCAAGCTCTCAACGGACATTCACGCTGATCTGAAAGCTGCGGGCGTAACTGCATCGCGCATCGAGATCTTCGACATGGCTGACGAATTTTATAGTGCTATGGTGGTCCTGCCCGAGTTGACGGCACAAGCACAGTCTCTGTTTGAAGCGTGGGAAACTAAGGCAACGCCTCAATACAGCAGAGCACATGTCCTGGACAGACTAATTCAAGCCAGGGGTTTCTTCAAGAGTACGTTCGCACGACTCGAAGCTGCATTGAAGAAAGCTGGTCATACTCCGACGATCAATCTCACTCCACACGACCCACTGATAGGAATCGAATACGATTTTGTGAACACATTTATAGCTGCTTCCTACACTGGATATTGGACTGTCCTGATGGTCCTGAACTTGTGCCTGCAAGCACTTCAGGCCAACGATGCGGACATGATCGGTCTCTATCGTACGGAAAGTAGAGAGTGTGGTCTCAATGTCTGCAGAAGCACGACTTCTATGCTGACATCTTCTTTCCTCGGCCCCTTCTTCGTCATATTCGGCCTTCGTGTTGGGTTGCTAGTGTTCGAGGATCAGATTGGACCTGGTGAAGAAGTGCGCACAGAGGCGAACTGGATATTACGAAAGTTGTTCGACATTGGTGAACGACACATGGGTATCGCGAAACACATTCCAGGATATCGTGCCGGGATGACGGTGGACGAACTCCTTGCAGAGTTTAGAGCACAAAAGAAGAAGGCAACACAGAATAATGTGCAGAGTGGACAAACAGACTTTGCCCGTCAGGTTGTATATGGCGAAACTGAACCTTACCAGAGCTCGGATCGTACGCAATCCACATGGCAGGGCATGACTAAAGTCGATGATGTTCTCAAGGTTTGGGACGAACAGGACAACTTTCAACTTCAACAGAATATGGATAATCTTGATGCACGTCACGATGCTACTGGCTTTGCGGATGTGCCAGCCTCGAGCACATTCCATGAAGAACAATTTCCTGCAGTTGGAGCTGCCCAATTTATGCCTGACATGAACTCCTTCGACCGGGACTTTTTCAATATGCCGTCCACAAATGTCGATCCTTTCACGCACGACGATTTGATAACTGCAAGCATGGAAGACTTGCCTTCGCAACAGCGAGATCTCGATGCATATGACGATGCAGAGGTCGAAGGGCAGACAGAATGTTCAGTGCAGAATACCACAATACCTGGTGTTGTGCAGCACTTTCCGCCATGACACAGAGCTGAAGAATGAATCCAAGATTCCCTCACACCTGGCAGCAATTGACGTGTACATCCAGCGCGCAATCCGGATTCTCTGAAGATATACAGACTCTGACACCAGGTGCTGCAAACACTCACTATATTTGCCTCAGGCATCAGACCTCGAGTGAAAGACGACAGTCAATCTATAGTGGCGGCCTCAGGCAAATCTACTTGAGTCCTTGCAGCACCTGGTGAACCACAAGCCGGAGGGGACAATCCACCATGCCACCACCTAGAAGTTGATATAAAACATAATCTGCATTTATGTAAACTGCGCTGAGGGCTATGCAAACTCGCCTCGTACACTACACCAAAGAGCAGCAGCATAACTCGAGCGGCAATCGAGCCGCTACTCCGCCTTCTGCTCCTTACTTGCTTCAGCCAAGTCTTCAACCTTCACACCCTGAGCATCATCGCCTCCCATGCCAACAGTCTCCTTAGCACCACCAGCCACACCTCCCAATGTACTTCCCAAGCCTCCCACCAAAGCACCGACTGTGTTCCCCACTGTATCACCCACACCCTTCACTCCCGTCCCAAGTGTCCCAAGCGCACTCTTCCCAACCCCCGCAGCAGAAGCAAGATACGACTGCGCCTGCTCCCGCTGCTGTTCCGGCAACTGCTCCAAGATGGAATTTTGTAGTGTCTGCTTTTGTTCTGGGGACATCTGCTCTAGACCCTGTTGTAGCCATTTCTGCTGTTCTTCGGGGAGTTGGGCGTAGATATTGGAGGATTGTTCTTTGATTTGTTGCTGGACTTGGGTGCCGGTTTGGCCAAGTTGGGCCATGGCTTGGTTCTTGAGTTCTTGCTGGCTGGATCCGGGGAGGATGTCCAGGTCGATCATGGAGTTTTCGAGGACTTTCATTTTTGCTGTTGCGGTTGGAGTGGTTTGGATGGTGTTGCTTGGGGGTTAGCTAAACGAGCTTAGTGAGAAGATGGTAATCGTTTGCAAGTAAACGTTTCACGTTGCACAATCTTTTCGTATGACGGCGAAGATGTACTCGTATCTTGGAAGAGGCGCGACGTCACCACGACAGGGATCATGCATGATTGAAAAGCCTGGAAGCAGAAATTCATGTGACAGGGATATGGGCTTGGTATCTGGTGGTTCGGACAGAACATGAATTGTCGGAGAGATTCTTCGCAACGGAGATTGTGGATAAGGCTGGGGATTGTGGTATCGTCAAACAACACATTCACGCTCCTCTTTCGAGACTATCGGCACGGCAGAAAGGTACGAATTGATTTCAAATAAATCAGTAGGAAACATCGAAGGTCAATCTGAGAGATAGGTCAGTATTTGGCTTCAGACATTTGGGTTTGGGCTTGGAGGCCATGTGTAACATTGCTATGTCAGTCAATATACCATAACCATAGCAGCGTTGTTTCTAAGCCTTTAGTGTAGTAGGAGAGGAATCGAGGTCATTGACGGACGGGGTGATGTGGTAGAAGAATAGTATTTCGCGTCAACCCGCTAGAAGATATACATGTTGTAATAACATCCGTGGTAAATAGTCATTCCTCACTTTGACGTGAGTGGTGGTCTTGACCTTTCCAGCACGTCATTGCTGTCCACGCAGAGCTTTTCCATCTCTTCCTTTTTGTTCCGCCATCTCTCGCTCACATGCTAGTGTTCCACTAGATCAGTAAGGGCGTTGATGGAGAATCGTAAATTTGCATTCTGCTTGGTTGCACCAATTCTGTTGTCCCTGCTTCACCTCAGGTTCCTGGCCAGGGTACTGTCAGTCGTTCTCAATAGTGTCTCCTACACAATCAATCCATCTCACGACGCATTGCCCACCGTGGCCACATCGAGGCCGTATGGACGCGGTATCTGACTAGGACAGCATGGAAGGATTGAACCAGCTAACATGCAGAGAGTGCGCAAGTCGCTGAATAACATGACTCCGGCACATGCTGTTGAAGAAAGATGGTACATGTTGACAGGATGCAGCTTGGCAGGTGTTAGATCACAACTTGAAGCGGAGCTTGCAGTTCCTTTTTTGTAGCAACAGTGTTTCAAGAACTTAAAGAGGAACGCTGTTCGGCCAACTTCTGGACTTGCCGAAGTTCCACTACGATTGCGCAGCAAATCTGGTGGATGCATCCGGGGAAGGTCCAACCCATATAGCACTGCGAAGTCCCGTCTGGTCACAAACTGCTTGCGAGGTGAAAGGTGAGGACTCTGTCTTTGCGCAGATTGCAAATCTCGTTCTACACGATGTATTCTCACTTCATGTCCGTCATGATGATGCTTTACGATGGTGAGTGAGGATCGATCAGAGGTACGATGGTTACATGCGCCCATCCGTCATCACCACGTCCACACGAATCGACTTACCACAGCAATAGTGCGAATCGAGACCGTGATCTCGCCCAGCAGACATGCAATTGACTAAGGCTTCTGGATATTCTTATGGTGTGACGACACGGTCAGTCTCGTTGTGATCTATCTCGATGCGATCTGTGGAAAAGCACACGATAATCAAACAGAAGAGCCACGGCCTGGGTAGCACTTCATTCATCTCCTCCTCGCCAAGATCTGCTTTTGGCTGTCGAATTGATGATCACCTGGGGAAGACCGTGAGTCGCGAATCGTGCATGCAATACGCTCTGGAGTCTTTGGCAGCAACTGGAAAAGTCTGCTCACCATCTACGATACTCGCGATCTAGGTGTGTCGGAGCTGGCATTTTCTTGGCCCGCATCTGTTGAGCCAGCTCTCGAGGCAGGGCAGCAGACGTACGTGGTCCGCGACTGCTCCTATGTGTTCAGTGCCGCCATGTTGAGGATTGGATTACGAGCACGACGCAAGTGAAGACTTACCCGCGATAAAATTGCGGGAGCTCAGCTGGATGATTGATTATGGGAAGGAACGATCAAAACGGCCGTGTTCAGGCACTCTAGTCCACAAATCATCTAGCTAATGACGATCCTCGCTATGATGAACCAGCAAAGTGGTGGATGACTGCAGAAGTTAGCCGCTGGTCTGAACTTGATTTCCTGAACTGAGCCGCCCGTACGTTTAACCGGACGAATCAACAGAGTCGAGGAGGGTCACGGCAATTGTTACCGATCCGCCCCGAACTAATCACATCGCATCGGTAATGCACCCGAACATTTACCGTGCGTCAAGAGAATGGAATATGCATGGAAGGCAAGGAACAAGCCGGTCCTGCTGAGGAAATGCACCAAATGTAACCTTGTCTCTCAATGGTGTGGTTGCCAAACCTGTCGGCCAAGCAAAATCGGTTCTTGACACCAAGCGGAGGCTGAAATCTGGGGCATCGTGTGGTGCCAAGTTGCGGAGAGGTCACCACAGAGGACTTGAAAACTTCTTGGCACGTCTTGGATCACAATCTCTGTCATGCTTTTCTCCAGCATCCTTCTAGAAGACGTTCTCGTTCCATCCCGATCCGGCATCTGCCTGAGTATCGCCACGATAACACAGAGTCTTACAGCCAATCACGTTGCTCTGATGTCCTCATTGTGCATCTCGTGTTGGTGCCTCCATCACCAGAGCTCGCTCCCTCACGACGAATGGAGGCAAGTGGACGATAATCTGGGGCGAGGATGGCTCTGGCCAGCATGTCCCACAGTCACAGAAGTCCTTTATCCTAGCGGATGTCTGACTTGTATAAGATCAACGCGTGCCACCCACTCATGCTATTGAGTCCATCACCAACTTCACTGCTTGCTCAGACAGTGTGGGCCTACAGTAACCTTCACACCTTTTTTTCAATTTTCAGGTCGTTACAACACCGGCCCTTCTGCCCATCATGAATGACCCAAGGACCACCGTCACACTCGACCAACGCAGCGTCAGAGATGAGAAGGTCGATGTTGCTCAATCAGAATATATGGTCGAATCCGACAAGGAGTCTCATGAGCCTCTCGACTACTCTGGTGCTCATGAGAAGACCGACCCTGCCGAAATCAAGCTCGTCAAGCGACTCGATCTCTTCATCATGCCAACATTATGGGCTATGTACTGGTTGAATTATCTCGATCGAAACGCCATTGCACTTGCTCGACTAGACAACCTCCAGAAAGACCTCAAGTTGACCAGCGCACAATACCAAACATGTGTCTCCATCTTGTTCGTTGGTTACATTCTTGGTCAAGTTCCGTCAAACATGCTGCTTACCCGAGTTCGACCTTCCTGGTATATGGCTTCCTGCATGTCTCTCTGGGCCGTGGTCAGTGCTCTGACTGCGTTGGCAAAAGACTACAAGGGACTACTGCTTACACGATTCTTTCTCGGTATGTACAGAACTCAGCCATACCCGTGCTTTTCTTTGGCTAACTCATTCTTCAGGCGTCGTTGAAGCTCCATACTATCCCGGTGCTCTTTATATTCTCGGTATTTTCTACACTCGAAAGGAGATTGCTACCCGAATTTCAATTCTATACACTGGTAACATCCTCGCAACTGCATTCGCTGGCCTCATCGCACTCGGCATCTTCGAGCTCAGTGGCGTGGCTGGCATCAAGGGCTGGCAATGGTTGTTCATCATCCAGGGAGCAGCTACGTTGCTTGTCGCTATACTCTCCATCCTCACCCTGCCAGACAACCCACTTACTACCAAATGGCTATCACCTGAACAGCGACAACTGGCCGAGTCGAGAATCGTCAAGGACACAGTCGGTGGCAAGGCCAAGACCAGCACTTTTGCAGGTCTCAAGGAGGCTGCTAGCGACCCTAAGCTGTGGCTCTTTGCATTCATGCAACACATGCATTTGGCTGCCAACGGTTTCAAGAACTTCTTCCCTACTGCCGTCGAGACTCTAGGATTCAACCGAACGATTACTCTTGTTCTTACCTGCCCTCCATACCTCATTGCTGGTGCCATCTCAGTTGCGTACTCTTATAGTTCAGGAAGGTTCAACGAGAGAACATGGCACATCACATGCGCCAAAGCGGTCGCAGTATTCGGCTTTGTGCTCGGCTGCGCAACTCTCAACACTGGTGCACGCTACTTTGCTATGATCGTCTTTGCAATCGGTACTTATGCAGTCAACAGTATCATTCTCGGCTGGGTAGCCTCCACCTGTGGACAGACGAAGGAGAAGAAGGCATCATCGCTGGCGATCGTCAACACGATTGCAAACGTTTCCTTCATCTGGACACCTTATCTATGGCCAAGTAGCGATGAACCGCGATACACCATCGCCATGACATCGTCGGCTGCCTTCTCGGTTGCAACAGCAAGTGGCGCTTGGGTCATGAAGTTCTGGTTGATGAGACTCAACAAGAATATCAGGCAATCCAATGACGAAACAGTACTGAGATTTGCTTATTGAGGCGGTTACCCAGCGGTGACAGCTCGGTATTGAGGTAGCGCGATGATCGGTTAGAGGCTTTCTTGAATCACGGCAACTGGCCGGCTACGATTGTGGTGAAAATGAAGATGTCACTGCACGTGCTCAGCGGTGTGCCAGATGCTAGCGATATGGTTGGTTATCAATAGAAGCAAATTGTTTCGGCGAATCGGCGCCAGAGAATCTAGCCCCAAGCCACATTTATTGTGTCTCGAACCGTCCAATAGAGAGTGACAACTTCATCATTCTTCTTACTTTCAGCTTCAGCTTTCTATCCAGCCTTTCACTTTCCAATTTGTGAACTATTTCTTCTGCGACCAAGCCATGAGTCCGCATCTCGTTTTGTTTTTAATGGAGTCTGCAACTGACTTCGTTTTCCATACTGCCATATGACAGCACGATCGTGAACGGACTCGATACAGTAGCGAAACCGAGGCCTCCCCGCATTATTGCAAACTCTGTGAAGGTTTATCCCGCTGGGTCATGCATGAACGAAAGACTTCGACGAAAACCGCCTGGATGCCGAGCTTCACATTAGTCACTGGAGACTACGCAGCCACGCTTTCGCAAATGGATAGCTTCCGTTCTTGCATATGCACTACTCGAACAGGTCAGGTACACTTGCGAGGCCAGACCTCATAGCTCTTTGCATGGTCAGCACAAGCAAAGCTCATCAGTAAGTCGATCATGATGCAACGTGCTCTTCTACCTCAGGTGGGCGTCGACTCGCTCAAAGAGCTCTTGTTGTAAGCTTTGCGAGTCTATCCGTGTTACTTTTCTATTTGCTACGCAAGCCTCCAATATGCTGTCGTCTATCTGTCGGGCGTTTTTGTACTACACTCTATGTGCTCAGCTTGCATATGCAGTCGATCCTCTCGTCAAACTGCCGTACAGCGAGTTCGCCGGCACCGTCCAGTCCAATGGCATAACGCAATGGTTAGGCATACCATTTGCTGCACCTCCAATAGGCGAATTGAGATTTGCACCACCTTCAGATCCTCCGATCAAGACTGGTGTACAGCAAGCGGATAAGGTAAGGCCTAGGTTACAGAAAGCCATATATCAGTGCTGTACTGATCTGTGGACATAGCAAGGACCTTTATGTATAGCAACTGGTACGGGTTCAATATCTGCCAGCCAATCAGAAGATTGTCTATACCTAGCAGTATATGCTCCCAGCAAAGCTACATCGAGCTCTAAGCTACCAGTCTTTATATTTTTTCAAGGCGGAGGTTTCAACTCTAATGCTAACCCGAACCTTAATGGTGCTGGGTTGATCGAGGCATCCGGCCATAACATCATTGTCGTCACATTTAATTATCGTGTTGGACCGTGGGGCTTCCTTGCCAGCTCTGGTTCCAGCTCAGGACAGCCAACTGCAAACAATGGTCTACGAGATCAACGCAAAGCTCTCGAATGGGTCCAGAAGTATATCTCGAGTTTCGGAGGTGACCCTAACCATGTTGTGCTCGGTGGAGACTCTGCAGGCGCTGCTTCAATATCCCTGCATCTAACAGCGTACGGTGGACGAAACGACAACCTCTTTCATGCTGCGGCAGTTGAATCTGTCTCATTTGCGACAGTGTTGACCACTAAGGAAGCACAGTATCAGTATGACAACTTCACCCGTGCCGGTGGGTGTTCTGATTCGGACGCTGCCAAGTCTCTATCATGCTTGCGAAGCAAGACCGCCCAACAGCTTCAGGCGCAGAACTTTAATATACCATATCCTGGTCAGGCTAAGGCACCTCTCTACATGTTCGCTCCTACGCTGGATGGGGACTTTGTGACAGACTTGACATACACCGCTTTTGAAAAGGGCAAATTCATCGATGTACCTGTCATTTTTGGAGCCGACACAAATGATGGTACTGGTTTCACACCAAAGGATACTTCTTCTCAGGAGCAATCGAACGCTTTCCTGACACAGCAATTCCCTTATTTGACCGCATCCCAGCTTAGCGAGATTGATAGACTATACCCTGTGCCCACGGGTAACGATTGTCCTGCCTCAGGCACTTGCTGGTGGCGCCAAGTCTCGAACGCATATGGCGAGCTTCGCTATATGTGTCCGAGCCTGTACATCTCGTCAGCTTACGCCAACCTCACAACCACATCCTCTAACACCAAGAAAGACACAACGAGTAACAGTATCAAAGCTGTCACGTATTTCGTCGGTGGTGGTTCAGCCCGTCGACATGCTGGTAGTGCATCAAACTCTCTTTCCACACGAGCCACCAAATCTGCCTCATACGCATATCGCTACAACGTCGAAGATCCAGATCAGATCGCCGCCGGCCTCGGCGTCCCTCACACGGTCGAGCTGAATGCCATCTTTGGTCCAGACAACGTTCCAGCCGGCTCTGCTCCTGCCTCATACTACCCCGGGAAATCTAATGCAAACGTCGTGCCAGTGATACAAGCCTACTGGACTAGTTTCATTAGGACATTTGATCCGAACACGCACAAGTTGAGTGGCAGCGCGACGTGGGAGACATATTACAGCAAGAGTGGAGAGCCGCAGCGTATACTGTTCAACACTGGTGGGAAGACGGATATGGAGAGTGTGGACAAGGGACAGAGGGTCAGGTGTGCCTATTTACAGTCTATTGGAGCGAGTATTAAGCAGTAGTGAGATGATGATTTGATGAGGAATGTTGAAGTAAGATCATGATTTACGAGTATAATATGTAGATATGTCTATAGAATGGAGCATGGTTTAGTCAATTTAGTTTCTTTATGCACTTCCTAGCTATGGCCATGGCAACTTTATAGAATCGAGTGATCGCTGATCAGTAAGTGAGAACATTTCGTGAATGAGGATGAGTGGCAGCTGTGTGGGTGTTGAATGGGTAACATTGGGCTGTCAAAATCGAACCGAAAACGAACGCGGACATTTTTATTCGGGTTCGTCTAGCCCTTGCACATCGGGCAAACGATGTAATCAACGATCAACAATCAACAATGCCCCCACACCAACAAGTAACTTCAACGTGCTTAAGCTAATCGCAAGTTCCCATCAGTGCGCCATTGTTCGAAGCTATCTTTGCGGGACCTTCTTCGCGCAACAATGAGCGAAGGTTCTCATTGACTGGATTTCAAAGAGCGACTTGGTTGCCCTAGCAGAGCTGAAGAACGCGCTCATGCCCCAAGATTTGAGGATGACTAAGACTACACTGGTCATCATGCAAGGTTGTCTCCGAAGGGAGAAGCCTGCTTACGAGGTACTATCGACGCGGGACTGAGGCGTGCCAATTTCAGCGGAAACAGCACACTGAGACAAAGCATCCTCCGTGCATGAGTACTGTTAGCCTCTACAATGAGATTTCTAGTGCTGACATTGATTTCCTTGATCAGTTACGGGATTCATCAACATCTCTGATCAGCAACTACGAAAGTAAACGTTTATGATCGTCGCGACGTCATCACGGTAAGTGGGAGTTGCCATGTCGATCAAAGTCGACGAGATTACGCGCAATTACGGGGAGGGAGATCTGTGGGCACTAGCGATTGATGTCTAAATGCCTTTGTATTCTATCTGCGGGTAAGAATGGTCCCAGCTAGTGAGTCAGCTTTCATTCATTGATGTCTAGCATGCAGAATCCGCAGCATCACTTCTTTTCGAGCCGATATTACCCATTAACAATCATTGCCAATAATCATTTCCCATAAAATCAACGTTTACTTCTTCTGGCACTCTGGGTTGCCAATGTTGCTGAGCCAAGCTGCCGAGTTGAACTCGGAGTAGACAGCATTAATCTGGTTTGTGGTTGCGTTGACATCGAACGTGATTATGCCCTTGACTTCGTACTTGCCGCTACCAATAGCAGTAGCATTCCATCTCCATGCGATCTGGTCGCAGGTGTAGAAATAGCCGAGAGTGGCGAGCTGTGGGATGGCAGGAGTGGTGGCCTGGCCGCCGATGAAAGCCTGTTTGCTTGGGTAGGCGTTCACACCGAGCTAGGTTCTGTTAGTATGAGATGTCAATGCAGTGGCAATGCGACGTACAGGGATACCAGCGAGAGTGTTGATCGAGTCGGACGACACGAAAAACTTGTCTGACAGACGCGCATTGGCAATTGAAGTGAAGTTGGCGCCTTGTGGGAATCGGAGGAGATAGGTGTAGTCGGCGACGATGGCCGAAACCTCAGCGTCGTTGAGGCATGGAACAGCTGGACCCTTTGGACCCCAGTTTTGTCCCCAGTTTCCCCATCCTGGGGCAGCCAAAGCGCTTGCAAGAAGCAGAGGCGCGGTCATGAAGATTGAGCCGAGCATGATGAGTATAATGGTATCAAACGAATGTGTTGATATGAATATTGAGTATAGGTAGTGGGAGGATCTCAGAGTGTTTGATCAGTTCCCAAAATATTGGGTGGCATTCCAGACCTTATTGTACTCGAGCTCTTCAAGCTTCCGAAGCTCCATCGTGCTTCCGCTCAGATGTCCTGCAGGGTACCAAGACAGCAATCTTAATTGGATCGTCCAGGAGGATGATTCGTGCTGACATTCGACTGCAGGAACGTGAAGGTGAGGAGTAATCCATGATTCGCACAATGGTGACAGTTCCTTGAAGTGGTCGAGCTAAAGGTGCCGTTGAACCTACGACGATCGTTTGCTGCCATGCAGCTAATTGTTCTGCAAGCATGGTCAAGCTTCGGTCGCCTGAAAACAGTCCATTCACCATACACGTCCAAGCTAATCTTGGAATACAGGAAACTCAGAAATACAACTCGAATCTGGCACAAGAAAGCCAATAGAAGTTAGCCAGTGAGATAGTGGGGCAGAATCCAACCTCCTCAGAGGCTGCATGTTTCGGGCCACATCTACTAATGCCTGCTTCGCACGTCATCACTCCTGTTAGGGTTTGGCGGAGTCCGTGTAGCTTCTACCAACAAGCTTTCATCCTATAGCTTGCTGTCAATTTTTGCTTATTGGTTCGTTACTCTCCTAAGGACGATTGAGGCCATGTAGTCTATGAGTGAAGTCAGCTTCAGGAATACTTTGGGCCTTTTCGGTTTTGCGTAGACTGATTCCAGCTCGCTTCTCCCACCCAACAAGCATCTTCGTATGGTCAGCTTGCGGTTCGACCTGTTCCAATGCATCGGAGAGATACTTCCGGATAACTCCTGGCAATTCTGTCTCAAATTGGTTATGCTTCATAAACTCTTGTGTGATACCCAGATCCTTGACAAGCAAAGCTAGTCCAAAGCCAGAGTTATATTTCTTCGTTAATCCATCCCGCCTCATGGTATCGAGTGTAGGAAAGCATACTCCTTTGATCAAGCCCGAATTAGCCACAGTCCTTTACAATCTTAGATACTTCCGACTTACCGGTGCCAACGTTTAAGCAATCGATCATCTTTTGTGGATCCAACCCGAATTGCTGACCTGTGACAAAGCTATCACTCAGCGCAACTAAGCTGCTCGCCATGATATAGTTGTTGAGAGTCTTCATGGCATGTCCAGATCCAAGGCGACCCATGTGGAAGATGTAGCTTGCCATGGTCCTTAGGACTGGCTCAATTTTCTGATATGCATCTTCCGAATCCGATCCTACCATCAGTGTCGACTCACCAGCGTCAGTCGCATGCATATAGGTTTGTGTGATTGGAGCATCCACCAGCTGAAGTGAATGCTCAGCTAGTTCCTTTCCCAACGCGACTGTATCGAAAGGAGAGGAAGAGGAGGTATCGACGACAATTGTACCAGCTTTCAGCGCCTTTGCGATGCCATTCTGACCAAACAGAACCTCCCTCACGATCTTCCCCTGGGGAAGCATGGTCACTACGACTTCACAGTCCGAGAACGCTTCAGCCTGTCCATGTGCTGCCTTCGTGTTTTTCCATTCATTCGCAGCCCGTTCTGCTTTGGCTTCGTCAGCGTCGTGAACAACCAGCGTATATCCTGCTTTTGGCAGGTTAGAAGCCATGGAGAAACCGGCATTTCCTAACCCAATATACCCAACATGTTGGACACCGCCCTCCTTGACACGCCCGTTCGTGTTAGGTGGCATTTTCAAGATCGCGATTCAGTCTAAAACTCCTCTGATCGAGATCGGAGTAGGAGGATCACGAAAGAGAACCTTGCTTGATAACATATAGAACGCCGAACAACTGGCCAGCTGTCACTGCGGAGAAGCAAACATCCTTTGCGGAGAAGCATATCGTCCAGCAGAAATGGCCTCGGTGCTCTATCTCACGAAAAGCGTCTCACTTTGCCTCTACCGATGATTGTCCTACCACCACACAAGTAGACATGACACTTCATGTAGAAGACATAAACACGATCATTTTGCGACAATGCTTGTCATCGCATACTCCGAGGTGCCGCTGCACCTATCATGAGATGCAATCCTGCTTTCAGTCTCTGAGCCGTCATTATAGACATCAGGAAAGAATGATCGACTTCATTGATTCTTCGAGTGGCAGCCACGATCAAGTCGAACAAAATTCAGCAGGCGAGTACCACTAGCGCGTAACTAGCGTGGCGTATCACGTGCCGGAAGCTCTTCTCTAGATGAAACACATTACTGCTTCCCACACGTTAGTGACACAGAGCAATCACAAAGAGCTCAACTTGTGCTAGCTACGCGCTGCAGCAAATGAGTACTAATGTCGAAAAACAAGATCACGACCACTATCATGCGTAAACTTCATTCGCACAAGCAACCCGCAACATGAAGAAAGTCACACTGAGTCAATCGAAATGGGCACCGTCATCAGCGAGGAATGTGTCTGAGCATCCTCATCATCCAGTTAATGGGACATACTCAGAGGCAGGAACAAGGATAGCTTCGTTGGAAAAGCGGCACAATGCACGGCTGCAATCGTATCAGAAGTTTCTGAAGTCTTTTCGACGACTAAAATGGAAGTCTACCACACTACTATTTTGCCATCATCGAGCACTATTGCAGGAGACCAACAATGTCATCAACAACACCAATTTCCCGATATCCTCCGACACGGGCAAGGCTAATGCTGCAGAGATCATGTTTAAGGTCGATTTCTTCGAATGGTATGCATTGCTTGAGCGCGTCCTGGTCAGTCTTTTGGGATGCTATGGTATGGTAATCAACGCCGACCATACTACAGAAACTGTGCCTCTACCACCCACCGAAAATGCAACAAATCCGAACGAGCAGTCGACTATACACAAAACCGAGGACAGTATTATTGGTGATTCTGTCGCTTTCCATGGCTACGCTCACCGCTTTCATGCCAACGTCCTGGCTGCGTTCGATCAACCTTCAAATCCATTGCGTCACGTACTAGGCGAAGGCATGGTCCGACAATATCTTGGCATTGCGAAAGAGTTTCGGAATAGGTGGAAGGAGATCGAGTTGGAACATGTTGATCATGAAAGTCAACTTGCCAGCATGCACAAGAGTTACCGTCAAATTCTTACAGATTTGAAGCTTGAAGACTTACTGGCCATGATCTTGAGCGCGTTGGGGCAGTCAGAGGCACAGACGGCCATACACCTTGCTGCAGCTCATGGATCGAGAGAGGTCAACATGATCAACGCTGATGATGACGACGGCGCCTATAACGTGGACGAGGTGGGTGACTTGATGGACTGGGATTGACCCTCTCGAGATCCTAGTCATATTCAGGTAGATGGTAACCAGAAGTTCCCCAGAAACCCACAAGCACTACGAATATCACCTGGAACAAATTCCGAACATACTGTTGGACGCTGTCTCCGTCTCTGGTTCTACTCTAAGCCTCTAGCATTCAATGGAGTAGATTCATCAGTCACCTTGAGTATGAAGGATGAGGCGGTCATGTCAGCAGCCTACCAAGACCATGATCACAGCATTAGCTACAGTGACGTATTGCCGTGGGATACTTTCGACGATATCAACAATTCTGTCACTCGGGGCAGCCATGCACCTCGAGATGGCATGCTCATCTCTGTTGCCGATCTGTTGTTGGGATCTACTATCTACTCCCGAATGGCCCATCTTTTACATCGACTGGAACTACAACATAGGAGAGTGAGATTATAGGAAATGACACTTTCTCAACAATGGCTTTGATTGCATTGTGTGACACCGTTGTGCATGCTTCGTCTTCATGCATCCGACTTTTCGTCTCCCTCATGTCCAGTATGCACAGCATATTTACTTTTTTCACGTGTGATCTCAGCTCGCTTGTAGAACCAATACATGATGAAGCAAAAGATCGTCGCAATTCCAGCCAGTACAGACCCAGCAATATTACTGCCCAGATTTGTGAACATTTGTCTTCCGAAGATTGGGAAGGAACCACTCAATGTCGCCCTTAGTGCTGCTAGTGGTGCATTTGCAGAGGCGGCGTATGTCGCATACGAGTCTGTGAGGTATCCCTGTAAGATGCCATCGAATTCGTTGGTACAAGCGCCGACAAGCACTATCGCTGCTAAGGATACGTAGGGAGATATGCTTGCGCCCTGTGAGAACCCAGGTCAGTGTTTATTTCCACGACGAAATATTGTGACATATTGAGACCACATGATCTAGCGGAGCTGACGGGACTTACCACTGGAGGAACTGTCCATGAGAACCACCACAAAGCCGCCATGAGCACAGGTGCCGCGACATATGCTCCAGTAACTTTGTCTTCCGGCCTCACCTCTTCGTTTCTCTGGATCCTTTGTGATACACGGCGCCAGTCGTACATTCGAAGAGGAATTGTCAATGTCAACCCTACTATCCACGCGAAGAAGACCAGGGAAGCTTGCCTCTCACTGAACCCAAATGCTTCGTAGGTCACGGTCAAACCTTCTGTCTGCAGGTATACCGAAGCGAAAACAACACCACTCATGACACTCACTGCAGTCACGATTGGCTCCGTGAAGAAGAAACGGGTAGGTCTGATAAGCATGGTTGAGGCGAACATTCGAAGGCCAGGTATTCTGTCTTTGTTGTCGGTCCATAGATCTGCACAACCCGTGGACTTTTCTATCGCTTTAATGTGTCGGTCGAGAAGGACACTTGGCCTGCTCTCGTGAGTGAAGCAACATGACAAGCATACTCCAGCCATCATGATTGCACCGAGATGGTAAACCCAAGGCCTGTCATGAGTCAGCAGGGGCCTTGCACAATCAACTTTGGGCGCTGATTGGGTATACTACCATTCCAGTGAAGAGGTGCTGATATACGTTGCCATACAAGGTCCCAAAGCGATGCCGATAATTGAACCTTTGATCCAAATATCGATGGCCCAAATCCTGGCTCGTACATCCCACATATCTTCCATCGAACCTGAACCAACGACTGTCGGCAACGCCGAAAGGATTCCGCTAAAGAACCTGCCAATGAAAACGGCTGGTAAAGATCGTGGAACACCAATGATGAGACAAGATATGGCAAAGCTAGCCGAAGCGATGATGTTGATGTTCTTGCGCCCGAAACTCTCGGTAAAAGGTGGTAGAAATAGGCCACCAACGCCTTGACCGAAGAAGAACCTGTTACCAATCAGTACGATGTGCTGCTAGGGGTGAGCTGTTTGGGGGTGTCCTTGCATCGAGGCAAATGCTATACTTGCAACGATTGAGCTGCAATGTAGGTCTTTAGCTGCTTCGCGAGCGACGGAAGCCTAGAACTCTTTGGGTCAGTACTGGGCTCTAGCAAAGACAATGTAGGTATTCAGTCACTGACGCCTGTGTTTCCCAATAGAGCTCTGCATTTTCCTCGATCAGCAAATGGTACCTAGAAGGAGTCTGTGGTAGAGCACCCACGAGACAGTCACGAAAAGAGTAATGAACCCTGTGTCGTATATCTTCTTCCATAGTGGCCAGTTCTTTGGACGTTCAGATCCGTTGTCACTCCAGTCGATTCTACCATTGGACTCGACGTAGAGACCAGACCTTTTGATTTGCTCAAGCACTTCAGCAGGTAGTGATTGAGACATCCCGTTCAGACTTGATCTGCTGTAGACGCGACAATCCCATTGACACGACCTTGTCGAGCAAGTAAGCTATAATCCGAACAAAGACGTATTTATGAGCACAGTGAGTTGAGTCAGGAATTGTAAAGCTTCCTGATAGAGCAGCTCTTACAAGTTGAGGCTCGGTTGAGAGCTCCGCTCGAAAGATCAACGTAACGACTCCATCTCAGAAACACCTTGTTGGGACGATGGTATGGTCCCTTGGCATGGCATGGAGCAAGCCCCACGGTAGCAGGTCAAGTCGAGAAACTGTGAGCTTGGCATCACTTATATGTCGATGTCTGGGTGCTCACTGGACGGAAGTGAACACTCATATGTGTAGAATCGTGTGATGAAAGGACATTATCGTCAGATCGCGTTTGGGACAAGCCAGACCACTCATGCACGCCTTGACATAAAACAATACCAAAAGAGCGCATCGGAAAAGCCCCTGATCCTTGTAACGTCATGATATGGAGCCTGCAGTGATCTGAAGTGGATCGTGGAAGCCGCCTCTGACGAAGATGGAAGTTGTGATCGGCCACTAGAGGCGCAACAAGCGAAAGCACAAACTTCATCGATTGTCGAAGACCCTTAGACCTGCTAATGTAGTTGCTCAGATTCCTGCTATCGAATTTGCGCACTTTACAGCTAGCAGGGAAACAACGGCAGTGGACAATTATCCATAATGTCTCCATGAGATGGGATCTGAACCCAGGACAGATGGAGTCCCCCATACATATGTTCGACAAACACGCCGACCAAATTCATATTCGTGTCACAGATCCGAACTCAGGGTGCTGTGGAGCGACTACCATGATCATCGGTAGATGATGCACTCCTCCGACCGAATCAGCGCAGACCTGCATAAGTACGTTTCTTGGAACATGGCACGACGTGCTATGGCTATAGCCGTGCGTCCCCGAAGCCCCAGCTGCAGACTGTACTCGAGTAGCACTTTGCACCAACACCTCAGTATTATACTCCTTCGAGCATACGAGATCACCTTCGCAGCTCAAGTACTATGACATTAGTAGGTCAAGTAAAGCCCAGGCGTTGAGATTATGCTGACCACCCGTGAAAGAAACGACGCCATGGAGACAGCAATACGATAACGCACCCCAGAAAACGCTCGAAACCCTCCGCGAAATCTTCACACCAAACCCACGACATTGGTAGTGTGAACAACCTCGAGGAGGATCGGATATGCTTAGCCAGCTATGGGTCGGACATTCAAGCCTCAGTTATCACCCACGCCCGAGGTGCATATCTCTACACCGAGTCTGGTTCCAAGATCCTGGACTGGACATCTGGACAGGTGAGACGGCCTCTTCCCAAGCATAAGAATCCAGCTCCGAACCTTTTGCAGTCACTGAGGCCATCAGATGTCGTGTCTGTTAGGACATAGTCACCCCGAAGTCGTCGAAGTGATTAAAGAGTATGCGGACAAGCTCATACACATATCTTCCCGTATGGTGTCACCACCAACAATCAACCTGGCAAAACGTCTCACGAGCCTGCTGCCCCCTGGTCTTGACCGTGTCTTGTTCCTTAGCACAGGCTCGGAAAGCAATGAGGCCGCAATCAAACTTGCAAAGATGTATACTGGCAAGTTTGAAATCGTGGGATTGGCGCAGTCATGGCATGGTATGAGTGGCGCTGCTCAGGGTGCTCAGTATCAAGGTGGCCGTCGAGGGCAGGGTTCGTATCCCATTATCTCGCCATTCTTGAACGCTAACAAGTGCAGGGCCTTCTGTACCCGGACAATTCATGCTGCCTCAACCAAATAGTTACCGCTCGATATTTCGACACAAGGATGGTAGCTACGATTGGAAAACCGAACTGGATTATGGATGGAGTCTGATAGATCAAGCATCGAACGGGTCTATAGCTGCCTGCCTGGTCGAGTGTATCCAGGGCGATGGAGGAATTCATGTCTTGCCGCCTGGTTACCTCGCAGCTCTGAAACGTCATTGCGAACAACGAAGAGCTCTTTTGATCGTTGACGAAGCTCAAACTGGCCTAGGCAGGACCGGTAAGCTATTCGGCATTGACCATGAGGACATCGTGCCGGATATACTTACTCTGAGTAAACCGCTAGGAAACGGGCTTCCAGTCAGTGCGGCTATCACGAGCCAAGAGATTGATCGAGTTGCCAACGAGAGGGGGTTTTTGTTCTTCACCACCCATGCAAATGATCCTCTAGTTACCGCGGTAGGTGGAAAGGTTCTCGAGATTGTGACGAGAAAAGGCACTTTGGAGGCTGTGACGGCTCGAAGTCAGCAACTACTCGCTGGACTTCGTCATCTGCAAGAGAGATATGGCTGCATCGGCGACGTTCGCGGTCGAGGCTTGATGGCTGGCATCGAAATTGTATCTGATCGTGATGGTAAAGAACCTGCAGTCGAGTTAGCCGGAGAGCTATCCAGGAACATGGTGAAACGAGGTCTCTGGAGTCAGCTACAAGATGGCAAAGTCTTCAGGATTGGACCACCGATCAACAGTACTGATGAGGAGATTCAGTCCGGCTTGAAGATCCTGGAGGATGTGTTCAGACACACGGCGAACACTCATGCTCTGACGAATGGTGAACAAAGTAATGGTTTATCTTGAGTATCCTGAGGATATTTGTCTCGGGTTACGATGCGAGTGGGGATTATGCTTCAGATCTGATTAAATTCGGGGTGATAAGAACCCTATTTACACCCATATTCGATGTACGAAGGCCACATACCTGTATGGTCAAGTCCGTCCTAGCCTTTGTTCGCAAGTGCTGTTGCAACACAGTCGACGAAATGAAAAGAGTATTAGAATGTTGGATCACTTGCCTAAGCTAGATTTGACGGCTTACGTGGTAATGGATAAGTTCGAAAAATAGGCTAAAAAGTTCGCGATTTGTTTGTCGTTGAAGTTAGCAGAAATCACTATCGTGCAATTACATTAGAAGGAGTGAATTGACATTCAGACTGAAAGAAGAGTATATCGCTCTCATTCAAGTCCCCATCTCAAACACCTCTCTTCGGGACACACAGTCCACACCACACATCAAACCACACTTCACTAAACACCACTCCACTAACTCCTTATCCACATTCATTGAACGACAACCCACGTTTCTCCTCATACAAAGCCAGATCCTGGTCGCCGTCGAGGCAATGGTAACGGTTTCTAAGTCTAGCAAAGTACAACTTGAGAAAAGCCTCATGTCATCATAATCTACTTAAGGCATGAAACTAGCATGTTGAAATGTGCAAGGAAATCAACTGACCTTATTGAATTTTGTGTTGCTGCAATTCCGGCCAAAAATTATGAGTGATGGAATATATGCTTTGTTGTGATGAGGAGGAAGGAGCGAGTGTGGATTGTGATCAGGAAGGTGGCGCAAATGCTGATTGAAACCAAGGGAAGCACAAATTTCAGAAAGCAAACTCAGCACCACGAACCGCACTCTTGAAGGTCTCTTGATCTAGCTTGTCCTGTTTGCTGAAGTACGGACATGATCTTCACTACACATTCTGTCACCTTCACCTTGCATTAAAATTGGGGTTGATCCTTCGAGAGTCTCATAGCTTATCGACAAAAAGTACTCTTGCATCCAACATAAAGAAAAACATGTAGAACGGTCAAATACATTGAGATTACCCCAGCCCTGCTTCCCACTAAATTCTCTGAAGACCATAACTTTCCTATTCGAAGCAGAATGCTTTCCACAAATTTTGACATCCTTACCTCGCCTCTCCGAGAATACGTATACTTCTCTGTCACAAATCCCCGACTTCTTAGTTGTCTGGCTCACTCACAAAGTCATGGTTGCAGGAGCATCTATTTATCTTTTTCGGCAAATTTGTGACTCTGTTCAAGTTTGTCGTGATGTAACGATGACTGAAAAATTGTACTCGCTCGTACATGAGCTCTATAGTGGGCCTGTCTTCCTGCTCGAAAATATGCCAATGGGACCCGATCGTCTTGTAAGCTCTGTATGTGGCGTGCCGAAGCTCGAAATTGCTTGGGAACGGTCTGCTCCGTCGACTGTCATATTTTACCACGTAAGACCGACAGCAGAGATACAACGAGTGGAGAGTGTTGCGGTCCCTGCTAGCAAGTACGTTTAAGTTATATACACCGTTGAAAGAAAAGAGAAAGAGGCACTGGTGTGGTATGTGGTTTTCGAAATAGCAGATGGGCGGCCTTAGATCAAAGCAGACTCAAGCAGGCAATTGGGCGGATTGGTCAATCCTAAGCCGCCGTCTCAAATGAATTATGAATACGTCAAAACAGTAAATAAGCTGCCGCGTTCGTAGTCAGCGCCAGGAGAACTGTTGACAAACGAAGACTCCTTCGTCCAACTATACCGTATGTACGTTCATTTAGAGTGTCTCCTACACGACTGGTGCCCATATCTGGCTCACATTGAGATCGAATCTGAATCAGCGTAATCGCTGCGTAATCTCTGCTTCACCAGTACCGAAGAAGGAATTGAATCTTGTTCGTAGATCTTCGAATATATGTGTAGGACTAAGGTAAATACTTGTGCTCTGTCGAACGGGTGAACAGAGCAATGGTACAGCTTCAGTACCATGAAAGTATCTGTCTCGTACCGCGCTACGAGCAGGAAGTCGTGACTTTCGGCTGCGGCTAGAGCCTCTTGGCTGTGTCCAGTAAGGCCTGCAGAGTACAAAACGACACTGCAGATACAAGCAAGTCGTTAAGCCGACAGTGACAACATACTCTCAATCTTCTAGGTCATTGACGCCAACGACCGCTCATCTCCAATGCAGGAGCCATGCTGCACAAGGAGGGATTTCATCAACACGACCTGCATCTGCAATTCATGTATAGCAGTGCGGAGTTCTTGGTTTCCGAGTTTCATCTTATGAATACGCTCCAGCATATCAACCTCTTCGCCTTTGCGACGAGCACGACATCTAGCTGCGGCTTCTCGGTTCCTCTGCCGAGACTCTCCTGTGGACCTCTTCCTGAGTCTACAACCTCGACTTGGTCGCTTGCCTTGTCCAGACAAGTTGGACATCGGTTGAGATGCGGGCATTTCTGCCACATTGTGTCGTGGCTCGGCCATACAGGTCGTAGACAGCATATCATCAGGAGTTGCTGCCGTCATGATGTCTACGGGCGTAAAACCGCCGGAGATTGCCGGACTGCTGTGCTCTGTGTATGTTTCGTAATCGCAACCATTTATCCTCTGCCACGCTTTGGATGCTGAACACTCTGAAGCATGGCTGAATTCAGCTCGACTTGATCTAGTTTGACCCCAGGATCGTGACCATGTCTGTTGCATTTGCAAGAGTTCGCTCCAACCTGACTCGAACATGGCCATGATACTTTGGCGTGACGCACTTGAGGGTTCCGGCCACAGATTTTGCCGAGTGCAGGACATGTTGACCTGATCGTATTGGCTTTCGGGTGTATCGAAGGCAGGAACGAGATACTCATCAGGATTGGCCACCATCAAGGCATCGAACGAATAATTCATGTCCACAAAGCTTTCGGAATATTGTGTTTCGATGACTGGATCTAGCCGTTTCTCGAGATCGGTAGGACCATCATGCCGGGTATCCTGCTGGTTGGAATCACCCTGTGCATGTTCGTTCTCACAAGCCATGATGTCCATGATCAAGTCTTGACCGTCAGGGAGTTGAGACAACGAGTGTTCTGTTACAAGCACGCGGAATCCTTGACTGTTGATGCGAGTGAAGTGAAGGTGTGAACCAGGATCACAGGCAAATTTCACGCGACATTTGTTGGTAAGTGACTGCAACGTCTTTTCCTGAATATAGACGGCTCGATGGATAGTATCTCTATCCTCGTTGAGGCGAACGTAGAAACAGAAGACTGCACATAGTCAGGAGCACAGCTCCATGGGGAATGTGAGTATGCTTACCACTCAGACAGGCTTTAAGTTGGGTACTGGTACCTGGCCCCATGTCCTTAGTTGTAGCAGTATAAAGCCCCACTTTCTAGATCTGGCAGGACAGCACTCCTTCCTCAGAGTCTTGAACAGCCAGCTGTTCGTGCTTGGTATTTCCCCTTAATGCTATCCACGACCGAGGCTGTGAGACATCTGAGGACTCTGAGAGACTGGGCAAGCAAATCGTTCTTCCGTATGGCCGAACGTCTGCCTTCGCTAACTAGATGGAACCGACAAGGTATCTCTGTATGTATGTTGTCTGATGTTTCGAAAGGGCCTTGCAGTTTCTGCGTACTAGTTGGCTGAGCTTTGTCTGCGAGGGGTAATGTGCATAGAGCATCTCAATGTGCGTTCAGAACCTCCATCGGATAAGCCCGTAAACCGTGAAGATTGTTGGTGCTGAAAGCCTGACTGGAGTGAGGTTGCTCAACTAAACTTTGGTGATCGTTGGCTGCAATGGAAACCGACGATGCAAAGAAGCCATCTCTATATCCAGGGAGCAGTTGCTTCGACGAAAAATTTTGACGTTCAGTTAACGGAGGAGGTAGTTAACAAGCGACTGGGCCCTGTTCGATGGGGGAGGATGCGAACACACCCTAAAAGTTAGTCTGTTCCTTGGGTTTCCATCCTTTCAAATCGTCGAGGTGCATATCCGATCAACACTGCTAACTTAACATGTCAAGGGATACGTAATCCCGAGGAAAGTTCCTGTCCGCCAGACGTTAAGCAGAACCCAATATGCACGAGCCCATGGCGCTGGGATATTCTAGCGGTGGGAGGTTCGCCGCCTGAACAACGAGCACGCTCATGCCAGCCCTTGAAGCCTGTTTATCCACTGCTTGGACTCCCTCTGAATGGGTTGCAGAGATGTCTACCTTGGCAAAGAGCTTGGCTTGTAAGTCGAAGATTGTTGAAGATGCCATGTGCTTTCGCGGATGTCATACACCAGCTTCGTGATGACCAAGAGTGGTAAGTACTAGCGTTAGTGCGGCTGAAAAAACAGTACGTAGTGCTGGCATGGCGTATCACGTGCAGCAAAGGTTTCGAGGTTGTGACCAGGAACTTGCAAGCAGGCTGCTAGGGTCTTGGTTTGGCGAACTGCTCAGGCCCAGCAAAAGTCAGATGTTTGCCGCAAAGTCTTAACGCACCTGCCAAGATGCCGCCAAGGGTGTACCGTCGCTCTCGCTTCGAGCTGCTTCAATTTTGTGGTTTAAGTCTGATATGGCAGCAGTAAAAGCTGAGTGACTAGGTAGGCTTCGTGCTCGACAACAATCGAGTGCGCTTTGATGTCGTCATCGTGAAGGGTGCTTGTCCTGTGCAGCTGGTTGGGGAAAGAGCCACCTTAGCCCAATAGCCGATTTTGAAAGAGAGTCGCGGTACCAAAGCAATGTGGACCTGTACGAAAGCACTCAGCCAAGACATCTAGACTGTTCGGTTACAACCTCATCACTAAGGCAAATCTCTGCGACACCAAGTGTCGATGCGACATGTGATCACGATCTACGCAACCATGTTTTCTCTATAAATGCGATGTGGAATGATAATCCGGTAAGCAAAATTACATGTTTATCAGGCTGAAAGTTTTGAGCGTGGAACGTAGCAACGGCAATCTGCAGTTCCTCTCTTGAGCTTGGCACTTCGTTCCACATACCCTCCGAACAGTATCAGTCGTGTGCATCAACGAGGACGGTGGCGAAGCACAACACTCTTTCCTTTCTTCGTACGGAGCGACGTGGATCTGAAGTGTAGATAAGATCGTCCTCCTGCGGGTCATGATGGCCCAGGGGACTGAACACTTCGTATGTCTCACCGTATGAGCACTGCTTGACCGTATGCATTCCCGACTTTATCCTTTTTCGACATTCGACAGAAGAATGATGAACACAAGCATCCTGCTGTCATGACTGTAGCTAGAATTAGAATTGTCGTCTAGTATTAGTCTCGTCTTATCTTGTATCCAGTGTGGAAGTTGCCGCCGATTGTTCTTCCAAGAGAATGCTCGTATCCATTCTCGGCTATTGAACATGCGCTACGGGCTCTTATTACCTAAGAAACGTCTCTACTCAATACCATAACCACAAGCAGCGATGTACGCTACGGTCAATAGGCTAATAACATCGAGGCGGACAGTCCTGGCTTCTCAGTATGTCTCTTGCTTGGATTCAGCGACTGGGTGAACCGACGAACGGGGAAGAACTTTGTTCCTCCCCGATATGGTATGGAGGGGGATCAATAGGCTCGTAGCCAAGCCATCATTCACCACCTCGCAATTTGAATGATTGGGTTCGATCCATGTGCGTGTAAACATCTCATGCACTACGACATTGGCAAGATCTTGTTGTGCATCATATCCTGGGCAGGTCCCGAGGAGGTCCATCGAGCCCATACTCTTCTCACCGTTCTGTGATCAAAGCCACATGGATACTAACAGCCTTGGTCATGGCATCGAAACGATGAAGTCAAGAGCACCGCCGTATACACCCGCAGCAAATTGCGCAGACGACATGACGCCCAGCGCTGCGAAGATTATATTCGAAGCGCAGCCACTTCTTGCATGTGTGGCTTTCTGATTCTATACCAGGTTAGTCGGTACGCCCTGCCCAGTCTCTCGCATCCATTTTGATTTGGCAACCGATCTCGTGATGGCATTTCAGACTTTCCAAGAAGCTACACTTTGTGGCACCAGGCTTTCATCAAGCGAAGTAGCAAGATTTACCACTCAACCCGAGCTCTTCTTCGAAGACCTTGAACCAATGGGCCAGTTTCACACGCAGGAGTTTAATCAAATCAACAGTTACAATACTGGCACTTATCAAGAATGGAACTCGCCCGCGGACAGCTGGTTGTCCTTAGAACCGGCATCCTGGAATCCTCTCCCCACAGGCAGGGTGTTTCCCGACAACTATATCTTCGGCGTAGCAGAGCTGGACGGAAGCTCCATGACGAATTTCTGTGTCTGCGATACCTCTCCAAAATACTTTGACGCGTACAAAGACGTGGCGACAAACGCTTCTCGTCCCAGACAGCTAAAGGCCAAAGCGTGTCACCAACAGCCAGGACTCGACCCATATACTCACAAGATCGAGACAGCAGCGGCATTAACGTCGCAAAAGCTTGAGTGCTTCCCACCAGCCTGGAGGCGCGCAAGGAGGAGTCGCGATTGGCCAAAGAATATACTGATATCTACACCGGCCATTACTGCGACACAAGGGCATGGCATAGTCTACTCCTTGGTCTCTTTCCAATCATCAAATGTACGGGAAAGCCTACTTGCCTTGTGCTCTGCACTCCAGATGCAACCTCAAACGGTGGTCAGTTGGACGTGGTCACATCCACGAAAGTGTCTAGCCGGATTGGTGGACAGCACGTTTCTAGATTTTGTTCCACACCTGCAGGACTTTTGTATTACCATTCAGAGGCGAAGCGATGCTCATGCATTTGATGTTTGTATGGAGATATGACTCAGATAGCAGGCGTCGTATGATTTTCTTACTCCTTCAGTTTTTGTAATCCTGAACGTTCAGACACTTGTCACTCTATGATTAGATTCCTTCTCAAATCTAAACTTGACAGCAAAAAACACACTGTGTATGTGAGTTGCCTACCACTCATGGTTTACTTCTCGACCAAGCAGCAGCCTGGCGATTGGACGAGTACTGGGCCATAGCAGTTCAAACTGCGGTAGGTAGTGCTATTATACTGCTGGTTGAACACTTGGTCAAATCCGGGTAGGAACCTTAGCCAATACTTCAGCTCCAAGCAGGGTCTATGTGGGAATGACGACAGGCGTTGGTAGAGAAATGACCACGTACAGTCTGCAAAGGTGTTCAGCAAGTAAAGGGTTCGATATTCATGAACTATCGTGTTTATGTGCAAGACGAGTGTATGTTAAGGAAGGAAGGAATATCTGACCATACCACGATCTGAGTCGACTTATTTCCCTGACCACTTTGATCGCTAATCCCTGCTACGGTTCGGTGTCCACCTCTTCACATTGACATCTCGAACAGTGTACTTTGAGAACAGCGCACTGATGTCTGCTGCAGCACCCTTCTCAATCTTCAATGCACTAGGTGGTGGAACCTCAACATAGCACAAGACCAAACTCTTGAGGACCTGAGCCTGAACTCGGTTGATGCCATGCAGCCACCACCAAGATTTTCTCGTCTTGCTTTCCATGCTCTTCTTCTGCTGTTCGGTATCGCTCCAATGTGGATCCGAGTAGGACGGAATGATGATCACAGCAAATTCAGCATGCGAAAATGCTGGACCACGGTTGTACAATAGGTAATCGACGCCGAATTTGATGCCTGAACGGACGACCCAGCCCATGGAGCGGAAGTGATGATATGCAGCGTAGGATAACATGAATGGATCATCGGGCTCCGAGGCCATCGACAAGCTTCGTGGCGGAAAGAAGGAGTGGCGTCGGAACAGTGAAAGAAGGCTTGAGGGTGGAAGAGCTTCTCCTGAGTGTTCAGGATCGGTTGATGGTGAGGGATGAACTTCCAGGATGCCCAAGGAATATGTGAGAAAGAAGGCCTCCTCCAACGATATCTGCAGATGTTCTTGATTATTCTCCTTAATCGCGTTGTCAATCTGCTGTACCTTCTGTAACGTCTTGTTCTCCTGGGCTAGACTGCTGCCTGGAGCTTTGATAGGTGAAATTACCGGACTGGATAAGTCGAACTCTCGGGCCTCGATCGTTGGTGAGAAGCGAACTGTCTTCTGGCGTTGCAATTTTCTGACAGGGCGATCGAACTTCTCTGCTTGACTAGTTTCAGAGGGAGGAGAGGTCGAAGGTGGTGTTGGCAACCCATTCCTGTCCATTGCTTTCTTCCAGTCCTCAAAACCATCGATAGCACCGTTCGCACTTCCATTGACGTGTCCATTTGCCCTGAGCATACCATCTTCTTCTTTGAGGTCGAGAATCTTTGGTGAAGGTATGGCGATGATCGATGGTTTCTCAATCGCGTCTGGGCGAAATTGTGGTAGAGTAGGATCTCGTCGAGGTAACAGGCTATTCAGAATACCGTCAATACCATGCATATCATGTGCGTTAGTCTTCAGATTCTCTACATTAGGTACACTTCGAGAAATTTGTAGTATCTGCCTAGGTCGGCGTTCGTCATGCTTGGACGAGGTCAAATCCTTCTCGATCTCAGCCTGCTCAACCTTTGCTCGCTCGATCTTGAAGTTGCGCCTTTCTCTACGTCTCTTGTCTGTGTTCTCTTCTGCTGTCACGCCTTCCTTCTTCCTTGTCTCTAGCCAAGTCGGCTCACTTCTGCTCAGACTGCCACGACCGAAGAAACCCTGCTCCCACAAGGCGCGCTGGGTCTCATGGTCGGTGATGTGGATGCTAGAAGTGGCAGAGGAGAAGTAGCCTTTGTAAACCTTTCTCTTTGGTGGTGCGAGGACTGATATGATGTATGAAAGGGCTATCGAGACGAGTGAAAGCGGATTGTGAGGGATGAGAGGAGGTAGAGGGTGAACTTCGACTGGGAGGAGGTTGCGATGAATGATGTTGTAATTGGGCCTTCGACCACCTCTCATGCTGTTCTTCTTCTGAGCGCCGGTACGACCAATGGGCCGAGGATGTATTGTCACCTCAGACATTGTCTTTTTCGCACTGCGTTCACAAATTAGCACCCAACGGGTTGAGATTGTGCGAAAATGTTGAGGGTAGATATCGATCAGATACCGTTGTAGTCTAATACATGAAATGCTTCACGAGTGGCAGCTGAAATCAAAGTGCCAACCACTTGAGCCAATTCAAAAAGTCATCACCAGAAGGAGGACGAATGTGAATAACAAGGTGCTGTGGCTTACCGTGAATGCTTCCTGTTTGTATGTGTGTAATTGAGAGTCACCTATCATCATAATTGTTGTCTCATACCACCTGTCGGCATAGGCTTCCTTGCCAATACTGTCGCATGGAGGGTTTGCGGCGCAAAGAGATGGTGACCAAGTTAGCGTTGGGCGGTAACGAATAAATCGCTCTGGTAAGTGGTAACTGGTAACAAAACATGCATGATGAGCAAAGAAGGAAAGGTCACAACAGTCGGTAGGAGCCCTAAGAGCCGTTCATGCTGTTGACTTCTCCATTTCTGCTGACCAGACGAGTAAAGTGTCGTATGCTCAGGATCTGATTTGTGGGATGGAGGCAGAAGAAGCGAGGATCTGAGGGAAGTTTGGGTGGGAAAAGCTTCTCCAACCACGGGCCACTCAAGAGCCTCTCCAATAAGGTTTACTTTTTTTACGCAGAGAAGTGAACAATTCAAAAATGTTGCATACAATTCCGCTATCGTCGCTGTTTCTATTCGTGCTTCACTACTTCATCAGCCAGTCGCCATGCATTTGATGTACACTGAAGACCCGTCGTCGGGCAAGCGTATTTACACATTGAAGAAGGTATTGGACGGAGTGGTCACGAAATCTGCCCATCCCGCAAGGTTTTCACCAGACGACAAGTATAGCAGGTACGAGGGTTTCAAATCAGCAGGAAACGAGGTAGCTGATCATTTCTGCAGGCACCGCGTCACACTGAAGAAACGATATGGTCTGCTTTTGACACAGCAAGGTACGAAGAATGCCAGAGACATATTGCGCAAAAATTGACCTGGATTCAGAGAACAAAACGGCTGCAAAGTCGTGATCAAAGAGGCTGCGAAGGAAAGAAAACACCATCCGCCAACTATGAGGATGGTGGCGGAGTTATGAGGCATTGATACTCGGGAAGCACACGAACCGCAAGATCAAGATTGGGCAGGCGCAACTGAAGGAAGGCGCATACCCCGAAGACTATACATTCATCAAGGCTACCATATCGGAGTAAAAGAGGAGATCTAGCAATGTGATTTTGATACGACAAGATTTCGACTGAGACCACGTTACCGCTTCCTCGAATTAATGCTCTTTCCAGCGCCTACTTGTATCCGACCTGCACTACTTCGCTGACCAGTCAAGATACCCGGCAGACTGTCTTCATCCATCAGGTCCTTCTGCCTTGATCTTTGCTGGCCCTTGACAGCACGCTGGTATTCTTTCTGATCCTCCGTCAGTATCAGATCATTTCCCCAACCACTTTGACCACCACCAGATTTAGGTCCTTTCCATTTCTGGTTGGCAGTTCCTGCAGTTGGCCTCGGTACAGAATAAACGTTTCCTCTGTTATTCCACTGATAATTTGCTTTCAGATGCAACTTGACCTCACCCTTGTCGTTGGTTGTGCATGTCACTCTCGTCAGCGTGGGCTTACCGCATCGAGGACAGAACTGTTTGCTCATGTCTCTGGTAGTCTGGAAGCATGCATGACAGCGGAAGATAGTCTGTTTGATATTGGTGATTCGTTTGCAGCTCTTGGTGCTCAGAAGATTCAGGTTCATCTGAAGAAGGACATTCTGCATGGCAAAATCACCTGTCATTGTGGCTACTTGCAACGTCTTTTGTGGTTGGTCTTTCGTGTCTGCTGCGCCTTCGTCTTTCGCCTTCCTACGTTTGATGTTCAATGGTGTGATCCAACCGTCGTCAGAATCTGCTGAGTTGTCTTCCTCCAGCTCAGGTACTCCATCCACTTCTGGCTTTAGTATCTCTTCAACCTCATCTTTCGCTTGAAGAGGCACAGACTCTTCTTGTGGTTGTTGTCCTAGGACAGCACTCTCGAGTGTTGCAGCACGCAAACCCTCAGTAGTCTCTTCGAGTCTCTTGTCCTCCCCAGCTGTTCCGGCAGCATCGCGGGTTGTGTCTGCCACTGATGGAGCGTCGTCACCCTGCACTATCGCCAATTGTTCTTCCTTCTTAGGAGGAGCGCCATTGACCCTCTTCTGACCAGGCACACTCCTCAATCTCCAGTCCCCACCATTGCGCTCGCATTCGAGTTCGTAAGCTAGTGCAAGGACCTCAATATCAGTTGCACTAAGCACAGCTAGATCACCTGTCCGCCTCGCAAAGTCCCGCACTAACTTTATGCTCTCTGGTTTGGGTGTATGGATTTCAATGAACGGCTTATAGAGTGTCTCGAAACGATTGCGTGCTTCTTCGCCCTTGATTTCGGATATGACTGCAGAAGTGGTCACAAGTGTATTGCATGTCGCGGTCAGCGTCGATATCGATGGTGTGTTCAAGAGGATCGGGGAGGCATCGAGGAGGATTGTATGTATGGGCTTGTTCTCGGCGGATAATGACATGTTGTGAAATTGTGACGGATGATCGCAGGTTGTGTAGTCCTTACCAGTGCAACACAATATCAGTAGGAGTCACTTTAACATAGTGGAAGTGAGCATCGCGCTGCCCACATCATGCGCAGCGTTGCTGAAACATTATTTTTTGTTATCGATAAGCTTACTTTCTCGGCCAAGTTGCCACGAGTGATATTCCTCACTTTGACCCACTCGCTGAACGGCTGAGGGAGTTCTTACACTTATCTGCTTCTGCTTTCGACGGCGTAATATGAACGTCTATGTGATGCAAAAGAACACCCTGCTGCCATCGCTCAGCTTGGCATTGCTCGGGCGAAGCTTCTCGACAAGAGATACCCACAGGCACCTCATGACCCAGCCGACCTGGGCTCCAGGATTCAAGGCAAGCTCACAATCAACCAACTGGATTGACCGTTCTCAGTACACGTAGAACTGGTGATTCCCGATGTGAGTTCCCTTGAAGCAGTTGATTGGAAAATTCGCATTTCTTTATCGGGTAAGCTCTTTTCCGTACCTTCCGCTCAAGAAGACTTCAAAGTACATATCCCCCATCGCACAACTTCGCGACTAGATCTTCGATGCCATTGCCACTACTTGAACAGATCACTCGTCCTGGAATGGCTTCCATGCAATCCGACATGTCTGACACACCGTCCCGTCCGACGCTCTTGCTCATAAATGGCCCGAACCTGAACCTTCTCGGAACCAGAGAACCGCAGAAATACGGCAAAACCACTTTGGCTGATCTCGAAGCGTTGGTCGAATCACGTTGTGCATCCCAAGATTTAGTCCTGCAAAAGTTCCAGTCCAATCACGAAGGCGCAATTCTCGACTTCATCCATGGCTTCGCTGGCAATGCAGCTGTCAAAGGCGTGATCATTAATGCAGGTGCCTACACACATACAAGCGTTGCCATCAGAGACGCATTATTAGGTGTCAATACTCCCTTCATAGAGGTTCATATCACAAACGTACATGCTCGTGAGGAGTTCAGGCATCACAGTTATCTGTCTGACAAAGCAACTGCGGTGATTTGTGGATTAGGCATTCAAGGCTACTTCGCGGCAGTCGACTTCTTTGCTGAGAAGCTGAAAGCGGAGACGAATGTGTGAAGAGCTCTAATAGCGATCTGACACGCCTCTTGTATGGGCCACGAAATGCCAGCACAACAAGATGTTCTTTTTGCAATCCACTGAGCGGTCAGGTCTTATACTCTCAGACTGGAAGGAGCTCAGGTGGCCGCTAGTTAAAACGCACAGGGATCAGGTTATTCGAGGACAACTGACTAGAGGATACAAACACCTCGAGACAATTTCATTGCCTCGCTACGGTCCGCAAGAAAACATTTCAGAGTACGTATCAACACGAGCTTTCTCAGGATGCGGGAAAAACAAAGCTTCTGCATGTCTGCATCCTGATTCGGGTCAATTAGGCAGCGACGGTTCTGGATCAATCACCTGCCACATATCCCCGACCCGGAAGCCTCCTGGATAACGATCTGTGGGGTCAAGCACAACCTGCTTATAGCTAGTGATCCACGAGCTACCTTGAACAGTCGGAAGCACAGCCGCAAACTGTCCTACCTGAGTGGTGCCTCGGATGTGCGCTTTAAATTCACTACCGATAATGCTCTGGTGTCTGAAAACCTCACCCTCCTTCAAGAGTCCTCTAGCATGCAGGACTGCTAAGCGGGCGCATGTACCGGTACCACAGGGACTACGATCAAGTCTGCCAGGAGAGACGACCACCGTGTTGATTGCACTTTTGTTCACCAGAGGTTCTGTGAACTGAAGAATGCTTACACCTCTGATTTCGGGATTGTCAGGATGTACTGGGTTGGTGTGTTGCTGAACAGCCTTCTTGATGCGCTCGCCAATCTCAACCAGTTTTCTTCCCTGCGAACTTTCCACCTTCAGGCCTACCGAGGACGCGTCAACCAAGGCATAAATCATACCGCCCCACGCAATGTCGACCTTGACGACGCCTAGCCCTGAAACGGGAATCTCGAGATCAAGTGCGAACACGAATGCTGGGACGTTATCAAATGCAACACTTTTGCATTTCCCATTTTCGCATTCTGCCGTTACGGTTACCAGTCCTGCCGCAGCATCCAACGCTAATTTAGTGATCGGTTCTTGCATTGGGAGCATTCCAGTTTCCAAGAGCACTGTTGCAACAGCAATGGTATTTGCTCCTGACATTGGTGGATACTCCTCGTGTTCCATGGTGAGAAATCCAGCATCCGCTTCCTTGTTGCACGGAGGAAGGATGATATTACTGCACATTGCAGCACTGCCACGTGGCTCGTGCATGAGCAGCTGTCGTATGCCATCGTACTTCGTCCACATGTACATCATCTTTTCGAACATTGTCTCACCAGGGACGTCAAGAACACCACCTACTACGACATCGCATACCTCGCCTGCTGTATGGATGCCGACTACATTGAATCTGCGGCATGCAGGCATCTCGTCAGCAAGTATGCGCAGTGGTTCGATGGTTTCTGGAACGTCTAGTGCCTTTATGTTGAAGGGAGTCTATAGTACTGTTATAAGATCTTTATGCAAGTTGAAACCTCTGACGGTGCTCAAGGTGTACGCAACCTTAAATGCTCATGTAATCCCCTTCGGATTCGAAGCCGATGCTTCTGAGTGGGGCATTTTCCTGTTTCGGTCTCTCGGCTCCAGATCCGCAATGGTTGTGATAAGTACAGAGATCAAGCGGTGATTATGTCGTCCATACGTAGTGAATGTACGAATTGTGCTCAAAACAAATACTTCGAAACATTCACGTACCCTGATTCTTGTAAAAGCCCGATTGTCTCACAATGCCTAAATGTCTTGTCCTTGGCGACGCCGCTGTTCAAGATATTCTCATCAACCTCAGCAGAGATGATATTGTCTACTTTCGAAATGGCATCTCAAGAGCACTTTGCGACTTTTCCGCAACTCAAGAACGCGAATACCAACCAGATCCAGCAGTGGTTGTTCGTCCAGATGGTCGAAAGACGTTGTTCAGACTCTTCACCTCCGAGCAAGGTCCAGGTGTCAAGATCATAGTTTCCCCTAACACAGAAGCTCCTGCTGGGAACGAGAACAAAACTACTAACAAGCCAAAGCCGACGTTGCACGGCATCCTCGCAGTATGTGATGAAGATGGGTTTCCCAAAGGGTTTGTCAACGCAGAAGAAATTACAGCGTACCGCACCGCAATGAGTGCTATAATACCGTATTCGTGGCGATCCAATACCGCCAACATTGTGGTCTTTGGTGCAGGCAAGACGGCGTTGTGGCACGTCAGGCTAGCACTGGCCCTGCGAGGTGAAGAGGTTAAATGTGTCACGGTCGTCAATCGCTCGATCGATCGAGCGAGGTCTATGGTCGAGCAAGTGCAGCAGGACAATGAAAGGATATGGAAGTCGCCCGCGACATTGACTGCTCTCGATCCTGGCGATTCTAACTACGAGCAAAGCTTGCAGGAAGCTGTAGGCCAAGCCGACGTCATTTTCTGCACGACTCCTGCATCGAGTCCAGTATTTCCTGCACAATATCTCACAAAAGACGAAAGCGCAAGACACTGTTTCATCTCCGCAATTGGCTCTTGGCAGGCGAATATGATAGAGATAGATCCTGCACTTGTTTCGGAGGCATCTCAGTCAGCTAGTGGGATAGTGGTGTGTGACGATCGCAGTGAAGTCCTAAAATCTTCAGGTGAGATCATACAGAGTGGGCTACGAGCTGAGCAGATTACTGAGCTCGGCGAGCTATTGCATATGCGTGGCTCCTCTTCCACTGACTTTTCTCAGAAGATGCAGCAATCTCTTCAGGACGGGTTTGTTGTGTACAAAAGCGTGGGTCTCAGCCTCACGGATCTTGCTGCTGCCAATATCATTCTGCCTCTAGCCGAGAAGCAAGGAAAGGGAGTAGTAGTGCCTGATTTCTAGTCGATAGAGACTGTATACTTGGTCTGTGTATGTAGACCACTTCAGCGTCTTCTGGTGCTTGATAATCTAAACTTCTTTATCCTCCTTTCAAGAGTCCGGAGAGGGCAGTCTTTGCATCACGGTCTGCATCATTGTCACTTGAGAATAGATTGGCAGCTCTGGAGGAGATGCCAGACAACGTTTCTCGTCGCAGTAATGACAGCAGTCGAGCCCAAGTCGCCGATCAAGGAAAAATTGCAGGCAAGCCTGCTATTTCGATTGAGGCCGCACTTATCCAACAGTCCTTACTTGTAGTGAACGAAGACGAAGCAAGCATGGAGACGGGATTACTCTACCTTCCTTCGACCATGCACTTTATCTGATTAGCTCCGTCCAATTTCACATCGGAGAAGCCTATCACGTATTCCATGAGGAGGTATTCATGTCTGAGCTGCATTGTCTCTACGAAGACGTATCAGACAAGGCACAGAAGAGAAAGCTCTGGTACATCCACTACTTGTTGATCATGGCCTTTGGAAAAGCGTTCACATCTAGAAGCACCGAGAAGGGGAAACCACCAGGTGTTGACCTTTTCATCCAAGCACTGCGACTTCTGCAGAATGTTCCTCAGTTATGGATCGACCCATTTACAACGGCAGAAATATTTTGCTGTTCAGCACTTTACTTACAGTGTGCAGATTTCAGGTATGGAGCCTATATTACTGTGAGCTCTATCAACCTACCAGCAGCTTTCAGAGTCCTACTGACGATGGATTAGATTGGGCATGCCATACGCACAGCTCTCTTTCAGGGCATGCACACAGATCTGCCGGCCGAACTCTTTGCCACATCACAGATCGAGCGTGCACGACACATATGGTGGACTGTCTACATCTTAGACAGAGAGCTTTCGTCGCTTATGGGCTTGCCAGTGCAGATCGCCGACGAGAACATCAACGCCAGTCTCCCGACATATTGGTCCAACGAACGAGCTGCAGCACTGCGTCTGCATATAAAATTATGTCGGATAGTCGCGCAAGTTGTCGACAGTAAGTAGCCTTTATTACGCGGAACACATTCCTCAGACTGAATGCCTCTAGCGGCGTATGGACCAGATGGACGACTTGACAAGAGGTTCTTGACCAGCACGAGATCATCGATCACCAGTGTGGCTAGTATTGCTGAAGAGCTAAGCAAATCCATCAGACTCAACCTAGACGATCCCAAAGCAGGTATATCAAGACTGGCAGCTACTCTGCATCTTCAGTATCATCATGTATGTCCGTTCTCAGCCACAATCGCTCCTTGTAGTGAATGACTGTGGTTTCGGTAGTGTATCGTGCTAACAACGCGACCACTGCTTTTCAGCCTGTTCGAAAAGCGCTTGGAAGCAGAAGCCACGTCGTCAAACATCATTGTATCAATACAGCGTCTGCGAGTGCTGCTCCAGATGTGTGCAGATTCGTCTGAAGGATCCCTGACTATTCTATCAGTACTGCAGAGTCAGGATCTGCTAGGTATCGCTAACTGTCATTCCCAGTTGATGCACAAGGACTGAACTTCATTAGCAGCGTTTATTCCTTTCGATCTCGAGTCCGCATTCTGCTCAGGCATCATAGCACTTATGGCATCTTTCCTTGACCCTCTTCTGATTGAAGATCTATCGGCAGAGTTGAAGAAGGTACATCGCGTTATCGACGACCTGACCATCAAGAGTAATCTGATTGCTTACCACCGCAAAGCGGAGCTTGAGCGATTACACACCATGTTGGGCACTCTTCAAAGCCGTGCCTCGAACATTGAACATAACTCATTGGAGGAGACCAGCGTGGTAACCTTAGATGCACCTCACGACTTTGTCCCGGAAAATGCAGGAGCAACTTTCAGTATCGACAGTCAGGCAACTGTCGCGCAGCCGTTCATTGATTGGATCTGGGAAGATGCATTGGATTCTGCACAATTACTGAACGTGGCTGGCCTGCTAGCGGGAGATCAGCCAGAAGGATTCGACGGATCATTTGATTGGTGACACGCCATTGAATCGTCGCAGTATAGGACAGGAGGAACCAGTCGTCATCGCTGATCGACTATCGACATTACCATCTTACAATGCGAAGGGCCCATGTTGAAACAAAAGAGGGAACCACTGAAGTACGAGTAATGATCTGGGCCAAAATGCTTCTTCATACTCGTTCCTGTTGGTTCCCTCAAAGATAATCACTGTTTATACCTGAAAAAACAAGATCCTTCGATTATGTTCAGCTCTACTTGATCTCGAGCTAACACAGTAAGGTCAACTTGAGAAGAAAGCCGGTACAAATCGTTGTATTGCCAGATCGCTGAGGCAGTAACGTCGTCAGTCGAGTACTGCAGAGCTACGCCGCTATCCCCGCTATCGAGCTTGTCGATTCTGCACTCCGCACTGCGGTGCTGCGGCCAAGAAAATGGCATGGTTCCCCGATCTTCGGCACATGCTGTCTCTGCCAGATCTTCTTGGCTGTCTTGGTATGGATGTCCCTATTGATCTGCAGCGTGTCAATGTCTTTGCACGTGCGCTAAGCTAAGGGAAGATTGGCATGTCACTGCTTGGCATGGACGTCATGCAAGCTGGCCTGGACCTAACTGGCACTAAGGTACAAGCAGTACAAATCTGGAGCTCATGGCGCGATGTAAAGCGAGCTCGCCCTCGCGACCACATTCATGCGAGTAGCCGCCTTCCTTCTAACATACACCGAACCTGAATCACAGCCAATATGAAGGTCGCATCTTGGGTAGCAACGACGTTGCTGGCAAGCGCCTCGCTTGTCGTCGCGCATGGCGAACCTGATCTGAAGCATGAACATGCAGGAGATGTCTTCCACTATTTCCGTGGCGGACAGTGCTACGACGAAGGTGTTATCAACAATGGCACTCCGGTAGGGATGACAGAGCAAATCAATGGAGGTGCGGTGTATCGTTTCTTCAACATGGAGGCATACTGACTTGAACCAGAGAGCCTGTACCTTTCTTACCCGCGGAATGAAAATCAGAGCGTGGCTATATTGTATTTGACAGATATCTTCGGCAATGCGTTGGTCAACAACAGGCTGTAAGATTGGTCCCAGTCTATTTGAAACATGCTAACCTCGATCTAGACTGGCCGATAGTCTGGCAAGAGCTGGATACTTTGTGGTCATGCCTGACTTGTTTAGAGGCGACCCAGTACCAGCAGATGCTCTCAGCGGAGGATCTCCAGGCTTCAATATCACTACTTGGCGTGCCCGACACCCTCAGTCACAAATTGAGGAAGTGATTCAGTCTGCCATAAGCACTACTCGTGGTCAATTTGGTGCTTCGCGAGTTGGTGCTGTGGTAAGCAACTCTAATAGCTCTTCTTTGCTATCGTTGACTGATTTCTTTAGGGTTACTGTTTCGGCGGTAAATATGTTGCTCGCTTCTTGGCTCCTGGCAGAGGACTCGATGCAGGATTCACAGCCCATCCATCCGCGACTACCGCCGATGAATGGAGGGCTATCGCAGGACCGATCAGCATCGCTTTTGGGGATCTTGATAACTCGAATACCGCCGACAATAGGACAAACATTGAGTCGATCTTCCAGGGTGGCAACAAGACCTACCAGACCACCTTATATGCTAATGCCGAGCATGGGTTTGCTGTACGAACAAATCTGACGGATCGAAAGAAGGCTTTCGCGCAAGAGAGTGCATATTTCCAGGCTGTAAGGTGGTTTGATGCTTGGATGAAGGATCAGATCTAAATAGTAGCCCACATATCTGAGAATCAATCAGTTTTGTGTGCAACCACGAGTTGTAGAAGGGTTGTACGAGTAAGAAACTTGCCTGTCTTGGCCAGGTCCCCGTCGAACATGCCGGTCATTAGACCGGCACATCCATCTGGAAGAGGACGTCATCGTGAAGCATCCTTGAATCCCAGCATAAACGGCATTGATTGCGAGACTGCTTGAACATAGGCCGTGATTCTTTTATGTCTTCAGCGTTGCGAAAATTATTCATAGTAACCCGGTTTTTTTCATCGCATCACAAAAGTATGCCTACGGACATAGATCCGGCAATCATACGTGCGCTCTCCTCATCATATAATATCGACCCATCTACTGCAGAGATCAGTAAACATGGCGGAAGCGGCTTCGCATCGACCTACCGCATCAACACCGCCGACACATCGATCTTCGTCAAAACATCTTCCTCAGAGGGAGCAGCGACAATGTTCGAAGGCGAACATGCCTCCCTCAACGCCATCCATAACAGCGTGCCAAGCCTAGCTCCGAAATCCTTTGCTTGGGGTGGACTCGAGCAAGCTAAGGGCGGCTATTTCCTTGCTACAGAGTTTCTTGATATGTCAGGTAGAAGTGCTGGCTCGACTAGTCAGGGAGGAAGTGGCTTGTCTCTGGCCACGAAGCTAGCTCAACTGCACAATACACCAATACCGGAGGAGTTCCAGGACAAAGGCTTTGGCTTTCCTGTTTCAACATGCTGCGGAGATACTATACAGGATAACTCATGGAAGCCAAGTTGGGCAACCTTCTTCGCTGAGAATCGACTGAGGCATATCTTGAAGTCTGGAGAGAAGAACAACGGCAAGGATGCGGCTTTACGACAGGTCGTCGAAGATGTTTGCGAAAAGGTTGTACCACGTCTACTTGGTGATGGTCATCTGGGAGGAAGTTCAGGCATACAGCCACGTGTGGTACATGGTGATCTTTGGTCTGGAAACAAAGGTTGTGGATCCTTCGCTGGTCGCAAGGACACCGCAACAGAAGAGATCGTTTTCGACCCCAGCGCGGCATACAGCCATCATGAATTCGATCATGGGATCATGAACATGTTCGGCGGCTTTGGCAGCAGTTTCTGGAAAGAGTACTTTGAGCACTGTCCGAAAACAGAGCCTGCAGAAGAGTACGAAGATCGCGTGAGGTTGTACGAAGCTTACCACCATCTCAATCACTACAGCATCTTTGGTGGTTCATACAAGAGTGGAGCTGTGAATTTGCTGAAGCCTTTATTGAAGAAGTATGGTTGAGAAAGAGGGTATCATAAAGCAGTCAGCAGCAAAGATGGGACTGCCGCAAAAAATCTCAGGGGCTTCACGCAGATCGCAACAACAACGAATCGATCTGAGAGGTCTCGTTGCGGACAAGGACAATACCAACATGATTCGAATCTTTTCATTCAATCAACCGACGAGTCTATCTAATTGAGGGGAAGCCCGGTCACCTTCTACCTAAGGGGAAGAAAACCTGGACTTCATGTCAATCATTTGTGAAGTACATACATGCACAGGCTCCGGCCCAACGTGTAAGTCTTTATGTTTCGAGACGTCGCTACATTGTATGCATTGCAGATCTCACAGCCAATCTCGACCAAACAGGCATGTGGAGAACCGGAGTTTAGCAGGCTAACGTTGTAGCACCGAGTCTGACAGAGAACGTTATCGGAGACTTTGTGTCACACGATCGAGTAAATGCTCCGAGGATGGCAGCCGATTTTAGGGAGGCAGGACAAACATATAGTCGACAACCTAGTCAGGTAGGCAATGAAATTCAGAGCCGACGACACAAGGGGATGGGAAGTCCTGACTACGGCGCCATTGATTGGCCCTTTTGCTTCCCGTTTCAGCTCTTCGCTGTCTGGCCTTTTCTCTAAGGTTCCTGTTGTCGATGTTCTGGGGTGAGTATAGTAAAACAGAAGACCCATCTTCACTCACGAAAAGGGCGGGTCTGTTGTCAGAGGAACGAATTTAGGTGGCTTGAATAGCAAACAATATATGCTACATATTCGTCCCTTCTATCGTGACTTCTCCGTCTCTCGTAACAAACAACCCAAGATTGAACCATACACCACACTCAGGATGAGGCGCCGTTTAACCAGCCTAGAATACACGTTCACGGGATTGTCACATATGTCATACAGAGTCCTCTACTGAATTATATTTAACAGAAACTAGTCGACATATGTGAATTTATTGTGGAGACCATTCAACTGGACTCATCGCTATCGTACAGCATTTACCAAGACCCGTATGGTGCAAAGCATGTTGACGTCTGGCTTCGCCCAGGGTAGGCAGCACATGAACATCCACCGAACATCATCTAATTCTTGACAGATGATTCGTGCTCAGATGATGGTAATGACGAGGTCTCTGTAACGATAACAGATACCTTCGATCAGAGACTGAACCGTCTCGAAGCAATCTTGCCACGAGCCAAAGCATACAATGACTGGAGCAGAAATTGGTATGAGAACAAGGTGTTGGCCACTGAAGCTATCAAGGATCAAGCAAGAGCTAGACATCTGAGGTACATCCACTACGATGTCATCGTTGAGGACGCCGAGCAACAAGTTGAGGCTGCTGTGAGAGTCGGAATGCAGCTTGATGAAGTCAGGCCTCGCCTGGGTCTGAGATGGGTGGTATAGATTGCGATGGACAAGAGTGCGACACCTGAAGACGAATTGTAAACAAGTCAGTGTGCGTTTATAGCCAACAATGATGAAAAGTGTCGCATAACCTGCAAGAAGATGGTTTGTTTCGAACCGTTCCAGCTCAAAGTCGACGTCTTGGACGTCGATAATCATGCTAGAAGATGACTGAGGCTATACCACTGCCACTGCTCAGTGACGTTGTCTACTCCCCATGCCTCAGCGAATTGATTTGTGCTGAGCGATCTGTAAATATGTCACAGGTACTGGTATCGAGTTGTGTTGTGATGCTTCGAAGTAGATTGATATTTGATATGATATATGTTGCTGGCCCGAAGACAAGGTTTTCATTGGTGTACATTGTGTATTGCGCAACGATAGTTTTGAGATGTGAGATGTCGAGGCAGCGTTATGCTGATGCATTGTATTGATCGGCAGATAAGGTAGAGTGTAGTTTTCGAGAAGTGCTTCGAAGTATAGATGTGTCGAAAAGTGTTTGCGGCGTAGATTTGTAGAGAAGTGTTGTTGACGCAGCATAGAATATAGATGTGTTGAGAAGTGTTGTTAAGTATAGATGTTTTGAGGAGTGTTGTTGTCCCGGCTATGCCTTTCTGAAGTCCTGAGGTAGTACGAGCCTCCTCCCCCTTCTACAGAGATCCTGGGCCCTACCTCTTCCAATTGGCTGTGACACATTTTTGCCACAGCCCCACAAGGGCTTGAGTATGAGAGAAAGCACGACTGCGACAGTATGCATGATGAAGTTATTGGTGTGGAGAGCATCGGTGCATAAGCATTCATCAGCGTGGTATAGGTTATTCGTCGTTTGTGTGGTACTTGTCCAATGGTTGTGCATATATTGAGTATGATGTGAGATTGTGGTGAGAGTCTGTGACGTGACTTCATTCTGATATAGGTAGATCATTCTGTGACATGACTAAGAGAGTGATTACCTCCAGGAAGCGGCCTTCATGATATCGCCGTGCGACTTGCTGGGCTTGACGAGACTTGGATTGGCCAGCTCGTTCTTGAGTCGGTTGAGCTCCTTCCAGTGGTGTTCGTGAGTAGTCCACTGGTTAGAGCCGCGTTCCGAACCGTGCCACTTATGGGCAGCGGCTTCTCGCTGCTTGATCAGGTCGTCAAGCAGCTTCAATTTGTCGGCCGACACCTTGACGCCGGCAATGGCGATCTCCTTGGCAATGTCGAAGAGGATGCCAAATTTCTGATTGTGGAGGCCGTGCCAACCTAGGCTAGCGAAATCCTCCCAGGAGCTTGTGAAACGGCTCAGGGAGAGAGCCTGTCCAAAGAGCCAGTGTCGAAATCTGAGCTCTAGAATTTTGTAGGCCTCTGTATCGAAGGCCTTTCCCGACAAGCGACTTGCGGGAGCTCGTTCATCCAGGATGTCCTGAATTGGGCGCTGTTGGTAGGCAGCGGGCAGGGGGAAGGAAGAAGAGGCGGGAAGCGAAGGTGACTTGCTTCGTGCCCTCCAGTTGTCGGAGGTCGAGGAGGAGGTGGCCGAGGTGGTGGAAGAGGTGAAGGAGGTGAAAGAGTCCTCAGACCCGCTGGACGAGGTTCGGACTCTTGAGTTGTTGGACGGCCGTTCCGTCGACCTGCTTTTTCGGCTTTCCAGACAGTCCTGGCTGCTGGACCTGGCGGCAACTCTGGCGCTACGCCACGGAGGAATTGAGTTTGCTGTGAAACTCATCTTGACAAGGTTTCACATTGGTGTGAAGAGGATCAGAGGGAGTAGAGATATATACGACAACTGTGAATATACAGCCTCTCCAAATATAGTGCTGACACGGATAGATAACCTCGTAGAAGATACTGTCCGTACAGTGTGAGGAAGTGTAGAAAAGCAGAAGGAAATTGAGGAATCGATTGAAGTTATTATAGCCCAGCGAGCAACACTCGAGTTCGTAGGAGCACCAGATGAGCATTTTTTCATGAACAGTTGCATTGTAGTGGATGGCCAATAACCATCGACTCGTGCTCAACCACCAATCCATCTCTGCTTGGGGTCGCTGACAGTATTGAGGACCACATCTTGCAAATGAGCTCAGCTCGAGGATAAGATTTGCAAAGGCAAGGCAGTAGTATCTCGGCGAGGATGGTTGGCTGAGACTGAGAGTGGTACGCCGACGACATGGTAGAGGAACAGGCTGTAGGATAACTTGGTGGAGTGCATAATGTGAACAACGCTATTCAGCACCAGAAAGTGCATTTGTCGAAGTAGCGTTGCATGGCCTCAAAGACTTCACCGATAGAACGTTGAGATGCCTCGGCCACACGGGGCAAGTCGACCGTCGTGATGGTAGAGCAATTGCTCGTGTAGGAACAGGGAGGCTCGGAAAGCACAGACGTTGTAGCACATGGGAATTGAATGAGTTGCAGCCATATGACGGGGTATGATGCTGATGTATCCACTCTGCCGCTAGTGCAGCACTTCGAGAGCGACAATTGAGGACCGAGAGAAAAGAAACATTGACTCAGCAACATTGCCGATCAAGATGGATTCGTGCTCAGGCATGTGCCTTGCTCCCTAGGGCCTCGACAGAGATAATCTGTGGCAGAAATGCTGGAATATTCCGAGCACTATGAAAGTCGATATGAGCGTGTGTTCGGTGGATTGTATTATACAAAATGTCCTGTCAACAATTTATGCACTTAAGTTCGTCGTTGTGAATGAAAAGGGCTGCTCTTCATTGAAGACGGTTCTTGTTTGCAGCCACGATTCGTGGTGTACAGGCGACAGTAACAGATATACCGAATGATACTGCTAGCATGATGAAAGAGGAAGAGTATCTGTCTCTTATACACTTCCTGCTTTAAGTTCGCTTTTCCTGCCTGCCCATGTAGCTCATAGGACCTGTATGGGCTCGCTAGATCCGCCTATCAGGACTTGATTGCTGGTATAATCTGAGCCAGCCCCGTTCTCTTGCACTTCATGCGGACTAGCTTCCCCTCTCAGATCGCCGATTCAGCAACTCGAAGCATTGTCGTTCCACTAACACCTTGCAATAGTGCTCATTGAAATCGCTATTGAACGAAAGTGGTACAGCCAATGTACTCTCTTGGAATTGCGGATGCCTGGTTTCTAGTTCGATAGCCTTTCGAGCACAAGAAACCACAATCACAAGCTCAGATACAAGCGACGATGCACATGCTGGTGAGGGTACATGTCGACCATTGGATCTGCACGATGTGCAGAGCTTCGTTAACCTAAGACAGATGATGCAATCTGGGTTGACAATGCAAGGGCAAATGTTTCAACGATTCGCAGCAGGTGGGTCATCCGTGAAAGCACATACTGGTTGCGAGCCAGGATATCAAAGGATTTGGTTTGAGCTTATGAACATCGAGAAAACCGTGACCAGCACGTTCTTAAGCGTATAGCCGTCGAACAGAACATTCTCTCTGTGTAGGGCATTCACGAAGAGTTCAAGACATTGGTGTCGCTCGTGTGCCCCATCCTTCGTTTCAAGGACCCAGAGTCTCCCGTCGAGACGACTCATGCTGTTGCTGAAATAGAAGCTCAGAGATACTCCGCTTGATAGAAGCTGTTTCAGTGCAGAGGTTGCCATTTGTACAAGTAAAGATATAAAATCAGGCAAGTCGAGTAATTACGTAGGGACAATCCCTTTCGTCGAGTCCATTATCGGTATTGTTCCGACATCCAAAGCTCAATACAGAATTCCGCAACCAATGCTTTTCGTTCCATCACTTCTGTATGCATATCCGAGGTCCTATCGACCTAGTCTGCCTTGATCCGGCGTCCCTTCGTCTAAACTTTCGCCAACCAATACCATACATCGTGAATGATAACTGTTCTGGTACTGCTGCAAGACAACGAAGAAGAGGACTCAGCGACAAAGGCTTGTTCTCAAAAGAGGACAGCAGTGTCTGGTTGACGCCTACCGGCACGAATCAGACGCGTCGTGCCTGTTGCTCGTCCTTAGATGGTCAGGTACTGATCATGTTGTAATGTGGTTGTCGGCATAGCTTATAGCTCTAGGTGCCTAGCCACCCTTGCAGCCAAGCAGAACGCTGGTCCGCGAAAGGCAAGAAAGTAGAACATACCCCATGGTTGATTACCGCATGTGTCCAAGGGTGCGGCTTTGGAATCGACGAGGTAGAATGCAATTACATTCGTTCAAACAGTTGTGACATGATGCTAGAGGTCTCTTATAGTCACAAGGTCGAGACCAAACATGAATTTGGCTGACGACTACGTTGAAAGTAAAGCGTAAATCACTACTATGTATTGGTTGTGGTGTACCAGACTTCTCCTGAATCGCTGTGCACTCCTTCGGATGCTCTATGCCTTAGGCACAAACACTCAGGACGACCCAGGCATCAAGGCTTTCATCGCGTTGCATACAATGTTCTGGTTGACTGGTTACTCTATCCTCACTTCCACCTCGTTTACTCGTTTACTCTTAATTCCCGAGAGTAGCTGAAAATGTGTTCACGCAGGTAGTGCTCTCCTCGCTGGCCATCTTAGCCTCATCCATCGATTGCGTTCTCGCCTCATGCCTTGGTTCCTCCAGAAAAATCCGCAACCATGACACTCTGGGGCACCGACACAGTTCGCGATGTCGCAGAGGCCGTTGGTATTACCAACCTCAACAAGGAGGTGACTTCTGCTCTATGCAGAGATGTGGAGTTCCGTATGAGTCTTGTTCTCGAGCAAGCAATCAAGTTTATGCGACACTCCCAACGGACTATTCTCTGGTGCAGTGACATTGCGCAGGCTCTACGGGTACTTGATGTTGAACCTCTGTATGGCTACGAAAGTACAAGACCGCTTAGATATGGGGAGGCTAGTATTGGACCAGGTCAGCCGCTGTTCTACGTGGAAGATGAGGAGATGGATTTCGAAAAGCTGATTAATGCACCTTTGCCGAAGGTGCCACGAGAGATGAGCTTCACAGGTAAGGAAGGGCTGTGATGGTCAAGTCTTGGATAGTACTGACTTGGTATGTAGCACACTGGCTCGCTCTAGAAGGTGTCCAGCCTACCATTCCACAGAATCCTTCCGTCCTCACAAACACGACCGATAATAGAACGATTGATTCTCTATTACCTAAGACTGGCACAGGTCCGAACCAAACCCTTGCCGCCATGGCTGATTCTGCCTCCGCAAGTACTACGAAACCACTTGTGAAACACGTTCTCTCGAAAGAATTACAGCTTTACTTTCAGAAAGTCACCTCATCAATCCTCGACCCAGCGCAACCAGAATACCGAGCCGCTGGATTGACGTCCTTGCGAGAAGATCCAGGTCTACACCAGCTGGTTCCATACTTTGTACAATTTGTTGCAGAAAAGGTCACACACAATCTGCGAGATCTCTTCCTACTTCGTCAGATGATGGAATTGGTCGATGCGCTTACGCGGAACGATAACTTTAACCTTAGCCCTTATGTCGCAAGCATGATCCCTCCAGTTCTGACCTGTTTAACAGGAAGAAACCTGGGACCTGGTGCAGGCGGAAATGGAGCCACAATCAACGGTACAGGCTCAAATCCAATGGATCATTTCGAGCTACGAGATTTCTCAGCAGCACTCCTTCAGCGACTGTGCAGTAAATACGGTCGTTTCTCCCACAACTTGAAACCTCGATTGGCACGTTCTTGCTTGAAGACATTCCTCGACCCACGAAAGACACTCGGAGCGCATTATGGGGCGATCTTGGGTTTCAAGGCAGTGGGTGGTGGAGAAGTCGTGCGCAGCCTGGTTGTTCCAAATTTGAAAGAATATGAAGATGTCCTTCGAGGCCCCTTGAGTGGTGGTGAGGGTGATCTGCAAAAGGCTGAAGCTGAAATGGTGGTGAGAGCTATCATGCAGGCTCTTGCGACACTGATCGACGACGACGTGCCCATGATGAATGGACACGCTGATGGCCAATCGGATACGAAAGAACGAGTGATCACCAAGGTTGGCGAGGTGCTTGGGACAAGAGTTTCGGAAGATGCAAGACTCACTCGAGCTGTTCTCGACACATAAGAGGTTCAGGACTCAGAGATGTTGATTGATGATACTCGACAGAATGCAACAACACCCCACCAAGTAACAAGGGAGCGATCACGACTGAGCCACGCCTTATCTCGTTCAGGTGAATGAAAGTGACCCTCTCAACAACCAAGCGGCACTACCGTTTCGAAGTTAGAGATATACAGCTTAACTAGGAGGTCAGTTCGTTGAAGCATGAAACTTCAGGTATGCAAAATTGTATGGCCCTGGACGTGGCCCTCACTGGTCCCAATACGAATACAGCGGGAGAACGATCTACCACATAGTCCAGTTCTGTTCGTCAAGGTACACCAATCCCTCAATCAAGGACTTCAAGTCCGACTTCGCGGACTGCAACATTCCAGCAAGGAAATAGTGTTCGAACATCGAAAAAAACAACACTATTAGTATCTTCAGACAACATTTGAGCCGTGAACCACAGCAATCAAGAACTGGCAAGGCATCGGACACGAGCCTCGACATCCGCAGAGCCTGAGGCGCCGAGCGCTCGACACGCAAATCGCACCATTGTCTCTCATTCAGTGCCATGCCCGGCTGAACCGCTGGCAATATCATGCAGAATTCATTAACCAGGAACAGACATGGGTCTACGTACTACATACATTTTTTTTTGGCCTTCTATCACCAACCTTTGTGGAGTTGAGAGCAATCAAGGGCTCTCCTATGATACGGTTGAGTACAACATGTTACAACAATCAGATCAAGTCTTCCGACGAGCTAATGAGGATTCCAGCCGAACACAAAAAGTGGTTATGGGCTCCTTACAATAGAGCAAGATCGATAGACTATAAATCGGGACGAGCTAGAGCGTGACGCCGATCGCGATATCTACAATCTTATGTCGTATTCTCTATGAAATCGACAAAGAACCCATTCGCATCTTGTTGCCCGACCATGGCGAGTATGTCTCGTTTGTTTGCACCGGTCATCTACTGACGCAAATGGGCCTCGAAGATCAAGAGTCTAGATTCTCTCGATGGAGCAAATAAGGGTGCTACAAGATGTACCTTCACCCGTTGTGCCAAAGGGTTCTTCTTTTATTTGGCCTTTGACATTTGTACATGATCTATGAAGTATTCTTGACATGGCCCACCTCATCATCAAATATCTAAGCAGGACCACATTTCTTAAAAGTGGTCTGGAGCTCTCTCAATTGATCTTTCACATCTTACTTGCAGTCGCTAATGGAGTCACGCCTTCCAAAAATCCACCCTCGACTACCGCTGTAATAAGCTGGTTTGCAATAGCTGTTCTCGGCGGTAACCTCAAATTACCCTCTTTATATCCTGACGGTGCTGCTTCACCCAAACTGCTTGTGCCATTCTCCAGGGCCTCCTTGATTTCATCGAGCTCGAACCATTTCGCTGTCTCTAGTTCTGGATCGTTGTCGAGCTTGATTACCTCGTCTTCAGGAGAAGCGACTTGGGCGATCGCACCGATCATCAGATTGGCGGGATATGGCCATGGTTGAGTACTGTGAATGAGGACTCGCGAAAGGACGACGCCGGACTCTTCCCAGACCTCGCGACGTACGGCATCCTCGACGGATTCGGCTGGTTCAATGAAGCCCGCAAGAGTGGAGAACCAGTATGGTGGCCAGCGCTTCTGACGACCGAGCAGGAGACGTTTTGAGTCGTGCGAAAGTACAGCTACAATGATGGTAGGGTCGGTTCTTGGGAAGGTCAAGTTAGATAGTGTTGTCCGGGTATTGCAAGGTGTCCGCTCTGCTGGAGTCTCAGCTTGGTCGATTGGTGGGCAGACACGTTTCGCGCCAGCATTGACGGACAAAGTAGGATGTCCACATGTGCCGCAATAAGTGTTCCTTGCATTCCAGTCCAGGTAATGTCGTCCTTGAGCATATTCAGCGGCGATATCTGCTGGAAAATTCATTGCGCGCATGCCTTCTACGAACATGAGGCCACTGTCCAGCCATTTCTGTGACAAGGCTTCTGCCTCTTTCTCAAAGGTCTTCTTGGGTGTCACATCGATGGCGAAATGAGGAGCTCCAGTATAGTTCTTGTACGTATAGCCATCCTTGTTAGTTTCATCCAGACCCAGGAACACAAGCTGTGGTATCGCAATGCTCGAGTTGAAGGACTCTAACAGCTCTTTCTCGGTTCTCTTGAAAGGATTGTCTGGTTGGATAGTCTTGATGTCATCGTAGCTGAGATAGTGAATCTTCGTGGGCGAGTCAATCAGGGGAGACAGATTCTTGTACGCGATGAACTTGGTAGACGGATGAGCGAATGCTCCGGCAATAAAGTCATGGTCTTCACGAAGGAACGACACTCGATTCAGAGGAGAGGAGCCGAAGTAGTTGACCACTTCTTTGCCAAACTTCTTGCCCAGGGCTGATTCGCGCTCGATATGCGCTGGGTGAGGCAGATCAGGCGTGGGTATATATCCACTCATTTCTGCGGTGGCTAGCGATTGACTGGTCGCAGTGCTGCTAGGTAGTGAGGACGATGACTGACTATACTGTTGCCAGGGTAAACACCTCGAGGGGAGTTTCGGACAGACTTGTCGGCCTGAACTGGAGATGCGCAGAAGTAGAAAAGCAGATCTATAACCAGGAGAACAATTCAGCATGTATAGACGACAAAATATTGAGACAACTCATCAACGACTTCAGACCATCTTCCCCTTGCCCGCATATATGGAGCTTGATGCTGTTATTTTGTGTCTCCAAACAGTAGCGGCATGAACTCGTGCCTCGGACGAAATGCCCCGCCATGATGGGAAATTTAGTCAGCAAGTATGCAAACAAAGTTTCAACGTAAGTCTCGTCTCATCTTATTTCAATCACATCTTTACCACGGTACTGTCCCGGATAATCGACCACAGGAGTATACGATATGTGAGGAACATGGAACGGCTATGTGGACAGAGCTCAATAGTAGTACATGGAAGACTTTGTGCTCAGAGAGGGTCTACCGGAGTTAACGTTTTTGACACGTCCGAGCCAGACGCGCCACACTCTCCTAGTCTGGTGGTATGCGTGAAGCAAATGGTTCCTACATCAGTCACTTCACGAATGCCTTTTCTTTCTCAAAGCCACATGCCGTCGAACAATATAGTGTGCAGGTCTGTCCGCGCTCTGGAATAGCAATGGCAAGCCAGACTTCAGCATCAAACCGATTGGTGTCTATGCTCGTTACGAAATTCCTGCCGATGTGCAACAAGCTTCGAGAGACAGACCTCGCGGCTGGTTAGATCAATGCTGCATCGTCGTCCCGATGCAGATCAACCGTCGGTCTGACAGATGAAGCGTCGTCCTGTTTCGACAAGCTTTCCCTTGAAACACTTGCAGCGTATTCTGTCCTTGTCGAACTAAGAGTGGTGTTCTCGTGGTCGCGCATTCATTCAATCCAGTGCTTCTTGACCATTTTACTCCTGTTTTCTTTCAGGACCATGCTTCTCTTTCAGTCGGATCTGGAGATATAACGTCTCATACTAGGATAGAAATCTCTCTTCTTAGCTCTCGGGTCACTTGTTCAGTGCTTGACCTTGCTGGGTATTCCACCATAAGTCATTGTATAGAGGTACTGCTTCTGTACAGGCCCTTTGGTGACACTGAGGTTAAGAACGAAGGAGTCTGAGCAGTCTGGCAGTGGTGAGACGCATCTTGCCCACGCTCGTCGGATTGGTAGGGCACGCGGACCAGATATGATAGCCTTCTTCTGGGTTGCGCTCAGAAAACTATTGGGGAACCTGTCGAGCACGCCAAACAGTCCAGGCTGTTTCGTTCTTGAGGATCAGCAGATGTACTGTTTGTATAAATTCATGCCATATGAGGCCCTTCCGCACTTAGGCTCTTTTCAGATCAGTCCTTTTCGTGCCAGCTCAATCTTCCTGACTGTTTCGCCTTCTTTCCAGCCACCCTTGCTTGCACAGACCGCGATGCCTTCAGCCAGCTCAACTTTGTCTTCGACGTTTGAGAACGGACAAGGACAATGATGTGGGAAGTGGACGCAGGCTAGAGTGTCTGGACAGAGGTAATTCGAACATGTGGCTATCGAGTATGAGTATAACGTCGCATTGAATAAAATGAGGCCACGTTACCTTGCTGCCAATTCTGCTGAAACCAGGAAGAGTCACTGGCCACGTTTTGTTTCTCTTGCTGTTGCTGCTGACCACCTTGATGGAAGAACTGGTCAAAGAATTGGAATTGTGCTGAGGCAGCCACAACAAGGACGCTGACAATCCAAAGAAGATACATGGCGAGGTTTCGGTGAGTGTCCTCGCAGCGACAAGGACGACTTCAGAAGTTATTGGCGAACGTAAGGTAGACTGACCTGGAATAACCATATGTCGAAACCTATTGCATGGTCGGTTTAGTGTATATGCCTCAGGCAATTAAAGCCTCCTCGCATCTCCGCAAATTGCGCTAAGAAGTTGATCGAGGTCGACAGTGACCTCCTACCAACGACATGAGCTTGCTGTAATCATCAAACCCTTCATCACAGAATGCTACAACCCAGGATAGCTTCTCGAGAGGCATCTCTTACCTCTCTGGCAACAGCTCTAAACAACCTAGCGCTCTGCTCACGCCATGCAACCAAACCGCGACAACCACAATTGGTCATCACCCGTCATGCCTCTCATGCAGCTCAAGGTCGAGCAAATGGACCAGGTGACTCGGCTGGTCGACGCTTGGGTGCGAAGAAGACAGCAAGTCAATACGTGATACCAGGGAACATCATCTTCAAGCAGAGAGGTATGTTTTATACTCCTATGTAACTCGTCCCTGCATCGTCGACCATACAAGCGAACAAAGGACAAGATTCCATCTCTAACACTCTTCCAACACAGGCACAAACTGGTTTCCCGGCGAAAACGTGGGCATGGGCAAAGACCACACCATCTACAGCACCGAATACGGCTACGTCCGATACTACCGCAATCCAGCCCTCCATCCCAAACGACGATATATCGGCGTCGCACTCGCCAAGGACGGTCCAGCCTCGAAACTACCTACTCCACACAATGCGCCCACTCGTCGCAGATTAGGAATGTACGCAACTCCTATGAAAGAAACACCTCTATCACCCGCAGCACAAGCTGTTGAAGACTCCTCCTTCCTCGAAGCGCACGTTGCTGTCTCCGATGTGAACAACTCGCTGAAAACACTCCCTGTCCCGCCACAAGCAGCAGCGCAAACAGGTGCATTGAGGGCATTCGACCCATCCAACGCGTTAAGACGAGGTGGACACGGCATCACAAACTACGAGATTGGTAGGGCTGCGGAGAGGAAAGGCGTCAGGGTCAAGGAGTTTGACAGGAGTGATCGATGGACGGCGTGGAGAGTCAGGGCGAAGAGAGTGAAGGAGCAGATGTTGGCTAGACAGGCCAAAGCCAGGAATAAGACGAAGGGCAAGAAGAGTAACAAGAAGATTGCCGGTTGAAGAGGTCTAAGCTAGGATCCTTGTCACCGCATTTGGTGAGGCAGCAGTGTAGATTTGAGGAGTCAAACGGAAAGAGAAATCTTCAGCGTTCATATACGATGGAACAAGGTTTCGAGCCTCTACGATTTGCGGTATGGAGGTTGCAGAGGAGGTGAGGTGACTAGCCTCACGAACAACACAAGCCCGTTGAATAGATACGACTCTTAACCCAGCTTGGAAGCTGAACCGTCAGCATAACTGGTGAAATTCTAGATCGGTACAGTTCGTTGAGTCGATTTCCTGAAGTTGTAAAATGGATAGCACAACGCTATGCTGTAGAAACGCTCAAATTTGATTAAAAGCTATATTCATCTAGCATGTCATAAATTGTTCTCTGTCCTGAATTTATCCCACGCCTCGTTCAATGTGCTAAAGACAGCAGCAGCAATCATCCTCTGCTCAGTCGTCGCGTCCGTTGGAATCTGTCAACGTCGTTAGCATATTACACGTATCACCTCTCAATATCGCTTACTTTATCAGGATGACATTTCCCAATTCCTTTCATGTAGTGGATCTTGACTTTGTTCGGCAGAACCAGATCAGCCATACCAATCTTCTTCCAGCCCGCGCCTTCCCAGAGGACAGTATCTAGACTTGCAAGTAGGGCTCGCAGGTTGCCTTCTTTACCACCTTTCCAGCCAGTAATGCGAGCTGCAACGACATCTGCTAATGCAAATTTCTCATCGTCCAGCTTCTCAGCAGCTTGATTCTGCGCACGTAACGCAGATACAGCAGCGGCAGGTTTGGTAGATACAGGTGCAGTTCTTGGAGCGGCACGGGTTGGGGGCCGTCGCGCAGGAGCTGAAGTGGCAGCCTTGGGAGCAGCAGCTTTTTCAGCTCGAGCACGTCCTTGAATTGCCGCTGCACCTCCATGGCCATCCTCGACACATATTCTCCAAACTGTTGCAGCTTCGGACCACTTTTCGAGACTTTCTAGTGCTTCGGCCTTTCGCATGAGTGCCTTGCCATAATATTCGCGCATTGGTTTCGCAATGGTCTTGCCATCATCGTTCATGATGTCGATATTTTCTGCTTCGCCCTTCGATGGCCCGATAAGTGTGATCGCCTGGTCTGCATCCGAGATAGCCACTTTTGGTTGACCTGTCCGCAGAGCTGTGAGGGAGTGGTTGGTCAAAAGGACAATCTGTAGAGGATGCGAAGTAGGGATATGCCGTAGCGATGTACTGTATGATTCGTGGGCGGAAGAATAGTCACCTCGTTTGAAGTAGTCGTTTCCTTGGGCACGAGCGGTGTGTGAAGCCTTGAGGGCGATCGGACTAATTTGCGGAATTGTACGGGAAGGCGGAGGAGGACGTGTTTGAATTGGCGTTGCAGGCTTGACTGGCAGTTTTGATTGTTGTCGAGGTGGTGCTGATCTTGTGACTTGTCTTGCTGGTAAATTTTGTGACGGCCAAGAAGAGGAATCATCAAGTAATTCAGCATTGTCTTGAGACGAAGGTGCTGGAGCTTGTGGTTTCCGCCTACGAGCCGAGGAGACGTATGCTTGCGAAGCTTGGTCTTCCGCTACTTGCCTGCTAAGCATGTCGCGTGCTGATCTTGGTGCTTGCTGAGCTTTGGGTCGCATCATGCTAGCCAATGGGTCTTGCTGTGGCTGTGCGAAAACAGGCTGTGGACTGTGAGAGTCCCTCAGTCGTGAAGGCATTGCGGGTGAATGGTCTCGCGGAGAGTCAAAGTCTGCGCCAGACCTGTGATCAGGTCTTGAACGTGGCGGTGCTCGAGGGGGAGGAGTAGGTCGCTGCGAATCGAGCATGAGCGCTTCGTCGGTGACATTTAATTGCTGTTTCCTTAGGTTTGGCTTTTCTTGCTGCCGCCCACGTTCATCCGCCCTAGATCTTTGTGGAGCAGCTGGCTCTTGCATCCATTTAGGTGTGCTAGCACCAGACTCGGTGTCGGAGTTCAAGTCCTTTACCACTTGCTGAACCTGCTTTTGTGCTTGCTTCCAGAAAGAGCCAGCTGACTTGATGAAAGCAGTACCGAAATCTTGAGCAGCTTTCGCAGGATCGGTGGACAGTGTGGCCGAAAGGTCCCTTTGAGTAGTGGCTGAGCGATGGTCGTCTGGGTCTGCTCTGTGTCGCGATCTAGCTATATCTTGCTCTTCGAATCTTTCCTGCGACCGAGCTGGGTTGCGCCCTCTCGATTTCTGCTTTGCTTCTTCGTGCGCCTGATTGAGCAAAAGTCCAACAGCAGCCTGCACGTTGAGTCCGGTATCCGTGGCTTCCAATGCTCTTCTAGCCTTGCCGACAGGAAAGCCCATATCCACTAGCTCTGCCACAGCTTTGTCTTGAGGATGATCGGTTGTTGATTGAGGCTCAGGACTAGGTTGTCGTCTGACCGGCTCTCTTCTTGGAGGTGCTCTTTCTTGTATAGGCTTGCCCAAGTCTCCAAGGATATCATCGTCGTCAGCCACCGGAGACTGGTTCAATGCTGGATTGACGGCCTCCCGCGACGCGAGCTGTATCAGGCCGAATGGATCATCCTCCTCGGGGTTCGATTGTGAGTGTGCAGCCGAAGGAGTGTACTTGGGGTTGCTCGTGGTCGGCCCGTTGAAGGCAGCAAATAGGTCATCGTCTCCCTCAACCTTCTGGTGAGCGGATAGAGGTGTACCATTCGTGTTCTGTAGGGCCGGTGTGCTCCTCCCACTACCGAGATTGTTCCATACAGCATCGTTGCCAGCCCACTGGTTCTGCAACTGCTGCCTCTGTCCCACAAGTTGCTGTAGCTTGCTCTGCTCTCGCAGCTTCTGCTGCTCTTGGAGGGACAGATTCTTGTTGTCGCTGCTGCTGGAGAATGCCACAAGGTTTGCGAAGCTGTCGTTAGAAGGTGCAGGGCTCTTGGGAAGCGACGGCTGCGGAGCGTTGCTCGCCAAAGGTGACGCTCGACCTGAGACTGGCGGAGTCGGACCTGGCTTCAGGGAAGAAAAGGCGGAATAGTTCCCCTGCCCTGGCTTGTGGCCTGTGGCTGGTTTGGAAGACCAGTCCAGGCCGTTGAGGTCATTCATCGTACATTCATGAAGTCGTCGGTATACTATAGACGCAAATTACTCGTTTTCATACGAGCTATCGTCGTTGTGGCTCAAGACAAACGACAGCATGATTGTACAGACCGGAAAGTCGCATGTTCACAAACGAAAAGGATGGAGCCATAAGCCACACTGCCCTGGATTAACGCTCGCAAGATGTGGCTGTGCGGTCGGCTTCCCAGCCAAACTCCGTCTTCGTCACGTGACTGAGTTGATGTGAATCCTCGTTCACCATTGAAGATAGTCTCGTCCGACCATGCACGCTTTACTGATCGTACTGGTCTCTTCTAGGACCTCTTGCAAGCATATTCTTTACCGTTAGACATTTGATTCAAACGCTGCATCTGTGCTGGGCGTGGCCAACAAATCTTGTGCAACGACTCGGATATGACAAATCTTGACCGATTGCGCTCACTACCAATGTCGTGTGCCGAAGTATTGTTTGATGAAAGAGATATCAAGCTTTCACAGCTAGACAAAGCTACAAAATCCTGTTGCATGTCTGCGGAGCATTTCTTGACTCGTGTGATGCTCTTCCCTCAATTGCAAATCCTACGAGGTTTTATCTAGACACGCGGTATACGCAGAATTGACCACCAAGCCAATCGCCCTGCCCTGCAGTGCATATGCACTGCCAGAACCAGGGTTCCCGACGCGAAGTAAGGAAGTCCATGTCACTGCCTGATCGTCTCAAGAATGATTTCAATACATTGATCTCGCTTTCCAATCCACAAAAGAACGATGCTGTCAGTGGAATGTCAGCCTGTCTATATGACCTTGACTAATCACACAACTGTAGGTGAAGTTGCATTGCCTTTCTGCCGCAACCGAGATGGCGCAAGTCCTTGTGTTGAGCAGCCACGCCGGAGACGTTGCAAAGCTGGAGAAGCGTGTCATTAGTGGTAAACCTCGGTGACACGGACTACGACTAGTAGCTCGATGGAGATTCCATAGTACCGTTATCAGGGGTCGCATTCCATATATTGTTGCTGGTGCACTACTGGTATCCGCACGCGTCTACAGTAGTTTGAGCCGATGAGTAGCGTAACATTATCTAGTCGAAAGCACAAGAGAGACGAACATCATATCGTTGCAGCGGGTGGACAGCGGCTTGGGAAAGGTGTAAACTTAGTCGTGACCAAAAACGGTTTGCTACTGGACCCTTTTCTGCCCGGACAATGTGTTCCGCTTTTGTGCACGACTATCCAGGACCCCAGCGTTATTCGGCTGGTGAAAAAGCCGCTTTTGGCTTCACGGGCTAGAAAAGAAAGTCAATCTGAAGTTGTAAAGAAACTAAAATCATGCTCGTCCTAATTCTGAAGAAGGAAGGCACGACGGTTCAGCTTACTCTCGTCCATACCTGCCCAGTCTCTCACTCACTTCGTTTCATCCCACCATTGTCCTTCGTTAGAAATTGAAGTGAACTGTCTTGATCACCTGCGTCGATCGTTAAAGCATATCTTCTTCTGCGTGTGCGATTTGATCTGCATGTGGGCGTCCACTTTCTCAACTCAGTTGGGCCTAGTTTATCCGCCGACTTACGTCGGCTCTGGTGTGACAGGTCATATGCGACACAATGGGATTATTTAGAAAGAGGGATGCCAGGGCACAAACCCATCAAACTCAGTCGCATGGTAATGCAGTCTACAATCTCCAAGCTAGACATCGTACAAAACCTACAGACAAGTTATCAGACTATTCTCTGAAATCACCAAGTCTGATCACAACCAGCTCTCTACATAGCACAATGGCCAATTCGATACCCGAAATTGACATACCACCAGCACCTGATCCGATCAAGAATCCTGCACAGTATCTAAGAAGCATCTATGCAGTCAGAGGAAGATCGACGATCGTGCTAGACAAGGCCAAGCGAGATCAGCTGAATCATTTTGATGTTGATATGACCAAGTTTCAGGATACTGCAGATTATGTTGTCTCTATCATAAAGGTCAGTCTGGTGCCTCATAGACTCTGCTTCATGCTAACGTCGTTCAGCGTGATTTTGCACCTGATTATAGTTCAATACCACCTCATGGTCGATGGCAACATTTCGAGGTTGGTGGTCGACCACGCATAACTCAGCTACTTCAATCATGGCCGTCATCGCTCGATCAAACGGAACGAACGAAGCGTCTGGTCGATCTCTTTGTAGTCTCTGTGTTGCTCGATGCTGGTGCTGGCACGAAATGGACTTACACATCCAAAGAGAATGGCAAATCCTATGCTCGATCAGAAGGCCTGGCCGTTGCATCTTTAGAAATGTTCAAGACCGGCATCTTTTCGAGTAACCCTGCTAATCCACATCAAGTCGACGCTGCAGCGTTGCAAAAATTGACGACCGAACATTTGGCGAAAGGCATGCAAGTATCCGAGGCAAACCCAATGTCTGGTCTGGATGGTCGAGCAGCGCTTCTCTCACGGCTGGCTGTTGCACTACGAGGTCAAGTGGCTATGTTTGGCAGGGATGCACGGCCAGGAAATATGGTAGACTACCTGATCTCACATCCTGATACTGTGGCTGCTGCTGTCCCAGTAGTGCCATTGCCAATATTGTGGGAAGTCCTTATGGATGGCTTGAGCAGTATCTGGCCAACGACGAGGACGAGCATTAATGGTAAATCGTTAGGAGACGCTTGGCCATGTTCGACAATGCCCGGACCCGGTACTTGGGAGAACATTGTGCCATTTCACAAATTAACACAATGGCTATGCTACAGCATCATGGTACCAATGACGAAGTTATTGAATATGCAGTTTGCAGGTGCAGAATTGCAGACAGGACTTCCAGAGTATCGCAATGGTGGATTGCTGGTAGATACTGGTTTGTTGACATTGAAGGAAGCGGACACGGCTAGAGGTCTGAGAACATGGCACAGGATTATGCCTGATGACGCGACGGAAGTGGTACCAACCTTCGAGCCGAGTGACGATGTGGTTGTTGAATGGCGAGCTGTCACTGTAGGTTTTCTAGATGAACTCTTGTCCGCCGTGAACAATGGCTTGGGACTTTCGGGAAGCGATAAGTTGAGTCTAGCTCAGATGCTCGAAGCTGGGACTTGGAAGGTGAGTAATCCGTCTACTCAAGTCTCAGAACTAACATCTCCGTAGGGTGGACGAGAGATTGCACAAGTCTCCAGACCGAACACCAAGGGTCCACCCATAGGCATTATCTCTGATGGAACAGTCTTCTAGGCACGACATCGAGTTGAGAGTGATGTACAGACGGCTTTAAGAGCTTGAATACAGTATTGGTGGGTTTGATCAAGCCGAATAGTAAGTGGCAATGAGACCTCGCATGCTAAATCAGAATTACGGGTTGCCGCTCATACGATTTTCAATCTCACTTACCTTTCACTCGCTCCCAAGCCTTTGAATTCGTCCTGCACAACAGCAAATTGAATCTTCCTCTACTGTCTTGCGATCATCGTCTTTCGCAGCTATTCTCGTGTCTTCCACTGAGACAACTACAGTATGCTTGACTTCCTTGACCCAATTCAGTACAACGAGGATCGAGGAACTCGGCGATCGATCCGTGTAACACGTGTTACGAGGAGAACTCGACTCGACTGATTACATCGTTTGGATATTGGATTTATCGTTCACTCGGACAGACTTACAATGCAATGACTCTCGATCTGTGCAGCAATGTGCATCTCCTTCTCAGTTTCGCGATGTATATCACCTTAGAGCGTGCATATGCACCCCCAGCAACACTCGACATCTCAGATTATGTTTATTTAGATGTCACCGCTCTCAACATCAAGAAAGGACTGGACACTGATGAGCGATTCTTGTGGATACATTCAAGTTGCTCGATATAAGAGCATATGAGATGCGCCGCATCAACACAGTTACTCAGAAGCTTTTCGAAGATGAGATGCTGGCTTGACTGGCTATAGACAGTCTGAACCTCAAGCAGGTTAGTGAGCAGGCTAGAGCTGTATTCAAGGATGTCACAGGGACTAGAGACGAGGACATTGAAGAAGAGCTGAAAAAGGAATATCTATTTCATGGAGTGGACAAATGACTTTACGAAAATATCGAGTGAGTCAGATGGGAACACATTCGGTTTAACGGCTCGCCCGACTCACGGAAGCAGGCAAAAAAGTCGTAGGCTATGTATAGTACGTCCCATCATCTGTGATGTCGAGGACAGAGATAGACGGCATGAGGTTGACTGCATCTCCTCAACCATGTCTAAAAGCATGTCGATCGAAGTCTTCGACACCTTCCGCGTCTTCATGTGAGCTCCTCCAAATTGAAGATGATTTGCTTGTGCTCGTTGGTCATCTTGGTTGACTATTAGGCATTGTGGCTCTTCACAGATGTCGCTACCGATCAACCTACGATCATAGCGAAAGAGAACTGCTCATCAGCGTACCTATAGGCATCAGTGACACTGCCAGACCGATCGCAGGATAACATCGAGCTTGCTAGAAAATGGACAAAAGGACTGCAGTGAGTATCACGAGCATCCTGGAGGCAAAAACCATGTACTGAAGAATTTGTTCTCTGACGGTACGTCCTTCACCACAAATCAATATCTACGAGATGTCGTGACTCTGCCTCCCAACTCTAGTTCCTGCCTACCTGGATTCGGTGAAGTGAGTCTTTCAGCAGGCTAGTTTTGTCAGCGAATCATGTGTGGTGCCCCTTTTCGACGCTAAAGCACTGACCTTAGCATAGCTCTCCGCGTCGCCATCGAGCTAGACAACGAGAAGATGAGGATGTGTGTACAGAGATGTGCTCATTCAGGACACCACAACTCATAATTTGCACAGTGACCCTGTCGTTAGTGTACAGCCTTGAGCTGGCGTTACCAGCCTTTGTCTCGTGCCGTAGTGATCTTCCCGTGATCTAGGCGGGTGAACTCCCTTTGAGGTGGTACATTCGCGTTCTGGTCACCGGTGCTATTGCCGTCCTTGTCTTCCCCAGCCTCCTGGTCTGTTTGCTTACGGTCTTTGTCTTCTGCTTGCATCGTACCTTCAGCGTGGTAGCCACACACCATTCTGAGTAACGGATCTTCACCTTCGAAATCCTCAAGCTCTCCGGCTAATAGTAGCCTGCCAGCCTCACGTATGCGTACCGCCAGTGTTCTATCATCACCATGACCCGTTTCCGTGTTCTGTCTGCTCGTAGCATTCGCCATTGAGCTTTCGATAGTGGTGGATTTGGTCGCTCGGGCGTTTCGTGGATCGGGATAAATCTTTTCTGTTTCGGCGATATCCTTGCGTAACTTCTTTATCCTCCTCTGCTTCTTACGTGTGAGAGGGCTTGGGTCACCAATGCCCCTATTTTGCTCAGACATTTCCCTTTTGATTCGATCCACTTCGACTTTGATTTGTCTCACCCGGTCGTGCAGACTTTCAAGGCCGACAACCATTCAGGTAGAGTAGTGATGTGCAAACGTCGGCTTTACTCGCATGTAGTGATATTGGGACTTGTTGGCATTCTACTCTGTGTCGGACGAAAGCCGGAGTGGGTGCAATTCAGACTGCAACAACTTGGAGTCATGTTGCAGGCTGGTCGAGCAGTGTCTGGCACATCCATCACCTTCACTGCCTCATTGTTTCCGGATGCTGGTAGATGCTGGAGTTTCTGCAAATCGTCTGTGAGCTTTTCACCCTCGATGAATTGCGTGGCGCAGGAACAGGCTGTATTGTAAATACAAAGCAGTCCCTTTGTGACTGGTAGTCGTATGTTATTCGTTAGGCTGGCCTTCCGTAGAAGTAGAGCGAAACTATACCCAGACCAGGGATCCGAACATCTCTGGTCACGAAAGTTGTGATTCTCCTTCAGCTCGATCGAAATAAATCCGTTTGCTCTAGGATAAAAGTATATCTCTTCGACCTATGCACTGCCAGTACGAGGCTTGCTCTCCCTCTCTGTCTTAAATTGCCATCGAGGTGGTGGTATAGTGTCGCCTGTGCTCATCTTCTAAGAAGTCGTTAGAAAATACTGACGGACGGCCGCCAAGCGAAACAAGTATCCATCAAGCAAGACACGTCTTGTCCAAGAGGATTTGGCTTGCCCCTGTGTGGCCTGGACAAGACCGGAGAAATCTCTCCTTTCCAGAACCCGCACGATCTTTGGCAAGGTCTCAGTCAACAGCCAGGATGCTTGGAACGGAAAGGTTGCTTTCCAGACGACTGGGATATGGCAAGTCGTTAGTCATTGGTATGCACAGAAGGTCATCTTCGAGGTGTCAGCTTCCAGCTCCATCTTCCCGGTTGCTGATGAGCGTCGCACGAACTGCAAACGCAGCAGGAGGACCTGCTCACACTGATCACTTCAGGGGTTGAGTCGTTTTTGCATGTTACTTGACAAGAGATCCTGATATCACAGATACACAAAACATAGGAACTGAAGGTAGTTGCAGCAATGATGTAGGCTTCGTCAAACCTTCCTTGAAGGACAACAGGTGGTCGCCGCTTGGAAGATCGGAGTCCTAAGCATTAGTTGTGACTACTAGCAGAGCCTAATGTGATAGCTACAACAATGCCATGAAGGCACGATGAGACCTCATTGTTTTGACGACCGCCTTTAGAGTGTACTGAAAATGCTTTGGTGAACACAAAACTCATTCTCATCTCGAAGTCCTTCCCATGCCTCTGTTGGACCTCATGTATCTTCCAGCTATGGCTGCCTCCTCAGCCCTCTTGAATAGCATCTCCGGCCGTGTTCTGGCAACGCAAACAACCCCGGTAGTATCAGTCTGTGCCGCACAAACGTCTTGGCCTGATTCCGGATTGAATGCGCAAATCGTTGGGAATTGAAGAACATTACAATCCGAATCATACTCGCATGATATGGAGGTTGCTCCCAATATACAGACAACCTGACCTCCGCATGTGGAGCTACGAGGCAAGCATCCCAGACATCCTACATTCTGGCCCACAGGGAAGCCCGTGTCATCGTAGCGGGTGTCGTAGCAGCCGATCGATGGATCACAAGGTGGGAGGGCACTATTGAAAGATCTTCGTCAGTGAAAACATTCCAGGAAGGAGGCGAAAGATTTTAGACAACTCGCAGCATGGTCAGTGGTCTCTCTATAACAGGACAATGTATTCTCGTTATGAGCTTTTTGTGCTGGGGATGGAGTACTTACGGTCTGCAGGTTGGAGCCACTGTAACGGTCGTGACTAACGACACCGTGGAGTAGATAGATACTGTGGTTAGCGTTATGGTTTTGGTGACGCTAGTGGTCGAGACCGTGTATACAGTTGTGTTTACCGTGGGTGTGACAGTTCTGCAACTATGTCAGCGCCTTGAAAGGTTCTATAACTTCTGATACTTACGTCGCGGCAATTGACGCGATTGTGATTGTTGATTTAGCTGTTACACTGACTGCGAGAGACGGGCGATCTGTGAATGTGATGGTTTGTTGTGGCAGGTTCAGACAAGTGCAGACGGTACCAACGACAGCATTAGCCTGTGATAAGAGGCTGCTAAATATGGACTGTTTGGCGTTGAGAGATGTGGTAGAGGAAGTCTTGCTTGTAGTCGTGGTGATCGCCGAGCTGGTCGTTTTGCTAGTACTGGTGGGCGTGGCGGTCGAAGCTTTGCTAGACGTGGTCGTGGCGGTCGATCGTGTCGTCGTAGTGGTAGTCCTGCCTGTAGTAGTCGTGCTTGACGATCCTGTCGTCGTCTTCGTAGTTCGAGTTGTGGTGGTGGTAGTGGAAGTGGTAGTTGTCGATGCGGTACGAGCAGCAGTCTGTCGTTTCTTGATGGCACGAGTGTAGACTGTCACAGTGCTATAGTAGACAGTGCTGATAGAGTATTCTGCGTCATAGAGGGTAAGTGTTTCTACGATCACACTTGCCGTCTCTGTAAAATCGGTCGCGATACGTGTTGTGGGTGACGCAGTAATCCTAAGTTGAGGTCAGTAAGGTTTCTAGGTACTCAGATGGTAAGTGTTGCAGTTACGTTATTGTTGAAGTACCGGCCATGGCTATGATCGTTTCAGTAGCGATAGTCACAATCTGCTCCGTGGGCGATGCCGTAAGTGTTACAGACACAGTCGAAAGAGGAAATTTTGAGTAGCAATAAGATACTGCAGGTTCGTATGCAGAAAGCTCCCGTGCGATAGTAGCATAAACTCCAGATGGACATGTCAAGGCTTGTGTCAAGGTTAGTAAGGCACAGATTGTGCAGACGTAGTAGAGTGGGAAAGCTGGTGACAACGACAGCATCGTGATTCAGTCTATCTAGACGATAGCAGTTTCACATAACAGACAAATCACTGTATAACGGACTCGAAGGGACTTTCTATAAATATCCTTTTCCATATTAACTGTAGTTGATTAGCGAGACCGTGGAAGCTGCTTCTTGTAGTGTGTCTGATCAGAAGTCCCCAGGACGAGGCATGCGTTTCGCTTAACGGTCATCCACCCTTCCACGGTGGATTGTCTCGTCGGGATTTTATCGAAAGAACCTTTCGCTTCGGGCACGGTCGAGCCAGGTCGATGCAGACACGTCAAAGTCAATGATACGAGGAGACCATTAGATCGCAGAGATGCTTGAGTTATGCCAAGCGAGGTAAGCTGGAAGCTTGGCTCAACCATTGAGTCAGCAAAGCGATGTCTGAACGAACAATTCTTGGACAAGTGGTGCAATGTACCCGTGTTGAGGTAAGTCTGGTCGCCCTGGGATCAAACACGACCTCTTGTCACGTCAGAGTGCGCGGATGGACTCAGCCATGTGTCAGTCCTCAAATAACAGCATATCGCATCGCGATAGTATTCGGGGTGCTTGTCTGGTCGGCAAGGAAGAAAAGTGCATTGGTCGGAGCGAAATCAATGTCATCCAGGTCCATTCCATCCAGCTTCCGGAAGGATTTCCATTAGTGCTGACGAGAAAGAGGTTAAGGTTTGAATTCGGTTCAATGCCAAGCATTGACACCATTTTGTCGGCTTGACAGCATGGTATGAGGCAGGAGCAGAACACAAAATTCACCAGAGCATTCAGGCGACTCGATCGCGCTTACATGACCTGATTGAAGGAATACCTGGTCTGTACACATAAGTCACATATACGAGGGCGGAAATTGTTTGTTGTGAGTAAATGGCCAGTGCGAAATTGAGTTCCGCCGAGGATACACTTTCAACTTCTGGTCAATCAAACAAATCACCGAATAACTGCAGCATCAGTGGTCGGAAAACACCATGGTCACAAGCCTGAAACCTACCAGTTCACTCAATTTAGTCAGCAAAAGCCGAGCCAGAAGACTCTCAGAGATGGGTGATGCTGACACTCGTGAATCTCAACGCAAGAAGTCAAAAGTCATGAGCAACAAGACTGGTACGGAATTAGCCAGACGACCTGCTAGTGATGGAGGCGCGAACCTCCCTGAAAACGAAGATGAGGACTCATTGATCTCACCACCAGATAGCAACAAAAAGCCCAAGCGAAGGAGAAGACGAGGAAAGAAAGGACAAGGAGCCAAGGTCAAAATCGAGGATTCATCTACTTCCGCCCACGACACTACGAAACCACCACCTCTGACTCAAACAAGTCCACACGTATGAGCCAGGCTCACGACAATGTCCCGGAAGGTGAAACAGAAGTCATGCCTGACAAAGACATCAAACTTGAAGACACGAAAAAGCAGAAAGGACGTCTACCATTATCAGACACCAATCCAATCAACAAGCCAGAGTCTGCCAACGAAGTCAAACACGAACCAACATCAGATGGCACAGACGAGGACGATTGGGAGGATATGAGTGACGAGGGCTATTATTGATTCGACTCCGACGGATACGGTGCACCAGAATTGTTCATGGCAGACCCAAGAGATAGGGAAGTGGCGGAGATTATTTATGGCGATGGAGCCGGCTTTGTCCCAGATTTCTTCTCAGATGGTAATTATCTACGATGATGGCTCAGGTTTCAGCACATAGCTACAGATCACGTGGAGCACAGGGGGAACTATGCGGTTGAGACGATGGTACGATCAAGATGACGAAGCTCAATATTAGGCTTTGATATGCACGGTCATTCACTCATGATGTGTCTTCACTGATTCCAGCATCCTAGAATAAAGTCTTCGGCCGCCACTTGATCCCACGTCGTGATACAGGTTTCTGAGCATCCGCATATTGGCGATGTTGAAGGAACTTGTGTATATGTATAGATTGGGAGCAAGGAGTCACGAAAGTATCCAGGGTTCTATACTTTCGCAGGAACGGAGTGTGGTGTATTACCGATGCTAGTAGCTAGCTCATGTAGCAAATGACTCTCGGAGTCGCTCCTGGTCGTCAGGCAGGCTTTGATCCACCACTGTGTGCCCAATACCACAGCAATCAGGACTCTGTATCCTACAACCTGTCGCAAGCCGGTGTACCGTGACACGACCTGACAGATGTTATATCGTGAGGTAGTGCGAAGCCTGCCTTGTTTGCTCAACAGGATGCTAAGGCATTAGCCCGATGCAGAAATATGTCGGAACTGTGCTTGGGATCAAGTCGAGGACACATTATGCGAGCCACGGAAAGCCTGTCAGTGACCACTGCTTTCATTGTGCTACAGCAAACATTCGTCGAGAACTCATATCTGTCCGCAGATGCCGATGCATCAAAGAGCCATAGCATCGAATGTTCCATATCTCACATGGTCGTAGTTGCTTAGCATGAAACCTAATCTTCGTTCAGTATCCTGGCCAATCTGCCTCCGAGCTGAAATCTTGTCCATGTTATGGATGTCGATGTAATAGTGCACCCCCGCCTCTTGGAAGAAGGCAGCGTCGGGCTCTATTCTAGGCAGTTGTGTTGCGTCTGTTGTTTGGCCAGAAGATTCTGCAGATGCCAAAGGCCGACCAATTGTCGCGCCCCTTATCTTCGTCTCAACCGAGTCCGAGCCTCCATACCAGCAGTCTAGGCTTGAGAGAGGAGTGGCAGCTGTCTTGACTGGAATTTTCTTATACGTATAGGCGTCGAAAGGCTGACCGCAGGACGGGGATTCATCGTTGGAGGTATACAATATCGGTCTGTCTTGTTGCGGAGGATACCCTTCCTCAGTAACATGGTCGTCAAAGAGGAGTTCGGCGGAAAAGAACTGAAAGTAAGTGTCTCCTGAGCCGTGACAGTAACATGCGGTGGTGGTAACATTGAAGAAGGCTACACCAATGGTGTCGCAAATGTCTGCGCTGTAAAGATGAAGGATCGTTGCGCTAGCGCTAGCAATGATACTGAACATGGTGTACACTAGCAAGTCCACAATGGTGAACGTTCTGCTGTGTGTTAGCATGGTTTCGGTTGACTGTGTGGAAAGGTTGCGTTGAATGCTGCAAGAAGTTGTAGATGGTGCTGTTCTGGATTGAACTTGGGAAACACAGGCCGTCAGCTCAGACACCAATCGAGTTTATAGACCACACCTCTTTTGGTTCCATGGTGTCGGCAGCCCTGCCGTTGCACTTAATGACAATGAGCATGCTTTCTCGGATATTAGTACCTCGTACAGTCTCTCTACTGGCATTGCAATCCATTGGCTTGCGGAACCACGTTATAGGATTCCGAGTCGGTTGTTTATCTCCGACCAAAGGCAGCTATTCGAGGTATAATGTGCGGGTTTGTCATCTTGATTCTAGTCTTGTCGCACGAGTTGATTTGCTTCGAGCTTTGAGATAGTCGTACTGGCTTGTACCCACGGTACGATTCGTTGCAGCTTCGTTAGTGCCCGCTTCCGTAGGACTCTGCCGAGAATCTGTCATATCAATCCAAATATCGTAAGCGAGAAAATGGTCCTGAATATGATCTTACCTCCGATTGTACTCATATATTAAGGCCCGTCAGCTCGATACCTTCAACTGGGACCTCTCACACCTGCCATCAAACCACACAAGCAACCCACCCTAACGCACCTCGACATGAAGTCCGTGAGCTTTCTTCTTCCCCTCTTTCTTGCGGCCACCAGCCTCGGAGCATCGATGAAAGACCAGCTTCAACAAGCAGATACAGGTCATTTAAACAACAACCTCGGTTGGTGACTCGGCCACGGATGCCACCACCGACATGAATGTCGCAAACGTTAGTATGAAAGACAGGACGAGGGTTGTAGCTAACATAGTCAAGATGCGACAATCAGCGACGGGATTGAATGCCAAGCACTTGGTGGATGTCTCTGAGGATACTGCTATGGATGGACGACATCATATCAAGACAGTAGTGGTGGAACATAAAGAACAGGGTGTGTTTCCATGCTGGGTCTTTGGCTCCTGTCGACCTCCTGCCGACATGACAGGTAAGAAATGAGGCAACCGTAGTCGCTGGTGACTGGTAGTCTTAAAGGAGGAGTTTGATGGCTCGATGTTGGCAAAGAAAACTGAGAGATAAGGTGTAGCGAAGGTGGGAAAGCGAGAGCACTCACTGTGAGGAACGTCACACTAGCAGTACTTGAATACTTGACAAGCAAGAGGGGAAGAACACGTACCATACTTGGAATTTGTTCATGCAGTTTCGTTCTGTGGTAAGAGCTCTCCATAACTCATGCTGTATCTTGTAATTGTGGTGCGATAGTGGCGTGCTATTATCACAATGAGCCATTAATGCACTTTGCACGCCTCCAGATCCAGGTATCTAGCTCGTAGATGTGTAGACTGGAAGGTATGCTCGGTTCCTTGCTAGAATCCAGGTAGGCCTCTAGAATTCGGGGTCCTGACTTGCCCAACTTAATCTGCGACCCTCGTTGTGGTGTGCCGTGGCTTCCGCGCTCACCCCTCCAACTTGGTGGATAGTACCAGGTCCCTAGCCTTCTACATCTCCACCACCACTCTTACCTGGACCTTCTCGACCAGGTGTCGCATCTGTCTCATCAGGTTTCGCTACCACGATATCAAGCTCTTCTTTGATCAGATCACTTAATCCAGTTCCATCTCTGAGGTAGATCCATTTTCCACCACCTAGTTGCCCGTCGTCGCCCATTGCGCCGCTCGAGCCCTCGGTGTCTTGCTTGCTGTTCATGGCGTCGTGAGAGGTTGTTGTTGCCAACACCCAGTCGAAACGTTTGGGACCGGATTCGGGAGAGGAAAGCCAGATCTGTTTGTTGGGTGGTTGCTTGTTGATCACATATGTGCCTTTCTGAGGATGTGTAAGTGTCAAGACACCGGCCTGTGTCACTTGATTAGTTTGGATTGAACGTAGTCAGTGGAACTGGACTCACACTATATTCAACCTCCAATCCTCTCTGTGCATCATTGTCGGCTGTCTCTTCCAGTACTAGCTGCAGTGTGTTCATATACTGATCCGCGATCTCGTTGTACTCAGCCTCGTTAATATCCGCAGCTTGTTTGATGCTCGTGCTCGAGTCCTGTGTCTTTGGAGGCTCTGGATCTGACGAATCTGGCAGTATGCTTATTCTCGACGAAGGATATGTTGAGAATGCTCGTTTGGAAGGTATCCTCCCAGAAAGTGATGAGTGTTTCTGGGGGACTGAGAATGCGGCTATGGGTCTGACTGAGAGACGAGTTGTCGATCTGAGAACTCTAGCACTCGCTCGTGCTGACAGGAGCTGAATGGACTTCATCGTTGCAGGTGAGGATGAGCTTGAACAGTGCTGGAATAGAGTCGTTGTGTATGCCAAATTGCTTTGTCCAGAAACTGTGCAACCAGCCTGACAAAGCACTATACGTGTCACTGACGCAAGATGGAGGGTTCTTGAAGAAGGCCTACACTTCACTTCGTGTGCATGGCTGTTTGAGCTGGACAGGGAGCTTGCCCTGCTGTATGACGATTATTGGTGGAGGTGAAGCTTTGCCGAACTTTGAGCCATTTGATTGGCCAGTTGCTCTTTCTCGGCGAATGGTGGGGCTCTATGCCAGCACACACCACAACGGCCTCATTTGACACGAACTGATGGAAAGGCTCTGCAAAACTTTCATGAAAAATTGTTTGTCTCGTTACAGACACGCCTTTTCTGTTGATGTGCAGCTTCATTTGGGTGAACAATGTGGTAGCAGAAAGGGATGGTCTACAACCAGGCGGGTTTGGACTGGAATGGAAGTGAGCAGGAATGTGGAGTTTAGCAGGTTTATTCTGGTAAATACATTGACTGTACATATTTTGTATTTGTAGACCTCATCGGCTCTTGAGGCATGAAAGACATTGATAAAACATCATAACCTCGCTTCCGTCTAGATCGTGATCTAGAAACCATCATCATCCGTTAATTTTGCACATCATCAAAATAGGGTATCTTGCACATGACAACCGTTTCGTGACGCTCAAAGAAATCATACCATTCGCTCCGTCTAATTTCATGCATATCAGCAGAAGAAAATTATCACAAGGTTCCTCAGGCCTCATGACTCAGATCTTTATGATGAAGATGCAGCTGTATCAACCTTTCCTACACCTTCCGAAGCATGAGCCATGTCGCCATTCATCTGGGCCTTTGGCTTGCTCTTGGGCACAGCATCCATGTGGTTGCGTCGGATAATGCCACCAGTGACTGGCAAGAGCGAACCCTCTCCAATCAGGTAGCTGTCGACTTGTCTTGCACATTGTCGACCTTCGTTGATGCCCCATACAATAAGCGACTGGCCACGTCGGCAATCACCAGCAGCAAACACACCTGGGATATTAGTGTCATATTGTCCCTTTGGTGTCTTGATGTTCTTTCGTGGATCAAGCTCGACCTGTCCTTCAAATAGTCGATCATCTGGACCCAAGAAACCCATAGAAAGCAGTACAAGATCGGCTGGGAACAATTGCTCGGAGCCCTCAACAGGCTTCATATCCCATCCACCTGAGGCCGTCTTGGTCCAGTTGACACGAGCAGTCTCGATACCGGTAACTCGACCATCTTCACCAGTGAATTCCTTGGTCATGACACAGTACTCACGAGGATCTTTGCCATAGTGTTGCTTGACCTCTGTGTGACCATAATCCACTCTGTAAATTCTTGGCCACTGTGGCCATGGGTTATCGCGAGCTCTCTCTGGTGGTGGTTGTGGAAGCAATTCGAAGTTGGTGACTGATTTGGCACCATGTCGCAGAGACGTACCAATGCAGTCGTTACCAGTATCACCACCACCAATGACCACAACGTGCTTGTCTTTGGCAGAAATGTACTTGGCGTCCTCCAGCTGAGAGTCTAGCAGAGATTTGGTGTTGGCGTGCAAGAACTCCATAGCAAAGTGAATGCCAGAGAATTCTCGGTTCTTAATCTTCAGGTCTCGGGCGACTTGAGCACCAGTAGAGATAACCACAGCATCGTTCTCCTGTCGCAGCTTGTCCAAGTTGATGTCGCCACCAGGTCCGACCTGAACGCCAGTAACCCACTTAACACCTTCGGCAGCCATTAAGTCGACTCTTCGTTGTACAATGCGCTTGTCAAGCTTCATGTTGGGAATACCGTACATCAAAAGTCCACCCACTCGATCGGACTTCTCGTAGACAGTAACTTCATGACCAGCTCGGTTCAGCTGATCAGCAGTAGCCATACCTGCTGGTCCAGAACCAATAACTGCCACTTTCTTTCCAGTTCTGTACTTGGGTGGATCTGGCACCATCCAGCCCATCTCGAAGCCTTTGTCGATGATTGCGCACTCGATTGACTTGATACCCACAGGATCCTCGTTAATTCCAAGAACACATGCACCTTCGCATGGAGCTGGGCAGACACGGCCGGTGAACTCGGGGAAATTGTTGGTCATGAGCAATCGGTTAAGAGCATCTTTCCATTGCCCCTGGAACACCAATTCGTTCCATTTGGGAATGATATTGGAGATTGGGCATCCAGTATCGGACTGACAGAATGGTACACCACAGTCCATGCATCGTGCCGATTGGTACTTTAGCTCATCTTCGTTGAGTCGAGAAGAAAGCTCAGCCCAGTCCTTGACACGAGTCTGTGCTGGTCGGTACTTCTCACTTCTGCGGGTGTATTTCATGAAACCTCGTGTTTTGTCGAGGACGAGTGCAGACTTTTGTTTGGCCTTCTTCTCGTCGCCGTTGATACCTTCTTCAATGTCAAGCATGTCAGCTTTCTTCTGCTCTTTGTCATGCTTGTCATTGGTCTTGGTGATATTCTCCTCGTGGAGTGTTCGCACAGCCTGGCCAGGAAGGATCGGAAGGGGATATTCGGCTCGCTTGGCGTCCTCCGCAGCTTTGGCATTCTCTTCGAGGACCCGCTTGTAATCAACTGGCAGGACCTTCACGAAGCGTGGGAGGGCACGGTTGAATTCAAGCAGAATTCGGGCCGCTAGCTCAGATCCAGTGTAGTGGTGATGATCTTCAATCATGCCGCGGAGGAAGGCAATCTCAGCTGGGTCTTCCACACCAGAGACCTCAACCATCTCCATGTTGATCTTGGAGTGGAAGTCCTGGTGCTTGTCGAAGACATAGGCAATACCGCCAGACATACCAGCGGCGAAGTTTCGACCAGTAGTGCCAAGAATGATAACACGTCCTCCAGTCATATATTCGCAACCATGATCACCGACACCTTCAACGACGGCATTTGCGCCAGAGTTTCGCACAGCGAAACGTTCAGCCGCAACACCTCGGAAGTAGCAGTCACCCATTGTGGCTCCATACAAGCACACATTACCGATCAAGATGTTCTCCTCAGCCTTGAATGTCGCTGCTCGAGGTGGGTAGACAATCAGTCGACCACCAGAGAGACCCTTTCCGACATAGTCGTTGGCGTCACCTTCAAGCTCAAGGGTAACACCAGGAGCCAGGAATGCACCGAAGGATTGACCGGCTGAGCCACGGACGTTGGTGTGGATGGTGTCCTTTGGCAGGCCAGCCTCGCCCTTGCGCTTGCTGATGTGGTAGGACAGTGTTGCACCTAATGCTCGATCGGTATTGACGATATCGGTCTCAATTCTGCATGGCAGGCCCTTCTCGAGAGCAAGTTCTGATTCAGCAATGAGCTTATTGTCAAGTCGAGTGTGAAGCTTGTGATCCTGCTTGCGGACGTTGTAGGTCGCAACACCTGGTCGAATGGAGTGAGCTGGTGTTAAGATCAGGGACAAGTCAATGTTAGCAGTTTTTGGGTTACGGAGGTCCTCCCGCATCTTCAGTAACTCAGCTCTTCCGACCATTTCGTTGACGCTTCTCAGGCCCAGCTTAGCCATGATTGCACGCAGTTCATTCGCAATATAATAGAAAAAGTTAATAACGTGCTCGGGCGTACCCTTGAACTTCTTTCTGAGGTCGGGGTCTTGAGTCGCTATACCCACTGGGCAAGTACTGTGATCGTTAGTACATCAACTGGGATGTTTTGGGGTGTATTTCACTTACTTCAGGTGGCATTTCCGCATCATAATGCAGCCCATGGCGATCAGAGGTGTTGTAGCGAACCCCCACTCTTCTGCACCAAGTAAACAGGCAATAGCGACGTCTCTTCCGGTCCTCAGTTGACCATCAGTCTGCACAATGACACGGCCTCGAAGGTCATTGAGCACAAGCGTCTGGTGGGTCTCTGCGAGGCCCAGCTCGAAGGGAAGGCCAGCATATTTGATACCAGTCCAGCGGGAGGCACCAGTTCCACCATCGTGACCGGAGATCAGGATGTGGTCAGCCTTGGCTTTGGCGACACCAGCAGCCACAATACCGACACCTACCTCAGACACAAGCTTGACCGAGACACGAGCTCGAGGGTTCGAGCACTTCAAATCGTAGATGAGTTGCTTCAGATCTTCGATAGAATAGATGTCGTGGTGAGGTGGAGGTGAAATCAAACCGACACCAGGAGTGGAGTGTCGTGTTCGTGCAATTGACTTGGATACTTTGTGACCAGGAAGCTCACCACCTTCACCAGGCTTAGCACCTTGAGCCATCTTGATTTGCAGCTCATCAGAATCAGCCAAGTAATTTGATGTCACACCAAATCGTCCTGAGGCAATTTGCTTGATAGCAGATCGCATAGAATCGCCGTTCTCCATCTTGAGAGAACGCTCTGGATCTTCGCCACCTTCTCCAGTATTGGACTTGCCACCAAGTCTGTTCATGGCCACGGCCAAAGTAGAGTGTGACTCCATGGAGATCGAACCATAAGACATAGCACCAGTGACGAATCTTCGGACGATTTCAGTCCATGGCTCGACTTGATCAATAGGTACAGGGGTTCGCTGCTCAAAGTCAAAGTCGAGCATACCTCGAAGTGTGCAGTTCTTGATCGACTCGTACTCGGAAAGAGAGTAAGCCTCGTAAGACTTGTCGTTCTTGGTTCTAACAGCGTCCTGGATGTTGGCCATGCTGGTAGGGTCGTTGATGTGAGGTTCGCCACCATCTCTCCAGTGATATTCACCTGACTCAGCAAGGCCTGGAATTTGTCTGATCGTTCTGTTCGGAAAGCCCTTCTCATGCATAGCGAAAGCATCTTGAGCGATCTGCTCGAAGGTGATACCTCGAATACGTGTAGCTGTACCAGCGAAGCATCGATCAATGACCGAGTCGTCAACACCAAGAGCTTCGAAAATTTGAGCACCCTTGTAGGACTGCAGAGTCGAGATACCCATCTTGCTCATGACCTTCAAAATACCTCCATCGCAAGAGGCCTTGTAGTTCTCGATGATTTGCTGATCGTTGAGCTTCTTCTTGATCAGACCTTCACGGTTCAGCTTGAGAATGCATTCCATAGCAAGATATGGATTGATGGCATCAGCACCATAGCCAACGAGCACACACATGTGGTGAACCTCGCGAGCTTCGGCAGACTCAACAACCAAAGCGACTCTGGATCGCCACTTGTTTCTGACCAAATGGTGATGCACCATACCAGTCGCAAGTAGAGATGGAACAGATACCCTGTCGGCTGATGTCGCTCGATCTGTGAGAATGATGATTCTATCCTCGCTTTCGATTGCAGCAGTAGCTTCGTCGCAGATGCTGTCCAGAGCTTCCATGAAACCATCGACACCGTCCTTCTTATCGAAAGTGATGTCGATCGTCTTCGCGGTCCACTCCTTGTGAACTTTGTGCATGTTCTTGATTGCGTTGAAGCTCTCAATTTCCAGGATGGGAGATGGCATCAACAGACGACCACATTGAGAAGCATCCATTTCCAACAAATTGCCCTGTGGACCGACATAGCATTCCAATGACATAACAATGGCTTCACGGATGGGATCGATGGGTGGATTTGTGACTTGAGCGAAAAGCTGTCGGAAGTATTCATATAGGAGTCGTGGCTGCTGTGCCAGACATGCCAGAGGAGCGTCGTTGCCCATGGATCCAAGCGCTTCCTTGGAGTCAGCAGCCATGGGACCAAGTAAGAGAGAGATCTGCTCAAAGGTGTAACCGAAAGCCTGTAGAAGAGGGTCTTGCTGGATAGTATGTTCAGTAAGCTCCCATTTCAGATCTGACTTTTCGCCAACCTCCTCGATCACCTTGGGCAACTTGAGAAGATGCTTGTCGAGCCATTGCTGGAAGTTTTGTCTTGTAGCGACTTGGTTCTTCAGCTCGGAGTCATCGATGATGCGACCAGCCTGTGTATCGACCAGCAACATTTTTCCAGGCTGCAAGCGGCCCTTTTGGATGATTCGCTCTGGCTCAATAGCAATTGTACCGACCTCAGAGGCGCAAATGATACGATCGTCATCAGTGACATAGTATCTGCAAGGTCTGAGACCATTTCGGTCGAGGTTCGCACCGCAGTATCTTCCATCTGCGAATGTGAACAGCGCAGGACCGTCCCACGGCTCCATCAAGCAAGCAGCATACTCGTAGAAAGCCTTTTTCGCAGGATCCATTGCCTGATTGCCTTGCCATGCCTCAGGAACCATCATCATGACAGCTTCTGGCAAAGACATAACTCGATTCATAACAAGCATTTCGAGCACATTGTCGAATGCTGCAGAATCAGATCCACCGTCCTCAACAATAGGGAAGAGTCTCTCGAGCTCCTCACCAAACAGATCAGACTTCAGTACACCTTCTCTTGCTCTTTGCCAGTTCTTGTTTCCTCGTAGTGTGTTAATTTCACCGTTGTGAGCAAGCCATCTGAGTGGCTGCGATCGGTCCCAAGAGGGGAAAGTGTTTGTCGAGAATCGAGAGTGGACCAGAGCGAAATGCGCCTCGTAGTCAACGGATACGAGATCGTGGAAGTACTGGTAGACCTGAACAGGAGCCAATTGACCCTTGTAGACAATGTTCCTGTTGCTGAGGGAGCAAACGTAGAACCATGGCTTCCATCGTGCATCGTGAGAAACAGACTTTCTCAGCACGTATAGCTGTCTTTCGAACTCCAGCTCATCAAACTGCTCTGGATCTGTGTTCTGTGGCTTGTTGCCGTCACCATATGCGGATTGAAGTACGACAAAAGGCTGCAGTATGATTGGTTCTCTGGAGTGTGCAGCTGGACCTAGCAGAGTAGAATCTCGAGGAACCTCTCTCCATCCTAGTGTCCGCAAACCTAGCTCTTTCGCAATCTCTTCGAAGGTAGTGGTTGCAGACTTCAACATCTCAGTATCGGGCTTGAAGAACAGATTACCAGCAGCATATTGTCCTTGAGGAGGGAGCTCTATGCCGACTTCGCGGGCAAAGTTCTTGACAAAGAATTTGTGAGGGATCGAGGTCATGACACCGGCGCCGTCACCGTCTCGTGCATCAGAACCGACGGCGCCTCTGTGTGTCATGTTGCATAGTAGATTCCGTGCTGAGCGAATCTGTTAGCCGCCTGAATAGAGCTTGCCACTCTAGAGCAACTTACCATCGCTGACGATTTTGTGGCTCGGCTTGCCTTTGATATTGCTAGAAAGTCGTCAGTCGAGCTCGTGGATAGTAAGAATACCACATACGCAGCAAAGCCCACACCACAAGCATCCTTCTCGAGGCTGGGGTCATACAGACCCTGCTTCACGGGCAGAGCCCCTCCCCAGCCATAGCCCTTCTCGGGCTGGTATGGAGTGTACTCCTCTGATACTTCGACCTCGCCGTTCTTCTTCAGTTGTGCGAGTTCCTCCACGACCAGACCCATTCTATCGTCGACTGGCGACGTTGCAGGCAGGTAGTATGGAATGTAAGGATCGTGTGGCAAGCTGTTTCTACTGTTGCCGAGAATGTCTATCAGCTGATAACAGTTGTCTATTGAGTGCGGTACAGTGGCGAAGATAGAGGGAGGAATATCAAGGAACGAACAATCTTTTTTTCTTGTGGCCTGGTAGAAAAAGTACTGGTTAGCTTGAGGCAACTTCCAAAGCTTTCATGGCCACATCCAGCGCGATCGAAAGTGTCTGATTCTGTGCACAGAAAGAAATTGATAAGTGGGGTTGGTCTGAACAGAGCAGTCGGACGAATCAGGGCGAGGCAATAAGAAACACGAAGACTGCGATGCCCGATCGACGTGGAGTTAGGTCATTGATTTTACTGCTGTTACTGCTGTTCTTCGCATTTACTCCCACCTCACAAAAAAAGAGTGCTTGGGGATCTACTTCTTACTTCACGACAAAGTTTGGACGAGCTGCAGGCTGTTCTGGTGTGCCGGAGTCGCATGGCAACGCGACCAATTGTCGTACAGCTTTCTAGGATAAGCACATTGTTAGCTGCTCGTTAAGGTCTAAACGTCCTCTCAGAGCTTGCTTGTGCATGAACATGCAGAGCATGACCGAAGACTCCCCTTTGACCCCATCAGCGTGCGTTTGAGATTCGCACAGTCGGCACTGATAAGGCCAAGACAGCCAATCACATACATGGCTTTCCAAAAGATGCTTCGAATACATTTCGTCGATGAATGCCTGGCTCAGGTTGTACTGCTGGCACTCTGACCGGGCGCTGCCTTTTTCACACTCTTATGGCTGAGGCGCTTAAATTGCTCTGTGTCATCGTTTCTCATACTTCAACTACTTCTTGTGTCCACTCGATTATTGCGAGGCAAAGACATGAGCATGTGTCCGAGAATGGCCGAGTCTTTCTCGTAGCTATTGCTGTCTGGACCTGGACGGACACATGGACCAGCAGGAGTTGAAATCAAAGCACAGATCCAGCGACCGTTGCCACCCCTCTGACACTAGAGACAAAAGATCAACGGGTTCTTCCTCGGCTGTTGTGTCGGATAGCTGCGTATTCGAGGACGCGATCAAAATTTCTTTCCAGTATATCAACAACTGAACAGCATCTGAAGATACAGTCAACTATGAGCACCCCACGTTTAGGACTTTATTTTGCCTAAGCTACAAGTAACGACGGCAGCATCGCGCACCGACAAAGCGAGAAGTTCAGAGCGAGCTGCTCTTCCAATTCGTGAGCGCGAGCATGTGGTGTAATTACTGTGCAGCTATGGATCCCGTCTCCCGAAGTTAAGATCCGACCGATGTCGCACAGAAATGTGGATTGGTCAATCTTGTTTCATCCCGCAGCTTGCTTGTGTTATACTTTCGATGTGCCTTGCTGAGCATTCAGAAGCTTTTCAGAGTGACAGAAGCACGGTGGTATTTTCCAGCTCTGTCTTCTGTGGCTGCACGTCGCAGTCACTTCGAGACCATGCGCGACAAGAGAGTCCTCAATGCTCATTTCACCGAAACCTCGGCACGTGAAAAGAAAATGTTGCTACACAAATTCCGTGCCTGATTTCGCGACCGAGAAGACTTTTTACAAACATGCCCCGCTGGAGACGTGAGAGCATCCGCTCAGATCTGGCCGTTGTCGTGAAACCTCCACATTTGACCCTCGTCTCCGGGCTCGGCTAACTTTCGCCGTGGCCGGAGTAGTAAGCGGACATCACGATCATGTTCACTTGCCCCAATGATAAGCGAATGGTGCTTCGTGGTCGGATCCTGCCGTCGTATACCTCGCACATCCACGACAACATGCATTCATCATGAAAGACCCGTGATAGAGTCCATCATTCCTCAGAGGCCAACATAGGGTGTGGACTACAGCAGAAGTCCTGCGACTGCACCACGAAGTGATTACTGATTGTGTCGGCGAATGGAAGAATATTGCGGCAGTCCCTGAGAACTATGCTGTACACTGCAGGCAACAAGACAATTTTATGGCTGTTTTATTGCGCGCAGGATAAATTGTAACAGCATAGGGGAACTTCTTGTCATTTTCTCAACGAACTGTTTCCCAGATCTCGACATCACGACGGACAATGACAAGACTGGTGTTACAATACCAAAACGAAGTTTAGGAATGCCGACTGTACAAGCACATGATTGCGGTTGCCGCGCAAGAATGTAATCACACTTTACCTGCAAAACCCAGTGAAGCTTGACTGATGGTTTCACCATCGTTTTGGCACAACAGCCAACCGCAATCTTGTCTCTTTGCCCGCCCGAAGCATTCTGTCGACACAACACGAAGGTCAGGAGCCGGAGACGCAACGATTACATCTGTACGAGACCTCAATAAATAGCAGCCACGATCGCCATCTCATCGAAAATTCTTCGTAGTACTGTCTGTCGAGAAGGACTGATCCGTGTAGATCCACTGGTTCGCTCGTGTTTTTAGTTGACATACTAATAGTCCCATTAGTACCTGAGCGACACCTCCTGCGTCAGCAGACGCGAAAATGTGCTTTGTCAACTGCCCAAGCCAGAAACTTCAAGTCTCCGCTTTTCCTAATGTATTTAGTCAGGTAGTGTTTAGCGACGCATCCACTCACCTAAAGTACGTCTGTATTGTAGTCACGCCTGCTTGCATCTTCACTCCCGTTGTCCCTAACCTTCACTCAATGTCATAACTTGTAATGCTAACATTACTGCACAAACTCAACCCACAATACTACCATGCATACCTACCGTCTGATGAGGTCTCAACGTCGTATGGCTAGGTGAAGGAAAAGCCTATAGCTATCAGCATCACAACATCTTATCAGTATGAGCCTTGTCATTCTCCTGTCTTGCTATATGCTGCAGCCACACGCCTACTACCGCGGGCGTTGTGTCTGGTATAGTGAGAAGGAAACGCGAGGGAAGCACAGTTAATTGAGAGGACATCAGTCAAAGGGACATGGTATCGTGTTAGCATTCGCGAGGTGGCACAATCATGATTTGTCAAACGTTTTAAGAGTGTATGCTGTAAATTTTGGCACGAATTCACGGTGCTGCAGCTTGAAATGGAACCTTCATGGAGGTTGTACCTCCCGTGATTAAAAGCGAACAAGTAGTGAGTCCGATGAGCTTGATTCATGTGGATGACGATGAGCTAGTTTTATGGCTTCAGCTGTATCCTTGGAGAGTGGCAGCTACGATTGGGCTGACCTGCAACACACTTCCGATAATCCGACTTTTGAAAAAGGACAAGGAGCAACCTGAAGTTGCTGGAGACGAAGCTATACCTCTTCCGAAAGCCTGCTCTTCTGTCCTTGATCGTTCTTTCATCTCGGTTTCATCTCATCTGAACCTGAATCTTTCCTTATAGTCCTTACCAATACACTCATTCGACATCTCCAAAGAAGTTTGACAGCCTCTATGCTTTACAGATGTTTCGCAGTACGAAGATGCGAGGAACAAAATCAAAGTAGGTCAGTGCAACCGTTCTTCCAGTACAAAGCGTCTTACGAAGAGAATATAACGATCTGAACTATCTTTCCGCAGCGCGGAGGAGTGGTTGAGGCCCACAGTGTCCTGGCGAGCCCTGATCAGATTGAGTCATTGGTACTCGGGAAGGCATGCTGAGTAAAGCCATTGCTCAATCTCATCAGCTCATGCCTCTTGTTCTTGCCAGGGCCGTGGGAATGTGACGATCTCGGGGAGCCTGACATTAAGACCACAAACATTTTATTACGATGTTAGTCTAGCAAAGAGTAGAACCGCTGACGCCGACCGGACTTTCCAGCATAAATTCTACACGAACGAGGGGCAATGGTCGTTAATGATCGTCTGAGCCTCGTCAAGCTGCTTGAGCAGATCGCTGTTGCACCGTTCTGGCAATTTTTCCTAGCAAGCCAGATTAGTTTCCTCTATGAACCAATGTGATGGAATTATCCACAAGCTTGGTCGCGAGCACACACCTTAGCGTACCACGAAAAGTCCTGAAGCGCCTGCTTTGCCTGTCCGTTTTGGTACAATCTGTGGAATCTGGCTTCCTGTTCTTGCTTCAACACCCGTCCTTGCTCTTCCAGTCCTCCTGCTGGTACCCGCCATGATTGCACCACGACATGCCACATCCAAAAGACGCATCTTTTGTGAAGCTCTGAAGGCTGCTCCGGCAACCGATAGAGTTTTGTCGTCAGCTCGCTGCGAGCTCTCAAGGGGAGAGGCGACACTGCATTCGCATTGCTGAGGTATAACATGCTATACACAAGCAGGGTCCAACACAAGATCTTCTGAAAGATGTTGTCGTTAGTCTCGGGCATCTCAAGGACTGGGCAGGCATCAAGGAGTGTCTGATAATGCCGACCACCATCAATCATTGATGCATCTAGGTACGGCAGTGGAGATACTTGAGTATCCCTTTGTCGATCTAGATGGACGTTGTGAATGCGAAAGAGGACGCTAAGGAGGCTTGTTGCGATAAATCCTTGTGAGGTAAGTTGGCCAAAGCCGATCGGTAAATGATCTACTTGAGACTGTATGCTCGAAGGAAGCGGGATCGATGGGAAATCAAGAATCGTGGTCGGTGATGGAGGTGGTAGTATAGGCGGCACACCAGCATCTAGCCAGTATTGGTTTTGCCTGTGGTTATCAGCATGAATATTCTTTTACATTAGCACCACCTTACTGCAATACAGAACATCTGATATGTTCGTCTATCGTTTCCAGCCCTTTTTGCTGCACCAAGTGACGTAGAACTGCTTTGTGCATTTCACTAGCCTTGAAATTACCCAATAGTGCCTGGATAAGTCAGCACTGTTCTCCAGCAGCAGGAAGCAGTGTTTACTTCAAGAATAACGAGATATAGTATGGACAGTACTACTGCGCCATCGATACAAGACCCATCAAGCCGTCGACGCAAATTCGACAAAGCTTGACCACGATAAGACAGAAGTGCCTTAGACGTGGCTTCAGAACTCGACCGAAGTTGATATATCGCATATGAAACAGCGGCTATCGAGTTGCGAAATACCTCTTGCTCAAGGTAAGGTCTAATGGAGTCGAAGGATTGTACATCGTACACATTGAAACATTGATGAAACGTGCTCGTATTAGCAAATAGCTTCTGGGTCCCTTGTGGTTGTTAGTTGCGTGAGTATAGGTGTCAAAGCTGCCACGTACAGATGTGTAGATACTGTGGACAATTGACTTCTGCTGAAATCAGCTGTGGCGGACTAGGTGTTTGACTCAAAGACTTGAATCTAGTTGACGACTTGTCATTCCGTCCGGATTCGAGAATGAAACGACTACCAGTGGTTGACTTCTGCTTGATGGCGAGTCTGAACTTTGATTTCATACCCGACAGTTTGACTTGCATTCCTTCACCGACAGTGCTCGACTGACCAGATGAGATGCTATTTGGTTGTCTATTTCGTGCATTACGATAACCCATACGGGAGGCATGAGATCGCAGCTCAGTCCTTTCTCCAACATTTTGGCCATTGCCTGCTTCGTCTGGTCGAGCTTGAACAAAGCGAAAGTCTATCCTAGGTTGCATTGAGGGTTGGAAGAGGTCATGGGATCAGTATGTTGATAGATCCTGCTTGCACAATCCGTAGGACGAAAAGAACAACCATTTCTCGAGAAGTGTCAATTATTGGCGAGCTACAATGTTGCAGCTGCTCATTGACAGACACGAGTGTATACAACAAAGAAAGGAAAAGCATAGCTGGTCATTCCGAACCTCAAAGTAGGACTTCCTTGCAGCTGATCATGGCGATACTGCAGGCTTGACGCAAGTGTGGAAAGTCCTTCTTGTAACGAATTGAAATTCTCGGCTATTCGTAGTTTGTCAAGCGGAAGCCGCATTCGGTGTGCTAAAGTCGGGGAAGGCGAGCGACCGATCACGTCACCCGAAGGCTTCATCGCTGAAGCTCCGAGTCTTGTCCATCTCAGTGCTTGTTTATTGAGGTTCCCCCTGTGCGACATCTGAACGTTGAAAAACATTAGTGACAAGAGCTTGCAAGGAGACAACATGAAAAGATATCTGTGAAGAGCATATCTGCGGCTCCTTCCTCGAGTCAACAGATCTCTGTAGTTGCCGTTACTATGACCCAGAAGTTGGGGAGAGTATCGACATATGATATAGAGTTTGGTGAGGTACCCTTGAGCTTGAACGAAAGAAAGTTGAAGGCAGGAAGGCTTGCAATCGATTCAATTCGCCTGGAAGGTGCGATAGGCACGATGTGCAATTATCAGCCAGCGAGATCGGGACCCTGAAATACGCCAAGCACGATGAACGGTATTGTTTAGCACAAAGAATTTGACCTATATATCGAAGATTGTTGATGAGAATATCATTAGCTATTGCTCGTATTGTGTTGTATTTGTGTTTGACAGTCCCCATCCAACATAATCATGGCTCGGGACGAATCCATGATCGAATCAACGCCTACCAACACCTTCGCTATGTAAATGTTACATGTCGTAAGCTGCCTCAAGCCAGAACCAGACCAGAAAGTTATGGGAGGCAGCGCTATTAGTCTATCGCTATTCCTGGTCACAGGTTGAAAATTTCACATGTAGATCTCGTAATATGAGAGAATTTCGTGCTCGTCTTCGATCAGATTGCAAGGGCAGTAAGATGAGTGGTCCGAACTGTGCTATGGTTCGACCGCTCGCCTCAGCTTGTAGTTTTCGTCCCAGTTGAACTTATCGGTTTCAGGGTCCCAACGGTATGCTTTGAACTCGACTCCGTAGGGTCGCTACAATATCTGTCAGCATGGAGTCCAAGAATGTGGATGAAAAAAACTTACCGGTTCAATCATATAAGCCACTCCGAGTGGGACGTCTAGGTCAGAGATATCCTCTTGCTTCAAGCCTAAGAAGTATGCGAGTAGAACTCTCGTGATAGAGCGATGACCAATGATGAGGGCGTGGTCAGTCATGCGTTCTACCTCGAGGATGACCTTGCGCAAACGACTAATGATGTCGAGATAGCCTTCACCTCCTGGGCCAGGATATCGATATTGGAGCTTGTCTCGCTTTCGAAGCTCGTATTCTTCCTTGCACTTGGTTCTGATTTCCTGATAGGTCATGCCTTCCATGGATCCGGCATTGAGCTCATCAAGCATGCGCATCTGCTTGAGGTCGAATTCGTCTTCGCAAAAGAATTGAGCGGTTTCAACACTTCTGTTCAACATGCTGGTCCAGACACAGAAGTTCTTCGCTTCACCGACTTGAGCTCCAACCTCAGGATTAGGAGGAGTCGTGTCACCTGGCAAGGGTGGGAAATGAGTTTTGGCCTGCTTTTCGATCTGCGCCTGTTCCCAAGCAATACGCTCCTGCACGATGAATTTCTCAAGTGCTTGAGCGTATCGAATACCCTTCGGACTCAGATGGCTATCACCGCCAATCTTACCACTCACATTGTCCATTGACTCTCCATGCCGTGTGAGCCAGATCTGTCGTGGGGCGAGATTGAAATTCATCAGGTAAGTAATGGTCTGAACAGACAGAAAACCATGAGCTCTGTAGGATACCATCTTACGACCCACGTCAATCATCGAGCAGTAGGGTATTTCGTGGTCCTCCTCGAAGTCACCTAGAGGCTCGTATTTTTTCTCATACTGCGCCACACGCTCCTGAAAATCTTTTAAACTCTTGTATGGGTCTTTCCCAGCGTAGTCAGGACCTGAAAGCTTCAGACGCATATTTGCCTCCAACAAGTTTCGGTCCTTACACCTGGACTCGAGGAACAAGACGTTGATGTCGATATTGCGTTGTTTCAAGTGCTTGATCAGGGACATTCTTCGTTCTTGAGTGTGGTTGGTTGCATCCAGAATCCCGACAGAACCGCCATCATGTAGGACGTACTGCAGAAGCTCATCGAGAGTTTCGTGTGCAACCTGTTCTCGTATTCTCTTTGCTTCTTCGTTGTCAGGATCGAAGAATTTGCTGTCTTGCTGCATGGTAGAATTCTCGGGAGCTGGCATAGGTATGGGGTCTTTCACCTTGTCATCAAGACCTGAGAGTTCCGGCACAACCATATTCAAAGGTGATACAGGAGTGGCTTCGGAGACCTTGTGTTCATCATACACTCTCTGAGGAATGATTGCAGGAGGACCAAGAAACGAGTCGTGCTCGATAATGCCCTGTGGTTGGGAAGTGTTTAGGCTCATTTTCCGAACAGACTCACGTAAAGCTCGATGCTTGTCCTGCGGGATACTCGAGCCTTTCTTACCACCTACCACCCTACGTCGATCACCAACATTGAAAATCCTTGTCGGATGCTGTAGCCAGTTCAGATACCTCGCGATTTTTTTAACGATGTAACTCTTGCCTCTGGCGGGCAGACCAACCATAAGGATGATGAGTTTTGACCCAACATCTCTTTCTGCTATCCTGCCATCTGGAGAGACTTTCGATCGTGTGAGGCCTGGGATATCGAGGGTTGTTGCTCGAACTTTGGGTGTCGAGATGCCAGACATCCCGACTCTACCGTGGCTGTAGCCATTAGTCGTGTTCCCATACCGTGTATAGACGGGATTCGTACTTACATGTGAGGACTAGTAGGCACGGAAGGGAGAGGAGTGTCCGTCAACGCTTTCCCATGATTGTCGGCTGCAAGGTTTGGCTGCAACCGACCTGAAATTGTTTCGTCAGAAGCCCGGCCGAAACTCGTCTTCTCTGGTGGTTTGAGAGTGTCTCGTTTGGCTTGTGACTCATCCTCGCTGTTCTCCTTGTGGTTGAAGGTGGTGCTGCCATCTTGTGGCAATATTAGTTCAGGAGGAGGAGAATCGGTGGTACTGCTGGCGGCGCTCGTGGTTGAGTTTGAATTGGACGTGTTGGTCAGCATTACCATTTGTGCCAAATGACTGAATCTGTCTGCTGAATGTCTACGATCTGGTGATCGAAACTTTGCTTCCGGAACGCTCACAGTATGTAAGTCATAGTCGATCAGAGGCATAGATGGCGGTAGAAAGCGCGCCTTATCTGCACCAAGTGAATGAGCCAACTAGGGCTGAGCTGTAGTGAAGCGTGGATTGTCCAAATACAAGCGCAGCACGTTTTGCTTGAACTCAAACTAGAAAGTAGTTGGGTGCCCGATTTTGAGCTTGAGTCAAAATGTCGAGCATTTTCCGCCGCATTGAGTGCAAGCTAAACCTCCTCAGGTGTAGTTTTGATGCCTATGGCACCAGCTAACGAGGGTGGACACCGTTCAAAGCTCTTTATTTTCAGGCAAGAACCCGCCCTTGTGTTTCCTTATCTCGCCGTAGATCCCTCACTTATGACGCATCTTATTCTCGCCGAGACTTACTTTCAGCATCGGCAGTGGCTGTGCTGCTAATAGATTCACCATGTTCTAGGACCTCGTGAGAAGACCTGGCAGGAAATGCAGAATAGTTGCGTGTTTTGTGTGAAAACAAGACTTTAGTTACCTATCAATAGCAGCGACAATGCCCGCTGCCCGATTCACGGAGTCCGACCTTTTTGAATCATCCTGGGGCAGCTTCTGGGGATCGTCTCCAGCAGTCTGCTACGTCTAATTCGTGGTTGTGGAATACTGTCGATTTTAGTACAATACTACTGCGGCGTCGTCGAGAATGCGAAACAGCAATGCATGGCGGCAACGGTAGCTTCATGAACGGCTGCCGTGTTGGTTAAGCGCTATGGCACAGAAGACTCGTACAGGACACAATTCCTACCTAAACAAGAATGTCAAAGGTTGTGCAAGGATCTATTCATTCCCATTCTTGCAGATTCAGAATTGACCGAGTCCCCCTACTCTGCTAATATTTCGCTTGCCCTCAACTTCAAGACAGCCGAATGAGGTTGTTAGATATGTGAAGCTGAACAGCTGTGCGTCGCTCTGAAGCTGTGTAAGAGCAAAAGCATGCCTTCACTGAACAGTACATGCCTCTGACTTTACACGGCCCATATTTGCTGGCCAGAACCATCGACCCGGAGCACAACCCTGGCTGGAATGCCAACCTGAGCTGGAAATTGCTAAGCTTCTTGTTGCTATGCCTATAAGTCGCGATAACACAGATGCAACGACGTTCGTCGACTTCGGGCCACGCAGTAAGAGCCTACCTCGCACACATGCATAGGCAAGGCACAAATACAGATTGAGGTGAAACTCAATCACATCGAAGGAAGCTGAATTTCGCCCTGAATCTCCCAAATTCGTTGCCGTTGATGACGCTTGTATCGACAGCACATCTTCACAACCACTCAATTTAAGAGAAATGCATTGACATCGCGAAGATGTTGGTTGATCACAACATGCAACCACGATGGTCGACTTCTGAAAACGAAATATCTTGCTGTAAATATCTATAATTGTTGCCTCAGGCAAACAAGAAGCGGTTGATTTGGCAAAAAATACGACTATTACGAGCACGTCCGGCTGGAGCACGCCCAGATTGCCGAGCTTTCAGGACATCCGCAAATGCACGTCTTCGCATCATGAAGTGACATATAGCTCGGTGAGGCGCCGGCAATCTGTTGAGGCTGTCGCAACCATGTCTTGCCATGGCTGTTTCACGAGTGAGATGATTGCCCTTCTTGTACATTCCTGTCGATGTTATTATGTCCTTCACGGTTCAATTCAGTCGTTTCTTTGATTTTTTAGGAATTATGTACTAACCAATTTGTCCCGATCATCTACATCTGCGAGCGGCGACGCCAACATGGTTCTCATGCTTCGGCAGATATGGGCATTGACTCTCAAGAATCTGATCATTACTCTCGTTCGACATTGGGCGTCGACGCCATTTCGCGCCTTCCTACTACCCGTTTTCTTCATAGGCTTTTTGTCGTACGCACGATTCCTGTTCATTCCTCCGTCGGTTTACGGCATCAGTCAGCCATACGCGATTCGAAGCTTGCAAAAAGCCGTTGATGTTGCAGGAGGTGGAAGAAACAAGCTCGTCTTTGTGAACAATGGCTTTAGTGGCGGTGCTATTGATGCAGTTATCGCGCAGGTCACTACTCCGTTGCAGGATGTACAGCTCCTGAACTTGCGCGATGAACTTCAGCTGCGTGAAGAGTGTAGGAACAGCATCCTTGGAACATCTTCGTGTATTGCTGCTGCAGTTTTCTACTCATCTCCAACTGAGGGCAATGGTGGTATCTGGAATTATAGTGTGAGAGCAGATGGCGCGCTCAATTCGAAGATTGTTACAGATTCAAACAACAATGATCAGCAAGTGTACATTCTTCCAATACAGCATGCCATTGATGTTGCTATATCCAACGAGGACGCCGCTGCGACAACCATTCCTCAAAATGCCGAGAACTACCCATACACCTCTATCACGGCAGAGCAGAGGCAGAAGAACATCCGCACACGGTACATGAGCGGTATCATCAATATTCTGGCTGTCGCCTTTTACATTGGCATGGTTGGTGTATCCTACCAACTCACAGGCATGGTTGCAAAGGAGCGTGAGGTAGGCATGGCACAGTTGCTCGACAGTATGATGCCAAACCGAGCTCGCTGGCAACCTCAGGCTGTGCGAATTATTGCAAATCACTTTGCTTTTGATCTGATATACATTCCTGGTTGGATCGTCATGAGTATAATTCTGTTCGTCGGTGTCTTTGCAGAGACTTCTCCGGCCATCATGCTCATTTACAATATTCTGGCTGGTCTTGCTACGTCCTCCTTCTCTATCTTTGCAGCTTCCTTCTTCAAGAAAGCTCAACTTAGTGGCATATTGACCGTTATTGCTTTCATGCTTCTTGCAGTTCTTGCTCAAGTACTCAACAAGTCTGGGACGGGAGCTTACGGGGTCCTGTCTCTTCTGTTTCCACCAATGAACTACGTCTTCTTTATCGTCACTATGGCTCACTTTGAGCGAGAAGCCCTGGGCATGAATTTGATCAAGTCTGCACCCAACCATACCTCTTCCCTACCAGGCATTGCTTTTTGGGTTTTCTCTGTCATTCAGATTGTGGCATATCCTCTTCTCGGAGCTTTACTCGAGGGTACACTCTACGGTACCAGTTCCAAAAGTCGAGAGACTCGAGTTTCGGACTCCGATGTGGCTATTTCGATCGAAGGCTTCAGTAAACTGTATCGACCCAGGTGGATGACGAGACTATCTTGCCTTCTTTTCAGGCGGCCCATGAAGACTGTCCTTGCTGTTAATAACCTCAACCTGGTCGCTCGAAGAGGTGAAATAATGGTCTACCTCGGGGCTAATGGTTCCGGAAAATCTACCACCTTGGACGCCATCGCAGGCCTCACACAGATCACTTCTGGAACTGTATGCATCAACTATCCAGACCAACACACAAGTCTTGGACTTTGTCCGCAGAAGAACGTCTTGTGGCAAGATATGACTGTTCTAGAGCATGTCCAGATTTTTAACCGAGTCAAGTGTGGACATGGCGAGAAGCTAGCCTCGAAAGAAGAGATGTTAGCTCTACTGAACTCCTGCGACATTGGCTTCAAGCAACGTGCATTGTCTCAAACTCTTTCGGGTGGTCAAAAGCGTAAACTTCAACTTGCTATGATGTTTACAGGTGGCTCCACTGTCTGCTGTGTTGATGAAGTCTCCTCAGGACTCGATCCGTTGTCACGACGAAAGATTTGGGATATCCTTCTCGCCGAGCGTGGAAAGAGATCTATAGTCCTAACCACGCATTTCTTGGACGAGGCAGACCTTCTTGCCGACCACATTGCTGTGCTCTCCAAGGGCCAGCTCAAGGCGTACGGCACCTCTGTTGAACTTAAAAGCAAGCTGGGACAAGGTTATCGAGTTCATGTGTATCAACGTGAAGGACAGATGCAAGCAACTGTTTATGAGCTACCCCATATCTTGCATGGTGACCAGGTGGAGTATCTGGTTCCTAGCTCGAGCGCAGCAGCTGAGTTTGTGCAACAGCTGGAGAAGGATGGCATTACCGAGTATCAGGTCAGTGGACCTACAATTGAAGATGTCTTCTTGAGACTAGCCGATGAAGTCGCTCAGCCAGACGACGAAGTGGTGTCGGCACAAGGGTCCATGAATGAAGTCAGTCGGAGCCCGAGCCCTAACGAAGAGACAAAGGCTGCAGTCTTGACATCCAGAACTGTTCGGCAAGCTGATGCTAACGCAGTGCCCGAGTTGTTGACAGGCAAGCGCATCAGCATGTTTCGTCAAGCCATCGTGCTTTTCCGCAAGCGCATCCTTGTCACAAGAAGGAACCCATTACCACTGCTCGCTGCACTTCTGATACCAATCATTGCGGCAGGTTTAGTGACCTTGTTCCTTGGCGAGTATAGACTGCCTAGCTGCAGTCCGCAAGCTATTGATTACATCTCTGAAGTGAGCTCATTGTCTACCCAGTTCAATTACCGACTCGTGGCCGGACCTTCTGCTCAGCTTACCCCAGAAGTCTTGCAACGATTCGCACAAAGTCTGCCAGGCAGCGGCGGAAGCGGCGATGCCAATTTGACTCAACTTCTACAAGCTGTCACACTGGTGGATACTCTAGATGACTTCAATAATCAGATTAATACTCGCTTCGCCAATATAACTCCAGGTGGCTTCTTCTTGGGCACTAATGGTCAAGCTTCAACGATAGCTTGGAGGGGAAACGGAGGCATATCAAATCCTTTGATCATGCTCAATATGCTGGATAACGTCCTTTCTTCTGTTTCCATCTCGAGTCAATATCAAGCATTTGACGTGCCATGGCCTGCGGATGCTGGGCAGGCGTTGCAGATGATCACGTATCTTGGCTTGGCAATTGCTGTGGCTCCAGCTTTCTTTGCCCTTGTGCCGACTCACGAAAAACTTGCACGAATCAGAAGTTTACTCTACAGTAATGGAGTGAGAGCTTTACCACTTTGGCTATCTTATGCCAGCTTCGATTTCATAATCGTGTTAATTTGGTCGGCAATTGCGGTCATCATCTTCACAGCGGTCAGCTCAGTCTGGTATCATGTTGGCTACCTCTTCATCGTCTTCTTCCTCTATGGCTTGGCATCGATCTTGCTGTCGTATGTCATCTCATTGTTCTCGCGCTCACAACTTGCAGCATGGTGTTTTGCTGCGGCAGGACAGGCTGTGGCATTCTTGATCTACTTTGTGGCATACATGAGTGTGCTTACCTACGTTCCAGCGGATCGGCAAACGAGTACAGTCAACATAGCTCACTTCACAATCGCTGCGATTGCACCAATCGCAAATGTTCAGCGAGCTCTGTTTGTATCATTGAATATCTTCGCGATTACTTGCAAGGATCGACAATTGGCTACGAATCCTGGCGACATTACACTCTATGGAGGTCCAATCTTGTACCTGATTCTTCAGTCGTTCATACTCTTTGGGATACTGCTCTGGTGGGACAGTGGGTCGTTGTACAGGAGATTCAGACAACGCAAGTTGCCTGAAGAGTTGGAAGACAGAAACGCCCTTGATACAGATGTGTCGAATGAGCTTACTCGAGTTGCCTCTTCTAAAGACGGTTTGCGAGTCATGCATGTATCGAAAGAATTCAAGCATAATCTAGCAGTCAACGATATCACCTTCGGCGTGCCTCGCGGCGAGGTCTTTGCATTACTTGGTCCCAACGGAGCTGGGAAGTCAACGTGTATTTCACTTATACGTGGCGATATTCAACCTAGCCGGCATGGTGGTGACATTCTGGTTGAAGATGTCTCTGTCATCAGTCATCGTGCACTGGCCAGATCGAGGCTGGGTGTCTGCCCGCAATTCGATGCCATGGACACGATGACGGTCCTCGAACACCTTGATTTCTATGCCAGAATTCGAGGAGTTAGTGATCCTAAGCACAATGCACTGGCGGTCATGAAAGCAGTTGGTTTGACACCTTACTCAGATCGTATGGCGGCCAAATTATCCGGAGGTAACAAGCGAAAATTGTCCCTAGGCATTGCATTGATGGGTAATCCTGCTGTTCTCCTTCTCGATGAGCCTTCCAGTGGCATGGATGCAGCCAGCAAGAGAGTGATGTGGAAGACACTTGCATCAGTCATTCCAGGGAGGTCACTTGTCCTGACAACTCATTCTATGGAGGAGGCTGATGCTCTAGCAAATCGAGCAGGAATCATGGCAAGTAAAATGCTCGCCTTAGGGACGACGGACTACCTGCGTCGAAAGCATGGAGACTCGTACTATGTCCATCTTGTGCATGCTGATTCACCGCACACTAAGGACGAGGATATGGAGCGGATAAGGAGGTGGATACTCAAGAGAATGCCAGGCGCCAAGGTAGAAGAGAAGACGTACCATGGCCAGCTAAGATTTGAAGTTCCTGCATCAGTGCTGCACGGTGCTTCACTCGATTGTGCCACTGATAGGCCGAAGGACGAGAAGGACACATCGATCGTGTCTGTACAAAACACACACTCTGCATCATCGATCTCACATCTCTTCTCCGCACTGGAATCAGCAAAGAATGAGCTTGGCATTGAACATTACAGCGTGAGCCGAGCCACTCTGGATCAAGTCTTCCTGAATATCGTTGGCAAGCACAATGTAAGTGAGGAGGATCATGAAAAGAAGAACAGTATTGTCGCCAGAAAGCGGAAGAGTGGACTAAAACGTTTATTCCTCTAGTGGTAACGAGGATTAGATAATGTAGATTTTTAAATATTTCTGTCATAGATGTATATAGATAGTGAGGTCTCAGCGAGCTATTTCGGAATTTGTAAATACTTGTATGTTTGATATTTGCCGCTTTCATGATGCTGTACACGAAACATACTGGATGGGTTTGCTGGAACAGATATGTCTCGCTTGACATTCCACTTCTGACCCTCGTTTACCGTATCTAGCCATGGAATATATTCTCCTCGTTGACCATATCGCTCCTTGATCACCGTCGTGATGAGCCATCTAGATCTATGTATTCTGTCGGTGAACATGCGAAAAGAGTCATCACAGTCATGCCCAAAATGACACAGCTGGAGAAATGAGGCTTTCTTAGAAGTTGAGGATTGAGTAGGACAAGAATATAACAGGCAGAGTGCAAAGGGCAATCGGAAAATATTAGCTGTTGTATACAAAAGTCATGTGTCATGTTGTAAGAATTCTCGCTTGATCCGGACGTATATTGAGGCGGAAAGTTAATCTGCTCTTGCATCTCGTAGAAGTCGTCAATAATGTAACTGAAACAAAACAATAGGCCCTTGACGAATATACAATCACTCTTCGCGTCGCTACGACACTATGCCAAGTAAATGCTTGCCGACATTTTGGTTTCCTCTAGTTCAAGTGTACAAACTATTTGGTATGTATATTTGCACTAAAGGCGAAATTATATATTCCTTCTACATTCCTTTCAACACTGCGATGCAAACTCAGAAGGTCACCACAATTTGCGAGACCTGTCTTCGTCCTCATGCAAAGACGAAGATCAACTCGTCTCGAGGCTCAAGCTCAGAATAATCAACAAGATGTCTCGACGAACACTGACAACAGCGAATGTATCCAGCGCGGTGGACGACCGGTCAAAGCCAATTCACGTACCGGCCAGCAATCACCTGAAGAAGTCTTGACTGATCAAGACGACGACTCTCTGGAGATTGATTCAGTTCCAGACACGATTGGATACTCAAATGCCCATTCTGAGAGACTGCAAGACACGAAACTGACAGAAGATGGTTCCTCTGCAGCCAATCGGCCCAACCTTGAAAACATGACCTTGAGCTGCATCTGTTCCAGTAGGCCGACTCAGATATTAAGGTCAAAATCACGTCTGCGTTCTCAAACCCAAACCCAATCACCACTCATCTGTTGCAACGGCTCCACAACCTATCATCATCAAGGCTGTCACGATTTCGACGAACTATACCCTGTCGACCCGTATATATACTTCTGGATTTGCCCTTCTTGCGTCATGTGTACGACACGCTGTGGTGCGACTTACTCGATTCCCGAAGGTGAACGGTACATGATTCGATGTAGTCGTTGTGAAAAGTGGCAGCATCGACAATGTGTAGGAGTGACTTCGCATGCCAAAGTGGAGGAGTGGTAAGCGGGTGTTTATGTTTGCGAGAGGTGCGAGCCGAATATGAGAGTGCCTTTGTCTCATCACATTGATAGCAATGAGAAGAGTTTGAAGAAAGATGCTATGAAGCATGGACAACCAGAACAGCCTAGCTATAATGAGCAGTACCACAAAATAGGCCAATTCGTTGAGCGAGGGAGATAAATGGACCCAAAGTCCAAGGCAGTTGCTGTCGTTCTGCCTGCTCTCATCGCGTCGTATACTATACTTTGCCTCCTGTTCTTACATGGTCAGCATTAACTGGATTGTCATCAGCAGTATGTATTCTGAGTTTCAATGTAGAGCTCGGCCATTCGAACGGCATGTTCCGTGTGCTATGTGGTGCCAGAACTGTACAAGATGGTGTATACCATGTTTTAAGCTTAGTTGCAACGTTAGTTGTTGCTACGATGAGATCGCTTCCGTGGAAAGTCGTGCGGAAGTTGAAGGGTAACATGGTGGAAAGCGGGATAGATCACGTGGACGAATAGAGAAATGCTTCCCCATGATCGGGGACGCGTTTCCATATCAGGTAATTTGTTGTGCTCTGACGTGACGCGCTCATCGTCCTTGCACTTTGATCCTTTACGAAACAGGACCAGCTGAGCTTGTCCACGCTTACTACCATACTCAAGCAGTCTCCAAACCGATACACAGCCAGAGAGTGGTGAATCGCAGTCGAAAAGGGTGCGCTGGCACGAAGCAGGCGCGGGAATATGCAGGCCACTACAGTAGTGTTGCATAGGCGTGCTAACATGACAGATGACATGTGGTCATAAGAGGATACGATGCTTTGACGAGTAGAGAGGTCTCACAAGCCGTGGGAATAGTTCAGCTCGACAAGATTCAGCCCTCTTCCTCTCCAATCCCTGCCGAAACGAGCAATCCTCTTCGAATATAGGCTCCATACATCGGTCGAAAAAGATGGATCATGGGGGATCAGGAAGGGACAGCGATACCTTTCGGACCAATCGAATTGATTGAGAAATTTCAAAGAATCGTAGCCTGTGGCTGGAGAAGCATGTTCTGAGAAGGATCAGACAGCTGGGAGCTGAAGAGCAGGCAGGAGAAATGGTTCATCTATCCTGTGCAGCCAACTGACCCATAGTTAGAATATCTTGCAGAAAAGATAGCTTTTAATGAGCATCGCTTAGGACTGGGTTATTGATCAGCGAAAATGTGGCAGACCACCAACTCTCATTCGATATGCTCGCAGCAGATGAAGAACAGGAAGATGGACTATTTTGCAAACACATTGCTGAGTCATTTCAAGCTACCGTGACACGATGGAGAGCTGTCCCTTACAAACATTGATCCAGGGACAAGAAAGCGACAGGTTGGTGGGTGGGTTTTACCAAAAGCTGATTCCTGACGCCTCAGGCATCCAAGTTCGCAAATGGCCCGCCTTGAGCATTGGGCTGTTCCTATACTGCCATCCCAACATGATGTGTAGTGCCTGACCCCTTCTTCATGAACAACCCGTAGAACAGGCTACAGCATACGATGGACGCGACACTACATTAATCCAGCGCTTCTCTTCTGTTGCAACCGCAGTCGATAACCACTCATTCCGCTGCATCAATCCTCAGCAAATCAATTTCAAACATGTTCACATGGCGGGCTGTGGTCTGGCACATTGGCCTAGCATCTTTGTTCCCTCTCTATCTCACCCTGAAGGTCGTCTGGAACCGTGATGCTCTATATGAGCGATCCTTTGTACAAACAAGTGTTCTGATATTGATATGGGTATGGTGGATTACCAGATATACGATACCTTTTCTCACCTCGCCACTACGACACTTGCCATCACCGAGAGGCGAGGTATTTGGAGTGGGACACGAGCACATGTTGCGTGAGGTTCCGATGACTGACAGCATACTCAATGCTTGTAAAGCTACTCCTAATGATGGTCTTCTAACATTCTATCAACTGTTCCACAGCGGTCCTATTGTCGTTCCAACAACACCTGAAGCTGTAATGGAGATAGTCAACGCTCGGTCATACGATTGGCACAAACCAGGTCCAGATGCGCGCTTGCTGAGACGTATACTGGGAAACGGCTTGGTCGTCGCCGAGGGTCAGCCCCACAAGTCCATGCGCAAAGCTGTGGCTCCTGCGTTCTCAGGGAAGCAGATTCGTGATCTTGTGCCTCTATTCTACGAAAAGGGAAGAGCGTTCGTGGAAGTCCTGGCTGAAAAATCTCCTGATGGCGCTGTGGAGATTACGACTCAGATGTCTAAGGTGACGCTCGACATCATCGGATCTACTGGAATCGGAATGGACTTCGATACCATACACAACCAAGACAACAAACTAGCGCAGCTATACGAAATTATCACTGGTCCGGACAGAGGTCCTATCGTCCTCTTCTTTCTGATAAATGCATTCTTACCACCTGTTCTGGTGGAGAACATGTATGGCACAAGATATGCTAGAGTTGCCAATGCCGTACGAACTCTCCGTCACGAAGTACGTGGTCTTCTACAAGAAAAGAAGCAATCCTTGGAGATGAAGCAGCAAAATGATATCATTGCCACTATCATGAGATCTGGCGACTTCTCCGACGACTACTTGTGCGACCAGCTACTGACTTTCTTCGCTGCTGGTCACGACACTACTGCTGTTTCTCTTACATGGACACTCTATCTGCTGTCATTACATCCAGAGAAGCAGGACATTCTGCGAAAGGAGTGCCAAAAGCTCGGCGGCCCAAACAAGCTCGATGCAGAGGAACTCGAGCGCTTGCCTTACTTGAATGCAGTCTGCAATGAGGTATTGAGACTGTATCCGCCAGTACCGGGCACTGCACGCCGTGCTGTTGTGGATACGAAAGTAGGGAGTCAAGTCTTGCCAAAGGGTACCTTCTGTTTTATTCCAATGTGGACTATCAACCGCTTACCATCCTTGTGGGGTGACGACGTGAATGACTTCCGTCCAGAGCGTTGGCTTGATGGTCCGCAAGCTTCTCTTGGTGGTGCCGAGAGTGCATACGCCTTTCTCACCTTCCTCTACGGACCTCGATCGTGCATTGGGCAGCAATTTGCTCGCGTTGAGATGAAATGTCTTCTTCTGGCCTTAATATTAAGGTTTCGATTTGAGCTTGAGGACCCCGAGGCAGAGGTTAAGATGACAGGTTTTGTGACCATCAAGCCTGCCAATGGGTTGAAATTGAAGCTGCACGATCTTGCTAAGGAAACGAAGAATTGATTGCTGCTGTCGCTATAATATTCATATGCAACTCGCTCCTAGATATCGTACACCAGTCAGTCTTTCTTGCGGGAAATCCGGCGCAGTCGAGCTTACCGATTAGACGAACTGTACAAGAATGCGTATTCCAATCATCTTTCAAGTTGTGGTTGAGAAGTCTTAACTCATATCAATTGATCGCTCTCCACTTAGTGCTCAATTGCTACTGGCGCATTTTCACCCCGGCTTCCTTCACCATTTCTTCTCAATTCCAAAAATCACCCCAGGTCATTTCGAGGCCCCTTTAGTTGCTGCTGATACTTGTCGTTCATCTGCCTCTTTCCATATAATTTCTACAGCTAGTGCTGCAATTGATGGACGCAACATTATCGGAGCAACCGGTACGAGAATAGTATCATCTCTACGATGTGATTCATGCAGTGGTCAATAAACGTAATTTCGACAGCTGCAAATTGCGCCGAAGCGAACGATTGCTTTTGCCATCCACCACGTCGCTGTTGGGCTGGACCTGATTACGTTGGAACGACGATTAAATGTGTGATGGGGCGTGATGCTGGTGACGTCTCGCGGCCATGGCAGGAGATCATTCAGATTGCAGAGCAAGAGAGTTCCTAGGTCAACTACAGGTGTCCGTGACGAACGAAGGTTTGTTAACTTGGAGACTCCTCCTCCCTCCCTCCCTCCCTCCATCCCTCAGTTATTGGTAGCAACCTTGAGCAGCAACCTCCTCATCAGAAGGAGCGGATAATGGTCAATGGAAATGTATGTCATTTCTTTGATCATAAGCCATTGCATATGGTCTCAAGCTGCAATGTAAGGACCGCATAAAGCTTGCAACTGCGAGACGCAACTATGCCTAGATCTTCGTACCATGTTCTTTGACAGCTTTCGAAGCTTGTGCTTCAGCTGCTAAATCAGCATGACTCGCCAGGACCCAGCATTCACTCCTCAGCTCTGCTGCTCTGCCTCTTGTCTCATGGTTCGCCAGTCTCGCTGACCTTCAGTCCTTCGACCTTGAAATCCGCCTTGGAAGCCACCTTGATAACCACCTTGTCCCATCTGATTTCGTCGGTTTGCCTGTTCTCGAGCTCTATTGACTCTCAGCGTGCTCTCGGCACTCCAAGGTGTAGCTTTGCCGTCGAGTGCCTCAATGGCAGCATCGACATCCTCTGATCGTGAGACATCGACAAACAGGAAGTGATGATCACCTGGAAGATCTTGTTTGCTCTCGTGTGGTGCGATGAGGTTGCTGATCTTGGTAACTTCGACGCCCAAGGGATCAAGTAGACTGTGAATCGTTGTTTCAACTTGTTCTGGTGACTCGATTGCAGGAAGGTTGCCGATGTAAAGTCGCTTTGATTGTCCTTGACTTTCTTGGTTATCACGATTGTAGCCACCGTATTGACCTTGAGACTCGTTACGGTTGTAGCGGTTGTAGCCTTGCGAGCCATCTGTGCATGATCAGTCGTGAACGTCGTCTACAAGGTTTGACTTACCTCGTGGTGCAGACCCAAAACCTTGTGGGCCACCATCTGCGACAAAGATCAGTACTATAGCCAGTCATGGGCTAAAAACTTACCTCTTGGTCCTGATCCAAAGCCTCTATTGAACGAACCTCCTTGTTGTCCTTGCCCATCTGATCTCTTTGCGACACCAGGATTAATTCTGACAGTTCGTCCTAGAACATCTCTTCCATTGAGTTCGTTCATAGCACGTGATGCATCATCGGCGCTTTCAAAGTCAACAAAGCAATACGAAGGGTTGCGACCAGTCATAGGATCTACGCTCATGCTGATATTGGCGACGTTGAAACCATTTTCGTTGAAGAATTGTGCGATATCATCTCGTTTGGCAGAATAGAGAAGGTTGCCCACGTAGAGTCGAGTGTCGCTAGATTCTCGAGCTTGCCCATAGCCACCACCTCTTGGTGCTCCGTAACCGCCTCTGTTTTGTCGTGGTTGGATTTCTGCTCGAGGAGCGTCATCTTTCATACGCCAGTTACTGGACGCGTTTGAGCGCTGTGGATATTGTTGGAAGCCTCCACGGCGTGTTGATTGCTCTTGACCGTCTTGGTCTTGTTGCTCGTAATCTGCCATTGTCGCGGACTACTGTGTGTGTCTGATCTTGATCGCAAAGAAGGACAATGGAAAGGGTAAAAACACCAGGCAGCAGGAAGAAGAAGCGAGGCTGTCACGAGCTGACAATTGAAATGTCGGAGGTCGGTGAAGGAAAAAATAGTTAACGCCAAGAAATGTCCAAATCGAGATGGAAAGCTTAATTTAGCTGAAAGCTGACGAGATTGCTTGTGAATGGAATGAGTGTTTGCAAGAAGTTATCAAAGTGCAAGTTGAGGACAATAGTGTAAGGAGCAGGAGCAAAGGTTTGCGATCCGAACTTGTAGCACCTTCCACCTCAACACTTGTTCTGCGCCTGCCAATTTTTTCAGTCTCTATTTTCGGTTTGTACATGCTTCGATGGATCTCTTTTCTTTAAATCAATCGGATACTCCGTCGATTCGATGTCGTCCGGGTATTTGAGGTTGCCTTGTTTCCTCACATTATCCATTGTTTTCATGATAACTAATGACTCATCCCAAGACATGGTCTCGCTTTCCAACTTGCCAGCTAACCAACATCTAGCTGCTTCATCTCCTTCCCACGACATACCGTGAATACCTCCTGGAAACTCGAACGTTTTATCCTCCATCTGTTTCTGCTTGTCGCGGTAGGTGATTCTGTATCTGGAAGGTCGATAGATAGGTCCAAAGACCTGAATCTCTCCTTGATCACCAAAGATTCGAACTGCTGGTGTTGCTTGGTCACTGTCACGTTCAAAATCAAAGTGCGCTCGTAATGCGGCCGAAGCGACTCCGTGTGTACTGCTCCTACCACTGGGTGTGCTGACTGGGAAGTTGAGAAGTATGGTCGTTGCTTCATCTGCGCCAGTCCTTGGTTCACTTGTCATGGCAGTTCCGATCACGGTCGGCGCCTGTCTCTTCTCCTTCGGTAAAGTATGGTAGATTGTCTGAAACAGCCAAGTCAAAGCGTAGATACCTAGGTCTAGCAGAACACCTCCAGCAAGGTCCAGGTTAACCATTCGATGACCCTCGTCGAACTTGTCTTCCGGAATCTCTCCGATAGACAAATCTGCACTCACCCTAATGACCTCACCGATCTTGCCGTCTTGAATGGCTTGCCTAACCTCGATACTCAAAGGAAAATACCTTGTCCAGACAGCTTCCATGAAGAATAGGTTGCGCTTCCTGGCCTCATCGATAAGTGTTTTTGCCTGTTCGGCATTGACGGTCAGTGCCTTCTCACAAAGAATTGGTTTGTTGTGTTCCAAGGCTAGGCGACAATTTTGATAATGATGACTGTGTGGTGTACCAACGTAGATGATGTCTACGTTTGAGTCTTGAACCAATTCTTTGTAGGAAGCATATGCGCTACATTTCGTATCGCCCTGCTTGCCTTCCACAAAATTTGCAACGAACTTGTCAGCCGAATCCTTTGAGGAAGACGAAGCCACAGCTGTCACGACATGGCACACATCTTCAACACCCCTGGTCTTCGGGTCTACAAGTAAATCCTTTGTAAATGTCTGAACGATACCACCCGTGGCTGTCACCCATTAGCACACCATCACTCAACGTCGAGTACGACTTACCCATCATGCCCCAACGTACAACTTTCGGCGCCATTGTGGTTGATGTTAAATGTCTGCGAGTTTGTTTAGCGACAAGTTCACGAGTCAAGCGAAGCATACAGCAAGATTTGTATTTCCAATTGTCAAAGTGTACAGCATTGCAAGATGATGGTACTTGGGGTAATTTTAGCTACAGTACATGTTTTGGCCGTTGCGTCATCTGTTTGAGTCCATTGGAGCAGCGTGGAGAACGGCAACACTGCATTCTGTGCCTAACTGCAGTCGAGGTGGTCGTATTTGTGTGCAAGCTGGGGTAATCTAATCGCTTGTGCAAGGCTTGTGTTATCGACGGACGAACTCGTTGTCAGTAGCGTCGCAAGATATTGCTTGGTGAAGACCATTCCATGATGTGCTGTCCGAAAAGCAGCCACACTATGCGACTGGAAGCCATACACTTCTTGTGCTGTTGAAGAGCGCTCAGCGCCGAGAGAGATGCAAACATAAACCACTGTGAGTATCACCGATGGTTGAGCTGAGGCGCTACAGCCTCTTTTGTTTGGAATAAATCGGAGTGAAACATCATGTACATTGTGATTCGAACCTACCAGTGTATGCAGAACAGACCTCGATATTGCCCTTTCGACACCTTGTACATATACATCCGCAGGAATCCTAACACTTTTCCCATTCGTCTATGCTAGATGGTAATCGCCAGTGCGCTCGTCATTGCCAGGTCCATGAGTTCGTCTTGCTGCAGCTTATTTGAGACCGAGCTTTCCAAGGATGGTGCTCGACTGAGGTTTCGCATCGAAGATGCCCAAGATGCTCTTCCAGACAGCACCAGGATCTTGGCTGGCGTCAATACCCGACCAGATTCCACTCTTTCTGTAATATGTTACCACAGGGGCAGTCTGCTGGTGATAAGTGACCAGTCTCTTCTTGAGAGCCTCTGCGTTGTCGTCGGATCTCTGTATTAGCGGCTCGCCTGTGACATCGTCCTTCATTGACTCCTTTGGTGGGTTAAAGATTTTGTGGTAGGATCGGCCAGAGGCTGGATGGATCAATCGACCAGTAATTCGATCGACCAACAGCTGATCGTCTATTTGTAGCTCGATCGCATGCTTGAGCGGCTTGCTCTCTTTCTGCAACATTTCGTCTAGACCTTCTGCTTGGGTCACAGTTCGAGGGAAGCCGTCCAGGATGAAGCTGATATGAGATGATTAGCTCTGCCCGTACTGCCGAGTTCTAGAGAGCCTACCCATTCTGACAGTCTTTGTTGGTTGTCAGCTCTTGCTTAATCATGTTGATCATGATGTCGTCGCTGACCAAACCACCTTGATCCATGATCTTCTTCGCTTCTCGACCGAGAGGAGTCTTCTTCGCGACCTGAGCTCGAAGCATGTCACCAGTAGCCTATCATTGTCAGTGCCAGTTGTGAGCAGGGTCCATTCATCGTACCAAGTGACAGACACAGTACTTGTCCTTGATTTTAGGAGCTTGCGTTCCTTTGCCTACAGCTTGATCAGTAGAGCTACCAAACATAGTGAGAACACCATACCAGCTCCTGGCGGGCCAATCAAGATCATGCGCATTGCTTCGGAGCTCGTCGAGCTCGTCGAGCCGGCGTTGCCATGTTTCTCAGACTCGAGTCTCTCAACGCGAGCTTGCAGATTCGCGATCTGCGCTTTTAGGTCTTCCACCTTTTGGTCAGACGACATAATTGCTCGGATGAACCTAAGGAGCCTGACCGAGGCGAGAGAGGTTAAAGAAGACTTGGGGAAGAGCGAGAGGTATGCGAGACGTGGTGTAGATTGCGCAGCTGGAAAGAGCACAAGAAACCAAACGAGTTGCAACTAGGCACGAGCAGCTCCGATCTGCCGGCTGTGCCAAGACTTGAGCAATCATCTCGGTCGCCTCACCACTTCAACTATAGAGCCTCAGAATTGCAAGATTGACGAGCCATAGCTAGGTAGTATATTGCTCAAGCACTGCCTCCGTTTCGACAAGGATCGAGCAAGCAATTTCTCACGCCATTCGAGGGGGACATTGCTGACAGATAGTTTCGTCACGGAAGCAAGCACATTTTGAGCTGTCGGTCCACATATATCAATATCTTATTGAAGTCACCAGTCTCTTACACCTCTACAGTCAGCGAGCCAACGCAGCATTTTGGTGGCGAGAAGAACTTGTCAATTCACGAAACGGGGAGGGCAACTACTTATTGGCGCTTCAATGAGCCTGATTCGTGCCGTGCACTCTGTGTCTGCTCTAGGCCAAGCATCTACCAACCCTTTCACGTAGTCACGTCTTGGGGAAGACGGTCTGCGCACCGAACATACTGCCCCTGTGTGGACTGCGGAAAAGTATGCGTCGATGGAGGTTGAGCAGTATTCGGATGAAACAAGCGGAATTGATTGTTTAATTTCGGAGAAATGGGTTCAAGGCCTACGCTTCGTCCAAAGCATGGTTCAGCAGAAAGTTGTTCTTCCCAGGCCAGACGATTTCAGTCCTGTCGCTCGACGTCGAATAAAAAGGATCTGTGAAGATATAGTTGGTCTAGCATGTGACTTTTTCGGCTTCTACTGTTGATATCCCGATGCTAACACATAAAATATCCTACCATTCTATTCTCAGAATCTAAAGACTTTTGCGCTTTCGTAATTGACCAGTTCACAGTGCGTGTTGATATCCCGATCGCGACCGCATGCCGGCCTTAATCAGAAGTTTGACTTGTCTGCTCTCAAGAGCAATCAACGCCTCTGCTTGCCACTTGATCAGATCGGTTGCTACTTCCAATCCATATCGCGCATTAACAGGTACTCTCAGTAGAGCGTTAGGACCGCTTCCATGACGAAAGATTCTTACATTTCTCATCTAGCAGTAACATGTTACTGCTATTCAGAGAAATTGTGCAAGCCGCATGCGAAGCGGCTATACCGAGTGCAATCAGCGCGACAGACAGAATGCGTTGTTGGTACACAATGATCCGCAAGTTAGGACTATCTCGCTCAGAACCGTGGCCAGTCTTTTCCCACATTTCGACGAGAATCACTACGTCAAAGCTTAAGAAGTCGTAGACTTGCGTCCATACCAGTTGTTGAGTAAAGTACCATTGGCATTTCATGATCCATTGCATGATCGCCAACTTGGCCATATTATAAACTGTGAGAATGTGATGATATTTGACGGACGCTAAAATAATTCTCTGCATGTCCTTGATTACCAATCGAAGTATCTGTCTACAAGAAGTGAAGTGCTGGACCTGCCAATATGGAGTATCTCTTACGAGATATTGGGAATCAGCCGTCTTTGGCTTGTTCGTTCTCTATCGTTGCTTTCCACCATGACATTCTCGTCGTGCGCTTTACCACTATCATAAGCCTCCGTCCCAACTGCTCCTAATCGTAATCGTTCCCTCCTTCAGACAGGAACCACAACTGGCTGATCAGCGTTATATGTCGTATAGACCAAATTATCGAGCAAAGTAGCAACAGCCAGACCACCACTACTCATCAACAGAGTATTATCGGTATCCGTCTCGAATACCGCCGTGTCAATGCCGTTGAATCCCTGTAACACGCCTGACTCCATACCAGCAACGACCGACAAAAGGGGCGGGCCGAACCTGAATTCCTGTCTGGCGACTGGCTTAGTTGCCTTGTAGCCCGTGACTGTCACTTTGCAGGCCGTAGGAACAGTCCCCACACTCTCTTGAAGATTGGAAACACAACCATAGTAGAAGGATTTGAAGTCAAAAGTGTCCCCCACAGAGCCAATGTATTGTGTCGTGATGCGAGGATTAGTCCCTTCGCCATTGATGGTGCCGGCATTGAGGCTGGAGTATACGGCGACATTAGGTGGAGAGCTGGATCGTACCCCAGCAACGACTGTGCCTCCAACGCCGTTGTCAATAACACCTAGGAGACTATGAGCTATTCATTGCGCCTAGATTGCAGGCTAGAATTGAGTGACCTACCAATAGACTTGAACTCGAGACCGTTGTAAGGCCCAATTTCACCTTCAGTGCCGGCAATCGGCAGTGCGCCAGGTTTGAGGTCATCGAAGGAAGTGTCGTAGGTGGTTGCATTACCTGAATCACGAACTTTGAGGGTGGCGGCGTCACCACCAATAGGGCCGGTATATGTGGTAACATTGCGTACGTCAGGAGCAGCGAGGTCGGTCACTCTGCCTGTATCATGCGTGATATTTGACGTTGCATTTCCTATGTCTGCATCAGGCAGAGTAAGAGGCGCACCGAGGACGAGGCTGATCAACAGCGCAACAGGTATGGTGTGCATGATGAGGCGATGTTCGATATAGGATGGGAAAATATGAATCGTGGATGCAGCTGTCGCTTTACGAGAGATTGTTCAAAAGAGTGACTATCGAAAGAACGACGGAAGTTGGATACTCTGGATAACAACACTTAGTGGTGCGATCAGAGCGCGATACTCAGGGAGAGCACTGCTTCTTATATGACAAACAGTAATCTCCTTGGACGATGTCCATGTCGTGGCGCAACCTCGTACTCGACTCTAGGGGATTATGCAAAGGCTTGAGCAGGTCGATCAGCACACTTGTCTTCAGCTATGGTAATACATGCTCCTGAAGATATGTACAACAGCCAGTTGGATTCATGTCAAAGTCGAGGGTTGTCTCCAACAGGTAGCGAACGAGTGTATCAATATTGCTAAACGGAAATCACGCCTTGCCAAAGAGATTGATATTGCCCTAAACGTTTCTGCAGATCATGTTTGATCGGGATCATCCGCAAAAGGTGGAGGCCTTGGCTTACAGATAAGGTAGGCGAAAACCCGACTGATCAACCGGACTAAACGACAACTCAAGAGGTCTTCGTCCGCATTAGTGGTTCCAGTTTTGCCTGCTAATGAGCGTTCTCCAAGTTGTGCTCACGAATCACAGCTTTGAGACAGTCGTGCTATGGAACCGCTAATGACGACGAAGACTTCTTAAGTTGTCGAGCACCCTGGAAAGATGAACTGCTGCCCACTACGTACCTGTGTAAGCGCTCGGCGTCATGCGCATTAGGATCCCGTGGAATTGTTATTAACCTTATTTGTGCCTCAAACAACGACAGGACTGCGATTAGGATCAATGTATTATGGGTGAACAAGACGTCGACATCTCGAAGGACGTCACATGCCAGCAGTTGTTATCAATCCCATGATCAAACCTGATATTGTCATCGGGCTATGCAGGACAGACAAAAATGTACACCAACGACGGCGAGCTGAGGTCGAAGACTGTTGTTAAACCCACGTCCACCAGTTGACACCATATATCTCCTGGTCTGTATCGAGCAACAAATCAATGGGTAACATTGCCGCTTCTTGTGAACAAACATTTCCCCTTGCGGCATGAGCCGTGTCTTGGATAGTAGAGTAAAACCTCAATAGTAAAACAAACTGCTAGGCACGCCCTCTGCATGCAGGAGCAGGAAGGCCATCCAGATAGAGAGGTACCAACAGATTCACATCAGCTTGCGAGCGAGGCCGTGGTGATGTTGCACTCCCATGAAGAGTGACCTATGGTCGAAGGTTACTGGCCGACGAGGCACTCGATCGATTACTCCGACAGTCCAGTACTTTCCTTGTTATACTCAAGTACAAGGAATTCGTGCCCTATAATGATTACCGAACGCGGCAGATACATGTAAGGAGGGTTAGGTGACTGCTTCTCGACTCGGCTGAATATGTTGCAGACGTTGATCTCAAGCGCTCGAACGCTGCGCTACATGTCCTCATCACGGTTTTTACATAACTCATAGATTCGGCTTACTTGACAAAACATAATATGGCATTGAAGCAAACCTTTGATGGATATGAACAGCCTGCGAAGCTTCAGGCAGCCAGGCAGGTACTACTGTGCCCGATGCCTACGCTGAGTAGACTAATCCTAACCATTTCCAACCAACAATGCTGGTCGCTCATAGAGTCGTCTACGTCAAGCACACAAGTCTCTTGTCTGTGGTAGTAAGCGAATACTTTCATACTTTGTTAGTCAAGAATTGTGGTCCTGGTTCCAATCATTCATGAACTTGCATAATTGAGACTATCATGCGAAACCCTGCGTGGCATGACAGTAGACCTTAGCACGTTAATGCTTCTATATTCAGCCGTACATCATCCGAAAGTCTTTCTCAACATATGGAACGCCACAAGCGCAAACATGCTGAGAAATAGAAAGAGCCTAACGCAGACAGTCTGTACCACTGAATCTCGTGTGCTGGCGGTTTGATGGGGCCACTGTGAAGAGCTCTCTAGCAGGAAGTCCTCATCGTACAATGGTATAAGCACAAATACGGTTGCGCATAAACTCATACCACATATCTGAAGACATACGTAGTTTCCGTGCCTGCAGTCGTTGCGATCACTTTTTGGTCGCACTCATACCATTACCTTCGACCTTTCCAGCTGGCCCTCAGTGTCAAGTCTTCACGGAAAAGCGAGCCCCAATATTTCGTCACTGAATAACTCGTCCTCGTTTACTCAATATGCCTGCCACAACTGCAGAGACACTGTCTCTGGTAAATCGGACGGTGTCCGTGGCACCAATGGTTCTTTTATCAGCAGCAGACCATTACGGTAGATCAGCAAAGGGCACGAGAAAGAGAGTAGTTGGTGTGCTGCTAGGACAGAACGATGGCAAAAACGTGAGGGTATCAAACAGCTTTGCAGGTATGCCAGCCATGAGTCCAGCACCATAGTCATATGCTAACGAAGCATAGTACCCTTCGAAGAGGATGAGAAAGACCCGTCAGTCTGGTTTCTTGATCACAACTATGTCGAATCGATGCGAGAGATGTTCAAAAAGGTCAACGCACGTGAGAGACTGATCGGGTGGTACCACTCTGGACCCAAGCTTCGTGCATCTGACCTACAGATCAACGAGCTCTTCAAGCGATATACACCTAATCCTCTACTCGTGATCATTGACGTACAGCCCAAAGAGGTGGGCGTACCAACAGATGCCTATTTCGCCATCGAGGAGATCAAGGACGATGGTACCACTACCTCAAAGACCTTCGTGCACACGCCATCCACAATTGAGGCGGAAGAAGCTGAAGAGATCGGCGTTGAGCACTTGCTGAGAGACATTCGTGATGTGGCAGTCGGCACACTCTCCGCCAGAATTACTTCGCAACTGCAGTCTTTGCAAGGCCTACACCTGCGGTTACGCGACATTGGTGCCTATCTGCAGAAAGTTCTGGATGGCGAGCTGCCAGTGAACCATGCTATTCTTGGCAATTTGCAGGACATCTTTAACCTCCTACCGAACCTGACTACATCTCCAGCTTCCAAACCAATGGGTGAAGAACAAGTACAAAACAGTGAGCTTGCGAAGTCGATGAATGTGAAGACCAATGATCAGTTGATGACCATATACTTGAGCTCTTTAGTTCGGGCTATCACGGCGTTTCACGACCTCATTGACAACAAGATTCAAAATAGACAGCAGCAGGAGGAGAATGAGGGCAAGAAAGAGGATGCTGACAAGGACGGCGAGAAGGACGAGAAGAAGGCCAATGGCACGGTGAATGGCGAAGCAGAAAAAGACAAGAAGACGACAGAAGACTCGAAAGACAAAGATAAGAAGAAATCCTGAAGGCAGCTTGGTTCACATACTTGAGCATGCAGTCATGTCACAGGCGCCATACCGGAGCCGTTTCGAGGGCTGTTATATGGTTGGTACTTCCGTCGAATGTACAGCCTCTCACGCCTCTCCCCAGCCGGCAGCCCACGCAGCCAATTCTTCCTTCGACACATCCTTAGAGTCTATACCATCACCGAACAGCTTTGGTGCTGCAGTACCGATTATGGCGGCCAGGATATGTTTACATGTCGGCACTACTGCATCATGTCTTGTTGTAGTGCCTCCAAACAGCATCTGGCTGGAGAACGATCGTTGTGCCGACTTCGCAGCTTTCATCTGTTCGCCACTCATCTTGGCTCGTGCTAACAGCATCTTTAATTCAGCCTGTGCGAACGCAGCACAACTGCAGTTCCAAGAGTCCAGCCTGACCTCGTAATGGATCTTGGTCGCCCTCCAAGCATTTCTAAACCTGGAGTTTGCAGATCTTCGGTTATTGGACGTGGTGACGGCAGACGCTGACTGGATATAAAAGACCTCAGTAGGTGGACTTTCAGAACTGGGTCGTGAACATCGAAACCTCTTAACGAGTTTGCGGTCGAGCAGATCCAGAGCTGGTAGTAGCTCATGTGGAAACAAGAAATGCAGGGTTAAGAAGGTAGACCTGGCTTGTTCGGCGTCTTTTCCCTTCAGCTGAGCCAGTCTGGACGAACGGGTGGTAGAAGACGGATATTGTAGAGCGGGCTGATCAGCAACGTTGACACGGTTGAGTTCTGTCAAGACAGCAGTTATGAACTCTCTTGAAGTAGTAGGCATGCTCAATCTGCCTGCCATCTATGACCCGCTTTGTGCTTCTGCTTGTAGAACCATCACCTTGCGATGTGACCAATACTTCATTGACTGTTGTTGCTCATGTGTCCTCTCGATATTGTTGAAGAAGTTGTGGTAAAACATACAGGCTGTCGTGGCTTCGGGGTTGTGACGGAATCTCCAGTGAATACAAAACCACGCTAAAGTTTTGTCGAAATCCACTTCCTCTTAATCACTTACTTTCATCGTGCTAAGTCACATGTTGGCAAAGACTTAGGTAGGCATATACTACCTGGGTCTGCTCTGCATTGCACGACCAGCCGGTGTTGCTACTGACCACGATGTATCACCGGCTTGCACATCCTGGTTCTCCTCCCTTGGCTGCATTATGGAAGCAGCGAATGGTTCGGCCTATTCTCAGACCTCGTCCAAGACAATAGTGCAGTTTTCTGACCCTGACAACCTTTTCGACGATGTTGCCCCCTTACTGCAGAACCGACTTCCTCTAGGTAACCTGCACTGGAAATCACCGAGTCGTCCTTTGCGATCAATCGAAGAGCTAGATGTTTCATTGGAGCGAGAGCAGGTCAAGGCGGCAGATGGCATATCCAGCACCAGAAGACACCAGATACCTGGCCTACGCCAGACCCCGTTTGTCAAAGTGTTGTTGTTGAGATGCGACGATAAAGAGAAATACAGAGAATCGGTACGGAGAGATGTGAAGGAATGGGTCAAAAGTCTAGGAATGTCGACCTCCAGCAAGTCCACCGCGAAGGGTTCAGAGAAGCACGATGCCTATGAGTACATCATTCTACACGTTGTTCTGCCTGGTACACCTGCTGCGACTCAGCCGAAATCCTCCAAGCACATCTCACTCGAAGCTACAGAGAGTACAGACAGCGTGAATAGCAGATCCAAATGGGGTGGAAAGAGCACATCCACAGTTCTTGACAAGCTCAGGGCAGACTTCGCAAGCACTTCCAAGGCGCCCTTCGAACGAGTGGCTCAAATCAGGTTGACCGATCCTGCGAGACCAAATACAGCACTAAGTCCGCTAGAAATCGAAGAGCAATGGCAGGACCTGGTTGAGAAATTGAAAGTTGCCATCCTACAATCTTTTGATGCACGTGTTGCACAGTACGAGGAAGATATCCGGGAGAGAGAAGCACAACGCAGCTTGCCCGGCTGGAACTTCTGCACTTTCTTTATACTTAAAGAAGGTCTAGCCCGAGGGTTCGAAAATGTCGGTCTCCTCGAAGATGCGCTCCAGATATACGAGCAACTCGACGTTGGTCTAGATGCAGTCATACAGGATCAGGCTAGGGAGGACTATGCCGATGCCACGAATGCTCTCTTGCCATACGCTTCGGACCTGAAAGATGTCATAAGATCAATTCTTACAGAGAAGACCGAAAATGACGTGAAGCCAATCGAGTTGAGTCTCCAGGTATGGAGCAATGTTGAATCTACGCGGTTTCCCTGGAAAACGGAACGTCGCAACTACCAGCAGATGATCCTCACCAACCAAGTTAGTGCTCTAGACTTTCGCATCTATATCTTCATTCGTCAAATGCAGATACTGCTTCGGAGAGCAGGTACATCAGCTTTGCCCACCAGGTCGAAAGTGAATCGTCAAGGCAGTCAACGTTGGGATGCGGATTTGCTCTCCGAGATATGTCAAAGAAGCATCAGATTCATGAATCTAGCTGCCAGAAACCTTCGTCAGGATCTCTTAGCTGCATGGGGTGGTCAAGAAGGACTTCCAGTTGACGAGCTTGTGACACAGAAAGTCGCGATTGAAAATATTGTGGCTAGCTGGAAGTGGGCTTCTTGTTTGCAAACACTAACAGAATCTCAAATCATTAGCTCTTTCTCTAGCCTAGCCTCTCGTTTCAACGGCGATGAAAAAGATGGCGAGCTGTTTACACTATCACATCTTACTGGTAGCCAAATCGAACAGCGTGTGTCTATTAGTACTACACCTTCCAACGAGACTACGACTTCGAGTATGAACGGTACGACGCCACCAGCAACGACAGACATATTCGTGGGTTTGGAGGTCGCAAAAGGCAGCAAGGCCAATCTGGTATTCTGGGCAGCTGAGCTATTCACCATGATGCGCACAATCTTTGTCCAAGTCTGCAGTTGGTCTGGATCGTTGCCGATAGAGCTGCGTGCTTCCGGTGCAGAATCAGAAGAGTCTGATAGTGCACTAAAACCAGATATAGGATTAAGATCTCCTACTTTGTGCTCGATTGTGAAAAATGAGAAAGCCATATTAGGAGCATACAAGTTATTGACAGTATGCGCTTGCCAGTGTTATACAATGGCAGCCAAGCGGAGAGCGTCACGTCAGTTGCTATTTGATCTCGCCAAGCTTGAAGTATATAACAAGAATTATGAGGCAGCACTTTCTTGGCTCGATGCGATTGATGGACTCCTCGATACTCCGTCTAGGACGTCTACCGAACAGGCCATGCTGGGATTGTACATCGACTGCTTGCGTAGAGTGGGTAGAGATCGGGATCTGCTACAAAGCCTCTTCACCAGTTTATGCTCAGTGCATAGCAGTGAACGACCCACCATGAGAATTGAGGAAACGTGGAAAGAGTTATTGACAGTCGTTGAAGGACTGGGCCAGGTCGAATTTCCTTTCGAAGCACTATTTCAGATTGAGAAAATCGATCGTCATATCAGATACCTTGATCAAGACAGCGGCAGCTTTTGCGTATGTGTTGGTATACGCTGCCGCCTACCTCTGGCAGAACTTGGACGTGGTCAAGCCGAAGTCGAGTGTCGAAGCTCTACTCAACACGTTCCTGCAACAATAACATTCGCAACGACGGAAATCTTCCGCTTGGAGGCAGGACATATCAAGCTCAATCTGAACACGCATACTGCCACCAAGGGTCGGTACGATGCAGCACTCCTGCGGCTCACATTTCATGGTCTTGAGTTTGTCAAGCATTTGCGAGCACCATCTGCACAAGATAACGAAGATAAAGCTTTCGAAACCTCGCCTCCACCAGTTTCCATTTACGTTTATCCAGGTCCACATGTGCCGGTTATTGCAGCATCGCATGCAGAACTGGTAGACTTGACGCAGAAACGGAATGTCTCTATTCGAGTTGATCCTCTACACGACCAAACTCGTCTTACCCGACTGCAGCTCAAACCGGCAACAGCAGGGTTGCGACTTGACATGGTATCGTCCTTCAAGATCGATGGGAGTGATTTCAAAGTTGAGCGCACGAATGATGCATACGTGTTAGTATTCGACGAAAACTTGAATTCAACGACTGTGCTGCAAATACCTTACTCCTTTGACGACGGTACTGCAACCTCAGCAAGCATGAAGGCCGAACTGACATACAGCATCGACGATCAAGAATATCAGCTCTTCGACGATCTTACCTTCATGACCTTACTGCCAATCAGCGTCAATGTTCAAGATATGTTTCAGAGCGATGCAATTTTCTCTCGTTTCACTTTTGCACCCTCGAGACTTGTGCCCATCTCCATTCTGCAATGCGACTTGTCAGGTTCAGCTGGCACAAAGGTGGTCCCTCCTCCGCAATGGACTGCGCCTATTGATGCCTTTCCTAAGCAGCCAGTCAGTTGGGTCGTCCAACTGATGCGGGATATGTCTGCGGAAAAGGCTCAATCGCTCCTGACTGTTACCTATCGTTGCATCGACGAGATCATACTCGAGACGATCTTGCAGCAGTTTTCACAGTCCTTGATTGGTAGTTTATACGGATATGCGTCTTGGTCTGCTCGTTCACATCTCAGAAGCCGACTACAAACTTTGTGGACTCAGCATGAGCTCGAACTGGCTACCTTGAGCTCCGAAGTTGATATGTGGACTTATGAAGAACTCGATTGGACAACGTGGCTCTATACTTTTGCAAAAGAAGAACGAAGTGGTCTGGAGAAGTGGTTGCGACGATGGCATGACACAAACTCAAACATATCGCTTCGTGCTGATCTAGCACCAATTCACAAATTACGACTAACGGTAGATCCTCCATTCACACAAATCGTGGTTACCACGGAGCTGAGACCTGCGACAATGAAGTCGTGTATTGTTGGACAGCCATTTCCGGCACAACTGATCGTCTCATTTCAACTTCACGTGAAAATTGATGCAGAGATCACAGCAGAAGTTGTTGGCTTCAGCGAATCATGGCTGGTTGGAGGACAACGCAAGATAACTGTTTCAACAGGTAGCGAGCAGAGATACGAAGGCAGGATTATTCTGGTTGCACAGAGAACTGGATCGCTCACCCTACCGGCGGTCGATGTGAAATGTCGTGAGCTCAAGGAAAATGGCCAGAATGTGGCATTCGAGGTCGACAATCTAAGCTCAGCGGCTGTCGCGGAAGTGAATTCAGACGTTCGATCTACGACGATCGCATTTGGTGATAACGAATCAGCAGAGGGACACTGGCTGACGAGCAGTCGTCAGTATGGCTGAAGTGGCAGAGCCCCGAGTTTTGGCTCTTAACAAACCTACTCTGTCTTCTTCGACGCACGAGTTCTGCAGCAGGAGGTCAATTCAGTACTGTAGTCATGTGTCGCCAATAATTGCCGGATACTGTAAACTCATTGTCGCGAAGCCGGTCAAGTGCGCCGAGACCGGACAATCCATAGGAAAGTTGTCCGAAAGACTTGGCGAGATCCCAACAAAAAGGGCTTCAAAGCTGGGCAGTCTACCAGCAGCGCGTGTTCCACAAAGTTCGAGCCACAGATGGTGTCCTTCTCGAAGTCGACAAGATCTACAAAACAAGACCCCTGTGGCTCGAGTATGATCGATGGACTTCTGATTGTCGCTCTCATCTCCAACTTTGCGACCGTTCACCAAGGCACATGCATGCAAGAATCACATGCTTTGTATGGGCACATCAACATTCTCGCCCTCGTCCTTTCACATGCCATCTCAAAGACGAAGTACAGTGCAATACTCGCTCTTTGAAGTCCTACATGAGCCTCGGTGATATCAGCTCAACCATGACCATTTCGTTACCTGTACTTGGCAAAATGACGGGGTCGTGGAGCAGGAGTTTTAGTCATACTCCATCGGGTCAGCGGTCAACAACCGAGTTTGATTCGTTAAGTCATGAGTAGTAGATAAATCTACAATTCTACAACCACGAGAACCTATATCCCGACATCGTGTGCGAACTATCGTGTTGACCTTGCATGTATGTAGCAGTATTATGATTTGAAGCTGAAATAGAGGTTCACCTACTCGTATTTCAAGTAAAGTTTGTTGCGTTTATATCAGCAGTTCCAGCTACATCACTCCACACTTTTGTCGATCGGAAACTCGAACTCTCACAGCGGTGAGGACAAAACTCTGGCAATGCGATCAGGACACGTTCCAGGCACGCTGTTGGTCCAATGAAATATGGTCATATCATTCATCTGCTCCATTAAGGGTTTAGGCTAAGGTAAGGGCAACTTGGGCGAAAAAGCCTAGACAGGGAAGCTTCCGTCGCTCAAAATTTCTGGTGGATAGTTGTGCATGCAACTTGGGTGAGCCCACCAAAGCGCAGCATAGACAACAAAACTGGTCGATAGCAGCCGCAGCCGTCTTCTCTTCTCTTTCAGTACCCTCGTCTTTCGTGCCTCGAGAGTATTCCCTCGTTTGCATCAGTGTAATACTCTTTTGACCTCCCTCAGCTGTGTGCTGTCGGTCCTCAACATTTCCTGATCACCCCTCCATACCACAATCATGGCCAGCACAGCAGTCGAACGTTCCTCACAGCCTATCCTTCGTCGATTCGACACAGCAGACTCTAGCGCTGCTGATTCGAGAGAGATTTCACCTGCAGATAGTCCACGATCTGTCGGCTCCTCCACCTCTTTATCCTCTCTTGCTAGCGATAGTGAGATTCTTGCTTCGCAGAAAGAGCAGGCACAGAAGCAAAAGCTGATCGATGGATATGGCAACGACTTCGAGATTCCAGATTACACCATCAGCGATATCCACAAAGCCATTCCCAAGCACTGCTTCGAACGATCGGCTGCGACTGGATTGTACTATGTGGCTCGAGACATCACTTCTCTTGCTGTCACTTTCTACCTGACCAACCGATATCTGACGCCTGAGAATGTTCCTAACACTCTAGTTCGAGGAGCTCTTTGGGGATTGTACACCTTCGTTCAAGGTCTCTTCGGCACTGGTCTCTGGGTGCTGTCCCACGAGTGTGGCCATCAGTCTTTCTCACCCAGCAAGGTCCTCAACGATACAGTAGGATGGATTTGCCATTCAGCTCTATTGGTTCCATATTTCTCGTGGAAGATCTCTCACGGCAAGCATCACAAAGCCACCGGTAACATGGAAAGAGACATGGTTTTCGTACCCAAGACCAGAGATGAATATGCAAGCAAGATTAGCAAGTTCGCGCATGAGCTACACGAGCTGACTGAGGAGACTCCTATTGCCACTGCTCTCGATTTGATCGGTCAGCAAATTGTCGGATGGCCCATGTACATCATCACCAACGTGACTGGCCACAACAACCACGAGCTTCAGCGTGAAGGTCGAGGCAAGGGTAAGAAGAACGGCTTCCTCAATGGTGTAAACCACTTCAACCCAGAAAGTCCTCTGTATGAGGCCAAGGACGCCAAATTGATTCTTTTGAGTGACCTGGGTTTGGGAATCACGCTCACCGTCTTGTTCACTCTTGGTGCAAAGTTCGGCTGGGCCAATATGTTCGTCTGGTATTGGCTGCCATATCTCTGGGTCAACCACTGGCTCGGTATGTGTTTCTCCTTCTCTTTTTTTGTGACTTCACTAACTCTTCCAGTCGCTATCACCTACCTTCAGCATACCGACCCATCTCTGCCCCACTACACTGGAGAAAGCTGGACATACACTCGAGGAGCAGCCGCGACGATCGATCGCGAGTTTGGTTTCATCGGCCGACAACTTCTACACGGTATCATCGAGACCCACGTTCTTCACCACTATGTCAGTCAGATTCCTTTCTACCATGCCGACGAAGCTTCAGAAGCCATCCAGAAAGTCATGGGCAGACACTACCGATCTGATGTCAAGGACGGTTCGCTTGGCTTCGTCAAGAGCATGTATCGAAGTTTCCGATGGTGCAACTGGGTTGAGCCTAATGAGGGTGCGACTGGAGAGAACGCTGGTGTGCTTTTCTACAGGAACAGAAATGGTCTTGGTCCAAAGCCAATGGTCATTTCATCCTCTTGAGTGGGCTTCGAGTTTTTGTAGAGCGAGTGTGTATACAATGTATTAGTGCGTGGCGTACAGAAGAAGTCTCGGTAGATTATGATGGCTAGGACATTACCTTAGATAGGCAGCATATACCCCAAAGCAGGTTACAACAGAAGAGAATTGCCTCGCAGTCGAGGGTTGGTTCGGTTATCAAGAATCATATATGCTGCAATTCCACACTTACCTCAACCTTCGTGGTATCTCTCCATTCGTGCTCGTGTGACGTTCTGGGAACACAGGCTTGGTTGTACTACTCGTACGCTTCCGGCTTTGCGTGCTGTTTTGATCCTGGCTCTGCATAATTTTCAGTTCTACGATTCGTGAAGCAATGGGCCTGGTCTTCATCCCGGCTGTCTCGGATCATCACGTCACTGCCTGGTAGTCGTCAGGATCAGCTACAACAACGAGCGAACTATACTGAAGACAGTGCTTCAAATGAGTAACAGATACATTGCCCTCGGTTGACCACATTCTGAACAATGTAGGGTTCTCGCAACGAGCAACCTGTTGTGCCAGAAAACAGTTACGGTCCTCGAGTGGTGAAAAGGACGGACCATCCAGCGACTTATTCGCCGACACGTGACCATGTATCAAATGCGAGTTTGGAAGCAGAACTTCTGTCCTTGCCTACACTAATGGACGTAGGGATGCAACTCCTTATCTGTCATCATGCATTCGAAAACAGACGCTGAAGAGCAGATAGTACGAAGGACCACCTGAGTATGCCTGTCACGACCAGCAGCTAAGGTTGTCAGTATGAACAGGCATATGTGTTTGGTCAGGCAGTTGCCGTATTGAGAGATGTCTACTATCACAACTACTACCTGCAAGCAAACCAGCTGAGAAGTCAGTACAAGACGTCGAAATGCCTTGCGAGCAGTGCGTGTGAGCGGCGACGAGGTATGGCCATGCTGTGCTAACCTAAATAGATGGCAGCAGCAAACAGCACTGCATTGTCAGACCTCTCAACACCATGTTCACTGATCACGCCAACGCTACTTGTTTCACCAAAAGGGTTATGACAGCTCGGAAGAACGCGACTCAGGCTGCTGCTTCGTGTTTCGTGATTACTAGAATGGGAGGTCAAGGTAAGAGTGAGCTTGCTCTCAATGTTGCAACGAACCTACATTTCGAGTCAGTCCCTTTTCTATATACTCCTCTCAGTTGCTAGCTGATATTACTAGCTTCTTCGGTGTCTTTTGACTCGAAATCTTACCTAGCAGTGGCACTGGTCGCACACAAGTCCTGAGCACCAGAATGTTAATAAAACATGCGTCAAAATAGCTGGGCAGATTGGTTCAAAACTTAGACCAACACCGCGAAATTTCGATGCTATTGCGATGTAATAGAGGCGCTACAGACAGCCAGATACGCTTACGGCAGAAGAGCTTCGGATTCTGCAGAGCGGCAAGGGAACTTAATGATTTTCGAAGCCTTCAGCACCAAACTACCAAAGGATGCCCTTGTCTCTTGGGTCTGGCACTAAGAGCCTTTATATCATTTGCCTTGGCCATCTGTCTCGGCCTGCTCACGGACCTTCAACCTGTCAACCATTCGCTCACCTACCAAAGTAAAGCCCTCAACATACTCTTCACCGAAATCTCCGACGAAATTGTCAAATGTGGTCTCAGGCTTTTCTCGGCACAAAGCACACAAGGCGTCTTTCACATATCCTGCCAATTTAAGACTGGGAAAATGCGTGTATATCTCTTCAAACTTTTCCCGCGGAACACCAGAACCTTGAGGCACACCCGGCAATGGCATCTCGGGTACGCCAACAATGTCTAGGAGAATGCCATATCCACAAAGCACAACCTCTGGCTCCTTGTGCCAACTGATGCTAGGTGTTGTATGTAAAGCAATGCCATCCCAGACCAACTGAAGGCGACGCTGATCCCAGCCATGCTCATTTTGCAGGCCTTTCAAGAAACCTCGCGCGACGTTCGCACTGTCTACCTCGAAGCGCTTATCCTTGCTGATGAATTGCCGAGTTGAGGCGAGAAGAGGATTCCAAGCCATGTCGTGCAGCAAGGTTGCGACAGCGACTATCTCTATATCGATGGGCTGAAGGTGAGTCTCGACCGTTGTTCCAGAAAGATTCTGTGCTATGATGCTCGCGAATAGTGCGCTTCGAATGACATGGTTCAAAGAAGGAGCGTCAAGATGTTTGTGAATGAAGTCCAAAGCTGCCTCTACTGAGGAAGTACCTGGCAATATGGTATTGGTCAAGTTCAGGTATGTATCGGACATGTTGGAGAGCTTCAGAAATTTGGAAATGATGGTACAACGTTGTGCTTGATATTGTCAAGTGCTGGAAAGCAAAGATGTGTTGTTTACTGCTCAGGATCACAATGAGTTATATACCATACATCACGGCACACTCGACCTACTCGTCCAACAAGCCAGGGCTATGCAGTATGCCAAATCCAGTAAAGTGGTTGAACACCTCGAACGCAGGGCTTGGCTCCTCCGTGTTTTCCTTCGGAAATCCGAGCAACGCTACGCTCGAAAAGGCAATATGCTCTGGAAAGAAGCAACAGCGGTTTTCGCAGGTCCATGTAAGACGATCTGGTCAACCACATCACAACTTACTGGCTTGTTTCGATCTTTGCTGACGTTCAGCGCGATTTTCGGGTCTCATATGAGCCTGGTTCTTGTCAGCAGTAGCCTTTTGTTTGAGAAGGTGATTCAAACTTGCCATTTTTGGATTCTTCAGTACATTGCCCATCGTGTATTTGCTCCCTTCCTCAGGTGACTCGGGATTATCAGCCTGACCATCGTCGAAATTGCAAATCTCAGCAAAAGCGTCATTTACAGCCTCCACGCTCGGCACGCCTTTCGCATGCTCGAAGTCGACACCTCGAGCTCTTTGCCACCTCGTGCTTGCGAACCAGCCACCTCCTGCCTCGAAAATCTGACCAGTGACTGGAGCCTGGTCACTACAGAGCAGACCAACGAGAGGTGCGACATAGTCTGGTTTCAAAGCTTGAACCTCAGCTTCAGGCCAAACTGTGCGAGTCATGTTAGTTCCTGCAGTAGGTGCAACGACATTAATCTTAATGTTGTACTTGGCACCCTCCCGAGCTGTTGTTTTGGTGAAACCGATAATGCCACATTTCTGTTCAAGGTCAGTCACGTCTTGAGTCGTCAGAACTGACTTACTGCTGCAGCATAGTTTGCCTGTCCGAAGTTACCATAAATACCACTCGTCGATGTGATATTGACGACACGCCCAAATCTCTGCTTCATCATAAAAGGCCATGCCGCTCTTGTGATCCGATACGTTGATCTGAGATGGACACTCATGACTGTATACCACTGCTGATCCGTCATGTTTTGGAAGGCTTTGTCACCTAGGATACCAGCATTGTTGATCAGGATATCAACTTGACCGAAATGAGCAACTGTGGCTTTGACGACTTCTTCACCTGCCTCGACCGATAGATTGAGTGCGAGGGCGTCACCACCTGCCAAAATGATCTCGTTGGCTACCTTGTCTGCCAGCTTAACATCACAAACAACCACGTTTGCGCCCATTTTGCCCAGTTCGAGAGCATAGGCACGTCCCAGGCCAGCCCCACCTCCTGTGACCAGTGCGACTTTGCCTTGAAGACTTATAGAGCTATCCTCAGATGCTGGCGGCAACTCTAATGCTTTCTTAAGACGTTCAATAAGATGAGACGGCTGATTTGGATGTTCGGCATCTGTGAAATCAACGACTTGTTTCCAATTCTTCAGTAACACATCTGCGGTCAAGCTATCGTCAGGTCGTGCCTGGAAACCTTTTGATCTCTCCCATCTGATCTTGGAAAAGTGTCCAGCAGCTGCTTCGAAAATACTGCCACTCTCCCTGCATGACTCGTGTGAGAGTACACCAACCAGAGGCACAACAAAGTCTGGTCTCATCACGTCCATCATTTCTGGCGTCCACACTGTTTGTGTAAGGCGTGAGGCTGCTCCTGGGGCGAGGACGTTGCAAGTGATGTTGTACTTGGCGCCCTCCTTAGCAAGGGTTTTGGTGAAACCTACCATGGCCATTTTGCCAGCAGCATAATTAGATTGTCCGAACTTGTTGCTTGTCAACTTGAGCCATGTAAGGAGAGAGTTTGCACTGGGTCACACTCACATTTCCGAACAGTCCTGACGAACTACTTGTATTGATGATTCTTCCATATTTCTGCTTCTTGAAGAAGGGCCACGCAGCCCGAGCTGTCTTGAAGCTTCCATGCACGTGAACATCCATGATGATGTCCCAGTCTGCATCTTTCATGTTACGTATCGTCACATCGCGAAGGATACCGGCATTGTTGATCAGCACATGAACTGTTCCGAAATTGTCGACTGCAGTTTTGATGATCCTGTCGCCTTGCTGGACCGGGTCATAGTTTGCGACCGCGATGCCTCCTGCGTCTCTGATCTCTTTGACCACCGCATCAGCGACACGAGACTGTCCTTTGCCCTCCTTGTCCTTGCCAAAAGCATTTCCGCCGAGATCGTTGACCACTACCTTGGCACCACGAGCTGCAAAAAAGAGTGCATATTGTCTTCCAAGACCATTACCAGCTCCAGTCACCACCACGACTTGACCATCGTACCGTGTCTGATCCACCATGATGTCGACTTTGGACTCTGGTCGTAAAACACAATGGCATTCGAGTCATGGTGAGCACACTTGGCTGATATTGGCTGCTTGGACCGAGGCAAAGCGCCATAGAACAATTCAAGCATATCCGCCCCGCAAGCTGAACCTTGCTCGAAATTGGTCGTTACTAGCTTCCATCACTTGAATAGTAGCAGCCAAAGTTCGCTGGGTTCCGTCTAAAGCACGCACTTCGACTTGCTGACGTGTCATCAGACATCTATCAGTGGGACTGAAATTTGAATGATGGGCTGCCGCTTACTAGATGAGCAGGAAGGAGCTACACAACAAGCATGATATGCTTTCGTTTGTGCTTACTTGCCGTATATGTAGCACGACGCAGGTTTAGCACGGCAACTTGACCACTTTCTTTCAGAAAACTCGCCAGTTACGGACCCACTGAATTTCAGAATACCTCGGTTTCATGGTTCCAGCCATTCGCGTTTCCAGACACGACATCGCGTGGCTCAAACTTCTCCGTTCGTTCCACACTCCATGTTTTCCCCCACAATATGCATCTCAGCTGATTGGTGACTCTCCTGCTGGCGAGGGAGCTACACAAGTAGTGCTGGCCTTCGATCTTACAATTGATTCGGGCCGTACATAAACTTTTGCCTCGGACAAAATGCAGGCTGCATAGCTGTTGTGACAATGATTTACACTGTCACCTCTCGTTGTTGCCATCAGCTCGTAAGGCAAGCAACAGCTCTTGATAAGCAAAGGAGTGTGCTTTCCAAGTTTAATGACCAAAATCTCATTTCTAGCAGGAAAATTGTTGACTGTGATCAATCACTACTCGAAGACCATCGTGAACTTGACAGCAGCATAGCCCGATTTCTGAACGACATCTAATCTGAGCATATCGATCAGGCGTCGAGCGCAACCATGCCTCATAAATCACGATGGACAATCCCAATACCGGACTGCTCACTGCCAACTTTCCTCTTCACATCAGCGGCTCATACAGAGCCTGCTACCCTTGCCAACAAACCAGCCTACCTCGACGCCGGAAAGCCAGATACCGACTTCCTGACTCGCCGGACATTCAAAGTATGGTCGCAACGATTTGCTTGTGGCCTGACTCGCATGCCAGGATTCAAGCCTGGTGAGAGAGTGTTGGTCTTTAGTGGTAACAATCTAGCATTTGCTGTCGCATTCATGGGTATCTTGATGGCAGGTGGAATATTTACTGCTGCTAATCCCACATTCGTACCACGAGAATTGGCAAACCAGCTCAAAGACAGCGAAGCATGTTATCTTCTATGTTCAGAAGCAAGTCTTGACACTGCATTAGAAGCCGCAAAGATGGCCAACTTACCGACGGACAGGATAAGGTACTTCGACACCGACATTCTTTTCCGGAACGGAGTCGAGAAGTCGAGCAAGAATGGCATACAATACTGGGGACCGATCTTCGCATCCGAGTCAGAAGGAGAGAAGTATCAGTGGCCGGAACTCAAAGGAAAGGACGAAGCAAAAGAAACAGTACTGGCTCTCAACTACTCCTCTGGAACGACGGGTGTACCTAAAGGTGTTATGGTCACACATCGAAATTATGTCAGCAATTGTCTTCAGCATCAACATCTAAGTACACTCTATCCGGACGCAGCGGCTCGTCGCGAGCGATCGAAATGGCTATGCTTTCTACCCCTCTATCATGCAATGGGGCAAACAATCTATCTGTCAGGCGGTATTATGCGACAAACACCAGTGTATATCATGGCCAAGTTCGACTTTGTAGAGCTCCTGGAGAATATTCAGAAATTCAAAATCACAGATCTAGCCATGGTACCTCCCATTGCAGTCATGATCGCGAAACATCCTATTGTAAAGAAATATGATCTGAGCAGTATTGAGAGCATTGGAAGTGGAGCGGCCCCATTAGGCTCTGAAGCCAGTCGTGAGGTTGAGAAGATCTTTAATGGAAGGATGAATTTGAAGCAAGGCTGGGGTATGACTGAGTAAGGCTGACAGCAAAAATTGAATGTAGGATACTACTGACATCGTATAGGGTAACATGTTCCTTGCTTGGCTGGGATCCTACCCAGTACAGCGAAAGTTTTGCAGTTGGTGAACCAAATGCGAATTGCGAAGCTAAGATCATGGCTGTGCACGAAGATAGTAAAGGCCAACAGTCGTTTAGCGAAATCACTGAAAGAGGACCAGAATATCGTGGCGAGCTGTGGTGCCGCGGACCGAATGTCATGAAAGGTTACTGGCGAAACGAGCAAGCAACTCGAAACACATTCTCACCTGACAATGAGAGGTGGCTGCGGACTGGTGATGTGGCCTATGTGGACAAGCATGGACACTTCTTCATTGTCGATCGAATCAAAGAATTAATCAAGGTCAAGGGCAATCAGGTCGCACCTGCGGAGCTGGAGGCTCTGATACTGGACCACAAGCACATTGCTGACGTCGCTGTGATTGGTATCCAGACCCCTAATGGCGACGAGAAGCCGAGAGCATTTTGTGTCAAACAACCAGGCAGTGAGGATAAGGTGACTGAGCAAGACGTGATTGACTTTGTCAGTGACAAGGTTGTGCGGTACAAGAGGCTAACAGCAGGTTGCGAGTTTGTGGACGCGATACCGAAGAACCCAAGTGGCAAAATCCTGAGAAGGCAATTGCGAGACATGTATACAAAGAGGCAGAAAGCCAAGCTCTAGAATTGTGGTAACTTCATTGCTGTGGCTTCTCTACAGCTTGATCGTGTACTGGACACTATCACGCTTTCCTTTCAGTGCCAAAGAAAGATCTTGTTTGTTTGTCAGTGCTGACAGACTAATGTTCTTTGATCATTCAGGCCTAACATTACAAGAGACTGCCAAAAATCCAGATCTCAATATGGTGCACCTTCGATGGAAGATGCGCCTTCGAGCGGAGGCTCCCAGCTATTTCTGTTCTTCATATAGATCTCAGTGACGACTGGTGAGATCTTGTCGAAGAGACCCATTCTAACGATGAACTTACCGGGCATGTTTGGTGTCGTCACGTATAATGGGCTATGGAAAGTCGGATCAGCAACAAATTTAAGGAACAGGTAGGCTGTGCCAGATGTCCGCATTCAGGATGGCAGACCAGCATCTGCAGAACAGATCGCGCAAAACTTGGCGTACGCGACCCACTGCTGCATTTCTCTCGCTATCAGGCTCTTCTTGGTAGATGCTGCTCCATACTGAGTCCCTTTCACACATATATCTTGTCGACACAAACCCACGATGAAAATGAAATCGACTTACCACGAACACGTCCCGCAAGACCATCTTTCAGCAGGCTTTCCACTGTCTGTCAGAGTATCCTTCCACATCTTCTTCACCTCGTCAGGGTCTTTGACCTCAACCAGGTCCTCGTCCACAAGGGTAACGTATTGACCACCTGAACCAGAAGCTCGCCTGCATGTTGTACATCGACAGTGGAAAGTCGCATGTGGCTCACCAGATGACTGTTCCCCGAGGGTAATTTGCACGGCGTTGCAGTTGCAGTGACCTTTCATCGACATGACTTGGCAGGTGAGAGTGGTCGGGACGAAGGATGGACAGGTCGAATAGGAAGGATGAGATAGAAAGAGCTGCTAAGGTTGTCGCTGCCAGAACTTATGAAGACTCGGAGCCGATCTATATGATCAAGTATTCATATTCTGCTGATGACGATGACAAAGTATGCAGATCATCGAGCTTTGAACCGTCTCGGAGGTACATCTTTTGCGGCCATATGCTTGGTCAGCAAATGCACACTAGTATTCCGCGAAGACGACTCTTGATTCGAGTCCGCTCATGAAGGCATGTGGAACGAGTCAGGAATCGATTGAAGGTATTCCTCGGGCCCGAACGTTCGAGGTCGTCGCCGATGCCAAGGTGGAAAGTTCAAAAGATGCAGCTTCGAACTTCTGCAACCTGACACCTCGTAAGCGAGGGACTAGTAACAGATTGAGCTCCCAGCGGGACGTAAAGCGAGAGAGGTAGAGATCTCTGCCTCAGGCACGACACCCTACGTCATCTCCTCTGAATTGACCTCTGCCGTCTTGTGCTTCAATAAGCTTACCAATCGTGAAGGTTCCAGCAATCCAAATGCCTGCGACATGACAAAGTCAAACAATTGCCCATCTACACCCGTATACAAGTCGTTGCCATCATGACCACTGCCCATGGTAGACTGACACCACCAGATTCCGAGGAAGAGGACTTGATTGAAGACCTTCATCAGCTAACGAACAGCACACCGGACAAGACTCGCCACCACGAGACAAACTACCTCGAAGCGAAGTTGACTGCATACGAGAGCGTTTCTCGGTCGACGCCTGACAAGATGGAGGATCAGGAGCAGCACGACATGATGAAAGTCACACTCCACTGGCAGAGTGAGAAGCTGGAACTCGGACTGGAGACAGATGCGACTATCTATGACCTGGCACTAGTCTTCGCTGACAAGATCAGTGCGGATGTCGAGAAGGTCTCTCTTCTTGTCACGCCAAAGCCAGGATTGCTGAAACATCCTTTCTCCGATGTTAAAATCCATGATCTCCTTACCGACAGGACTCGGATAAAAGCCATTGGTACACCGATCAAGGATGTGCAGAAATTGAACGACACCGCAGCACAGATGGCGGCCAGAAAGCGAGCACGAGAAGCTGCAAGAAGAGAAGGCAGACACACCAAGTCCACACCAAATCGCGATTGGAAGAAGGTGCAAGAAGAGGCGACCTACACATTTCATGCCATTGAACCACTAAAGTACCTTCCGAATCCTGAGAAGAGCAGGCGGTACCTGGAAAGACTTGCCAACGATCCAGGAATCAAGGCCAGCATGCGGAAGCACAAATTCTCAGTTGGTCTCCTCACTGAAATGAATCCTGCCGAGCACACGACGCACGAGAGCAAGACTTTGGGTCTTAATCGAAATGCTGGTGAGGTTATTGAGCTGCGATTGCGCACAGATTCATACGATGGCTATCGAGATTACAAGGTCATTCGAAAAACTCTTTGCCACGAACTTTCACACAACGTCCATGGTGAACACGATCGCAAGTTCTGGGACCTGACAAAACAGATCGAGAAAGAGGTAGAATCGAATGACTATTTGCATGGTGGACACAAACTGTCGCAAGATGAATTTTATGATCCAGATGATGTATATGAGGATGATCACGCAGATGGAGGTGCCTGGAAAGGTGGTGAGTTTGTATTGGGTGGTGTGGCTGACGATAGAGGTCTGAGCAGGAGAGATATCATGGCAAGAGCTGCGATGTCGAGGATACAGAAGCAAAAAGATGCTGACGAGCATCAAAAACAAGCTGAACCTGGCGCTCCGGGATCGTCGTTCAGTGAGTAAGTGCAGATGCGGTTTTGAATACTCAGCAATCTTCTGCTTTTTTAGCATGGCGCTGGTGGTTTGTTCAGATCTGATTTCCAACATGAGTTGTAGCTGAAATAACTATAGACTGAATTCATGTCTCTCATGTCATTGCTACAGTGGTATGGGTTTGATCGTTCTCACGTGAAGTGTTTGTCCTACACCTTTGTTATGGAGTTAGTTTACTCTGCCTGTTCATCGTACAAAACGAAACTGTAACTTCTTGACAAGTTCTTGGCACCATTTCGTACTTGAACCTTGAGCCACGCGAAAAGCCGAAATTCCTTTTCGGACCTCCAGATTTCTGGTGCAACTGACCCCACGTCTTACTGGCCATGGGTCCAATGATCTCCACACGTCGGTTAACCTTCCTATACATTTTGCTGTATCAGGTAATCACACTCTATTTTCGTCTTTATGCCTCACTCTCGAATGCTGATAATAATTGACTACAAGACTTCTCTTAGTCATTAACTATTGTACAGCTCTTCGTCCAGTGTTCTCAAGCAAGATGCTCAAAATATGGTTCAAGAGACATGATTGAATCCCTATCTTCACAACTTCTGAATCACGAAGACTGGATCAATTTCAGAGCACCTTCCTCTTTCAGCAGAGTCCTTACCAATGACGCCTGTCCCTGAACTTGCCGAGTGATGGCATCACGAAACATGGTTCAGGCAACCTCGTGGCGTCTCTTATTCATGCTTTTAGTGCTTGTCGGAGCTTGATTGTATCATCTTTCCAAATTTCAGCAAATGACAATGCTCTTTGGTGCAGATCATCATACCTCACTCTGCGGCGTATCGGGACATCATCTATCCGTGGCCTTGCGGTTGGTACCTGCAAAATGCTGACTTGATCACAAGTTTTGTGCTGCCGTCCTCATGGGATATCACGATCATCGCTGAACATTGGCAATCTGCAAGAATGAAGCAAAGCAGAAGACTAAAGATGTATTTTGTTCTAACAGGTTGCAGCAGGGATTCAACGACTCAACCACTGCAGTATGACACTATAGCAGGTGTATCCTGGTTGCTCGGTACGAGCGGATCAATCTAGCGCTACATGCCTGCTCCGTGTCCGAGATGTCCCATGGGGAAGCAAGCTGAAAATCGTTACGGATCTATCTACGTTTAAGTTCACTGTTCCTGTTTTTATTTCATTCACAAGCAACAACCACCACTTCCGTCTACCTGCTTCACAAAATGTCTTCATCCAATGAAGTGGAAATGGCAAGACTTCATACCCATGAGCTAGAGATAGGTGTGACGGATGCTCTACAGCGGTACGACTTCAGCTAACGCTTTCTGCATCGACCTAACGTGTTGCCAGGCATGTCAACCGTCATGTGCATCAACCCAAGCCTGTCTCACAACGCAAAATCGACTTCGAGCATCGTCGACCTCGCATACTCCGGGAGATGATGGGTGAAGCTACCGGAGTATTCTTTTATGTCTTTCCCGGAATTGCAGCTGTAGCAAGTATGACCTTGGCATTTACAAACGGCACAGGCGAAACACTTGGGGTATCTACCTTTGGTGGCATCATGCAAATTGGCTTTGCATTTGGATTTGGTATCGCTTTTGCCATCATCACTTGTGCCAGCACATCCGGAGGGTGAGGAAAGCTGAAAAATTTCCAAACACTATGCTGACGTCTACTTTTAGTCACTTTAATCCAGCCATTACCATTTCTCTCGCTATCTGGCAGGGCTTCCCATGGCGAAAAGTTCCGCATTATATCTTCTCGCAGGTGAGCATGCGCTCAGACGTGACGTTGACGTGTATTGACGAAATGTCAGATCTTCGGTGCCTTCATGGCTGGGCTCTTCCTTATGGCATGCTACTGGCCCGAAATTCAAGCTGCAAAGGCGATAGATATCGCTGAGCACGGAACGCCCGTATACAATGGCGGTGTAGCATCTATTCTTTGTTCGTTTCCTAATGCCAACCAAACGAATCAAGGCTACCTCTTCTTCCAGGAATTCTTTGTCGATAGCTTCATTGGGATAATTATCTGGGCGTGCTTGGATCCAGCAAATCCTTTCGTGACTCCAGCAAGTGTCCCTTTCGTTATTGGCTTCGCATACACTTCGATGATATTGGGCTTCGCTGCAAATACCCTTTCTACAAACCTAGCAAGGGATCTGGGTACACGAATCGTGGCGGCAATCTTCTTTGGCGGTGAAGCATTCAGCTTTGGTAATGGATATAGTTGGATAAGTATTCTGGTTAATGTTCCAGCCACAATATTTGCCACGGGATATTATGAAATGCTGATGAGGGACTCGCTACAAAAGATCGCGGCAGGACATGCGAAGCATGAGGATGGGGATGATGGACTGGTAAGGCATCTGACAAAGGTACAGACGAGCGAGATGGGTTCCATGAATGCGACGATCACGAAGAAGAGTGACGAGGTTGTTTGATATAGATGGCAGGAGCAGGATTATGATCGTCTTCACGCTACTCAGCACCTGGTGGTCACCAATGGCGTCAACCTGGATATACGCAATTCACATCAAGGTGGGCTGTCACTTTTGCTCACCACCATGTGCCCGGCATGCCCAGCTTACTCAGATTCGAACGCAAAGTTCTCACATATGATAGCCTCAATCCCTGGTCGACGCATCAGGTGCTACAGCATCGACAATAAGCTTTCATTGTGGATCATCGGACCAGGGCCGCGAGAAGACGTGGGCCACAGCAGCAAGTAGTCTTATACACAACATGCTCGGGTATTGGTCACGCTTGAGACTGAGTCATTACAGATACGACCTAGTCCGGAAAAATTGGACATCTCAGCTCGGTGCTGGACACACCAATAAGTATGGTAAAGCTTTGAGTCAAATTCTCAGACTTCTTCATGATGCATTATTCGTCCATCAAATCGTATAGAAAGCATCACAGTAACAGCCTTAAGCCCTAGCTCTACATCTGCTCCCAAACGCCAACTCGAGGTCAATGTGAAATCAAGTAATTTCCTGACAGGATCAACAGCAGTTAGACTTCTTGCTGTCTGTGTTGCTGGTCGGCGTAATATCAATCTTGGCTCCTGCATTAACACCTGGCTGTGAACCTTCGTTGCTATCGAGGGCTTTGCTTGACACGATTCGGTAGATCTCTGTGATTTGTCAGTACATGTGCATGGCAATCTGGTGTATGCCTACCTGTCAAGATGTTCTGAAATGCTAGCTCAACGTTGCTTGCGTCAAGTGCGGAGGTCTCGATAAACGAGAGATTGTTCTCGCCTGCACAGCAAGTCAGCATGACGACTGATCACTTCCATGGTTGTACTTACTGGCAAATTGCTTGGCCTCTTCGGTAGGCACAGCTCTCAGATGCCTTAAATCACTCTTGTTTCCCACCAGCATAATCACAATGTTGCTATCGGCATGATCTCGTAGCTCTTTCAACCATCTCGTGACATTGTCATATGTCTGGTGCTTGCTGATATCGTAGACAAGTAGCGCTCCAACAGCCCCTCGGTAGTAGGCAGAAGTGATGGCTCGGTATCGTTCTTGACCAGCCGTATCCCAGATCTGCGCTTTGATGGTCTTTGTGTCAACCTGGATGGATCTTGTCGCAAACTCAACACCAATGGTTGACTTGGAGTCCAGGTTGAACTCGTTTCGTGTGAACCTGCTCAATAGGTTGGACTTTCCGACTCCCGAATCTCCAATGAGGACGACTGAATTGAGTGATCAGTGGAGGGATCTTCGCAGCAGGTTATAGTCAATACCTTTAAAAAGAAACTGGACTCAGGTCAGCAGAAAGTCAGGATACTGAATGTTGCAGCCTTACATCATATTCATCGTTCGCCATATTGGGCCACAAGGTTGTATGAGTTCAATGGTTGAAAGGGCAGCGGTGACCAGGAGGAAGCGGGAAGGTTGAGAAAGAGTGCGCGCAGGAAGGGAAGCGAAGACGTTCTGGAATATTTTACGCTTCTCGATTGCACACTGACTCAAGAGGTCGTGAGATGGAGTTGCCTGTGATGTTCTGTCCACGCTGCAAGTCGAAGTTGCCAGACAATCAACCTTCAGGCGCAATCGATTGTGGTTGCGGGCCCCACTTTCACGTGCTCGGCTTAGTCATTGTGAACCTTTGCTCTCTTTTTCTGACTCGAATCGCTCCCATCTAATAACGACAACAGCTCTCTTGCCAGAAATTGACTATGTGACTATGACACGTCGTACTTGCTTGGTCTCAGCAAAATCGAGGGCTCTTATGCTCGCGAATTGCAGATCTCTGCGACTCTACTAATCTTAGCGCCAAGACTACAACGTAGACAATGGCATCTGACGAGTCGGAAACAGAAGATGGCCGCTACAGTGTCGAGCTGATACTGGCTCAAAGAGTCATTGATGGTACTCTCAGGTATCTAGTAAAGTGGGAGGGTTATCCTGATGAAGAGTGTACATGGGAACCAAAAGAGAACTTCACCGATGCACATACTATCTTGAAAGAATGGGCGGAGCGAAGAGCACGTGGTGATGAGCTTAACCAAGAGGATATAGCTCCAATAGAGCAAAAAATGGAGTGTTCCAAGTTACGACAAGCAGCGGAGGCTCAGCAAGAAGAAGCAGAATCCGATTTCGTTGAATCCGAAGATGATCGGCCACTGAAAAGAGCTAGGCTGGTACCAGACGCACCCTTGACCAGCAAAAAGAAAGGAACAGCACGACCTTCAAGGAGAAGTTCGAGCTCAAGCTTAGACCAGAGTACAGTACGTCGAAGTAAGAGTCCTGTTGTCAAAAGAGCAAGCAAGTCCAAGCCAGCATCCAAAGTCACAATTAAGAAAGCAGCACCTCCTCTTTTCGCACGACCTCAACCTGAGCCGTCGTTGTCAAGTACCAATATCCAGAAGAACACAGATGCGAAGTCGACCGTCCGTACTAAGCAAGACAACGCCAACGTCCCCAAACCACCGATCCTAAAGCCGCGAGCATCAAACATACCGAGGTCAGTTGAACGACCTCGACCTGCGCAGATTGAAAGAGAGACATCTCCTCCCACTTTTCACGCGCCTGATCTAAGTCAACGCACTCGAAAGGCTCCTCAAGATGTAACGACAAAACGAAATGTTACGGGTAAGATGTTCAAGAGTCTGCGTCAGCAAAACAACGCAAGAAAGTCGGCACTAGCTGATCGTCCTCCCCCTCCGATCACTGATACAGCCGTCGTATCTGAATCAACCGAGACAACGCCTGCTTCTGTGCCTGCTGCAGTTACTGTAGAGAAGTTTCATGCATCAACGTTGTTTTTCGATTCATCAGATGATGATGATATTAAACCAGATGTCAGGAAGTTAGCGGAAGACGATCTTTTTGGCGATAACGAGGTGGACGCCCAGCAAGATGCAGAGGAAGTGGATACTCAGACATTAGCAGGTCACACAATACCACAGCAGGCAAACGATACAGCACTAGCCTGTCTGGACATCGGCTTCATTGACCAGCCAGGACCAGAAACCCTTAGTGGAGATAAAGCTTTTGCAGCAGCATCAACTCAAACTCTACCACCGCTAAGTGCAGATCCACAGAGGCGTACCAATGCCCTTATGCCAGCAAACAAAACTGGTCCTCCTTTTTCCTCTCTTGTGTCCACTATACTACCTGGTACGACCTCATCCCATGATGGTTATATTGGAGAAAATTCTCCACGTTGTAACACTGATGCTTTGACGATACATATCAAGGACAGGCCGGAGTCTGTGCAGAGTACCGCCAATTCGAAACCTCAACGTAACAGCTTATTCAATCGAACGCTGCCACCCGAATTTCTTCCAATTAGTATATCCACATCTATACCTCTAGCCTCAGCCCAGGATATTAAGGTATCAGACTCTGTACAAGAAATCGATCCAGGTAACACAATCGCTCGTGAAGAAGTATTACGAGACCCGGACACGAAACCATCATTGCGCAATACAGCCGTACCATTAGACATCCAAGCCAAGGACCATAATATGCGAACGACGACCAAGCAGATATTAGTCGAAGGACGTTGGCGTGAAGTCATCTTGGGAGATCTTGTCGTGCATATCTCGCTTCAGTGTGCCTTCACGACTCCTGTCAAATTGAGGCACGTCGATTGGCAGTATGGTAGAGTACTGTACAGGACGAAGCAGAATCGTAAAATATTGCTCAATTTCGACAGAACTCTGACTCGAGCCGAGTATGACCACATCTGCCTCCAAGATTAATGGTTCAATTACTTTGCTCTTGGTAGTATTGAGCCATGGCCAGATATCGCCACCGATATGGTCTCACTCGCCACGCGCTTGGAACAAGAGTCAACTACAGCCATATGGGAACATCCACACGACGATTTCATGGTTCTGCTGTACTCCTGCCAGGCTCCATCCTGGAAAGATTTTGGTACGAAACCTACTCGTGACTCTTCACCAAGATTACACATGGCCATAAGACCCAAGTTCAAAGGCCCTGGACTGGACTTATTGGCAGCTACAGTGCAAGGTGTTGCTCGACCGAGCGAGCAGACTCCTGTCATTGACCAAAGAATGCCTGAAGCTATGGCGCAGCTGAAGGATAAGCATCCAGATCAAACAAGGCGACACAATAGTATTGCTGCAGACCATCCCTCTCCACTTCAGCCAATGATTATGGAATTTCCAGCAATAGCGTCCAGCTCACCGAAAAGTCTATCCGCAGAGGCCAAAACAGCGATGGATGGTGCTATGGATATTGAACCTCCTTTGAGATTTGCCCCAGTCGTCAACCAACAAGCAGAAGTTGGACAAGAAACAGAGCACACTGATGTCTCTGAGGCTGAATTTGCCGGGTTCAACGCCAATATCAAGGAGCTCAGCTACCTCAAGCCCGGCAAGGACAAGATCGATCGAAGTAAAGTGAGCATACTTCTTGTATACAGTAAGGTGTCAGAGGATCACGTACAACAGATTCGAAATTGGCTGATCAATAATGGACAACCGTGGGAACGTATTTTTCACAAGACAATATCGAAAGATTGGCCTAAATTTATCGAACAGCTAAGAACCACTGTCGGTGTAATTCTGTTCGACAAGTACTACCCACTGGCATCGCTCGTCCCGCTCTCGCAACTACTTGTCGAGCGGGACAATCTAATATGCTGGCAGGTGGACTACAACAGTCACATACCACAACCATTGAATACACGACGGCTTTTCCCTAGGGGCATGGTATTAACAATTGCGGAAGCATGTTTCGTCAACGATCTGCAGGTCGTACTGAGTGTCTTGAAACATTTCAGAACATGGTACGTGACCAGACCCAGTTCGTCGTCTTGTTTTGTGTTCCCACCAGGAATACGAAAAACAGTACTCGATCAGGCTATTTTATCGACGCAACCTGAGACGATCAAGCTTTTCGCTAGTCTAGCCCTTATACTGGAAGAGTTTATATCAGCTTCTCGACCTTCAACCAGTGATGATGAGCATTTGTTCAGTCCCACCGAGGTGGACCACCGTGACTTTTGTACTGTTGAGCCAGGCTGGCGTGACGTGTACAAAGATATGGCGAAACCTGTACAGGGACAAGTACTGCCCGCTTTCGAACAGCGCAAGCAGGATGAAGACAAAGAAGCCCGTTTATTCAAGTACTTTTCTTCATGGGCACTTTCACGTCTCGGTGACTACAGACGATTTGTCGCGATTATGCATGGCTCGAATAAACCGAGAGAATGTGAGCATGTCCGGTTCTTTAGAGTCAGCAGATTTCTTGACACTCTTAGACAAGCAGGAACTACCACGAGCGGTCAAGAACGAGCAAGATCAAGGACAGGGGAAGGACAGGCTAGAGAGAGGTCAAGAAGTCGAGGACGTCAAGGTTTGACGCCGCAGCAATCGCCTGCGATGCAATCACCCACATTTTGAGCATTGCTGGCTTGGGCGAAACGACACAATCTGCAACAGTTTAGCGTTGTGTTGAAGTAAGGATGTATGGTGTTCTGGCGATGGAAAGCATAAAACGATACCCATTTCAGCGTTGTGTACAAAAGTTATTTTTATGATGGGCACGAATTAGTTTGCGTTAAGAATCATGTACCAAATCTCATTAAGGTTGTCAGAGATGTCAACCAGCATCTCTTGCTAATCCTGTTTGATGCTGATGCGCTGCCCTGCCAGCCGCAGCCTGTTCACTTTCCAGCTCATAACCAGCCGTCCTGTTGACTAAGCTCTTATAATAGTCTACCAAAACTTCTGGTTGTGGCACGATCCTCCACTGCACACGCACCAAGAACTCTTGCTCCAACAGTGCTAATTCCCGCAGACTCACGCCTCCCACTCTTGCATATGTTTTGTTGGTCCAGAAACTATCACTCAGTCCTTTACTCGCGACCGTGGCAGCTGTGATCAGGAAGCGATGCACGGTCAAGCTCGAGATTGTGAATGCTGGGTATAGCGCACACAACTTGTCGATATAGTAGACCATACTCAGCAGAATTGGTGGAGGAAGCGTCGCATGTGTGGTGAGACGCTGCAGGTAATCTGTCACCGATATGCCTGGTGGTGCTCGACTGTGAAATCGCGTCAGATGTCCATCGCGTAAAGGAATGGTGTCGTTGTAACGAATGAGGTCCATGAGCATGCTACTGATCAAGAGGACGAGATCTCGAGGAGCGCAGAGGGAGTAGTCAAGAGGTAGGATACGTGCGGGTTCACTTTCTGGGCGCATCTTCTTCGCAGAGGATGGAGTAGAGGATTTGCGACGCTCTTCTTTTGAGGTGATTGGTGGTATGCTTGCATCGTGATCAGACGAAACTGTAGAAGGGTTTGCAACCTCCTCTGCGGTTGAGTGGTTGCGCTTGTAGGACTGTGAAGGTTTGCGCTGGAGAGGTTCTCGTTTCGCAATTTCAGGTTCGGGTTTGTCAATTGGCAATGACGCCGTTGAAGCAGATGTTGCTATTGTGCCCGTTTGGGCAGCTGACATCTCATTGGGATCCGAGACAGATGGTGACTGGCGAGTTGCAGCTTCAACAATCGCAGCTTCCGAACTGTCTGATTGACTCGACTCCGACTCTTGCTCGACAATCTGCAAATCAGCAATCTGGGTAGCTGTTGTAGGTGTCCTAGACGATGAATCGCTTGGTAGGACAGTTGGTGGTGAATACTGTGTCTGTGCATCTACCATCTGCGGCTTCGGCAGCGCAGTGTGCGATGAGGTCGATATTGGCTCAAGGTGGCTCGGCAAGGTCTGTGTAGAGCGTGAGACGGTGCGGTTTGAGTGGACGGAAGAACTTGACCGCTGATCCTTCGGAAAGCATTGAGTCTGAGAGTTGTGGTGAAAAGTTGTGCAGGAGGATGTGTTGGAGGGAACTGAGTACACGTGGGCCAAATGAGGCTTAACAATTGGTGAGGCCGCTACAGACTTGTTTGAATGTGCCGATTGAGCGCGTTGACGGAACCGGGGACTGTTGTAAGCAGCAGATGGTGTCGCTGGACTCAGACCAGGAGAATGGGTCGCTGCCAGCATCGCAAGATAGTAGACAGAAGAAGAAGCATCCTCGCACTATCTTAGCCGCTGCTTTAGATCTGATCACTTGGTGCTCGGTTGCTCTTGCCTGCTCGAGATTAACTAAGTCACACGTGGTATCTTCGACAGAATGCTTGGTTTGAAAATGCACCACCACGGTTGACGAAGGAATATATTGCAAGGACAGGAATTGTGTTCGCGTTGGCTCGTTATCAGTAATGCCTCATAGCACTGCCGACTCTCGCCCGTTCTTGACAAATGCTTCTTCTGCAAGAATCGCAACTCCAGTTTTGCCTATCAGGCATCAAGGCGATCATGTGCTGGATGACGTATCCGGTTACAGCTTCCTTGTCTAACTTAGCCATGTTGCGCAGGTGCGGATCTCAGTCTGTATCAGCGACAACATGGTCATGAAGCACAAGAATTTCTCATGGCACCTCACCCTTACATGGCTGATGGTAGCAATATGAGATATGCTGTATTTGCTAGTATGTAACTCTTCAACTTATGATAGTCCTAGATATCATACCACATTACCATCATGCAGCTCAGAATAACCACACCAGACGAGGCATGCCGAAGCCTGACTGAAGCGACTGACTTTAACACCCAGCTGGCTACACTTCGCACGATCAAGAACACTCTTACCGGACACGAGTTGCGCAAGATCGAGTACATTAAAGCTGGTCTGATTTCTGTGCTCGATGACTTCTTTACACAGTTCACCAGCTCACAGACTAGTGACGAGCATACTGGAAGCGACCACGACAAGATCGCACTATGGCTGCATGCTTCTTCCATAGTTGGTATCCTGGCCAACAGCGGCACTTCTTTCACAGCACCCATCCTTGCGAGTGACTTGCTTCAACGACTACTTGACCTTCTACACGATACGTCGGATGTGCGACTACAGCTCACGATCTTACGCTCTCTCAACACAATAGCCGACAACCTTCCTCTACAATCCGAAAGGGAATGGATGCCAGACAGGTCTCTGGCTGCACAGCTATTCAAGCGGGAAAACGTCTCGCAGCTGGCAAAGATCATATCTTCTCAGAACACACATCATGAACAACAGGCTATGGAAGCTGCTCTGACTCTTATATGCAAGACCTGCACCAGGGAGAGGGAGAAAAGGATCTTAGTCGAAACCGATATTCTCAATAATTTGTGCGATAAAGTCGTGCAATTCATCAACTTGCAGAAGATTCCAGTATGGCAAGGAAAGAGATTCGGCTACGAATTGCAGCATAGTCACGGCCAACCCCATCAGATCCAAGAGAAAGCTAACCACGTTTCTCTCGTTCTTGAAACCATAGCTCTCATCATCGAGAAATCCGAATCTCATGCTCAAACATTTGTCAGTCATGCTGGTCTTCTGGCCGCTATGAGCGTCCTACCACATACTGAGGATGATATTCAGAACTTCGGTAGCTCTTTCAGCATTCCTCCAATCATCACCATCGCTCTACCGACGGTTCCAGATCCTTATTCCATGAATGCTGCTCGAAGATCGCAATTTCCACCATTGTCTGTCTCATCCTCTGCTCAGAAACGACGAACCTCCGCTATTCAATCACCTCGAGATCAGAATAGTATTATCGTTGAGGAAAACGACAGGGATGAGCAAGGAGAATACTTAATAGTGCCATGGCTACTCTACCTTGTTCGCACAAGTGGAGGAAGAAGACGTTTCGCTGCTGCAAGACTTCTGGGTATTCTCAAGTGTCACAACTTGATGCACCCCACTCGTGCGAGATCATTGGCGGCACTGCTTGTGCCTATTCTTGTGCATATGCTACTGACTCACAACGACTCTGATGCACCTGGTTTCTATGGTCATCTTGTACCATCTGTGCTTGCAATGGTTGTTAAGGACAACGAGTATCTTCAAAAAGCTGCAGTTGAGGTCAAAGCGATTGCCAAGTGTGTCTTCGCATTGAAGACAAGCTTCGAAAATCAAGAGGACATCGCCACAACACTTTGGTGGCCACAGCAATTGACTCATAAATTGACCGACGGCGAGCCAGCTTACTGTCTCGGTCCTGGTGGTCCATCGCCAAGGATGCGCAAGGTCATGACTTGGAGGCAAGGACTTTTACAAGCACTTGCTTCACTCGCCCCTGACAACGAAAGCTATAGGAAGGAAGTCGTTGATGTGGGCGGATTGCCGTTGATCATGCAGGCACTTGAGCCATTCTCAAGTTCGATCGTAGAAGGCGAGATCAAGGGTGATTCTATTCATGTGCATGGCAATTCTCCTGAAGTATTAATTGCTGCATGTGGTGCAGTCAGGGCATTGACACGTTCGGCAACCTCTCTCCGCACCAAGCTCGTTGATGCAGATGTCGCCAAACCTATCATTAAACTACTACAAACTGCCGAGCCAGAAGTACGTATTGCTGCGACCATGGTAATGGCCAATCTGGCACACGATTTCAGTCCAATGAAGCAGACCGTCGAGCCGATTCTTAGGAAGTTGTGCGAACAAGCTCATTCGGCAAATGCTCGATTACGCCATGAATCTTTGTTTGCGCTCAAGGCAATGGCCAATAATTCGAAGAACGATCTCAAGAGGAAGATTGTGGAAGAGCTTGGTCCAAACTGGATCAAGCATCTGATCGCGACCGATCCACATGATGTACCTGCTGGTGAGGTCATCGGCTTAGTACCGAAGGATTATCGCAAAGGATCAATGGTACGTGTGTCAGGAGATGTCAGGATGGACATAGATGAGGATGGCAGCTGGGATGGTAACGAAAGCGACGACGAGTTCAACGCGCATTCGTTACAAGAAGACCTTGATATTCAAGCTGAGCTACTGGGATTTCTACGCAACCTCACGACTGGTGAACGACCAGATGAGATAATTGAGTTTCTGCTCGAGCACATTGGACAGGATGACTTTCTCCAGATTCTTGTGGACAGACTAAAGGCTGGAGTCAGTCAGCGACCCTTGGCATTCTCGCCTCCATCAGCCATCATATTCAACAGTATCTACATTCTCACACATCTCTGTGCTGCAGATCGCAAATATCGACAGACCATTTCACAAAACGTCGTCCTTATGAAACAGGCCTCTGCACTTCTTGGTCACAGTGATCCTTTGGTGCGATGTGCGGCATGCTGGCTTGTTACAAATCTGGTTTACATGAACAGTACAGAAAATCACGAGACGCTGATTCAAAGAGCACGAGATTTGCAGAAAATGGGCATCATGAACCAGATTAGGAGGATGGAGAAGAGTGATCCAGTCATGGATGTGAAGGAAAGAGCAGCTACGGCGAGTGAGTGTTTCAATAAGTTGCTTGATAGGAGTTAGGTAGCAAATGCTACTCACATAGCGAGCACTTTCGAGGACGCGTTTCGGAAGACGCGTCCAGGCGCGTAGTCGTAGCTCTCGGCACATTGAGTGCCGAAGATTACCCAAGTTCGCGTCATTGTTTACATTGACCGACTAGAGCACTATGCATCTTCGCAACCAATTGCAAGTTCATCAATGCCAGCCAACTTCAAGCATCACATCTCTCACACAGCGCGATCGCAAAATGGTGCTGAGTAAAAGCAAGCGCACCTATCCACGCGCCACAATTCGCAAGATTATCAAGGCGCATTGCGAAAAGAATGTCGGACGAAATGTCGATGCACTCGTGAGTCACTCTCGTCACCAGTGCAGAAGTTGAACCAGGCAGCTGCAGCACTAGAGACGCCCAGCGCAAAGACTAACGTATGTGGCATGCAGATCTACCTCGACTACATCCTCTTCGTGCAGCGACTGATGCAGAATGCGACAAGGAAGGCCAAGGAGGCTGATGAGAAGAGACTACAAGCAAAAGACATACGGAAGGTCACTATGGTGAGTCTGTTAGGATGCACTCGCGGATTGACGTGAGAACGCAGACCAGACTAACGAGATTGGTGTCAGACGACCTTGAGGCAGTTTAAAGGCTGAATGCTCTGAGCAAAAGCACAGGATGATAATTAGAGCATGAGACGCAGAATACGTGGAGCAGGTTAAGACGAGGAGGAGTCGCATACGTGCACTGCTTGCCATATTGAACGAGCCTTAACCCAATCGGTTGCACACCATCAACGAGCGGATACAGAATATATTAGTACAACGAAGCACGTCTACCGCGATCCTCCTAGGAACAGCAATCCGCGTGGCAGCATGTACAACAGTCATGCTATGTCATTCTGAGCAGAAGAACCCACCTTGTGAAGTGTAAGCAGAGACGAGTGTGCACAAGAGCTTGTAGTAGTACACAAGATCAGCTTCTAGTAGGGTACATACCCGGCCTCTTGCCGCGTCGCCTGTCCCAAGGCAAGGATAGCAAGATCGCTCGTACTACCTGGATGCCGATGGCTGCACCACTGTGCGCTGGAATGCATAGTGGTGACGATGGATTCTGACTCAGACTTTTTAGTTCGCAGCCGTCGATTCCTGCTTTCCGATCACCATCGCTATATGGCATTTTCGGTATATATCGTCCGTCCTGTCATGCGTGCCACTTTGTGCAGGCGATTAAATTTAGGTCTCAATGTGGTATTGTGGATACAATACAGACAACTACAGTACTCGTAAGGATCTGCGGATACCAGGTCTGTGATTATAATTCGTCTAAAATGCTAACAATGAGCCGCAAACCTGAAGAAAGGCTGGAAGGACGTTACGACTCTAGCCTTGTTCATGCCTAGAATTGAGGCCTGGGCAGCTTTTTATGACTGGGCACAATATGTAGTAAAGATGCTGAAAAGTTGCCCATCCGTTCTGCCAACCTTTTAAGACACTATTCTACAAAGCCCTAAGTCCCATCAGCGTTCCACACAAGTCGGCCACGGCGATCGGCCTTCCGTCATGTCACGATGGTTTGCCGCCCTGACAGAAACCTTGGACATGATGCGCCAAGCGACTGAGGAAGAGGACAAAGATCGGATGAACCGAATCTGGTGCATGCGCCGTGTTCCAGGCAACGCTGCCGGCGATCGTGAGGTCTTTGCATTCCATCTGGAGGTATGGCAACGCTGCAGTGGGCAGGTTCTGTTCGGTACGCGGTCCACACCTGTGGCTACTTGCGAAGGACATGTACGTGTTGGCGATCAGGCAGCACTCCTTCCAGGATGCGCTCATCCCGTGGTATTGAGACCGGGTCGAAACACCTACCAGTTCATCGGTCTTGCCTACGTAGGTGACATTATGCAAGGCGAAGCATGGCGTAGTGAACAGTATAAGCGACAAAAGTTGCATATCGTTTAGCTTAAAACAAATGTGTGTTCCCGACATCACGGAACCTACAGTAGAGTGGATCTATAATAAAGACTTACTGCACCACGATAAGTTCATTTCTCAAGCACAAGACATACTAGTCGCGGACTGATCTCGGCCTATCAGAGAGTTAAGAAGGCTTCAAATCGAGCTTGTTAGACAGACTACTGAGCGCCTTCTCGCTGTGTGGGAAGTCACTTTACCAGCCGGCAGGACCACTGACTTCTCATCTGCATTAGCCATCGAGGGCACATCCCTCCACGAGTCCGGTAGAGGTGGCACATTGACCACCACGCTCACCGTCTTGCCTGATACTGAACCACATCGATCTTCGGTAGCTGTAGAGCCCCGCCGAGTCAGTCCTTCGTCTCCCTGTTCGCTAGCTGTCATATCTTCGTTGCTTTGATCAGCCTTACCAACTGTGTTGGTCTGATTACTGTGAACTGATCGGGCCTCATCTGCTGGCTGAGGCTGAGATTGATGCTGCTGACTTGTTTGTTCTACGTCGTCGTGAAGGCTGAGCTTGACGAAATGATCGGGCACTCTAGACTTTCAGCGCTTTTTGCCGCTTCGCTTTGTCTAGCCGGATGATGTGATCGTCTGCGAGATGGTTAAGAAAGGCGACTCGGCTGATCATTACAGGAAGCTGTCGACAGTTAGGGTGAGGACAGATAGTTCTCTTACCGTGGAGGGCATGGTCTTGAATGTGTCGCTTCTAGGTGGTGAGGTTGAGGTGCTGGTGGTGCTCGCCTTGTCTAAGGTATGTGGGACACAGCCCGGGTCGAATAACATTGTGACGAAAGGTTACTATCGACAATTGCTGAGCAGGTTGATCGGCATACATCCACGCATATGCTGCCCATTCCTTACGGTCATCATACCACTAGAAACACAAGAAGCAGAACTCGGCAAAGCTGCCTATATTTTTCTGTGACCGCTTGCGGCAGTGGTAGACATGCGACCACCACGTTGTGTACCTTCCCAGGTATACTTGCCAGCCGATATGTATCACAGATCAGAGCGATTTTGTTGAGAGTGGTACAATACGTCTGGTGTGCTCGTGTACTACATAGTGCAGTCAAGTCCTGCATTACTTGGCGACCCACTGTGTCTCGGAGACTGCCTTCACGAAAGACTGTGCTAGCTAGCCGGTCTCGCTTGGGCATGAGCTTACGGGTCTGGCTGAACCTTCGGCTGGACAATTTAAACTGAATAGTCGCTATTTGTACACTGTGCACCGATTGTCATTTCAAGCCACTCGTATTGCCATTACTTTTTGGGAAGTCGGTGTACCATTGATGAGTGAGAGGAGAAGCCCTGTCACAAAAGTGTTTGCAGCTACGTGTCTCTATGAAGCAGCTTAGTAACATGTCTTTCTGACGCGAAGGATACGAGGGAAGCTCTGAACGACGACATCGAAGCTTCACGCTGGAAAGTGGTTGGGAGATCGACGGCTACTGTCCTTGGATCGTTCTATGTTTTACCGCAGGTCAGGCGACTCTGTTTCCAAGGAAAACTTTATAGGAAAGCGTCTGGCCAAGGGAAGACAACTTTTTGTACCGCCGTTCGACTAAAAAAGCAGAGTCCGTTAATCCATCTCCGGGTTCTGAGTAAGGGAAGATCTTGGTCATGGATGTATGACCCCAATCCAAGCTCCAGTGATACATGTTCCTTAGTTGGGTTTTGAAGGTCTTGGAAGGGTGAGTAGGAGGCACTGTGCCATGAGGTGAAGACCCAGAAGGGTAGGTCACGCTGGTCTGGTGCGACAAAAACCCCGCAACCAGTGCGATGACCCGAGAGCTTTCCGACTACTAGCATACGTCTTTCATTCCAGGCGTGAGCCACTTCCCTCGCCATCGCAATCATAAACTCATCTCGAGCCTTTAAGTGAACCTTTTCCCTCATTTCTGCTATGAAATGATGAAGCTGATTAGCAAGTGGGAGATGTAACGATTCTACCTCGTAAGCGAGCAGCGTTAAACATGTCCACAAGCTGTCGTACGACTGCTTGGACCTTCCAGAAGAGAGGTTTAGACGTTTTTTGTTCGTGATGCCGGATTTAAGAGCACACGAGATCTGCCAGAGATACCCTGTGGTCCTTATCCCATCAGCACACAACTGTACGTTTGAAAAACGGCAATGTTTAAAGAAAGTAAGGGTATCCATTCCCATTGGAGGTTGTACATGGTGGAATATCTGTTGTCGAAAGAATTCAGCGAAGCCTCTGTGAGATGCCCGATGGATTTGCTTGTGGTTGTCCAGAATCTCTCCATTGAGAAGCGCCTGAACGAATAAGGACAGTCCCAAGCTAATAGCGTCCCGCTGTTCTAGCGCTTTCTCATCAAGTCGTCTGCCATAAGCACAGCAATTGGCCGCAATGGCAAGAGAGTCCCGTGGATACTTAATTCGGCGCCGTTGGAGGTCGGCCATAATGAAGGATGAAAGGGTATGTCCCCGATGTCTTCCACATTGGTAGGATGTCTGATATCGCTCCGCTTTTCGAGTTATTGTTCTTTGCACAAAGTGTTTCTCCGCCCCGTTTAGTATAGTACCACGTTGGCAAGCCAAACCAAAAATAGTAAGTTGTGTGCGCAAATCGACGGCCGGTATCTCAATCTCACCTCGCATAGTTCCAAAGATCGTATTTTCCTCTGTCAAGCTAGGCTCACACGGGATAAGAACGAACATCTTGCGCGCTGCACAGTATTCTTCTTGAAAGATCCAGCATCGCCGCCACCAAGGGTCAGCCAAGAGACAACCGAACCACTTAAGCACTCGCCAGAAGCCACTTGGCCTGAGTACAGGCGGCAAATCGATGACAGTTTCTTGGCCAATGCCTTGGAACAGGGAACCATCCATCAATGCAGTCAAAGCGTCAAGTTGCCACCGATGATCCACTTTACTTGTCAGCATACCAACCGAGCAAGGACTTCTAGCATAAAGACGGTCCATGGAGTGCATCGCAACTTGTTGCCTTTCAGAGTCTTCCTGATCAAGACACTCGTGGTCTATCCAGAAGCCCCTCAGGTGATGATGTCGCACATAATGAACAGCGCGATGTATGATTGTGTCCCTGACGAGGCTAGGACGTTCCTCACCATTAAGCTTCTTAATCCTGAAGCTTCCATACTTGCCAGATTCGTATGGTGCAGGATGCCTGGGATAGGAGATGGTAACGTATTGGAACTGCTGCTCATCGAACAAATCCGCTTCTACCTCATGTAGGACGAAACATTGGGACATGTGCTTCCTAGAGATTCTCGCCGTGGATGATGTCGACGTTTTGTGTGTAGTCAAACATATCAGCCTTGCCATCCAACCGAACGACTTGAGTTTGGCTTCTTCAAAATCTTGAACCTCCAAAATCTGCTCGACCACCGAGCGTTCTGGACATAACCGATGTAGGGAAAAGTCCTTAACATCGTTCAACATGATGTCGCTACGTACAGGAAGCCTCTCAGAAGAATGCCGTCCGGCTCGCTTTCAAATCTGTAAAATTTTAGGGCCCAATCTGCATTTTCATTGACAGTAACATGAGATTGCTACAGCAAACCGTTCAGCCATCAGCAGCTGATATTCTCATACTTCGCACGACACTGAGCAGAAGAAACATTTCTCATTCGATCAAAGTCTATGGTTGTTTGTGACGGCAGTTCTAGTTGAAATAATTTTCACTGGTTGGTCAGAAGCGTTGTCCTCCTGCAAACATCTTGGTTCAAACCGGTATTGGCAACTGCAAAATCTGAATGGCCTACAACAACATTTTGAGTCAACCGGTGTGACAATTGTTCACATCAGCGGTCAACTTTGACAAGGATAAATTGTCGTGTTGAAATACGACGCCTTCTTAGCTGGCTTGGCTAACATGTTGGCCATTGGGTACAATGTACATTCGTGTTTGATTGGCGTATCGAACCGGTGAGATTTGGATCGTATGAATGCTTTCCACATGACAGGCCAATAAACAGGATGGAAAGAACAATGAAGCCGGATGGCAGAATAACCGTCGGGAAATTGCCCAATAGATTTAGAAAGGCTGCTTCGAGATAGCGCAGAAGTGCACTTTATGGTAGGGGCAGGAGAGCGCTCGAGACCTGAACACGCGAAAAGCCAGCGTTGGTTGAATGTGAACATACATGCGCCCGCAGTTCTCACTGAGCGGCTACTATTGGAATCGTTCCAATTGCATATCCAGAAATTTAGCGGCTGGAGCGACAGAAAGGCGAGGATGGAGTTCGGCATTCAAGCCTGCATGACTAGTGCCACGTTGTTCCGGCGTTGAAATGCACGCTCAATCGTGGTTTGGACATTGAAGTTGACGGAACTTGAGATTTGTGCTTTACTCTTTGGCCCGCAGTTTACGTCAGCATCAGCGCAATTCGGAATGCTACGCTGTGTAAAAGACGGAACCTTTGCAGTACTATGGACAAGGAGCAGGACATAACGCACAGGAAGGCACTAACGGCAGCCGTTTGGGGCATTGTACTTTCAGCTGCTTTCGGCTTTGTCTCTATGGTTGCTGGTGTCGTGTCAATGTGGGCCGGAATCAAGTCTTACCAGGTGTCTCTTATAGCGTATAATCTGTCACTAATTCAGGCGAATGTGAGTCGAAGTGGAGATAATAGAAACATTTGAAACGAAGACAGAGCTCATGGATCCTATACTCAAGACCATGTCCCTACAGAACGAATGCAATGCGCGTACAGCATTGTAAAGGGCACTGTAGACACTATGCCCTCGTCACGTCTACTTCTCTAGAGACGTAGTCTCATATCATGCCAGTGGTCCAACAACATAATCTTTGCTGCAGAACCACGAATGGTGGCGGCAGGAACCGACCACAGGAGTATAGTGGCAAGGAAAGCTTTGATGTCGACAAGTCAGGAAGCTAGCCCTTTCCACTTACCAGCAGATTTGTGGCGTGCCATGAGCCATAAGCCAGTAGCGCTCAGCGTCTTTCCGAAGCACAGAGCCTGCACCACAGCTTCTGTACCGACATGTCGCTTGATGTATGTAGGCAGTCGACCAAGATCTCTAGAACACCAAGCACGAAACTTCAACCAATCAGAGAAGGTGGGGTGAATTTGGGTGTATTGTAGCAGATAGCGTGACCTTGATCCATTCTCTAAGAACTGATAAGTAGCAGCATAGTCTGCTAGCTTGGTGCAGTGATCAACCACGCTTCATTGGTTGGCCTCTCCACAGCAAATGGTTGTTTTCCAGTTCCAGGCACGAAACGATTTTTTCCCACAAATTGAGATATTGTGGATTCACCCTGGTCGTTCATCAGTCGAGCTTGTAGAACTATCAACTCACCCACTCATCCCTACAGACATCGACCTCTTCATGCATGACCGAACATCGAGCAACCTCTGTATCAGAATCGTGGTCGCGCTCCGTTGCTGATATACTGTGTATCGTGGTGTCCGGAACATTGACCATCTGCAGTAATGACTTTCCTACAAGCTGTGCATATTCTTGGTCCTCGCGCACCATGTCTACAACCACCGACTCTTCTAACCGATCTAGTTCTACTCTTCGGGCTGCAATATCCTTCATCTTGACCGCAAGCTGGGACTCGAGCAGGTCCTTGTTGCCTTTGAGGTCTTCAATGGCAAGATGGGTCTCGCGACGGAGTCTGGACAAAGACTGCAGACAGCCTCGGTCGTGCAGGAGCCTCGACAACGACTCGGCGTCCTGGAGATACAGACCAATTCTGTTGGCGCTGATTCGTAGTCGGTGGACGGCAGTGTGTCGTATCTGTGCGATAGTATCCAACAAGTCGTTGAAGGGTTTGCCGAGCTCGGCGACATCTTCAACCAGAAACTTGTCCTCTCTTGATTCCATCTTTCGCGTCCAGATGTTCAACTCTAAGGCTTCAGCACAGTCCCATCCTTCGCTCTTGATCAGTTCTGGCATCGAGGCAATGGTGAAATCATAACAAGCGCGTTCCAGTGTTTCTTGCGCAAGCACCAACAGTTTATGTTGGGTCTGAAACGGCAGGTATACTGGGTATAGGGAGGTTGGAGCAGCGATTGCGTTATGCGTCCTTTTATCCGGTACAATCGCTGACGGTCCCGCAACTGGACATCCTGTCAGCGGTTTGAAGGGTCCAGTCTGACAGGACTCACCAAAGTCGTCAGCTCGACGCTTGCCCAGTGCACGATCACTCGCATGCACGCCTTTGTCAAGACGCGAAGAGCCCTCAACAGCGACTTGGATGGCATCAGCCTCAGAGCGTGCTGCTTCTTTTTCCGACGCTGACCGTTCCGCGCTCTGTGCTGGGGAGACCTCAAACACTTCAGGAAATCGAATCTTCGCTTTCAAGGTTGATTCGAAAACTTGCTGTTCAAGAAGACTTCTGACAACATTGCATACATCGTCGATATTATGTGACTCGATCAGCGCCTTGACGTTGGCATTAGTCTGCTGCTTGAGGATGAACTCACGGATCTTTTTCTGCTTTCGCAGTTGTGCATCAGTGCCGCGAATCACATTGTTCAAAGCGAGATACACAGATCTTTCGTCAGGCTGGTTGTTCATTAGCTATACGGTCGCACGTCAAGGACACGAACAACAATGTCTCGTAAAGACCAGCAAAGAGGCTCGTTGATACGAATGGATGAGGGTCCAAATTTCTAGTGATGTGAACCTGCGTTCCTCTCAATCCGACGGATACAAAATGCAGGATTTAGCCCTTCGCTCACAAGCGCTTTACCTTCCCACTGATCAATTCCCGCACATTACAACTAACAAACACAGCACGAATTTGGGCTGATTTGGCTGTTAGACAGGTTAATATGACAGATGACATCTCAGCAGACTCTAGTGTCATACAAGTACTGTTGAGCAAACGCTAAACTGTCGCTTTTATCCGAACCACTAAATTTGGATCTGAGGATTGAGTCCAAACTGTGACGAAATTGGGGTATAGACCCGAGTATCGAATTTGCATGCCTAGGATCGATCAGGGTGCTATAAACACGACTGCCTGCACGTGTGAGCAGCGTGCCACAGGTGACGAGCCAACTTTATTAGCATACAGATGTTAATGTTGTCACGACCAGGAATGGCAAGAGACAATTAATGCATAAGCTATCTCCAAATATGCCAAGAACGTTGACACGAAAACTGCCACCACAAATATTGGAATGAATGTCACCGTCAGCTGCCATCAAGACAGTTGGAATTCCAGCCTTTGGTCTCCAGTGAAACTTGTTCATCCGAAGCTTATGCAATCTACTCCCCAGGCTTATTTGATCCCGTTTGAATTCTAGATCTGGCTTTGAGTCATCCTTTTGATCTTAGCTCTGTTTAACTGCTTGGATTCCATAGTCAGTCTTCCCATTCGGTTCATGATACAGAATGTCAAGCAGACCTGTGTGGCTCGCTCGTGTTCTGGAAAGCGGTGATTTTTCAGACCTGACAATCGTGTGCGAATCTCAAGGTTTCCGAGTTCACAAGGTCGTGGTATGTCCGCAATCAGTCTTCCTTCAAGCGGCATGCATGACCTCGTTTCAGGTAAGAGAGGCAATCTTCGCTCAGGACGAGCCCGGCTTAAGCTACAGTGACAGGAGTTCGCCGGTGCAACGATCGAACTACGAGCGGACAATCTCTCGTATGTAACACGAATGGTGTCTTTCTTCTACCGAGGCACTTACGATGCGTTCGACAACAACAAATACACCAACCACGCCGGAGTCTTTGCTTTGGCTGTCAAGTACGGCATACCAGATCTCCAGGAACTGGCGTGTACACGATACTGGACGTTATGCCAGAAAGGGTGGGCTGCGTTGGATTTCTTGGAGTCTGTGCCTGGTATCTACGAGGACACTCATAGCAGCGTCCGTGGGTTGCGAGATTACGCTCAGAAGTGTGCGCGTATACACATTCATGGTCTGGCTGCCGACGAGATCAATCGCACCAGATGGCGGGATGTCTGTCTTGCTGTTCCAGAATTTGCCTTTGACGTGCTCACCTGTTTTGCACAAATGCCCACGCTGGGAGAGTGCCAATTTTGCGGACCGAACCAGATGTTGGAAATCTTGCAGTGTCGCTGCACACGCTGTGGCAAGGGAGGCGCCCGTTGTGGTTGAGCATGTAATTGTTACCCTGACGTGCCACTCAAGCAAATCCCGATTCCACCTTACCGCCACTCGGAGGCGACTCCATCCTGTTCGACCAATCTGTCCAGCAAGACGCACCGTCAGAACCAGACGTTCCCTCTACAGCACCAACTCCAAGCAAACAAAGCTTAATCTGTCCTTCCTGCCAGCGCTGAATGCAGAATCGGTCACAACTGGCGCAAATTTTGCTCCAACCCTGAACCATGATGTCCTCGCGGTCATGAGGCGTAGGGTCCCTAAAGGTTGACGAGTCCATATCTGCACGACCTACAAACGTGGTATGCAGGAGGCTTCTTGTTTCAGTACAATACTTTATGAATCTGAGATCAACTAATCAGAATACTGCAGCTGGCAGTCTTACAAGTGGTGTCTCCAGCAAAAGCTGGAGAAACTGGCTACATGATTGGGCGGCCTGTCAGCGGGGCTACCGTCAATCTAGGGCTGCACCGCCATGCAAGCGTCGTCTGCAAATTCCCTCGAGACTATCAGGTCGACCTCGTGTATAGCTCTATACCGTTGACCGACTAGGTTCTTGCGGCTGAGGTTGGCCTGCATCAGTACTGGACTTTGTAGCCGGCATCGCTCCTGTTGTACACGTGAGGTCGATGTCTCCAAGTCAAGGTGATGAAACGACCACATGTCCTACCACCGAAGTACAACGTGCCTTATTCAGAGTGACCACTTTTTTGTCCTCAGCCCTTACGTAGAATCCCAAGGAATCTACGTGTCATTTCAGTGTTACGAACGAGCTTGTATTGTACATGTGGTATTCGGCCGAACGATCATCGGGCTACACCATGGGATATATTGTAACGATGCAAGTCAAGGACTGACTATATTTCAAGCCTTCGAAGTCGAGGTACTCTAGTCCTGTTTCACGATGTAGGGTATTCCACCATGTCGGGATGTGGTTTAGTTAGTTCTACATGCCATCGTTTCGGGGGATGGCTGCTGTGTAACGTAGCTATGAGCCTGACCGTTGAGACATTACCTATTTGTCCGATTCGCGGCAAAGTGGCCTGCTAGAGATGCTTGACCTGGCCTGGAGAACCAGTGCTGTCGAACTAATGTCCTAACTGCGGGGCTCGCCCATGCACGTGAAGTTACATGCCCATGCACTTTTGTAGGACTCTAATAGGCGCTGCCTGCGTCTGCAATGTTGCTGCATCTGTACTGCTGCTGCGGCTGAGCGACCTCGCCTCGACCGTGCTCTCAGTGCGGCTTGATACCGCCTGATCATGCATTCTTACTCTGATCATGACTTCCATGTGTTGCAGCAATGGCTGAAGCTGCGGCTGTCGTTGGTCTTGTCGCGTCCATCGCATCGCTTGTCGACTTGGGGCTGAAGATCACCACGCGACTCCACGACTTCACCACCAGGACGTCTGAGGTGCCTGAGTCGTTCAGGTCGCTCGAGAAGCGACTGCCACTGCTCACATCCACTCTGGGGCTCATTCAGCAGCAAGCTGACGCTGGACGGCTCTCCCTCGAAGTCTCGACCGCGCTCCGATCCCTGACCCAGAGTACAGCGACCCAGCTACAAGTGGTCGAGAAATGTCTGTCCCAGATCACTCCTCCTTCCGATGCCTCGCGTCTGCGTCGAGCGGTCAAGGCACTGCAGAGTTTGACCAAAGATGGAGAGATCCGAGTGGCAGTCGAAAGAATACAGCAAGACATCGACTTCCTCGTCTTGCATCAGACCACCCAGCATGTCGACGTGGGTGACCAGATCCTAGCAGCTCTCGCTCAGTTACAGCTTGGACCAATCCCGACATCATCCCTTCCACCCCATCGAGGGCATGTTGTTGGAAACGTGGCTGTCTACGACCAGGCCCGTGTTCACCTAGGTGATATCTACCAGGTACACCAGCAGCCCGGAGCAGACTCGCTCAAGGTGTTTGGTCTTTGCTTGACCTCGGCGCCGTTGATGGAGCGTGACAGCTTTGTGGGACGGGCCCGGGAGCTCGAAGAGATGGCACGAGCTCTGCGACCTGGCGAGCCTGCGGTGGAACAACGGCGAGTGGTGTTGGGTGGACTGGGGGGTATGGGAAAGACACAACTGGCCATCGCCTATGCTCGAGAGCATGAGGCCAGCTACACTTCGGTGTTGTGGCTCAATGCCACTAGCGAGCTCACAGTAACGGCCAGCTTTCGATCGATAGCGGAGACCCTGCCCAGCGCATCATCAGTAGCGAAGCTGGATGACGATGAGGCGCTTAGACATACGTTTAGATGGCTGTCAGACGTCAGGAACACACAGTGGCTGTTAGTATACGACAACTACGACGATCCCGATCAATATAAGATCACGAAGTACATCCCCACAACGTGCAACGGAACGATGATTATCACGACCCGTCTGCCTGCGCTCGTCCAGGGTCAGCGCATGCGACAGGTTCGGGTCTCGTCCATGGAGGATGTCGAGGAGAGCTTACGGATCCTACAGAACCGATCGCGACGGGATAACGTCCGACAAGGTAAGTAACCTGTTCTGCCGCAGTTATCTGTGTCTAAGTGTATGCGTGCGTGCGTGCGTTCTAAAGACTGACTATAACATACAGACCCTGATGCTCACCGGCTGGCCCAACGCCTCGCTGGTCTTCCCCTCGCCCTAGCCACAGCTGGTGCGTACCTAGGAAAGACCACCCTGACTTTCCGCCAATACCTCGAAGCCTACGAGCAGCACTTTAACATCCACCCTCGACGACCCGTCAACCTAGAAGAGTACACAGACAGAACCCTCCACACAACCTGGGACTTGACCTACCGTCGACTCGAGTACGACGATCCGCTTGCAGCTAAAGTGTTGAAGCTGCTAGCATACTTCGACCACCAAGAGATCTGGTTCGATTTGCTCCATGCGGGGATAGAGGACGAGTCACCTGACTGGCTCCGAGAGGTAGCGGGCGACCAGATCGATTTCGAGAACACCATGGGCACGTTAGTGGACTACTGTCTGGTAGAAGCTCGACCCCAAACCAGGTCATACGGGATGCACAACTGCGTGCACGACTGGACGCTGGCACAACTCAACCAGCCCCAAAGCGAGCCGCTGTTCTGGTATGTCGTGCAATGCGTGACGGGTAGCGTTAACGAGGATGACTGGGACTCCCTCGCACAGCTTCGTTACGCCCGTCTCGCCCGTCACGCACTGCGATGCGCCAGTCCTCGTTTCACACCGCTTACCCATCCGGACGAGATCTCACCTGACCATCTTACACAAGTCGTCAAACTTGCGGAGATTTTAAGCCAGCAAATCCAGTATTCGGCAGCTGAGCAGATGTACGTGCGAGCACTGGCTGGGAAAGAGAAAGCACTAGAAGCAGGCCACACCTCGATCCTCGACACGGTCAATAACCTGGGCCTTCTATATATGGATCAAGGTAAGCTGGACGAGGCCGAGCGGATGTTTATACGAGCACTAGCTGGGAAAGCGCTAGGGCTAAACCACACCTCGACCTTCAACACGGTCAACAACCTGGGCCTTCTGTATACAAACCAAGGCAAGCTAGACAAGGCGGAGCAGATGCACGTACGAGCACTGGCTGGCCGCGAGACAGCGCTAGGACCTGACCACACCTCGACCCTCGACACGGTTAACAACCTGGGCGTTCTGTATATGGATCAAGGTAAGCTAGACGAGGCGGAGCAGATGTACATACGAGCACTAGCTGGGTACGAGAAAGTACTAGGAGTAGGCCACACCTTGACCCTCAACACGGTTAACAACCTGGGCCTTCTATACAAGAACCAAGACAAGCTGGACGAGGCCGAGCAGATGTTTATACGAGCACTAGCTGGGTACGAGACAGCACTAGGACCTGACCACACCTCGACCCTCGCCACGGTCCGTAACCTAGGCCTGCTGCGTGAGCGCCAAGGTCGACTTACAGAAGCTGAACCCCTATATCAGCGAGCCCTGGCAGGATATCAGAAGCGACTGGGTAGGGAGCACCCAAAAACTTGCGGTGTAGTAGACGACCTCACCAGGCTCCACCACTAAAAAGGTCAAATACAGGACGAGCTCATAGTGTACAGACATGGATATAACTCTACGTAGTATGCTGCGTTGTACAGTACTAGGAGTGCATGTTACACTCTTCGTGGTTTGTCTCTACAGGTGTTCTCCATATAAGTCGTGGTTCATAAGCGCCGCAGGGCGAACACGTTCTCAAATGACGCTACAGTGATGTCGTGTCACGACTTATCATGCGACCAGGTCTACGGCCAGGCATGCGACTGGACGTACGGCTTGGGGCACGCCTAGGCACAGGACCGGGCTCACGTCACAAAGCGGCCCAAAACAGAATCAGCCAAGGACCGAATCAAAACAGGACTGACCTGAAACCAACTCTGTGTAAAGGAAGGTTTAGCGAAGCTAAACTATAAAAGATATCATGCTCAGCGCGATCAGCCTGATCAGTAGTGCTCAGCACTGAGTATACTGATCAAGGTGAGCAGCACTGATCAAGTCATTGCAACCCCTAAGTATATAGACTGTCGGGGGACTCCGTCCTGTTCTATCTTAATTAGTCTATTCTACCTAATTACGTACCTCTGGTGTGACAGCGATTCATCGCCTGAAGGGCGATGCTAAAGAGCGGTCGACACGCAGTCTACTTATCTATAGTATCACGTGCCTTTCTTCCCCGCCTAGTCTTAACCTAGCCTAGTCTCTGTGACCGTAACATAGACCCAGTACACTCCCTAGTTACTTAGATAGATTCTTCGTAATCAATCTCCCTCACCAATTCCACCGGTACCTTCTAAGTACCTTCCTGTCGTGTTCACGCTTCTTGTTACTAACCAGCCAACATACCACCCCACTGCCTGTGATCAGACCTACTTACCCTAGGCCTAGGAACTTGCGTGATATGTCGCACTAGAACGGAGATTACCGGTGACTCAGTATATAGCATGCGATTTGTAGAGCAGCACGTCTCGGGCTTGTTTAGAGATGTGTGAGCGTAAGCTATAATGGATAAGGCCTGCCTTTCTTCTAGAGTCCCTATCTTTACTAAAGGCGACGTCGATCCTGTATATTGCTGTAGCTCGGAGAGCGTACTAACCTCGAGCTTGTTACGACCGTGCGCAGAGACTGCGCCTGGCGGTGTAACAGCCTTATATGCTAAGCCTTCCAAACTATCACCAACATTAATGATATTTTGGCGACCTTTTTGGGGAATACTAGGCTTGATTCTGATAGAGCTATTAAACCAGTAGCTTTGCCTATAGTCTGCTGCTGCTATCTTTCGATAGATGCTTATTTAACCGACCTAGTCACATGCCTCAATTCTCCTTTACGCCGATTATAACTTGTGATACGCCTAATATTGAATTAGTCGCTTTAAGTTAGAAGACGCTAGCTAGAACATGCTAGGTAAGTCTAAACTCCCTCGAGAGCCCTTAGTCTAGTCTCTTGTACTAAGCTAGATTCCCTATTTAATAGGGGGTGTAGTATATTGTAAATGTTATTAGTATAGCTAGACAGATGAAGATCAAGGAATATATAGTAAGACTACCGCGAATCGGAAGTAGAGGCGTCAGAAGTAGTAGAAAGTAATAGATAAATTAAGAAGGGTATAAGAAGCATTATTAATAGAGTTATAATTTCTGCATTTATGTTACGGTCATAGAGACTAGGTTAGGGTAAGATCAGGCGGGTAAAGAAGGCACTTGATACTGTAGATAAGTAAACTGCGTGTCGACCGCTCTTTAGTATCGCCCTTCAGGCGAGGAATCGCTGTCACACCAGAGGTGCGTAATTAGGTAGAATAGACTAATCAAGATAGATTAGGACGGATCTCCCTGACAGTTTAGTTTTTATTAAGTACTATAGATTTACGTAAGTCGTCTAGGACAAGAGATATAGTTGTGTAAAGTATTAAGCAGACTGTAACTATAACTATACACTAAATACTGTAATGAAGTCATACTAGAAGACTATATACATCTCGTTTTAATAGAATCCGAATATCGTTAAGAGCAGTGATAGAATCAACATTCTAAAAGAGAGGCCGTCGGTGTTTCGGGGTGTTTTTATTCAGCCCGCCTTCCCACCCCTCCACCCCTCGTCCACCGACCCGTCCGTAAAGGCCCTGATCAACTGGTCTCGCCCCCTGGCTGGTCGCCCCTCGGACTAGCACCCTCACCGCCCCGTCCCGGGTGGTAAGAGAACCACCCAAGTCCCGCCTAGCTAGCAACTGGTCTCGCCTCCCCCAAGGCTGGCGGTCGCCCCGACCATCCGCCCCCTGTAAAACCACCCCCCACCCCCCGCGTATTCTTTCACCAAGTCTTCTCTGGCAACTGGTCTCACCCCCGCGCCCCTTCCACGGTCGGGCCGCCCGTCCTCCTTGTCCCCCGGGCTGACTGGTTGTCTCTCGACCGCCCCCGGACACCTCAACACCCGAAGCACCCCTGACCCGACCTCTCTCCGTCCCGTCCCGTCCCTCCTTCGACCACCCCGACCCTCACCACCCCTAGTAACTGGTCTCGTATCGTCCCCCTCGACCGCCCCGGTTCCTTTTTTTTTTTTTATTCCGGCCGGTCCCCCGTAAATGTCCTCCTCCACCTCGTCTCGCCCGTCCTCCCGTGTCATAACTGGTCTTGCGGCCCTCTTCCTCCCACCCGGCCGTCCG